TTTCCTGTGTTGAGTGACCATATCAAACATCCTTTCTCCTAAAGAACCACTCAGACCAAAATACTCCTGTCAAAATCGAAATACAAGATATATCGTGAGGCTTGATTCAAATTTATCGACCACAGAAGCCCAATGATGAGAAGAAGGATACAGAAATCGTCAAACCTGGAAAACAGGGTACGATACGTATTGGTCATTGCTCTGAGACTTGGAAGCGAGGGAGACGAAGAGAGATTTGAGATCATCGAGCTTCTTCTGAGTAAAAGCTCTGCCACAAAACAAACACACAATTGAAAAGATCGATTTCGAATTGAGAAACTAGAGAGTGAAGGTGAGATTGGTTCCGATGTAGACCTGGAAGCAGAAGTGAAGCGATGATCAACAGAAGACGAATTCGAATTTCCCATTTTCGCCGGGTTTTTTTCTTTCTCTGCTCAGTTCTCCGGCAGGTTTCGTCGGCTCTGTTCTTCTATTATTTGTTTGATCTTTCACTTCTTCAAATTTACAAAATCAACCCCTTAAAATCTAAATATTTTGGTTTACAATGGTTTTGAAATTACAATTGATTTTCGATTCGGTTTAAGTTGGTTTAGAGAAGAAAACAAAAAGAAACAAAAGAGTCAGTCACGCGATGGAGATTTTGAAGAGAAGTGCGTAGATTGAAAAAGGCATGATTTCGAAAGGGGTACACCCACAGAATTTGTCACACTCGCGCAACGCGCACTTTGTGCGAGTGGGTCTGAAATAGAGTCTTCTGATTGGCTTAAAAACTCTAAAAAAAGTGAAATAGTATACATGTTGCTAGCTCCTCTTTTATGTCATTATATATTTTTCGTCTTCTTCACTCACTCTGAGGCAAAAACACGAAGAGATCCACAACTAGATTAATGCTTTCAGATTTCAGATTTCAGACTGGTGAGTGTTAAAATCTGTATACATCTTAATACATCTTCCGTATTTGTTCTTATCTAATCTATAGTTCTGGATGTGGATTTTTTTTAATAATTTGGAACCATGGAAGTAGAAATCTTCTTGGCTTGATTTCAGAGTTTATAATTCTATTATGAATATTTGGTTTTTTTATTATGTTTCCATGTCTGTTTTAACTTTGTTGCCCAGAAATTTTACTAAAACTAGTAAAGCTAAGCTCGTTTGTCATGTTTAATTTGGAGTAGTAAATTGTTCTTCTTCCTCCATTAGATGTGGATTTTTTAATAATTTGGAACCATGGAAGTAGAAATCTTCAGGAATCTTCTTGGCTTGATTCTGAGTTTTTGGAATGTGAAAGTTTAATCATTTCCTACACTTCTTGTAATTAGAATGTTCAAAGGTTACTGTGATTTGGATACTTTTCTACACTTGTTAGTTTGTGATTTTGAGTTGTGGTGTTTGGTGTTTTGTTATGTAGCAGATTAAAAACTATCTAATAAAGACCATTTTACCTGCAAAACGAGATCGTGGGTGCTTTTGTTTGTTCTTATGTTCATTGTGTTGACTTCTCAGTTTGAGTGGAATGAAGAACTTGAGAGTGAAACTGAGACTATTCGTCCTCTGATTCTTTCAGATAAAGAGCAAGAACATATACCACAAGGCAAAGGTTCTCTGCTTGAAAAGGTTTGTTTTTTTTTTTAATTCATTTTGATGTCTCTTAAGTCGCTGGTGGGTGGAATTCAAACAGTGTAGAATTGTTGTGTATATGGACCTAAGGAAGGAGTTGGCTTCTTAGACTGATACTTTACTTGTCCAATGCCTTTTTCTGTGACGCATTCCGTTTTAGTGACTTGCTTAGCTTCTTTAGATGTTGAACCACAGTCCATCTCTTATCACTCTAAATCCAATTGCTTTTTCATCTTTCTAGTCACAACTTTGTTATATGATTTTTTTCTGAAAACGTGTTCAGTTTTGTTTATTGTTGAGTATAGTCTTAGGAAAGCAAAAGAGGCTAGTTTCTAACTTCATCCCATCACTTTGAGCATATCCCAATCTCGAGTCCTCCAAGTGATGCTTTCGCGGAAAGAAAAAGCATATCAAGCATAGTTATCTGAAATTCCACACTCTTAGTTAACTTTACTAAACCATTTGATTGCCAAAGTATATATGCTTCAAAGTATCATCTAATGATAATCTGCATATCTATGGATGGCAGAAAATTCTAGCTCAAGAAAAGAAAATTCAGAAGCTTAACGAGCTGGTCCGATATCTAAGGAAGCAGTTGCTGCAATGCAGAAATGAAAGTCAGGTTGAGTTGACGAAAGAGCTAGAAACTGAGCTTAATCAGCTGCTGGTAACAGGTGTTTACTCCATTTCTACAGGTACATTGTTTTCCCCTAGCACATCTTTCTGTGTAATGATGCATGATTGAAAGCATTCATTGACTTAACAGTTACTATTGATGAATCATGGACTTCCTGTTAATATAAGCTTTAGCACATCTAATTTGTATACGCACGATATATATCTTGAAAAATCTCTATGTAGATAAGACACAAGAGAGTAAGAGAAGCAACTAATCTATAAGTACCCCGACTGGATCAGTATCTGAAGTGAGACATAGCTGTAAGAAATGGTAATTAACATTGTTAATAATTATAAGCAAAGAAACATATTCTATGCAAGTTTTTGGAGATCTGATGAAGTGCTTATTTCACTGTCTCTTATATAGTGCTTATTTCACTGCATGCATAGTGCTTATTTCACTGTCTCTTATATATATAATTATATATATTGTTACTATAGTGCTTATCATAGCATTCTCTTTCTTGATTCCAGTAGTTTCATTTCATTCTTAATCTTTCTCTTGAATCTACTACTTTTTTCTCATTCTTATGTTTATCATGCAGCAAGTCATCTTGATTAAATTTTCGTGTTTGATGATAGAGCACTGACATATTGGATCCACAAGCTTTAATTTGCTCAGCAGCAATGGAGCCATACAATGTTTACCCTGGTATGTTTATTTATCTCTTTCAAAGCATGGAGAGATTTATTTCATTTCTAGCCTCCTGCATAGGTTAAACCAAGCAATGTTACCAAACAAATTTCATAGGAATGGTTATAGCTTCAGGGTAAAAAATTTCTTGGCTTGATTCTGAAATTTTGGAATTTGAAACTTTAATCCTTTCCTACAGTTTTTTGTAATGTTCAAAGATTACTGTGATTTTGGATATTTTTCTATCAATCAGTTCATAGTTTGTGGTTTTGAGTTATGGTGTTTCCTCTTTTTGAAATTTTCTGTCCAGAATTTGCTGATTCCGTAAGAGAAATATGTTGATTTCGGTTCGGTTTACATGGTTTTAAAATTACAATTAATTTCCGGTTCGGTTTACATTGGTTTATAGAAGAAGAAAACAAAAAAAAAGAAAAAAGTCACGCGATGGAGATTTTGGAACAAAGTGCGTCGATTGAAAAAGGCATGATTTCGAAAGGGGTACACCCACAGAATTTGGCACACTCGCGCAACGCGCACTTTGTGCGAGTGGGTCTGAAATAGAGCCTTCTGATTGGCTTAAAAACACTAAAAAAAGTGCAATAGTATACATGTTGCTCCTCCTCGTTTATGTTATTATAGATTTTTCGTCTTCTTTCTCTCGTTCTGAGGCAAAAACTAGATTCATGCTTTCAGATTTTGACTGGTGAGTGCTAAAATCTGTATAAACCTTAATTATTGCTTATCGTTTTTGTTTTTTCTTATCGAATCTATACTTCTGGTCTGAATTTTTTGGTGTTTTTTTAGGTGTCTATGTCTGTTCTGACTTTGTTGCTCAGAAATTTTATTAAAACTAGTAAAACACAGCTCGTTTGTCATGTTTAATTGGAGCAGTAAAATGTTCTTCTTCCACATTGGGTGTGGATTTTTTATAATTTGCAACCATGGAAGTAGAAATCTTCTTTGCTTGATTCAGAGTTTTTGGAATGTGAAAGTTAAATACTTTCCTACACTTCTTGTAAATAGAATGTTCAAACATTACTGTGATTTGGATCCTTTTCTATACTTGTTAGTTTATGAGTGGAATGAACAAGTGGAGAGTGAAACTGAGACTAGTCGTCCTCTAATTCTTTCAGATAAAGAACAACAACATATACCACAATGCAAAGAATCTTTGGTGGAAAAAGGTTTGTTTTCTTATTCATTTACTTTGATGTCTCTTACTCTTTGGTGGAATTCAAACAATGTAAAGTTGTTGTGTATATTGACCTAAGGAAGGAGTTGGGTTCTTAAACTGATACTTTACTTGTCCAATGCCTTTTCTGTGACACATTCCGTTTTAGTGACTTTCTTAGTTTCTTTACATGTTGAACCACACACATTCCATCTCTTATCACTCTCTAAATCCGATTGCTTCGTCATGTTTCTTGTCACAACTTTGTTGATATGATCTTTTTCTGAAAACGTGTTCAGTTTTGTCTATTGTTGAGTGTAATCTTTGGAAAGCAATAAAGGCTAGTTTCCAACTTCATCACATCCCTTTGAGCATATCCCAATCTTGACTCCTCTAAGTGATGCATTCGCATAAAGAAAAAGCATATCAAGCATTGTTATCTGAAATTCCACACTCTTAGTTAACTTCACTAAACCATTTGATTGTCAAACTATATATGCTTCAAAGTATCATCTAATGATGATATGAATGTCTATTTATGGCAGAAAACTCTATCTCAAGAAAAGAAATTTCAGAAGCTTAATGAGCTGGTCCGAGATCTAAGGAGACAGTTTCTGCAATGAAGAAATGAAAATCAGGTTGAGTTGACATAGCTTGACCAGCTGCTGTTAAAAGGTGTTTTGTCCATTTTTACAGGTACATTGTTTTCCCCTAGTACATCTTTCTGTGTAGTGATGCATGATTGAAAGCATTCATTGACTTGACAGTTACTTTTGATGAATCTTGGGATTACCTATTAATATAAGCTTTAGATATGGTGGATGGCTAGAATTAAGTTGCCAACTAATCTGCTGCACTAGGAGATATTGGTTATACTGGATATGATTCTGGGCCAGGCTTATGAAAATTAATTTTCTATTTGAATTTCATTGTCAGTTGATCAGCTACATTCATCATTTTTATAATTTTCATTAATGTAGTAAAAAATTCATTATATAGCTTTCTCTGTGATTCCACCATCAATGCTCTTATTAGATCGCAGGAATTGCAAGTTCGGAAATGAACCATAACTCAAATCAAAGCCACAACAACAAAGCTTTGAACTCAGACGTTTTACTTCAACCACAAGGTTAGGGGAAGCATCCAACTCCTGCCATGAACCATCTCCACCACAGGTTTGAACCACGAATCGGACTCCCTTAACATCTGATCCAACGACCAGATCAGAGACATAATAAGCATCAACATGAGCTGTTCCAAGAAACACTTTCTCGCTTCTTGGTTCTTTCATAACCTTCCCTGGTCTATAATCACTCGAACTCAGATTCTCTGCATACACATTGTAAAGACAGAATCTTCTTCAGGGTGCTTCAATCTCCATTCTAGCTTACAACTTAAGGTCTTGGAGCCAGAACCTCCTGGTACAAACTTTACGTGATGAGCCTCGATAACCCATGATGACGCCAGAGGAAAAAGCTTGGTTTTTTGCTGGCTCTTGATGGAGATAAGTCCAAGCAATGCAAAATACTCTAGTGTGTTTGTTTCTTCTGTGAGATCATCTGGTCTAGAGCAGAAGGCAGAGATCTCAGTCAGTGTGTGCCCATCCAGAACAAGGTTTGTTTCGTGCACCGTCCAACCGGATGTGGTCTGTTTTGATGTGAGAAGACGTGGCAGGAACATGTCGCCAAATCTGTTGATGAATTCATTTGGCACCATAAGCAAGGACTTTGTCTCATGTGAAGGAGATGAGAAATGGAGACAGAATGCACCAGTCCAAAGACTTACATGAGTAAACTTAAAAGACTGAAATTTTGTAATGATGAGGAAGAGCTTATCATCTTAATTGAAATGTGGCGCATCCGTGGATTCGGTATGAGGAGCAGAAACTTACAGAAAAGGAGATTGAGATGGGGGAAGAAGAAAGCTGAAGCTGAGGTTTGAAGAGTCTTGCTGTGAAATGTGCATTTCTCTTTAGTTTTCCTCTGAAACTGACGTTCCCTCCTCCATTATAAGATGCTTCCCCACCACTACCATATTTGTGTTCTTTAATGTTAGATGTTAAACTTCATTTCTTTTTAGGCTTCTTGAAAATCAAATATGAGGCTAGTGTGATCAGAATTCAGAACTTACTCAACAGTGACTTGCATGAGATATCTGAATTCTTTCCTTCATTGAATTCTAGGAGTTGCTGTCACAAAGAACACAACAGAAGACCCGATCAAATTGGGATATAGATAAGTCCAGATGAAAAATGTGACAAAAAAAAAGAGAGAAAAGAGTTCCATGGCAAGAAAAGCTATAACAAGGAGTGAGCATTGAACCTGCAGACTTTGGCACGAAATGTGGTACCAGGGAGCTTCTGATAATTTCTGACCTCCAAGAGAGATATGAGAACCAATGCCCTATATAGTAAACAAGAGAAGAGTTTCAAAACTTAGCAGAACATAGAATAACCATGCTCATTTGCATCTATATATACACTGGGAACAGAGTTTCACTTCACCTGATTAAAATCTGAGTAGAAAGGTAGGACTTGAGGATATGTTTGAACTATACCCCATGACTTCTCAACAAGTGACCACCATCTAAAGAAAGATAACATCTGATGAATAAAGATTGCAAAGATTCTTTAAACCATCACATTTGCAAGTATTACTTATTTTGTGCCGTGTAAAAATCCGGTGGTTGCTCGGTTTCGTAGACCCATCCAGGAGCAAATATCGCAGCTGATACATTACTGCTCTTCAGCAAATCAAGGGCAACATTTACCTACCAAGCAAAAGAAATGAACAATGTAGATAAACTTTTTATATGCAACTTGAACATTGCAGATCACAATTGATAAGATCGATTTCCAATTGAGAAATTAGAGAGTGAAGGTGAGATTGGTTCCAATGAAGACCTGGAAGCAGAAATGAAGCGATGATCAACAGAAGACGACGAATTCGAATTTCCCATTTCGCCGGTTTTTTCTCTCCTTTCTCCGGCAGGTTTCGTCGCCTCTGTTCTTCTATTATTTGATTGATCTTTACTTCTTAAATTTACAACTTCGACCCCTTAAAAATCTAAATATTCTTAATGTACCCCATTACTTTTAATTCGTTGATCTCGAAGAAGCAAAGTAAAAAACATAAAGTTGTGGAGTTGAAAAACTCAAAGAACAGAAAAGACGAAAATTGTAAGAAAGATACTAAAAGGCAAACACGAAGAGCACAACTAGAGAAGATTCATGCTTTCAGATTTCGACTGGTGAGTCTAACTAGTTTACATATGTAGAAAACTTAATTGCAAATCGTCTTTGTTCTTATCAAATCTATTGTTCTGGTCTGAATTTTTGCTGTTTTTTGTTTCCCGGTCTGTTTTGACTTTGTTGCTGTTAATATATACCAAAACTAGTAAAGCTAAGCTCTTTTGTAATGTTTAATCAGAACAGAGAATTGTTATTCTTCCTTTATTGGAAGTAGAAATCTTCTTGGCTTGATTCAGAGATTTTGGAATGTGAAAGTTTAATCCTTTCTTACAGTTCGTGTGAAAAGAATGTTCAAAGATTATTGTGATTTGGATCTTTCTACAGTTCTTAGTTTGTGATTTTGAGTTGTGGTGTTTGGTTATGCAGCAGGTTAAAGGCAAGCCAATAAAAAAAGATCAAGTAAAGACCATTACTTGCAAGATGACGAGATCGTGGGTGCTTTTGTTTGTTCTTATGTTCATTGTGTTGACTTCTCAGTTTGAGTGGAATGAACAAGTTGAGAGTGAAGCTGAGACAAGTCGTTCTCTGGTTCTTTCAGATAAAAACCAACATATACCACAAGGCAAAGATTCTGTGCAAGAAAAGGTTTGTTTTTTTAATTCATTTTGATGTCTCTAACTCTTTGGTGGAATTCAAACTATATAGAGTTGTTGTGTATAAGGAAGGAAATGGGTTCTTAAACTGATACTTAACTTGTCCAGTACCTTCGCTGAGACACATTTTGTATCAGTTTATTGCTTAGTTTATTTAGATATTGAAACAGTCCATCTGTTTTCACTCCAAGTCTAATTGCTTCTTCATGTTACTTGTCACTGTGGACTGTCTGTCTTACTCTGCAGTTTTGTTTTGTTTTGTTTGGTTTTTACAAACTTTTAGACGTAGTAAAGCTGCATCTCTGCATTTTCGTACATGTCACTTCAGCTACTCACTCCAGATGTAGTTTTGTCTTTAGAGCTCAAGGTCTATTCTTCTGAAGCTCTCTAAATTTTACCATAAATGTAGCAATAACCAGTCAAATTTCTACATATTGTGGTTCTGTGACAACTTTGTGATATGCTTTTTTTTTTTCTGATATGCGAGCTCAGTTTTGTTTATCGTTAAGATCTGCTTTCTGCTGTGTCATTGTTAAATATAGTCTTGGGAAAACAATAAAGGCTAGTTTCCAACTTCATCCCATCCCTTTGAGCATATCCCAATCTCGAGTTCTCCAAGTGATGCATTCACAAGAAGAAAAGGCATATCAAGCATAATTATCTGAAAGTCAACACTCTTAGTTAACTTTTCTAAACCATTTGATTGCGAAAGTATATGCTTCATAGTATGATCTAATGATAATATGAATGTCTATTTGTGGCAGAAAATTCTATCTCAAGAAAAGAAAATTCAGAAGCTTAACGAGCTGGTCCGAGATCTAAGGAGGCAGTTGCTGCAATGCAGAAATGAAAATCAGGTTGAGTTGACGGAGCTAGAAACTGAGCTTGATCAGCTGCTGGTAACAGGTGTTTAGTCCATATTACAGGTACATTCTTTTCCCCTACCACATCTTTCTATGTAATGATGCATGATTTGAAAGCATTCATTGACTTAACACTTACTATTGATGAATCTTGAAATTACCTATTAATTTAGGCTTTAGATATGGTGGATGGCTAGAATTAAGTTGCCAACTAATTTGATGCACTAGGAGATATTGGTTTTATTAGATATGATTAAGACACAATATGGCGCATGGTTTCTAAATTATGATCTGGGCCAGGCTTACTTAAATTAATTTTCCATATGAATTTCATTGTTAGTTGATCAGCTACTACATTCATCATGTTTCACGAGTGCTTTGCTTGCTGTCTCGACTCTCGACCTTTTACTTTAGAGATTTCAATAGATCAGAAGAGTTAAGAGGTAGTTGAGAACTTTTATCAGCTGGCCAGAGATATAATGAAGGGCAAGTACTTATTTGCTTGAAGATAAAAGGTTTCACTCTACTTGATCAAAAGTACTGTATTCTGAATCACAATCATGGTGTTTGTGCAGGTTGATGCTTTTACTCACTAATCCTCCATAGGCTTCAAGTGTAAATCCAGATTCTTGATCAATCTAATACCCTAGCCCCTCTTTCTAAGCACTACACTTGAAGATTCTGTACTTTGAAGGAGAAATCAAAGAAGAGTGGTCCTGTTTGAAGTACATCAAGTATGTATAGCTAAGGCATGACATTTGGTTTATTTTTATTTTCTTGTATTTTTATCATTATACTGAAACTGTGGCACTAATTGGTGAACTCAATAACTTGAACATTTATGGGAAGACCAGAGTCTGCAAAAAATTGGACACATAAAAAAATAGAAGAAGCCAAAAACTCGTGAAAATTTTACTTACTGAGTATTTTGTGCCAAATTCAAATTGTTCTAGTTTCAGTATATGTATTCCCCATGTAAATCCTTATGCTCAAGCCAATGTATGTAGATCCATTAGAGGTTGATCAATAAACTAGAAGAAGCAGAAAAAAAACTTGAAATAATCAAACATTATAGTTATTTCAAATACATTCCGATCAAATCTAGCAAAAAGTTATTGTTAATTTTATTTTTTACTTGAATACTATATATTAGTCAAATCAATTATTGTGCAAGTCTATGCGGTTTGACTAGACATGTCAATTAGGGCCAAAGCCCGCGGGCTAGCCCGGCCCAGCCCTGAAAAACAGCGGGCTCGGGCTTCAAAATATATGTCCAGAAAAAATCGGGCCTTTCGGGCTAAGCCCGTTCGGGCTAAAGGGTTTTTTGGGCTTAGCCCGACCGGGCTCGGGCTAGCCCGGAAAGCCCTTTAAAAAATATTTTAATCTTTTTTTTTGTTAATATTTTTGTTTAATTGTAAGATTTGTTGTAAAAAATTTTTTTTATAGAGTTGAAAAACCTAAACATAGTTTTTTGTTGTGTATTACTATAAATCGAAAAAGCAAATATTAGCTCTACTACCTAATTTGAATTATTTTGATTTTGTATTTTATCTAGTATAAGTTTAAACAATTTATTTGGATTGTTTATTTGATTTTAACTCTCTTTTTTAAAAACTAAATTAGCGTTAGTGGTTATTTAAATTTTGATTGACTTGTTTCATATATAGATTCTTTTTTAAGAGATATTATAAATTATAAGTTTGTTTTTTTGTTGTCGGAAGAAAAGCCCAAAAAAGCCCGGAAAAGCCCTGTAGCCCTGTTAGGGCCGGGCCGGGCTTTAAAATATAGGCTCGGAATTTTTACGGGCCGGGCCGGGCCGGGCTCAAATATATACGGGTTTTAAGGGCTTCGGGCCGGGCCGGGCCGGGCTAGCCCGATTGATATGTCAAAACCGTTTGACATATCACAAAAGAAACTAAAGAAATCGTAAAATCTTAGATGGATATAAGTATTCAAATCGAACTTAAGTGAATCAACTCGAAAACTCAATATGTTAACTCTGAAGTAGAGATAAACTATGTAAATATTTACTTTCTCAATCTTCATAACATGTTTTGACTTTTAATTATTTAAGAGTTTTGGTGTTTTACACCACATGAAATAGATCCGTTGTTATCGTTTCTATCTTTATGATCCTCACTGGTCCATTTTCCACGCATCGTTATTTATGTACTTCCATATGCATGATTTGTCAACATATAGTGTTATATAATTATTAACATCTCCCGTTTCGTTGAATATGAAAGATTTCTTGATTTTATATATAGGTTAAATATAGGCGATAATTTGACCTTAAGCCCTTAAGCTAATGATTTGAATGCTTTAAGTAACGGCTGGCTGAAAGTGCCAGAGAGCTACATCTTCACTGGCGCGCGGTGTAAGTAAAGATACAACCAATAGTCCTTTTAATGTTTTGTGTTGGTCTTATGGCAAAAAAAAATGAAATGCATGAACGTAAACTCAAAAATTCAATACTAATGTCTGTTAAAGTTTTACTAGAACCAAATCAGAGTTCGATTCGAATTATAACATTTACATTTGTATCTTTTGGTGAGATCACGTTGGTTTTTTCAAGTCTTCTTTGGTTGACGCGAGGAGCGAGGTATAACAAGTAACCTTTTTTCAAGGGGAATAACTATATAACTAAACCATAAAGTCAGAATTAGTAAGTAGTAACCCATCATTTAAAAAAAAAAAACAAGTAAGCATTACTGCATTAGTGTTTGTAAGTGTGCCCACGTCGTTTACACGAATGTTATTAATTCGACAAGTCAACTAAATGATTTTTTATAGCCAATGTGATAAGATGGGCGATGAAAGTCAATTAAGTTGTTTAACTGTTTTAACCAATATTGTTATTGAATGAATGAATTCTCATACACTGTAAAAAAATAAAAATAAAAAGAGAGAATACCTATATACTTGGCGTTTGATATCCAATTGACATGCCATAGAAAAAAAAATGTTAAGAAGATTTTTTTTATGTCCTTGTGTTGAAAGATACGATCTTCACAATGATAGTATGATCTTTGATGCATGTGATATCAAGTTGCACATTGATTGGTGCAATTAAGGGTTACCCAATTTATTGAAAGGAGCCGAATTGTTAATGCTCGTTTTGCTTATTTTCTTTGAATTATATATAGTAGTTTGTAAACTCATTTCTCATTAACAGAAAAACAATCGATCTGAACATGATTTGGGTTTGTAATTTAATAGTTTGTACTACTGTTGTTGTCGTGTCGAATTGAACCATGCATTTGTATCCGATCGTAATGTCAAAATACGAAAATTGCTTAAACCAAAAAGCACGGTAAGAAAATTAAGTATACACCATTCACTAAGGAGTTTACACATCCAATGATTATATTTGTAATCTACTAACTTTTTATTACGACATCGTGATAGAGTTTAAAACTGCTGCTTTACTCGTCGTCTAAAATGTGCAATAGTTTGACTTAGCCACTTGGATTATTATTATTGTAACGAATTCGAAGCTTCTTTTCATTTAACGTGTAGTCAGAATATTTTGGGCCAAAACAGAAAGATAACAAAATGGGACCAAAGAACAAAGAAGTAGATTTACGAGGAAGAAGGTAAGCTAAGACATAACAAAAAAAAATTAAAAAAATTGGTCCCATCCAAATCGTAAACACAAATTCCTTCTCCCGCTTTCCCCACACATTCAATAATGACATGTATTATACGAATTTCAATTAGACAGTAATTCAACAATAATATTAGCATAAATTACTTTACATGTTGTATAGTGAAAAAGATAGTTTATGTAGTTAGTTTAATCATGCTAAACTAGTTAATTTAAAAGTCACCTTATGATTTTCCATTTAATACTCTAAGATTTCATACATACGGCCATACGGGCCTAACATTAATTGTATAAATCCAGCCAAACATGGTATTAAATTTATTTAAATGGAATTAATTGTAATGTTGTCAACTTTCATAATACTAGCAGTTGGATATATATCCGTATTCTTACGATTATAAATATGTTATCTTAAAGTTGTGAAGAAAAAAAATTGTAGTAGATCCTAATTCATACTACTATTTATTAAACAAGTGAAATAATAAACGTTCTTCCAAATTTCATTAAATAACTTCACATGGGAAATTAAGTGACGCTGCAAATATTAGTAGATTGCTTTCGGTGTGAAGCTAAGTGATTTTGTAGTGTAGCCATTACTAACCTTGGCATCGCTATTTTTTTTTTTTTTTTGTACTAGTTTTTTTTTGTTTTTATTCTATAATTATGTGAATCGTGATTAACATTAATACACATTTAATCGAATCCTCTTTCTCCTCCGATTAAGACACCTATGCATGTACATTGTCTACGAATATATAAGTAGTATACAATCTTTTGATTTTGACCTTTGAGTAACTGCTATATTAATTATGTAGTCACTTTGCGTCCTGTCGAAGTGTCAAAACTCAAATATAAATCACTAGATGAAAAAACATACTTACTACCGTAAAATAAGTAAACGAAAACATTTTTGAAAATGGTTAGTGCTTAACCTACGGTAATTTTATTTATCAAAAAACAAACTATATATGGTATTTTTAGAATGTCTATCTACTAGAAAATGATTTTTAATATCTTATCTGTAGAAACAAAACCAGAAGAAAAACATGATTTGTTAGATCTCCCTTAGATCAATTAACTAGTTTTATGACTTTTTCAAATTAAGTCACCTATTCAGCACCAGTAATAATGGGTATAGAGGCTCAAAGACATGGGCATGTTCTGCTACAACGCTTTCTGGTTATAAGAAAATGAAATGATAGTAGACTGATAGCATGAGTCTAGTGTTCTTTCTCCTGTAACCGTTAAAACTTCCAATATTTTTTATCAACTATACTCGACTTCTAGAAATGATCACTTTAAAACGAAAAAAAGAAACATTCAACAATAGCTTTCTTTGAAATTTTATATTTTGCTTTAAATCAAATGTCCAAGTTTATATAGCTAAACATTTTGTATAAGATTGAGGTACTTTTAGTACGATTCTTCTTTGTACATAAGTAAACAACCCAAGACAGTCACCATCTATCATCTAGAGACTGAGAACAGTAGCACAACACACTTTACAAATTCATTCAAATCTCAAGGATTTCTCCAAACTATTGGTTTAGGACCTTTTAGGTTGTAGTTGTATAGTGAAACTCCTATAATCAATCAAATGATTTGATATCTAACTGATAGACATAATTGAGAGCTTAATTAGATCCACCCATATAACTGGTTTATTCATAAACAACTACAAAATTTGACTACCAAACCTTGGACCCACTTGGAATACTTCATGGGGTTTATTACTTGGTTTCAAGTCTCGTATCATCCTCAACTTCTTCCTTGTCCCCAAACTTTCAACAAGCCAAAAATATAGTAATAGTTTGCAATTTTGAGATTTAAGAAAAGACTCATGGGTAGTTTTGGAAACTGAAAATTTATTCTTTTGTCCCCCTCTCATAATAAAACTAAGGCCAGGAGGTGGTTCACTTTATATATTTGCATTGTATTTGGGTTCTCTGTACCAATTCTGGTGTGTTGCCATTTAATTTTGTTTGTGTTTCTTTAATTTCAATTTAATTTCTTTGACTGTACAATTTTTACTTTCGAAATTATGATTTTTTTTCTTCTTCCAATTTCAACTTTTATTATAAACATCTAATTCAAGTTGGTTGCCCATTTAATTTCTTGGTTCCATATATTAACTCCTATGAAGAAAATAAAATAAATAATGGTTGTTCTGTTGAGTATTTAATTTGATTTCTGTGTATTAGCCATTAAACACCTCTCTTGTTCTTTTCCTCCTCCTATTTAATAAGCAATGAATTGGATTCCTGCAAATATCTACAGATTTTCTTGTGTATTTATTAAATACATTTAAGAAAATTAAATTACTGGTTTGAAGTTGAAAAAAAGTAATTAAAATTCGATACTCTTGAGGCAAGAAATTAAATCAATTAACCCCAATCTGATAGTATGTATCGTCTAGTAGTAGTATACTTCAATTCAATCTTTATGATTCTCTCTCTCTCTTTCTCTCTCACAGTCCTTTCTCCCTCATAATTAAATTAAGCCTTAATGAAAAATCTATCTATCTCCTCCTTTAATTTTCTCTCTGTGTTCTTTCTTGTATATAAAGGCCTAAGCTGAAGCAATCCAACCACCAGTAGTAATAAGAGAGAAGACTCTTCTTTGTGATCCAAGTAACCAGTCTTTGAGATCACAGGAACCCTCCTTCTCAATCCGCAGGTTTCAAGGTATTTTCTCCGACCAAACTCACTTTCACTTATAATAATCTCTTCTTGTCTGAACCAAATTTAATCCAATTTAGATGAGTCGAAGAAGTCCAAAGCTGGAGCTGAAGTTGAATCTTTCGCCGCCTACGTCAAGCCAAAGGAGGATGGTTCGATCTCCAAGCCGCTCTGCGACGACTTCACCGACATCACCGCCAAGCTCTTGCGTCTCGTCGGAGATGAACCAGGACGAGCCATCTGTGAGATACTCGACAAGTCCAGAGACAACCTCGATGGTTCTTGTCGGATGTCCTCGTTGTCTCATGTACGTTATGCTCTCAGAAGACGACCCTAAATGCCCTAAATGCAAAAGCACCGTTCTTCTTGATTTCCTCCATGAAAATGCCTCAAACGCCAACGCAAACGCAGCCGCTGCTTCCTCAGGTCGCAAGACTCGAAGGAACTGATGAAGGACCAGTAAAATCAAAATCCTGTTTTTTTTTTTTTTTTAATTGTTAAGTTTTATTTTATTTATTTTCCCTCTTTTCTTTTTCTGCGAATGTAGCTGTTGTTTTATGAGAGTAGTGCTAATCACGCTCCACTCTAAAACCCGAAGAAGAGAAGGTAGGAGATGAAATTAGGGTTTCCCTATTCAAGAAATTTTCAAAAAGAGTGGAGCGCGAATAGCACTAACTTTTCTTTTTATTTCTCAACATTTTTCTACCATTTGAGTTCTCTAATGGAAGAAGAATTTTTATATATATGTGAAAACATGTGTCATTTTCTTCTACGTATTCTACTCCATCGAATTTCTGAAACTCTGTTTCGGATGCTCTGTTTCTAGGGCATCTCCGTTTTCGTCTAATACTCTGTTTCTTGGATGTGTAAAAGAAAATAGAGGTTTTGTGTGTAGGACTATAACAAAAGTAGACATTCTTAACGTAGCAGAGAGATTGCTTACACATCACGAAAAGGAAGATCTAAAATTGACTTGTGAAAGATATAGCTTGAACCTGATCCCCAGAAAAAGCTGAAGAGAAAACTATATAGATTCCTTGTACTTGTTGATAAAGCACTTCAGAAGATAGAAAGAAAGAAAGAAAGAATGGTAAAATCAAAAATGGTTAGTGATCAGACAAGAACTTCTTATTGGTCCCACATGGTAACATTTGACCCCACAAACTCATACACACAAACTCGAAATTCTCCTGTTTTTTTTTTTTTATATTTCATATAATTTTGTTTTATGTTAACTCGAGATAGATCTCTGTTCATTCAAAAAGTCTTCAGAGTTTGTAGCTAATCACAGGCCTAAAAACTGAATTTTTCCTTTCCCTGCAAAAGAATCCATAACAAGATTTTGTCCTGAAAAAAAAAAAAAAAGATTTTGTCCTGAGCAATTGCATGGTTGGTTAAAAGACAGTAGCAGACAAATTTAGAAAATGGGTTTGCAAATGGCAAAAAAGTGATAAAAATCTAATCTAGGTGCTTTTTCTAAAAACTTATACGATCTGTAAAAAAAAAAAATTGCCGACGAAGAAGTACACAATGAAGTGAAAAAAAATGAAAGCTGGTTAAAAATCAAAGAGGAAAGTAGTTCAGAGCATTAAAATTAAAATAAATAAATACAGAGGAAGGTGCTTGAAAATTTATATATATATATTTTTGATAACAGCTGTTCAAAATGTTAAGATTTAGAGATCATTAAAACCAAAATATAAATGCAATAGTAATTGAGACAGTTGAGAATTGTAATGAGCGTTACGTCAGATTATAAATACGAATTTAATTCCACCTTCATTGCTCTTTCTCGCTCACCTCTTCAAAGAAAGAAAGAAAGAAATAATTATTATTATCATGATCATGATGATGCTACGAATTTATTTTTTTCTCTTCTTATATTTTTTTTTTGGTTATTACACTACTTGGCATGTCTTTAAAAGAACTCCATTTCTCTTCTTATCATTCACTAAATGCCACCTTTCTGTTGCCGCTTTCCAATTTTAGCAATCTCATCTTTCAAAGCTCCATGTTCCCTTATTCAATTCCTGCTTCCTACCTCTCCTTTTCTCTCAATTATCGCCGGTTCTTTGATTAACGTTCTACCTTCATAGAGTTAATAATTTATAACCCCACATTGAACCAAACCAGCTAGATTGTATTTAACATCTTTTAGGTTATTGGAATTGACATCAACCAAAGTCTATAGATTTTTTTAAAGTTTCTTGATGTGTAACGTTTGTGAAAAGAGTTACTAGAATTACGGTTTATAATCGATATATATTGAGAGTGGTTACGACTTAGGGTTTAATTAAGAATTAGAGAATTATATTGTTGTGTGAACGGTTCTTGAATGTTAAAACTACTAGTCCCATCTACTAAATGAGTCATCTAATCATTTTCATGTTGGACATTAGAGAAGTATAATATGTGTGAATTTCATCATCGATGACGAGCAGCCATAAGTGATGGAAAGAGAGTAGATAAATTGGCGTTTCGAGGGAGAGAGACAAGAGGAGTAGTAGATTTGGTGTGGGCCCATTTGTAAGCAAGAGGCCCACCAAAGATATTTGAGGACCAAGATGAATTAGATCAACAAATACACAAGGCAAAATTATCATCGCATGCAATTGCACGTTCACAAATACGAAAAAAACATGCAAAATCCATCCCTACTTTGAATTTGACAATCATGTCTTGTGACTTGTGGTATCCATTACTACTACCTTAATTAATGACGGGTTCTCTGACTATTAAGATATGCTTAGATACATGCATATCTAATCTAAGATAATTACAAATGTATATTAGTGAGATACGTACGTATATCTCTACAGTCAGTCCACGTACGAAAGTCTTAGCCCACACAATTCGGTGTCCATGATCAGGACTAGTCACAGACTCACAGTCGTATATCTAAGAAAAATTAGGTGTCCAGATCCACTTATCAACAATTTTAAACACTTTTCTTTCTCGATAACATAACATACAAACCACATGGTGGTGGGCGAGTGGTTCTCGTTTGGTTGGAAGGATCGCCCTGTTGGTCTAGGCCAGGGATCGATCCTCCCCCGACGCAGTTTCGCTCTCTCACTCCTGTGGCCACCTGGGAATTTACCTGCGGACTTGCTCAGGCGCCCCAGACCACCAGTTTATCAGGGGGCCCTTAAGTGGAGGCTTAAAAATCCCTGTGACGCGGGCTTAGGCCCAGTGGGCTAGTCAGATCACTGTGTGGTCTGGATACTGGGTTTTCAAAAAAAAAAAAAAAAAAAAAAAAAAAAAAAAACATACAACAAACGGATGTGGACATGAATCGAAACCAGGACATTAATTCAAACAACTAGACCACAACTACAAGTTATGATCATCTTATATATATCTGACTGATATATAGTTAAAAATCATATCTAGCAGTAAAATATGTGTAAGGTATGCCTTTTATACTATATTGAATTTGCCGGATGTTGCTCGAGGCCTAAGCTTTAGCTTTCAAATATTGTTGTTTAAGATGATCCCTAACATCTTTCCCACTAACATAACACAAAAAAAAAAAAACCCGAAAGAGATTTGAGTTTGACCATGCTTTAAAGAGGTATGTCATAGTTTTAATTTCTATATTTGTTTTTTCTACTTAATTAACTAGTTATTGCATTCTATAAATGCATTTAAACTTGAGTAGTTGAAATCTTATGATGCCTATTCTTTATTGTGAGTGCAGTACACATTTAAGCTTCGATATTTTTCTTTGTATCTCCTATTCTTTTCTAAGTCTCGCTGACATCTTTCATATCAATTTATATGGGGGAGCAATACTGTCAGAAAATTAAACATGAATTGTTGTTATTAATTTATAGTATTGTCATTAATCACCAAACTTATTTAAAGGATTTTAAGAATCGTCGGCAATAATTGGACGATACAGTCTCAAACTTATTCTCGTATAAAGAAGTAGACAGTGTTAGAATATCACATTGTTGTTTTTTGTAATGAGATGGAAATTGAGACAATCAGTCTCACAATGAGCTACAACAGTTTTCCAAATATATTTTCAAGCAAATTTCCATATTCTTTAAACAATTTTCATATTAGATTTCATATGCACTAAAGAAGGTGTGTAACTAAGAAAATCTTCTAACATCAGTTTTCAGTGCACATATCCAGTTCTTGTAATCTGTTAAATCTAGTTTGTTTGACTGCTTAATTCAGTTTATTTTAGTTTCTAAACAATTATAAGTAGGACATCGTTTTGGGCCTTTCATTGGGCCTATACCTCTCTTTATTGTTTTTGATCTGAAAACATTGGGCCTATATCTTCACTTTCTTATAATGATTACAGATCTCTTTTTCAGTTTGGTGATCCGAAACGGTTACAACGGTTTGGCAGAAGAAAAATATAAAAATTCGGCATCCCAAGGAATGCAACGTTCCTTGAGTCTTTCTCTAAAAGAGTAGTAAAATATAAAAGAAGCGTCTTTTTCAAGCAATCTCAAATTTACCTTTGCTTCTCTTCTCTCCCATTGCCTCTAATCATTTCAATTTAACTATCTCTCTTTCTCTCATTTGCAGTTTTCCTGAAACTTTTTTTCAGAAACCTAATTCCTCTTATTGTCCTATGCTCTGATCTGAACAAACTGGTTTATCCGGGTTTTGGATTTGATTCAAGACTCCAACCCTAAAGTCAGTTAGTTGATTCGAAGATGCTCGGAGATTTCATAACAAGAATCATAATGTTAGACCCTCTTTTTCTCTTCTCTTCCTTCATCTGGTAATATTTTGTCATTTTCGTTCTTCTTTCTCATAGATTTTTGGAAAATTTGCAGATTGCTTGTGGGTTACGCGTACCCAGCATATGGATGCTACAAAAGCATCGAAAAGAAAAAGGCTGAGATTCATGAACTTAGATACTGGTGCAAATATTGGTAAAGCTTTACTAATTGTTAATAAAGAAGATTCCTTTTTTTGGATAAGGAATCTGATTCTCATAATCATCTTATCAAAAATCCGATTCGATTTGCAGGATTTTGGTGGCTCTTCTTACTGTTTTCGAAAGGATAGGAGACATCATTGTATCATGGTTAGTAGTATTAAGCAAACTTTAAATCTCCATCATTTGGTTCGTTGTATCAAACCTTCTGATTCATCTAACCGCAGGTTACCACTCTACGGTGAGATCAAAATCGCTCTTCTCATCTACTTATGGTACCCGAAATCACAGGTACTGACTATAGTGCAAGAAAAATCTCATGAGCATTCATTCTTTGGTTCACAAAACCAATCTTCTTCTCCTGGTTTATGACAGGGACTTAGCTATGTCTACGAGAAGCTACTGTGTCCTTACATGTCAAAACATGAATCTGACATCGATCAAGGAATCTCCGTCTTAAAGATAAGAGGACATTTAGTAATTGCTCAACTACTGCAATGTGGCTTCCACTGGAGCCTCCAAATCTTCAAGCAATTGCAACAACAATTCGCCATCGATAAGGTTTAAAACAAACATATACATTCTCAAATCCCATTTCATGAAATCAAGAAGCTACTCTCACCAAATCCATTCACTTCTTTTGTCTGCAGAATAATAACCCATCAAAGGCAAAAGATCAACAACAAACAAGAACTTCTTTTATGTTTCTCCGTTAGAAGATACTGCTTTACTCTAAGCCACAATCTCAATAACCGGGTTTTTAACTGCCGGTTCACCGGAATTGGCAGCCAAACCGGAGTTTCCACATGATTCAGAGTTCAGATTGACCTGACCACTACTAATGGAATTGACGAACAAAAGAAAAAGATTTTGAAGAATTCAGAAATCGAATTTTTTTCCTTTTACATATTTTGAATTTTATTGTATACAAACAGATTTTTGTTCAATTCATGAAATCCAATTATTATCCAATTTCTCTTCGAGAATTTTATCCCCAAATCAAAATTTATATGAACTATTTGACAATCAAAGGAACACGAATCGATTGAACAATCCAATTAAACACACGTCTCAAAAACTGAATTCCGGCGGATAAATGAATCCATACACGGCGGAAGAATTGAGAGCCAGCAGAATCCACCGACGAAGTAAGCACCGTTGGTTGAAGATAAGACAAAGCAGCTTTCTTAACGAGACGGTTACGAATCGAGATATCTCCAGCGGTGGATGTAACCGGAGAGAAGCTACCGTTGATCGTCGGTAAATTGAGTGAAGAGTTACTCGGAGATGAGATGATATCTCTGAGAGAAGTGTAAGCTACGAAAGAGGATGGTTTTATGGAGATGAGCTCATAATCGAACGAAGACGGCGGCGTTGAAGCCATATCGAAAGGGATTTCGGGAGGAGTCAAAGTGGTCATGGTGGATATGGATTTTGTACGACGGAGCGGCGTCGCCGGAGACTGTGACGGCGGAATCTCCATAGTCTTCTTCTTTTTGTTTTGTTTTGTTTGTTTTTGTGGCTGATTAGGTTTGTGAGTGTGTAAAGAAGGAGTTCCAATTATTGATCTCTTTAATATGAACATTAGTCACTATCTTGTGTATATTAATAAAGAGATGTTTACTTTATTTGTATTTTCTTAATAATTATGATTGGAAGATAGACAAATTACAAAAATTTAATGATTGTTTACTATTCTTTGTCCATTATTCTATTTTTGATGAGAAGATTAGATGGAAATATATTCGGAATCCAACCAACATAATGTAAACCGATGTAGACTTTAAAACATTTTGATTTAATTATTAAAGTATGATGATCCACTTATTTACTTACCGCCTCAAACGGTGTCGTTCTAGTTCATCGAACATTCCACTGCTTTCTACTACAGTACTAAGAAAAATCTAGAAACAGGTTTCTCTCTATCCGCTTTGTCTCTCTCTGACGCCCTCACGTTTCGCCACCTCATCATACTCGAAACCAATCACAAGAACCCTTTTTTAGAGTACTGTAACCAGTGACGCGGAGAGAGAGAGAACACAGTCACAGAGTTATGTCAATGGCGTCTATAGCTTCTTCTTCCACCACCACCCTTATCTCTTCCTCTAGGGTTCTTCTTCCCTCCAAGTCTTCTCTTTTATCTCCCGCCGTGTCTTTCCCCAGAACCATACCCTCTTCCGCCGCATCATCCTCTTCCGGATTCTCTCGTCTCGTTTCCCTAACCTCCGGACTCTCCGCCACACGCCGGAGCTTCGCCGTCAAAGCTCAGGCTGTAAGTGACTTGCAATGCAATCGATTTCTCGTATTTGCTCCGTCTTCTCATTCACTGTGATTGTTGGATACATTCGTTAGCTTATTATAATGGACTCCGTACTATTTTCCCGCATCTTTGGATAAAAAAACTTCACTTTTTAGAGTTCTTCGATCGTGGAAGAGGCATTTTTGATTACCCTTCTTGTCAATGATTTGAAATGCTCTGAAATTTGTAAATTTGATCCACATTTGCCTTATACAGAGAAATCTGTGGAGCCTGCATAGTGAAATTGCGATAAGACCAGTTTAAGCACATTTATGTCATTATGTGGTTAAACAACTCTGTGATCAATGCCTGACGATTGCTTATATGGTTTATGAATTCAGGATGATTTACCACTGGTCGGTAATAAGGCGCCTGATTTTGAGGCAGAGGCAGTTTTTGATCAAGAGTTCATCAAGGTACTTTTACTCCATACAAGAAGATACAACCTTCTTTAACATGTGTAGAACATTTCTGCTGCTTCTAGTTAGTTAGTGTCATAAGCTAAGGTCAATGCGGTAGAGGAGTGTTCTGATGGTAATCAGCCTATTATGGTTTCAGGTGAAGCTCTCTGAGTACATTGGGAAAAAGTATGTCATTCTATTTTTCTACCCTTTGGACTTCACTTTTGTTTGCCCCACAGGTTAGTATTGCTTAGGAAGTAGATTCAATACTGAAACTCTCGCTTTAGACTCACTGAATTCTAATCTCTGGTCTTCTAATTTTCTTTCCTTTATTCTAGAGATTACTGCCTTCAGTGACCGCTATGAAGAATTTGAGAAGCTAAACACCGAAGTATTAGGGGTCTCAGTCGACAGTGTGGTAAGTCATAGTATTTATATTTTCTCCCCCTGACCCTTGTGGTCTCAGCATTTTTAGATATTGTTTTAAGTATTTGACGGACATAAGTTGGAATTTGAAAATGGCTAGCTTTAGTCACAGCTTTGGCAAGTGGCAGTCTGATAATCAATTGATCTCATTTTCTTTTGGATAATGCAACGCTTGATTCCATGTTCATGTAGTTCTCGCATCTCGCGTGGGTCCAAACAGACAGAAAGTCAGGAGGGCTCGGTGATCTGAATTACCCACTTGTTTCGGATATCACTAAATCCATTTCAAAATCGTTTGGAGTGCTCATCCCTGACCAGGTAAACGATTTCTTCCCACATAGTTGCATCTACTTGCATTGAGTCCAATCAACTTGTGTTCTTTAAAGTAGCAACAACTTTCAGCCACTTTGAATTGAAGCATTTTGCTACATACACGTACAGGGCATTGCACTGAGGGGACTTTTCATCATCGACAAGGAAGGAGTCATTCAGCATTCCACCATCAACAACCTTGGTATTGGTCGAAGTGTTGATGAGACAATGAGAACCCTCCAGGTAAATAAAGAACAAAAACAACATTGAGATAGATAGAAAGAGATATGTTTTTTGCGGTTTAGGGTTTAGATGCGTTACGTGTTGCTCCTTGCGATGTTGTCTTGCAGGCATTACAGTATGTTCAAGAAAACCCGGATGAAGTTTGCCCTGCGGGATGGAAGCCCGGGGAGAAATCAATGAAACCTGACCCCAAGCTCAGCAAAGAATACTTTTCAGCTATCTAGAGGCTAAAACTAAACAATTGTTTGGTGAAAATTTGCAAGCAGAGTTGTTTTATTAATCTTTTCTAAGTTGGAGCAGAGTTGTTGTTAATTTTTGCCAAAGAACCTTTGTATCTCCTTTTTCTTTTATGTGATTCTCCTGAAATTGAATAAAAGATGAAGAAATTTTCTCTTTCTTTTTTTTCCCAATGTTTTTGTCTTTCGCTTGTGTATATAGTTTATACTAATGCAAAGAGGCAGAGTATTTGACCAAGGCAACATAAATTAGAAAAATAGCATGTGAGGTCACAGGTCTCTGGAATTAGATAACTATCTGATTGATTTGTTTAATAAACTTGAGTGCTCATTAAGCTAATCTCCATCTTTAGCCGACAACAAAATTATGTTGTAGCATACGTATTACTCGGAATATTCTCCAATGGGATTGCTAAAAAATTATCGTATGATAACTTTCTGGTTAAAAGAAAAATAATGAATTCTTAAAATAAATATATCTGGACACGAGAAAAAAGTAAAAAACTATAAGATATGAATAAAATTAGAACCAAAAGAAAAGGATCGTTTTGTCAATTGTTGATAATAGGCCCTACCCTTCATTTTTTCCATTAAACCAAAATGTACAAAGCCAAGTGGGGATGATGGGGTTTGGTATATACGCGGTTAGCAGTTACCCACGTGGTTTATCCACTTCACACATTTAACCACCCCTACAAAATAATGTTATCAAAACGACCCCAATACTTTCTTTTGTCTTCTTTCCGACCTTTCCTTCTGATGTTAAAAAACTTTAATTCCGCTGTACACTGCTTTTACCAAAAAAATAAAGTCCCCATATTATATCCTTACGTAGCGGTAGCAACCTCCGAACCCGGTACATAGCTGAGCCGGTCCACTTCATCCCAAACCAATTTCGATGTTATCTCATCGAACTCCGGTTCATATTCCTACAACAACATGAACCATGTCCACAGATATATTGGTCTGAGATAACTTTCGATTGTTAAACAAAAATTCACATCTATGAATGTAGTAAATTCAGTATACCTCGAGTTGTCGAACCAACTCTTTAGCGTTTGGAGCTGAGACGATGATTCTACGAGCCATTGGGGATATAAATCCTTCGTCCACAGCCTTATCAATAAACGTTAACAGCGAGTTGTAGTAACCATCCACGTTAAGAAGACCCACCTGTCAAAAATTATTGACAAATAATAATGTTAGAACCAAATTATTATAAATAGTATAAAAGAAAGATTACGACATGGGAAGCTTCCGGTCTCACAATCAGGGGTTATGTAGTCGTACGTCGTGACAACACATCGTTTTTTATATTCATGCATATATCATATTACATGCTCTTAGAATGTGTACATTTTAATTTAAAATGAGAATAGTACAAAAATGTTTAGGAGGTATAAAGAATCCCAAAAGGAATCTTGTTCCATGTGATCATTACGACTTACCATATGGAACCATTTGTATCTTCTTCATTCAGTCAAATTAAACCACACATTATATGAATATAAATTCTTTTTAAGGTTTTAAATATGAGAAAATATATCCAACACGCATATTCCGGTCGTAATTCATAACAATAATGCAAGCTCATATCTTACTTTAAAATTAATTATATAATCCTTAAAAAGTTAAACGAGAATTTTAATTTTCCCTGATTACGTACCGGCTTACGGTGGATACCGAGTTGAGCCCATGTAATGACTTCCAGCAATTCTTCCAACGTACCATACCCACCTAACATTTTACCAAAAAAATCATTTGACATATTTTAGATTTTAGTTATAAATTCATTTCTAATGGAATTGAGTTTACATGTAAAAAATGGAATTACAAACCAGGAAGGGCAATGAAAGCGTCAGCTTGACGAGCCATTTCGGCTTTTCTTTGATGCATATCGGCGACGGCTTTCACTTCTCCGATGGTCTCACCGGTTATCTACAAATTATTATTAACATAACTTTTAGATATTTTTCTTTATTATTGCCTCTAAAATGTGAACACCGCAAAACATCTTATATATTGCATGGTCTTTTTATTGTGGGTTTAACATATAAATAATTAAATATATTAGTTGGTCAAGGAGATGAATCGTGAAGGAAACCAAAAAACGCTCCAAGTCTCAATCATTCCTTTTTTGGTCCTACCACTATTTTATGTAGATCATTACAAGGCAATTTCTATCTCAATAATACTATATATAATACCAAGTCCAACAAAAAATGATATTTCATTCAATAGAGCTTTATTTGGTGCATACCTCTCTTGGCATCAAGGTTTTTGGAATGACCCTACAAGAGATAAGGTAATATACCGGTTAAGAATGATGTATACCAAAAAAAAAAAACAACTGGTTTGGATTTCTATCCACAATTAATTAGAAAGAAAAAAATGAAAGTTGGCCATTTTGGTATAGATAGATAATTGAAACGGGATTCTCTTATAGAACAAACACATAATAAAACTAGTTGTTTTATCAAAAAAAAAAAAAACTAGTTGTAGCTTGATTTTAGTAAATAATTTAAAAAGCAAAGAGACATTTTTGGACAAAGGAAACATGCACAGATCCTTTTTTGTCGTTGTTATGTTATCTCTCTAATTAAACTCAAGTATCTCTTCATATAACCAAAGATTAATCAATTTAACAAATTCTATGCGACAAAGGCAATAGGTTAATAGGCATCATGTAGATAGTCATAATCAACGGTACGGTCAAATGTTTAAAACACAATGATGATTTATAGGTTACTTGGAACTAGCAAATGCATCATCATCATATGAAATTATGAATAGAGAGAGAGAGAGAGAACAAACCCTAGAACATGACGACCACCATGATGAACAGCTTGAGAGACGAGACCCATAAGCCCCACGCTACCACCTCCGTATACCAAATCAATCCTTCTCTCCACCTTCAACCACATTTCCACCATCTTTAATTAATATTAATATTGTATGCATTATTTATGATAACAGAGTTTTCATGATGAAAATGAACACGTGTCACAAACCCAAATGCACAATCGACCCCCAAAAAGAAGCAACCACATCAAATATCAAATCTCAATTAAGAGAAAAGGAAAAAAAATTAAAAATAGCTCATCATCATCATCAATCCTAATTTCAATTGTCACCATCCTATTAATACTATTATTATTACCTACAGATCAATCACAAATACTTATCGATTTATTACAAGATGGTTCTAATTATTTTTTATTATTCAAATATTTTTAGTGTTGTTTGAAGAAGTACACCCCACAACACACGCTTTGTACATAGGGTCATTATTCTTCCAACGAACATTTCTTTTGGGGTTTCATTTCCCCTCGAGGCAATAAAAAAACTGTCATTATTATTTATCTTCCCCGTAAACAAAATCATTGGTTTATACTTGGAAACTTAAGTTTTAGGTTTAAGAAAAATCATAAGTAACCTCAAGAGTAAATGAAAAACAAGATATATGTGTGTAATAATGTAAATCACTGAAAATACAAAAATTTATCTAGAAAAAAGAAGAGATCATGCAAGAGTGCTGCTCGAGTGACAGGCGGGTTACAGCTAAGCATAGTAGAAATTACTATTTTCTCATGTCTCTCTCTCGTGCCAATAACAATAAACCATAACACAAATTCGAATTTTCACCCCAAAAAATAAATGAAAATCAGCATCCACACGTTTGGTAGATTCATCATTGTTCGTTGCAACACACAATCAAAACCACATAATAGCCAATGTTTCAAAGAAGATTCTGAATTCGTATCTCAAATCAAATCTTCATTTTGAGTTCATATTATATACCATCATAAAGTTTTGAATCCATCATCCCTTAACAAACAAATATTCAATAAAGAGATTTTTATAAATGACCCAACAAGATGATAAAGAAGTATCTTTGTGTTGAGTTGTGAAAATAAATGTATATATAAACTATAAAAGAAACATATGTGAGTGAGTAGAGAAAAAGTTGAAGAGAAAACGTACCAACTCGTTACCCAATTGAATGGCAGCTTCTTGGTATGAAGGTTTTTTGCCAGAACTGCTTCCACAGAAGACACAGATCCTCTTGAATCTCGATTTTGTCTCTTCCATATCTCTCTCTCTTTTCTCTTTGTTACTTTGTCTCTCTCTCTCTCTGGAGCTTTAAAGTTGAAAATTCTTATGATTATTATGATGAATGAGACCACTTTGGAATTGTGTTAGTATTTATATATATATAGAGGAGAATATAAATGCAAATGCGATTCCCATGCCCTGCCCCCTTTTATTAATTATTATTTTTCCTTTGTTTCCTATATTTTTTATTTTATTTTATTTTGTGTTCTCATCTCGCGAAGAATTAAGTTAACTTTTCCTGTATTATTTAATTTGTAGTTTGAATATTCCATGGATACTCTCTAAAACTAGCTAAAACACGGCTTCAAAATATTTATATCTTATTTATCAAGCAAACTGTGTATATAACATTTTTATTATACTTTTTTTTTTTTTTCGTCTGAAGATTTCATTGATATAATGCGGTTGAGTTATACATAGCCGACAAGAATCGAAATTCTTTCGGAAACTAGGCCGGCGGGTACATAGAAATCTCCAGAGACTAAGGCCGAAAAAGACGAACTAAGGCCGAAAAGGGCGAGCTAACAGAAAACCTTAGGAAATAGATTACATGGAAAACAACTAAAAGGAAAAAAGCTAAAGACTCCAAAGCAAACATACTGCAAACTCTTCCCAACATTTTTATTATACTATAGTGTGTTATTACGAATTTCTTAATTTTTAGATATTGTAGTATAATAGATTTGTTTGAAAAGTCATTTCGTGTCTGTATACGGCCGTGATTTATTATATGATCTCTATTTATATTTTATTTATTTATGTGTGTGAAAGATTAGATTAGATCTAACACAGGTTGGAAGATCTGTTCAGATTGTGTATCTGATTAGTTCACTACTAACCAGATTCATGGATCATGTTTTTCTTTGAACATTTCAATTTTTCTCAAACTAGTAATGTCCATCTTTCATCATGAGCTCCAAAGTGTTAAGTTAGACACCTAAAACTTACTATTTTGAGATCCAAAACATAAAACATGTACCGTTAGGATAAGTTAGAAGAACATCTTCTGTGTAGAGTAAACATAATTATAATTCTACGACAGAAAGTATTCACTTTTCCAGTGATCATCAAACTCTTAGAAAACAACTAAGTTAATGCAATTTGGTCATTTAATATAATCTACGTACACGTTGTAGACTTGACAACCACACGAAGAAGAAAGAGGTTAGTTTTCTAATCGAGGTTTAGACATTTATATTTGTAAATTATAGCTAGTTGTCTCACTGATCTGATTTGGTTTCGATTTGGTTCGTTTTTTAAACTATATTGGTCTAGAGGACATATAGATAGTCAAATACGTAAAAACAAACCGTTTAGATTTTTCGATTTCGATTCATTCCGTAGTTTCGTTTGCGGTTCGAAACTTGGATTTGAGAAGAAACTTTAGATTTGCACTGGAACATATGTTAATTCGATTACGAAGAAAATGTCAGGGCAATGATAGGGAAGCGTGACAACTAACAAAACTCGCAAGACTTTCCGGAACTGCAAGCTCTAATGACCCATCGAATAACCTCGACTACAAATTATACTATTAGACTAATTTTTTATTTTTTTGCTAATCAGATTTCTCGGAATAGAAACCTCATTATAAATTCTAATTCTATATTTGGTTTATTCATTAATTTAAAGTCTGGCGAGGTGTCTCGTAATCACTTATTTAGTTGTTCACGTCTTTATCAAATTTCCACCCTCTAAAGCAATAGTCCCTTAATCACATTTCACACCTACATTGTAAATAATAATATATTTTTGGTTTATCACATGTATATTTTTTTGTCAACAAGAAATTATTTGTGTGTATGTATATAAATCGACAATGCATAAAACGGATATGAAATAAATAGTATATAATCAACATTATTTACAAAAAAAATCCATCTATAATTACGTAGTGCAAGAATAGTTTTTCATTAGTAAGGAAAAATATATATATATATATATATATATAACTACTTATTAGTTTTGCATATATATATTTATAAGATGTTGAATATATAAAACAGCTGTAAGCTGATGTAATCATCCAACTAATTTGGATGATCCTTACATCGAATCCTTTGATTAAACCTTTTTTTTACGTCGCATCAAATTTGGATGATGCTTCTTTTACTTGAAGATCAAAGCAACGCAAACCATTAGAGTACAATAATAGGTTAACAATACAGATTCAATCCTAGAGATAAGAGTGCTTACTACCTTTTCTACCTTAGTTTTCGGACAAATTGTTTCGTTTCTAACCAAATAAGACTCATTTGTAACGACTTAAATCCTACTAAATTTCCCCTTGTCAATTCATAAGTCATAGCGCAAATCAAATTTAGATTAGAAAGTGATAATGAAAGTATATTCCTAAAGATTTCTGATTAAAGACAATGTATGAACAAATCAAGTATCTATTACCTTGGATGATGCTTCTTTTTTTTTTGTCAACATCAAGTATCTAAACATATGGTTTGCATAACTGTCGAACTTATGTTGGATTTTAGGTTACGAATAATGTCAATATTTATATGTTACTAATTATTAAACAAGATCGAAAGACCTTAAAATAAGTATATCAAAGTCGCTTTCGTTAAGATATCACGATGATCAAGCAGATTGTATGAGCTGGTGTGATACATATAAAATTAGAAAGAAAACTCATACCATCTTTGATCACTTAGATTTAAATATTTGTTAATAAAACGAAAGATACTTCGTTGTCTTTTTTATATTTTTAATAACAAGTTTAAGATACTTCATTGTGTCTAATTATCTTCCATCTTCTTTCTAAACATAGAGTATTTGAAGCTGAATTGATGATGCAAACAAAATAATGAATCAAGAAACATATTGGGGCTTTAAGACCCATTTAAGTTGCTTTCCATAGCCAGAGTTTTAAGTTGACGGCCCATTAATCACTCATTGGGCCTTTAAGACCCATTTAAGTTGCTTTCCATAGCCAGAGTCTTAAGTTGACGGCCCATTAATCACTCATTGGGCCTTTAAGACTTATTTAAGTTACAAAAACGACTCAGCGAGTTCACTGGAGTGGCGCCGACCGAGTCATCGCCGTTGCCAAAACCCCAACGATCAGAGAGACATGGAGGAGATAAGAGATGACTACAAATTCCTGAGAATTCAAGACGCTTTCAAGGCATTGCATCTTCATGTTAACCTCATTGGAGTCATCGTCGAGCTAGGACTCTCCAATGGCTCTGGTATCGTGATCCTCTCCCAAAAACCTTAGCAATTTCATTTCACAGCTTCGTTTTTATTTTTCCGATTGATGAAATTTTGTTTCAGATTGTTCATGTACGCTTAAAATCGTTGATCCATGGCATTCGGGATCTGGCCTTCCCGTTAAGTTCGTCGCTCGTACCATTCGAGAGCTTCCTCGTGTTGAATCGGTCGGAGATATCATCTTTCTTTCACGTGTAAAGGTTGATACACCATTCCTAAGGCTCGTGGAGATATTGTTCAACATTTTAGTTCTGGGTTTAAACTCTTATTCCTTAACGCAGATTGTGCTGATTAATCGGAAAATCACAGCTCTTTGCAATGAAACATCTTCTTCGTCTTTTGCTCTGTTCAATGGGAAACATGGCGTGGATTTTATACCATACCAGTCATCACCTAAATTTCTGATGAGAGAACAGGATAAGAACTTCTTATCGAATCTGAGAGAGGGGATGATAACTTACAAGTTTGAAGATGGTAATTATGATATAATCTCATTACTGATTTCATTTCTAGTGAATTTTATTATTCTCTGAAGTCTCTATATGCAAATGGTTGCTTCTTATTTAATCTCAAATGGGTTCTGTGTCTTGGTAAGGTTCGATTGTTTAAAGGTTTGTTTTGTTTTATGATAGGGTCATGCTGTTTCACATCCCTGAAAGATATCAAAGAAGGGGAATGTTCAAACCTATCTTGCCTGGTAAATTGATCTTTCCTTAAAAGAATATGTTTTGGTTTTATCTTTCATGTTTATTTGTAATTATGGAACTGGACGTGTCTTAAAGTAGAGAGTATGATCTTCTATGTCTTTGACATTGTCATTCTTTGTTTCCTCTGAAGATTGTTCACATTTCCAAGGTCTATAAAGATAGATGGTACATCTTTGTTTGGGATGGAACTGAGATGCCACCATGCAACATCTTGGTAAAGTAAGTCTGTATTTACTCATCTGAATACAACGAGTACAAAGAAGCTTGTATTTTGCGTCTTATTTATTCATTTCCTAGCATATATCCCAAACGTTTTACTCGTCTCACTCTTGAAAGCTTAGTGTTTTGGCTTGCAATTTGACATCATAACAGGTCAGAAAGGCTTCCTTTATGTGTCGAACCCGAGATGTTGCCTACATACATGTTACGTAAGTTTCCTACTTTTGGTTCCGTTTTGAGGATCCTAGTAGATAGAGTTAGTGAGAAGCAGGCCATCCACTGTCTTCAACCTGGTCAACGCGTGAAGCTTCTGAACCTTTTCTTTCAAGTAAATATGGGATTATGGAACGCCACTTTTACTCCCTCTACGAAGATGCAGTACACAATGAGCAGAGGGTTGCAAGCTTTTAGTCCTCAAAGGTTTCTCTAACGCTTTTTCTTATCCTGTGAGTTGATGTTATGCATCGTCCGTTTGTTCATCAGCTAAAACACACACTTTCGTACATATTCAGAATGTATGGGGAGAAGTTGTCATCGAGATGGAACCCCATCGCACGTTGCATTAGTCCTTCACATTCAGGAATCACAGGTAATAATCAGCTCATTGTTCTGAATTGTAGAAACTTGGCATAACGCTGACAATTTTATGGTACTAATGGTTCAATCCTTTTTAGGGGTTGCCCATGAGGACGCTCCGTTTGTTTCTCTGATGGACATTCTGACCTATCACAATGTAATGTATCCAAATAGCTTAGATTTATTATCATAAGTTGTAGGAAAAGAGTAGTGAAAACTTTCTTGAATTGATGTTTAGTGATGCTTATGCAGGTGACTGCTAAATTCAGGTGTGTTGTTCGGTTCATACAAGTGTATCCCCGAGATGTCAGAAAACTCCGCGATTCCCACGGAAATATCAAACTGCTAGCTATACTAGAAGATGCAACCGCCAGAATCCACGCTTCTCTATATGCTGCTGAAGGGGTATGTAAAACACTAATTATAGTTGAGTACTTGAGTTCATTGAAGGATTGTCAAATATTTATATCTGCAAATCTATTGACAGGAAAAGTTTTTCGGGTGTGAAGACGAATCTGATGAAGAGGCCCTGGTCAAGAAGCTGAATAGATTGTTGGGAGGTGAGGAGATGGAGCAAGTGCCAAGAAATCCTCCATGGGTACAATGTTGCCTGTTCTCATTCTACAAACACAAAATGGATCAATGGGGAAGCAGAAGATTCCGGATTTTTGATACATGGATCAATGCTTCATGAGACAAAAAAAATAATGCTAATTGAAGTGAGAGATTAGGAAAGTAACTAAAGTAATGAGTTACTATTTCCAGTTTTGATCTTAGGTATATGTAATGATTTAGCCAGTTTTAGTAGTAGAAAATCTGTATTTTCTGCAATGTGCTGGTCAAAATTGAGTTTCTTGTGTACACTTTCGAGATCGTATTTGGGAATGTATTTGGTTTTAATAAATTAAAATCAGAGGAAAAAAATACATTTTCAATTTCAGTTTCATTTGCTATTTACAGGATTGAGATTTAGAAACTCATTTTAATTAGTGTAATAGTGTAATCACTACGTTTAACAAAATCGAAAAAAACATTGATAGAGAGTTGATCCTTAGATCATTGTGATTTGATACCCATTATAGTGTGAGAATTTAGGTTTGAGATAATTAATATTTATGTATAAGTTAATACACATAAGATTCGAATAACTAAATTGCTCGATGTGAGAATTTATTAATTTATGTATAAATTAATATTTATAATGTGAGATATTAGGATTGAGAGAATTAATATTTGTGTTGAACGTTTAGGAATGGTCATTACAAGCATGACAACCAGTGTTTTAAAAAGCGGTTTAGGCGGTCGCTTAGGTCTCGTTTAGGCGGTAGGCACTCAGGTGATGCCTAGATGACCGTTTCGGCCGCCGAAAATCGCATAAATTTTGTTCAAGTGTATTAATATTTAGTGATAATAATAAGTATTATATGTTTTCAAAAATATCAAAATTAATTAAAAAGATTGCTAAATTAACTACAACTATTATAATTATTAAAAAAATAAACAAAAACAAAAAAACTATATTGATAAAAAAATCAAGTAAAAATAAGCAAAACATAAGCAAAAAACTTCAATTTTTTATATATTATTAGATAAGAATTACATATTAAATCTATATATTTTATATAATTAATTGGATGCTCATAACTTAATTGACATACAAATTTGTTTGTTTCTATTGAATGATTTTCTTATACAACTAATTGTTGATAAGCGAGATAAGGGTAAATCAAAGCCCAAAATGTGAAGGATCCATGATGATGATCGATAGAATAAAAGAGGTTGAAGAAAATAATTGTTTGTTTTTATTAAGTTAGTAATTTTGTGTTAAGAAATTGAAGTCTCGTTGTTGTTAGTAATTGAAGTCTTCAACGAGACTTCAATTTATTAACATATAATGAGTTAGTAATTTATTAAGTTAGACTTCAACGAGACTTCAATTTCTTATTATATAGTCTTGTGTTAGTAATTTTGATTTTTAAGTTTCTTTTATATAAGAAATTGAAGTCTCGTTGTTGTTGGGATGATCTAGTTTCTTCTTTGGTTACAATCTAGGTTTAGTTCTATGATCTCTTGTTTAATTAATTATGATTTGTGGTTTAGTTATTTCATCTTTGTCGTTTCTATATGTAAGGCTTTAGCCACTTTATGAAAACTTAATCAAAAACAAACAATTATTTTCTTCAACCTCTTTTATTCTATCGATCATCATCATGGATCCTTCACATTTTGAGCTTTGATTTACCCTTATCTCGTTTATCAACAATTAGTTGTATAAGAAAATCATTCAATAGAAACAAACAAATTTATATGTCAATTAAGTTATGAGCATCCAATTAATTATATAATATATAAAAAATAAAGTTTTTGCTTATGTTTTGCTTGTTTTTACTTGATTTTTTTTTTGTCAATATAGTTTTTTTTGGTTTAATTGTTTTGTAATTATAATAGTTGTAGTTAATTTAGCAATATTTTTAATTAATTTTGATGTTTTTGAAAACATATAATGAGATAGTGAAACTTTTCTTTTAAATATATGATTTAATTCTCTCTTTTAACCAAAAAAAACATTCAATTCACTCTTTATCAAAACAAATGTTCAATTCTCATTTCGGATTAGTGTATGATTAGTAATAATTCAAACCTATCTTGCAAGGTAGATTGATCTTTCCTTAAGGATTATGTTTTGGTCTTATAGTAGAGGTTCGGTGGATTGCCGGAGACGTTGAAGTTGAAGACGGTGGCGTCTTGGAGGATAAAGCGTGGTTTTTATGGTTGAAAGATTGCCCAAACTAGGAGAATTACGAGAAGGATTATGAAAAAGATTATTATTATTGGCCAGATTACACGGAGGATGATTTTACGGTTGCATGATGATGAGTGGCTGTGGTGAGAGCCACAGTCTTTTGAGGTCATATCGGAGCTCATTGACGGTGGTGTGGGAGGTTTGGTGGTAGAGAGAAAATGAGAAAGATATGCTTAAGTACTCTCGGTGGCCTATCATATAAAAGAAGTGTATATAGTCTTTGTAGAAAATTTATTTTAATAACGAGAAAGTATGGATGTAAAGTATTAATTATGTCTCGAGCTATATAATCTCTAAATACTGTAATCACTAATAATTATTGTTTGATGATATAACAATCTGACCGACTATGTGATCATAATATTGTTTCTCTGATCTCATGGCATTTGTTTGGAGTTTGGAATGTAATCTTTCTCCAGATATCTAATAACAATATGATCGTCTACCGACCATTTGATTCAATTTCGTATATAGATTTAATAACTAATTCTTATCTAATAATATATATAAAAAAAGTTTTTGCTTATGTTTTGCTCATGTTTTGCTTATTTTTACTTGATTTTTTTTTGTTAATATAGTTTTTTTTTTTAGTAATTATAATAGTTGTAGTTAATTTAGCAATCTTTTTAATTAATTTTGATGTTTTTGAAAACATATAATGAGATAGTGAAACTTTTCTTCTAAATATATGATTTAATTCTCTCTTTCAACCAAAAAAAAAACATTCAATTCACTCTTTATCAAAACAAATATTCAATTCTCATTTTGGATTAGTGTAGGATTAGTAATAATTCAAACCTATCTTGCCTGGTAGATTGATCTTTCCTTGAGGATTATGTTTTGGTTTTATCATTCATGTTTATTTGTATTTATGGAACTGGAAGTGTCTTAGAGTAGAGATTATGGTCTGTTATGTCTTTGACATTGTTTCTCATTCTTTGTTTCCTCTGAAGATTATACACATTTCCAAAGTTTATAAAGATAGTTGGTATATCTTTGTTTGGGATGGAACTGAGATGCCACCGTGCAACAACATCTTGGTTAAGTAAGTCTGAACTGAGATGCAAGCCTTTAGTCCTCAAAGGTTTCTTCTGACGCTTTTTCTTTAATGTGAGTTGATGTTAATAGAGTTTGTACTAAGATTAACAAAATGTGTGGTAATGAATAAAACAAGTGATTATTTATTTACATAGAACCACACAATAAAATATTACATAAGAAAAGTATCTCTCCAATAACAATAAAATAAAACAATCTAAACCCAAAAATAAGAATCAATAAACAAGTGTAATATGATGAATTCGAAGACTATATAAATAACATTGACTTTGGCTAGTATCAAAAGTCAACGTCACACTTGGTCGGCTGAAACACAAACCCGCTGGTTGAATTAGAGGTAAGAGGAACCTTGAGATCACACTTGACCTTTGGCTTGAACCTCCACGACTTGATCAACCCAAACTTAAACCTAATCCTAAGTCTCAGCTTCGCATCGATCCTATAGATCTGAGAATTCACATCCTCGTTCAAATCCTTCCTCTCTCCGCCGTCGAGCATCACCAACTGCTGTCCGGAGAGTTTAGTACCAACCACTGTCGTGTTCTTATGTCCCTGGTAAAACTTCGAGATGTTGTTACTCATGCCAAATCGCTGATCACCGTAGTATCCTCTGACTTCGATTTCATCATAGTAAACACCGATCCGTCGATTAGGGTTACGGATTGTGAAATTGAGGTCGAGATTGTATCGGAGGTTGTTGGCTGGGTCGAGTGTGAATTCGGTGAGCTTAGCATCGGTGACGTGGAATTTGATAGCGTTTGGTCGGAAAATGAGCCAGATGATCAAAGCAGCTATGCCTAATAAGACGGCTATGGTTATGAGGATGTTGAAGATGACGCTTAAGATACAGCAGCCGCAGCAGCCAAGACAGTCACCTAAACAACCGCATCCACCGCCGCGTCTGCCGTGGCTGTGAGAGACTTTCTTCGGCGGTGGAATCGATGGTCCGTAATACGCACCGTTTAAGTCCGCCATGTGTTCGTTAAAATGCCTCAGAGAAGAAATTAGAAAGAAAGTTTTTGCTTTGTAGAGAGATTTTGAAAAAGTAATTATGATTTGAAGTGAAGAAGAAGATGGGGTATATATAACAACTGTAGTCTGTAGAGATAACGTGTATTAGATAAAACGATTTAATTAGACGCGGTTTTGTTTTTTCAAAGTCAAAGATGACGCGGCGGTTTAATATTGTAAGATGAATTTGATTAAGTAGAGGTTACTTGCGAGATGCGACACCGTGTTATTAGATATTTACGATTAACAGTTTGATATACATTAAAGATTGATTCTTCTCCAATTTGACTATGTAAACTTTGGTTAAGCTCAATGAGATTATTTTCTTTAATCTATATATAGATGATTTGGTGATTAATTAATGAGGTTAGTATGAACCGCGTACAAAAATAACTATATGTAAATATTAATTCTTTTTGCAAGTGTGAATATTTCTATGTAAGATATGTATATGTGGGAATGTGATGATACTTAGTGCGGTGGTTGGTTTGTGAATTGTGAATTAGAGTCATTTTTACGATGTAATACAATTGTGAATAAGCTTCCGAGAAACTTCCCCAAAAGCGACTGCTCTAAGATATAGAGCCATTGTTTTCGAAACTTGACGAAAGACTTTTGAGCAAAGACTTAGAATATGGGGGTAAAATACTGTATCAATAAGCCTCTACAAGTTCGAAGATTACAAACCAGTGCCAGTCCAGAATTCCGAAATTATATATTAATAAATGATACAAATAAAAAACTTTGATTTATTGGTTGCAAGTTGAAACTGAGGTGGGTTTCCAAATGTTTCTTTTATGGGAAAATATGAGAACAATTCTATTAAGAAAAGTTATTTATCAATTAATGAAAATGTTTAATGTGAAAGATTTCTCAATTTCAAAGAAAATTTAACATTGCAAAGACTTGTAATATTTTAATGCTAAAAGCAAGGAAAACTAAGGGAGGTTGGTTTTGAAGTTAGATGATGTGACCTGTAATTGTAAACGAAGATTAGGTGAAGACATGTTTTCAAATGTTACATCTTTCTTAAATGAGAAAAGTCAAGCATATATAATAAAGAATAATAATACTAGATCGCAACTATGGAGAATTTATAAATAATGTAATATTTAAAAGTATTCTTATAATAATATGATATGTATTACGTAATGTTTTTAAAAAATAAAAAAAATCAAGGTAGTCCTTGGTAGGAAGTTTGTATCTCTTATAACCATCGTCATAAGTAAATACGGTAATTAAAAAAAAAAACCTGGTTAACACATTTAAAAAAAAACTTTAATTGAGTTTCATGCGGTGTCAATGTCAACGTGTCATAATTAAGCATTAAAACAAAATGAACAACAATATTTCATTCTACGGTTTGAAGGTTATGCTTCACTTTTCTTTCAAACAAAAAAAAGAGAGGTTAAGTTGCATATTTCTCTTGATGAACAAATTCAATTATTCAACTATTATGAATCTTATGCCTATGTTCAAGCCTTTATACATTGCACGCTTAATGAGATCATGTATTCTAATATGACTTAAAACGGCAAAAAGGAAAGTTTATGTGGTAATTGTGTGTTTTTATCATATGGCGGATTGTATATTCAAGTATTCATGGGAGTAAAGTATCTCATCATGCTGATTACGTTTAATAAATTTCTAGTTCAAAGTATCGAATACTTTCAATTATAAATATGTTTTATACAAATTAGATTCGGCGGCGTGTATATCACAAAGGAAAGTAACCAAACACGTGGGAGAGTTAGTAGATAAATGGGACTAAGATTAACACAAAGAATTGAAGTCGTTCACAAACACATCTAATATTAGTTGGTAACGATCATTGCGGTACACTCGAATTAAACCTCGCTCTTACGCTATATTTTGAATGTTCTTATATCGCGTATTTTTTTTTTAGGTAAGATACTGAAATATATATACACATATCGAAGATAATAATAATAATAACAGCACATGTAGTGAATCATTTCGTTAGTTTCTTCTCTCGGAGAAAGTGGATTCCAGCTGGAGAATTACGCCTAAAAATCTCTTGCAAAAGAGGCAACCTTCTTTTCTTTCTTCGGGTAAATAGTCGAAACAGTTGGTTATATAAGATGTCTGTAAAAGAGAAAGATAAACCAAAAAAATATTCTTTAATTGACTTTAGGGTGATTTAGGTGAATAACCCAAAAAAAAAGAAAAATTAGTTTTTTAGAAAGAAGGTAGAGAAAGATAGGAAGAGAAAGAGAGTGAATAGGGGGGTTAGAGGTTAGATATTTAATTTTGTTGTTTTTTTAGGTTATATTTCTCTTGACTTTATTATAAACCAAAAAAAAAAAAGATGAATATTGATGAGATTCGTACGTAGGAGAAAAATACCTTAATTCTTGTAAAATAAGCAACATGATTCTGCTTTTTCTCATTTCAAGATCCAAAAAACATTTAGGAGACAAACTAACCAATATATTAATGAATAAAGGTTTTGATCAAGGTTTTTTCCTTTGAATGTACTTAATTTGCTGTAAAAGGACCCAACTTTAATGGGAAATTGAAAAACTATGAGATTGGGTCTTGATTCTGGTTAGTTTAGAAAGAAAAAAAAAACTCAGGAAAGAAAAAAGATAAGACATCTATGAAGTCTAGACATTAGACTAAGACAATGACACCGTAACACAACGTCCACAAGCATTAACGAATGGTTATCATTCGATTAGATATTTCTAAAATTCAATTGTCGTCATCACTCTGGATCAGCACAAAATCAGTCAATGAAACAAGAGAAGATACATTATCATTATGTAGAAAACAATACTTAGTTGAATGATCCATCATAAATTGTTACCAATTGAAATAAAATAAAACTTTGTTTTTGTCTTTTACTATATTGAATCTCTTTACAGCTCGTCATAACAATAACGCAACCGATTGCAATTCTTGATATTATTTCTCTATGACGTAGAAAAAAATTATATAACTTAACTGCTACGAAATTATAAAAATATATTACGTAATTAATAATGAAAAATCTGTGACCTGATAGCACTATCACCGTTAAAGTCTTTGTTTTTTCAGACACTAACACTACAAGTTGTGGTGAGCGTGTACTTAACGGCGTTATTTCCGACGATAACTCCGGAAGCACTATTTCCGAAGTTGATAAACGCCGGACATCTAACGTGGAGATGATATTTTCCGGTGATGAAAGAACCGACTTTCCAACGAACTCTGCCGTCGAGATGAAGCACCAACATGATCGCGCCACGTGTATGGTCCTGATCGAGATACAAGGCGTTGTATGGAGCCACGGGGACAGAATATCCACCGACGAAAGGAGACCAAACGTTGACTTCTTTGTGTCCTTGATAAGTGGTAGGCATCGAAGTCGGAAAAGTGATCTGTTGGCTCCGGTAAGAAGCATAGACGTCAAGACGGTCGTAGTAGATTCCGATCTTGTCGTTTGGGTTACGAGAGGAGAGAGTCATTTGGAAATTTGAGGTGAGGAGGTTCGGTGGATTGCCGGAGACGTTGAAGTTGAAGACGGTGGCGTCTTGGAGGATGAAGCGTGGTTTTGATGGTTGAAGGATTGCCCAAACTAGGAGAATTACGAGAAGGATTATGAAGAGGATTATTATTATTGGACAGATCACACGGCGGATGATTTTACGGTTGCATGATGATGAGTGGCTGTGGTGAGAGCCACAGTCTTTTGAGGTCATGTCGGAGCTCCGGTGACGGTGGTGTGGGAGAGGTTTGGTGGTTGAGAGAAAGTGGAAATATATCTTAAAGTACTCTCGGTGGCCTTTATATAAAAGAAGTGTATATATAGTCTTTGTAGAAAAATTATTTTAATGGATCAAACACCTTACCAAATGATCAATTACACAAATGAAGATTTTAATCACTTTTATCTTAAAAACTCCACTTAAGAATCTCCGTTGGAGGTTGTCTAAACTTAAAAAATGCATAGAAACAAAAAGTCGTTCACAAACACATCAAATATTAGTTGGTAACGAATCGTTACTAACGATCATTGCGTTATGCTCGAATTGGACCTCGCTCTTATGCTATATTTTGAATGTTCTTATATTGAACTTTTTTTGGGTAAGATACTGAAATATATATACATATCGAAGATCAAATAACAGCACATGTAGTGAATTATTTCGTAAGTTTTTTCTCTTGGGGAAAGTGGATTCCAGCTGGAGAATTACGCCTAAAAATCTCTTGCAAAAGAGGCAACTAATTCTTTTCGTTTTTTCGGGTGATAGTCGAAGCAGTTGAATATAAAGATGACTATAAAAGAGAAAGATAAATTGACTTCATTATTAACCAAAAAAAGATGAATATTATATTATAGAATATTCATGAGATTCGTACGTAGGAGAAAAATACCCTAATTCTTGTAAAATAAGCAACATGATTCTGCTCAAGATCCAAAAATATTTATGAGACAAAATTACCAATAGATTAGGAATACATGATCAAGGTTTTCCTTTTAATGTACTTAATCTGCTGCAAAAAGCCAACTTGAAGATCTAAACTATATATCATGGAAAATTGAAGAACTATGAGAATGGGTTTTGATTCTGTTTTAGAAAAAAAAAGACGAGACATCTATGAAGTCTATACACTAGATCTAATGACACCGTAACACAACGTCAACAAGCATTAGCGAATGGTTCTCATTCGATTAGATCGATATTTCTAAAATTCAATTGTCGTCACTCTGGAATCACCACAAAATCATAGTCAATGAAACAAGAAAAGATACATTATCATCATATAGAATTCAATATTTAAATTAAATCATCCATCATCAATAAAAATGAACTTTCTTTGTCTTTTACTACTATTACTGTATTTCTTTTTGAATCTTTACAGCTCGTCATAACAATAAGTCAATAACACAACCGATTGCAATTCTTGATATTATTTCTCTATGCCGTTAGGAAAAAAAATACCACCGTCACCGTTAAGTCGTCGCTTTTTCAGACACTAACAGCATATGCAAGGGGGGAACACTTGGTGTGTTCTTAAGGGTTTTAAAATAATAAAAATGTTGAATAGTGGATACAACTGTTCTTAAAATTATAAAAACTGTTCTTCCTGAAGAACAGTTTGCAGGATAAGTTGTTCTACCACTGTTCACCTTATTTCCTATTTTTAAATCCTAAGAACACACTCAAAAGTTCCCCCCTTGCATATGGTCTAACACTGCAAGTTGTGATAAGACGTGTACTTAATGGCGTTATTTCCGACGATAACTCCGTGACGCAGAGGGAAGTAGAGAACAAGAGCTTTTCGTAGATCAATGGATTATAAGAAGAACTTGTTGCTAAGAACTCTTGATTTCTTGTAAAGAAAGCAAGAGGAAGTTTAAAGACTTGGTATAAAGGAAAACCTTTTTTTTTTTTTTTTGTAAAACTGGGAAAAAATCTTATTCTTTATTAATCAAAAACTAATAAGTGAATAATGAATCATACAAAGCTTTAAATAGTTGAGATTTGAGAAAACCAGAAAACCCTAGCATAGAAAAGAAGTAAAACCGAATAAACAGAACCGAACCCGAAATTAAACCGAAATGACCACCCCTACTAAAACGGACAAAAGTATGAAGAAAGCCCAATACAGAACATAAGCTAAAAAGGAGTTAAAGCCCAAAGATAAGAGACATGAGGTCTCGTTCTGTTGTTGCTTCACTCCGGCAGAACAATTGCCGAAGTTGATAAACGCCGGGCATCTAACGTGGAGATGATATTTTCCGGTGATGAAGGTACCGACTTTCCAACGAACTTTGCCGTTAAGATGAAGCATCAAATTGATCGCGCCAAGTGAATGGGCCTGCTCGAGATTCACGGCGTTGGACGGAGCGACGGGAACGGAGTTTCCACCGACATAAGGAGACCAAAAAACTTCTTTATGTCCTTGATAAGTCGTAGGCATGGCAGTCGCAGAAGTGATCAGTTGGTTCCCGTAAGAAGCGTAGACGTCAAGGCGGTCGTAGTAGATTTCGAACTTGTCGTTAGGGTTACGAGAGGAGAGAGTGATTTGGAAACTTGAGGTGAGGAATTTCGGTGGATTTCCGGAGACGTTGAAGTTGATGACGGTGGCGTCTTGAAGGATAAAGCGTGGTTTTGATGGTTGAAGGATTGCCCAAAGTAGGAAAATTACGAGAAAGATTAAGAAGAGGATTATTATTATTGGCCGGATTACACGGCGGATGATTTTACGGTTGCATGATGATGAGTGGCTGTGGTGAGCACCACAGTCTTTTGTGGTCATGTCGGAGCTCCGGTGATGGTGGTATGGGAGCTTTGGTGGTAGACAGAAAGTGAGAAAGTATCTTAAATACTCTCTCGGTTGCCTTTATATAAAAGATGTGTATATAGTATATATACTATATAGTCTTTGTACAAAAATTATTTTAATAACGATATGATAATGTATAGAAAGTATGGTAATGTTAAGTATTATGATTTTGGTAATGAAATATTATGAATGGATTATGTATACTTAAAAAACTGATATGATACTAGTATATTAATATTGTGCGATAGAAAAGGAATTTAACGAACGTTTTAAAAAATGTCATCAAAATGTTAAATCCGTATAATTTTAGTAAAAATAACATTTTCAAAAGATTTTGATGAAAAATGGCAAAATCAACAATAATCTCTATATTGTAGCATTACTTTTTCCTTTTCATCATAATCTTTTGAAAATGTTATTTTTGAGGAAATAGCTCAACTTGTTTAGTCTCCACATTGTATCTTCTTCGAACCTCTCAATTTGTTTTTGAGGAAATGAATATCCGATATGTACCAAAATGGTGTTTCTTTCTTTAAAATTTATGTTGCACGACATCATACTAAACTCTTCGGAATTAATCACAAAAAAACTCACATTTTAAGTATTGCAAGTGTCAATTATTTAAATTCTACGTTTTCTTGTTATAACTAATTAGGCTTTTATTTGGGTCAATACCTCAATGGCCTTTTGGGTCAATAGCTAAGGGTGAAAACGACGGCGTTTTAATGTCTGAGCGGGTAAGGGTAGTGTCGTAATAATATCTTTTTTTATCACTTGTGAGAAAATGGAAACCAATCACCGATTGTTGTGAGCCGGACGAAGGAGAGGAAGCCGCCTAAGAAGTTGCCGTCGTCATGGCCGTGAAGGCTTCTGGATTCATCGGGAAATCAGCAATCTCAGTTCATCTAGATTTCTCTTCGTTTCCTGTGAAATTCTCATGCTTTAAACAGTTTTCTGTATCTACTCCAAAGCCACTGGTCGTTTTATCCGTGGCCTTATCGCCGCCGGCAAGAACAGTTGAGTCTCCGCCGGTTGGTTACCGGAAAAATGTTGGGATTTGTCTCGTTGGCCCATGTAGAAAGGTAACTTCTTTCTTCTTATATCTGATTTTGGAACAATTTGTCCACTTGATTGGGATTTGAAATGGTTTTTGGTTTTTCAGATTTTTACGGCATCAAAGATTCACATTCCGGATACATGGCAGATGCCTCAGGTCAATCTTCTATAAGCTCTCTCTTGTTATTACAAAATGGGTTTATTATATAGTCTTTTGGTTTCTGAGTAATTTAATTGCTTTGGAGAGCTTAGTTCTCACTTCTCACCAAACAACAGCTCCTTTGTAGTGCATTGAGTGACAAAGTTCCTATCTCTATTGCTAAAGAGGTGTTGAATTGCACAGTTTAAGGGATTGCTTTTTTGAACATACAAAATTTTAAACTATGGTAAGAGCCAAATAAATGCCTTGTCAATTAGGATCTCAAAACTGCAGTGATGGTATGAGAAAGTGAACATTACTAGTTTATGATCCTTTACGGTTTCAATTTTGGCCATATGTTTATTATCTTTGCTTTTACAGGGTGGAGCTGATGAGGGAGAAGATTTGAGAAACGCTGCCTTTAGAGAACTGAGAGAAGAAACTGGGGTTACTTCGGCGGAATTCATTGCGGAGGCACGCTTTTGACATCTCTATCTCATAGTAAATTATTAGATCTATTGCAATAAGATTCCTTTGATCCTTTCCAAGGTTTTTGGATTTGAGTTTGAATTGCTCTGTATCACCAAACTGAGCTTTTGACTATTTTAAACGTCTAGATACCAAACTGGCTGACCTATGATTTTCCCCGAGAAGTGAAGGAGAAACTAAACCGGAAATGGCGAACAAGTTACAAAGGCCAAGCTCAGAAGTGGTAACAACTAAGCATATAGTCTCATATATCTGCGGAAACAATGTCAAAGCTGCAAATACAGGATCTAACCTAGTGTTCATGATGATTGTCTAATACAGGTTTCTCTTCAAGTTCACGGGCAAGGAGGAAGAGATAAATCTCCTTGGAGACGGTACTGCAAAACCAGAGTTTAAGGTGTGGTCGTGGATGCTACCGGAACAAGTGATTGAACATGTGAGTGAGTCCTTGGCTTAAAGTACTACTGTGTTTGTGTGTGCTTGAAATTTGTCGGCCTTAATCATTCATTCATTCTTTCTCTGACAGGCTGTGTATTTCAAACGACCTGTCTATGAGCATGTCATAAAGCAATTCAACCCTTATTTTGTGGATGAAGAAAACGATTCCATGAACTCGTCTAAGGATTGAATGTGCACAGAGATTCAGCAAGTGAATAGTGATTAGGAGAAATCAATCAATTCATTATACAGGTTTCTCTTGAACCTCATCAAAGATAAAAATGCATGAATCTCTTCATGTTCAGACATTGATCTTGTAGTTTGATGCTATATCAATATTTTTATGTGTAGACATTCTTATCTTTGGTTATAAATCCTCACGAATATTAGGTAATTCTGACACAGCTCAATCCAATTTACTATCAGTTTTAAACTCCCTAACAATCTTATTCTTAGAGGTCATGTCTTATATAATCTCTCCTGAGCTAGTGAAAGACCTTTCGGATACTATTGGTACCTTTCCTCTCTTTTACCGATCAATCAAACCACGTCATAGTAGTTGCCTGCATCCTTTTGCCTTGTGTCCTCCATCGACCCTAATTTGTTGACCCTTGGTGTGTGTGTGAGGCTCATCCGATTCCGTCTGAATGTAATATCCAGATGCTGCAAGGATATAAAAACATGTTTATTTTGCTTCGTTGAGGATTCATAAAGTATAAAGAAATGACTAACCGGTAAGAATCTGTTCATCCTGCTGACAAGTGGGTATGGAGGGTTAGTAGTACAGTTGGTTGGTACGTTCCCATCAACCACAATCACTTGGTCTGCCATATAGGTCGCCATTGTTAAGTCATGCTCCACAACAATAGCGGCTCTCCGCATGCGTAAAACATGCCGCCTTATGGCCATTGCAGCGTTGATTCGCAGCTCTGAGTCTAGATACGCACCTGGCTCATCGATCAGGTAGACACTTGCGGGCTGTAAGGAACAAGTTTTTCAAATAAGTAACAAGTGTTGTCAAACTTTTGATCTTTATAATTGTGAAGTGTAAATTACTCACACTCCCGAGGCAGATAGTTAAGGCAACCCTCTGTGTTTCTCCAGGCGAGAGTGACTCCACTTTTCGATCCAGCAACTGCTCGATCTGAAGCGGTTTCATCACATCTCTTACAAAGGCAGGATGCATGTCTTCCAAATGAAGGCTCAATTCTGGCATTTGACTGACTGTACACTCACCCCTCCAGCCAATTATTTGCGGTTTGTATGAGACACGAAACTTCGGCTTCCACAGTTGTAATCCTTCTACATAGTTGGGTGGCACGATATCAGCCTAGAGAAGTTGAGAGAAATCTTTGTTAAAGAATCTAGAGAGAGTATATAAACGATGAAAGGCATTGAACTCAACCAGCAATTGGAGGAAGGTGGTCTTCCCTGAACCGTTCTCTCCCAGCACTACAGAAACCTGACAGTCAGTGAACTCCCCTTCCATCACTTCCAGCTTGAAATCCCCAAGGGTCATGATTGCTGCAGTCTTCTTACAGGAAATCTTTAATACAAGTCAAACGCCCATTTCCTTCTTTTTTTAAAAGATTTTTACTTGAGATAATAACTAAAATAATTTGATGACAAAAAAAAAAAAAATAATAATAATTTGACCAAAAAAAGGAAAAAACTAAAAAATGACCTTAAATTAAATCCCATGTGGCTTTTATTTTTTCCTCTCTTAAATCTTTTGCCGGCGTTTCCTTTCCTCAGCACCACCACAAAACCGGCGTCGTTTTTGGCCGATTTGGTTTAAAAGCATCTAAACCGGTTTAGTCAAGCTCCTTAACCGAAAACAGTTTTCTCGCCGCTCTGCCGCCACCACCTCGTCTCCGTTATTAGGTATATTTCTGCGAGATTGTTTATCTCTTAGCTTCAGGAGAAGCTAATTTGAAACTGCTTCTGGGTTTATACGTAGCTCAACAAATACTTAACAAATGGTTCGCTCCAAGGCTCCTGCAAAGAAGCAGCAAAAGAAAGGAATTGATTTCAAGGTGCGTCTTCTCTTCGAGTTTCCATGAATCTTCTTCTTCAAGTGTTTGATGAATTGTTCTAATGATTTTTTTTTTGTTTTTTATTTGGCAGAAAATTAAGAGAAAGCTCGGGAGAAAATTACCTCCACCGAATAATGCAACTAACACTGAGATTAAATCCAAAGGTATCTGCTTTCTCCTGCTCTTCAAACTTCCCTTATTAGCTTCTCTGCTTATGGTTGAAAACTACTTTTGTTTATGTTGCAGCAATTATACTTCCTGAGCAAAGTGTGGCTGCTGAAAAGAGTGGCTTAGCTACAAGTAAGAAAGGCTTGACCTTGAAGGAGCTTCTGCAACAAACTTCACATCACAATGCCAAAGTTCGCAAAGGTACTTCTTTTTTTCTTTCTTACGTTTAATTACATGTTTTTGGTTTAGGAAAATATGAAACCTGCTACGTTGTTGTTCCGTGGATCAATGTTTGTTTTCTCGGTGTAGATGCAATATATGGTATCAAAGACCTTTTTAAGAATCATCCAGAAGAGCTGCAGTCACATAAATATGCTATCATACAGAAACTCAGGGAACGCATTAGTGATGATGATAAGCTAGTGAGGGATGCTTTTTATCAACTATTTAAAATTGACATCTTTCCTGCTTGTAAAGAGGTATGATTAATTTCTTTTTCCACTTGTTATTTCATCGTTATTCTTACTGGTTCCGCTTACATTGGTTTCTCTTAGTTTGTTGTGTTAGTCCCCTTTTATAATATGAGCTGCAAGATGTGAATTTGAAATTATTATGGTTTCTAGTCTGTTGGTTATGCATACTATATTGATGTGATCATGTCTTTTATAGTTTACTGTCATATCTAACGGCCGTTTCTATGTGTGAATCTATCAGGATAACCAGGGCCCTATGGTGTCACTTCTGATGCCATACATATTTAGCGCTATGGCTAATTCAGTTATTGATGTTCGTTTGATGGCTTTCAAATTTTTCCACCTTGTTGTGGAGAACTACCCGCCTACCTTTTCCTTGGATGCTGAAAAGGTGTCTACTTTGATTTCTTGGAACATGACAGAGACTGTTACATTTCCAACTTTTGCCTGTAGTATTTTTTTCTAAAACTATTAGTCTTGCATGATGTCCCTTGAAATTTCATCTGCTGTATGCAGATTCTCGAAAACTACAAGGATATTATACAGAAAAATCATTTTTATGTGCAAGATAAAAGCAAGCTAAAGGTAGCGCTTTCTGGGTTGGCACATTGCCTCTCGCTGTTGCCATGTGATGAGAGCGACACCGAATCACAAAAAAAGGTATATAATCACTTTCATTCCGAATGAAGCCAAAGTTCTTGTTTCGTAAATGCCACGAAGTAGCATAGCAATGCATATGGTGCTGTTGTTTTTTTTGGTGTCTAGCTTGTTAGAATAACGACTATACATAATTTAGCGATATCTTTTAATTTGAGGGAATCATATAATAAAAAAATCTACCGCTCGGAGAGACTTAAATATTTTTAAATATAGATAACATTTGACATCAAGTTTCCTTGAATAAATGCAGTCTTATGAGATCCTTTTGTATGTCGTAAGATGTTTTTGATTTTTAATACTCGCCTAACCACTCTGGGAATGGGTTCTGTTTTCCCTTTTCTAACTGTTTCTTTGTACATGCCCTTATTTTCTTCTGTAGGGACCTTTACAGAATGAAACACTACTCGCCTATGAGCAAGATACTGCAAAAGATTGTGTTAGTATGTGTCATCTGTCTTCTTTTCTTATCAATAACTTATTGGTATATGGCTTGTATCATGTTTTCTTGAATCTATGCACTTTACAACTGTACAACTTGTCCGTTTTACTTTGCCCTCTTCCTCTTTAGTACGACCTCTAGATTGTCCCTGCAAAGCTTTGAAGATATAAGTTACTGTTGCCTATTTAAAATTCCATAGCCTTCATTTTTTCCCGTTGTCTCTCCTCACAATTTAATCTTATAGTTTGGATGTAGCAATGTCGCCTCTTAGATTTAATTTTCTGGATAATTTGATTGTACCCATTCATTAATTATATATATCGACAAGTTTACAGTATTCTGACCAAGTTTCTACGGGTTCTTACAGGTTTTGCCCATGTCTGTGGGAGATTGAAAGAGATTGTTGGAGTCTTAATCAATTGTTTCCAGGATTTCATTCCATTGATTCATGCTCCGCGAGGATTCGATGCAGATTCATTTGATTGCATACACCATCTACTTCGCAGCATAGGTTATGCAATCAAGTTTTCCATTCGTAGGCACATGCAAAGACAGACTGCATGGCAACCTGCATCTGAAGAAGTTACTCTGATGATATTGGATCAGGACATTGCATCAATACTGTTAAAAAACTTACTTGGTTCATTTCCCCTCAATCCAGAAAACAATCTTTATGGAAAGGTATGAATCACAACGATATATAGTAGATGATTAATAATAGCCTAGGGTTAGTAGTTAATTTGATAGTATCCCTGCCTAGTAAAGTTCTATTACTCTTCTATCAAGAATTCCCCCCTGCCATTGTTTGTATTCTTCCTATGATTATATGTTATGATTTGCTTATTTTTATATCAAACTGCCTAACACTAATTGAATGTTTTTTGACAGGGTGATGAAAGGTACTTTAGACTCAACAGTGTATTGACAGAAATCTTTTTGGAAGTAAGTGAATGGAGCCACTTTCCTACTGATATTTCCAATAGATTTCTGGAATTTATTGAGAATACACTACTAGGCAAGGTTAGCTCTCATTACTTTACATTAATATATCAACGCAAGCTGATTAGTTTTACTTGTATATTTTTTCCGTCCCTCTATCTGCATTGTATCTGATAAGCTGCTAATTTCCTTGCAAATCTAGAAGGGGAAAAAATATCTCACTGGTATTTGCGAACATTTATTTTGCAGATCACCAGGAGCATTAGGCTTAGTAAAGATATTCACGAAAAGACTTTACTTGCACTCTTTCCCTTTGTTCCAAAACTTATTCTGAGGGTGGACCGTGATTGGAGAGATAATCTTCTGCAGGTTCGTCTAAGATTCTTAAAGTAATTTCAGCTAGGCAGGAGGATATATACTTGCTCAGTTCCTTTGATAGCTAGCACTAGCAGTAAGATCATCTATATTTATATATGATTGTTGGTATTTCGTTTATATTTTTCAGGCATTTACTATTGCCTTCAGCGATTGCAAACCAGAGTCTGAACTCAAATTAGCCTGCATTTCAACTGTTAGAGACATGATTATCCCTGTAAGTAATTTTTTCATGATATATTCAGTCTAGATATTGGCTGACTGTTTCAACCCTATTCTAAATTTTTACCCACATTGAATCCTAAATTTATTTCTTGTAATATCTGCAGAATGGAGATATCTTTTATCCCAATGCAAGTGATCGAACGGTAAATAACTACCAGGTGGCTTGGGTCAACAAACTTCCATCACTGCTTAATCAGTTGGGTGATAAGCATCCCGTATCTACCCAGGTGCTAACATATGACATACAGTTCATTGTCAATCCAGTAATCTTTGATCATTCAAGGCGAAAATCTTTTATACATGGACCCGTTTTTTAACCAAATAAGAGCACTTCTCCATTTCTCATTTCTACCGATTTTGAAATTAACTTCAGGTTGTTTTGCAACTCTTACTCGACCTTGGGCGAGTTGGGTATCTGAATACTTCTCCCACATGGGAAGATGACATCAGAAACTTCTTCAGCCTTTGTCAGGGAGAAGGTGCAATTCTTGCTGCAAAACAAAAAACGTGTTATTAGATTCTTAGTGTCACTAAACTGAAATAGGGCTTCTCGGTTTCTTCATCTCTTAAATTGTACAGGTGATGTGCCTGGTGGACCTTTTGCAAGTCTCCCTCGGGAAGCCCAAGAACTGGCTCTCTGTTTCCTTTACTACTTCACCACAGACAAATTCAGCTCCCCTATGATGAATGCAATAATTTCATGCTGTTTATGTGAGTATCACTTTTATTTCCTGATGCTTTTATTTAACTTTAAAAGTGGCTTCTGTTGATGATAGAATGCAAGAAAAGGGTAGTTGACTCGACTCAATGTAAATTGCAGATCCACAACTTGAACCAGCTGTGTTGTATCGGATAGTGGAAATTCTTCACACTGCCTATAGAGCTGGATATATCCAGATTACAGATCATTTTGGCTTCCTTATCACCTTAATTGCACGTTTCAAAGTTGTCCCAGGTACCTCCTAGATTTGTTTTTCTCTTTTGGGCTTAAGAAAAATACTTTTGAACTTTTTTGAAGAAATTGGTTTTGAGCTTATTTGAGAGATAATCATGCTTTTATGTTTTGTGATAGCTTACCTTGTGGTTTTATGTGCATGCAGAGAAACTGCAGTCACCGATAGAGTGTAATGAGCGGGAGACATATTGTGGCACATTTAAAGAAGTTACAAAGCTTGTGTGCTCATGCTTGTCAGAAATGGGTGATAGTTCTCTTGTCCTTCAGATTGTAGAGAAAGTTTTACTCGAACAAATAGTAAGTTTGTCTTTTGATAATGCTATATCTAAATGGTTATACATTCTCATTTAATAGCACTGCAAATACTTAATGAGATGTTGTTCTTCTTGGTATAGATTTTGAAGCCTGCGTTGGACAATGGGTGTGCCATACTCAGGATGATCTGCGTGTTGGACTCTACCCCTACCAGACTTTCTGAAAGGAGTGTAACCACTCTAAGTGAGTTCTTACCGGGATATATGATCGACATAGTCAATGTAAGCATTTCCCTTCTAGAAACTTTGCTGGGTCCTAAATGTTTCATTATAATCCTGGGTTTGACACATCTCTTGCGCTCTTCTTGCAGTGTATACCAGAAGATAAGGAGAACTCTTACCTTTACATACAAACATGTCTCTACTATTTAGTACCTTGCTATTTCTTGTTCAACCGGAGCTCCAAACTCACAGAACAGGTTCTGATAAGAATGCGATCAATGATTAGTGAAAACACAAATGCGCTAGAATTGGTACAAGACAGGGAGAGTGGTCGAAACTCATTGAATTTAATACAATGCATAATCTCTGTGATCCTGCTGATGCACAATGACGTCAAAGTTAGGAAGATAATATCATCATTCAAGTCCGAGATCGATTTGATTCTGCAGAACGTTATCACGTTGCAGGTAATCATTTTCTCCACTCTCTTATCGATATTGCAAACTGCAAAACCATGTGCTGATCACCTCTTAATTGTGTGTAGTCCTCACGAAGCACGAGCTTGACTGTAGAAGGAAAGCATATGATGAAAATTGCGGGAGAACGACTTAGGATTGCATCCACAAGCTTACTCGCATAATAAAGTTCTACAACTGTAACATAAAAAGATTTGTGCTCTCTTTACAAATGATGCAAAAGATATGACTTTTCTTGGTTGGTTTGAGAAAGAACCAATTTTGATGGCAATTATGTAGAATTTTGGTTTAATTGGAGTGAAAAGACTTATCTATCTTCAAAACTGGGATATGCTTCTTCACATGAAAAAAGGTTTTATACATTAAACCAAGCATCCAACATGCTTATACAAGCTTTGGTTCCAGTAGCCAACCTTGTTTGAACCGCAATGGGAAGATTCAAACCACGATTTCCTAACACTAAAGTAAATCTTTCAACCACTACACCATGGATTGGCCAAAATGTTCAACATAGGATTCATTTCGTCACATAGAATGTTCAACATTGGATCTTGCAGAAGACGCTACATATATTGGTACATACTACATAGACCATAGTTTAGTCAAAGACTCAAAGTTGGAACTAACTCCTAAAGAGAAAAAAAGTCGATAATATTTAGCATCATTTGTATTCTACCATCTGAAGTGATGGGCTTTTAAAGAATGATGAAGCCCATTAACATTTGATAACAAAGCCCATATCCGACCCGTTGATAAAACCCTAGCTCGCAGTCTCTGAATCTCTCTCCCCGTCCAATTTCCGTCTCTCTCTTTTTCTCTCACCGTCTGATCGCTTAGAAGCAACCATGGTTCGTTCTCCGCCGCCGGAGTTTCTTTTTTTTCTTACAGCCTTCGTTTCTCAGATATAGCAGCTTAAAGCTTTTGATCTCTGACTATTTCTGTGGTTTCTTCTTCTTTTGGTGGATGAAAAACAGCCTCAGGGAGATTACATAGATTTGCACATTAAGAGGAATGGATATCGCCTCGATCACCACGAGCGCAAGCGCAAGAAGGAGGCGCGTGAAGTTCACAAGCGCTCCGCCATGGCTCAGAAGGTTCTTACTTTCTTCTCCTTCTTCTTCTTCCATTTGCGTTTTGTTTTTTTCCAACTATTTTTGCTGATTCTTCTTATGTTTTTGCTGTGGAATTATAGTCTCTAGGTATTAAGGGTAAGATGATTGCTAAGAAAAACTATGCTGAGAAAGCTCTCATGAAGAAAACGTAAGTGTTTCCTCTTCTTCTCTGAGAATCTATCATTAGGCCAAAGTTGTTTACTAGTATAATTGAATATGGTTTATGTAGATTGAAATAAGCTAAAGCTTGTGCTGTTTCTTTGAGATTCTTACATGGGTTTGATTTTTTAACACAACAGATTGAAAATGCATGAAGAGTCATCATCAAGGCGTAAGGCTGATGAGAATGTTCAGGAAGGAGCTGTTCCTGCTTATCTTCTTGATCGTGAAGACACCACTCGTGCCAAGGTTTGTTTTTCTTTTTTTCAGTTGAGATATCTATAATTGTGAAACTTGGTGAGGCATTACATTAACAATGGTGTGTTTTTGGGTTTAGGTTCTTAGCAACACCATTAAACAAAAGAGGAAAGAGAAAGCTGGCAAATGGGAGGTCCCTTTACCAAAGGTGAAATCTCTCTGCTTTTGTATTCCTTCAGTGTTTGAACTCTAACAAATGGGTAAAGCTCAACTTCTTCTCTCTTGGCAGCTAATAGCCCTTTCCTTTTACAGGTCCGTCCAGTTGCTGAAGATGAAATGTTCAGAGTGATCCGATCGGGAAAAAGGAAAAGTACGTATTTACTTTGAAGTCCAGAATAAGCTGTTTGTTTGTTATCATTATATGTTCAAACACATATCATCATACAGAGGCTATTGATTAAGGAAATGGCTCTAGACTAGATTGAGTTTTACTTTGTGGATTGGTTTTATTAGTGTTAAATAGATGCTTACAACTACTGAAAATGCTTTCTCTTATTGCATCAATTACAGCAAAACAATGGAAGAGGATGGTTACAAAAGCTACATTTGTTGGACCTGCTTTCACAAGGAAGCCTCCAAAGTACGAGCGTTTCATCCGTCCATCTGGTCTGCGTTTCACCAAGGCCCACGTCACTCACCCTGAACTAAAATGCACTTTCTGTCTTGAGATCATCGGAGTTAAGAAGAATCCTAACGGCCCCATGTATACATCTCTCGGTGTCATGACCAGGGGAACAATCATCGAGGTTAGTGCCCAAGATCTATTCATATTAAGTTCTCACTTATGCTAAAGGTGCAAATATCTCAATATGTGAATGGATTTTTTCAGGTCAATGTGAGTGAGCTTGGTCTTGTTACACCAGCTGGAAAGGTTGTCTGGGGTAAGCGACAATATATACACAACCTTAGTGCAAAGTATAATTGTGATTTCGGTGTCTTAACTCTCTCTTCAATTTGACTTCAGGAAAATACGCTCAAGTGACAAACAATCCAGAGAACGACGGATGTATAAACGCTGTTTTACTTGTGTAACCAAATGTCCAGCACTGTCAGAGAAGTATGGATAGAGATAAGAGGAAGGCGAGAATCATGTTGGCTAGTTTTCTTTTGTTTTCTCCTGAAACAATTTTGTGTTATTTCAAGTTTTTATGAATGTGTGGTTGGTCTTCTCATCACATTAACTAGCTATGTTAGCTTTCTAAGTATCCCACATTATGAAATTTGTCGCTTCTAATGTTCATTTTGAGCCTCTTTACCGTTACTATGGGAGCTAATGTGCCTTAAGAACCCATATGACTCAACAATGAGATAAATCTGAAGGTAAACATAGAAAATCGAACCACAAGGCAAGTCAAACCAAACTTCACAATATGAACTAGACCAATCCAAAGTACGTAAATAATGATTATAATTTGATTATTTAGCCAATAAATTAAAAGAAATTGACCCAAAATGCTGCTAAATAGTGGTTTCAACATGTGTTTTGTCATTTCACTAATTAGGTAGGTTATCTTCGTCTTCGACCTATTTTCAAATATGTTAAAGAATAGGTCCAGAGACGAAAGAAACTATTAATTGGAGGATCATAATGAAAACAAGATATAAGAAAGGAAACTTGCGCGACCCAAAAATGGCAATTATGTGAAACCGACTTTGTAATTTCAATCTGGACTGTTGAAAATAATATGATCATATCTTGACCGTCAATAACTTTTGTTCCTCATCTATAAATATAGATAATGCTCCCCCTCTTGCGCAGTAGGGCTTATTTGGAAAGTGTTTAAAGATGTTGTGTTCATTCTACAAGAAAATATACAATGTCGTGGATGATCCATCATTGGATCAAATCATCTCGTGGAGCAAAAGCAACAATAGCTTCATCGTTTGGAATCTTGAAGGGCTTGAGAGAGAGGTTCTGCCGAAATCGATAGAATTTGGCAAACATTACTTAAAGTTTATGACCGAACTTAAGTTTTATGGCTTTAAAAGAATTAAGGGGTCTGCACAATGGGAATTTGGACATGAGTATTTCGTGAGAGGTCAACCTGAGCTTTTGGTGAAGATGATGTTCAAAACTGGGATGAAGAGGATTGAGGAACTTGCAGCTATACGTAGAGCAAAGAAAAAGAAAGCCAAAGCTGAAGCTGAAGCTAAAGCCAGAGCCGAAGAAGTAGAGGACCGCTTGCAGCACTTACGAATCTGATCAAAAGTCTTCTCGTTTTCAATGAATAAGGAAGCTTTTGTATTGTATCAACAACAATTTTTAGTTTGGTAATACAATTTTGGGAATTTTCAGAAACCATGTCTGTTTTGTAGCCTCTGAATTTCTTTTTCTTCTTCTATGGTTTAGTACTAATTGCCAAATTTGGTACCCTTTTGCCTATTATTAAACACATATATAAGTTTGCATCATACCATGATCAATTGTGCATATAAGAAATATATAAGTTTTACAAAGCAGTGTTCTTATTAGAACAGTTTTAGAAGTAAGGCAAACCTAGAAATACAACAGTGAGATAAGCTGGTGAAGCTTAAGCTTATCTATTAACTCGTGCTTGGTAAATCTATGACTGCCAATGGAGGTTCAAGTACTTGGAAAAGTCCTGAAGACAGCCTTCTTGTAAGGTCCTCTGCTTCAACTTTGGCGACGTCAGCTCTCATTCCAATATCAGTAGCGTATCTACTCGCACAATACACACCAATCGCAGTAGCAGCCATTCCATAAACGTTTGTAGTCACAAGCCGCATCGGCGTGGACAAAACTGCAGCAATTGGTCCACCTATAATCGACACTGCCTGACCGCTCTGTCCCATTGTCCTTCCCTCAAGAACCAGCAATCCAGTTTTACAATATATTGCAAAATCCTCACAGTTGTTCTTGAAAACGTCGTAGCATCCAAATCCGTTTTGAAGGAGGTGTTTAGCCCGGTGAACAACAATCTCATTCGGATCAGCGACAGCAAGTGTACAGGTTCCTCCTCTGGCTTTGGCGAGGAAGTGAGCAGCGTTGACCGAGTACTCAAACCGGTACAAGACACCACCGGCTAGGAAACAGTTTAGGCATGAGGAAACAACACCGTGACCTTCGTTTGGTGGAACACACGTTGGACAGTGCGTGTGGTTTCGGGATGGACCTGAGCTCACAAGTATAAGATCTAGAACAGTCCCGGTTCCAACTTCTTGGCCTCTTCTAGTGAAATGGATGACTCTATCATCTCCAACAAAGATTCCTACACACAAAAGTATTAGCAACATTAAAGACATAGCTTCCACACCATTCTCAGGTCACAACATTTGGGAATAAAGCATATCATTACACAAGCATCATATGTGGAAGCTATTTAGGGATTAAGCATATATCACTTATAATTGCTTCATAAGTGATCTTGTTCAAAAGATAAACCCTAATTCATCGATAAAGTGCACAAAATTACTAAATTTTGCCAAATTCATTAGTAGAGAGACAAAGGAATTGAAATTGATACCGTGATGAGCATATATGTAAGCAGTTCTCCAGGAGTAGATATGATCTCCAGGTTTCAAACTCGATCTATCGATTCTGTTCAAAAGATACACAAGTTTCTTGAGATATTGACCGTAAAGTAGAATAACTAAAGATTTCTCTCAGAAAATCAAAGAGGGGGTAGACGAAACCTGTTGGAGAGAAGACCCATCTCTTCTTAGTTTCTGCAGCGTCGCAGAAGAGACGAAGCAGATCTTTTTGTGAAGCTTATCTCTTCAAGGAAAAAAATGACAAAAAGCGAGAATGATTATTATGCTAAAAATGGCTTCCGTTTTCTATCTCCATAGTCCCATACTTTCCTTCGTCGTTAAGGAAAAATTAAAAGCAAGAGAGAGAGAGAGACAGGGGACAGGTGTGAACCGCGTGGCATCGTTTCTTGTTTTCAGAAAATTGGGCCTGTTTTCGATATATCTATATAATGGGCTTTTGTTATATAAAGGTCCAATTCCACATAATCTTTTTACTATGTTTTGATGTGGGCAAAGTTAAATTTATTGCACAATTAATAGAGTCAAATAATTAAGTTTATTAGTCAATAGTCAATATTCAAAGTTTGTGTTATTTATTTTATCAATGTTTTAAATAGTGTCTATGTTTTCTGAGATTTGGTATTAAATTTGTGTAATTTTATGAAAATCACACACCCTTTATTTTATTCATATTTTTTTTTTTATAAAATGTATTTGCATTATCCAGTTGTAATGATAGATTTTTGCATTATCCAGCAGTAAATCTATATAAACCGCTGCTAATAAGAATAATTATCCAGTGGTAATGATATTATCTTATAAAATATCTAATGATTATTTAAAAATAAAGAGATAAGATAATATATTATTCAAGATTGAGTTCTAGATATTAACACAACTGAATAAACAAGAACAATTATGTGGCATATTATCATTTAAAACAATATATAGAATATAATCCAAAGAAACTAAATAATGCTTAATGATAATAGTTTTTTTTATTTATCCACAAAGGTAATTGTATGTATAAATAAATATATGATTCATGGTGGTCGTCGTCATCTACACTAGCCAACGTAACCGAAACAGAAACCCAAATCAAGAGTGAAGCAGAAGACTAAAAGCCTAAAACCACAAACCCTTTCAGATTCTCTTTCATTTTTTAATCATCGATTCTTCTTTCGTTTCTGAACAAAATTCTTCCTTTGAGGAATCTGAGATTTTCTTGGCGATTTTCTCGGAAAAGTTGGCTTTTTTTATATGAATTGGTGAAACCAGAGACGAAGAGGATCGATAGATTTATGTTTTGATTGATTGATTGATCGATCTGCATTTTCTCTGATTGATTGATTGATCGATAGATTTATTATGTCTCTGAGCGGGAAACAACCGAGTCTCCGTCGAAGTCTATCAACGCCGTCGTTATGTGGCGGAGGATCTACGACGGCTGAATGTTGCGGAGGTACGACGGCGAGTTGTGCAGCCTTATGTCTATGCGCCCCTTGTAGCGTCGTGAATCTCGTCGTTCTCGCTGTGTACAAGCTCCCTCGTGGACTATGCCGCCGTGCAATCCGCCGTATACGACGGAGAAGATTAGCAAAAAAGGAGTGTTTAGAGAGTGGAGAGCTTGGTAAAGTAGGGAGTTCTCAATTCGCTGTTCACCCATTAGAGAGCAGAGATGACGAAGAAGAAGAAGAAGAAGATGAGGCTGTGATTGCGTTAGAGAAGGAGATGTGGAGCAGATTTTACAGTGGTGGTTTCTGGCGAAGCCTTTCTCAAGCTGAAACGGCGTCGTCTCCCAAAAACAATTAGAGGATTTTTATTAGTGTAGATTTGATTCAAAGTTGTAATGTAAAACCAATGTGAATTGGAGATCAATGTTTGATAAAATGTGTGTTTTGTGCAATCAAGTGTGACATTCCGATTTTTCTATGTAGCTTTCAATCATATCTTTTGAATTATACAATGTGACAAAAACTATATAGAAATTGGCGATAGATAAAAAGACGACTAGAGATCAAATTATGTATTTGTCTAAATCGAAACTAAACTCTTTGTTTTTTTTTGGTTAAAAGGTTAATATATTGCCAAAAGACTGTACATAGGAATGAATTGTTTGAGGATTTTACAAAAAAAAAATTCCTATTTAAAAAAGAGTTATCCCAAAATTAAAAGAGTTAAGAGGAATCTATTGAGTCTAAATCGAAACAAAACCTTCTGTTTTTTTGTTTTTTTTTTTTTGTGTGTGGTTAAAATGAGAGCTACCCCAAAATTAAAAAGAGTTAATAGGAATAAGTATTTGGAATCTATTGGGATGATGATTGAGAAGCTCTGAAACCAAACTTTGTTGGAGGAGTTGTTTCCTTGAACTAGGTAATTATGTTTAGCCGTACAAGTAGACGTCCACTAGGTGAAGATCTCTACTCCAACAACACTTGTAGACCCTTTTTCGGAGATATGAAAATAAATAATTTTTACAAGTCAAATCATACTCAAAAGCAAAGTTAAAAAGTGAGTATTATTAACATTAAAAACCAAATAAAAATAAAATTTGATAAAGTAATGTGAGGCATATTCATGTGCATGAATCATTTAGATTCATGGACTAAGTTAACTGTGTTGGAACAAAACTTATGGTAACGTACGTAATCATGTGTGCATATCTAGGTTACACAATAATCTATGAATGTATGATAATGAAAAGAAAAGACATATGGTTGAGTTTGGAACGTGGCATACATGCCATAATGAACAGTCTAAGTAGGATCAAACAGTGAAGCAAACAGTGGTTTCGTATACCATTAAAATCTAATACTACCAACTAAATACACACAAAACATAAATACTGATTAAGAGATGCTTTAGTTGGGATCATATAAAGAGAAGGATCCAGTAAATAGATTCGGAAGAAAGCGTGGGATATGGAATATAGCTGGTATAAGCTATATAATAGGTGTGACAGTCTAGGGCTTAGAGAGAGAGAGAGAGAGAGAGAGAGTCAGGTCAGGTGGTAAAATAATAAAGGACATTGAGTGAAAAAAGTGAATAAAGTTATGTAATTAGGGTTTCATGTGAGGCCAGAGTACAGTGTGACTCTTCGTGTAAACTGTCCTTTTCCTTCTTTCTTTACCCTTTTCTTCTGTGGGGGACCTTTAGATTTTTTTTTCCTTTACATTGATTTCACAGAGTTCCTACCACAACCATTACTTTCCTCTCCATATTTATTGACTCTTCTTTTATTTCCTCTTTTATCACTTTTTATAAATACAGATTTGTTTAGTTTCAATTGTCATACACATGAAAGGCAGATGTGATAAGACAATTCTCCATGGATTTTGCTATGCGTTGAATCCCATGCAATTTTGTCTTAAAAATGTTTTTCTATAACATTAAGGTAAAGAAAAATTAAATACTCTCCTACATTTTAAGTCTTTTTCACTTCTCATATTGCAAACCTAACCCAAACGAAATATGTGGTCGCTGTATATCCTTCATTTAAGACATACAAAGAGTTAAATTCTTCATGCCAAACTTATATCACATGAATAAATAGCTAGTGTGCCTGGAGAATGGAGATTGGTTCAACATAATGAACTATGCCAATAATTAATTAATGAGAAAAAGTTGAAAAAACTATTTTTGTTTGGAAGCGTGAGCAACCAACTTATGCTATAAAGGCGCAAGGTCTGGATTACTGGTTGAATTCTAGGTTGGTTTGAGGATATATCATATATATATATATAGTCCATGACCTAATCTGCAATATTGTGAGCTGTGGAAGTGGAAAAGTATAAAAGACGGAGAAATTTTATTAGAAAGAGGAGGACTTGTGAATATTTTCGGATCTTTTTTTTTGTGGAAAGCCAGAAGATATTTTAAAGGATTTACGTGATCCATATATTTTTGAAGTCACTTTTTTCATTCAATTGTAATTTGCGTCACTAGAAAATATCATTTTGCAAAACACATTAACTCTACGAATAAATACAAAACACATTAACTTTAGAAGGGATGATATGCATTTGTTATTTGTGAATCCCTTACATATGCGTTCCCACTTCCCAGACTTAAAATACTGCGAGTTGAAAAAAACTTTCGAAGTTTCTGGGTTAACAAAAAAAAATTCATTGACGAATTAAGAAACACGGGCCAAAAGGCCCAACTTAAGCCCACACTGAAGGTTATACTTGTGGTTGGTGATAACAAGATATTCGCTTTTCCGGTAAAAATGGTAGACGACAGAAAAAAACTGAAAAAAGAAGAGAAAACGCAGAATATAAACATACCTGTTTAGTGGCGTGACCTTTACGCGCAAAGATGGCGCGTGGAAGTAAGTTTTTCGATGAGGGTCATTACACAATTCACAAACTGTATAGATGGATGTTTACGTACCAAACCGACAGCTTCCTTTTTAAGCCACGCGTTCCTCTCTCGGCTTCTTTCTTTTGCTTCCATCATAACTCACATGCCTCTTTTTACCTTTTTCCTTGTCCTAATTTCACTTTCAAGTTAAGTATCATCACACTTATTCACACACATTATTTCCTCTCACCAAATTACATAATTTTTGTGAACTTTGGCTTATAACTAAAAATAAAGAAAGAAAGAGTTTAAGAGGAAGTAGGCCAAGGCCGAGCCGAGTCGAGAGGTGAAAACATGCAAAGTCAGCAACAATTATAAAATTTTTGGGTGGTCCCCATAACCAGCCTGGTTCGAAAAGTCGGAAAACCCAAAACTACACAACATAGACACACAACCAAACTCATCATCTCTCTCTTAACACTTCCACTTGCCATCGCCGACACTTCAAGAAAATTAAAGAAAAGAATAAAAGAAAGTAAACTCTTTCACCAAAAAAAGAAAGAAAATTTATTGTACCATCTTTCTGATAATCCGATCTTACAGAGAGAGCTCCATGGGTCGTCGCATCTATGGTGGCTCCGCCGTCATTCATATCTTTCTTTTCTTCTTCGTCCTAATCTTCTCCGCCGCATCTGCATTATCCAAGAACTCGAATCCTTCTTCCGGGTCGGGTCAGATCAACTCAAACTCTGTCCTCGTAGCTCTTCTTGACTCTCGTTACACTGAGCTAGCTGAGCTCGTCGAGAAAGCTCTTCTCCTCCAGACACTTGAAGACGCTGTTGGTCGTCACAATATTACCATTTTTGCCCCACGCAATGAAGCTCTTGAGCGTGACCTTGACCCGGAGTTCAAGAGGTTCTTGCTCGAGCCAGGTAATCTCAAATCTCTCCAAACACTCCTAATGTTCCACATTATACCCAATCGGGTCGGGTCGGACCAATGGCCTTCAGAAGAATCGGGTCGGGTCAAGCACCACACGCTAGGAAACGATCAGGTCCATTTGAGCAATGGAGAAGGAAAAAAAATGGTTGATTTAGCTGAGATTATCCGACCCGATGATTTGACCCGACCCGACGGATTGATCCACGGGATCGAACGGCTTCTCATTCCTCGCTCCGTTCAAGAAGATTTCAATCGCCGTCGTAGCCTCCAGTCAATCACCGCCGTTTTACCCGAAGGAGCTCCTGAAGTTGACCCGAGAACCAACCGTCTTAAGAAACCTGCAGCTCCAGTCCCCGCCGGATCTCCACCGTCTCTTCCGATTCAATCCGCCATGGCTCCTGGTCCATCGCTAGCTCCGGCACCAGCTCCGGGACCTGGAGGCAAGCAGCACCACTTCGACGGTGAAGCTCAAGTTAAAGATTTCATCCACACACTGTTACATTACGGCGGTTACAACGAGATGGCTGACATTCTCGTGAATTTGACGTCACTCGCGACGGAGATGGGTCGCTTGGTGTCAGAAGGCTATGTGTTGACGGTTCTAGCTCCTAATGACGAAGCTATGGCGAAACTGACGACGGATCAGTTGAGTGAACCAGGAGCACCGGAGCAGATTGTGTATTACCATATTATCCCTGAGTATCAAACGGAGGAGAGTATGTATAATTCTGTTAGGAGATTTGGGAAGGTGAAGTTCGATACGCTGCGTTTTCCTCATAAGGTTGCGGCTAAGGAAGCTGATGGTTCGGTTAAGTTTGGTGATGGTGAAAAGTCAGCGTATTTGTTCGATCCTGATATTTATACCGACGGTCGGATTTCGGTTCAAGGGATTGATGGTGTTTTGTTTCCTCAAGAGGAGGAGATTGTTGAATCGGTTAAGAAACCGGTTAAAAAAGTTGTTCAGTCGAGAAGAGGTATCTTTTTCTTTGTGTGTTCGTTGTGTTGATTGAATGATTGGTCTTTATGTGTTTCATCAAATGGTTTGCTTAGTATCGATTTCTGCAGCCTAGAATTGGTAAGTTTAGATAATTAAGCACCAATAGTTTGGTACATTGATCTAGTGTTTAATTGATCCGACGGCAGTAGTCCCTAAGTGTCTGAGCCATGATCAAATCCATAGTTTGGTATCTTGAGAATGGTAGTTTTGTGAATGTTTTGTTAGAACAAAGTTAGGGCCCAAGAATTGAAGATGAGAACTAGTAAATTTGAACAAGATTAGAGTTCAAAGAATGTAAGATGGGTCTAGTAATCCAATCCTATGCTGTGGGACGCTGGAGCCACCGTTTCTTTCATTGGCTTGGTGCAGAATTGCGAAGCCAGTTGATTAAATTCCGGATGTTGCAATTGTGAGCAAGAGGTGTAGATTAGAAGTGTGTTAGGAAAGTAAAGATTTATGAGAATATTGGATTGATATCAAACACAAGCAAGAATCGTAGAAGGGTTAAGCTATTTTGTGTGTGTGTCATAGCCATTAACTAGCTGGCTATAAGCAGCTTGTCATGTTTCCTACCGTCAAGATGTTTTGCTAGTTAAAATATTGGGTATTTTATATATAGCTTTTTGTAAAGTACGAATCTAGAATATTATTATAATTAAGGTGACAATAATGGAGAGATAAGAGTGTGTGATTGTGATGGACTTTGACCTAATAAAGGTGTTGCTGTTGTGATTGAAACAAACAGGGAAATTGTTGGAAGTAACCTGTAGCTTGCTTGGTGCTTTTGGCAAGGACACTTATCTCAGCAAATGCCGGTGAATTCGCAAACCCGCCAAAGTATTGATGTAAACACATTCAAAAAGGTTAGGATTTTTGCGATTTTTATTTTCTTTCGATTCGGTTGTTCATTGATCCGTTCAACCGATTAGGATGTTAACAGGCATTCATGTCTTTCTCTTTACTCAGCTGATTGAAGGTTTGGCCTTGGGTGAATAGAAAAGGAAGAGAGGACAACAACGACGTTTTAAAAAACCAATCTTCCATGGAAGGAGAAGATGGTTTGTTGAGTTCTTTTTCTTCATTTCTTAAATATATATTTTTGGGGGGGGTGTTTGGTCTTGGATTATGAATACTGTAATTAGATTATATCAATCATTTTTTAATTAATTTGGTGGTGTATGAGAATGAGAGTACAATAAATAAAAGGGAAAACAAAAAAGACTTTTTCTTTCACTGTGTAAGGCATTTGTTGTTTTTGCCTTTTTGGAGTCCTTGGCTTTTACTGTGGGGAAAGTATATTTTCTACTCGGTAATGGTAAGAGAATAATTAAATTATAGTCATCACTATGATTAGATGTCTCTGACTTAAGTATTTTGTGAGAATGTAATATAATTATTCTCGTGGACATGGGAAATGAGTTGGCTCAGGCTGTGTTTGTTGATTATTGGAGGACAAACACAAACTTAGCTGTCTTTGTGGTCAAATTTCTTGTGAGAAATCTCAAGTCTTAATACTGAAGTTGTCTGAATTTTGTTTTTCCATGTGGTCTTATCGATGTTCCCTCAATTATTTGTTGCTTTTTTTTTTTATGCCATTCTTCTTCTTCAATTCAATAAAAGTGAATATTTCACAGAATATATAAAGAAAAATAAAAATTGATTGTGTCAGTAGTAACCACCAAGGACCAACTAAAGAAAAGAACAGTTTCGACCGTTATTTTCCCTCCAAACCTTTGTTTTGAGTTGATGTTGGAATTGACTTAGGTATTTGAGTAAGAACAATGAAAGCCTTGTTTCGATTCAAGTCTTGCTTGTTTGATCCAACACGAAGAAGGAACCCAATCGTTTCTTTCTCAAAGTCATCTAAATCTAACAAAACCCGTGAGAGCACCCCATCGAAGATCCAAGCAGAAGCTACTGCAATCACCTCACTTTTCAACGAGATTACTGATATTTTAGGATCGGATGTTGCCCAAACAGATGAGACTACGCGGCTCAGAGCCCATGTGTCAGGACCTGTCTGTGATAATGGAGCATTGCTTTCTTGCACGCAAGGTGTTCGTGAAAATGCCGCAATGGGATTTTCAGGTGAGAATGAAGAGGCTCAGAAAGGTCTTCTTGAAGAAGTTGACTTCAGCCCCGTGGTTCATCAGATTACGAGTGTCGTTAGGGCAGATGATGAATTAGTTTCCATGGAGGAGAGGTTAGAGAAATTGAGTTTTCGGTTTGAACCAGAAATAGTAGAGAATGTACTGAAGAGGTGCTTCAAGGTTCCTCATTTGGCTATGAGGTTCTTTAATTGGGTGAAACAAAAGGATGGTTTTTCGCATAGAGTCGGAATTTACAACACCATGCTTAGCATAGCTGGGGAAGCGAGAAATCTCGATATGGTAGACGAATTGGTGAAAGAAATGGAGAAGCACGCTTGTGATAAGGATATCAGGACATGGACTATTCTTATCTCAGTTTACGGGAAAGCAAAAAAGATTGGAAAGGGTATGCTAGTTTTTGAGAAGATGAGGAAAAGTGGCTTCGAACTCGATGCTGCGGCTTACAATATCATGATTAGGTCCCTATGCATCGCTGGTAGAGGTGATCTTGCGCTTGAATTCTATAAGGAAATGATGGAAAAGGGTATCACTTTTGGATTGAGAACGTACAAGATGTTACTAGATTGCATAGCGAAATCAGAGAAAGTTGATGTAGTCCAGTCCATTGCAGATGACATGGTTAGGATATGTGAGATATCAGAACATGATGCTTTTGGTTATTTGCTCAAGAGTTTTTGTGTTTCCGCTAAGATAAAAGAAGCTCTGGAACTGATCCGCGAGCTTAAAAACAAGGAAATGTGCCTCGACGCTAAATATTTTGAGATTTTGGTTAAAGGACTTTGTAGAGCCAATAGAATGGTAGATGCTCTAGAGATTGTTGATATAATGAAGAGAAGGAAACTGGATGACTCAAATGTCTATGGGATCATCATCAGTGGGTATCTCAGGCAAAACGATGTTTCAAAAGCACTTGAACTGTTTGAGGTTATTAAAAAATCAGGGCGTCTCCCTAGAGTTTCCACATACACTGAGATTATGCAACACCTCTTCAAGTTGAAACAGTTTGAAAAGGGTTGCAACTTATTCAGTGACATGATCGAGAGCGGGATTGAGCCTGACAGCGTTGCTATCACAGCCGTGGTTGCTGGTCATTTGGGCCAAAACCGAGTAGCAGAGGCATGGAAGGTGTTTGGCAGCATGGTGGAAAAGGGCATCAAACCTACATGGAAATCGTATTCGATCTTTGTGAAAGAGCTCTGTAAATCATCAAGATATGATGAGATCATTAAGCTATTCAATCAAATGCACGCCTCCAAGATGGTTATTAGAGATGATATATTTTCTTGGGTTATCTCTAGTATGGAGAAAAATGGTGAAAAGGAGAATATTGATCTTATCAAAGAAATCCAGAAAAGATGCAATCCCTATTGTCAAGAACTAAACGGATCTGGCAAAGCAGAATTTATTCAAGAAGAAGAGCTTGTTGATGACTATAATTGTCCACAACTAGTGCAGCAGTCAGCTCTTCCACCAGCTTTATCTGCTGCTGATAAAATGGATGTGCAAGAAATTTGCCGTGTGTTATCATCCTCCCGAGATTGGGAGAGAACACAAGAAGCTCTAGAAAAATTGACAGTCCAGTTCACACCAGAACTGGTAGTTGAGGTTCTACGTAATGCCAAGATACAAGGCAACGCTGTTTTACGTTTCTTTTCATGGGTGGGAAAGAGAAATGGCTATAAGCATAATTCAGAGGCATACAACATGAGCATCAAAGTTGCAGGATGTGGGAAAGATTTTAAGCAGATGAGAAGTCTGTTTTACGAGATGAGAAGACAAGGCTGCTTGATAACACAAGATACTTGGGCAATCATGATAATGCAGTATGGTAGAACCGGTCTTACTAACATTGCTATTAGAACGTTCAAGGAAATGAAAGATATGGGTCTGATCCCGAGCTCTTCGACCTTCAAGTGTTTAATCACAGTTCTTTGTGAGAAGAAAGGCAGGAACGTTGAAGAAGCCACCAAAACATTCCGCGAGATGATTCGTTCGGGTTTTGTCCCAGATAGAGAACTAGTCCAAAACTACTTGGGATGCTTATGTGAAGTTGGTAACACGAAGGATGCAAAAAGTTGTTTGGAATCTCTTGGCAAGATAGGTTTCCCTGTCCCTGTGGCCTACTCAATTTACATAAGAGCTCTTTGTCGAATTGGAAAGCTAGAAGAAGCTCTATCAGAATTAGCCAGTTTTGAAGGAGATAGATCTTTACTAGACCAGTATACTTATGGAAGCATTGTTCATGGTTTGTTGCAGAGAGGAGACTTACAAAAAGCACTGGATAAAGTGAATTCCATGAAGGAAATCGGAATAAAACCCGGTGTCCATGTCTACACATCTCTGATTGTTCATTTCTTCAAGGAGAAACAGCTCGAGAAGGTTCTAGAGACATGTCAGAAAATGGAAGAAGAAAGCTGCGAACCTTCGGTTGTTACATATACGGCAATGATATGCGGATACATGAGCCTAGGACAAGTGGAAGAGGCTTGGAATGCATTCCGCAATATGGAAGAGAAAGGAACTTCACCAGATTTTAAAACATACAGTAAATTCATAAATTGTTTGTGCCAAGCAAGCAAATCTGAAGATGCCCTGAAGCTTCTGTCTGAGATGCTGGATAAGGGTATTGCTCCAAGCACTATCAATTTCCGAACAGTTTTCTACGGTTTAAACAGAGAAGGCAAGCAGGATCTTGCCCGGATTGTTCTACAGAAGAAGTCGGCTTTGGTAGCACAGCGAAAGGTATCTACATGACCTCTCCCTCTCTCTCTGACATATTACTATAATTCTGTATCCATGGGAAGAACCTCATACAAATGGATGAAAGCATATCTTTTTCTAAGCAACGAAATCTGTAAATGCTCTTATTACAATGTCCTCTGTTCTATATAACTACACTAAAACATGAAGCTAAGAGGTTATGACTTATGAGCCATGATGTGTTCCTTTCAAATGTGAGTATGTGACCGGTAAGGTTCGATCCTCCATAGCTAGCTACAGCCCATTCTGCTAATCTAAAGCACACTTTCACATTATAAAAAAAAAAAAAACAAGTTCTTTCCAAAAAAGTCCAGAAGTAAATTAGTTACTATATTTAAGATACAATACAGTAATTGCAAAATTACGAGTTGTCATCATTAATATATACCTGACCAAGAAAGGAATGTAGTGACGATATCTGTAAGGCAGGAACGTTGAAGAAGCCACCAAAACATTCGGCGAGATGATTCGTTCGGGTTTTGCCCCACATAGAGAATCAGTCCAAGACAACTTGGGATGCTTATGTGAAGTCGGTGGCACAAAGGAGGATAAACGTTGTTTGGATTCTCTTGGCAAGATAGGTTTCCCTGTCCCTGTGGCCTACTCCAGTTTTACATAAGAGCTCTTTCATCAGAGATGTGTAGACATAAGAACTACTCCATACAGTAAGTTCATAAATTGTTTGTGCCAAGCAGGCAAATCTGAAGATGCCCTGAAGCTTCTGTCTGAGATGCTGGGTAAGGGTATTGCTCCAAGCACTATTACTTTCCGAACAGGTTTTCTACGGGTTAAACAGAGAAGGCAAGCAGGATCTTGCCCGGATTGTTCTACTGAAGAAGTCGGCTTTGGTAGCACAGTGAAAGGTATCTACATGACCTCTCCCTCTCTCTGACAAATTACTATAATTCTGTATCCATGAGAAGAACCTCATACAAATGGATCAAATCAGATCAATTTCTAAGCAACGAAATCTGTAAATGCTCTTATTACAAAGTCCTCTGTTCTATATAACTAAACTAAAAAAAGAAGCTAAGATACTTTAGTTTATGACTTATGAGCCATGATGTGTTCCTTTCAAATGTGACCGGTAAGCTATAAAGCAAACATAAAAAAACGTGTTCATTTTTAAGGGAGGACTACTTGCCTCATAGCTTCTTCACAATTTCTTCACAGGCTCGCTCGTAATAAGTCATTCTCTGTATGCATTTTACAGCTTCATCAAACCTCTGGCTTTCAAACGCTTCGACAAAAGAGTCAGACCATTGCTTCAGTTTCTCTTGCACCTTGAGAGAAAAACAACAAAATCACATTGATTTGATCAGTTTAGTATATTCAACCAATGCCCAAAGATGCAGACTTTTTAAGGTGTTTGAAAAGCTAACGAAGTTAACAAAAGACCGAGGCATCTGAAGGAAGCTAGATCAATCAGGAATTTTTCAAGGTACCTGGGATCGGATCTGGTTTAACGCTGTTGAATCATCTGCTTCTGATATCGCCTCTCTGAGCTCCATAATCTGACACCATTTTCAATGAATAAAACTAAGTGAATGTGTTTATTTATGGCAGAGATGTATGTGCACCTTTACGGTAGCAGAAAAACTCGCACAAACTACTAATATATGGCATCAAGACTAATCTTTTGCGAGTAGATCCACTTACCTCCATTAACAATGTCGGGTCTGTTATTGTTTCTTCTTCATTGACATTTACGCCATTCAGCTTCATCTACATTATCAAATAGTTTCAGGAAAACTTGCAGCTTTTGAGAATCCTCAAAAACGTAATGACAAAAGTTAAGAAGCTTACAATATACATCGCTCTCGATAGCCGCTTGGTTAATGTCCGGCATGCTTCAGTCACCTTCGCAGACTGCTCGGCTGCGTAATCTCGTTCTTTCTGTTAACAATTCAAAACGCAAGAGCTCATTTTTAAGAAAAGAAGAGTAATAACATTGCGTCCCATAGTAAAAGAGAATGTAGAAACAAAGAGAGACCTGGGATTTGTTATGAACTAAATCAGGATGTAGCTTCTTTTGCCAATCTTTGTACTTGCCTTCAAGGCTTCCAGGATCTAACTCATACTTCTTCTCCCTATATAGACACAACAAGTTATTGAAATCCAAAACCCAATTCAAAGGTCTCATCTTTTGCATGAATCCAACTAAAAGTTTCAATCTTTCTATCGTTTCTCCTCAGCCCAACAAAACAGGAATCTACATTATTATCATGGTTCTCCTAAAACCCTAGATTCTAATCAACTCGTTACACTTACAGGCCAAAAATCTGAAAATAGTCGACGGAATCATCAACAGGTTGAATGCTACGACATGAGTTACAGAACAAAAAGGCAGCTTTCTCGCCACAGTTCCAGCAGCCGGAGCTTCTTCTCTTCCCGGCGCCAGATTCCGAGCAGAAAACTCTCCCGGAAAATCGGAGTCGTCCCTCAGCTGAAGAATGATGTTGCAGAGATTCGCGAGGCAATTGGAATTGTGATTGAATCGCAGCAATTGTCGCGAGTGAATTACACCGAGAAGTTGAAGGATAGGTTCGTCTAATAAGAGTGGAGATGGAAGCCACCATCGTCTTTGTTTTCTTCATTACGGGAGAGAGAGAGAGAGACTTCAGCGACTCTACAGAGATCGTCGTTGTTTTGAACCAATTTGATTACTTCTACTTGTAATCCCTTGTTCGAACCAGACCGGTCTCCAATAATTTTTATACTTTTTGTTTGGTTAATTTGTTTGTGTAAGGTTACAATCTCTTTCGAGTTTGGGCTTAAGAGTTCTGTTTTGTATCTCTAGCTTCTATCGTTTCTCTTGTTTGGGCTTTGTCTCCGAGGATATTTCGTCGTCCGTCGGCTTTAGTTTCCGGGGACATTTCGTCATCCGTCGGCTTTAGTTTCTCTTGTTTGGGCTTTGTGTTCTTGTATGGTTCCACGTCAAGCTTTAATCATACATATAAAAGTAGGGTTTCACTCTCCCATGATTGGTCCACTTGGCATTTCTTTTTAGATACTTTTAAGATATTAATCTCTAATTAACTCACTTTAAAACTCATGTATAACTCCACATTTAAATCCATTTGTAACTCCTCCACTAAAATGCATTAACTATTTGAAAATTATATTGACTATAATTTAAATTCTACATTTAAACTCAATTGTAACTTCTACCAATAAATAATAATAAATAATAATTTGTAACTCTTACTAAATAATTATAAGAGTTTCACCACTTTTCATCTATAAATATCAATTCTCTTATCATTTTTCACCATATTTTCAAATTTGTAAATTTACTTTATTTTATGTTCTTGCATAAGTTAAAAACAATTGTGTCATAGTGAGAATGAAAGTTTGATTGTAATATTTATTTTTAAAGATTATGTGATATGTAGGTTACATTGTATACAATTTTTATTTCGTTTTTATTTTTAGAGATTATATGGTATATATGTAGTTTATATTGTATCCAATTTTATTTTGTTTCTACCGCATTACAAGAATATATTTCTTTCATCTTTAGTTTTCAAAATTCTTACTATAATATTTATCTGTTTCCCGATTTTTCTATGAAAGATCAAAAGCTAACTATTCTAATATTCACACAACAATTCAATCGAATTGAAATGATATATCTTCGTTTTTCACTATTGATGTAAAATTATTCTCTTTATCTAATTATTCAAACAAAAAACATTATTCGATATTTTAACATTTTGAAATTAAAAATTTTAAAGCATTTCTCAAATATATGTTCCAACATGTAGTGATATGAATATCATTATAGTATTTTTCCAAGGTTTGTGGTCAAGATTATTTTTTTCCAACAAAATTAGTTTAATAAAAACAGTTAGATAATCAATAGCAAATGTTTAAATATCATGTTAGTAAAAAAGATGTGAGAAAGAGTATCTTTAATGAAAAATGTATGCTATTCATCTTAAAAGAAAAACTGTTTTTCCTTTGCATCAAGTACACAAAAATTATGATTGAATCTATATAAATTAAATTTTCTTAAAATTGAAGATATTATAACTTAGACTTAATAAAAAAATGTAAGTAGGTGTTAGATCTATCTAGAAAATACACTATTCTTGATATATGTTTTTTAATACAATATACAAAAAAATTTATAAAATATTTCGAGTCGTACCACTCAATTCTTACAATACTAAAAAATAAGTGGTGTTAAAAATTTTGAACTGTAATCGTAGAAGAATATGTGTGATAATATTAAAAGCATAATTTTTTTTTAGTTTTCATTTCAAATTTTAAATTCATGTTTTCAATAAAAATGTAACAAGTCACGCGTAGCGTGGCTACATTCATCTAGTAACAATAACATTCCAGTTGACAAAAAAAAACTAACGTAGCATAACAGTCAACCTCAAAATCTTTTTTCTAAATACTTCCAAAGAAATTAATGAATAAGCTAGGTTTTTTAATCTATTAAAAAAAAATAGAATATGGGCCAAATAAAGAGACTAATGGGCCTGATTAAATAGGCCTTATATCCAATTAAAGTATGCAAACAGAAAAGTTTCGTTTCGAAGTCACATACACAATTGACAACGTTTCCAGTGAAGTTCGCCGTCGCCGGAACTCATGGATCGACCACCGTCGTTTCCACACTATCAAATCCCTAATCCGAACTTCTTCCATCCCGTTCCTCCTCCTAATTTCTTCTTCTCACCTCCTCCAGCTCATCTTCAAAATCCTAACAATTACTCCATCGCCGCCGATTCGCGAGCTCTCCGGTACACTCTCTTCTTTACAATCCCTGTTGTCGGAATAATCTAGCTTAATTAACACTCTTCTCTTCTCCAGAAGGATGAAAATGGCGGTTTTGATTAAAATCACTTAATGCCACATGAAGCTCTCTTTCTCCATTGGCTTATCTTGACCTCACTCATCTTCTTGGTTCCTTTAGTAGTTACCGGAGCACGCTCGAGTTACTACCATGTGAACTACAGTTGAATAATGACGGCGATGGTGTCTCCTTAGAAGACTTGGCCGATTTTGGGAGCAATTGCAGGAGCTGGTTAACTTGTCTGAGCTCGATCAACTTTAACACTTGCTGTGGAATGTAGCGATTTGGTAGGTTCTGTTGAGAAGGTGAAAAAGAGTGTGTTGGATAAATGGTTACCGTCTGATCTCTGTGGAATTAAGAGTGAGATTGATCAATGGAGGGATTTCCCAAGTTGGTATTCCTCTAGTGTTCTTTCTTCGATTGTGGGTTCAAAAGCGATTGAAACGAGCTAGTTGGGGACATGGATTCTGGTTAAGAGGAGTTGAAATCGATACTTGAATGGCTTGTGGATTTATGATGGAGTCTGATGCTAATGGCGTTGGTGATTATGGGTTGCAAAAGTAGAACATTTGAGTGTCCAGTCTTGATTCAAGTCTTGTCTTGTATGGAGAAGCAAATGGCAAGTACTTTGCTTTAAGCAGTGCGTAGTAGAAGATGGAGAAGCCCTTTGAGAATACTTGAGCTGGCAAAATCTTTCCCTTCTTCTTCGAGGTACATTTGATTTCTCCTCTTTTTGCTCTCTCTAATCTTTCCGGTTGGGATGTTGAGAAATCATGGAAATTGCCAGAAAATTTCTGTCCAGAATTTACTGATTCCACTAGAGAAATTAGAATTAGAATTGGTTTTGAAATTAGAATTGATTTCGGTTCGGTTTTCATTGGTTTTGAAATTAGAATTGATTTCGTTCGGTTTGCGTTGGAATTAATTAAGGTTTTGATATAAGAAAAAACAAAAAGTCAAGACACGCGAGGCTTTTTTAAAAAGGAGCGATTGTGTTTCAAAACAGGCCATTTGGTGGGTCACCCACAGAAAATGGAGACACGCGCTCAACTCGCGAGTGGTGAGAGTGGGCGTGAAATCGTGTGATGGGTGAGAGAGGGGTATGACATGGAGCCATCTGATTGGCTAAAATAATGAAAATAGTAGAGATGTAGCTCCTATCTTCCTCCTCTCATAATAACACTTTGATTACTTTCTTCTCTTTTCGTCTTCTTTGTGAAGAAAAAGGTTTGAGATGATTACAAAAAACTTTTGGACAAAATTTTGTCTAGTTTATATTATAAGCCAGCTGAGAATGAAATTAATATTTCTTTAATCTGAAAGTTCAAACACAAATTTCTGTGAATTTGCATGCTGGCAATGTTTCAATAAACGATTCTGTTTTCATAGAGTAAAAACAAAATGATCAAAATTTTGTGAATTTATATGCTGGCAATGTTTCATCATTATAAACGATTTTGTTTTCATAGAGTAAAACACACAACTTTTTGGAAAGTGATTTGGACAATACTTTGGATAACATCACTTCATTGACCACTGTGGTTTTAAAAGGGATTGCCACAAACTGTTTTCTTTTTTTCACTGTTTTATTTGAATAATCTTCCATTTCTTTTTAAGAAAACAAAGATTCTGATTTCTCCAGTCCTCTGTTCTTGAGAGATCGCCTTGGTGGTGGTGATGAATCGCTGAAATAGCCAACCATATACATTAAGACAACTGCCATTAGAAATCCACGAGGACAACCTATGACTGGCATGAAAACATTGTTTCCTCTTTATCTTCCTGTTCCTCTGGCTCTTTGGTCTGTGTAGAGCATGGTTCTTGGAGACCAAACAGCTTCTGAGGGAATCTCATCTGACAAGCCATTGTTATTCTCAAGCTCAAGGGTTTCAAGATTTGTCAGATTCTGAAATTCCACCAGATAACTTGTTCATGCTCAAAGACAGAGTTGATAGATTGACTAACTTCTCAATACCGTCCGGAATCTCAAAAGACAACGAATTGTTCTCGTTTCGAGCTTTGTCAACTGTGATACAGACAATGGTTTAGAACCACTGAACATGTTCGGCCTCAATGTCAGCGTCTGCAGTTTGGCAAGACTACCTTGTAACACAATAAAGTCAGTAAGATTTACAACCCATATCTATGATCTTCATACATGAATAAGTTTGAATTCTGAGATTTGAGTTTATGATTTTACCTATTTCTGGAGGAATCTCTCCCTCAATGAAATTCTCATACAAGATCAGCTCCTGCAGATTCTTGAGCTCTTTGATGTCACCACTCAACGTACCACCAATAACATTCCTGCTTAAGTCCAAGCGCTGAAGAGTCTTCAAGGAGAACAATTCAAGAGGGATAGAGCCGTTAAAGCTGTTATCACTCATGTCAAGAGAGATAAAACTGGTCAAGCTCACAAACCCATCTCCAGGAATCTCTCCTTATATGAAATTAGACGAGATATCGAGTGTCACAAGATAGCTTATACATAAAACCGGTCTCAGAATGCTTGTACTCAGTGAGACAGAGAGGATGAGAGAGTGCAGATTCAGGTCTATCACCTCTCTAATAGGGGAACGAGTGTTGCATCTGACGAGTTGCCATATGCAGCAATCTGAGTTTGGCCTCCATGTCTCTAAACCTTCCAAGGTGATTATTGTTGTGGAGTGGTTATTGATGTTCTGAGTCAGCAAGTTCTTGAACTCAAGAAGGGATTGTATTTGGTCTTATGGGCAAGAGAAAGATATTTGTGGAATGAAGAAGACGAAGAACACAAGGACACAAGAGAGAAGACATGGCTTCAGCATTTTTGTCAGAGCTATTGTTTTTTGCCAGTCACAGGTTCTTCTGTATGTCTACTTTATAGCTACAAAAATCCAAGACGAGATTATTGCTAAAAGACTGAAATCCGAACAATGTTTTTGTTCATTGTCAGTGATTGTGATGGTCTTTTATCATAGAGTCTGATGTTGTTTGTGATGCTCTTGTAGAGGGTCAGCTTGGTTATACCTCTGTGAATACTCATGCAACACCCCGCAAAGTTACTTCATTGAAGGCGAAGATTGTAGCTGTTTCTGCAGTAAACATACATACTGCCGTAGTTTCTGAGTGTGGTGAAGTTTTCACTTGGAGAGCAACAAGGTCAGCTTGGTTATGGAACCTCCAACTTAGCATCAAACTATTCTCCAAGATTGGTTGATTACTTGAAAGGTAAGTAGAACTTAGAACCTAATCCTGCCTCCAGAAACGCTCTTCTTCTTCTTTGAGGTACGTTTGATGTCTCCTCTTTTTGCTCTCTAATCTTTCTCGTTGGGATGTTGAGAAATCATGGAAATTGTCCAGAATTTGCTGATTCCACTAGAGACATATGTTCGGGTTGTTGTTTCAGTTTACATTGGTTTTGAAATTAGAATTGATTTCGGTTCGGTTTTCATTGGTTTTGAAATTAGAATTGATTTCGTTCGGTTTGCGTTGGAATTAATTAAGGTTTTAATAAAAGAAAATGGAAAAAGTCACGCACGCGAGGCTTTTTTAGAAAGGAGCGAGTGTTCTTCAAAACAGGCGATTTGGTGGGTTAACACCCACAGAAAACGGAGACACGCGCTCTACTCGCGAGTGGTGAGAGTGGGCGTGAAATCTCGCGATGGGTGAGAGAGGGGTGTGACATGGAGCCATCTGATTGGCTAAAAAACTAAAAATAGTAGAGATGTAGCTCCTCCCTTCCTATGATAATTTTATATAACTTCACTTTTTGTTCTGAAGAAAGAAGCTAATGAATTATGAAAATTACTACTTCCGTCGGAATTCTCAAACAAAAGGTATTCAGATTATTAGAAAAAACTTTTAGTCAAAATTTTGAGCTTGTTTATTATTATTAGCCACCTGAGAATGTAATTAAGATTTCTTCAATCTCATGAAAGTTGGTGTTTTTAGATACAATTGAGACTCTGATTCTGAGGTTTTGGGTTCTTTTGAAATCCTTTGATGCCTCTTCTTCCATGCAATTTCGAATGGTAGTAGGATACAAAATTGGTCTCTCCCCAATGTACAATCTTCTGAGTTTTTTTTTTGTAAAAAGTTGTTCACCATAATCTGTGAATCAGTGAGATTAATCAAGCTTTTTTTCTCAAGGGGATGCTGCAATTATCATGCTCTCTGGTCAACTTGCTGATGGTTTTTTCATTTAAAGGTTTCTTCTTACTCCTGTTATATTCTGCAGCTCTTTTGTCTGCCCTCAGCATCCTGTTTTAGGTGGTGGAGTCACTGATTCTGGTATCGAACCTCGCAGAGTATCTGAAGTTCTACCAACTGCTTTTGAAAGTGCCAGCCTTTCTTCTATCAGGTGATTTGTCCTTTGATTCATGCCAAGTTCTTCATTTTTCCAGGTTTAAGGGTTCAGTTTCTCGTGACTGGATCGAATTACTTGCTTCTTGCTGAGTTTTTTTTGGTGCCAACTTGCTTCTTTCTTGACCAAACAATGTTCTGGCTCTCTATGTTCTCCAAGTCTTTTGCTTTTCTTACTGGTATGTGATTAGATGAGGCTGACATTTCTCTAACCATGTCTCTTGTTTTTCTACAGTGGATTGAATCTTTGATTGATCGGATAGATCTTTCTGAATCAGAGGCTGAAGCATCTCTTGATTTTTTACTGAATGAAGCCACTGAGGCGCTGATTAGTGCTTTTCTGGTTTTGTTGAGAGCTAAAGGAGAGACCTTTGAAGAATTAAGTAGAATCTGAGACAAAGTATAAATGTAGCTTTTAGTCATCGAATATTACAGTATGAGGTGATTGCACACTAAATCGCAGAGATAAAAACTAAGAGAAGTTTATGTTCAGTGGTCCCTTTCTATGTTTTGGCTGATGATTACCTTACACGTGTGTTCTCCCTGCAGGACATTGCAAATACGTCACCTGATGTTCTTGCCAATCTTGAGAAATTACTGGATGACAGATCATCTGAAGCATGGAGCTCCCGACCACTTCCAACACCAACAGCCACATTTCCTGTTGTTATAGATAGTGAAGAGGAGGAAAATGAGAGCGATATTTTAAGAACTCGTGACAACCATGTGAAACACTTTTCCAGTATTGTTCTGGAGATTGACTAACTTCTCATCACAAAAGACAGTGAATTGTTCTGGAGATCAAACGTTTTGAGTTTAGTCAACTGTGATACAGACAATGGTTTAGAACCACTGAACATGTTCGGCCTCAATGTCAGCGTCCGCAGTTTGGATGACACAAAACAAAGTCAAGGCTATAACTGAAGTACAAGTATATATTGGCGACTGAACAAGAAGAAAAGAAAAGAGAGAGAGAGAGAGTACGAAAGTGACCTCAAGAGAATCAGCAGACAAGTGAAGGGTCACAACATTCCTTATCGCTGCAATGCGTTTGGTTGCATCACCCCAATCATCACCCTTTGTAGAATCATACCCAAAATATTCATCTACTGGTGGGATATTCCCATTATACTTCCATAATATAAGATCCAGTCTAGCCTCGACAAGCGAATCCAATTGAAGATCATAATCTTCTGAGACATAACTAGAGTAGTCAAGATACACAAGACTTGGCGTCTCAAGGGCAACCAATGAGTGGGCTTCTAAATCATTAGAACGGTAAAAGATGGATGTTCTCTGGATGGATGAACCCCACATATGTTTTCTCCAACTCCCCCGTTCAAGAGGATCACCAGCAAATATGTTCAATTCCTCAAGCAAAGGGCAAGAGTCCAGGAGGCAGTCATAAAGATCAACACAACACACTTGAAAGAGAGAGAGAGTTTTGAGTGCAGGGAAAAGCAACTGTCGGGAGGAAGACGGTCTTGGGCATAAAATCCATGGGAAAGAGTGAGTTTAACCAATGTCTTGCAGAATAAGAACTCAGGCTCTATATATTGTTCGGATGGTGATGACAAGTGTAGTTACAAGGGTCCACGTTCTAGCACATTGCGGATCAGATGATTGTAGCGAGAGTGGTCGATTTCAGAATTCCATTTCAAAGAGAATTTCTTGATGGGAGAATCACCAAGCAATACAAGGGTTCTGTCCACGAAATCAAGGAAGCCACCACCATCACTAGTTGCTGATGTTTAATTGGGATAAAGAACCATGGACTCATCGAAATCAAGGTTTTGAACCAGAGGCAGCAGATTTCTCCACTGCTTTGAGAGAATTGATGTGGAAGCAGCAAGTTTAGTAGGGAGAAACGACCGAATCTGACCCAAAACCTCATCTGGTAGGCTATTAATTGAACAAGCTTCCACCTTTTTGGCAGCCATAGCCATACCTGAAAAGCAGAGTCAATCAAGTTTCCGAATCTCAATATCAACAAAGGGATTACAAAAGCAAACCTCTACAACAAAGAAGCTAACTACACAGTTTATGAGATGTGTGAGGTTATTATCACGAGCAGAAACAAATATTAAATCACCTTCTGAAACCCCACAGACACACAGAGACAATCAATCGAACATAGTCTGGATCCGACACAAAACCAATAAGATTTAGATCTAGTAAGAAGAAAAAGGAAAAAAAATCTTTGAGACCTACCTTGGAAGAAAAGATATCGAAGGTTGGGTTTGTTTTTCATTGTTTTAGACAGTGTAAATCTTCATCTTAAAAGAATTTAAATAAATAAAATACTAGTATAGTAGATATGTTTTACAATATTTTATTGAATGTATGTGTTATATTTATTTATTTATTGTAAATATTGAGAATTATAATACAAAATTCAAATCTACGAGTGAAGCAATTCCAGAGTAAGAAAAGAGTAAAAATATGTATCTGAATAGCAAAAACATCTAGTATCACCATAATCTTCCATAGCATTAGTACCAATTGAAATCACTTATGCACATACTAGAACAGCGGTTTTGATTCCAATTATTATTTTTTATGCACCAAAGACAAACCATCCACAACCTTTTAGAGATTACTTGTTTGCATCAAATGTGGAATCAAGCATAGTTTCACTACTCAGACGGTGGTCGCTTCATCTTGAGAAGATGAGAGATACCGGCAATGACATGAGCACGACTACTTGGAACTCCTGTCTTGGCTAAAGCTTGTCCATTTTTGTCCAACAAAACGAAGCAAGGAACATACTTTATGTCATAGTGGAGAAGCTGTATTTTAGACAAACAGAAATATGAAATCTTTAGTCTTACCAATCGAGAAAAAGCTCTGTAACTTGTGTAAGCAGCGAGAAGAGAAGAGAGAAAGAGCTTAATTTAGTATACCTCAGGAAACCACTTCTCATTCTCTGCGTCTGCCATTGTAATGCTGAGCCAGTTTGAATTCCTTTTCTCTACCTCTAAAACAAAGTTGAGCAACGAATTGCAGAGTCTGCATTTGGGAGAGTAAAATTCAAGTACTGTAGCTTCTTTCTGGTTAGCTAAAGCAGCTGCAAAAGCCATCTGCTCTGCTTCTCCTTGCTCACAACTACTTAAAGGCTTCTTCTTTGGTCTAAAATTGGGGTTTTGACCAAATGAAGTCAAGGAGCTGAGAGCAATTGAACCAATACTTTGCATAGATCTGAAGAGCCACGGTCCTTGAAAGTCGCAGACGCTTGAAGAGGATTTGGGTTGTTTGTTTGAATCCCATGGCCATTTCAAGCAAAAGAAAGGATCTTTTGAAGCAGACGCGCTAGTAGTCATCTTTGATTCCATCAAGAGTTCCCTTCGACTTGAAATCGACAGCAACGGTGCGGTGATAAGACTAACTACAAGTCGATTACGAGAATGTGACGGTGAAGATCGAGAAATTGGGGATTGGAAAGAAAAAAGGAAATTAAGGTTTTTCTCTTCTGTGATTTAAACCAATCTGGTTTTAGTTTTCAGATTTGGGTATAAAGGCAAACCGAATTGAGAAACCAAACCAAACCGTAAGGTTTATTCTTTATTTCGCCAAATTTGTATATATGATCATTTTATAGAAAAAAAAAACAAGTTTACAAAAATAATCAACAAACTTTTACATGGATCATGCAACTGAGAAGAAGAAACTTCCAAGTGAAAAAAAAAAAAAATTCCAATTCCAATTCCTTCAGAGCCAAGACCTGAAAGCAAAGCAGCCGGCTTTACGTTTCCTCTGCAAGCTCAAGTTCTTACCTTTGTTTAACATGCCCTGCTTTTGTCCTGTATCCTCTTCTCTCTTCTCTTCTTGACTAAAATCGCTTGACTCTTTTTTTTGAGGAACACTTTCAATGTTCTCCAATACACTCACTTGCTTTGCCTGATCCTCTGCTCTATTTGGCGACATTTCCTCGGTTTCTGGGACTGGCGTTATATTTCTAACCATGTATATTACTCTATCTAGAGTCCCTAAAGCTTGTTCTACCTCTGGACTGACGCAAAACCGTCTTCTGCTATCGACATGAGTCTTGGCAATTTCATTTCCATCCTCTGAAAAAACACTTTCCTCAGAATCTTCAACTTCTTCTTCTTCAATCTCGGGAACTGTTCTTCTGCAATGGACAAGTTTATTTTCACAAGCATCTCCATTATTCTCAAGTTCGTTCTTTGGCAGGTAATCGCCATTCACTTCATTGGTTTCCAACTTTGGTACTTCCTCAATTGCTTCATCAGTTGAATATAGGGCTTGACGTATCTTAGTGTACAACGGATCAGTTAAAGCTCTACTGTAATCTTCATCAAATTTAGCTACGGAAGCAACTGACTGTTACATTCAAATACGAAAACATTATCACACAAGTTGCCTACCTGACAGTGCACCGATACATTCAAACAAACGAAATCATAAAACCAGATTGTCTGACCTTTTTATATAGTCTGAAACCGTTGCCGATCAGCTGCCTAGATATAAAATTCATGAGAGATGGTGGGATCAAGTCCAGCTTTATATCCATATCCCCTATCGTTCTACAAAATTTGACAAGAACTAGATTATAAACTTCATAAGCAAAGACAATTAACATGTTGCAATACTACAATGATCACAAACCTGAAGTAACTCCTCTGTGGAGTAACCTTTTGTAAAACAAATCCGCCTACAAGATCCATCCTCACTGCATCCGGTGATTCAGGTATGACGATGTCCTTAGAGGAAACTCCAATGCTATCTAAATCTGAGATCTAAATATTGCAAACAAAAATTATCACGAATAATGTCAAATTTCATACCAAGGATAAGATAAAAAAAAAACACGAGATGGATTTTGCTTTACCGTGTTCAGAAGGATGACGACTAAGCCATCTTTAAAGTATTCAAAAAAGAAATAGTGCAGAATCATCTCTCTTTCCGTCAATGGCCATGGTACCTTCATCCTTTCTTCCCACAATATTAAAATTTCAAGATTAGCTTCATAAGATTCATTAGGTTAAAGAGAAGCCAGAGAAACAAACTTCCTCCTTGAGTCAACAAACCTCGCTAAACAAATTTGTTCACCGACCCCGACCTTTTGCAAGCATGTGCTTTTTAAGATCCTGAATGGAGGAAATGCATACTGTGGCCACCTATAAACAACACGTAAAGTAAACATTCATCCAACCAGAAATGAGATCATGTTGTTCACAATCCAAAATCTTAAAGACTGTTACCATTTCTTGTAGAGAGTTGATTCCCACGATACACATAAACCTGCATCACAAGTCCAGTAAACATCAACTGCAGAATCATCGTTTAAACTTTGATTCTGCGGTCTCAAATCTAATAAGAAGAAACTTACATTCGTGGATTGGCCCATCCATGTAACCTTCAACAAGCAACGTGTGAAAAGGACTTCCATCGAGCCCTTCACGGTACATAACACGGCAATCTTCAAGATCATGTTTCAACTGTAGAACAAACACTTTTTTGCTACATCGTTACAATCCAAGATCACTGGTCAAAATAAGAAGAACAAAAATGGAAATGCGTCTGAAGTCAGAACAAAAAAAAAATCATACTTTCCAATCACCATCGTTGGTTAATTTAGAAACTTGATGATCCGTCATTGAAACACTCCTAAGCTTGCTAAGTAACTTGGATACATCATCTGTTCTTTTATCCAATATATTCTCATCACACTCTACAAAATTCATCAAACCAAAACATAAAACCAAAATCTCAGAAAAGTGTGTTAACATAACAGTAAACTTCAAAAGAATCAAAATCCAATAGCAAAATCTGAGATTTGAGAACAAAACCTTGAAGCTGGTTTCTGAGAAGAGATTTGAGAGTCTCGTGATTGGTGAGTTCAGGAGAAGACAAGGTCTTGTCTAATTTATCTCTATACTCACAGATCTCTCGTTTCTTCTGCATATCTCAAGCTCTCACCTTTAAAAACAAAAGACCAATCCACAAAATCAGTGATAAGAATCAAAAACCCCCAGAAGAAAATTTAATGATCTGATCACAATTTACAGAGAAAAGAGAAAAAAGAGGGATTAGCACAGAAAGTCCTAACCTTGTGGAGTTCTAAAAAGCTGATTTTTTAGTTACGATGACAAAAACGTGACCGACAAGACGGAGAAAGAAGATGAGAACTTTTTTGTACTGTAATTATTTTATCTCGAGAAAATTCAAATCGGGTACGATTCCAGGAGAAGTCGGAGTTTCCAATAAAGGAAGGAGATGATGCGTAATGACAAGATTAATGGTGAGATTAGGCATAAGCTAGTTGAGAAAAAGATAGGGTTTAAGAGGGCACGGATAAGTGTCGGTGTCAGACAAGTTTAAGATAGGTAGGAAGATCTATCTCTCTGTCTCTGCCTCTTATTAATCACACACCTTCACTCTTCTTTGTTTCTTATTTTTTTATTATATAAATAGATACAGAAGAACAAAAATAGTTATAAATAGGTAGGTGATGATAATACAGTTGAACCTGAATATTTTTAGGGGGTCCTCTTGTCTTAATTTTGGCATCTCTCCTTGATTATTTAATTAGTGTCTATTCACTTTGATGACCTTAAATAGAAAAAGCCACCAATGAAAATCATATTTACTTAGTGGAATATTCATTTTATTCCGTTCAATATTTTAAGGAAATGTTTGATTCCACCAAATTTTTATCTTTCTAATTTACACATCCATTTGCACTCTGGTTCTTAGCAATACAAAAATGTTTCTAAATTTGTTTTTTTCAGAAGGGTTTATAAGTTCTAATCTTGAGCGAAAGTTAAGTCAGAACCAGACCTAAATCAACCCAACACAAAATCTCGGTTTAGCAGAAAAAAGCAGAACCAACATAGTTTGTTTCATACACAATGTCGAATGTTAGAATCCGAAACTGTTCACTTTTTGTTTAGTGATTGTTGATGATCACATCAAACAACATACAAAGGATCACTTAGATTCAGTCACAATATCACAAGTCATTTCATCAAAAGAACAAAAGAACCAAAAAAAGAAGCAATCACAAAGATAAGTAAATCACTCCTCGGATAATTGATCCCAAACATTGAAGATGAGCCACCCTTCAATGGCTGCAGCCTCAAGTTGTTCTTCAGACCCTGCCTTTTCCCATTTGGCCTCAATCGAATCCAGCTGACCCAAATCAGACCACAAAACTCTGTGCGCCAATTCTCTTGTCCCAAGAAACTCAAGCACCAGAGTTCCACGAGCTTTCGCAGCCAATTTCCCAATGTTAATCGCATTTCTTATCACAAGACCATGGTTTTCACTAAGCAAGTTCAGGTCTTCCTCGATCTGCACTCCAACAAAAGTAACAAACTTGGAAGCAAAGAAACGGTACAGATCCTTGAGATTGTCATGAAAAGGTTTAGGAAGTCGAAGGAAGAGACATAGGTTTCTCGTGCTCAGCTTCACCGATGACAGACTCCACCCTGACGTTTTGGTTTTGGTTTCAGTTTCGGGAAATCCAACATCCCAATACACATCGAAGATCACGGCTCGGTTTCCATTCAAGATAGAATCTTCTCTTATAAGTGAAAGGTATTGCGAGATATCTGTTGATGGTCCAACATCAATGCTCTTGGTCTGAACATAAGAGCCATCGGTCATCTTGAACTTTGGCCCATCAAAGGCGGCCATGTGACTAAGGAACACTAAAAAAATTTCACAAATCAATGCAAAGGCATTAGATTTAACAATAATTGACAAAGTTCTAGCACAACTAATCTCAATAGAATGTAAGTGACTCCAATCATCAATTCATCACTCATATAACTTGAGCACCAAAAAGTTTCCTCTTTTTTTACAAAAACTAGAAGCATTCATCAGTTGGAAAATGCATATAAACATTTGGAGAAATTGGGTGAAGAAAGGACCACAAATTTAATAAACAATTTGAATTTAGCAACGATCTAACATCGAATTGATCAAAGTAAACAACTTTTTGTATAGGTTTGGCTACAACTAATTACTCCACCTAGTTCTAGGTTTCATTACCGTTCTGTGCAATCAAAAGATAACAAGAAAAAAGGCGAAAACTTTTTCTTTTCTTCGACTAATTAACTAATGCAGAAACAAAATTTAATATCTCCAAAACCATTGAACATATCTTAGTTCTTGTAACCCAAAACGATCGATCCAAGAGAAAAAAAGCCCCTAATTATTATCTGAAATTGGAATCATACTACTCGAATTCAACATAAAAGAGACATTATACTGCTGATGGCAAGTTAAGATATTGAAGCAAGAATAAACAGAAGGCAAGAAAGCACAGAGAAGATGAGGACGAACCTTGAAATTTCGAGTCAGGCTAGGGATCGTAGTAAACGAGGAACAGTTCTTGTGGTTTCTGCTGGAAGTGAGAAGACTAAATCACAAAATGGAGAGAGACGCTTGAAAATTTCTGAGGCCTTTGGCGATCGATCGACGACGACACATCTTTTCTTCAGCTTGTTTAAACCATGCGTTGTTAATCTCCTTTCCTTTAAGTTAAGATGACCAATCCGGTTCAACCAAATCTAACCGATTGGAATTCAAACGAATTTCTTTACCTTTGACTTTTTTCTTGACTTTATTTTTTTGGGTTGTTGTCAATCTTCTTATATCATCACCTTTGCCTTCTTAGGTTGTAGCCTTGTAGGGACGATGGACCTGCAAGACAAAAAAGAGTGATAAAGTTTTCAACATTATGGAACACCGATTTAGTGTTTTCCAAAAATGATACAATTCCATATATACAAAAGGTTTGGAGATATACATTTCCATGATGTTGATGACTATCATAATTATACTCAAAGAAGTTTTTTCACGATAATGTAATCACACTATCGTGAAATTAACATAGGACATAGATTGTGTTTTTTGAGAGAGCATCCCCAAATCAATTCCCAAACACATGTGCTCACACCAAAACAGTTGATGCCAAAATGGTTGAGTTCATAAGGTACATTTCCACAAATCATGCTAATGTTTCACTCTTTATACACATCTTTGAAATGTCTATAGATCTTTATGTATTAGGAAGTACGACACGCATTCAAATATTCAACAACTATCCTCTCTTTATCCATCACCAAAAAAGAAAACACTTAACAATTTCAAAATTTGAATTTAATCATACCTAACTTGAATTAAAATTTGGTCTAGTGCAAATTCAATCCGGTTTAATGTTACAAGACCAAAACCAGAAATTTATCAATTTTATCTTAAACTGGTCCACTTGAAAAAAACAAAAAACTTGCCACACAACACAGGCTGATTTCTGAATTCAGCACAAGAGTTTCAAAGCCCATCAATCATCGCCCAATTTTTGTTATATACCGCCGCTTCTTCTCTACACAACCTACAAAGCCAAAGCTCTCTTTTTATACTCTCTCTTTTACTTTAACAACAAATTCGCCGCTTATCGCCTCCGATCTTCTCTCAAAGGTACGGTTTCGTTTTCTTCTTCTCCGATTCTCGTTTCTTCTTCAGATTCCTTCATCGATTAGCTCTAGGAACCTTCTCATCGGAATTTATTTGTTGTTTTTGTTTCTTATTCGAAGCTTCTCCTGTTTGTTTGATACATATTCTCTCTTCCAGTTACTATATGGAACCATTCGTTGCAAAGGAGAACATCATCGCATCTGCTTCTTCGCCGATGAAGAAGCGACGGATCGATCACACTGAGTCTACTAAAGCTGATGGCTCTGCGATTAACGCTTCTAACTCTGGTAGCATCGGTTTGAACAATAGCATCGGTGGTAACGATACGGTGATGAACATGGCGGAGTTTGGTGACAACAACTCCAACAATCAGGAGATCGATGAAGATCTTCATAGTAGACAGCTCGCTGTTTACGGCCGCGAGACTATGAGGAAGCTTTTCGCTTCCAACGTTCTCATCTCTGGGATGCAAGGACTTGGTGTCGAGATTGGTAACGCTTTTTTGCTGTTTAATCCGCTTGCATGTTATTTCTGTGCTTGTCCTGCTGGCTGTTAAAGAGCTTCAAGCTTGAGCAAACGTATTTTCTGATTAAGCTGTTTGATTTTGTGTGTACACTTGAACTTGAACTTGAGTCCGTAATATTGGTATTTAAATTGTTATTCCTGTTTCCCTGATGAGTTAGTGTGACATTATATGATGGAAGGGTTTATTCACTAGATTTGCGATGAACTAATGACTGGTATAGCTCTTTATTCTCTTCGTTATTTCCTTCTTTCTGATGGATGATTTTGTTTTTCTTATGTAGCCAAGAATATTATTCTAGCTGGTGTGAAGTCAGTGACCCTTCACGATGAAAATGTGGTTGAGTTATGGGACTTATCTAGTAACTTTGTTTTCACGGAGGAGGACATTGGTAAGAATAGGGCACTTGCTTCTGTTCACAAGTTGCAAGAACTCAACAATGCTGTGGCTGTCTCAACATTGACTGGGAAGTTAACCAAAGAGCAGCTTTCTGATTTCCAGGTATCCAAACCCTTCCTTTATTTGGTTTATCTTCGTTTCCTTTTTCTAGTTGTCAATAATACTATCATCATTCATGGACATAAGTTTCTGTACAAAAGATTAGAGGTGACTGAAAGTGGATGAAAATGTTTCTACTAAAAGTACAGAATGTTTGGCTTTAGTGGCTGATTTCTTTTTCTTTCCTTGATGCAGGTTGTGGTATTTGTGGATATCTCTTTTGATAAAGCCACAGAGTTTGATGATTATTGTCATAGTCATCAGCCTCCTATTGCATTCATCAAGGCTGACGTTAGGGGGCTGTTTGGGTCTTTGTTTTGTGATTTTGGACCTCATTTTACTGTTCTTGATGTTGATGGGGAGGAACCTCACTCTGGCATCATCGCTTCTGTTAGCAATGAAAATTCTGGATTTGTTTCGTGTGTCGATGATGAGAGGCTCGAGTTTGAGGATGGAAATCTTGTCGTTTTCTCTGAAGTTGAGGGGATGACAGAGCTAAATGATGGAAAACCAAGGAAGATAAAAAATGTCAAGCCATTTTCATTTACCCTCGAGGAAGACACCTCTAGCTATGGGCAATATATGAAGGGTGGCATTGTGACTCAGGTTAAACAACCAAAGGTGCTGAACTTTAAACCTCTTAGAGAAGCACTTAAAGATCCAGGCGACTTTCTTCTAAGTGACTTTGCAAAGTTTGACCGACCACCTCTTCTCCACTTAGCATTCCAAGCACTTGATAGGTTTTCGTCTCAAGCAGGCCGATTTCCGTTTGCTGGTTCAGAAGAAGATGCTCAGAAACTAGTGGAAATTGCAGTTGACATTAATGAGAGTTTGGGTGATGCAAGGTTGGAAGATGTCAACTCTAAACTGTTGCGGCATTTGGCCTTTGGATCCAGGGCTGTTCTGAATCCTATGGCTGCAATGTTTGGTGGCATTGTTGGGCAGGAGGTTGTCAAGGCATGCTCTGGGAAATTCCATCCTATCTTTCAGGTAAAGACTTTTCTGTTTGGTTTTTCAGGGGCGGTCTTTGTATGTTAAACTTCTACGTTGAGCAATGCTGTTCATCTATGTTATATAGGCATTTACTCTACATGAAGCCTATACCAGGACTAAAAGTTTCTCTTCCCTTTTTAGTAGTATGTCTTTTATACTTGGTAATGTGGTAATTAGTTTGCATTATTTGTGCAGTTCTTTTACTTTGATTCGGTGGAGTCACTTCCCAAGGAACCTCTTGATGCATCAGAGTTTAGACCACAAAATAGCCGTTATGATGCACAGATCTCTGTATTTGGGTCTACTCTTCAGAAGAAACTCGAGGATGCCAGAGTTTTTGTTGTAGGGGCTGGTGCTCTTGGATGCGAGTTCTTAAAGAACTTGGCTTTGATGGGTGTGTCATGTGGCACTCAAGGGAAGCTAACTGTCACTGATGATGATGTAATTGAGAAGAGCAACCTGAGTCGTCAGTTTCTTTTTCGAGATTGGAACATAGGACAGGCTAAATCCACAGTTGCCGCAACAGCAGCAGCTGGAATAAATTCGCGCCTCAACATTGATGCTCTGCAAAATCGTGTTGGACCTGAGACCGAGAATGTCTTTGATGACAGCTTCTGGGAGAATTTGACAGTTGTGGTCAACGCTTTGGACAATGTCACTGCAAGGCTTTATGTCGATTCGAGGTGTGTGTATTTCCAGAAGCCTCTCCTCGAATCAGGAACCCTAGGTGCAAAGTGCAACACACAGATGGTTATCCCTCATCTCACTGAGAACTATGGTGCCTCGAGGGACCCACCAGAGAAACAGGCTCCGATGTGTACAGTGCACTCATTTCCTCACAACATTGACCATTGTTTGACATGGGCTCGCTCTGAATTTGAGGGTCTGCTTGAGAAAACACCAGCTGAAGTTAATGCATACCTCTCAGATCCTGTTGAATACATGAAAGCGATGAGAACTGCTGGTGATGCTCAAGCCAGGGATACTTTGGGGCGTGTTGTTGAGTGCCTCGAGAAAGAAAAGTGCAATTCATTCCAGGATTGCATAACCTGGGCTCGTCTGAGGTACCCTCTATTGGCCCGTACCCTTCATTGAGACTGTATATAAAATGATTTTCTTTTCTTTACATAAGTGCTTGCTTACTTACAGGTTTGAGGACTACTTCGCCAACCGTGTGAAACAGTTATGTTACACATTTCCAGAGGATGCTGCTACTAGTACGGGAGCTCCGTTCTGGTCTGCCCCAAAGAGATTTCCTCGCCCACTCCAATTCTCCTCAACCGACCTGGGCCATATCAACTTTGTCATGGCTGCATCTATCTTGCGTGCAGAGACATTCGGAATCCCTACTCCTGAGTGGGCTAAAAACCCAACAGGACTAGCCGAGGCTGTGGAAAGAGTAATTGTCCCCGACTTTGAGCCGAGGAAAGATGCAAATATTGTGACAGATGAGAAAGCTACAACTTTGTCTACAGCTTCAGTCGATGATGCTGCAATAATCGATGAACTAAACACAAAGCTAGAGTGGTGCAGGAGGAGCTTGCAGCCAGAGTTCAGGATGAAGCCAATCCAGTTTGAAAAGGTGAATCATAATTGTATCCAAGCATCTTTCAAATTCTGTATTTGGATTACAAGAGCAACAAACTAACATTATTATGCTGTTCTTAGGACGACGATACCAACTACCACATGGATATGATCGCTGGGCTAGCAAACATGAGAGCAAGGAACTACAGCGTTCCTGAGGTGGACAAGCTTAAAGCCAAGTTCATAGCCGGAAGAATCATTCCAGCAATCGCAACATCAACTGCAATGGCAACAGGTTTAGTCTGCCTCGAGCTGTACAAGGTCTTAGACGGGTCACACAAAGTAGAAGACTACAGAAACACATTTGCTAACTTAGCACTTCCGCTCTTCTCCATGGCTGAGCCGGTTCCACCTAAAGTGGTGAAGCACCAAGACCAAAGCTGGACTGTTTGGGACCGGTGGGTGATCAGGGGAAACCCGACCCTAAGGGAGTTGCTAGGATGGCTAAAAGGGAAAGGGCTAAACGCTTACAGCATATCGTGCGGAAGCAGTTTACTGTACAACAGTATGTTCTCAAGGCATAAGGATAGGATGGACACGAGAGTGGTGGATCTTGCAAGAGATGTGGCTGGGGTTGAATTACCTGCTTATAGACGTCACGTGGATGTTGTGGTTGCTTGTGAAGATGATAATGGTGACGACGTTGATATCCCTCTCGTATCAGTCTACTACGCCTGATTAGAGAATCTTAACGTCCCCAACGAGAGAAGCTTTTAATAATTACTGTATTCTTGGGATATGAAGTTGAGTTTCAGAGATAGAGAGAATTTTGATGTATGAGAATAGTTAACTTCTTAAAATTTAGAATTGAATTTTCAAATTTGGTTTTTTAAAACTTATTCATTACAAACAAAACGATTAAACAATCCTAATACAAAACGTTTTATCAAGCTTGGAAATTTTCTCACACATCAACTCTACAAAGTTAAAATCAGATAGTTATTATTAGCTTATAACAGCAACTACGTACAAAGAGGACATTTCACAAGTCCATTCTCATTACATTCTCTGCATCTCGTCCACATATTATCATTACTACTCTCCTCATCGTGATGGTCTACAAGCAATTTTGAGCTTCCATTGCAGCTAGAACATATCAAAAACCTTTCGTTCTCGCAAGATTCGCAGGGCGAATCAACTTTCGAGATTCCTTCTAGCAGCTTCTTCAGCTTCCCGTTCTCGTTCAATGCCACAACTTCTTCTGCTCCACCAATGTACCTACCTCTAATGAATAGCCTCGGAGAGGTAACTTTCCCACCAAGCAACCTCCACATCTCTTCTCTAAACTCTGAATCCATCGAAACATCTCTCTCTCTGTACATCACCTGGTGATTCTCCAACAAGAATCTCACTCTTCTGCAAGCTTCAAATGTTTTCCTCACACCTCGCAGGCCCGTCGTGTAGAATACAACCGAATCTTCTCCTCCGGGTGGGCAATTCTCTTTAAACTCCAAAAGAATCCCTCTTTCTTCTTCAAGATTCTGTTCCTCTGCATCTTCAAGCTCTAGTAGTGTTGGTGTAACACAACCTTTGATTTGACTAGATTCAGCGACTATTTCGTCTCTTAGATGATGGATTGTACGATCAATGGTACTCTTATGAAGAGCTAAGCCTTGCTTCAACGTCTTGACAGTGGTGATGAGTTTGATTTTCTTCACCAATCTTTCCTTCATTCCCTTCATTGCTAACAAAACTTGGATCTTTCAAGAATCTGAAAAGAGGATTAATTCAGAGAATAATTCTGATCAAGATAAGATCGGGTACGAGAACAAAAAAAAAACAAAACGTAGTGGCTAATGGATTCTTCGTTTTCAGGTTTCTTGTTTGGTTAACGTGTGGGTACCCAATTTAGATGAATAAAGTTTCAAAAGCTACTTTTCTGGTTTAGCTTTCAAAAGTCTTTCTTGATGGGTTTTCTTGATGGGTTTTCATCAGAACGAAAAGAGAAAGAAAAAAAGTCTTTGTTTTTTTTGTTGATGGGTCATTGCTACGATAATGTAGATGTGATGATAAAACTCACACCTCAATTACAGAAGACAAAAAACACTCATGACATGAGTAATGATTTTACCCAATCAACCCAATTTTGCCAGAAGGCTAAAAAAACAAAAAAGGAAGATGCTATAATGGAGCTTTAAGACATATAAATCTTTCTGGTAAGAGCCATCCATCATCGTTTGATTTAGCCTGTCTTGTCTTTTACAATTCTAGAAACGTGCAATGATGTAAGATTGGTAAAGAAGCTTAGCTTTAGCTAGCTTGCAAATTCGAATTAGTCAAATTTCTATTTAATCATATACTTTACTCTGATTACTTTTTCGCATTACATATGATGGTTGAGACCTTGTCACTTATACCGTTCCAAGCATTTGACTGATGCCATGAGACCTGGTGATAGATTTATATATCTTATGGTGAAGAAAGCACATTCACATTGGTGTCCAAAAAAACAAGAGCACATTCACATTCAGGGTCTGACATAACTGATATAGAAAGAATAACAATTTTTCTAAACTATCTATACAATCACCGATACAGGTGAAGTTGCTCTAAGTGTCAGCCACAGATGGTCGGAGTCCAATGTCGAACGCAAATTTAATGCATGTTAGCTCCTTCTTCTGCGCATCAAGCATCTTCATTTTCAGCGAGTATGTACCCTGCAAGAGAGGTAAGATTAGACTATCTTATCTTCCTGTTTTTGTACCAGATTTTCGGCACTAATATGCAACATTAACACATTCAAACTAAGTCCCATGTGTTGCTCGATACCAAGGTAGGTAAGCCTTATCTATATCTATTCTGAATAGGCCATCTATTATGATTGCAACAGATCTCTTCGAACCACGTAATGAAGCAAATTGGAGAACTTACAGGAGGAGTATAACCCGGAAGAACTTGAGAGTGTGCAACCAAGAAATCTCCGGTTTGTATAGGACAAGTAGTCTCAGTACAGAGGTCATGAGTCTCAGAGTGAACATGCCATCCGAAGTATGAAACTTCAATCACCAGCTTCCCAAACGAAATCTCACGACCTTTACAAATAAGAAATCATAATCATATAAACAAGATTGTTCCACTCTCTCTACTAAGAAGCAAGACACATGAGTACATACATCCTCATAATCAATCACATTTTCTTTCTACATAAAGATCTCTATATCATCAATATAACCCCAAAATTCTTAAGATATAGTGTGAGAAGAGCAATGAACAAAACCTGTGTTGGCAGAGATGCTGAAAGTAGCTGGCTCGCCTGGGGCAATAGGGTTAGGAGATATATCAACCTCTTTCACTTTTATTTCATACTCTACATTCTCTTCTACAATCAAATCAAACAGAATACAGAAGCAAGTCAAACCAAAACAAAAAGAAAAAAAAAACAAAATTTCCCAGAAAAATCAAATTTTTACACAGACCAATATGAGTCAAAAGCAAAAAGCATCGAACTTTAAAACTCAATTCGAATTGAAAGCCACCACGAGGATAAACAGAGGCTGAAACACGTACCACAGTAATGGACATCGATGGCTTGAACAATCGGTAAAACAAGGAGGATAAGAGAAATAGCGAGAGGAAGAATGGCAAAGAACCTTGACATGATTGATGAATCTCTCGGAAGCTATAAGGAAGACGATGGCTTGATGATCAAAGCAGCAGAGAGTGGAGTTGCGGGGAGAGTTCTGGACCGTTTATTCAGCTAGGTCAGAGGTTATGGAAAAGGACGGCTCGATTTCGTTGTTTGCTGTGAATGTGATATACTTAGATTTTATTTAGGATAAACATGCTTATTAATGTTATTTACTTTAGTAATTATCTTCTTTTTTTAATTAGACTTATCTTTTACATTTTCTAAATATTTGTTTGGTTTTCGAGGTCTGTTAGTTTTATGAAATTGTTATTTGCTTTGATTAATAAAGTTGACTTCTTCTTTTTTTTAATAAAGGTTTTAATTCGTTAATTAAGTTGACTTTAATCTATATTTTGACTTTATTCTTTTACCACAATTAACGGATTACTTCTAACGCTTTGCTCTATGAGAAATTGAGAATGATTACCAATAGTTTGTTTTTTGAAAGTTCAATAGTTTATTAGTTTGGCTCCGGAAAATAGTTTGACTTACCAACTTCGACTCTACTATTTGCTAGCATTTAAACAGCTAATTAAAATTCTTCTTTTTATTCTTCTTTATTAATTTTAATTTTTTCGCCTCTTTTTAGAATATATTAAACGTCTTGGTCTTGCTCCACTTCTCCACTTATTAAAACTATTTATGTAAGAAGAATATATAATGCATGTTTGTGCAGCAGAACCAAATAAAAATCGTGAAACTTTACAGCTTAGAGATTATTATTATATACGCTAAAAAAATTGTCAACAATAATTTCTTTAAACGAAGTCAAATATCCATCATTGGCCGGCGGGAAAAGGGAACAACGTCAGCGACAGGTGTCATCGCCGGAGATGGTAACGGAGACGTACGGCAAACGGGACACGTAGGATGAAGCCTGAGCCAAGGGTCAACGCAAGTGTCGTGGAACAAGTGGTTACAATCAGGCAAAACCCTGATCATGTCCATTTTCTTGTAATCCGCGAGACATATAGAGCAACACGACGTCGTACTCGATTCCTTTTGCAAGCTATAACTCACACGAGCCTCTTCGTACGGAAGCTTAGGAAAACTCTTGATCACTTCCTCGTTTAGCCCCATGACTTCGACCACAACGGTGTCGTTTTCATCACCGTCGAAGTCGAACTGTTCTTGGCCAGGTTGTAACGTTCCATTGGTCTCTCTCTGCCGGCGTCTTGTCCTTGGAGTGGTCGTGGGAGAGGCAGAGATATGGCTTCGAGTGCAATAATAAGAAGTGAGGGTGATTGTGGTAATTAGCATAAGTATACCAATGGAGACTCCGATCCCGTAAGCCAATCCACCCATCCTATCTGTGTTCGTTAGCCAGTGGCCGGAGTAAGGTGGCACCACCGTCGCATTCATTACAACGGTCAGAATTTTTTTTTGAGTCTGAAGAGAAAATGATGAGTATACGAGGAAAGTAATGAATGTATTCGAAAATGTATATGTTTTTTTGTCATCACGATGATCAAGCTTCGGAGTCAACGATAAGATGTCGTTATGTCATATAGTTTTGTTTTGTTTTGTTTGGTATATATGGTGATTTTACATAAATTAACCAGTGGCGTTGATTAATAGCTTTTGCAGATATTCAAATTATTTTTAAGACTTAAATCGATCATTTAGAGGCTAGTAGTTGATCATAGATTTTAGTAAAATATAAATCCACTATAACCCATTGAATGTTTTTTAATTATCCACTTACGCTTTTGCAACTTTAAGTCAATTTGTGTTACGATGATGGGATATATGGCCATTTCGATCGAATAGTCCATACGACTTTTGTTAACTCTAAAGAAAAATATCAAAATAAAAAACAAAGGGGGCGTTCTTACTTAATTATATATACGTATTATAAGAAATCATGGCATGTTGAGTGCTTGAATGAAATGACGTATTTGATCGTCTTGTTGGCTGTTTCTTCTCACCGCTTTAACTACGATATTTGCTTTATTTACTAGTTCTTATTTTTCCACATATAAAAAAACCATAATGTTTACTTATATATATTTCCACAATAAATTGGTCAACCCTTTAATAATTTCTCTAACCTACAGTAATATGAAGCAAATAACTAAAATTTCATATGGTTTAACTACACACAAAACGTTTTGTAATTTTCACATGCAGTAAATGTTATATATAGCATTCACTCAAGAATCAAGAATTGTTACGATGATACGTGCTATATTCCAAAAGAGACATGAAAAATAAAATACGGGTTGCACAACCTATTTGAGTTCTCTCTATGAACCAGGAAAGTATTTGGTGAGAAGACTCTTAAGTGCACCATTGCAGTAACACGAGGTTCAAGATCTTAAGAATATTAATATGTGAAAGAGTATTTTTGAGTGGCAAAACATGTGGTATACTCTGTTAGTTTGTATGTTTATGTTGATTGGATGGACTCAAATCTGTGTTTTCTGATGTATGATTCTTTAGATTAATTTATAATTTTGACTGTAATCCCAAACAATTCATTTTTAATGAGATATTTACATTTTTAGCCAAAACAAAAAAAAAACATGTGGTAACAAAATTTGGTAAGAGTATTGATGGCAATTTTGATAGTAGCTAGTTGAAATGCATGTCGGTCCATATCCTATTTATTTTTTTCAACTAGATTCTCATAAAATCATTTTATCTTGTCATAGTATCAAGTATTAATTAATTAGGATTATACTCTTAGCATTACATATATAACATACTAATTATTTATAATACATTTTATACATATGCACATCACCTTGAAAATGTTTCTGTTAAAGAAAAAATGTAATTTAGATGGTTAAAATATAATTGTTAGATGGTAAACATATGTCATTTCAAAAATTAATGAAAATGATGATGTGTCCATGCTACGTTGGAGTGGACATATAGTTTTGTACTAATATGCGTATAAGTTTTGGGCTTATGTATGTGGGCTTTAGGCTATCCACAAAAAAATATATTCTACTTAGAAACGTATACATCGATTGTTTATCTTAAACCTAATTTTATTTCTTTTCAATCGCCGCTATTACTATGCATTTTTTGTGTCTTGATAATCTCAAGATTCGGTCTTCGACGGAGTTTTAACCTTGAAATTTCTTAATGGTGAGTAATGCTCTCTTAAATTACATGATACACTATTATCTAGATTAGTTGTCTTAGCGAATTTGGAATATTTGAAATTGAAATTTACACTTTTGTTGATAATAGGTTCTTGATATATCACATGTTTAGTGAGATTCAAGCTTTTGTTTAAGATATATACTGTGTATTTGGGAAAAGTGGCCTAAGTTTGTGTGTGCTTGTTAGTGCTTTGTTTAAGAGATTGTAATTTCATGTAATTAAGCTATAGTAGATATTGTATTGTTTTGGATTGTGTTGACGTTTGTGTGTTCTTGTTAGTGTTTTATCGTGTTGACAACTAGCTATGCACATATATAGTTGTCAGTACATGATTTGATTTGGTAGCTATCTAATATATATATAGTATCTGATGAAGGGAGGAGGTTTAGAGCATCTCCAGCTCAGTAGAAATTTCATCAAAGAGTTTTTATCAATCTATTTTAATTTTAAGTAATAAATAAGACTGAAAACTAATACATTTAAATCATGAAGATAGTGAAAACTTTGTTAAGAACTCTCCGATGAGAGTGCTCTTAGGGTTTAGTTACCTTGGTCTATTTTTGGTTTGGGGACTGCATTTTGCATTGCAATTGCTTTCCCTAGCTCGTCATTATTTACCAAATTGCTCTTGTTAATTCAGTCACGTCTTAATTAACCATGTTTTTTTCTGTTGCCTCAGCAACATATGCATTCTAGTTGGATTTGGAAGGTGAACATAGCATCAATATTTAAGGAGGTGCAAGCAAGTGATCGGTAAGCTGAACCTATTAAAATCTCATATTTCCTTCTTAATTACTGATATCCTCCATTAATACCCCCGATTAATATTTCCTTATGTATCCATTCCATTTTGTTTGCTCGTACATAAATCTTTTTTTTTTCAATGTTTTTGTTGTTCCTCCTTTTTACATCTTTTATCAATTTTATTATAATTTCTACCATCTCAAATTATTAGTGCTTTATCTCATTTCATACGACATACTTGTTTTCACCTATATATGCAGCCATGCAGGATCTTTTAATCAAAAGAATTCACACCTCGCCAGAAAAAAGTTGATACTACTATTTGTTAAGTTGTAGCCTTGTAGGTAAAGCAAACGCATTGCTCATATTTTAATATATTTTGATAAAAAATAGACATGTCACATGTTCTTTATTTCTTAAAACATCTTGATTATGATATTTACATTCTAAAGTTTTCAATTATTTTGTTATCTATGTTATAAATATATACGTTAGAAAAATAAAGATTTATACGAATATTTGAATTCACGATGAATTTGTAAGATTATTTTATATGTTTTTACAAACAAGTAGCCTCTAATCAACATCTTTTTCTAGGTCTCCATGGACACTACACTACATGTATTTCCCAGAGTACGTTGAATCAAAATCGGGTCACACGAGTGCAGACTGCAGAGGGAATAGGAAACGCGATGGCATCGTCTGCGTGTATCGTACTTGGTGTAGCATATTAACATGTGTCGTAAAGGAAAAGCTGCATGCATGTATTCCCTTTTCCCTCTCAACCGCATTTGTTTTTCACATACAAAAATGTGTATATATATATCTTACTATTAAAATAAACAGAAAATTCGTAAAGAAAAGATAGTGCTGAATGTTGATGATACTTAAAATACAATTGACCTATTGTTAAAAAAAAACGAAAAACTTCACGGAAAGATGATAATAACGTAGAGGAGAAAACATAGCATAAACAAAAAATTTTACTTATGCCTTCACGTTAGAGTTAGGTTTTATTTTATTTTTATTTTTGTTTTGATGTTGTTCATGATATTTTGTTGGAAGATGTTCATGGGACAGAACTTCCGCGTTATGTTTGGTTTTAATTTTTTTTTTAATTTAATAAATCGGAGGAGTCATTGCCTTCCTCTCGCTTACCAAAAAAAAAAAAACAAATTTTTTACTAATTAAGTTGCCAAAAAATCCATTCAAACATTTTCCAAGGGAGACTACAACCATGGACATTCTCCCCGTTCAGCCTCTTATCCTTGGCTTTGCTTATATAAGACCACACCTAAGATGCTTAGTTCACACCACAAAAAAGAAAACAAAAAAAAAATTCCAAGTGAGACTAAGCCATGGCTAAAAAAAAGACAGCTTGGATCCGGGACTATAAGACCCGGAAATCCAGCCTAAAGAGGAGATTAACCGGTCTAACGAAGAAAGTGAACGAGCTGTCCATTCTGTGCGATATGCCAGCTTCACTGGTTGTTTTCAATCGAGAAGAAGATCAATTGGCGGCGTGGCCATCTCCCGAGGCGGCTAAGTCACTCATCGACAAATTTTATTCTTTAACGGACCATGAAAGGACCATGAAGGCCGTCGATCCGGAGTCATACGTCCAGACCAATATCGAAAAGATTGAGAAGAAACTAGCCGATACTCGGAAGGTTATCACGGAGCTTGAGATGGAACATCTCATGTTCGACCTCCAAAATGGTCGTGAACTTGCTGATCTCTCCCCAACCGAGGTTGATAAATTAATATCGTATTCGGGTAAGAAGCTTATGTGTTTGAGTAAACAGATGGGTTCTACGGTGGATCATGAGGCCCTGAGGGCTTCGAATGTTGCGTCTGGGTCAGGTGGAAATGGTTTTAACATGATGGGAACTGGAAGAAGTTTCTATTATTTGGATAAATGGGTCTTCGTTGATCCACAAGTCCAAAAACCTTGTGATGATGAGACTCATTTACCCACAATGGTCACTGGATTAGACCTAAACATGGAACCATCTCATGAAGACTTGGGTACCTATAAAGGAGAGAGCAGCAAGGCCGCTGGTGCTGAAGACGATTCCGAATGAAGCTGCCGTCGAAGTTGACATGACAATGTGTCTTGAATTTTCTCGAAATATTGTTTTTTTTTCTATTATTGTTGTTGTTTCTTGCTCGTTTCATATCTTTAGTTTTCTTATGTTTTGGTCCAGTTTTTATCATGTCTCTTGTTATGTATTAAACTCTTGTATTTGCGTGTCATGTCAACTTAATTTTAATCGAATGTTTGTTTTTCTTTACTATTCTGTGCATTTTTGAAGAACTCATCCGTATTTAACAAATTTGTGAAAAGTATTAGGGCATAGTTTTTTTCTTTCTAAAGCATCGTATTTTAATAAGATAATCATTGTCATGCACGTAAACGATTAGAGAGATTATCATTCTCATGCATCGTACATAGTTTTGTTCATATTCTGACGCTTTTTGAAATTTGAAATGAAACATCTATATGCTACTTTTTATTCTCTATTTATATTCAACACTTAATTTTTCCTTACTATGTACAAATTCATTTGTTCTCCTATAACAAATTATTTTTAGTATTATGATTAGGACTTGTATCCTATTAATCTGTGTTAGTGTTTTCATTGTATTATCACCCAGATTCAAAATCCAATATTGCATGTTGTTTACAATATAAATTATTCTCATTTAAACGACTAAGTCACTTGGTTCATGCACCTTAATTCAAATTGCATTCAAAAAGAAGAAACTTTCATGGGAAAAATGTTTAAAACTTTAAAGCTAATGAATATCATTACTTGTTATTTTCTTTATTTGACCTCTCGTTATTTCCAATAAAAGTAATAAGTTTGACTATCTAAATAAGGAAATGTTATGATATGATAAAAGGAATGCATGACTTATTTATAGGAATAAGAATATTCATATAAACCAATATACATATCATAGAAGTAATTAAAAGGAAAGATATCTTATTGACTTATTGACTTATTGTATTTAAGAAGTAAAAGGAAAGAAATCTTAGTGTATTTAAGAAAAAGAAAAAAAAAAGGAAAGATATCATGTTCTTTTCTTTGACAGCTCATCATGATATTTTCTTAAAAGAGCAGATAATAAAGTTAGGATAAGGTCAAAGAATATTTATGTTAAATTTTAAAAGGAATGATATCATTTTTTTTTTTTTTTTTTGTTCAATGAAGGAATGATATCTTATGTTGGATATTTTCCTCAAATTGATAACTGTTGAAATGAGGTCAAAATTCGATGGGCCGATTTAATCCGACCTAAGTTTACCCAATTGAGTTAGGTTGCTCTGATGGGCCGATTCAAATATGGCTCAGAGGCACTAGCACTACTAGCATAGTTAATGTCGGTCCATAAATTATTAGAACCGACATATGGAAGTTATTTAATTTTTTTTTTTTGTGTTTCAACTCTTTTCTCCGAATGTTGTCAACCAATCAGAGTATGAAAAGGTACAAGCCATACTCATAAGTCATAACAGAGTAAAATATATTGTTTGCCTAAAGAAACATTGGTGAACTCTCAAATTTATTCATCAGGGAACAAAAATCAAACTTGACGACAAAGCAGTACTAGTAGTACTGTTACTTGATGGAGATGATTATGATTATGAAGTGGGATCATTGTAGCTTGTGGAGAGAGCACGTCAAGCCAACGCTACAGTGAACTAGAGCAATAATTCTGTCTATTTTATTTTTATGTCACCTACTACTTACTAAAGAAAACATTTTCTAATAAATATTTTTTTTAAAAATATACTCGCATGAAAGTTGAAGGTGATTGGTTGATGAAGCTATTTTTTGTTTCCATTACACTTGTTCACTCATCTCTTTCTCTCTCCTTCTCTCTCTGTGGATCTTTGTTTCTAATTTGGAACCGACATAGCTCCCAACTAATAGGAATCTCAAAGCTTCTCACTCTCTTGTGTAAGTTTCCTCTACTTATGTTTTCTTTATTCCAATTTGGATTGTTCTTGTTAAGCTTCTTCTTCTTTATTGGGTCCTCGCGTATCTATTGTTGATCTTTTCTAGCGTTTTGCACATTAATGTTTCGTTTGTCGATTCGATTTTTTAGTCTACTTTTATAGTTTCTCCCAAATTTTCTTTCTTTAGACAACAAAAATTCTGTTTCTTGACTGTGATCTTGAGATGGGTTCGTTCGTGTGCTTTGCTTTTAAAACTCAGTCCAAACATTCTTTCCTTGTTAAGAGTTTTTATATTTAGAGAAAGATTTCACTGAGACAAGTCTTTAGTTGTTGACTTTTTTTTTTTTATCTTGTTCAACAGATCTTTTGTGGCTCTCTTTCACTTTTCCATTGGACTTTTGGACATAAGCTATGCAAACTGAGGAACTTTTGTCGCCACCACAGACTTCATGGTGGAATGCTTTTGGATCTCAGCCGTTGACTACAGAGAGCCTTTCCGGCGACGCTTCTGATTCATTCACCGGAGTTAAGGCAGTTACTCCTGAGACAGAACAAGGTGTGGTGGATAAACAAAGTTCTACAACTCTCTTCACTTTCTCACCTGGTAAACTCTCAACTTTCATAAATGGAAGCTTCTGGAGTGTTCTTACTGAAATTCTGTGTTCTCTAAGCGGTTTTTTTTTTTTTTTTTTTTTGTGTGTGGAAATGCTAGATTACATAACCGCAACATGTATTAATAGTCTTGCAAGAAGACATTACCTCTCTCTCTCTGTTTCTTTCACATTACAGAATGGTTACAAATTCTTTCTAAGGTATATTAATATATTGTGGCTTTGATTTAGGTGGTGGAAAGAGTTCAAGAGATGTGCCAAAGCCTCAGGTTGCTTTCGCGATGCAATCAGCTTGCTTCGAGTTTGGATTTGCTCAGCCAATGGTACAGTTTTCTTGAAGTGGAACATCTCAAAATAAAAAACTTTCATTTCCCTTTAGTTTTGTTCATGAGTATTTGCTGTGTTTTGTTTTCATTGTAGATATATACAAAGCATCCTCATGTAGAACAATACTATGGAGTTGTTTCAGCCTATGGATCTCAGAGGTCTTCGGGCCGATTAATGCTGCCTTTAAAGATGGAGACAGAAGATGGTACCATCTATGTGAACTCAAAGCAGTACCATGCAATTATCAGGCGACGCCAGTCCCGAGCAAAGGCTGAAAAACTGAGTAGATGCCGTAAGGTAACTTATTGAAACTATTTGATCATTTTTCAGTATGCATTCGAAAATGTTGCCTTATGTTATGATGTTTCAGCCATATATGCATCACTCACGCCATCTCCATGCAATGCGCCGTCCTAGAGGATCTGGCGGGCGTTTCTTGAACACCAAGACAGCTGATACGGCTAAGCAGTCTAAGCCAAGCAATTCTCAGAGTTCTGAAGTTTTTCATCCAGAAAATGAGACCATAAACTCATCGAGGGAAGCAAACGGGTCAAATCTCTCGGATTCTGCAGTTACAAGTATGGATTACTTTCTAAGTTCATCGGTCTATTCTCCTGAGACCATGCCTATCAAGTGGAATGCAGCAGCAATGGATATTAGCTGCTGCAATCTTAATACATGATCAGCAGATAGGGGACAAGACAAGATTCGGTTCACCGGTCTTTTGTCTTGTCCCTTATCTTTCAGCCAAACGGAGAGAGAACTTGCGTCCTGAAAAAGGACATTGAGTTTCCTTGGTTTATAAGATTGGTCCTTTTACCATCCGTTTGGCTGTAAACAGGCAAATCATCTTTGGCTCATCCTTCATCAAGGTCTTTTATCCGGTCTGTTTCCTTCTACTAATAAGATTTGAACTAGTGAATAAACACTGATGGATTTGCTACTACCTTCTTGTTCCAACTAATGTGTGTGTTGTAAGAAACTCTTGCCTTATTTTCTGATGATGTAAAACAACTGTAAGAATTTCAAGTTAATGTGGTTTATGTAACAAAGTCAAAGCCAAACTTCACTAAAAGAGCTAAAGCATGAGTGTCACATATTATAGAGATGTTTAAGATTGCAGAGACAAAAATTTGCCTCAGAACTAGCTGCCAATCCAGAACAAACAGAGCATGTGCAGTGGGAGGTTCTCACAAGTGTTCTCAAGAATATAAAAAATGAAAATAATAAAAAGTAAGAGAGAGACATGAGCATGGGTTCTCATATGAGAACTTTTGAGAACCTCTTGAGAGACTCATGTCACACATGGCAAAATGTAATTGGTTTAAAAAAAAATTTATTACTTAAAATTTAATTATACAATTAAACTAATTTATGTATATTATAAATTTATAATAATATATTTTGAGAGACTTTGAGAGAACCTCCCACTGCACATGCTCTTAGAGTCAATTTAAACATTATTAAAGAAAATTTAAAGAGATTGAAAAAGCATTTCCCTGCATTCTCCCACCACGTTCTGTTTCTCTTCTATTTGTTTGCTGGGATTTGGATCTCCCCAGCTATTTTCTCCTTCAAACTGGACACGTTTTCCGGTAACGACTGCACTGTGAAGTCAATGACTTGCCACTCATCATCGATCGTAGAGGAATCCTGAAAATGTACGACTGCTGATTAGATACAAAGTCAAGTTAAGAAACAAAAAGACTCCAAGAATCAGAAGAAAACATTAAACAATTACCGAATGTTGTGGATCAGCAAGAAACTGGTCTTCTGGAACAAGTGCTGACTCGTCATGTAGAGGCAGTGGTGGGGGAGAAGGAGATGTTTCAGGCATAGGTGGTGGTGGGTGCACAACCATATCAGGCTGCATTTGTGTTGAAAGGTGTTGAGGTTGTAGCACGTTAGCAGTATAGTCTTCATCCTCCAAACCAGCAAAATAGTCAAGCAAATCAATCATGGCCATATCCACTCCCTCCTCTTGCTTTTCCAATTGAAGACAATGGAAAAAAACATCAAGAACAGTCGCCGTAAAATCATCACTCTTGCTCAGTATTTTGGAAGGCATTAATACCCTTGAATACGCAATAACAAGCCTATTGTAAAAACTGAACCTGCTACTAGTTGACTCCAAAAACTCAAACTTAGGGTTCTCAACCACTATCTTCTTCAAATCCCGCACAAAATTCATCCCGTACCGCGCCATAAACTGCGCTGTGAGCTTAATAATACCAAGCTCCTTGAGTGTGATCTCCTTTTCAGGGAATTCAAATCCAACACCGAAAGATCTCAGAACATTAGGTTGGATATCCTGAGCTCTATCTTGATTCTGAGCACAGTATTCTGCTAGCTTAAGCTGATAAAATGCGTGATAAGGGTGAGTGCTCCACACAAATCTGTATCTTGTATCATTCATACTAAGTTCCATGAACCTTCTTGCAGTCTCCAACCCATTTTTGGAAACAAATAGTGCAGTCTTCTGGATAAAATTTCTGATTCCTGGAGGTGGCTCAATAGTTGCCACACTCGCAAGAGCTTTATTTGAATTGTTTTGACCCGATTGCAAATCATTCTGTGGCCGAGGTGGTGTAGGTTTCATCATGTGAGAAGGACCTTGAAGATGAGTAAACTGAAATCCAAGTGGACGCAGAATTAGAGGTGGTAGTGGCGGCATCATCATCATTGGAAGGTATTGTTCAGGTAGTGGTTGCAACACGTCATCCTCCACGTTAGCAAAAAACTCGAAAGCATGCAAATCAGTCATAGCCATCTCCACTCCCTCCTGCTTTTCAAGAGCTTGATCAAGAAGCTTGAAAAAACCATCAAGAACTTCCCCCAAACCAGCACCATTCTTTATGGAACGCTTAAACACCCTCAAAAACCCATCAACAAGCCGCATGTAAAAAGAGTGCTTGCTATCAGTTGACTTCACAAACTCAAACTGAGGGTTCATTAACACTTTCTTCATCAATTCAACCCGAAAATACTTCCCATAAACAGCCACAAACTGCGCTGTGAGCTTTATAATATCAACCTCCTTGCGCGTAATCGTTATCCCTTTAGGAAAGAATGGGAACTTGACAAGTGGAGACCGAGACAGAAACATGTTAGCAAAATACTCATAAGCATGCAAATCAGTCAAAGCCATCTCCACTCCATCCTCCTCCTTTTCAGGCACTTGAGCAAGAAGCTGGGAGAAAGCATCAAAAACTTCCCTCGTACTATCACTCTTCGTCTTCAGCTTTTGGGAAGGCATTAACACACTCGAATACCCGAGAATAAGCCCCGTGTAAAAACGGTTCCTGCTGTCAGTTGGCTTCATAAACTCAAACAGAGGATTCTCAAACACTCTCATCGTCAACTCCCGCCGAAAATACTTCCCATAAACAGCCACAAACTGCGCTGTGAGCTTGATAATATCAAGCTCCTTGCGCGTGATCGTGATCCCTACAGGAAGGTATGCGAACTTGATAGGTGGAGGCTTAGGCATATCCATGATTGGAGGCCTAAGATAGTGTCGTTCATCATCAGTAGCTGGAGTGTCATCATTCCTTCTCTCGAAACGACGTGTGCTTTCTGAATCCGCCCAAACTTGAGTTGCATTGTTTTGCCTCGATTGCAAATACTTGTGCATCATTTTTTTTTCTACAACCAGAGAAACATTAAAAATCAGATTCAGAGAGAAGGCACAACTACAGACAGAGAGAGAATCTAAAGGAAAAAATAAGAGGAATCGGAGATATATTAGAAACGCCGTACCTCAGCCGTGACTTGGAGACCTAAAGCTTGGAAACGACGGAAGCGAAGAAGAAGAAGAAATCAACTGTGAGCCCTAGGCTACTACTATTTAAAACCAAACTCCTTTGGTGGTTTTCTAATGGGCCTTTATTGATTGGGCTTATAATTTCGGTTCATATTAATTTGTTATACCAACTTCTAATTTGATGAAGAATAATTGGATTGGAACTTAAAAAGATCAGATCAAACCATAAGGGTTTTTTTGTTAATAGACATGAACCATTTTTAGATTCGATCTACAATTACAAACTAAAGCAGATCGCTTCTCTAATCAAGACATATATCACCATCCAATCATATTATCAAACTCACAACACCTTTGTAATTAAGCAAGAATAATCTTAGGACCAATCTCTTAATCATTGTTAAGGCTTGGTCGTGTCAAGATCATCAAGATCTGACGCTCTCTTTATGTCTTAGTGCTTCTTCTATGTTATTTGATTTCTTCGTGTGGAAAATGGGTTATGTTGCTATCTTCATTTGCCTCAGAGACAGATACGCGAGGAGGCGGTAACCGAAAATCATGACAACGAGTGCGGCTACTTCAGTTAGTCCATTGTCTATTCTCATCCCATTGATGGATTCAGCGAAGTCCTGGTATTGTACTTTAAGAAGAAGCTTGTAGGTGTGGTAATTGAAAGATAGATAACGTATCCACGATATGAAAACCGGCACTTTCTGTGGAGAGAAAGAAACAAAAGTAAATCAATAAAACAGAGTAAATCAAGAAACGGGGGAAGTTAAAAACAGAGGAAATCAAGAAACAGAGGAAGTTAAAAACAGAGGACTTGCCTTGACAAAGAATCCTCCGGCGAGCATGAATGTCATGACAGTTACTGAAGCCAAAGTTGTAGCCTTCTTTAAATCCATTAAAACGGCACCAATTGCAAGTCCGAGTCCCTAGCAAAAAGAATCAAAATCAGCATTTAGATTAATACTTTTCTCGTTGATTAGGGAATAATTTCGATGTGAATATACCTGAGCTGCAATGATGCAAAGGAAAACTGTTAGCATGCTCAAGAAGAAGGGATACGGGCTAATCCGAAGACCTGTCATGAAATAGACGACGAGAAGGAAGAGAGAAGGTAGAATAAAGTCGAGAGGGAGATCACTCGTGGTTCGAGCTAGGAAATATGCGCTTAATCTGTACATATCCGCTGCTCTCTCCTTATTTAACATTGCTCTCTCTTGCGGAAACGCAAAGATCGCTGTGAAAACAGGGAAGAATCCCCAAAAAACTGCTATGAAGAAGAGCAAACCGGCCTGCAAAAAGAAAAGGAAACATACGAATGTAGAGAATGATATTAGTAGTGTGCATAAAGAAAGAAAGTATTTATCAAAACCAAATGATAACATACCTGATCTTGTAGTCCCATTGGAGTCCGAATGTCCGACTGCCACCAGAGAAGACCTAAAATGACAGCTGTGGAAAGAACTTGAGTAACACGCAACCAACTGAAGTATTCGTGTCGCCGTTCTTTGAGTCCTCTGCAGAACAGTATGCAATATTGCTCCCACCAGCCCGCTCCCCATTCGCGCTTTAGGCGCGTACTTTTGGCCTTAGCTTCTTCGTCAAGTGGCACAGGATCCAATAGTTTCTTCTTCTCCTGTTCTGCAACCCGAGTCTCGTATGCCTCCACTAGATACTGCTTACAGTTTTCCCGATATACATCAGAACTCAATTTGATTATAGATAATCTTGATTTGCTAGAAATGTTGTTGCTTCTATAATTACCTCATGAACAGCAGCAGGAGATGGCTTGCCAGTTTGAGTTTCTCTGCCTGAATTGCCAACTTGAACTCTGTCATCTAACTCAAAAGGCACAGAGATATCATTGATGTTACCATTGGCGAGATCGAGCAAGAACTCTGCAGGATTCATGGCGATAAGAGGAGAGCATCCAATAGAAGAGAAGTAATCCAAAGCTTCTGATGATTTTCCAAAGTAGAGAAGACTTCCTCTTCCTAGTAGAATCAGCTTGTCAAATCTATGGAAGAGCCTACTCGAGGGCTGATGTATCGTTGTGATCACTGTTTTCCCCGCCTGTTCCGAACACATTTTCCTCAAGATTCAGAAAACAATCAAAGCAAAGATAGAAAGTGTCTGAACAAACAAACAAACCTCGGCGATGTCATGGAGCATCAGAATGATTCTAAGAGCAGTGGTGGAATCTAAACCAGAGGTTGGCTCATCAAGAAGTAATAGAGAAGGATTAATGATGATCTCGTTTCCAATAGAAACTCTTTTCCTCTCTCCACCTGATACACCACGCACGAATGCTCCTCCAATCATAGTGTCTTGGCACCTAAAACCATTCCATGTTAAAACAAAAACCACATATAATTTGCTAATGTTTGGAACCTCTAAACGATCCAACATACCTCTCCAAACCCAACTCTTGGATAACGTCTAAAGCTCGTTGCTTCTTCTGCTCTCTCGTAAGAGTCTTTGGTAAGCGCAGACGAGCAGCATAGGTTAGCGTTTCTTTCACGGTAAGATGAGGAAACAAAACATCATCTTGAGTCACAAACCCAATCCTGCCACCAAACCAGGAACCAATCGTTAAGTCTCCATATGTATTCATACAAGAAAATATGAGTTTTAGGGCCAAAAATACTGACTTGCTTTTCAAGTATTTAGAGTAAGGCTTGTCGTTGTAAGTAACAGAGCCTCCAGTAGAGGATTGAGAGATTCGTCCAGCGAGTAAGCTAAGAAGAGTTGTTTTTCCACTCCCTGAAGGTCCCATGAGAGCAAGAACTTCACCAGGACTCACACTCCCACTTATCCCAGTTAATATCTCTTTTTCAGCTGAAGAAGTCAATTTCTTGATCACCACTTTGTATGTAACATCCCTGAACTGCATCAGTTCCACAAAAACCACCACTATGTCTTGAGATTATATAACTCATGAAAATGAAACCTATTTAAAAAACAAAAAGAAAACTCTTATTATATACATTTTCACTTCTTCCCCCCCTTAGTCTAATCTTAACTATGGATATTTTAAGTCTTGTACATAAATTTCATGTAAGATGAGATTATGTACAAGACCAGAACCTGATGAAAAGTAGATACACAGAGATAGAGACAAATGTGTGATATTCTTTTGATCTCCTCTCAGTGCCTGTGCAAACAGAGAAGATCAGTACCAAAAGAGATCAATCCCATACACGAAAACCACTAGCTACTACTTCACTCCAATTTCTAACATTTTTTTTGCTCTTTTATTTTTTTGGTTTGATATAAGTATTTATTTACCTTGAGAAAGATGGGCAATGTTGGTTCTGCTTGAAACTTAGGCTTCTTCTTTCCCGCTTCAATATCTTCGGCTGCAACAGTTAGGTTATACTGGTGATTCATCGTTACTTAATAAACCAAAAGAAGTCAGTGACTCAGTGAATGAATCTTTAAGTAGGTGAATTTTAACGCCTAAACACTATGGTAAGTGAGCTTATGTTATACTATGTATAAAGTATATGTTGGCCAATCTTTGTCAGCCAGCTAAACGTCTTTTACGTAAGATTTTGGACTTTGAGGTACACTATTGACAGATTACAACAGACCAAACACAAAAAACTCCAAAATTGGGACCCATTATTGACTAATTAGTAGAGATATATTTGACTTCTTCTTACCTATTTTTATACCTACTTAGTCATAAAAAGCTGTTAAAATGTTGGTGAATCAATCACTACGTGACGTTACAAATCACTAGCTATTTTTGTTCTTTTTTCCCCCTATTCGATACTCTTTCTTTAAAGATTTAGTTTCTACCTACATAAGTATATATGCACTTTACACAAAAGTGATCATTAAGTGAGGATAAATTGAACATGAATAGTGTACAACTATGATGGACTGATGGTTATCAAAACAAAAGAGTACAACTATGAGTTTATGACAATCACTAGTGGTGAATTATTGACTTTAGAACAAATGCTCAGATTGACAAAATATCAACATATATATAAATAAAAGAAACAAAAGTACTAAAATAAACTTTAAACACCCGTTATAAGTGGTAGCATGCATCTTTGACAAACTTAATTAGTATTTCTTTAAGCAAATTAATGTCATAACTTTTGTTAATGTACGATCTCTTTTAAAAATACAGTATCGGGCATTTGGAAGCATTTTCCTTATCTTTTTGAATATGGGCCAACATCATAAGATTTAAAGAATAGTTTGCACTCGAATAAATATTAAATTACAATTATCATTGCAAACCACTGGGGTTGATATTATAAATTATTTTATACAACAAAGATCTTTTTATGTATGATTTTAATGCTTTCTCATTAAATATTAAAAGAATAAATATATTAATTGCAAGCACCACTGAATATGCAATTGAAAAGTGAAGAGAAAAAAACAACAAAAACAAAAAGTGAAAAGAAAATAAGTGGTAGGAGTTTCAGTTGCACGAGAAAGAGAACACGTGGAACAAATTAGAAGGCCAATTGTTTGGGTCTCTCTTAAATAAAATAATTTATCCAACTCTCATGCAAAAAAGCAAAGCAACGCACACCAATCATGTATCCGTTGTTATCATTATTATTGTATCATTTAATTGCATGTCTTAATGACCATACTACCCTCTAAGTATGGGAACATCGTAACGAAAATGACTAAACTACCCTTGGACTAAAAGAACTAGTGGACTAGTGAGATAAGTTCGCACGACTTACGTATCATCTCGTCGTCGCTGAACGGTTTCGAGTCAGAGATTTCCTCCGGCGGCATAGCGAACCCGGTGAAAGAAAACGAAAGCCCGAGCGATGCGCTAGACGCACGGCTCAAAGCTGCTCCGCTGCTTACTTCCTCTAGCTCGAGCTTAAGCTGAGCGCTTCTAGACTTCCTTATGTGTGTGCCGGCTCCGCCACTCCTCCCCGGAGAAGCCCCCATCATCAGCCTCCGGCTTGATTTCCTCGATAAGGTCCCTCCTCCTCCAACGGCTGCTGGAGCCGTCGCAGGCACACCATTAGCGTCCATGGAGCCGTGAGGTGACCTGATGGCTGCTGCCACCGTCTCATATAGCTGCTCCGATCGTGTTCGAGCTAAACCGGAGGCCAACGGTGGCTTTTCCATTGACATTATGACGTTTGCTAAAACTGCCGACGATAAACCATAAATCATAATCCATATTTAAAATTGATTACCAATATTTACGTTCAGGATCATATATAGCTTATATTAGTGTAAGGAACATAAACAAATTAAATGGCATACTTATATATAGAAATAAGAAAACAGGAATGACTATAAGAAGATGGATATGTTTTTTTCTTAGGATATAGAATCGATACCTTTGGGGAACTAAAAGATAAAAAGTGTTTCCACTGTTTGAAAGAGGTTTGTTTTTATGGAAGAGACGATGTTAAAGCTTGATACTTGTGACACCCTTTCTAAGCTGCTTCATCAACCTTCTTTATATAGTAGCATTTATGAGTGGCTCAACTCCGATTACGATAATACCCTTATGTTCAACTTTTCATACATGTATATCTAATAATAATAATTTTCTTTTTTTATCGTTGATTGGTTCATATCTTCTTATTAGACCTAGAACAGTTTCATTACCATTTGGTTGATGTTATTAGGAGTTTTATTCTGAATTATATATAAACAAAAAACCGTATTCGAATTGAGATATAATGATATCAAATCTATTATTTCTAATCAAAACTGTTTGCACTTAACTCCAATTAAAAATTGACAATAATACTCTTTGGTTGAATATTTGGTTTGAGCTAGCTAGGTTTGCATTGAGAGTAAAACCGATCTCAATACTTGAATTTTGTACCGAATGAGTGATAGATTAGTGGTTAGCATTTTGATTGGTTACACTGTACATTTAGTTTAACCCTTTTGTGTTAGATGATTTTTCACTTTGTTTTGTTTTAGTATTATCAACGGTCCAGTTTTGGATCGGATCTACAATGATGTAAGAAATATATTTGACGTTAGTCGGAACAAAACCATCATAATTAAAACAAAACGTCATATGATTAAATCCGGTTTCAATGACACTTAATCAAACTACAGTTTCTAACCATTGTATAAACTACTCACTGATCAACCATATATATGTTTTCTGCTTTATATTTCAAAATCAATATGAATTCACATTCGCAGCGCTGAGTATAACTTGACGAGTAATAGCGATAGTTTGCGGACACGATGTTTCCAGCTAAGTATGAAGCTTCCTATCATCCTGACCGTACACGTGGTGGGACATACGAATATTATAATATATATACATGTTTTCTCGTATATGAATATTAAGCAGTTGTAGTAATCAACCATCGATCGTCTCGGATCCTCTTTTAGTACGACACAGGTAGTCCATAAATTTCATGATTAGAAATCTACCAATTAATATGGACTCTTATTTTCAGATTATCTCATACTTCATGTAATTATAAATGCATCAAATCATATTTTTAAACCCTTTAACAAAAAAACGTTTATTGCATGCATCTATATCAGAATTTAGTAGTTGTATTTAGTGCATTTTGGCTTCTTTTTGTTATAAATATACCAAAATCATTTGATTTGTTTTTGTTGTTGTTGATTAACTATGATCCAATCTTTTATATTTTGTTTCTTAATCACTTGTAAGTTGTAAGTTTTCTTCAATTTTAAGTTCATTGAGTCGTCTAAAACCTGTTTTATTCCATGAGATAAAAACATAACAAAACAATTTAAAATAATAAATATTGTGAAAATATCGTTGGGGAACGAAACCTTCCTCTTTGGATGTAACGAGAGCAAATCAAACCCAATTCTGCCAAGTAATAAGGGGATTTGCGTAGTTTGAAGAATAATGTGATACCTTTACACAACACCATACAAATAAAATTGGATGTACATAATATTTTTCTTAAAGAGGAAAAGTTTAATTTGTCCGATTTTTCCGCTACTTAATAAAAATGATAGTTCATATATCCTGTTTCCTTTTTTCTTACTTTCTATATATAATTATATCAAACAAAATGATGTCAATTAATTTCAAAATGACTGAGACATGCATGTTCAGTTTCTTCTTTACAAAATTATTGAATAATCAACCGTAGACGTGTCCGGCCAATTCGAAATATACAATCTATTATATTATATACGTACTTATGTATCCATACAATAATTCTGTTGACATTGCAGAAAAGAAAAAGGGTATCAATCAAGGGTAATAGTTATTTTTATAATTTTCCCCGACTCCAAAACTTTTTGCATTAAATTTTTCTTAACCTTACTAGCTTATCAGATTAGCCCTGATGAAAGACAGCAAAATAAGATAAAATAAAAAGGACAGTTATGTTTTATATGTTAATTTTGTGTGTTTGGAAAATGTACAAAAATATTTTGAGGCTTTAGTTGAATCTCATGTTACCTACGGGACAGGGCACTTCCTAAAAAGCTGGTTTTGGATGCTTTCTTCCTGCCGAATATGTTTTGTACTCAAATGCTTTTATTTTCTTTTTCTTTTTTTGGTTAGTTTTGAGATTTATTTAGCTTTCGTTACAGATTTTTCGTACTTATTATCGTCACATCTTCGTAAATATTACGTCTATAACTATAATGGTTATTATATCGGTAAATCTAGCCTCATATTCTTTTGATTCAATCTCGACTGTGTTAACATCACATAATTGGTTTTAACAAAAGAAATTTGGTTATAAAAAACATACACATAATCGATGCAATAGTCTGTTAAAAAAAAAAATCGATGCAAGAGTTAATTAATTTGATTGCTAAGAATTGGTAAAACAGGCCTCGCATTTTTTTAAATCTTATAATGAATTGCTTCCTGTAAAATTTGACGTCACACAAAATGTTTTACAAGGTACTACGATATGTATAGGTACTAGATCCAATATGGATGGTCCTTGTATCTAGCTTTGTTCCTTTCATAATAATATAGTTGTGAAATCCTTTTTTTGGTTCACAATAGTTGTGAAATTATTTTGTGTGACGTCAAGTTTATCAAAAAAAATATATATTATATGGTTGTAAAATCTAATTTGGAAAAATTTGTATGTACCCGATCAATAGAATAAACCGTTGGATCTAACAAATTCTGGACCACAAACAAGGAAAAATAAAACTAAAACTAATTCTATGATTGCTAATAAGCCTTCTTTTTATGTACTAAAATGTAAAGAGGACCCGAAACGTATATATTTGTAGTGATTTGTTTTTGTCAAAACTTATAGGAATTAATTAGTTTAAGTGGTGTATATTGATTTCTAAATCTAGGATGTGGTTCAAACCCATGATTGTTTTGAAGAACAATTTTCCTTTCAATGGACTTTAAATTGACTTACGCCTACCAAATGTACTGTAATAAATAAATTCCATGAGAGGTCAACACTATAATTGAATGTATAAATTGGTACGTTATGTGTAAGTGTTTGTACTGCCTCAATGTGTAGTCACGTACAGTGGTGCAAGAAAGCTACGGACAGGTTGTGATTTTGTCAAGGATCGATGTCTTAAATCACAAAGCCAATAAATGAAGCAGGCCCAACTTTTTGTTTTCTTCTTCTTTCTCAAGAGATAAACGGCTTCTACTGATGATACCTACGTTTTGTTTCTTTGTCATTGGATCCTGTACATGGCCTAAACGTCTTCGATTGTTCGTTTGCGTTTACATGTTATATATGATTGTGTTTTGTCATATTTTGTTTTCAAAAGAATAACAGTCTTAGACATTTTAAACAAAAATTAACTTGTTGTTTGTAAACGTAAATATTAAACACAAACAGAAGAATCTCTACTTGCGTTTACATTTTCGAAAAGTATTTTATGATTTTATCAGCCAATTCGGGTAAAAGGATAAAACACAAAGAGAAAACGTCAAAAAAGTATTGTGGTATATATCCTCTTTTATTGTATCATCTATATGGAGATCCATGTTCAGTTTTAACCCAAAAATAATCCTCGTTCAACATTAATTCGTTATACTATTATTACACACGAATCTAATAAATAGTTTTGAGGATACATGTCTACGTAGGGACAAAGAGCCATAAAGATGCATCCACGTGGCAAGACAAGTGCGAAGATGAGTCAAGACTCAAAGAGCCCTCGTCGTTCCCCACACTGTCTGGTCGGTAGTTGAAACGTTAGTTGTCGACTTGGCGCGCCACCTCCTTTTTTTTTTTTTTTTCCCTAATCGTTTATTATAATTAAAACACATACTTCGATACATCTTTCAAAACGCTATTCACTCCATTTGAAAAGAAAGGAACAGCAGACGACATGGCGAAGACCCATCCCCATGTGAGAGACTGGTCAAAATGATTGATCAAAACGTTAGAAACAGGCTGAGCACAATTAGGAGTGGAGGAGATCACAAGTATGCGGGAGGCATCCAAGTTTGGTTTGAATCAAAGCAACAAGGATAAAATCTCAGGCTTTTGTCTTTTCATTTTTGTTTTAAAAACAGCATGCACTGAAGTGTAAACAAGTTTATTTTTTTCTTGAATATAATTTAACATTAGATTCAAAAAAGAAATTAAAACACATACTTATTATGACATAAACTTTTGTTAAGGTACATACCATATAAGTAATAATCAACTTAGAATTCGAACTGGTTTAAACAATAATTGAATGCCAGTGTCAGTGGACGAGTTTGGTTTAGATATTTCCATCACTCACCAATAAAATTTGCTTTTTCATACATTTCGTTTGGAAATTTTCAATCGGATCCGTAAATTAAAAAAGAAAGAGGTATGTCTTAGCTTCGCATTTGGTGATAGGACCAACAAAAAAAGAGTCTTAGTCACGTGGCTTCTTCTCCGTGAGGACGGCACCGCCCCTCTTCTCGTTTTTATTTGCTAAAAGCCTATAATTGTTACCACTTATTATATATTTTAGTGAAGTACTATAGTGTATAGTGTTAGTTATGCATAGTGTTAGTTATGCATAGTGTCTACACTCATAAGGTTTTGGAATCAGATAATGAAATTCTGGTTCTATGCCTTTTTAGACCTTTTCTTAGAGGCCTTAAGACGTTTTTATTCATCTTTAATTTGCATAGAATAAAAATCAACATTTGTCATAGATAATTTTTCTAGAGCTAAAAAGAAAGATTTACTCAAAAATACAGAAAGAAGTTTACCAAGTTTTCTTTTAAATTACAAATCTGCTACCAAAAAAAAAAAATCATTTTTGTTACGAAAACAGAAAAGAATAAACATACTAATGTAACTATGTAAACTTGTGCTGTGCTATTAAAAAAAAAAAAAAAAAACGCTACAAGAACTACTAAAACAAAGACTGTCACCAATAATCTCTGCATGAACATAATCCATTTCTAAAATGATGAAACCTGTTGCGGTCTCTTACAATAAACTCTCTACCATAAACCTCAGAGATAAGCTTTGTTGCTGTATGACAATCCTCACATACCCTTAAGTTCTTCACTATCCTAATGGTTGTACCAGGCTTAGTCTTCATCATACTATATGCAATTGCAAGTTTCTCGCTATGCATATGAATCGCAGTCTCCTTCTCCTCTTCGTCTACATCGAAAAACGCATCATCTGTGTTTCCTTTATACCCTATCAATCTTATCTTCCCCAAGATCTCTTCCCACTTCCTTTTGATCTTACCCATTTCAGGATGCTTCTGATCATCTCCCATGGAGAACTTGTTTATTTTCCCATCAATCTCTATTAAGCTCCACCCTGGTGGTTTCTTAACAAGCTTCTCCTTCATCATGTCTCTCAAGCTCTCTATTTTATCCCATTGTCCTGCACACGCGTATATATTTGAGAGCAAGACATAGTAACCGCTATGTTCTGGTTTCACCTCTATCAACATGTTTCCTATTCTCTCTGCGACCTCTGTGTTCTTATAAATCTTACATGCTCCAAGCAATGCTCCCAATATAGGAGCATTTGGCTTCACCGGCATTTTAAGGATAAAGTTCTCAGCTTCGGCTAATTTCCCAGCACGGCCAAGCATGTCAACAATGCAACCATAATGCTCGAGTCTAGGCTCGATCCCATAATCCCTTTTCATGTTCTCATATATTTCTAAACCTTTATCAACTAACCCACCGTGGCTGCAAGCTGAAAGAACCGCTGTGAGTGTAACATCCCTTGGGATAAACCCTAATCTAATCATTTGGGAGAAGTAATGAATTGCCTTGTGAGCATGTCCGTGCACCGCTAGACCTTTGATTATCGAACTCCAGCTCAAGCTATCCTTGTCAGGCAATTCCTCAAATACATGAATTGCTTTCTCGATTTCCCCACACCTCCAATACATATCCACAAGAGCTGTCCCAAGAATAAGATTCACAGTCATGTGACTCTTAACCACATACTCATGTGCTCTTTCTCCAAACTCAAGCGCACCCAAATGAGCACAAGATGAAATCACACTCACCATAACCGTCTCATTCGCGACAACTCCTTCCCTTTTCATGAGTTCGAACAAGTCAATGGCTTTCTCAAAAGAGTTGTTCTTCGCATACCCATTGATCATGATACTCCAAGTAAACAAATTTCTGTGTGGCATTTCATCGAACATCTCTCGTGCATCCTCAACCATCCCACATTTGCAATACCCAGCCACCATAGAAGTCCATGAAACCACATCTCGAAACGGCATTTGCCCAAAGATTCTATCAGCAGCAGCGATCAACCCACAATTAGCGTACATATGAACAAGAGAATTCTCTACATAAACATCATTCTGGAATCCGAATCTAACAATCTGTGAATGCGTTTGCTCTCCCACCATCACACACTCCATCTCAGTAGACGCCTTAATCAGAAACGGAAACGTGATGTTATCTGGCCAAATGCGAGATTTCAACATTTGAGTATAGAACCCAAAAGCTTTTCTAGGTTCTGCGCCAGTGGAGAAGCAGCGAATGAGTACGTTGAAGACGAAAAGATTAGGGTTTTGAATCTGAGAGAAGATTCCGTACGCATATCCCAAGAGATTGGTGGGTTTGTTGAAGGTGGAGTCGTCAACGCAGAGAGCGAGAAGACGACTGGCAACAAAGACGTCGGAGATGAGATGGGTTCGTAAGAGAAAGCCATGGATTATCTTGAGGTCGGAGAAGGAAGAGCAGGATTGGAGCAAGGCAAGCTTCGGGTGTTTGAAACGAAGTGTGTTGAGCACAATGTTACTCATTCTCAGCAAAAAGAGCCCAAAAGTTCTCAACTTTATAAGAAACTAACATATAACGGTCGATTTCCTCTGTTTTTAAAGTTTGACAAAATTTTGTAGCAAAGAGCATAAACAAAAAATTTTAAGTCTAATATAAGGGTAACAATTTCCTCCATATGCATTTGGTAAAGGATCGGGAAGATCTTACAAAATTGAAAATTTAAGATGATGAATTGATTGTCATTAGAAAGAAAACTTGAAAGAATCAGCTTTGGCAGAGTCCCAGAACGAAACTCTTTGTTCTTCGGCTCTTTTCGCTTCTTCTGCTTTCTTTTCTAACTCTTGGATAGTCCCTGGGTAAACTCCTTCAATGGCCTTCTTGAATTTGTCATGTAAATTCTCTCTGTCAGTTGTTCCGGAGACAAGCTCTTTAGCATTCGGTTTCTTCAGAAATTCTAACACATTCAACAAATTCCTCCTGCACAAGTAATGTTTCACAAGTTAGATCAGCTCAATACAGACTTGAAATCCCAATTCTTTCAACTGATGCGTAGCACCATACAGTTGATGCAAATGCACAAAAAGCTCTCAGATAAATGCTATATAAACACATTTAATCTTCATGATGACAATAATTTCTCAAGTGCTATGTACACAGTTAATATTCTAGTAACATCAGTGTACTATCTTAGCCACTTTCAAACTTTCGTTTTTAGTTAATAAACAGATTCTAACATCTGAAAATAACTTAATCTAGCATAATGATGTTGTTCCAATTTATTAAACTTTTCTGATGTCAACTTTTATCTACTAAAATGGATATGACAAAGAGCCAGTGGGAAAGAAACTAACTTTACCTGCTAGCATAATTCTGAGTAATAGCAATCGATTCCTCCAGGTTAATCACCAGATGCCACCATCCATTCGGTACAAACATCACCTCTCCGGCTTTGCATATACACTCAATAGGTTTCTTCTCCCAATCCTTAGTATCATCATAAAAGTTCATGAACCACTCTATTATGGAAACAGGACAGGCCACTTCAGCTCCATCAGGACTTGGATGCACACCCGGAGGAACCACATCTGGTGGGAACAAAACCCATTTTTTTGACCCTGTAATCACCGCATTCCAAGCGGATGTTGAGTTAGGATCAATGTGGAAAGACGATCCTGATCCGGCTGGGCCAATTATGATCCATCTATAATCAGGTCGCTCGTTTCCTAAAACACCAAATAAGTCCTCTCTGAAATAGACAGGAACATCATACTCCGAATCCAAAACCGGAACTTTCTCTGCAAACTTTGGATCAAACAAATACAAAGGCCTTTCTTCCCTAGCTCCATCAGAATACCTAAAATATTTCTCGAGCTTCATTTCAACTGGACCAACCGCAAATTCGACATCCCCAACCACCTTAATCAAATAATCTCTTGACCATTTCTCAATAGCAGGCCAACCATCCAAACATCCCTCCAACAAAACAGGCTTATTCGGCTCCTCAAACTTGGTAATGAATTCTTCAACAGAAATGCCTCTCACCCGTGTGATATTGTCTCTTCTAAGCCATTTCGGTTTCATTTCGAGATTTGCACACAACCAGCTCTGAAACAAATAATCAGAATAGAAATCTACAATCTTCAAATTCGATTCACCATCTCCAGAAAACTGAAATTTCGGATGGTAAGCAGCTACATAGGTAGATTTCCACGACCCATTAAACAAAAACTCTCCTTTTAGCTCTTCCAACACAAGATTTCTCCAGAGAGGCTCATGATTGGCAAAAATATAGAAAGATTTGGTTACAGTAGCCAAAATACCCAAATGAGTCGCCCCAAGAAGACCTAGAATATCCAAAACGAGCTCATCCGAGAGTATCTGGAGATTACCTAATCCAGTGTTTCGCACATTGACAGAACCAGGATTGAAATACAGGTTTCCGAGAGGTTGAACTCCATGCTCTTGAGAAGGAGCTGCAATTTTCAGCTTGAAACCTCCTTCATCTTCATCTTCTACCTCATTTAGTGCCTTCTTTGGAAACAGAGACTCAGATTCATGGCGAATGAGCTTTTGTTTTTTGGATTTGGATTTACGTCGCTTAGAGGTTAGCAACAGATTCTTGGACTTTGGCATGTTTGACGGAGAATCAGCTTTAGCGGCGAGGGTTTTGGGTTTTAACAACCGCGAGGGTTCATATCTTAACCAGAAGATGGAATTGAAATTATCTTGGGTTGAACCGGTTCACCCGTAAAAAGTAATTACTGAAGTATTAATTTTCTATTTACAGAATTTTGATAATAGAATCATCATTGATTACAAACTTTTTGATCATTGCCTTCTAAAATTTGACAAAAATGATCTATTGATTGGTGATAGTTTTAGAATTTTAGTAAAGGATCGAGAACTTGAGGATCAAGACAATACCAAGTTCCATTAACCGGGTTTTGAGAGAGAAAACCGAAATAATCTGAATTTTTTTTGTTTGTTTTATCTTTCCAGAGAAATTCAAACAAGAATCTGGAAACATTATACACAGCTTACAATAGAAAGAACAAGACGTGCTTTTCGTGTAGCCTCCCTCACCCATCTCTTTAGACAATCATCAAACCCCATTCAAGCCATTCCAACCCCACAACCACAACAAATGAAATATGGCAAATACTAAAAGGAAAGAAAAAAAAACTGCACATGAGAAACCATTTTTCTCAGTAAAACCATGAATAAGATGGACAAAGTAGTAAGAACAATGATCCCAATACCTACTTTTCACAAAGTAATTCACATTATGCCCTTCAAACCAAATTTGAGAATGTGATCTGTTTCACACTTGTGTGCTTGATAGACATCTCCATTGCCGTATTCGAGGAGTCTTTTCTAGAAGCATTTGCAATCCCATGTTGTTCCCTTGCACCCCGTTCATGTATCTGCATTTACACCATTTGGACACGAGGATGAGTAAATGTTTTTTTTTTTTAAAGATCTTTGCATGCATATACAAGGATCTTACTCGTTTATAATACTACAAACTCAAAACTCAGATAAAAGGTATGAGAAGCAACAAGCTAATCAAAGTTTAAGACTGTTCACTTACTTGCTTCGACGAGCCTTTTTTCTCCAGAAAACAAAAGATGTGATCCACTGCACATGAATAATAAGACGAATCAGGTAATGTGGATGCAAAGTTATACAGCAGAAACTTTAGTACAAGTTGCTTCATATCAGTATGTTATGTGTTAAACAAGGTCATATAACCCACTGACTAATGTAAGAAACAAAATCACCTTAAAGACAGATATGAAATTGAATGCTCCAACAACAGATGCTTTCCGCATAGGCAATCTACGTTCTGGGACAACATCCTTTGACAGATGTTGGGCAATTTCTTTCAACAGAACCATCTGTGCTTTCTCAGTCCTCATCGACATAATTGCCTGTCTCATTGATTCCCTGTCAGCCTCTAGTGCTTGAAGTCGCATGTAGAGTTTCGATATATCAGGATCACCAAGATCCGGTTGATTCGATATTTCTCTCGGAGACATCACATAACCATCAGTAGTGTCATTCTTAAAGTTTTGTTCAGCAGCACCACTATGAGATACACCGTGATGGACAGAGTCAATGGTATAAACTCTATCATTCATGTCATTATCTCCTATTTCCGATGAGTCACCCTTATCCTTTGCAAAGGAATTACCAGCTGCATATGAGGGATCTTCCATTTTCTTGAAACTACCATTGTTGGACCTTGGGGAATCATTGGAAAAATCAGGCCTTTGTTCCCTAGTTGTTCCCAAAAGTGAACTTGAACTACCAGTGGAAACCCTCCTGAAGTGTCTCTGATGCCTAGGACTCTGACCAACAACCATCTTCTCTGTATAATATCTCCCTCCGGATACATCACCACCAGTAGATTGAGTAAAGCTAGGATTTCTCTCCATCTGACTTATCCTTCGTTCCAAAGTCTTCAAATTATCTCGGCCACGAGGTGAATCAGCCAATGGATACTTTTCAACATCATCAACATCAATATCAGCCTCCAGGGGACCTGGATTTTCATTCACATTGCACTTTATAGGAGGGTAATCAGATGTAGGGAGATCATATTGGTAATCATTGTCGATCATGCTCGGGTTACGGCTAAGCATGTTCTTCTCCGTTTCAACCTCGTCCTCAGTGAGCCCAAAACTCATCATTCTATGCTTATAAGCCTGAGCTTCATATGTCAAAGCCTGAATTGTCTGCTCCCTCTTATATATCAAATCTTCCAGATCCAAAAGCTCTTGCTGATCATGCTCCATTTTCTCCTCAGCAAACCGCTTAAACTGTCTCAATTCCATTTGGAGTTCAGCTTTTTCCCTCTGCAACCTCAATATCATAGACATCGCCTCACTTGCAGCGGTCGATGCAGCATTCCGCTCTTCGTCAAGCTCCTCATACAAATCTTGAATCGACTGCTGTTGGCTGCTAATAGTCTCCCTTAGCAGTTCCAATTCATTCTCAATCTGGACTTTAGCATTGGAAGACAAGTCCAGCTCCAGCTCCGGTATGTGAAATGGTTTCTCATTCTCAAATTCCTCGTATTTTCTCTTCACAGACCGAAGCAAAGAACCCGGAGAAGCATCATTCAGAGAGCAATCACATCCACAATCACAACATCTAACCACATCCCTACGGGACGATACAACTGCCAAATCCATAACTTGTAACAGTATCCAAATCACAATCCAAGGCTATGGCACAAAATACATAGTAACAATCACCAAAACCTATCTCCGTAGTCCAGATCCACGAACACGAAACTAGCGCCAATATAGCTCCTGTAGAAAAGTCAATTCTCAACAACATTATTCAATGTAAAACGATCGCTTAAAAAAGAAGCTTCTTTCATGGACAGAGTAAACATAACATCGCAAATTCGAGAGCTTTACCTTACCGTTGAACCACCAAGAACACGAAAACTAAACCCAAAAGTCTGAATTTTTCCAGGAAACTAAAACAATTGGAAGCTAATGATATCTCCTTCTCTTATTGAATCTCAATGATAACTTCCGGGAAGATAACAGACCCACCTAAATAATTTCTTTCTCTTCTTGCTTTTTTCTGGTAAACGAAAAGCAAAAGCTAAAAGAGAAATAAAAAAGAAAAAACAAATCTTGGAAACGAAACGAAAGAGAAGAGAAAAAGAGAGAGAATTGGTCTTCTTCTTCGTCGTTACCCTCTGGTTAATTTGAAACCCTAGAGCTCTCTGTTTTTATCTTTCAATTTTGAAATCGAGGAAAGGCTTTTTTGTTTCCATGGAGTCTCTTGGTCTCGTGCCCACAATGACGACGACGACGACGGCTCTTAAGGTTATTTTTGGTAAAAACCGAGTTTTTACACAGAGAGATAAATAAACGGAAAGTACAGGTCAGCTAATCTGGAATTTTATTTAGGTTTTAGGATGAGATCAACGGCTGAGATCTTGGTTAGATGAGGTGTCTTTTTTACCTGCGGAAAGTACAGGTCAGCTAATCTGGAATTTTATTTAGATAGATATTCTTATTAGATTTAGATGCCTCTTGTATCAACCAATTGCTATATTTGTAAATTACACGATTTTGTAATTATCGTTTCGATTAGTGTGATCTTATATGATAAGGTAAATATATTTGTCTGTATATAATAATATGTTAATATTCTTTTACTTGAATATTCTCAACCAAAAAGAGGGACCATATTTTTTCTTTATAAACAACCAAATTGAAAGCTTTATTATTCTTATCAAGTTCATAAATATTATTATATTTTAAATGATCATTAAATAGAAAATTTAAAACAGCATAATTTTGTTATTTTTTAGGTCAATAAATAAGTTCTTTCAAAATTTATATCTATAAGAGGTTTTTTCTCAAAGTGGAATGAGGTAGAGATTTTTTACGTAGATGAGTTCTTCAAGGAAGATATGTGATATAGCAAACTTAATGGTGAAAAATCTATTAGAGATCATGAGTCCAAAACTGTTAATGGATTGGTTCATTAAATGGAGGTATCAGCTTTGAGACCAAGTCGATTATGCCCGAACAGTCCATAATGTTTTCATTTAAACCTAATACAATTCTGATTTCTGACCTAGTGATTGTTTTCATTAAGGTGATTTGTGAATAGAAGAACAGTCACGTTGTCAACTATACATATATCGGCGGTCGAGTTTCATAAATTCATGGACAAAGAGTTTGATCTGAAGGGGATTAAGTGGTAATGAACTAACTTACTTTGACTAACAATAAAACCGTACGAAGATTTTGTTTGGGAAGACTTCTTTTGTTCAACGTTTGGGAAGTCTAATACCAATGTTTTTTGGATGTTTCTTATTTTTATTTTTTTTTGGTCAGATAAAAGATAGGATGTTTCTTATAAGATAAACTTTTCTTTAATATTGTTGAAAGCGTCAACGTTTATTGGATGTTTCCGAGTGGAAGGATTGGGCCGTCGACATTGAAGCTTTACTAGGTCAACATGGCCTACTTCTAGTCTGATATACATTACATAAAAAAATACTCTCATTTTCACAAATTGTTTTCTCTTTTCTTCTTATTTAAAAATATCATTATGAAACTCTTTACTTGATTAATATCATGAGACTAATTAACTTTTTATTTTTGGATAAACATGCTGTTTTCTTCTTTTCCTTTTTGGTTAAAACAATGTTCGCTTAGACGACCTACGGATTGAAAGTTGCGATAGAAACGAGTGGCCTTACAAAAAGTAATACGAAACAAACTGAACCTCGTCTAAAAGATTAGTGTAGTGGAGGAGATCCTGTTTAGATGAATATAACGAGTTCATGTATTTAGAATATTGGGGAATGCTCTACTTGATATATTTATGTAGAGTCACATGTAGTTGACTTTGAGTATATTACGTCGAAATGGCGTATTTTAGACTATTTTCATATCTAGAATTGTATATACCTATAATATTTAAGACAAAACACCTTGCTTAAAGAAGAACGTACATTATATGTAAGATAAACTTGGACATACTTCTTTTGGCAAAGAGTTGATAAGAAAAAACGCCGGAAAAAGAAACTACCGATGAATATACCATTTAAGGTCGGATATGATGAACGACAATATATAACCAAACCGATAGCATTGTATGCGTGTATATATAAATGATTCACCAATCACCAAGCAAACTTATTGACATGGAATCCTAATTGAATTAAACACTTAGTTACCTTCAACAAGCCAAATGCTATTAAAACAAGTTGTTCATAAAGTCTCCAATAGTACGAAGAACTTGTTCTGCAGCCTCGGAAGATGGATTGTTCGAGTAGAAACCATGCTCCTCGTTTTCGAATTCAATGTAATCTACCTTTTTTCCTCCCATCTTCTTTAATTTATATGCATACTCTTTGGCCCTATCTCTCAAGAGTTCTGAGCCGCCGACAATCACCAACATTGGCTCTATGCTAATTAATTCGAGTGTTGGACTCGTCGGTCCAAAAGGGTTAGCCATGGGATGATCTCTTGTTGCACCTTTTGGTAGTGACAATCTCCAAAACCTTCAAGAAGTTAAAAGTTTAGCCCCTTTTTCTCTTTCTTCTCATATTATAATATATTGAAATTGACGATACCAATATTTACTATACATATAGCTTTATGACAATGGCCATGAACAAGACGGGTCAATCATCTCATTTTTCAAACATAAAAAGAGAAACAATCAATTGGAGAGAAGACTTGAAATGATATGTGATCCCAATGATTCCACGTGCGTTGATAAACATGAATATACACTTTCGAGTATGCTAAAATTAAATTACTTTTATAAATGTGAGACATTAGTTGCATTTGGTTTAATCTATTGTGTACAATGATAGTCACGACTCAGGAGAAAAACCATACGCAAATTAAGCACGCAGAGATGAAAAAAGGAAAACGAGGATAATGCATGACGCACTATCTCCATTACAAATATATTAGCCACTGTTCTTGATATCTGATTATCTGTTTATTCCATCAACCACTAATCCATTTATTCATAAAATGAACAATGACCAAATCAAAAATGACTTAAGGAGAATCGATCCCTAACTTACACCTACAAAGAGACTCCACATCTCAAGCGGGAGTTATCAATCCACCACAACTTGATTAACTAATTGTATAGTCGAATTTGAGATAGTTGCTAACTAATCAAAGATATTTTTTCAAAAAAAAAGTCATCGAAATTGACTAACAATTCAAACATGTTTATAATGAACCAGTTAATTACTTCTATGTTCGTGTAGTTTTATACATTTCTATTGAATTTATAATTTGTGTAGCTATAACGGATTATTTGTTCCGAGTGAATCTAGATTTAGACCATTTTCAAGGGAAAATAAAATTCATGAATTAGTACAATCATGTAGACTCGTTAAATGGTAGGGTCTCTAATTGGTTGTCATGATATTTTTCAAGTTTCTTTTGGTTTTCATTATTCAATTACTTTCCACACAAGATACTTTCTAAGTTTTTTGTTTTGGTTTTTGTTAATGAAGATACTTTCTAAGTTGTCGTTCATCTACTGGATGTTTTTTTCAAGACCCATTCGTGTATCCACTGTGATGGAAGACCCTAATATTTGAAAAGCCATTTTTAATGTTGAATGATTTGAGACTAATCAAATAGTGGAGTATTAGTAGATTAAGCACATTGACTAGTTTTTGTGACGTAATATTATAACAATCATGTGGTGGGCTAAAATTCATACGTACGTCTTATTAGCCGATAAAAATCAATCAAAATTAAAATTATTTTTCTCTTTGAATTTATCAAAAGAGAAAAAGATATATGAAAATATATCACTATATATCATCTGTCGACCGTTGGTTAGTTGGTGAATGGTTCTAATCAAAATAAATGTTTCTTTGGTACGAAAAGTCGTTTTCTTTAGAAAGTTCGTGTTTTTTTGTGTGTCATAGAACATAGCTACTCCTTTGAACTAGTTGCGAATTCGATTATAATATTTTTGATCAAAACATTGAAAAAAATATCTTTCGGTTAAAGGAAAGTTTTTCATTTATATATCGGATTATGAGAAACCTATTTTCATGTATTACATATTCGACTATGAATACATGCAATTCCCAATATCAATTAGTCTGTAAAAATTTTGTGAAGTTTTTGAAAAAAGGTTTACACATCTGTGTATTGAAGAGGCACTGTGACTATAGCTGTCTCTGTCATGCGACTCGGCAATTCACTCCAACGTTTAAATTGGCATTACTCGCATAAGAAGATAATATGAAATTAAAGTAACCGAAAACGACATCTATGTATTATATTTGAATTAAATATAGTTAATAGTTAATTAGGGTTATAAACAATGAAGTCATGCATAACTAGTAATTCAATGAACTTGTATATAATTAATGTTTAAAATTAAAAATATTCGGTGGTACGTCTAAAGAAAATTAAAATATAGAAAGGTGTTGTGTTAGCTTACTTGTCAAGCAAATCCAAGTTGAGCAAAGCTTCAGAGGGGCCATTCTCGGAGTTAGTCCTCTCCTCCCCGCCAAAAAACGGCCCCATGAGAACGTAACCGCGAACCCGAACCGGTGTCAACTCGATTGAACCGGATCCGAACCGGACAGCCAGTTGATGAGCCATGTTCCCACCGGAAGAATCACCCACAACAAAAACCCTGTCAAAGTCAACGTCTATTCCACCTTCAAACCAGTGGTCCACACCACCGGAAACAGCTTGGTCCCGGAGCCATGTGAGAGCCGCCTCGGCATCCTCAAAGGCAGCCGGGAGACGGTGTTCGGGTGCTAGCTGGTAGTCCGGTGCGACCACAAGTGCGTTAAGGGAAGATGCAAGAGTTAGACAGAAGTTGTGAAAGTGAGGCCAAGAACGTGAGCCGAAACAGAACCCCCCGCCGTGGAAGAAGACCACGACAGGGAGGGCGGTACGGTTAGAGGCGGAAATGGGTTTATATAGACGGAGGTGAAGATTGTTTGGTTTGTGATAGATTGAGTCTTTGAAAAGAACGGTTTGGTGGGTTTTGAATGGGATTTGTTGAGTGATAAGGTCAATGCTCTCGGATCTTAAAACAGTGCCGTTGCTTAGGAGTTGAAGCAAACCCATGCAGTCTTCTGTTACTTGTGGTTCTTCTCCTAGTGACCCCATTCTTCTTCTAATTAGTCTCCCTTTTGGTTTTGGATATATGTATTAGTGTCATGTGACATAAATATATAGAGGGAAGTAACAAAGGGTACTTTGGTCATATCAAGTCGGGAGATAGATGTTGTATATCTCAAAAATCTTTTAAGGGAGCCCACGTTTTAATTGTTTTGCGGCTGATTCGTCTCATGTGACTAGGTCATTCCTATCGACCTCTTTCTTATGGGTTTGTCAAAACTAGAAGATGCACTTAGATATGAGACTGTGCTTGAAGAAGATACACAACACGTCGCTCTCATCTTTCCTTAGATTACCACTTGCTCACAAGTAAACGGATGCAATTGCTTGCATCAGCTGTTTTGTACTTAAATGTAGACCAAAGATACAACTGTGTTACACAGAACAACATAACATGTTTTAACTTAACAAAGGTTACATGAAGAACACACAAGTCATTTTAGAAACATACATGAGGAGGAATTAACTTTCCCGGGTTCATGATATCGTTTGGGTCCAACGTTTTCTTGATTCTCTTCATAGTTTGCAGTGCTTCTATTCCCAGTTCCTTCTCCAGATACTTGCATGAAATAACCAAAAAACCCGTTTAAATCACAAATGGACATTCATATCAATGTAATAAAAGACACATGCTACGAGTAGAAGAAGATATACCTTCATTTTTCCTGTTCCAACACCGTGCTCTCCAGTACATGTTCCTGATGACAAAGATCAGAACCAAGTGCCATCATTACAATCATATTTTCTAAATCCGGGAACGAGGATATACACGTTGTAAATAATAATCACATGCACACTAGTGGAAGAGAGGAGAGTAAAGAAGATGCAAGTCAACTTAAATCTAACAAGCACCACTCTGTTAAAAGGTAATATATCAAATGCTAGGCCTCACTTGTTTGCAACATATCTAACCTATTTGCTGATCATTTTCACCAAAAGGGACATAAAATTTGACTCCTACCCATCTTTAATACTTTTGCTTTTCGGTTTTGCTCAGAGAATATGTTAAAAAGCTTCACAGCTGTTACAGTCTTGCATTTTTGCAAACACAGAGAATGGAAAAGGCATTTACCATCCATGGACAGTGCACTGTGAACCATAAAGTGGTTTAGTCTTTCTGCTTCTCTTCGCTGGTCTTCATTGCTCGGATCAAACATAATACATGTGTGAAAGTTTCCATCCCCGGCATGAGCAATAACAGTACTGAAAGTATAGCAACATTAGTCAGCATACAGTTTTTAGGACGTTAAAGCTTAGTATGTCATGATGTTGAGCACAGGAAAGTAATATACCACAACAACGATGATGCATCAAGCTCTTTCTTGGATATTGATATTAGTTCTGCAAGGTGAGACAAAGGGACGCAGACATCCTGTAGAAGAAATAATTACAGGTGATTCTTTGATGTTCGACCTTATAAATAAAAGTAAAAGGGTAAACAACAAAAAGATCTACGGCATATATTTGAGGTTTCTGATTGTAGCTGGAAAAGTTCATCTACAACCAATGTGTATCTAAGGAAAGCAACATACCGTAATCATTGCTTCATGACCTGGCGCCATAGCATAGCAAGCCCACAGCGCCTCCTTTCTTATCTGCATAAAAAATGGAGTCAGGGAAGAAGATCTTTTGGTAACTCAATCTTATTAGCAGCAATCGACAGTGTAATAAATGTACAGCTATATCTTGCACATAGCCTCATTCTCTACAATGAAATCTCCAGAAAATGTTTTTTCACAATGTTTTTTCACATTTGGTATTATATCATAACCAGGATGGTTAAAAGATAAAAAAAAAGGACTACATCACGAAACGAAACAAAACCACTGGAAAGAGTCTACAGAGTAAGAACACAGTACAACAACAAGAAGTACATATTTTCCTTCTGTTTCTGCTTCTCATTTTATGCTGGAAGGTTTCAGGGTGAAAGTGTTGGGAGTGGGACAGAGAATTACCTTCCAGAGTTCTTTTTTTGCTTCAGGTTCCTCTGCGAACATAAAGTCTGATCCATTGTGTTTAGAAGCAATCTGCTGAACAATTTGCGTCTGCTCACGTGTATATGCCTCTAATAGAGAGATAGAAAAGAAGAAAAAAAAAGATTCAGATTATTACAAGACAAAAATTCTCTCTTTATGTGTCTAGTGGCAACACTGACATGAGAATCCTGTAATCGGATAAAAAAGAAGATGCAGGGGAGTGAACATGATTTCCTACAGATATTGTTTACAAAGAGTACACTGCTACAAGAGATGTATAATCTTAGATAGCTTGAAATACCACTTGGCGAGTACAAGAAATATGATGCAGAATCACCTGTTCCTATAAACTCGAACATCAGAGTTGGAGCTTCAGTCAAGTTTTTCCCGTTTGCCATATTAATAGCCCTGATTTGAACCTCATCAAGGAGCTCAACTCTGGACACCTGATGGGGATAAAGGTACGGCTGAAAAGATTCTAATACAAATTTCAAACCATATAATTCAAAAGAAGAGGCCTAACCTGTATTCCAGACATCATAGTGGCAATTGCAACGTCTGCAGCATCCTTAACTGTAGGGAAATTGCACACTGCCACCTAAAATTATATCATAAATACGTCTGACACTGAATCATAAGGAAATTTGCTAACCATTGCAAAGAGCCAAAGATGACAAAAGGTGTTCTGACAAGCATAAATGAACGAAATCTACTATAAAGGAAGAAGTCAATATACCACTGAATGCTGTGGGATTTTCTGAAGCCGGAGAGTAATCTCAGTAATGACTCCTAAAGTACCCTCACTCCCAATCATCAAACGAGTCAAATCGTATCTGAGACACCATTCCAACAAGTATCAAGCATTAACTCAAATGATACGTAATCAAACAACTGGAAGCATACCATTCATGTTTTATTTATAGTTTATATCTCCGAGAAAAAGAAATCCAAACAAAGAACCAAGAAAATAGTTGAAGACTGAAGACAAACCCTGCAGCACTCTTTCTGGCACGTGAAGCTGTCTTCACAACATCTCCATTAGGAAGAACCACCTGAGATGAGCATAGCATAAATAATATAGAATTGTACATTGGGGCATGAATCAGTGGAAGAAACAACAAACCTTAAGGCTTATAACATTGTCCCGCATAGTTCCATACCTACAAGCTAGTAGCAGAACTATCATAGCCAACCGGATTAAAACACCCCCACAATTATCCGAAAGACGGAAAAAACAAACAGGGGAATAGTAATGGTGCAGAAGAACTACCTTACAGCTAAAGAGCCAGAGCAACGCGTAGCACACATGCCTCCTATGGAGGCACCAGGTCCTGCACCAGATTCTTTTTTTATCAAATTGCTTAATGCAACCCAAAAACGTGGAAACTGAAGTTCGAGGGTCAATTGAGTACAATTCAAATCTCTCTTAAGGGTAGTTGACGTTCACATACAATAAGATCAATTAAAATCTAAAAAAGTGTTCAATTAAAAGAATTAAGATGAAAGCTATGATCTGAGAGATAAGGTACTATCTCAATGTTGGCTAACCTGGATCAAGAGGAAAGAATAGACCGTATTCTTCCAAATATTCATTAAGCTCCAGCCAACCAATTCCAGGCTCAACAACAACATCCATATCATCCACATGTAATGCTTTCACCCTCTACGGTTTGAAAGAAGTGTGAGCAGGAGTGGCAAATTTCACTAACCTTTGTATGTGGACTATAAGTGATGCACATTCTTTCTATTTCCTGATTTAGGATATTATTTAGGATTTATATTTCCTTATTACCTTTTCATAGAGTGTTCTAATTTTACGTTTTATTATGTAAACAAGGATGAGGTCTCGTTTGTGAGACTCATCCAAGCTTGAGTGTGATTTGGAGGCTTTATCAGGTTAGACTGAGGTTGGATATGCATGCCAAAGGAAAAGAGTTACATCATTTTAAATTGTCTACCTATACAAACGTAGCAGGTTCATGGAATGAAACGCCAAGTTTGTTAATTGCATGACACCAAAAAGACATGTTTAAAATAAAAATCAAGGACGTTGACGTCAGACAAAGAATATTAGCACATACCTTCATTAATGACATGTCAATGCACACACCTCCTTTTGGAGCCAGGGTATGACCCTCAATCGATGTTGCCCCACCATATGGTACAATAGGAACCTAATAAAAAAGCAAATGATACAATATCAATCCACCAGGAAGCTACAGATGCCAAGTAATATATCATGTTGGCCAAGACTAGAATGGGAAAAGACTGAGCACTAAATCTTCTTCCAAACCTTATATTCATTGCAGGATTTAAGAATCTTGGAGACTTCTTCTTCAGACCTAAACATATTTAAGAGAGGATGAAGATCAATGCCTTTTATTCGGCTTATTAATTTCAACGACAAAGCAAAAAAGAATAACAGATCGAATACACGGCACTAAGTTGCCACAGTCTTACAACTAGAACCATTCTCAACTAGTGATAAGTAGTCTCACCTAGGGAAAACAACAACATCAGGAACGTTCACTGCCTTGTGAAAACTGTTCTGGGGCTTCCCATGGAAGTACCTCTCATCGTAGTCCGTTGTCAAGTTATCCTTAAAACACAATGAAATAAATAGGCAACGAAATTCAGAAACATAAGTTATCCACAGAAGAAAAGTCTGAAACTTCCAATTACATCAGAACCAAGGAACCGTTCAAAAGAAGAATAGAGTAACAAAGGCAAATTTGGAGTACCTCGAGGATTGTTTTCAATTGAGTAATAAGCTCCTTAGGGACTTCTTTGTATTCCCCTTTAACAACAGCTTCAGTGCTATCTTTCCCACCAATAGTTATATCTCTGCAGAGAATTGAAAACGAGTAATGAAACAATTCGAGATACTTTTGTTGACTTCAAAGTATTAATTTTTATATACAAAAAAAAAAAAAAAAGACGAACCTTGAATCCAAAGCCGATGATTCACTGATAGAAGGATGCGACAGATTCAGGTACGCGAAAGAAGTGGCGGAGGCAGCTATAGCCAATGGGAGAAGAGAGCTCGACCACCAAGTTGGGAGTCTCCGGCGACCCTTCACCGGAGAAATTACGGTCACGTCAGCGGTTGACTTGGGCGTCGAATGGAGCTGACGACAAGGCCGGAGAAAAGAGAGAACTGCTTTAGAACGAACGAACCTCGAAGAGAAAGCCATGGACTGTGGATGATTTCACTTCACAGCCGAAGGAGATTGAGAATGGAGAAGCTTTGTATCATCATCAGCTCTAAACCGTGACATTAAACCGCGATAATAAAAAAACCGCTCACCATTTGCAACTAAACTAGTCAAACCATATATCTCCGGTCTACGAATATCAATCCAACATATGATGCTTAACCGGGGAAATTCTAATTCCCGCCGAAAACAAAAATCGGAGACAAAAAGTGGGAAGAGATCAATCAGAGAGAGTCAAAGACGAAAGCTTTAGAAATGGAGGAAGAGCTCAAGAGCTTGAGCAAAAGCTTAGGAGGATTCTGCAATCATCTTCAAAGTAGTTGTGATGCTTTCAATCACTCTCTCCAGCGTCGCCCTATTCCTCTCGGTCTCTTCCGCTCTCTCTTTTTTCCCCTTTTGTCCTTTGATTATTGTCATAAACCCTAAAAATTGAATTTTTCGATTTTGGCAGATTCGGCGTCATCCACGTTCATCAAGGGTCTTAATCGTCGAATCTCTACCGCAGCTTCCGAGCTCAATTTTCTGGAATCTATGTCTTTTGGTACAGTCTCCTTCGAGGAGCTTCTGGGTCACTGTAGTCAGATCTACAAGAATAATCAAGACGATCTTTTGAATCTTCAGGACCGGCTCACAGATTTCGGCTATGTTCCTGGTACTCTCTTTGTTTCTTCTTTCCTTCTGTCGATTTTAAGCTAATTTATTGTTTTTGGACCTAGAAATTGATATTGATCAAGGTAGAGATGAAGAATCTGGCTTTGGAGCATTTGGCCAGGAGGATTCAAAGCATTCGAATGATGATTTAGAGTCTCATTCATTGCAATGTTCAATCAAAAAAGGATTAGACGAGGACAATCTGTATCCTTTTCAACCTTAGAGCAAAAATTAGGATTTTCTGGTAGTTGCTTATCAGCCAGACAATAAGCAGCTTTAAATTATGTTTCTTTTGTCATCCGAAACAAATCATAACGTTTTTGTTTATCACAAGGTGTGAAATAAGGTATGTTGTTCTGGATGATTTGACCTTAATGGTTTCCTAGTCTAGATAATTCACTAAATTTGAAGAACCTTGGGCTTTCAGATGCTTGTCTTGCCTATTTAGCTACAGAAGGTAAGGCACCAACATTTTTCTCCAATGTTGATAACGTATATATTATTTTCAGTGATTGCTTAGGATGTACTCGATGTTTTTCCTACTTTATCCATGTTCTTACTGTTTTTTGCTTTTCCAACTGCTGCCAGTTAATGATAATGTGAAGGATCCTGACACGTCTTTGAAGGAATCAGTGAGGTAAGTGAGATGCCTGATAAAGAAATAAACCCTTGTGTTTACCTCTTAGTCATTCGTTAGCAAGTTTTCTTATGATATAGGGGCAAACCATTTGACACAAGTGCTCTACCTCCTCCAAAGGCGTCAGAGCTTTCCAATGGTTATTTCCAATCCTTTACTAGTGTGATTTTGATTGTCAGTGAGTTGCATTAGTCTATGGTATATGATGTTAGACTTTGTTGCATGCAGAAGATGAGTATGCAACACTAGAGATGGATAGAACTTCAGGGCCTACATTAACATTGATAAAAGAAGAATATGATAGTCTTCCCTCTTTTATGAAGTCTCTAGCATCGTGGGAGGTATGAAAATTATTCAAATTCTCCTATTATGTTAAATGTTCATCTTCTTAGCTAACATTTAAAAACATATCCTAGCAGCATATTAAGAATTGAACCAATCTATCCCTCACTGGAGAGCGATGAAAAATTCATATTTCCTATAGTTCCAACTTTTTGGATAATCTCCTGCCATCAAAGTCATTACCTGTGTAAACCTGGAAAATTGCTATCCCCTGCAAGTCTGAATTTGGTGCCTGCCCAGTTGTTTTCCGCTCTTTTAACTTTCAGAATCACTAACAGAAGGTTAAAGTTAGTTCAACAGAATTTTGTTAACAAATCTTTGTTTCATAATTTGATTTGCCTATCTCATTGCCTTGTTCATTCTGCCAAAATGACATCCTCCCCGACCTTAATTTGGTTCTTCATAGCACATTCTAGTGTTCTCCATTTATGAAACACGATTCTGGTGCAATGAGATAACCAGAAGTATTGGAAAATGTGAGTATTAGTTTGATTCAATGGAACTAACACTTTTCTAAAGGCTTATTAATGATATATTCATTTTATCGTTTATTGCCATGCAAAGTATAATTTGCCTGCTGAAGTGAATCCATATTTCATGCTCTAGCCTCACATATTTTCTATCATTCTTTCAAAAACTAGAATTCAGACTCAAGTATTTATGATCTCTATGCCCAATGGGTTGAACGTTTTGTTCCCTTAATAATTTCCTAAATATGGTTGATGCCTGCTTGCTTATGTTTCCAGGATCTGCTCAGTGCCGTACAGAAATTCAACTTGGTCCTCGATAGCAAGAAAGAAATAAACGGATCTTACTACTTCCGAGCAGATGAGATTCCGACTCTAGGACTTGGTAGGTTCAAATCTCCCTCATCACATCTGCTTGTAGCACCACTAGCACTAGGTTGATCATATTAAGTCAGTATTTTCTTGAACCAGACTATAGATGTAAAAACTAGGATCTTCAATTGATATCTTCAGATTCACAAACAAAAAATCTGTTGCATAGACAATGATGATGGTTTGTATTGCAGGCCATAAGGAGAAAGCGTATACGTTACTGCTGACGCGGATGAAGAGACTTGTGGTTGAGACAACGGATGGTGTTATATCTTATAGAGTTGCATAGTAATCCAATATACAGTAATGTTTTACGAGATCTTTGTGTTTTGGAAATCTTCACATCCGAACAGTGTTTCTATTGATTTGTCTTTCTGAACAAATTCTAACCAGAAAAAGTAGCATGAGTATGTCTTATGATAAGTCCTCAAAACGTTACAATTCCATTCCCTGAAACAATCGTTAGTGCTGCAGCCAGCAGGAACTCTGTTTCAGAAGAGCATAGTTTATGTATGAATTGGCCAAATGTGGGACCCACGACCACGGAACTGAAAACCTATTTCATATGGTCTCGGCAAATGGAAACAATAATAATTTGAAAATGCAAAAGAATACAAATTTCCTCAGTCAAAAATCCTCTTAAACCCCAATCTCTAAAATTACAAATGTTTCGGTATTCTATAAACTCTGAAAGCCAAACCGCGCTCCCGAATCCAAGCGAAGGGCTTCCATATATCTTTTTTGGAAAATAAAAATTGCATGTGCCAATGGTCTTCACACATTCCAGATATTAACACAAAGTATTGAAGCATGAAAGAAAGAAGGATAGGAAAAATAATAATAGAAAACACACCACTATCAATGCGCAACCCAAAACCCTATCAGACCAGATTCTCTACAACATCCTACGGTCATCATCACACCCTCACACTCTCTCTTTCCCTCCTTATTCGATGCATTGGTCCAATCAATGCCTTGGTCCAACGTTGCTGCCACAATGTCTCACTGACCATTGTGTTCTTTTCTGTTGGGCTAATTGTATATTTTCACCGGCTTCTCGTAAGCGTGGCGGTTCTACAAGGACAACGCAAAGAAAAAAAAAGTAAATAACAAAAGAGACTTTGATTAAGAATCTAATAACTAGAAGAAAAAACTTGTACCTGGTTTGCAGCATAAGCCCTCTTAGGAGTAGTGTCAGCATGCTCCAACCCGAGGTACTGCTCAAAAGCACCATAGACATCTCTTCTCTGTTTTACCATTTTCAATCCGAAGACAAAATGTTAGATCTCAGATAATTAGCATGAGCTTTTCAATAAAATTTGAGGAGAAAAAAAGTAAGCACCTGAAAGCGATTATAAACAACATCTGTGTCCTGTAAGTACTCTGGACGCCCCATTGACATAAACGCAAACTTCCACTACATAATGAATCAAGTATTAAGAAATTGTATCAGTTCTGCCAGACAGAGATTTAGCTTTGATCATTACTCAGTCGTGCATACCTTGGCAAAGTCCTCATCGGATACATGAAGCTTCTTTTGGATACGGTTCTTTATTTCTTCAAGAGTTTCACCTTCATGGATTACCAAGAAGAAGGGCTCGCCAAAGTTTTGCACTTGCTGAGGAACAAGCAAACATGATACTGATAAGACGCTTTGCCACTTCAACACTCTAAAACTCATGTAACTGTAAAATAACAAAAGCTTTATAACTAATTATCACCTGATTTTGTCCAGTCTCCTTAGCAAAATGGTACACAAGAATTAAGCGATCATTTGGACCGATATTCTTCTCTTCTTCCGGAATCTGAGATTTAAGGAAAACATAAGTCAACATCTCTTAAGGATGGATTAATAACCAGGGACAACTTGCATAAGATATTCAAACAATTGGCTAATTTATGTTCTTGACGACACATCAAACTATGTATTAATCCCCAGACACAAATACTGTCCGCCTCAAACATTCTGACCTAGTCTGCTAAGAATATAACTCATCCATGGAATAACTATCACATCTCTTTAGTTTAATATCCGAATTTAAAAACTATATTGCATTCTGAGATCACAGGGTAACAGAGGTAAAAGTATACTTTGAAATCCCAAAATCACTAATGAACAGCGAGACCACTAAGACATGGAAGATACCAAAAAACTGTGATGATAGATTTAAGACAAATATCAGGTGCAGCCTAGTAATATACCTCCTCAGCTCGTAAAGTCCAGTACTGGTCATTTATATTCTCAATTCTTTCAGTTGATGGGAAAATCTGCAATGCATACCAGCACAATGGATTATTGTTCATTATACTTCAAAGGGTTATAAGAATTTCATCAGGAGATACGGTAGTCAAGAAGCCATCATCTTAGGATCATGTAAAAATTGACTACAATGTAAAAGATAAGAAAGTTGCTTGTTACCTTGTAGATCTTGTGGTAAAACACCTCGAGCAATCTCAGTTCTGCATCTGGATGCGAAAGCTCCACCTGATTCAGGCATAGACCTTAGATTTACTTGCATAACATCGAATGGGTAACTTTATTGAGAAATCTATTAAAATCCAAAGCCCACCTTTGTTTTAAGTTCATTAATAACATCTCCGACCGTGCTTTGTTTAGGTAGTCTGATATTGTGGATTACCACCTGTAGAGATGGTCAAAAGGCTTGAAAGTTAATCAAATATACAAAAGAAGACTATGAATCACAAACAAAAATCTACACATACTTCTTCCTTCGTGGCATGATGGAAAGCAACTTTTAAGGTTTTAAGACCTTGCAATTCTGGAAGAGGAATGTCCAGAACTTCATAATACAAAATGTCAGACGTCTGGAAAAAAAAAATCCAATAAGCAAACATGTATTATATTTATATAGTACGAAAAATAAGTAAAGTATGCTGAACTTCACGTCAATACCTGATTGTAGTGAACTAACATATCTGACAAATGATCTACTCCACGGTATTTGATAGGTTGAGGCTTGGGTTGCTGGGAATAGCAATTGTGAGATGTAAGCCTAAGTTTGGATGGATCGTCAAGACCAAGCTTCTCAGCCACTTTTTCCACAACATCGTCATAAGTGTGCAACTTCGACCTAAGAGATAAAAAAATGATGAAATCACAGAAATCAGCTTGAAACAAATTCATCCACAGAGGTACTTACAACTCCAGAACAAACTCATCTTCTTTAGGTTTTTCCAGAGCACGAAACCGGACCAGCTACAAAATTACAAATCGAAAAATAGTTAATGGCCAACCAAACCATGCCAGCTAGAAACAATTTTACAGAACATCCTCAAATTTGCTATGAAAACACATCAGAGTAAGGAATACTTGCACAATCTCAGTTTACATTTTGCTCTGATAAAATATTATGAAAAGTGAAGTTGAGACCACTCTACCAGTGCAGCCTTAATTAAATTATTAAACACGCATTGCCACTTCAGAAAAAGCTTATCATTAGAGAGCTATTCTTAGTCTAACTCTACCAAGCTTAACTTTAGGAAACACTGCTTAGTAGAATTATACCTGTCTATTCTGGACATATTCAAGAAACGAAGGCACAGCTGGGTAGCGGCACTCAATCTCCTTGTTAACTAGAGGTTTCTGAAAGCAAATGATATCTCCATCTTCAATCTGCAAGCAAGAACACAATGTCATCAAAGAGAAAAGAGACAGAAAGATTCAGTAGATAGATACAAGTGAAACATTACTTGACACAATCTGAATGAAGTTTTCTTATCCAAGTGTTCGCACATAACACAAGGTTCAAACTTGATTTCCTGTAAATAAAGCCCCAAAAACTGTCAAATAACATAATAAATAACAATAAGCATGATAAAAAGGTTAAGAAGCACCGGCAGCTGCAAACCTCAAAAAGTTCTATTTCTTCATCAGGAGCAAAGCCAACCATTTCATTCAGTTTTCCAGTTATATCCATAGGCTTACTGGAACTTTTCACCATCAGCCTGCCTGCATAGCTGGTAGCACAAGAAAAAAAGTTACAAAAGAAAACAAGGTATAGTGGATAAAACACAAGGACAAAAGAAGGTAAAACGGATAGAAGTTCTCTGATCACAAAAAAAAAGGGAAGAAAGACTTCGATCTTGTAGAATAATTGTTACTTAAGTAGTGGTAGACCACATTATATGGAAGCCAGAGCGAATAAATAAGAGGGAAAACAATACTACCTTAATACTGCCTTCTCGGGGTCATAAAGCTTAAAGAAAAGCAGAATATCTTCTTTTGATTTTTCAGGAGGAGGAATAGGACGTAAATCCTGAATTATTCAAGAATTCGTGAAAAAAATTAGCTCATCTTTTCTGTTGATCAATTAGCTTCTGTTTTTCTTTCAATGATTAAACTTTGCAACCAGGCGTTCTTACCAGGTGCTCTACTTCCAGGAAAAGCTTTAGTTCTGCAGTGTTTGCCTTGTTAGATGCTTCTCTTATTTGTCCAACCTACAAAACCCATTTTCCAAAATACATGACACACATAAAGTTATTAGTACTGGACTCTTCTCAACGTTATAAAAATAAAGTTCTCCTCATAAACAAAGCAAATTCATTTCAAAACAGACAGAATCCTGTGCTAGGAATTCTGATCTAAAGAAATAAAAGACTCCAAACAATTTGATTAAAAAAACTTGAAACAATGGAAAATCAGATGTAGAGATTCTAGTATAGCAAATAAAAAGGTAGCAGATTATCAGATTCTATAACATTTATAGTATTAGTTCTATATAAACTCATATCCAGAAGAAAGAGGCAAACTACGTGCATGAGTAGCATTCAAAAGGATTAAATTACCTGTTGTAATTCCTCTTGAGGCGTAAGGGGGCGATTGGGACGATAGGTATGGTTTTGTCGCTTAGCCCAAATCCAGAACCTCTGTAACTGAACAGGTACACCAAATTCTTTGGCTACCTCCTCCTATATAAGCATAAAATTGAAGGTCAATGGTTGCTTAAGTTTAAATTAGAAGTATATAAAGAACTTTTATAGTCAGTAGACTTTTGAAAACTCTCATGAAATCCAGATCAATTGTTCTTCCTCATCCAAGGTAGAATCAAGTCACCAGAAAGACCGTTTTCACATACCCTTATTTCTTTCCTTTTTGGAAAACAAAAATAAAAGATACTCAGGCAAGTACCTTAAACTGTTGAAATGGTGTCTGTTTCTGGATACGGAAACTGCGAACTTTGTCATGGTCCACAAGATCAAAATATATATCCTTCCCGATTTGTTCCTTAAGATCTTCATCTCTTGCAACCTTTCATGTTTACAAAGATTATGTTAGTAACGACAGTATCAAAACTACACTCTGGAACAGTTCATAAGATATTATCAGGTTCAATTAAATTGGATAAACAAACCTTAATTATTGTATATAGGTGAGCTTGTGCCTTGTATCTTCTTTTATCTTCCTTTTCTTCTTGCTCTTTCTTTAGCCTCACCTGTCAAAATGTAATGAACAATCAGGTAAAACCAAGACGCAAATAAACTACTAAGAAAATGCCTGAAAATATTTACCCTTAAATGTTCTGCTATGTCTTTCTCATCAACGTTGCAGATTATTTTATCCTTGTCACTTTCCCGGATATATACAAGCATGTAAGCATTCGAGTACTTTGTGAATTTGAAAGGAGGGTTATTGAAACCAGGATTAGTCTGTGGTAGCTGTAAAGACAAGAAAGCAAATATGTCAGGCAAGAGGAACTGGGATTGGGGGTGCAAATCATGGAAAATGGAGCAAGAAAATGCAACCTCTTCTTCACCACCATATTGCTCCTCCAATGCCCTTTTCAAATCTTCCTTTGTTACGCGTTCATCATCAAATTTATACCTGAAAAGTAGAAGTTTAAACTAGTTAAAGAGAAAAATTGCACAAAACATGATTTGGACAAATTGCAAAAAAGTGTGACCTTGTGAATACCATCAGCATAAGATTGCTAAATTACTTTTCAAATTCAAATACTTTGTAGCTCCCAAAATATGAAACTTAGTCGTGCATAAAAAACCATGAACATTATATCGAAAATAGAAAGATGCATACCACTGATCTGAGAGCGTAGGCCTTATAAAAGCGTAATAGTGCCCACCATGTACTCCTCCACTATGAACTAAGACACTGCAGATAAATAACAGCTAGTAGGTCAAGTAGGAAATTATAACAGTAACCAAATGAAATGATAACCTTTTCATCTCTTTCACTCATAAAATACCAATTAACTGTGCATGTACAGGTGTACATTTAAGCTACGTAAAGCAGATTCCTTGAGAAGAACTAGCAGATAATCAAATAAATAACAATTCGCGAGACGGCATACCACATAATAAAGGGTGGCATTTTATAGAAAATCTAATCTGTGAATGCAAGTTCCTGAGGAATTCACTACATCTAAATCGAAAGACAAAATGTATACCTGTGAAGAGTATAAAGGTTGCGGACACTCCTGTCAGCATCAGGAGACAGATACTTTCCATTTTCTCTATCAAGATCCAGTTCAAGAGGAAACTCATACCGATCGTTTATCTATCAATAAAAGCTACATCAGCACTCACAAATCAAGACACCACCAAACGTGAACCACATATTCACTTCCTATGTGCATGCAACTTCAAATACTAACCTTTACCATGGTGTCCCTCATAAAGTCATATTCAAACCTCTTGAGCTGGAGTTGAAGAACCGGTGGAAAGTCAATGAAAAGAACACCTTTTTTTGCATCCTGAAAAAATAGACATCAAGTTCCCCCAGATTAAGACAAGATAAGGGGACTGCATTTGTAATAATAACAGTTAGGACTTAGGTCGGTCCGACCGTCGGTGGTTAATTAACTTGGCTTAGAAGACGATACTAGTTAACAAAGTTTCACAAGATCTCCTAGTTTAGGTTGCTCCTTAAAACTCTCAAGTTATGAACTATCCGCACTTTCTAGTATGCGAAATATTAAAGGTGAGAAAAGAGTTACTAGATACCCAAATAGGCCTGTTCACAACCATCCCCAAAATGAAAAAGAAAGAGTGGGGACAACCGACCTGTAAACCATGTCCTTCTGCATGATATTTGTTATCTCCTTCAAGACGTTCAACTTCAACATACTTGTCAAAAGAAGCATAAACATCCTTGCAGCCTTTCACATCCAGCTGAAGATCTGCCATAAGATAAGAAAATGACAATAAAGTTGGCGTGATAGAATAAGACAACAAAGGGCAATTGTATAAATAGAACAAAACAACCGAATGCAATTGTATACATAGAATAAGACAAAGAGTGATACTGTATATTACTATACCGTAAAATGATTCTTTCCGTGTCGATTTGAAATCTACATTTATGCACTCAATATAATTCATATGGTGGCCCTCAAATAGTTGTTGTATTGTTCCCTCCACAACAGTTCCCTATAGAAAAAAGAAAAGGAAAAAAAAAGCTCAAAACAAGAAACACCAACTGAGAAGTAAATCATGGCCTAACAACAATAGAAAAATTACCTTCATTTTGTCCTCAAGCTTTTCGCAGAGAACCCGATTGAGTTCTTGCACATCATGTTGCATAAAGGAATCATATGTATCCCAACCAAAAGACTTTGTCAGCTCCTTTGTTGCAACACTAGTGTCATTATATTGGAGCTTGTAAAACAAACTTTGGAGAGCCAAAGGTATACTTGCTGTGGGTAAATCGTTCTCAGTTGTCGGCATGTGGTATACAGCCTACAAACAACATGCAAAAATCAGTTGTTCGGTTAAGAATTCAGTGAGAACCCATAGGATTTAACAAACTGGAGGAAAAAAAAAGAATTTATCTAACCTTTCTGAAGTAAGGTATGTGGTATAGTGTCTGTAGGAGAGAATTCATGTAACAAGTTGCACCTTGGTTCTTGAGACCAACAAAACCAGTCTCTTTTTTAGAGTCATATGACCAGTAATCAAGAACCTTACGTACAGCGACTTCAGCTTCAACCAAAACAGTATCATTCACTAAATATCCTCTACTAGGATCATAAAGTTCGCTAAGAGGCATGAATGATGTAAATCCCCAATCGCTTTCTCTAGCATTGAATTGATGTTGCGTCTCTGCAACACAAATAGGAATCATAATGTCAGTGAAAACTTGTATCACCAAGGTCACTTACAGCTACATTCTGATAATACCAAGTTCGCCAGAAACAAGGTAAATATTTCAGTCTGATGAAGTAGAAAAGGGAGCGTTGCAGGCGTTCAGGTAAAGCTTAAGACAGCAATAACATGATTACATTCCAATAAGTTAAAAATGTCCCCTTCTTCCGGTCCAACAATTGAACTTACGCTAAACATAATTATATGTGCACAGGTATATATGTGCATGCATGCACTCAGAATCCAGAGTTTTATAAACATCATTAATAAATTACAGGTACCCTTTCTAATGGTATATCTGGAGTGGATTTGATTGACTACAGCCAGACTGAACTGAGCATATCTGCTCCAACCGTACGGCAAACTCGCAGCATCAGAAACATCCAAGTACATGGACAAATGATCAACATTGTTCCCTTTCGGGAAAATTAATATGCGCCTGCACAAGCAAACCCAAAAGGTGTCAACCAATCAAAATGCATAATGGACAAACAATTGCAATAAAAAAAGTATACTACAGATAGGCATAACCTATTACCATTTGTAACCTCCAACGACAAATACATCGGAGTAATGCTTCCTGGTATTTTGCCTAGAGAAATTAGGGATAGTCCACGTGAATTTCAGAGAAGGAGGATCCTCAGCTGGCTGGTTCTCCACAGTACTCGCAGCAGTCTCGGGTTGGGTAACTACAAATGCATCAAAAATTAATGAAACCATCAACAGCAGGACGAACGACAAAACCCTAAGCACTTGAAACCATCAATCCAACCCTAGAACACTGCATATCCACAAGCTCTATCTCATCCATTCCATTCCATCGAAAGCACAAGGATTCGAGAAACTGAAGCAGTGGGTCAAATTGAATCAAACCAAAAAAGTCTTACCTTCCATGGGCTGAGCAGGACCGTCGACCAAATCTGAATTCGGCACAAGCATCTCCTCATCTTCTGGCTGCTGCGAAACAAAAACAAAAACTAAGAATATACACCCAAAATAAAAACCCTAATCTCGCCCTACGGTGATCAAAACGAAAGAAATAGAAACCACAATCACTAAACTAACACCACCAAAAACAAAAATCGCCGCATCTGCACGACGATTCAACCGCTTCAAATTCAAATCAAATCCAAAAAAAATATGAAACGATCAGCTAAACAAAAAATCAGAAGCAGATTCAAGCGCGAATACACAACGAAAGACACGAAGGGATACATCGAATTAACAAGAGACACAGAGGAAGAAGAATCGGAGATTTACATCAACGGGAGGCGGAGTCATCATAGTCATTGGCCGGAGAAGGATTTGACGGTGGGATCGAGAAACGCAAAAGAGAGACCGACGATGCAGAGAAAAATCAAAGAAGAGGCAAAGTGACTCTAGGGAGAAATACAATCGCTCATTCTTACTCTTTCTCGGCTTCGATATATGACTATTTCTGATATTTCCGAGAATTTAAAGGGTCATTAATGTAATTTCACACTATACGGACTCAGATTTATAATTTCTCCGAGGTTGGGCCTATCAAACGAGACAGACCAATGAGAAAGCGACACGTAAAAGACTGACGATGCTACTGTCATACAAAAACTCCTAGACGTGGCTGCTTGGAAGATTAGAGCATCTCCAATGGGTGTTTTTTTGGGCTCTCACAGATGGTTCTCTTGAATAAAATCTTCAAAAATAAATCAAAACTAAGAGAGACAGCTCTCTTGAGAGAAACTTTGAGATGTATGAGAGTCGATGACGTGGCGTGTTCTCAACCGTCGATTGTTTTTGATCAAAAAAAAAAAAAAAACGCGTAAAAAAAAAGAAAAGTAGCCAAACACATTTCATTTCCCCGACTCTTGTCTCTCTTTCTTTGAGAGAGATGGCGATGGCGATTGCTTTTCTCCGACGATTGAGGCCGCCGGCGACGATTGATGGAAGAACAGAGAGGCCGCCGGCGACGATTAGGCCGGATTCTTCATTTGCCCCACCGTATGTCACGATCGGGAGTGAGCTAAGTATGCAAATCGGATATCCAAATTCAACGGATGGAGGTGGAGGTGGAGGTGGAGGTGGAATCTATGGAGTTGACGGAGGAGGAGAGGGAGAAGAAGGTGAGAAAGGAGAAGGCTTTGAAGGAGATCTATGGTAATTTTGGTTTTGATTGTTTTCGACTTCAATCTAAGATCTGTTGCTTTTAGCTTCTGTTTGCTTTTATACTGTGATTTGGTTTCGTTTAGGGTTTCTCTTCTTTGCCTTTAGCCTGTTAATGGTGGTAAAGTCCTCCTCCATGGCGTTAGTTTCTCTTCTTTGCCTTTCCATTAACGTTTGACTTCTAGCTTTTGTTCTAGGCATATCCCTAGTTTTGAAGCCTTGTGATTGATTAGGTTCTTCCATTTTTACTTTTTTCTGATTTTGGTATCATTACTTTTTGCTTTTTGTTGCAACGTGAGGATTGGATTCTTACTTTTCTCTTTAAGAATTATTCCCTTTTACTTTGAGAATCTTCTTCTAGGTGTTTTAAGGATCATTCTCTGTTAACAAAGGAGATTAAATAAAATCACCGCTTGGTTTTGTTATATGTTCAATCTAACAGTTTGTTTTTTGGTGTTACTGTATGTTTCTAATTTGGTAATGGGTTTTTGAATAATTATTGTTTGAATATGAGGTTTTAAGCTTCTTATTTAGTAAATGTGAGACTGAGAGTTTGTTCTTGTCTTTCAGCTGAGGCTGTTCTACTTGGGTTTCAACACTACCTTGTGATGCTTTGAACAACAGTTCTGATTCCTTCGGCTCTTGTTCCACAAATGGGAGGTGGAAATGTAAGTCTCTTTTTCTAGAAAAATAGTTGTTCACATTATACTTGTCAGTCTTTTTCTGCACTTAAGTTTATGATTTTGGAACTAGATTACCTGGAGTGGTGATTATTTGTCTCTGTTTTGGTGAGGTTAATGGAGTGGTTAATATTTCTCTTAGTAATTACTTGAATCATTTTGAATTTTTAATGTTATGTTAATATTTCTTTCTTTGTCTCTGTTTTGGTGAGGTTAAATGGAGTGGTTGAAATGACAAATCTCACAAGTGGAGAAGGCATCGATTTAACAGCCTCTAAATGAAGGTACAGTTCAAAGTGGTTGTTTCATTTAATTACCGGTTTGTGCTATGTGATTAATGCTTGGTTTGTGTTTGATTAGGACAGTTTTTGCTTTTGTAAATGCTTTCTTTGTTCTTTGAAATAAATGCTTTCTAGTTGGAGTATTGTAGGTAAAGACAATTAGTGTCTTTACCTTGGCATTCATTGCTAATACTTCAATAAGTTTCAGTCTTCTTCCTTAAAACACAATCACAAACACAAAACAGAAAACGCAAATCACTTTTCAGCCTTCAGCCTAAAAACACAATCACTTCCTTCAACACAATCACTTTCACTTCCTTTAACCTTCAGCCTAACACAAAACACAATCACTTTCACTTTCTTATCTAAAAAAAGGATGATATGAATCCATTTAATCAGTCATCGGGTTTCATGGATCTATTGCATAGTCAACAAGAAGACATGTCTCAGTTTGCAAGTGGATCAACTGAAGTCCCAGCTTTTAGTAGTCAACTGTCTGAAGAAGGAAGTGAAGATGAAGGAATTGAAGCTGAAGTCAAACCGAAGCAAAGCATATCACGAAAGAAATGGACAGCAAAATAACTAATCGTTCTTTTTTTTTTGCAAATTTATTTTCAAATGTATGAATTTATTGTATGTTTAATATGTTATGAATTGTAATATTTTTCAGTTTTATGAAATAAAATAATTAAAAAAATAATTTAATTTTTTTCTGAGAACCTCACAAAGAGAGCCTACCATTGGACTTTGCAAAATTAAAAAAAATTAACAAAAGCTCTCATCAATAAAATTTGAAAATTTTATTCTTAAAAAAATGGTGAGAACCCATGGAGGGTTCTCACCATTGGAGATGCTATCACCTGACGTTGTGGGTCTTCTTTGCTCTTTGTCTTTTTTTTTTCTTTGCTTTTGGTTTTTTTAAAAAAAATTGAAATCTTGATGGATTTCTTTTATCATTTTCCTCTTTTTTTTTTATCATTTTCCTCTAAATTTCGTACAAGATTGTTCTGATTATTTGTATTTATTTGGTTTTGTTTGCCATAAAAACCAAATAAATTAACTAAGAAACATGTTGTTGATACTTTTACTAAAATAAACATGTTGCTAATTAACAAAAAGAAACATGTTTTGTTTTCCTTAATGTTTAATTATCTCTTTTCTAACTTGGGCCTAGCCAAAACTGGGCTTTTCTAGAAAGATATCTATACATTATCTTAAGTAACTCTTAAGAATCCACAAACTCCAAAGAGCAAGAGTTAAGTAAAGTTAGGATTGAGTTCAAGCTATACCAAAAGAGTGAAAGTTTTGAGTGAATGTACCTTAAAGGTGTGTAAAAGAGCAAGTGCCAAATTTAAAGAGTGGTGAAATTTGATCAGCTTTGTCGGTGGGAAATACTAGTAATTGCAATTTTTTTTTTTTGGTGTAAAACATCCTCCAATGTGAAAGGTTTATCTGGAGTCCTTAAAAAAAAGACTTCCGGAAGAAAGTTCGGTTACTGCGATTTGACAGTCCATTCGACATTTCCTCTGATAACGAGGCTCTGGATGTATGTACCTTGTTCTCAAAATAATGGATGTTGGAACGGTGATGGGTGTGACTAGTGATGTGTTATAGAAAGGTCAATGTTTCCATTTCCTTAGTGGTGGGAATAATGATCAATTTAATAAGTGAAAAGAAAAAATATTCTTGCTTAGGGCTTTTAGCTATAATATATCTAACTACAGAATATGAAAAACGCTCCATATATTTGGTTATATGAAATTTGAGAACTTCAATGAAATTACTTGTTTGATTCTCCATTTATATAATCAAACTCAATTTATGGGTTTATATGTTTCTTTATCTTCTCTACATAATCATCATCAAACTTGGAACTAATTAAGATTAGGTTAAACTTGCGTCATCATCAATCAACTTGATTTATCCAAGTTATCTGCTTTTTTGTCTCGTTTGTGAGATGACCGTGGAACAATATATGATAAATTTCTAAGGGTCAAATGAATCTAAATGGACGAAAATGTAATGAGACTACACGGATAAAACGACGTAGACAAGTCACCTCTTCTTGCGTCCCTTTTACTTTCATCTTCACCTGACCAAACTTTGAACTTCAATAGCATGTTTCATAACATATGAATAAACTTTTTTCAAGCGTTACACTTTATCAATTTCAGCCAAATTTAAATTGGATCACATCCCCTAGAGGACACTTGTTTGAAACTGAGGTTACACTTGTTGAATTAGATCGTGTAAGTAAGAACTATCTTCTTCTTTTTTTCTCACACTAATTAAAGTAGAGTAATATTAAATTTGTATGTAATATTACAACTTTTTCAAATGTAGAATAAAGTTGTAAGGAAATTAAAAAAATAAATAATAACATGAATTGGTTTGCAATTTTTTACAAGTTTGTGTAATTTAGAATTTGGAAAACAACGTTGATGTACTAAATAACAAAGTTTTAGCTTGGGTAGGTAGGTAAAAAGACTTATCATTGGGTAAGATTAGGAGATCGAAATACAAGTCTTTCCAATGAGATTTCAATCTCCACATGTCCCGGTGATGATTAGTATAGGTTTCAGTCCTAAGATTTTCGAGTTATAAAAAAAGGAACTCAAAACGAACCACTACAAGGTGGGCTAGTGGTAGGACGGATTTCGTGGTTGAGGGGGTAATCCCAATACGTCCGGGTTCGATTCCCCCTTGCTACATACTAGTGGCCACCAGGGAATTTACATGCGGACTTGCTCTGGCGCCCGAGACCGAAGACCGTTACCTGGCCATGACCCACCTTCGGGTGTGCGTCCGTGCCGTAAGGGTTCGGTCTCTAGTCTGGACCACCTCGGTGGGGCCAGGACACTCGGTTATCAAAAAAAGGAACTCAAAACATGAAAAAGCTCAAAAGAGGTTAGAGAGAAGAAAAGGTATAGTGACGACCTATGCCAATATAACTTTTCTACAAAGAGAGAGAAAAAAATAACAATAATTAACAAACAAAGAAAACGAAAGGCGAACAAAACGCACTAAGGTTATAAGCTGCGTAAGCACAAAGTGAGAGAAAGAAAGAAACCAAAAGAAAGAAAAAAAAGAGAAAGAGAGAGAGAATGCAGAGATTAGCTCCATTGATGGAAGAACCAATGGATGAAGAAGATCAAGAAGAAGAAAGAGGAGGAGGAAGAAGATCGAAGAGATCCAAATCATGGAAGAAATGGATAAAGACACAATTGCAGTTCATCGTCTTCCCCAAAAAACCAGACATGAAGCTTCTTCTCAGTGTTATGGGATGTCCTCTCTTCCCTGTCCCTCCTCTCTCCAAAATCTCTCTCCAACAGGTATTTTATACGTATATGTATATATTTATGCGTATACGAGAAACTCATCTATTTCAACGACTACTAATTATTAAGCTTAAGAAAAATATTTTGGTGGGTCGCATTAAATTGGATTAGTTTATGATCGTTTCGTTTTTTTTTTTTTTTGGCATTTCAAATATCTTCGTATTTTTATTTTTAGCGTCATCTTTGGTACTAATTACATCAAACGTTATGGACAATGCTTTTAATGGTGAGAACTATTTACATGACATTAAATTTGTATCCATCACTTGACGACAGTTGACAACTTATAAATGGTTTTTGGTATATTTCTCAGTGGGAAACCTTTATAAAAACATGACATATATGCAAACCTTTATAGTATTATTTAAAAGGAAATTTTCGGGTTTTTGTTAATAATTCAGAAAATAGTCTTCTTCACTTATCTTTTCCCTTTTTCATATTTGATTTCAGATTATAAATACTGTTTACAAGATTTATTGGGTTGAAATTAAAATTTTAATTTTATAGAAGGTTCTTTTTAGTTCAAACTCCTCTTTAGTAAATTACTAGGTGGATTCCTATGAAAAGCTAGCTATAAAATCTATTTATAGACTACTCCACTTTTTATATTCAAAAGATCTCATGATAGATATTCGTTTTGCCAAAATCTGTGGACAATAGGTCAGTGTCACATAACAAGATTCAACTACTTTGGTGTATACTATAAGCGAGCAAAATATATACATTGCAAAATACTAAATCAGTCAAAAAAAAAAAAACGAATAAGCATAGTAAGTCAATGCAAGAGTGAAGAGTCTATCACGAGATCCATAAATAATTCCGGGAGACCCTTAACTTTATTCGTTTACAATGGCATCCGGTTTTCAGATCTGATTTATATTTTAAAAAAATTAAATAAATATTTGTATCGAGTAAAAAATAAAAATACATAATTTGTACTCGAAAGAGGAAACAAATAAATCAAATTGATATAATTTACCATATGATCTCCAACATATTGATAGGGAAAGTAAAGGTTCAGATCCATGCTTATATGTGCATGTAAATCATTCTAATCGATAATTATTATGATCTTTATAGGTATCGTCATCAGCACAATACATAATACAACAGTTTGCCGCAGCAACCGGATGCAAGAAACTCGCAGGCGAAATCAAAAACACTTTTGTTACCGGAAAAATTACAATGACTATGGTGAATGATCTTAATGGCTCAACTGCGGTTAGTAGTGCCTCGTCTGTGTCTCATAAAGGATGCTTCGTCATGTGGCAAATGCTACCTGAAAAATGGCTCATCGAGTTAGTTGGTGGTGGCCATAAGGTTTCAGCCGGAAGTGATGGAGAAATTACTTGGCGTTATACACCATGGCTCGGTGATCACGCAGCTAAAGGTGCCATACGGCCTTTGCGACGTGCTTTACAAGTAAGTACACATATTATCGTTTAGTTTTATATGTTACATCAATCATGTTGATTAAGATTTTTTTTGTTAAATAGACCATATAATCAAATAATCCCCAAAACAAATAATATAATCCATAATCTATACAACTCTTGAAGAAAGACTTGTAAGGGTAGATTTCCAAGATTTGAAGTATAACAAATATTGCATCTAGTGAAAGCTGAAGACACATAATTGTATAGTGATTAATTTACTCTAGGCAAAAAGAGAAGGTGTTGGATCTGACATTCCACTTTGGGGGATGCTTTTTTAGTTTTCTCATGAGATTTTTCTTTTTGCCTTAGTCACGTGCTACTAATTGACTTTATCATGCGCTTAAACAAATTGGATTTAAAGGTTGGAAGGAGAGATTCAAAGTTGAGATATTAGTTAATCCCAACTTTACACAATTATTACATTTTGAGGATAAAAACATGTAGTTAACAATAATTGTTTATAACGAGTTAAAACTACACCTCTCTTAAACTGAAGATATATACACTAAACAAGGTTTATGTTTGCTCTTATTTCATGTATTGTCATCCATGTGGGGTATTTTTCTATTCTGTTTTTTTTGGCCGTGGTCCAGAGCTTTTTCTGAAAGGGTAACATGATTACAAATCTAAAATCTATATCCAAGTTTAAAAGTAAATATGAATATTTTTAAGTAAGAGATTGTCTCAACAATCTTGCAAGCCGCCAAGAATATACGTACAAACATACACTTCCACCGGTTTTGGGGAAATCAAACCAACAAAAATAATATTTTTCTTGTAAATGGGATCTCACAACCCAAAACCTAATTAAACTACTATTGTGATTGATGATCGGTATAACTTCTAAAAATGGTCAGAACTATGCATCCATTGAAAAATAGACATGCTAGTAGAATGAAACCAATTAACCCTTGCTAGGTTTCTAGTTATCAAAAGTAAATGTGATTTTCAGGATCAATGTACTTATATTTATGGATTTGCTAGTTATTGATTATAGTTTAAAGTTTTGGCACTTTTATTCTATAAGGAGATAATGTGGATTGCTAATGATAAATGAACTTCTATTAATGTCTATGTGAACACACAATCAGGGGTTGGATCCTCTAACAATATCATCAGTTTTTTCATCGGCACAATTCGTTGGAGAGAAAGAAATCAATGGAAAGGATTGTTTCATTCTCAAGTTATCAACCGACCAAATTGATTTATCACGTCGCAGTGACTCTACGGCTGAGATGATCAAACACGTCGCATTTGGTTACTTCAGCCAGAAAAGTGGCCTCTTAATTTGCCTTGAAGACTCTTCCTTAACCAGGTACATATATAACAATAAACGACTAATTTAATTTTGGTTTGGATAGGATTTATGTTAACTGAAGTTAGATTTACATTATATTATAAATTTTGTTCTATAGAAGAAGTCATTTTGAAATTCACATTATATGATAACGTTTTGTTTGTGATATATAGGATTCAGATACCAGGAACTGTGCCAACATATTGGGAGACCTCAATGTCGTCGTGTATGGAAGATTACCGAGCAATCGAAGGTAGTGAAGTGGTAATAGCACACTCAGGTAAAACAGATGTGTTAATCTCAAGATTTGGAGAGACTCTCAAGGGAGGAATCTCTGTAACTCGAATGGAAGAGAAATGGACCATAGACGATGTTGCATTCGACGTGCCTGGCCTATCCGTTGATTGTTTTATTCCACCTAAAGAGATGAAGATGGATTTTCACCACCAAGATGCTCAAAAACATTTACCAAACTACAATAGATGATGAGGCAAAACTGTAAAATTAGAAAACTGTAAAAGGGTGGTTTTTGACATATTTTAAAAGTTGTGGGGCTATTTTCAAACTATATATAGTTCTTCTACTAATGTATGTTCCTTCTTCGTTGTGAAAGCAAAAACAGAGCAACAACAATGTCGCGATTTGCTTTAAATCGTTGTTATAGCCGTTATCTCTCGCGCCTTAAGCCATTGACGACGCCTCCGTTTTTCTCTTCCTCTGCTGCGTCGAATCGAGATGGCGAGTATCAGACCGGACCGCCACCGATCCGAGTCGGACTCACAGAGTCAGCGGGTCGAGCTGTTTTCGCAACGCGTATAATTGGTGCCGGAGATCTCATACACACGGCCAAACCCGTCGTAGCTTTCCCTTCTCTTTTAAAGCTCGACTCTGTTTGCTATCTTTGCCTCAAGAAACTCATGGGTTCTGCTAAATTTGAAGATCGTGGAGTCTCTTATTGCAGTCAAGAGTGCCAAGAGAACTCAAAGGTCGTGATTTTTTGGTATTTGCTGTATGATTCCCTTTCATGTTATTATATTGCTTCCCCAATTCGCTTGGTGATGTATTATCTCCGTGTGAAGTTAACGCTTACAAGGTGTTCGACGAAATGCTTCAGTGGGAAAAACACATCACTTTCTTTTTTTATTCATCTAGAGATTAATCACTACCATATAGGTGTACTTTTGAGTTCATGATATATATATGTATATATATATGTTTTGATGATTTTACAGGGTTTTTTGGATGTCGAAAGAAGAGCAGATTGGTCAAGTTTTGTTGAGTATTGTAGGTATGACACTATACTGTGTTTACTGGTTTCTTTTCTTTTCCATATGTGAACACTATCAAGTTCTTGAAGTTATTCTTTATTTTTCCCACATGAATCAATTATTGATGGAAGTTCCCCGTTGAGCGAGTCTTATATAATCTAGTACTTTCTTGTTTCTATAGTAGTTTCAATGGAATAAGGAAAACTAAGGAAGTCATAGTTTGAGATAGCTGTTAGTCTGTTGTGGGCTATAATATGGTCACTCAAATCTTTCCTCTTGTAATTAGTAGGAAAAAAAATAGACATTACTATTAAGGTCTTTGTATTGGCATTGATAATTAATGACTAATTCGATTATATTTGTGTAAGGACGCACAACTTCAAGTACCCGCTTATGGTCAAGAGGTTGTGTTGTATGATAATATCAGGTGCTCTGTCCGCTGACTGTCTTGATATACTTCAACCAGCTGTTTTATCTTCTGAGATGATTTCAAAAGTGAGTTATTGAAGATGAAAAATAATACACTTACAATAGATTTATAATAATAGACGGGCTGATCGCATACATGGTAAGTTATGCAAACTTTGGATTACGTCCCCGGAGTTTCTTGTATTCGATTTGATTGTTCATGCATTACACTATGTGAAGCTCACCTTGTCTGCTGTAGTATTCATTACAGCCATGAATCAATAATAAAAATGTCATGATGAATTCATTAGCTCCACAGAGTGGTTTGTTCGTATAGTCACTGGCTTGTTATTGTTTCAGATAGAAGACGGTTATGTTTTATTATGGAATGCCTTCAGGAAGGCAAATTTCAAGGATGATGATGTTTCTTGTATCCTTGGAGCTATATCTTACGTCAAATCCATTCTATCTTCAGCATTCTGGTTTTTATCTCTTTGCTATTTACAGTCCTTAACATCTGGAAGTTCTAACTAAACAATGGTATACGGCTATACTTGCACGGATTCGTATCAATGCATTTCGTATTGATCTGGTTGGAGGCTCATGTGGCGAAGACCTTCTGTCACTGGCTGCAGCCTCTGTTGAAGGTGAAGGTGCAGTTGGCCATGCCGTTTATATGCTACCATCCTTCTACAATCATGACTGTGGTAATAATATTCACTTTTCTGATCTTTTTTATGCCGGGTTTTCGTGAAGAAATGCTTTAATGTACCAACATCATAAGCCAACGAGTCTTATAATCTTTTTCTGTTAGACAATGAGCAAATTTTTTGAAGAAATTGCAAGGTAAGAGAAAAGAGTAGAAGTAGAAGTTTGTACAGAAGACGAGTTATACTGTTAGGGTAAAGAACATGATCATATAAATTTGTACTGACAGAATTTGAAGAAAACCCAAGAGAAGTATTTATTCTCTCCCTTTGCCTAATCCGATAACGGCCTCTATCTATATGGGTTTAGTGATATAAGTGTCTCATTATTACTAGTAGTTCTTACTTTTTGTTGATTTGCTGATTACTTATACCGCTAATTGTTGGAAGTTAATACCACCGTATGATTTGAGTTAATTCAGGCATTTAAATATTTGTTCTAAACTCTTCACTACTTGGGCCAATGTCTTTTTCTTTGTTTGGTTTTCTCTGGATAATTTGGTCTGAGATAGTTCAAATCCATGTTAGTCTTTGCTTGCATTTCTCTGAAAACTCTCGAGTTATATCTATTATGCGGGTACGACATCACGCCACACAAATATTCACCTATTTATGAAATAGAAAGTGATGACTAGTTTGAATGTCCACAGATCCCAATGCGCACATAATATGGTTGCAGAATGCAGATGCAAGGTTGAACACTCTACGTGATGTCGAAGAAGGTTTGGTCTTTTATACTTAAAAACAGAGATTTCTAATTAGCATTTTACTTCAATCTTGTGTGCATTTAACTTCAATGGTAACACTGCATGCATATTTTCAGGTGAAGAGCTTCGGATATGTTATATAGATGCAAGCATGGGATATGAGGCGCGTCAAACAATACTCTCTCAAGGGTTTGGCTTCCTCTGCAACTGCTTACGCTGCCAGTCCGCTGACTGACTGATTAACTCTTCCTCTCCTGGCCATCTTCACTTTTCATGTATTTTATGTAATATAAGTGAGAAAACGAGGATTTAAGAAAATAACAAAAGATGTTGACAAAAAAAAAAGAAAATAACAAAAGAAACTATATATACTTAATGTTTTGCTGATAAAACTATATAGCCTAACCAAAATATTTTTAATCGTTGGATAAACCTATTAGAAATTCAAGCCAATTCGAACAAATATCAACAAAAAAGTGCATTTAAAAAGAGCCAAATTTTATTAGTTAAGAAAAAAGCTTAACAAGATAGTTGAACAAAAACAAAATCAGAAGAAATAAGAGGAAAAATCAAAAAAAAAAATTATTGCAATCATGTTTCATGTTAAAGAAACAATTCAAAATCAATAGTAAGGCGTCTTGTAGACATATGGTGGTGGGGGAGTCTTGTAAGTGACTTTAGGAGAAGGCGAGTAGTATGGAGGAGGTGGTGAACTGTAGACATATGGTGGTGGTGGAGACTTGTAAGTGACTTTAGGAGAAGGAGAGTAGTATGGTGGAGGTGGGGAGGTGTAGACATATGGTGGTGGTGGAGACTTGTAATGAACCTTTGGAGAAGGAGAGTAGTATGGTGGGGGTGGGGAGCTGTAGACGTATGGTGGTGGTGGAGACTTGTAATGAACCTTTGGAGAAGGAGAGTAGTATGGTGGGGGTGGGGAGCTGTAGACGTATGGTGGTGGTGGAGACTTGTAGTTAACCTTTGGAGAAGGAGAGTAGTACGGTGGTGGTGGAGAGCTGTAGACGTAAGGTGGTGGTGGGGACTCGTAGTTAACCTTTGGAGATGGAGAGTAGTACGGTGGGGGTGGGGAGCTGTAGACGTATGGTGGTGGTGGGGACTTGTAGTAAACCTTTGGAGAAGGAGAGTAGTACGGTGGGGGTGGGGAGCTGTAGACGTATGGTGGTGGTGGGGACTTGTAGTAAACCTTTGGAGAAGGAGAGTAGTACGGTGGGGGTGGGGAGCTGTAGACGTATGGTGGTGGTGGGGACTTATAGTAAACCTTTGGAGATGGAGAGTAGTACGGTGGGGGTGGGGAACTGTAGACATATGGTGGTGGTGGAGACTTGTAGTAAACCTTTGGAGAAGGAGAGTAGTACGGTGGGGGTGGGGAGCTGTAGACGTATGGTGGTGGTGGAGACTTGTAGTAAACCTTTGGAGAAGGAGAGTAGTACGGTGGGGGTGGGGAGCTGTAGACGTATGGTGGTGGTGGGGACTTGTAGTAAACCTTTGGAGAAGGAGAGTAGTACGGTGGAGGTGGGGAGCTGTAGACGTATGGTGGTGGTGGGGACTTATAGTAAACCTTTGGAGATGGAGAGTAGTACGGTGGGGGTGGGGAACTGTAGACATATGGTGGTGGTGGAGACTTGTAGTAAACCTTTGGAGAAGGAGAGTAGTACGGTGGGGGTGGGGAGCTGTAGACGTATGATGGTGGTGGAGACTTGTAGTAAACCTTTGGAGAAGGAGAGTAGTACGGTGGGGGTGGGGAGCTGTAGACGTATGGTGGTGGTGGGGACTTGTAGTAAACCTTTGGAGAAGGAGAGTAGTACGGTGGAGGTGGGGAGCTGTAGACGTATGGTGGTGGTGGGGACTTGTAGTTAACCTTTGGAGATGGAGAGTAGTACGGTGGGGGTGGGGAGCTGTAGACGTATGGTGGTGGTGGGGACTTATAGTAAACCTTTGGAGATGGAGAGTAGTACGGTGGGGGTGGGGAGCTGTAGACGTATGGTGGTGGTGGAGACTTGTAGTAAACCTTTGGAGAAGGAGAGTAGTACGGTGGGGGTGGGGAGCTGTAGACGTATGGTGGTGGTGGGGACTTGTAGTAAACCTTTGGAGAAGGAGAGTAGTACGGTGGAGGTGGGGAGCTGTAGACGTATGGTGGTGGTGGAGACTTGTACTCAACCTTTGGAGAAGGAGAGTAGTACGGTGGTGGTGGGGAGCTGTAGACGTATGGTGGTGGTGGGGACTTGTAGTTTACCTTTGGAGATGGAGAGTAGTATGGTGGAGGTGGAGAGCTGTAAACATATGGTTTTGGATGTGGCGCGTACTTAGGGCTTTTGTGTTCATGGCCGGGAGAGTTGTAAGATGGGGTTTGAGGGGATGAGTAAGGGTATGATGTCACTGTAGCCGCAATAGCACTTAAGACCACAACATAAACCATGCAGTGCCCTAATCCCATCGTTCTTGAGGATCTCATCATACCCATTACTGCTCTTTTTTTATTTCTTTGTTTTTGTTATGTTATACTTGAATATGAGCACCCTTTATATAGTCTTTCTTTGTTGTGTAAATATATTATTTTCTCAACTTGGGTTCGTGTGTGGCACTTCTAAGTATATGAGAGGACGTGCTAAGTTGTTTGTTTGAAAAGTATTGATTCGTGGAGGATATGGAATTTTACTAGATTCTTATGAACCTTGAATTATTATAAGTTGAAGAATTTTATGGTACATGAATCGTAGGATGTTTCTTGTTTGGTTAAGGCAACTGGATGCGAATCGATCGTGTGAGCAACATTTGATTCACGACCATGTTTTTTCCTCATGGGCGACCACGTTCATCCAAAATAATAAAATCAAAAAAGCGAAGAAATTGTTATTTTCATTTTTTTTTGAATAAACATTATTGTTCTTCTAGTGGCCTTTAATAACGCCATTAGACCGAGCAAAAAATATATATTCATCAGCAATTCATTTGCGCGGCGTTTAGACCAATAAGTTTTTTTTTTCTTTGATGAAAGTTTAGACAAATAAGTATGTATCGCAAAACTAGCAATTTCATGCTTTTTTCTCTTGAGTTGTGATCATTAAAGTTTTATCTCTTAGTTTTTTTTTTTGGTAAGTCTTATCTCTTAGTTTATTAGCAAAAGCTTAGTTCACATCTCTAGTTCCTTTTTTTCCTATATTTGTTTTTTTTAATTCACTTAATTATGATGGTTAATCTCGGTGGACATCGTATAATATTAACAGTTAAACTAATTCATGCAGATGAATAGAAAAAAATCTTAACGGTGAGCTTATATGTTTTAAACAGAACTAGACCTTGTTACAAAAAAGGTGTGATTAACTCTTCCTCTCCTAGCCATCTTTATTTTTCATGTATTTTATGTTATACGTCATACGTGAGAGAAAAAAAAAAAGAGAGTCACAACTGAGAAGACGGGAATAAGAAAATAACAAAAGAACTTATATATATATATATATACATGGTTGGTTCAACATTACTATGGGTCCTAAAACCAAAATTTTTTTGGGTCCTATTAACTTTAATTTTTCTAGATTTTTTTGTTATGATTTTCTTTCTGTATATTTTGATAAAACAAATTTGTTACAAAAACAAAAAAAAATTGGGTTTTTTTCAATATTATATTTAGTTTGCTCTCAAATTTATTTATTTTCAAATGTTTTAAAAGTGAGCCCCTTGATTATTATGGCACATGATGGGGCTACTCGCCGTCGTGCCGCTTGCTATATTAGAAATTTTGAGCCAGTTCGAACAAATTTCAAACAAACAAAGACATTTAAAAATATAGCAATATTTTATTGGTAAGATAAAAAGCTCAACAAGATAAAGGAACAAAAGAACAAAATCAGAAGAATCAAGAGAAACAATCATAAACAGAAAATATTGCAATCGTGTTTCTTTTTAATGAAACAATTCAAAATTAATAGTAAGGCGTCTTGTAGACATATGGTGGTGGAGGAGACTTGTAAGTGACCTTTGGAGAAGGAGAGTAGTATGGTGGGGGTGGGGAGCTGTAGACGTATGGTGGTGGTGGAGACTTGTAGTAAACCTTTGGAGAAGGAGAGTAGTATGGTGGGGGTGGGGAGCTGTAGACGTATGGTGGTGGTGGGGACTTGTAGTAAACCTTTGGAGAAGGAGAGTAGTACGGTGGGGGTGGGGAGCTGTAGACGTATGGTGGTGGTGGGGACTTGTAGTAAACCTTTGGAGAAGGAGAGTAGTACGGTGGTGGTGGGGAGCTGTAGACGTATGGTGGTGGTGGGGACTTGTAGTAAACCTTTGGAGATGGAGAGTAGTACGGTGGGGGTGGGGAACTGTAGACGTATGGTGGTGGTGGGGACTTGTAGTAAACCTTTGGAGAAGGGGAGTAGTACGGTGGTGGTGGGGAGCTGTAGACGTATGGTGGTGGTGGGGACTTGTAGTAAACCTTTGGAGAAGGAGAGTAGTACGGTGGGGGTGGGGAGCTGTAGACGTATGGTGGTGGTGGAGACTTGTAGTAAACCTTTGGAGAAGGAGAGTAGTACGGTGGTGGTGGGGAGCTGTAGACGTATGGTGGTGGTGGGGACTTATAGTAAACCTTTGGAGATGGAGAGTAGTACGGTGGGGGTGGGGAACTGTAGACGTATGGTGGTGGTGGAGACTTGTAGTAAACCTTTGGAGAAGGAGAGTAGTACGGTGGGGGTGGGGAGCTGTAGACGTATGGTGGTGGTGGGGACTTGTAGTAAACCTTTGGAGAAGGGGAGTAGTACGGTGGTGGTGGGGAGCTGTAGACGTATGGTGGTGGTGGGGACTTGTAGTAAACCTTTGGAGAAGGAGAGTAGTACGGTGGGGGTGGGGAGCTGTAGACGTATGGTGGTGGTGGAGACTTGTAGTAAACCTTTGGAGAAGGAGAGTAGTACGGTGGGGGTGGGGAGCTGTAGACGTATGGTGGTGGTGGGGACTTGTAGTAAACCTTTGGAGAAGGGGAGTAGTACGGTGGGGGTGGGGAGCTGTAGACGTATGGTGGTGGTGGGGACTTGTAGTAAACCTTTGGAGAAGGAGAGTAGTACGGTGGGGGTGGAGAGCTGTAAACGTATGGTGGTGGTGGAGACTTGTAATTTACCTTTGGAGATGGAGAGTAGTATGGTGGAGGTGGAGAACTGTAAATATATGGTTTTGGATGTGGCGCGTACTTAGGGCTTTTGTGTTCATGGCCGGGAGAATTGTAAGATGGGGTTTGAGGGGATGAGTAAGGGTATGATGTCACTGTAGCCGCAATAGCACTTAAGACCACAACATAAACCATGCAGTGCCCTAATCCCATCGTTTTTGAGGATCTCATCATACCCTTTATTGTTCTTTTTGTTTCTTTGTTTTGGTTTTATGTTATACTTGAACATGAACACCCTTTATATAGTCTTTTTCTTTGTGTGTAAATATTATATTATCTTCTCAACTTGGCTTCGTGTGTGGCACTTCCAATTACATTAGAGGACGTGCAACGTTGTTTGTTTGAATGTACCGTTTCGTGGGGAATATGAAACTCTACTAGATTCTCCGTCAACCTCATTTTTTTAAAATATTTTGATTGATGATTATTTTAGATATAGAGACAATATTTGTTTCGTAATTTTAATGTGAATTTATTGGCTTTGTTTGTTTTTCTTGCATTTATCTACTGTTTTTTTTTTCTTTTCTAAAAGATTATAAGTTGAAGAATTTATGGTATATTAGAGTTGCTTAAGCTGTTTCTTCTTCTGTTAAAGCAACCGGATGCGAATCGATCGTGAGAGCAACATTATATATGATTCACGACCATGTTCTTTCCTCATGGGCAAACACGGTCATGATCCATATTATAATACAACAAATATGACAAAGACAAACTAACAAAATCTATCGTCAATGTTGCACTTTGTCATGGAGAGCAACATTAATGAATTATTCTAACAAAACTTCTAGACGGAAAGCAAAATCCAAACTAAAAAGAAGAATCGAGCAGATGAGGAAACAAAGATGTGACACCACACATTTTACCATCTAACTACATTAATTTGAGGGATCCACCTGAAAACTTGTACTATATGTTAATTCATGAATGGTTGTTTTATTTTACTTTTTGGTTTTGTGGTTAGTATTATCTACAAAAAAGTTTTTTTTTGCTGAGAGGATTTTTTTTTTGTATGAATGTTGAAAGGATTTGATTAGACGAGGCAACATACGATTTGATTAACTACTCAAAAACATTTGATCAACTACTAAAAAACATGGTTTGTTCTAAAACTGACCATAAGGAAGAAAAAAAATGTACTTATATCACGACAGATATTTGAACTATAGCCTCACAGGCCATCAACGTCTTATATATATAAGCTGTCACTATTTAACATCGAAACAGGAACCTTAAAGATACATCTATATACTTTCTTGACATCAAATAATTGTACTAAACCTTTTCATAAAACATGCATTGATATGACATATCAATGATGGTAGTTCGACGGGTAGAAATCATTAAGGCAAATCCAAATTTGAATCTTAAGGAGACAAACCAATTAGCTAACTATTTTTAATTCGTCACTAATTAAGGACCCATATGATAAATTGATGAGAGTAAAGAACACAAAAGTGTTTAGGAAGAATTATAATAGACTCTCATAAGATTAATGTTCAAGATACAACGATATATATAGAGATAAATCTTAAACCTAATCTCCTAAATTAAGATAAAGATAAATGTAAAATATACTTTAGAGATAAATGTAAATATTCCTAAACTAAGATATAATAATATTCTAGATTCTTCTCGATCTTCATGATTTCCATATTCTTGGACGATCATCTCGACCGTCGATCTCGGTCGATCTCCGGTTTCCCCAATACCCCCGGCAAGCTCATACGTGATAACACGTGTGAGATTGGACAAGTCTTCAGAATAGCGGCTTTATACCCGGCCGTCGGGTCATCATCGACGTTTATACCCGGTCGTGGGGTCAAAGCGGCTACAATACCCAGCTGTTGGGTCATCGACGTTTATACCCGATCGTAGGGTTCAAAGCGGCTACAAAACCCAGCCGTTAGGTCATCGACGTTTATACCCGGTCGTGGGGTCATCAACGGCGTTTATACCCTACCGTAGGGTCAAATTAGTGGAAAATACATCTTTCGTAGTAGTGTATTTCCATCGATTTTAGATCACAAGTCTTGGTCGCTCTTCGAACATCTTGTTCATGAAGAAACTTGTGTCGGATTCGAATTCGTCACCGCCGGATCAGCATCGTATCCATTGGAGTCATCTTTTTGGCTTCCATCTTTTCAAACCACATCGTTTGTTTATGTAATCTTTTGTAGTGAATTGACATAAACAAACATGTTCTTCTTCTTCTTCTTCTTCTTCTTTTTTTTTTTTTTTTTTTTTTTTTTTTTTTTTTGTATAACAAAAACCTTTTTGTAGTTAGGTTAGCAAAATTTTGCTACTCGTCAAACGTGACCAATCAATCAAAGAGGAGGATCACGTTTTTGTTTTTTTTTTTTTTTTTTTTTTTTTAGCGGAAGAAAACGAAACCCTAACCCATAGGAATAGGATCAAGGCTCTGATACCATGATAAATTGATGAGAGTAAAGAACACAAAAGTGTTTAGGAAGAATTATAATAGACTCTCATAAGATTAATGTTCAAGATACAACGATATATATAGAGATAAATCTTAAACCTAATCTCCTAAATTAAGATAAAGATAAATGTAAAATATACTTTAGAGATAAATGTAAATATTCCTAAACTAAGATATAATAATATTCTAGATTCTTCTCGATCTTCATGATTTCCATATTCTTGGACGATCATCTCGACCGTCGATCTCGGTCGATCTCCGGTTTCCCCAATACCATAAGATAAGTATTAACTTTTTCATGTGGATTTTGTTAATTTAGCTATGGATTGAAAAAAATATATATATTTAAGTATATAATTTCAGTAGTAATTGTTAGCGACGGACGACGGTCTCTTGGCAGGTAGGCATTCGAGTATATTGACGGACCAATTTATGTCTACAAGCGTTGGTCATCAAATGTAGTTTAGTTCAATTTTTGTCTGGCTAATCCTATCTACATATACGAGACTATAGTTAGCAAAATTAGAAAGAATGTAGCTAGAAACGAATGTATATATGCTACTTACCAAAAACTAAATGTGTGTGTATGGGTCTATTATAGTAAATATATAGTTATACTTATTCAATGTCATTTATCTATGTACATACCCCATCGGGAATTAAATGCAAGAAACATAGAGGAGACCGTACTTTGAAGTTGCAAATTTAACACTAAGTTGAAGAATCTAGACATAGAAAAGCCAAAGTCTTCCTTTACTTCAACTCAACAATTTTTATCTTTCTCTGTACTTAGACTCCAACGTCATAACCAAAACTATAATAAAAATGAAGACTCATGATTTCATGAACGTCAACTCTTTCTCTCCAAAGGAAAGACCCATTCGCCTCTTTGGCTTCGAGTTTGGAGCTTCTCATGAAGAATCTGAGTCCAAAGACTGTTACAACGAGAACAATGAAAGCATCAAAGACGATAACAAAGAAAAAAGATTCAAGTGCCACTATTGTTTCCGGAACTTCCCTACTTCACAAGCCCTAGGCGGCCATCAAAACGCTCACAAGAGAGAACGTCAACAAACCAAACGCTTCAACCTCCATTCAAATGCAGCCGCTTTCTTTCACCGCCACCAAAACCACATTGCTGCTTCTAGGTTCTACGAGGATCGCTTTAGCCTTGAAGCTGCTCGAATAAACGACGCGAGATTAGGGTTATGTAGTAGGTATAACTCATCCGCAAGTTTTAATCGCGACCGTTCATCTTATAATAGATATATGCCTTGGTTCATCGGTGATCGCCAGACTAGACCGACGTATGTTGGTGGTGGTAGCAGCAGCCATAGTCTGTTTTGCGAGTCCAAGAAGAATGTACCGGACCACGTGAGTTTGGATCTACGCCTCTAGTTCCATTCTTTTTGTATCTCTAGTCCTTTTTCCCTTCTTTTTAATAGTTTTTTTTAGTTTAATCTACTTATGATAGTTGATCCCCGTAGACATCAAATAATAATAACAGTTAAACAAGTTTATGGAGATGAATACAGAACTCTCAACGGTGAGCTTGTATATAGTTATCTACTTTAAATAGAGCTAAAACGTGTTACAAAATTTGAGCCCAACTCATGAAACCTTAACCCATGAAACTTAACAAATCTTTTTTTTTTTTACATTTGCCAAAATCTTTGGATTGTATTTTAAATCTACTACTTGAAATATCCACTTCAACTTGTATCCAAAAAAATAAAAATGTTAATTGAATAATGCAGTGTTTAGAAGCGAAACATTCGTTTCAAAGAAAAAAAAAAGATGCGAAACATTCGTCAATCACATCAAGGTTAAAAGATGTGATTTATTTAAATGAGCGATTTGGTAATCATGAACCATAAAAATGGACATTTTAATTTTCTTAAGAAACAATTTGACCTTTTACTTTCTTAAAATCTATTCAAAATATAATAAATAGTAATAATTTATTTGTAAAAATATTTCGAATTTATTTTAAACATTATTGATTATTCTTTTTCATTTGAAACATCACTTCTTTTCATATTATTACCATAGAGCCCATTTATTAGCAATATAAATCATCCTGGAACCTACTTTTCAATCACACCGACCAGTCTATTTATTTAACATTCTTTCTTTAGAAACTTTAAAGTATGGCTTAGACCATGATTATCAATAGGCTCTTAGAAAAATCTTAGGTAAATCTTAAGTATTAAAAAGTATTTAATTAAATGGCAAAAAGTTATTATTGGTAAGAAAAGTTTCTTAGCTAAGAGCTAAAAAATGTTTGTAAGAGGTAAATCTTAAGTATTAACTAAAACTTTTACAATTTTAATACTAAAAAATTACTAAGAACCAAAGTTAACAACTTCCCAATAATGTTACGAAACCGAAAACTTAACTAACACATTTGTTAGCTCGACTCTCTATTTTTCTTAAATAGCCTATTATTTTGCAGTGTTTTTTGACGACATATATTTGTTTTCGAAATATCGTTTGGTTGGTTCTGAAATGTACACGCCTATAACATTAACTCTCAAATCTAAATCGAATCAGTAAAGGGTCCCAAGGGATACATCACCACTAAGTTTAACTTGAACATGTTTACATTTTTCTTTCTTGTTTTTTTGCCTCCACCTAACAGTAAGACAAACCAAATAAATGTTTAAATTTGTTCGAATTGTGATGTAAATAAGGCCTGAATACAGCATTTAATAACTCAGTTTCTGACAAGAAATAGTTCCAATAGCCTAAATGTTTATAATGGATTAACTTATGGACTCAAAATAGCCACATATGTTTCCTTGAGAACAATGTAGCACCTCGATGCGTTCCTACTGAGGCCAACCAGATCAGCCGATAGGGTTTATCAAAAATGTACTAGATGACATTTGATGAACGAATGAAGGTCAAGTATCTATAGAGAATTGAGATATATGAACAAGAGAAATATCGAAATTTAAACAGTTAATTAGAATATCATTTAGTTGGTAATTGGAAAAAGTAATGTTCAAAGAGTACTACATAGTGCCTTGAACGTCTATGCAATTCTAGGTGCACTACGTGATAGGCTTATTAAATCGTAAAAAATTACATATATATATTTAGATGATGTTTACATATATATATATTTAGATTTTCCAATTCTAGTTGCGTATGAACTGAGAAGTTAACAAGAATATATAATGTAATTCTTGAATTTATGAAACCTAAACTAAACATCAGATCCTAGTTATTATGCAAAACAATTATTGATGTGTGATGTGAGAAGAGACCGTGGTGGGTACATGTATAGTTCTATAACAAGTTTAATTTCAATCTAACTTCTGTTGTACATAGTACAAATGAAACGGTTCATCATAAATAAACCAAATCTCATGTCCCACACACATTCAAAAATCAAAACCACCCCTACAAATTAAATGGGAATGAAAAAGAAAAGAAAATGCTACCAAAATCATATTAACTAAATGTAGCCAAAGAAAAGGATGTTTCACTTCACATTTTATTTGGCTCACGTTTTTCTAGATCTACTTTTGGGTGTAACACAAATCAAGTGCTTAGATTCTATGTACTATGTATAACAAGAAAATTATTATGTAGATGCAAGTTTGATATAAGGACGAAAATTTCTCTATTTTGTCTTTTCAGAAAATATAATCTGGACCATTCTATTGAGGTAAAAAAAATGTTTGGTCTCATATAACTTTTTTTTCGTGTCAAACATAAGTAGGTGATGCATCAACAACACTAACATGAACCACTACAATATATGTCATACCTCATACTCATCTTTTTTTTTCTTTTCTAAATGTAAAAACAATAAAGGTTCAACTACTGAAACGAAATGTAAAACCGACTAAGGCTCAATCACAAACCCTAAACAACAATTCCGCCTCAAAACAAATTCATAACAACAATTAAGCCTTGAACCAAAAAGAAATGAAAAACCAACAATTAAGCCAAGAAATGAAGTTCATAACCAAAGCAAACATAAATACTGCAATCTACAAACACAAAGTTTTGATCTACTTCTATAATTCCAAACCTCTAAATATCTCAAAATCCAAAAACCTCAACTCTAAAAGTTGTAAGAAAATCATTTTGTTTAAAATCGAATGTAAAATGGATGTCGTTTATTCAGAATAAAACGACATCAAACTCACATGTTATGCCGTTTAAGAATTAAGTCATATAAACAGTATTACCATTTCGCGTGGGCTTTTACCTTTTATGCATTGGGCCTTGTGGGCTTTTATTAAAGTTTTGACTATCTTTTTTTTGAACAACTAATGTTTGACTTTCTTTGTATCAAATCTCTGACTCTGAGCTTCAGATATACTCTGATAGAGAAGAAGAAGAAGAAGAGATCAGCTGAGCAATGGCCACCGCGATACCTCTCTTCGCTTCTTTCAAGTACGCCGATAGTCTCACCGTCGTCGGAATCTCCTTCTGCACGGCGTTGGTCTGCGAAGCAATCTCATGGATCCTAATCTACCGCACGAGCTCTTACAAATCCTTGAAATCTTCCATTGACAAAGCCTCAAAGAAGCTGGAGACGATGAAGACTGATAATCCTTCCTCGAAGCTAACAAACAAGAAATCGAAGACGAAGAAGATAGATCGCGTTGAATCTAGCTTAAAGGAATCGAGCAGAGATCTGTCGCTCTTCAAGTTTAAATCTGGTGCCGTTGTTGCTTTGGTTCTCTTTGTTGTGTTTGGGTTGTTGAATTCGCTTTTCGAAGGGAAAGTTGTAGCGAAGCTTCCGTTTCATCCGATTACGATTGTGAGGAAGATGAGTCATAGAGGATTGAAAGGAGATGATTCCACTGATTGTTCCATGGCTTTTCTTTATCTGCTCTGTTCTATCAGTATTAGGACTAATCTGCAGAAGTTTTTGGGTTTCTCTCCGCCTAGAGGAGCTGCTGGTGCTGGTGGTTTGTTCCCAATGCCCGATCCAAAGACGAATTGATCTGATGAATTGAATTCTCTGAGCTCTCGTTGTTACTCTGAAATTTTCATGGTTAGCTCAATGTTGATCTAGTGGTGTTGTTTCAGTTCAATTTGATGAGAAACACTTTCAAAGTTTCGATTTGTTAAGTTTTTTTTTTGTAGTATGTGGTTTTGATTTGGATTCGTTTTCAAAGGTCCTGCATTTGCTGTTGTCTTTAATTCTGACTACAAATTCAGTCTTGATCTTTGTGTGTTCAACTCATTTTCATATGCATTGACATCTTTCTGATCATTTTCTACATCAAAGGCTTGAGTTTTCATTCGTATGGATTCTTTGGATATTGAAATGAGAGGTTAATCAAAGATGTAAGTAACTTGGATAGTGTAATGGGTAATATACAGAGAGGCTCAGGTCATGTCCTTAGCAATGTTAGGAATTGAATGTTTGCAACATAGAACTAAATGCTGGAAAGATGCCATAATCAAAAGATTTGCAGGGTTCCTTCAGCTAAGCTTCATGTTGAACTTGGTTAGCCTTTTGGTGTATATTGATTATAGAACATAAAGATGTGTTTAGCAAATTGTAAGTTAGAAGATTCAGAGAACTTCTTTGCACAAAAGATTTTCTTTCAGGATACTTCCCTTAAAGCATTACCAGCAAACAAAACAAATCAAGCCCAGGAAGGTCAGGGAATGAGAATTGCATACAAATGTACAAACTCAAAATCACACGAATCTCAAATCATAACTTATGTCCTAAAATAGTCGATTTGTTGTGTCTCTGATACTGAATCAGATAAACGTGAATTAGCAGCTCCTTGGGGTCTCATCTTGGCAACTAGACCCCACATATTAGCAAGTTCATTCTCTATAAGCTTAGCTTTGAACAATTCACACGTTCTTCTGAATCAAAATGTTAACCATGTCTTAGAGCTTGAGAAAGTATGTCCGAACTTGTGACACATCCTCTTTCTTCTTGTAGCCACTTGACCTGATCCACTTTAACCACCAAGAACCAGTTTCAACAACATTGTCTCTTATTTCTGGAACATTCTCTATAATCTGATAATGCCACAACTTAGGCTGAAACACCATACAGCCAAATCTTGAATTTTCTTACAGCCAAAATGCAACACATACATTTCGTGTACAGCTGTTAAAATAACATGACACGCCGCCTGACTCTCCTAGCTAGGAAGACTATTGATACATGAAGTCTCCAATGGCTTAAGCTTTTAGACAATCAGATTCTTCTTTGTTGCTTGAAGATCTGATACAAGACGAGATCATCTCTGAGAAACCATTGCCCCACCCAAGAAAAGAACTCCTTGTTTTCTCACAGATCCATTTCCAGCATAAAACATGAATATGTGCATTGTTTAAGAGCTTACACTCTCAAAACAAGAGCTCTTACATTGTTTAGCCTGTACCAACCAGACTTGTAAACTTCAATAATGATCCACCAAGTGTAGACTCATATTCACAAGAACTTACTTACTTACAGCTACACAAAGGCAAAACTGTGACAAAAACCCCTTTCAAAACTCAGCCAAATCATGGAAACTGCTACAAAATTTCTGTTCACAGTGCTACTATTTGCTGATTTCGTTAGAGAAAATATATTTGTAAATTCGGATTGTTATTGTAGTTAAATCAAAGCAAAACCCTAGAAACTTTAGTCTTCCGTCGGAGGGAGAAAAAATATTCCGATGAGGACGAGCTGTTCGGTTTACATTGTTTTGAAATTACAATCGATTTCGGTTTACAATGATTTTTAAATTGCAATTAATTTTCGGTTCGGTTTACATTGGTTTAGAGAAGAAAAAAACAAAAAACATTAATAAGTCACGCGATGGAGATTTTGGGAAGAAGTGCGTTGATTGAAAAAGGCATGATTCCTAAAGGGGTACACCCACAGAATTTGTCACACTCGCGCAACGCGCACTTTGTGCGAGTGGGTGTGAAATAGAGCCTTCTGATTGGCTTAAAAACTCTAAAAAAAGTGAAATAGTATACATGTTGCTCCTCCTCTATTATATGTTATTATTCTTCTTCTCTCATTTTGAGGCAAAAACACGAAGAACTCACAACTAAATTAGATTCATGCTTTCAGATTTCGACTGGTGAGTCTAATCAGTCTTAATTATTGCTAATCGTCTTTGTTCTTATCGAATCTATAGTTCTGGTATGAATTTTTTGGTGTTTTTTTTATGTGTCTATGCCTGTTTTGACTTTGTTGCTGTGACATTTTACTAAAACTAGTAAAGCTAAGCTTGTTTGTCATGTTTAATTTGGAGCAGTAAATTGTTCTTCTTCCTCCATTAGATGTGGATTTGTTTATAATTTGGAACCATGGAAGTAGAAATCTTCAGGAATCTTCTTGGCTTGATTCTGAGTTTTTGGAATATTAAAGTTTAATCCTTTCCTACACTTCTTGTAATTAGAATGTTCAAAGGTTACTGTGATTTGGATCCTTTTCTACACTTGTTTGTTTGTGATGTTTAATCCTTTTCTACAATTAAAAAAGGTTTGTTTTTTTTAATTCATTTTTGATGTCCTCTTTGGTGGTGGAATTCAAACAATGTAGAATTGTTGTGTATATGGATGGACCTAAGGAAGGAGTTGGCTTCTTAAACTGATACTTTACTTGTCCAGTGCCTTTTTCTGTGACACATTCCGTTTTAGTGACTTGCTTAGTTTCTTTACATGTTGAACCACAGTCCATCTCTTATCACTCTAAATCCAATTGTTTTTTCATCTCTCTAGTCACAAATTTGTTTATTGTTGAGTGTAGTCTTGGGAAAGCAATAAAGGCATTAGTCTTGAGTGTATTTGGCATTAGTATGATCTCAATTTGTGCTGGATATTGCAGGTTCGCATTATTCTAGAAGGCGTTGACAAATTCAACAATCTGATTGGTTCAGTTCATTATTCTGATGGGGAAACAGTTAAAGACTTGGGTTTGGAGCTCGTTGAAAATGTATGTGCTTACACTAAGCAGTTATTTTGCTTTCAACATAAATTGCATATTAAGCTAATGGACTGAAAATGTTTTTGCTCTACTAGTGGTAGAAACTACCTTTGTTGTTAGATATAATATTCTTCTCTATATTTCTCATGTTGTTACTTAGAGAAATTTGGTTGACACATAATGTTATAGTTTGTTACTTAGAGAAATTTGGTTGACACATAATGTTATAGTTTGTAATTCTACTGGTCAGTTTTGGATCTCTGATATTAAAATTACTGAATATTTGATCTTTGATGTTATTGAAACAAAGTTAATGTCCTTGGTTGCTATTATATTTTCTTAGGGTCTTGCGAAATTTGTTGAATGGAGTGCTAACATGATGGAGGATGAAGCTAAGAGAAAGTTGAAAGCTGCAGAACTTCAATGCAAGAAAGATAGGGTTAAAATGTGGGGAAACTACGTTCCTCCAGCTACAAACTCTAAGGCAATTCATGACCAGAACTTTATGGGAAAGGTAACATGTCCTGGCCAAATTCTTTTTGAAATACTGTCCTTCTCCTCTGGTTATTGAGTTATTGGTTTTATCTCTCTTTGGGTAGTGGAAGTGGTGAGTGGGGATTGTCTTATAGTTGCCGATGATGCTGTTCCATTTGGGAGTCCAGCGGCAGAGAGACGGGTCTGTCTTTCGAGTATCAGATCTCCCAAAATGGGCAACCCACGCCGAGAAGAGAAACCAGCTCCTTATGCTCGGGAAGCAAGAGAATTTCTGAGACAACGGCTTATTGGCAAACAGGTATTTTGTTGGGCCTTTCTCTAATCATTGCCTCTCTGCGCACATTTGAACAAGATTTGATTTCCCTTTTCCTGCAACAGGTTATTGTTCAAATGGAATACTCAAGGAAAGTCACCCAAGCAGATGGTCCTACCACATCTGGAGCTGCTGATAGGTTCATGGATTTTGGCTCAGTGTTCCTTCCATCTCCTGCCAAAGGCGATTCTGATGAAGTGGCTGCATCATCTGCTGCAGCAATTAATGGCAGTCAGCCGGTTGGTGTGAATATTGCTGAGCTCGTTCTTGCCCGTGGTTTTGGAAATGTGGTTAGACATAGAGATTTTGAAGAGCGATCAAACCATTATGATGCTCTTCTGGCTGCTGAAGCTCGTGCTCTGTCTGGAAAGAAAGGAATCCATTCTGCAAAAGAATCTCCAGCCATGCACATCACAGACCTAACTGTGGTTAGTATATATATCTATATGTACATAAGAAACGCATTTTCCTCACTAGCCTTTTTTCAGTAATCTAATTGGTAAGCATATATTTGTCTCAGGCGGCAGCTAAGAAAGCTAAAGATTTCCTGCCATCCTTGCAAAGAATCAGGAGAATACCCGCTGTTGTGGAATATGTCCTCAGCGGACATCGGTTTAAGCTTTATATCCCAAAGATAACATGCAGCATTGCCTTTTCATTCTCTGGTGTCAGATGTCCTGGCCGTGGCGAACCTTATTCAGAAGAGGCTATCTCTGTAATGAGACGTAGGATCATGCAGAGAGATGTTGAGGTAAACCGAATGCACATCTAAAAATACATCTCAGTTTCCTATTCTTTTAAATGGTTTGCTCATACTCTATTATAATCACACAGATTGAAGTTGAAACCGTGGATAGAACCGGTACTTTCTTGGGATCCATGTGGGAGTCGAGGACGAATGTGGCGACAGTTCTGCTTGAAGCTGGCTTAGCAAAAAATGCAGACTAGCTTTGGTGCAGACAGGATCGCCGAAGCACATCTTCTTGAACAGGCAGAGAGATCTGCTAAAAACCAGAAACTGAAGGTAACTAGCAATAAATGTTAGTGAAGAAATCCTCTGTTCCAAAACGTTATTTGCTAAACGATTTTGAAAATTTTCAGATTTGGGAAAACTATGTTGAAGGAGAAGAAGTCTCAAACGGAAATACAAATACCGTAGAAACCAGGCAAAAGGAGACCTTAAAGGTGACTTTATCCACATGATTCTTCACAAAACTCACATCTTCTTTTATAAATAGAAAGTAAACCTTCATTTTTCATTTCATTGCCTACGATTACAGGTTGTTGTTACAGAAGTACTTGGAGGTGGTCGGTTCTATGTTCAATCTGCTGGAGATCAGAAAGTAGCTTCAATTCAGAACCAGCTTGCATCCTTGAGTATTAAAGACGCTCCCATTATCGGGTCCTTTAATCCAAAGAGAGGTGACATCGTCCTTGCACAGTTTAGCCTTGATAACTCCTGGAACCATGCAATGGTATTTCCAATCGACTTTCTTTGTTTCGGTAATTTCTTTGCTTCATGCTTTATTCATACAATCGATACTTGTGTTCAGATTGTGACTGCACCCCGAGCAGCGGTTCAATCCCCAGATGAAAAATTCGAAGTTTTCTACATCGATTATGGAAACCAGGAGACCGTTCCATACAGCGCAATCAGACCAATAGACCCTTCTGTATCCGCAGCACCAGGGCTCGCTCAGCTCTGCAGACTTGCCTACATAAAGGTTGCAAGCTTGGAAGAAGACTTTGGTGCTGAAGCCGGAGAGTATTTGCATACGGTAACGCTGGGTAGTGGTAAAGAGTTCAAAGCAGTGATAGAAGAAAGAGACACATCTGGAGGCAAAGTCAAAGGGCAAGGAACTGGAACTGAATTTGTTATCACACTCATTGCTGTCGATGATGAGATCTCTGTAAACGCTGCAATGCTTCAGGTCGGTTTTTCTCTCACCTTGTCTAAAAAACATTTCCAAGAATTGGTATTGATGATGATGTGTAATCTCATGCTAATCTGTCAGAGAGTCATTTACCTCTTCCTTTGTTACTGGCTAAACTACTAAGTAGTTCAGGAGCAAAGTTGATCTCCTGTAGTAACCATAACGATTAACAATGGAACTCGATGTTTGGATCCTAAAATGTCTCGTATCAGCAAAACCTTGTGATATCCCTGAGACACGTCCTTATAACAGCTTACATATCAACTCTAGAACCCTTGATGTCTCTTTCAAGCTTTAAAGAACAACCTGCATTACTTTTTCTTGTATGTAACCTCCACCAAAACGACTTTGGCTATTGCATCATTCAATTTGCAGTCTTTAGCGAAGGCCCTCTTCTTCTTTAAGATCATTCACTTGACTGACTGCAAATTACTTCCCATGAGTAGACACTTATGTATTCTCCTCATTCTGCAAACAAACAACTTTGAACTCATTAGTTGGTTTCTTCTAAATGCAGCTAGATTTCTCTGCATTTTCACCCTTTCTAGGACTTCTCTTTTCCAGCTTTTGACACTAGCTTTGAGATGAGTTGTTTATCTAGTTAGATACACAATACCTTCACATTCTTGAAGTAGGCACCCTTGAGACAAATCATGTATCACTTGCTTTTGTTTCCTTCAGTTTCTTCTTTAGAAAAAAAAAACAACAACGGAAATTAATTCAATAGCTTCATCTCAGACCATAACTTTGTGTATTCTCTGGAAAAACTCCAGAAACCTGCAACTCTTCTCTAGAAAACCTGCAATATGTTTCTGATAATCCTTACCAACTCCCAGCTTCAAAACCAAATCTGTAAGCAAACCTTTTACAATCGGATTGTAACCATGCTTAAGCAGAACACCCATTGATAACCTTATGTGCTTAACTTGCTTTCTTCTTAGCACTCTGAAACAAAGTATGCAACCTTTTAACTCTATACTTTCAGCTGAACAATCATCCAACAAACGTAGCTCCACCAGGAGAAATACAATATCCTTAGGATATGTGTTGCTTTTCTTGTAGCAACAACACTCTACCTGAAACCATAATCCTTGGATGTACTATGTCTCTATAAGCTTAGCTTCACCAATCTGAGTTAAAACCATTCTTTAATGTTGCTTTGAACAATTCACATGTTCTTCAATGTTAACCATGTCTTAGAGCTTGAGAAAGTATGTCCGAACTTGTGACACATCCTCTTTCTGCTTGTAACCACTTGACCTTATCCACTTTAACCACCAAGAACCTGTTTCAACAACCTTGTCTCTTCTTCCTGGAACATTCTCTATAATCTGATAATACCAAAATTTACTAAGAATAAGAAAATAGAGAGTAAGAAACCATTGCTCCACCCGAGAAAAGAACTCCTTGTTCTCATAGATTCATTCCAGCATATGTACCGTGTGTTAACTCAACACAACTCTGCATAAAACATGAATATGTGCTGCTGCTACATTGTTTAAGAGCTTACACTCTCAAAACAAGAGCTCATACATTTTCCAGCCTGTACCAACCAGACTTGTAAACTTCACTAATGATCCACCAAGTGTAGACTCATATTCACAAGAACTTACTTACTTACAGCTACACAAAGACAAAACTGTGACAAAAACCCCTTTCAAAACTCAGCCAAATCATGGAAACTGCTACAAAATTTCTGTTCACAGTGCTACTATTTGCTGATTTCGTTAGAGAAAATATATTGGTTTGTTCCCAATGCCCGATCCTAAGACGAATTGATCTGATGAATTGGATTCTCTGAGCTCGTTGTTACTCTGAAATTTTCATGGTTAGCTCAATGCTGATCTAGTGGTGTTGTTTCAGTTCAATTTGATGATATACACTTTCAAAGTTTCGATTTTTGAGTTTTCTCTAGTATGTGGTTTTGATTTGGATTCGTTTTCAAAGGTCCTGTATTTGCTGTTGTCTTTAATTCTGACTACAAATTCAGTCTTGATCTTTGTGTGTTCAACTCTTTTTTATATGCATTGACATCTTTCTGATCATTTCTACACCAAAGGCTTGAGTTTTCATTCGTATGGATTCTTTGGATATTGAAATGAGAGGTTAATCAAAGATGTAAGTAACTTGGATAGTGTAATGGGTAATATACAGAGAGGCTCAGGTCATGTCCTTAGCAATGTTAGGAATTGAATGTTTGCAACATAGAACTAAATGCTGGAAAGATGCCATAATCAAAAGATTTGCAGGGTTCCTTCAGCTAAGCTTCATGTTGAACTTGGTTAGCCTTTTGGTGTATATTGATTATAGAACATAAAGATGTGTTTAGCAAATTGTAAGTTAGAAGATTCAGAGAACTTCTTTGCACAAAAGATTTTCTTTCAGGATACTTCCCTTAAAGCATTACCAGCAAACAAAAAAAATCAAGCCCAGGAAGGTCAGGGAATGAGATTGCATACAAATGTACAAACTCAAAATCACACGAATCTCAAATCATAACTTAAGTCCTAAAATGGTCGATTTGTTGTGTCTCTGATACTGAATCAGATAAACCTGAATTAGCAGCTCCTTGGGATCTCATCTTGGCAATTCGACCCCACATATTAGCAAGTTCATTCTCTAGATATGCTTCCCTTTGTTTCGACTCTTCTACTGTTCTTTGTAGCTCGGCTTCCCTCTGGATTTTTTCAACTAGAGCAGCTTCAAATGAAACTTCACGTTCTTTGCTTATACTCAGTTCTCTCTTCAGTTCCATCAACAAGTTGTCTTGCTCTTTCCTCTTTGTAACACTTTCTCTCCTTCCATTCCTCAGGTTTCCTGTCTTGCCCCGTGGTGTAACAGAGCTCTTCTGCACCGCTGCTAGATCAGCTGCTAGTCTCTCGTTGTGATTCATAAGTCTTGATATTTCCTCAGACAATGCCTTGAGCTCAATAGCAGCCGCTGAAGCAAGCTCTTTCGCATATGAACTCTCGTCAGCTAGTTTCTTATTTCGGAGTTCTAGTTGTTCATTCAAGTCACTTAGTTCTGTAGCTTTCAGTTTAAGCTCTTCAATCTCAAATGCCTGTTATGTATCAGTCAGATAGTGAATATAATGTTCAGATTTTCATATATCAAAATATAAGGGAAGAGAAAGATCAGGCCATCAGGGAAAAAAATGTTTACAATAAATTGTTGTGAAGTATATGAGAATTTCACCTGTGCCTCTATGACCTTTTCTTCATTTTTGTTTGGCGATTCAGAAGATTGTTGCATGTGACTTGTGACCGAGCTGATATCTACCAGTTCCAGGGCGTCAGAGAGCTGCTGCTTTAGGTTTGCAACCTCTTCTTGCAACTCTTCACATAAACATGTCTGCAGAAATAAGTTGATCAGTTACAGACTTCTTTGACATGTTTGCACACACTAGCTTCGAAGGCTCCTCAATAAGGTGTAATCAGGGAAAGAGACTAGGTATTATCTGAACCTTTTGGTTGAGTTGTTCCTGAATGATACGATTATCTGCAGCTTTAACCTGTAAAATTAAATGAATACTGAGTAAAAGGAGTCTTCACTAATCCATAACATCATATCGAGCTAAATAAGATATATAGTAGCAGGCATGATATAGCAAAGCCATCAATTATCAATTAATAAGATATGTAGGTGCAGTATCAATTAATAGCTGAAGTACTGTGTAAAGAGAGAGAGTTTCAGCACCTCGAGTTCAAAACATTTCTCATTTAGTTGAGCCCTCATTTCAGAAACAGCCTGAAGATACGAGAGAAATCACTTGAGAGAGAATCCAACGTCAATAAATATCAGAACAGGAAGCACAAGGCCACTGTGTGATGTTTGAAAAATATAACCCACCTGTACGATATCAGATTTTACCAATTCATCTTGTGATGCTATAACAAAATCCAAAATTTGTTTCCCCAACGTAGCAATCTGGTCGTTCTTTGCCTTGATGTCGCCATCGAGGTTTTTGATCTCCACCTGCATAAATCCAAAGACAACCAGGAAGGTAAATATCTGCAAAGTTTGATCGAAAATATGATAAAGATCATGAACAGAACGCAAAGATTACTTTAATTTCTTCATTTTGAGGGGCTTTGGCAGCCTCTTCTGACAACAGTTTGAGAGACCTTGATTGTTGCACCATCTCCTCAGATAAAATCTTTTGTTGTTCCCTCAGTGTTTCCATCTGATTGATCATTTTTATTCTAGTCTGGGAACAAGTACACAATGCCTTAAAATTCGTACATCAATTGCTCAAAAAGAAAGCTCAAGAAACCAATTGATGGAAATGGAATGAGCTATCAGCTGTGAAAAAATCTCAATGTACCTCAGGTGACTCAATCTCATGAAAACTATCTTCATGAGCTTCTTTATTATCCCTAGTCTCTAAGAGTTGATCTGCCAATGTGGAGCCTTCTGAAAGTCTAGATCCTGTACGAAAATTACTGCCTTCTCCTTGAGGAGTTGACGGTGTACTGTTGGACTTGTCACTGATGCTTGATCCCCCCAAACTGTTTTCTTTTTTCTGATAGTAAAACAGTAATGAGAGAAAAGGTGGCAAGAGAGACACCGCCCGAAAAAAGAAAATCTAACTAAGAAGGAATGAAGCGGTGTGATATCTCATGCACACCAGGAGCATAATTTTTTGGAAGCACATAGAGTGCTAGATATATGATGTGCAGGACACTCTATACAACAGTATTACCTATACTATGAGGCTACGAAGTTGAGGGAAATGCTCCGAACTAAACAAGAGCAGCCAACAGTAAACGTTTATCAAAGCCAAAAAAATTCTACAATCAAATGTGTACCTTAAGTTTCAACCAGTTCAGTAGGCCATGCTTCCTTGTCTTCTTTTCTTCTCTAAACGCATCATCTGTAATCTCAGGAGTCCCTTCACGAGAAACATAGAATTCAAGGTTCTCATCATCCGTCAAGTCGCGCCTCTTATACGGAAGGTAAGCAAGCTGGCCATGCATTATCAACTAAGATCAGCCAAAAAAATAGTAATTGGCAGACATGCTGTAGGGAAATGGAAGAGTTAATGTTTTATATTGTTTAGTAAAATAGCTCTAGGCTAGACAAGTGATTCTACCTCCTCTTCTCCAAATGAGTGTCTCCTCCAAGGATCAACGCGATAAGACAACCGCGATGTTTGTGGAGTTTTAGTAGACACGAGAATTAGTTTCGTAAGCCGTTGGATTCGACTCAAGAGAGCTGCTTTAGCATCTTCCTCTTCTTCTAGCTTTTATAATCACATCAAAAGAAAAGCATGCAAAGCAGATTTCAATTCTCCAGAAACTGAAGCTCGATACAGTATAGTATCAGTGACAGAAAAGACATACTTTCTGCTTCAGGAGAACAACATCATCTTCACTAATATCCTTTAACTGAGAAACTGGTTTAATTCCTTCTTTAAGCTGTTCCAACTCCTCCTTCAGTTGGCGAATCTCGTATTGATACTTCTTAATCAATGATTTCTCATCAATTATCTGTATTTTTTAGGGTTAGAAATCCAGAATGAACCTTCAGTACGGAAATGCACTGAGCTTAAAGAATAGATGTAACTAAGACCTTGTTCTGTGCGGCTTGAATCTCAATATGCTTTGCACGATGGGCAAATTTCAAAGTGTTGTGTGTTTCTTCAGAGCTGCTTGATGCAGGAGTCACTGTACATATGAGCTATCATATCCAGATGGAACAATCAATCAGTTAAATCGATCATAAGAATTGTTTTCTGCTGCCTATGGTCATGTTCTGTGCGGCATTTATTGCAAAAAGAAGCTAAAACAGATATCTAACAAGTACACCACTTACAGATACACGTCCATGCCCACTCAATGAGGACTGAAGCAGCCTGGTTAATTTCGAGTCCCTATATGGTACATGGCTAGCCTTCTTATCTGTAAGCTTTGATATTACCTACACAATTGCAAAAGAACGATCCAACTTCAGCTTTTGGGAGATGACTTAACATAATGACTGAAGGCAAAAGCCAACCAAGGTTTTCAGCTGTAGAGGAGGAAAAGAAAAAGAAGATATACGCAGATATATATCCAAATAAAAAGGCAAAGAAGTTCTTAAATTCAACTAAAATTCGTAATTCTATTGTTGCTGTGGAAAACAGTGATAGCCACGGACTCACAGTCCCTAAAGTCAGCAAACTTTTATTTATATAAGACCCTTCCTTGCGTCTTAAACCACTGGTTTCAGCCTTTGAGCTCTCAGAACCTGCCAGGTCAATGAGGTTCTGCAGATATAAGTGAAATTATGGGCAGTTAATCAGTTTGTTCACCTTTAAGTGTTCAGACAGTGCAATAATAAACAGTTTATCAGAGTTGAAGAAAAAGTAAGCTATCACCGAACATAAAATCACAGGATAAAAACAAAAGATGTTATACCAGCTGCGAGAGGTGTACAGCTCCACCTTCATTATTGTCACCCAAGGGACTACTCTCTATAGTCTGCAACCAAACCAGTTATAACATCTTTCAGAAACGGTATAGCTTTACTGATAGATATGAAAGAAAGCCAAACTGTATACTTAACATTACTAAACAGGGGAAAGCAAAATCAAAGAAACAAATCTCTTCATGCTTTGAAAGCGAAAAATAAACATACCAGGGTAAACATTGTATGGCTTCGGCTGCTGAGCAAATTAAAACTTGTGGATCCAATATGTCGGTGCTCTGTCAAACGAAATCAAGATGACTTACATGATAAACATAAGAATGTAGAAAAAAGTACTAGATTCAAGAGAAGGATTGAATGAAATGAAACTACTGGAATCAAGAAAGAGAATGCTAGTCTTTAGAATTGCTATCTCATATCACATAAAAAGGAAAACCCCCAACTGGTTAAGGAAAACACTTTCTGAAAAAAAAAAAAACTCTTAAGAATTACATGGAAGTGCCTACCTTCTCCAGCTGCTATAAGAGAAAGCGCATGAGCAGGGGATAGAACAACTTCTTCTTTAATCCCTTCGATAAAGGTTCCCTACATTGGCAATAAAGAGAGGTTCATTGCAGAATTTTAGAGGGAAAGGCACTCAAAGCAATAGAAGTAGTCAAGTTTATTCTAAATTTCTTAGCCCATACTTGAATAAGAAATGTAACCTAGAACATTCAAATATTGATAATCAGACCACTTTTCACATTGTATTTGCAGGATCCAAGAGAATTTCATTTATAAGAAAATGAAAGTACTTTCACGCATCTAGCCGAGAAAATATGTCTCCTCTAACTAAACAAATATGGTGTGCAAGGTTTTAAGATTCTATGATGAGCACTTATAGTAACAACAATTATATAAGAGACAGTGAAATAAGAGGATCAAATACTGAAACAAGTACCTGCTCATCTTCTCTGATCCTCAAATTTTGTCCTGCTGGGTTCAATAAATCATTGACAACCTGAAGTAAAATGAACCTTAAGAATATTAATAAATATCAAAAGCAGAATCTGACTATCATTTAGCACCACTGGTGAAGTAATTATAGTGAATGGAGAGAAGAAAATCAGGTAGTGAGTAGCACCTCATTATAAATTTCAAAGTAGGAAACACGTAGGAGAAATTCTCGCCTTGGTGTCTGCGAGAAAAATAAAATGTGTGATATAGCTAGCACTTAGGCCAGGGAATTCGACTAATCAACATCCTAAGAAGTACCTCTTGTATAATGCTGAAAGCATCTTTCACGGCTAATGCTATTATACCAGGAGATCTTTGGTCCCCCTGACATTTGAACCAAACAAAACTGTCTTCATGAGATAAAATTGTTCTTATTTCATGCACATCTTTAAACGTAAACATGGTCTCCAAAATGAAGTGCAAAATCATCCGGCATTAGGGCAGGTTCATGTATTGATCATGGTGTCATAAGAGAAAAGTTCTACTAGGTTGCAAAGTGCATAAACTGTAAAGCAGAGAACTAACCTGAAGAATGCAGCTATATGCTAACTACAGTAAAAGAAAAGGCTTTCTAGGGTCAACAGAACAACACTAGCTAGAAGGAGAATAGCCAAATATCCATCACAAAAAAAAACTTTTAGGATACAAACATCAAGTTCCACTACTAATCGTTATGGCTACTATAGGAGAAAAACTTTGCTCCTGAACTACTCAGTGATTTAGCCAGAAACGAAGGAAGAGATAAATGACTCTCTGACAGAGAAACATGTCTGGGATGACACATTGAAGCACATTGTACAAGGTAGTAACCTAATACGTTTTATTATAATAAGATGAAAAGCAAGAAATATCATGATTAGTGAATCTTACATGCATAGTGTGAGTTTTTCCACTGCTTGTCACTCCGTATGCGAAAATGGTCCCTGTGGTTGGATTAACACTCATTCATTAAAATAAAATTGGCAAAAAAAAAAGCTGACTCAAAGTGTTCTAGAGATTAAACAAGAAGCACGAGATGATACAGTTTGGCGACTCAAAGTGTTCAAGAGACTATATGATACAGTTTGGCAACTCAAAGATCTCATTATCTAAATGGTTGCTCATGCAAACCGTTCATGATACTGTAGCTAGCTTTGATAATATAAATATCTTTTTAACTTCTAAGAATAAAGTCTTAACTAGATAGGCCAATAATAAGTGTTTAGTCCATACCATTGATCCCCGCCATAGCACCATTAACTACATGCTGAGCAGCAACATCATAGACATGGCGTGTTGTCGTCGTAGGCCCGAAAACACGATCTGCAAAAACGGACAGAAATTTCAAGAAACAAAATGGCAGATTGAACTTGACATGTAGTTTAATTTAGGTCTTCATTCAAGATGCAGGAAACTTCAATCTAGTCCACAGAACAACATTAATGATGGTTACAGAAACTCATGAACACTAGTCAAACAGTAAAGACTAACCATAGGCATAAGCTATTGACTGATTATGCTCATTCCGCACAATTGTTTCTCCATCTGCATACCATGCAATCTCCTCTCCTTTGCGGATTTCCCTCGGACTACGATCAAGCATAAACCAATGTCAACAATCCACAGAACAAACATCAAACTAAGTGTTTGAATCCTACACAGCGAAACCAACATTCACCTGAGTGGACGAAAACGAACTGTGACAGTGACATTTTCTTTGGACTGCAAAGGCTTAGGCGGTACCTTTCCTGTATATTGTAAATGAGGCTTGCTTCGAGCAGATGAAGACGTAGGGGGGCTATGGCTATCCACAGATGTCTCTGGATAAAGTTTTGAAGACGAGGTTGTTGAAGATACAGGGGACTCAGCATTCTTAAACTTGCTAAGTCCAGCATTTCTAGACTTCGACACTTGCTTAGATCCCATCATCAGAAACCAAATGCAAAACTTCCGGTGACTGAAAAAATGAAGAAAGCACAAACCTCTATCAAGCTAACAGAATTATGCTTTGACTGTGTAATGAGCTAAAAATTCAAAATTGTATTCAAAAGTTTGTTAAGAAACTCATAGAGCAACTAGGAAATGTACACGAAAGAATTGAAATTGGGGGTTTACAATGCTCAATTGGTAAGCGAGTGAGAGAATCACAATGGGAGGAACAAGAGAATTTTACGGAAATGCCACTACGTGGGAGCTTCGAACACTTGGAGACAAAAACGAAGCTTAGGTCGAAAAATCCAATAAAAGAGAGGAAGAGAGGCAAGTGGGTACCTCAAAGTAGCATCGCCGCCGCTAAAAGCCGAATCGCATGCAAAGGATTATGATGATGCAAGAGAGAGAGAGAGAGTGATTACTAATTACGTAGACGAAGAGAAGAAGAAGCTGAACTTAAAGAGAAAAGAATCATCATTTGAGAGTAATTAGTTAGATGATTGCGATTTGTTGTGTAAAGAGTGTTTACTTTTTTAAAATAATCTCGCTTGCCTTTGAAGCGATTATACCCTTAATCCTAATCCTACTCGATTGTTTCAATTGTTTATTCGTGTTTTCTCGTAAACTGTAATCACTAAAAACATCATTAAAGGTGTAGTAAGCAAGAGATAAAAGATAAGAGAAGAATAGTATACAATGAATGGTATTTGCCTTCACGGATTTTGTAAGGAGAGGAGACGCAAAATTTTCCTATGTCATTTTTATTATTGAATCAATATGATTAGATAAGGAAGTAAATTGGTGAGAAAAAGATAAGATTTGGAAATGAAAATAAAGTAGTTTATAAATGGTGTGCAATCTGTAACAAAAAGAATATATAGAGAAATTAATTAGTGAAAAGTAGAAAGTGATTGTTACAGGGAATATTTTTCCATACACGTAAAATAGGTTTATTTTGATTCCGATCTTGTACTTTTTTCAATGGATTAAAGAGGAAATAAGCTATTAAGCTTCCTTTATTTTCAACTTTGATTGATGAGAATAATAATGAGGACAGACATTTTAGTTTTACTACCTAATATATTTCCTCTATTCAGATCACCAATGACAAATCTCTAAAATGATTTTTTTTTTATTGATGTCATTGTTATTTTGCTCAATAAATATATTAATGTGGTAGATAATACTAATCCCTAATACTAAAAAGTTCCTCTTTTTTAATGCTAGTTAATTTTTCTTTTTAAGTATATATTTTTATTGGTAGCTTTTCTAATAAGTATTGAGCTTGTGGTTGTGATTTGTGAATTAAATATGATGAGATTCTTTTTCATATGAGAATTTCAAAAATGCTACTCCCTCTGTCCCAAATTATAAGAGCTTTAAGGGTTTTTTCTTTGTTCCATTTTAATAGATTTTTTCAAGTTTCAATGCACTATTTATATTTATTTAATAATTTTTGAGTGTTTAAATTATGCAGTCTTTTTTTTAATTGGTTGAATTTTTATAAATGAGAAAACATTTATTGTTTCTTAATCCTTGTGCTTTTAGCCAAAACCTCTTATAATTTGGGACAGAGGGAGTACTATTCAAAAATTTCTAAAGTAACATATCAATTAACATTTTTTAAAATTAATTTCATAACGATACATTAGGTTTATTCTGATATTTTTTTTCTCCATTTTTCAAATACTATAGAGAAAAAGAATTTGAAATAAAACTTATATATATAAAAAAAAAGAAAAGATATTTAGCATTTGTTTTTTTTTTTCCAATGTTTTTGGATTTCAACATATTCATTTGCCCGCCGAGGAAAAAAATTAAGAGTACACACACACACAGCTCTAAAGTCCAAAAGAGCCCATCTTTTTTTTTATTCATTCAGTCACACTACTCTTCTCACTCGCCCACACTCTGCAAATACTCTTTCGATTCAAAAATCAAATTCAACAAAAATTCGAACAACCAAAAATCAAAAAAGTTGAAATCGAATCGAAGAAGAAAAAAAGGCAAAAGCTTGAATTGATGGAAGACGACGATCAGCAGAAGGCTGCAGATCTAGTACAGGAGCTTGTTCTTCGTCTCGTCTCCCAAAACCCTCAAACCCCTAATCTCGATCCCAATTCTCCCGCCTTCCTCAAAACCCTTCGTTACGCCTTTCGTATCCTCTCTAGCCGCCTTACTCCTTCCGTCCTCCCTGACGCCACCGCTATCGCTGAGTCTCTCAAACGCCGTCTCGCTACTCAGGGTAAGTCCTCCGACGCACTTGCTTTTGCCGATCTCTACACTAAGTTCGCTTCCAAGACTGGACCAGGCAGTGTCAATAATAAATGGGCTCTTGTTTATTTGCTTAAAATCGTTTCTGATGATCGTAAATCGGCTATAAATGGTCTTGATTCGTCGGTTTTGTTACCTAATTTGGGGATTGGTGATACTGGTAATGTGTTTTCGCGCCGTGGGGAGGCTAACAAGAAGGATTGGAGTAATGGGGTTCTGTTGGTTAGTAAAGATCCTGAGAATTTGCGAGATATTGCGTTTAGAGAGTATGCGGTTTTGGTTAAGGAAGAGAATGAAGTGACGGAGGAGGTTCTAGTTAGGGATGTTTTGTATGCTTCCCAAGGTATTGATGGGAAATATGTGAAATTTAACAGCGAAATTGACGGTTATGCGGTGCAGGAGTCTGTTAAGGTGCCTCGAGCTACTAGGATTATGGTTCGTATGCTCTCTGAGCTTGGCTGGTTGTTTAGAAAGGTTAAGACTTTTATAACCGAGAGTATGGATCGGTTTCCAGCTGAAGACGTGGGAACTGTTGGGCAAGCGTTTTGTGCGGCATTGCAAGATGAGCTCTCTGATTATTATAAGTTATTGGCTGTGCTTGAAGCGCAGGCCATGAATCCTATTCCTTTGGTTTCTGAATCAGCTAGCTCAAGTAATTACCTTTCTTTAAGGAGGTTGTCGGTATGGTTTGCGGAGCCTATGGTGAAAATGAGACTGATGGCTGTTTTGGTTGACAAGTGTAAGGTACTGAGAGGTGGGGCGATGGCTGGGGCTATCCATTTGCATGCACAACATGGTGATCCGCTTGTTCATGATTTTATGATGAATCTGCTCCGATGTGTGTGTTCTCCGCTGTTTGAAATGGTGAGAAGTTGGGTTCTAGAAGGAGAGTTGGAAGATACTTTTGGTGAATTCTTTATCGTTGGTCAGCCTGTTAAAGTCGATTTGCTTTGGAGAGAAGGTTATAAGCTCCACCCAGCGATGCTTCCGTCTTTTATTTCACCGAGTCTAGCTCAGAGAATTCTGAGAACTGGGAAATCTATAAACTTTCTTCGTGTTTGCTGTGATGATCACGGGTGGGCTGATGCAGCTTCAGAAGCAGCAGCTGCATCTGGGACGACGACTAGGCGAGGAGGTCTCGGGTATGGTGAAACAGATGCACTTGAACATCTTGTTACCGAGGCAGCAAAAAGAATCGACAAGCATCTGTTGGATGTTCTATATAAGAGATATAAATTCAAGGAGCATTGTCTTGCCATTAAGCGTTATTTACTACTAGGTCAAGGTGATTTTGTTCAATACTTGATGGATATTGTAGGACCTAAGCTTTCTGAGCCAGCCAATAATATTAGTTCATTTGAACTAGCTGGGTTTCTTGAGGCTGCAATACGAGCATCAAATGCGCAGTATGATGACCGTGACATGCTAGACAGATTGAGAGTGAAGATGATGCCTCATGGCAGTGGAGACAGAGGCTGGGATGTATTCTCATTGGAATATGAGGCAAGGGTTCCATTAGATACTGTGTTTACTGAGTCCGTTTTGTCCAAATACCTGAGAGTTTTCAATTTTCTCTGGAAGTTGAAACGGGTAGAGCATGCTCTTATCGGAATTTGGAAGACCATGAAACCAAATTGCATCACTTCGAACTCATTCGTTAAACTCCAAACTTCGGTGAAGTTGCAATTGCTCTCAGCCCTGAGGCGGTGCCAGGTCCTTTGGAATGAAATGAACCATTTTGTTACGAACTTTCAGTATTACATCATGTTTGAAGTACTGGAGGTGTCATGGTCTAATTTCTCAAAAGAGATGGAAGCTGCTAAAGACTTGGATGATCTCTTGGCAGCACATGAGAAGTACCTCAACGCCATTGTTGGAAAATCTCTCCTGGGTGAACAGTCACAGACCATCCGCGAATCACTTTTCGTCCTGTTTGAGCTTATATTACGGTTCAGGAGTCATGCAGATCGTTTGTATGAAGGAATCTACGAGTTGCAGATAAGGTGAGTTTTGTCTTAAAATCTATTTTAAATTCAAAAGTATACTTTAAACTTTTGCTCAAACATCTTCCTCCATTTTTACGGTCACAATTTGATCTCTAATATCACTGATTTCCTGCAGATCTAAAGAATCAGGACGAGAAAAAAACAAATCGCTAGAGCCCGGTTCATGGATCAGTGAGGGTAGGAAGGGCTTAACACAGCGTGCGGGAGAATTTCTACAGAGCATGAGTCAAGATATGGACAGTATTGCAAAGGAATACACATCCTCACTCGATGGATTCTTATCTCTATTGCCTCTGCAACAATCTGTAGATCTCAAGTTTCTCTTCTTCCGGCTTGACTTCACTGAGTTCTACAGCCGATTGCATTCCAAAGGATAAGAAAGTTGAAAGAATATCAGGTTTAGTTGAAAAGCATATTGCACAATAGCAAGAGAAGAAGACATGATCTACGTCTTTCACTAACCGCTGACTGCAGCATGGGCTCCTGAACCAGGGATGCGAAGGTTCTATTCTTAAAATCTAGGTGCGTGGAAGAATCTGTTTCTTATTTATGAGACTGCCTCATAGATTTTCTGTCTTTTGCACAGATTGTTTTTTAAATGGCTTGTTTCAAAGTTTAGGATTGGGAAACAGATTCTTTGTGTTGGTAAATTGGGGAAGGTTTGTGTTTGAGTTTGTGCTATCAGTCTGATGATCTCCAGCTTTAGTTTTTTTTTTATGTTCCTCCATGTGGTTCACTGATTTGTATGATTTGTTTTGTGACTTGGTTGATATAAGAAGGAATCAGTTGCTTCTTCATAATGTGTATTTCCATACTGTGAAAGGCTCCAAACTCTGAATTTTTCGCTCTCTAGATGCTTCAGTGGCCACGGCCTGAGATCGAGCACGAGCATTAGCTCACAGCGATTTGAATTGAAATTGTGAAATTTCTTGATTACCGAAAAAAGAGTTTTTAAGTTTGAAATTGGATATAGACTGTAAATAAAGGAAATAAGAAAACTGACTGTACATATTATAAAAAAAAAAAAGGAAGGGAAAAAATGAGAACTAAACATATTTGTTGATCAATTCTCTAACTTCTTCGATGACAAGCCATCCTTTGTGACCTCCTATCACCTCTTCTTTCATCTCATCTTCCTTCCATAACTGCATTCACCATTCATTTCTCTTATTGTCAAATGCTTTCACTATTACCTTATTGTCAAATGCATCTCAAGAAACTCAAAACAATAAAGTTGTATTACAAGAAAGTCAGCATACCTGAATAGTGGGCATTTTCTGCATAGCACACACGAATATGGAAGTTGGTTCAGATTTGGCAAAATATACCACATCAGAAGAAGACTAAAATTATGTTTAAGCATATATCTTACCGAAATGTTTCCACGTTTCACCAAGGTTTGAGGGACCTTGTTTACATCCACATAGTAAAACTTTGCTCTGTTATAAGAAAAATCATTTAGTTCACAATCTTTTGCAATCACACACTTGTAAATTGTTGATTTTGTTGTTAACTTACCGGTTATTATATTCTGCAGCCAATTTCTCCAACTTAGGCTTCAAGTAAATACATTTTCGACACCAAGAAGCCATCCTGCCCAAATATTTTCACCATTCTTCATAATCAAACATATATAGAGGCTCCGATTGGTATGTGTTGAATTGTAAAAAAACCGGCAAAACGATCTTGCGAACAAAAACTGTAACCTTACAAGAAAACTACAAAATGGTTGAACTCCTTTGTTATCCATCATTATAATTAAGAAAGGAGTTCAACCATTATGCATATTACCAAAAATGAAAAACTTCTGCTTTTTAATTTTTATATGATTTTTTTGTTAACCTAATTTTCCTAAATTTTGACCATGCTCTGGACGGGCTTGCCTATAAAGAACCAATTCTAATTTAGATTATGGAGATTGGAATAGATAGTGTTTTTGTTGTGTTTACCATTCGATGATGATAGGCTGAGAGAGTTGACGTGCGTGAGACAGAACAGCATCGAGTTCTTCAACGTTGTTAATGGGTTCCATCTCCAAAGTCGTAGGCTGCGCTATGTTTGACCAAAAGGCTTTTAGTCTCCACTCTTTCTCCATATGTGACCTCCCAAGCTTTTCATTATTGTAAACACTCACACAAAACCCACACTTCTTCTCCAAATTCAAACTCTCTTTCCTCCAAAATTGTTCCTTCTTGTTACCGTGGGCTTGTCTAGTTAGCATTTGAGGGTTTGATGCCAAAGCTGCCATTATTTTTTTTTTCTTTCAGTAAATTTTTGTCGATGAAGATATGTGATGAGATATTTTTAAGTTTTCATATGCCATAATTCAGATATTTTTTTTGTTTTTGAAAGTTTTGGGAGAAGATGTGAGGAGATGGATAGAGAGCTTATCCGGAAGATGAGTTGGACAATGCCAACGATGTGCTGCTGGTGGGGGCTACTTAATTTCTCTCATTGTGTTTATAATTTGTTTAAAATAGACATATTTTAAATGTTATTTTTTTTTTTTTTTGGTAAGGGAGGGGGGCAAAGCCCCCATTTTATTAAAAAGAAATTACAAACTACAAACGAACATTCCTAGGGTGCGCAGACCCGTTAATATCCTCCAACAAAAGCAAGTGAACATTCTCAGGACATGACGCAAACAAATGAAAACCCAAATGCAAAGAGAACGCATAGTTAGCCAATCCGTCTGCAAGACGATTAGCCTCCCTATACACATGTGAAACCCGGACTTAATTAGTTTTTTTTATATGACAAAATTATAAACTCTAGGAAAATGATTTTGGTTGTTTTTTTTTTTTGCTAAATAATTATTTGGTTGTTCATGGTTATAAAATTGTGTTTACTTGGAACAAAAAATTTCATTGCATCGAATGGATTAGAAACGTTGAAAACTATTTTAAACCTTTGTAGTTAATCAGAAAATCAAATAAAGAAAAGCCAAACTTGTGACGGTGTATTGATCTGAATATGATGCCTTGAAATCAATTTGTGACGAAGGAATTCCCCACACTATTTCGTTAATTTTCTTGTCTTCACTTAATCATCCTTCATAGTTATATACTGTCGGACTATAACGTATAAGCATGTGTTTACTATAAAATAATCATTCGAAGACATAGCCATATATTAAACTAATATAGAAATCACATACTTATACTTGTCGGTTATAAGCGATTTCTCTAATAGAGCTGGTGAAGTGCGTTTTAAAGAAAATAAAGGCAGAAGATTAGAGAGTCAAAACAAGTAGAGGAAAGAGTCCACACGCTAAAGACTTTGATACACGCGATTTAGTATTTTGTATATTATTATTGTCAAGACATTACCATCATTCCATACATTAACATTAAACCCAAAAAAAAGAGAGATAAAAGATAAATATGGGTCACTATATCTTTCTTTCTACTAATAGATTTTACGTTTGAAAATGTCTTAAATCAAGGAGTATAATTTTTTAATTTAAAGTGATATCCTAATTTAAAGGCAAAAGCATTATTTTCGGATCATATAGTTAGTAACACAACCACTAACCACTAATCTTTCCATTATTAACATAAAACATTAATCACACTTTTCTCTACGGTTCGAACCTGGGGACCGAAGTAGATTAGAATTAGATAGGGGCAGAAGACAATAATTAAAATTCGAATCTCAAACCCACCGACACGCTTCTTTGAAGTGGCATTTTAAGTAAATAACTTCAAAAACGAAGGGTATTTAATTGGAAACTCTTCACTTTAAGTCATCCCCCTTAACGATGTTTGCCTAAACAAATGGTCCGTTAACGAAACACCTTTCTTCTTGTTTCTAAAAAAGTCATCTTCTTTTCCTTTTTTCTTCATCATACACATCTCTCTCTCTCTCTGCAATTTCTTCCTCTCTCTTAACCCTAAAAACACTCGTCACGCGTCACGAACTCCACACCACAACACACCACATTCACCACTAATAGTGCCCCACCACCTTTCCGTCTATGGCGTCAGACGCCGTTAAATATATGCCAATCCACGGCGGAGGAACAACAGCAACAACAACCGCCGCCGACATCAAGAGCTTCTTCTCTGCTTTGAAACCCAAAAAAACTTCAACTTTCGCTTACGCTTTTGTCATAACCTTCGTCTCTTTTACTCTGTTTTTTGCTTTTAGTCCTTCTCCAAACTCATCTTCTCCTTGGTTCTCTAACATCTTCACTTCCTCCTCCACAACCACAACTTCGGTATCAGACAATACTTCCGGATCTCAGTTCTCTTCAATTTTCTCTTATATTCTTCCCAATGTCACTTCAACCAAACCCACCAATAGATCCAGTGACGCCACAGATCCTATCTCTCTTAACGCCACTTCTCCACCTCTCAATTCGAATTCCAAAAACGGTACTTTACAAAAACCGGCACCGGAAACTCATACTCCGATTGCTAAAAACACAACCTTGGAGTCTCCGATCGTAAACGGAACCAACCCAGTTGCAAAGAACAACACTTTATCTCATCCTCTGCTTTCAGATAAATCTTCAGCGACGGGATCGAATAATCAATCACGGACGACCGCCGATACTGAAACCGTGAAGAGAAACCAGACAACAGTTCCGGCGCCGTCAAAAGCACCGATGTCGGTGGATCTGAAGACCAATTCCAGTTCCAATTCATCAACTGCTTCTTCTACACCGGAAAAGCAGACTAAAAACGTTGATTTAGTTTCGTCGGTGAAGCAAGAGATCGAGAAATGGAGTGAATCTCTGAAGAATTGCGAGTTCTTCGACGGTGAGTGGATCAAAGATGATTCGTACCCGCTTTATAAACCCGGTTCGTGTAAGCTTATCGATGAACAGTTCAATTGTATTTCAAACGGAAGACCCGACAAAGATTTCCAGAAATTGAAGTGGAAACCGAAGAAATGTAGTTTACCAAGGTAAGTTTTGGTCGGAATAATTTCTAAATTTAATATTTAGCCTTAAGGCTCTGAATCTAATAATAGATTAATATTTATATGTATGTGAAGGTTAAATGGAGCTATATTGCTGGAGATGCTTAGAGGAAGAAGACTAGTCTTTGTGGGTGATTCTCTAAATAGGAACATGTGGGAATCTCTGGTTTGTATTCTTAAAGGATCAGTGAAAGATGAGACTAAAGTCTATGAGGCTAGAGGAAGACATCATTTTCGTGGGGAGGCTGAGTACTCTTTCGTGTTCCAAGTAAGGCTTCTTCTTGATTTGCTTATAGACCAATTGGTTCTTTATACTTTTATATTGAAGGTTTTCAATTTGATTGATAGGATTATAACTGCACGGTGGAGTTCTTTGTTTCACCGTTCTTGGTTCAAGAATGGGAAATTGTAGACAAGAAAGGAACAAAGAAGGAGACTTTACGGCTGGATTTGGTTGGGAAGTCCTCTGAGCAGTACAAAGGAGCGGATGTTATTGTATTTAATACCGGACATTGGTGGACTCACGAGAAAACATCCAAAGGGTATACTAAAATCTCTCTCAATCTACTGGAATTGTTGCTCTGTCTTTGTGTTGTATAATGTAGAACTGATTTTGGTGTTTTTGTTTCATAGGGAGGATTATTATCAAGAAGGAAGCAATGTTTATCACGAACTCGCTGTTCTTGAAGCTTTTCGTAAAGCTTTGACTACATGGGGTCGATGGGTCGAGAAGAATGTGAATCCTGCAAAGTCCCTCGTTTTCTTTCGTGGCTATTCTGCCTCCCATTTCAGGTAAATGCATACCGTCTTTGAATCTGCTCATCTAGGGTCTCTGCGTTTACCTTGCATTTATGTTAAGTGTGCATCTAAATCTCAACACTTTCTGAATTGTTTTGCAGTGGTGGGCAATGGAACTCAGGAGGAGCATGCGATAGCGAAACAGAACCGATCAAGAATAATACATACCTAACCCCGTACCCGTCTAAAATGAAGGTGCTTGAGAAAGTGCTAAGAGGTATGAAAACACCTGTCACGTATCTAAACATCACGAGATTAACGGACTACAGGAAGGACGGTCACCCGTCAGTATACCGGAAACATAGCTTATCGGAAAAAGAGAAAAAGACGCCTTTGCTGTACCAAGACTGCAGCCATTGGTGCCTCCCGGGAGTTCCCGACTCTTGGAATGAAATCCTCTACGCGGAGCTGATCGTCAAACTCAATCAGCTCAGCCAAACACAACGGAAAACTTAAGGTTCTTCCACCCCAATACTTGTTTGATCTCAACACTTTTACTTTCTATTTTGATGGTAATTGTTGATTATAGAATGTGTAGAGTAAAAGGAAAAAATCATAAATATTGATCACCCGATATCTTTGTTACCATTGGTTGTAAATTATTTTGTCACGACGAATACTATATTTAGCTCCAAAGAGAGGATACATATTCATAATGGAATTGCTTCCACTTATCGTTAGTCTAATGTTTGATGATCTAATTGTCATGGTTTTGATTTGTGATTTCGATTGTTTTTATGTCGATGAAGTTATAGCAGTTCGATAATGTGAAGTGTGAACGCAAGAATTTGCATAGATGTAAGAGTTTGGTGTGGTATTTGTCGATCACCGACAATTCCGACAATAATAAAGAATTTGTTAGGGGAAAATAATAGGAGTCGAAGATAACGGGTTTGGTCAGACGACGTTTCACATGGGATGTTTGGACTTTTAGACCATGAAGTCTTTAAAAAAAGCTCGTTAGGTCAAATGCTTTATGAGTTAAGTGCGATTAGATCCAATTAACCTGGTGCAGTTGTTCGTCACGTGGCGACTTGTTACCAATTAAATTCTGTTAAAATCCCAAGTACAGGATATATTAATTTAACGAGTCATACATGTGACTATTTGGTTGGAGATTGGGAGAAACACAAATGTTTATGTTTGTTTACAAAGTAAGATTACGGATGCTTAAAACTGGATAATAATATCTGAAGTACGCAGCACGAGACTCACCCGTACACATTTATTTACTCTTTTTATGCAAAATGTGGCCATGGGAGTAGCACCAAAACTACATAATTTACTTTTTAAAGCATCTAATAATTTGTGACATCCAATGGTGATTCCGAGAAACTTCTTAGGACTAGTTTTCGACCAAAGGTACACACTTCCACAGGCAGTTGACCAAAATAAGGATCACAAATAGCATGAGCAATCGGTCTTACATGTAAAGGGTCTTGTACTCATGTCTCAAAATTTTCTTGCCAAGCTACATGAAACAAATTTCCGGAAGTCCACAGAAAAATTGCAAGGGTCTTGTACAGTTGTCTCAAAATTGTAGTATAGAAACAGGAGTTTTGATTTTAAACACATTCATGATCATGATCAGACGCCACTCAACAAAAGACATAATCTCAATGGGGCTTATAGATCTATCAAACTTGCAATTAGATAATGAAACAAATTACCACTTGTTTTTCTCTTTTTTCTAAATGATCTTAGAATTGCCAAGTCCATTTAATAACTCGAAACATAACAACAATTGGGAAACTTTGACAATCTGCAGATAAAGAGTGCACAAGATGGAGACATAGGCATTAAAAAGATAAAACAAGAATCATCTAAAACTGATTTAGTCAATAACATAAAAATATCAAGTAACCTAAACGAACTAATAATGAGTTTGCAAGAGAGGATGAAATGTCTGAGAAACTCTCAACGTATAAGATTGGTGTTTCAATGCAGCAGTTTAAGGTACTCGAGCTCAAGCTTTGTTGTTGCTTGTAAAGGGACATAGTCCTCCTGCTTTCTTGTTGTGATCTCAGAACCAGGCTGCTTCAGTCTCGACACATAGAGCACATCATTTGTAGGTTGTTGATGTCAATGTGTGTTGTTGTATCAGTCAAGTCCTGAGAATCTGGCTTCTGCCAATCGAGGATGATTTCAGAACCAAATTTCACCGGCGGAGAAGGAGGAGATAAGGGCAGTGAAAGCGAGGAGCACCGAAGAAGGATTTTGATTAGACTCTAACATGAGGAACAAAGAAGACTGAAGACGATTAACTTTTGAGAGTGAAAACCAATTAAACAATCAAGTACGACAGAGAGCCAGAGACGTACAAAGAGATGAGAGTGAGTGAAGACGGGAAGACGGTCTTTGATCACGGTGGGCTTCTGATGGGCTTTTTGTATTGGGCCCAAATCCAAGGTATTACTTTCTTCATTCCTTTTTATTTTTTTTCTTTTCTTTAAAAATTACTTTAAGTAAAACTAAAATTAAATAGTTTAAAACTTTCACTAAAACTTTTAAATTATAGTGAATTTCACTATAATTTTAAACAAATTTAACACTTAAACTTTAAGAAAACAATATTTTCAAAACTAAAACCATGTCAATTTCACTTAACTTTTTTAAAAATTAGTTTAATTGTTAAATTTTAACCACGTCGAAAACTAACCGCGCCTAGGCATCCTGTCCTTAGTTGGTCCGTAAGCTTTGGTGTTCGAAGTTCGGCATGTTTTCACGTGATATATAATTAACACTTAAAACTCATTTTGTAAAAATAATAGTAATTTTGACGACAATTTAAAACAAATTTAACATTTAAACTTTAAGAAACTAACGTTTTTTACACTAAAACCAAGTAAATTTCACTAAAAAAATTTAAAACTAATTTAAGTGTTAAATTTTAAACACGTCGAAAACTAACCGTGCCTAGACATCTTGTCCTTAATTGGTCCGTAAGCTTTGATATTCGAAATTCGGCATATTTTCACGTGATATAGATTTAACACTTAAACTCATTTTTAAAATGTAATAGTGATTTTGACTAAAATTTAAAACAAATTTAACACAATTGTGTTTTGTGTGAAGTAGATAATGAAACAAAATACCACTTGTTTTTCTCTTTTTTCTTTTACAGAAAACAGTCTGGCGCATGTTGCAAAGCAGAATTTCGCCTAACCAGTCTAACCTCTTGGAATGATACAATTTTGTGAGTGCTCCCGTTTCGTGTTAAAGGTTCTCCATTTTTTCTCGCTACGATATTGTTGTGGGATGCTTTGTTCGCCAATGTTGTGGCATGCTTTGATTAACGAAGTTGACATGAAAAATCAGTCACGTCCATGCGAATATACTTTATGGGTATGTAATGTTCATATTCCTTGTAAAAACGATGTTTTTGTTTAAATTAAATGTATCAACCTATAGCAAAAAAAGAATAGAAATAAGAATTTTTTAAAATTTAAAACTCGATAATTAAACGTATCTAGTGAGGATTTTGTGCACGACAAACCCTTTTGCTTTAATCACAAATAAAAGTCTACAAGATCAAACCAAATATTTTTCCCTTTTTCTTTTTTGTCTTCTATCATTCAATAAAACATGTCAACCCTTTTCCTCCATCTGTTTTTTATCCGGTCCTATCCAAGACAAACAAAACACTAACCGGATAATCAATCTATTCGTCTTTTAAAATTGGAGACGGTCCCAAATAAAATATGAAAAGTAAATCTAAATATACACAAGAAGACAACTTTTAAAACCACACTCGACCGTTTGCTCAAACTGTAACGATTTTTACTTGGGCACACGTGCTTTCATGAGACTTGTTTGGCCGGCCGAGGCTTAACCGGAATCAATGATGACGTGGACAAACCGAGGTTGTGGGCAGCTGACGTGGCCGGCTGTGCTGCTGAAGTGGCAACACGTTCGCAAGAAGGGCACATAGTGAGAGTTGTAGCCGGAAGTTGCATGTAGAAGGGTGTGGAAGTCTTCAAGGTTCTCAATTCTTTAACCTCTTTTTGAAGCCTCCGGTTTTCTTCGGTTAGTGACTCACAGCATCTCTTTAGGTATTCACAGTCCACTTCCGTTTGCTTCAGCTTTGTCCTATTATCATTTATGAATTACATAACCACCACTAAATAAGTATCCAAACAATATATATGAGAATTTGGTTATGCAAAGAAGAGGGCTTTCTTTTGTGGGGGTCAAATTATGTAAAGAAGAGTTATGATTTGTTTTCCTTTTATAAATAAGTCACTATAAGCAATTATATATGGAAATGATGAGCGGAAGTGATATACTACTTTTGCACGAAAAATGACAAGGAATATAATGACATGCGACAATTTGTTATTATTACTCGTGATGCATTTCGTCCTCATCCTTTTTCAAAAAAATATACTTCCAATGAAGAAAATAAACCGTTTCATAAAAAGACAATTGAAAATAAGCTAACCTGGCTCGTCTGTTTTGAAACCAAACTTCAACCTGACGAGGACGAAGATTCAACTGCTTTGCCAATGCAATCTTCTGTTTCTGCAATGTAAGGGAAAAAAAAAAAACATATAAGGCTAAGGTTTGGTTTTTCTTTAAAATAAAAGATAAAAATGAATTCAAGAAAGACAAATTAAAAAAAAGAAGTAAAAGTATGGGAAACGAACAGGATTAAGGGTACTGTGTTCTTTGAAACTGTCTTCAAGAAAAGCAGATTGGTCTTTAGAGAGTCTAAGTTTCTTCCTAGTGGATCCATTTTCTTCATCGTTGTCTTCATTGCTTGCTCTTGAAGCAGATCTCTCCACTTCATCATCAATATCTCTCTTATTGCTTCTTCTCTCGTAACCATAACTTTTGATCCCAAAGTCCAATTGAAACGACGACGTTACGCTATCCGGCGGCGATACTGACATACTAGGCACCGCTTCCTCCTCCTCCTCTTCCTCCTCCGCAACCATAGCTGCTCCTGAGAGCGTTCGTCCTCCTTGTGGACCTGAAAATTCGGATATATGTGAAAAGTTAGGTTTTCTTGTTAATCAAAGACATCCACAATTGATATTTTTTTTTCTTTGGATTAAATAATATTTTAAAACCTAGTTCTTCTTTCTTGTCACAAATCAGTCCAAACATTTTTGGAAAATGATTTCAACATCCCATCGACATATTTAAGCCAAATTAGACAATATATATATCCAGAAAAATATTAATATTCTTAGAATCGTAAGAAAAAAACATGTAAGCCAAATTAGGGATTCTAATAAATTTCAGATGTTGTTCTGAATAAAATCGACTTTTTTTCTTTTATTTTGTGTGTATTGTACACGTACATAAGCACACCCTTTAAGTACGAGAAAATTATAGTCATCTTATGCCCATTTTTGTTTTAAGAGATAAAATAAAGACCCTTACTGTTCTCAGGGAGCCAATTAGGGAAGTGAAGCTGAAGCTGTAATGGTGGATCTACTGGAGACGAAACCCTAATTCCATCAGAAAGTTTTGCTCTCGGCACCGGTTTCTTCTTCTCATCTTCTACCGACGGAGACGAAGAGGATGACAACGATTTGTGACCACCAAAAGCAATATCTAAACCCATGCAGAATCCAAGATCCTTGTCGGAAGTTGAGGTCGACGAGGCAGAGGGATTATTCATCTTCGAGTTCATCTCCAGAAAAGAGAACTGTTTCTTAGTATTGTCGCCTAGAGACAACGCTAGTTCCATCTCTTACGAAGAAAATAAGAGTTTTAGAGAGAGAGAGCGAGAGAAAGAGAGGATCAAGAAGATCTATTGTGGCCTTATGGACTGATGACATGAAAGTGAAACCCCACTTATTTATTTCCATGTTCGATGTATTTTAATAATATTATTATGTGAATGAACAAAAATTGGATCTTCATCCTATAAATTCCTTAAGACATGTGATTTAAGTCATCATTCTATTTAGTATAATGAATATATAGGGACATATTTATGTAATTATATATTTTTAATATATATGTGAACAATGTGTCAATATTTTTTGTGGAAGTATATCTCTAACCGGTTAAATAATAGGAAACTTAATATGCCAAAGTGAACATAAGATATTTTCCTTTTGTTTTAATTTCTTGTCAATATCGAGAATTATAGTATTTTGGGGTTTATATGGATTTAGGAGATTGACCGACAACTACCATTCACATACGCACGTGAATGCCTATAAATGTAGACCACATTCTTACACGAGACTGGCGCCTTGTGTGTTTGTTATTAATCCCTATATACAAATATGCATATATGTTTGTATTTTATTCTAAAAGGAATCAGTTTGTTTTCATGAGTCATGACAATCAAAATCTCGTATGCAATACTTCCATTTCAAGACACTTTCCAAATATAAAAGATAACAATCAAACTCATTTATCAGAAAGTTTTTATGGCAATAAAATCTCAGATAGAGTGAAAGTTGAAATTATGAACAAAATACATCTGAGCATGGAAAAAGCGACAATTTCTATATACTAATCATCGATCACAATGCAGCCATTGAAGAAGATCGGATAATTTTGAAACAGTTTCATCTACTTATATTACTCTATTGAAGGAATAGTGATTCTTCTTGAATCTGTGAGACTGTGTTTGTTGAAAATTATTGAAGACCATAATTAGTTTGACCGGCCAGCGTAATTCTTGGTCACACGTTAATGATGGGGACTTTGATTTTCTTAAGTTTTAAGAGATTTAAACGAAAGTGGAAGTTGTTGGAAAAAGAATTAAGGTAAATAATAATTGGAAGTAAAAAAGGGACATAGTTGACTGTTGACATCGTAGTTACCGTTTGATTCTGTTTCTAAAAAATTCTATATCAATGGTCGGTGAAAAAAAGGTTAATAACTAAAGTGCAACAATTTTTTGTTTAGTATATATAGTACTATCGTTTTGATTCACATATTTGACTTAATGAAAATGTTTCTGTAATACTGTTTTTTTTTTTTTTAATACTGATAAAAAAATTCTTTGTAAGTCGTAACTATTGTACTCGTTTTCCTAACTACGAAGGTGTGTCATTCTGGATGTATAATTTGGAATCAGCAAACAAATGAAAATGATATGATGACTCTCGTCTCTTATTCTATAGCGGCGGAGAAACAAATGACCTATCTTGTTTCTTTTTAGAAACGAGACCAATTAGCGTGACTAATTACATAACTACAAGGTCATGATTAAGTTGGATTCCTTGATATATTAAAAGGAATGGAAAAATCATGCATGCTCTAATATTTACCGAATAAAAATGCCGAACAAGACATAATGATGAACGATGAGTCGATGATACTTAATGATACAAAGAAGAAGCAAAATGTGATAACGATGACCCATCAAACGGTCACGAAAACACTCAATCAGATTATTATTTTTCTTTAGTTTGACCAAAATCGTTATTATTGGTTACAAAACTTTATTCATCACCAGTGATGGTCCTAGAAAAACTTGATTAATGTGTTCTTACCCAACATCATCAATACATTTTCCATTAATTATAACTTCTTTTTTAACTTATTGCAAGTTGCTTTCAAGAAAAGTTCTGGACATTAAATAGCTACATGATTATGTGTATGAATGGTAACATGTCATAGATATGATAGTTGGTTTCAAATTAGTACGTTGTCATTAATTACAAAAAAACTGTAGGGTCTGATATAATTTCATGGAATAGTCGAAAAATTATGTAATCCTACGATTTTGTTATTTTAGATTTTAGTGATCAAGATGATATTCGACAATTTTGCTATTTTACAACCAAAGGACAAAAATAGAATAAACTATATCATTCTAGAGTTTTCAGCCACATAAATTTTCTTCTTAGATAATTTTGTCTATTATTATGCATAGATTTATACTATTTTCATAATTTCGTAGTTCCGCAGAGTTGATGATCAAAACCGTAACTTTGTATATTTCATTAACACATTCCCCCTTTGCGTATTACAAAACCCAAATATCACCAAAAATTAACTTCAAAATTTGGACTTCAAAACAATATATGGATTGGTCGACATTTGAATTATGTTTCTGATGATATACATAGCAGAATATCATGAGTCGGCCAATAGCTACCAAATCGAGTTTAAACATTTGGTTACCAGACCAGTAGAAACAAAATCCAAGTAACAATATAAGCCGCTTATTTCAAATCTGTCACTATAAAGGGAAATATTTTCTCTTCAATATCTCGCAACGATGACGACGATTGAAACATTAAGAAGCGAAAAACAAATTAAGACCATATGGCTTCTATGAATATGATATAGACCACACATGATTTAAGTTTTTTTTTTTTTGTGTGTAAAATTTCGAAATTTCATTTGGGGTTGAGTTATGGTTAAAACATAGAAAGAGTGTGAAAGGACCCACACGCGTGGGACGCGCGCGGATGATATCCTCAACTAAGATTGGTGTGTGTCATGCTTTTAGGCTCCTTGCAATAATTGAAGTCATGCATACTCTTATCATTGTGATTATTATTATTATTTACTATCTCAAGTATTTTTGGCATCTCAATCTTTCTCTCAATTATTTCTCTCCTCTCTGTCCTACTACATTCATTATTGCAAATTCTATTTTCTTTTTGTTTAGATATTACTTATATGAATATCTGCACCATGTATTTTGAATTCAAATATGTTGTGTGTGTAATGTGTATACACAATTAAACACCGGCCGATGTTGTGCAATAGATTTATGGCTTTCTTAGAGTATCCTATGTACATATCATTAAATAGTCTTGACTAAACATTAACCGCTTGTATATTTATGTAACGGATAAGTTATTTTGTGGATAATATAATCCCCTTCACTTTTTAAACCAAATTTAATTCATACATCTTATACTAATATTTTTATTATTAAATTTTCCCATGCACAGCAGGGACCTTAATATACTAGTATTAATGTAATCCCTTTCATATGTTCCCCAGTTTAATAGATTGTTGTAAGCAACCTAATTTGACCAACCCGCATCAAATCAGAGCGTAATTTATTCTGAACCTAATTTGAACATACAAGTTACATGCTAACGTTGATAATGGCTTGCCTAACCGAATCTAACGCTGATTTAAACAAGATACGAACTAGTCTATATGTACCAAACTATTGAATGCAAGCCATCTTACCTAGGCGGCGGTAAATGAAGGGTGTGGCGGTCTAGAACTCAATAGTATAAAAGAGCTAACATATTTTTCCAATTAGAATTTTGAAGAACAGTCAAAATATGTTTGCCCCCAAAAAAAAGAAAAATAGAAAAGAAAGAAAGAGAAGAATAACCAAAAGATACAAATTAAACTAACTTGATTACTCTCCTTTTTGTCAATGAATAAAATAATCTTATATATATATATATATAATTTCATAAACGGAATCCTTAAAAAAAACTTCCTCTAAAACTTGGTTTACAGAAAAAAAAATTAAGGTATTGCTCTAGAGCTCCTATTAGTTTTGGAAAGAATTGCAATGATATTATAAGCATAATGAGCTATGTGTATTCATTTGAATCGTTATGACTATGAAAACCCATGAGAGAAAAAAAAAAAAAAAAAAGTTTTCATAACTTTTATGGTAGTTGTTGACATTTACTTTTGACTAAGGTTCAAACATCCATTTACCAAAAGGACGTTGAAGAGGAGAGAGTCACGTGACAACGTGCCTGATGAAGTAATTATGGGATTATTGAATTGATGAACGAGTGGGGTTCCACTTTGTCTTGCTTGAGAAGAGGCAAATCTCCACACAGGCAATCATTTGTTCATGGGACCTTTTTTTCCTTTCTTACAACTTAAGCTTCCGTTAAATGTTATTCTATATTTGTGCATTTCTTCATTATTCATCTTTTATTCTTTTATCTTGTGGGCAAATCTTATTGTCATACTCTGCTGAAGTGTTAAAAGTTATTAACTAAGTCTTCGAACTATTTTAACTAAATGATCAAATGAATACTAGAGAGAGTTCAGAAACTAATTAAGAGACTTTTTACTTTTTAGCTTTATGTGGTAGTGATGATCAACTTTGTGCATCTTGAAGAAATTAGTTACTACATTCGACTAACAAATACTATGATTGACGTAAAACTTTCACTTTTTATTTTCAGTATATCCTTTGACTTTTTTAAAACACTAATGTGCTTTATAAAAAAACACACACTAATATGATTGTAGATTAATACCAATACCATGCTCTTATGAATTTTAATGGTTTTGATTGTTTCCAGTAAGTTTGTCACAAATCGTTATCATCGTCTGATTCAATTATCTCAAAAAAAAATATCAAATTTCCTATGACATTTATGGTAACACTCCTAATCGTTTGTATATCGAGACTGTAATACCACCAATAGTAACCATATGAACAATCGAACCATTGAAATTCTGACTCAAAGCTTACCTATCACACAAAACAGATCATGTTATCCAATATTTTATTTGTAAAAACCTATGCTTCTACCGTATTCTAAGTTGAGTTGATAGAAACAACCTTCAGATTCAATTTTGTCTTCTTTTAACCTTTTTTAAATTTGTTTTTTAAATCAGATACTTGAGGCGTTAAAATTGTAGTAGGATCTTTGTCCCAATTATATTGTCTAATAACTCCACATTTTGTATATAAATTAATGAATTCAGATAACTGGGTTTTTTTTTCCGCATATGTATTTCTTTTTGGTAATTTAATATTTTCTGATCAATTTTTGTTATATATATATACATATTAGTCATTTACATTTTTTATTGCTTTATTTATGTCGGTAATAGATACGTTGAATCACTAAACATAAAAATATAGATCATGACTTTCATCCGTATATGCGTGTGTCTCTGTGTGTGTGAGATTAGAACAATTTAACCTAATTTCTATATATACATACTGTATTTGGTATTTTTTAAGAAAATTTCTTTTTGTCAACATTCTTTGAGTTATTTTTTTTTTCATTTTACTTTATAATCAATATTAATTTTCATTAATATTTTATATTTTCATTTACAGCCGAAAATTTATAGTTACTGTCAAAAAATTTACAATTCTTAAAACCAAACAAATAATTTACAGAACTCTTAGAGGAAGATTAGAGAATCACACTCGTCTCCGGCAGTTTAGCGTGGAAAGGGACCGCTTTATCTTGACCGCAAAATCAGCCTACCGAATTATTATATGTCTCCCCTAAATTTCAAATGGAAATTTTAATTTGTCGGCGAAATCATTCCACAAGGACTGTAATGATGGTTGATAATTCGATTTACATGTTGGACGGTTTTTGTTATCGTTATTGATTGGTGATTCGTAAAATAATTTGTCAATGATAAATTCTCTGTTGGAGCCCATAAGATAAAAGTTGATCTTATATAAAGTGAATTTGCTGCATTCTTCTCGAATAATCAACAAACTCCCACTAGAATGCAAGATAAAGAGAATGTTCCATTAATAGTAAAACGGTTAAATGTTTTGCTGATTTTTCAGTGAATTTTAGTATCAGTTATCATTAAATTGCTTAAGAAATATTTAAATGCAATACATATTTGATGTGATTATGATAACAAAAATTATTCAACCAAAGCTTGCCAATATGTTTTTTCAAAGAAAAGGAGCTTTAAGGAAATCAACTTCCATTAACCTTCTTACAGTCTAATCTAATCTCTCCATTACTTCCAGTCAAGGGACTAATATTCCCCATGTTGATCATGGACTGAGCAAAGGCCTGAAAAAACAGAGTCTGGTTACTTGCAAATGAAGTAACAATCGCGATGGTGGATGAACCGGTGGTAGAGAACAGCTCTTGGTCTGACTGAAGAAGCCCATTGTTGCTCTGAAGGTTGGTGAAGTAATTGTTATCGAACGCATTTGGTGTGCTCAGATCGAGATTGGTGATCGTTGATACGCTGCCGTTTTGAGGACATAGTTGTTGAAGAGTGTTGAGAAGCGTTGAGTTTAGAGTCGGATCGGGATTTCCTGTCCCGCTGAAGTTAAATAGTCTGTTGTTGAACACTCCACATCGAGCACGCCCGAATGTATGCGCACCTACGTCGATCCACAAAAGTTGGCGTTAGGGTTTTGTTTCAACTTGAGCCGCAAGTAACTAAACATGTAGATGAACTCACCAGATAAGGCTACTAGATCGTTTGTATTTAGCCCAACAGCCGAAAATTTAGATGTGATGTTGCTAAGGCTTTCGACGGGAGAAGGAATGGACGTATTTGCCCCAGCTAGGTTTGCAGTGAGACCATCTCTTCTTCCTAATAATACAGTCCATGATGGCCCTCCTGCCTGAGGATGATCAGACGTATATGTTAACTATTACTAAAACAGAATTATACCACAGGAACTTTTAACTATGTTTTGTTTCATATGTACACAAAGAACGTGTAATTACCAAAGACACCGAAGCCTCAGCGGCAAAGGCTAAAACATCAGAGCAAGAGACAACACCAGGGCAAGCGTTTTCAAGGGCAGTCTTGATATTATCGACAACGTTGAATCCTCTAGCTGAGTTTGCATTCGGACCAGCGTTCTTCTCGCTCTGGATGCTTCCACTGTCGTCAAGCAAGATCGATGCATCGCAGCCCTTTAGAATAAAAAAGAAGCAAAGTAGCGGTTTAGGGCGAAACAGAATAATAGGGTTTTATGTTAAAAGAGTTACATCGAAAAAGATTAGTATACATTAACAAAGCAATCGTGAAAATGAAGGCGGATTAGGCTGGCTCCAATTCTTGTATCAGATTGAAGAGCTTGCTGAATAGTGCTGCGTACGATGGCAGAGGCGTTAGGGCAAGTCCCAGAGTAAAACGTTGCGTTTAGTTGCGCAGATGATGTCCCAAACATTGAAGAAACGATAACAATAAGACTGATGATGAACAAACCATCACAAGCAGGAAGATTTGTTACAGCCATTAATTAGGTTTCGAAAAACGATGATATAGAGTTTTGATTAGTTATTTCCACTGATTGGTGCGGAACTTATGACTATGCTTGATCATTTTGAAATAATTGTATATATAGAGAGGAAAAGTTTATTAAACGCGTATTTCTTGACTGATCATGAAAATGAAAGATATTGAATTAAGCCAATAACTATAGATTAACGTGTGTGTTTGTCTACATAGTCCAAAAGATGGGAAAAGAAAGCTGGTGCTTCTACATTTTGATTAGTTAAAAGTAATTTGTCTTTAGGTTACACCATCTCCATCAATTGCATTATTGTAATCCTCACACGCGGTTGGTAAATGAAGTTACAAATAGTTTTATAAGATTTTGCGTTCTTGAGACGAAATCGGTGGTCAAGAAAATCAAGGTTTGTTTTCTTCTTTCTTTCATAAAAAGATTAAAATACACTACTAAAATATGACCATATTTCAATCTCAAAATTAAATTTATTATACAGCCAACATCTATAATGCATTTAGATTCCCATGTTTAATCAAGGGAATTTCATATAAACATATATGGAGAAACCTACGAGATTGTGAAAGAAGATCTCAATATTTTAAAAAAGCTTTCAAAAGTTAGTCTACAGTTTTAGACTTTAGTTTATAAGTCACAGTTCTGTGAATGATAAATAATATTTGAAAGAACTGTGCCTTCAATAGTTGTTGGAGCTTTACAGCTATATATTTTCAAAAAAAACAAAAAAGGACTCATAATCAAGTCTTTTATAATGAGTTGTTATAACTTCACTGATTTTGATGAAGAATCTGCAAAAGTCTGAGATGTTCCTTTGACATTAACTCATAGAATAAACATTCAAAGATGCTCAAGTAGTCCGGTAAATTTGAGATGTTGATTATGAATCATAGAATAGATTATGCCTTAATCACTTGATAATTAACGCTTAGCTAATACCCTGAACGTAATTTGAAAAATGATAGTTTTTCAAATCACTTTATAGTGGTTGCTTCCAAATCTGAAATAAGATCTCAACCACTTTACCGTACTTCTATTAATTTCTCATGACGTATAATTTTTTCCATTGATTGACACTAAAACCATTAGATTTGATAATTCATGACATGAATATAGTTGTCGTTGTGACACAAGATATTTAGATTCGAATCCGATAGATTGTAACAAAAAGATAGACGTTATACATGTATGCATGTATTTAGGCATAATAAAGTTTTTGAAATATTAAAATTTTCACACATGTAAAACACAACCCATGAAACTTAACATACCACTCACTTTTTTTCTCCCCAACCAAACTTATTTTTTTCACAAAAATGATTCAGCCTAGGAGTAATTTATTCATAATATGATAAACAAACGGTGAAACTGATCCCATCGTTGTTTACATATCTGCTACACTCACTGGTCCGTCAGATTGTAACTGAATGTCCTCTGCTGCAGTGGCTGATGACTGTCCATTGACCACCTTACAATCTTGTCTAATCTCTCCACTATTCCCAGTCAATGGACTAATGTTCCCCATCTTGATCATAGACTGAACAAACGCCTCAAAAAACAGAGTTTGGTTACTTGCAAAGGAATTAACAATCGGGACGGTGGCTGAACCGCTGTTGGAGAACAGTTCCTGGTCTGACTGAAGAAGCCCATTGTTACTCTGAAGGTTTGTGAAGTAATTTTTATCGAACGCATCAGGTGTGCTCAGATCGAGATTGGTGATCCCTGATGCGCTGCCGTTTTGAGGACATAGCTGTTGAAGACTGCTGAGAAGTGTTGAGTTCAGAGTCGGGTCGGGGTTTCCTGTCCCGTTGAAGTTGAATAGTCTATTGTTGAACGTTACACATTGACCACGCCCAAACGTATGCGCTCCTATGCATATTGAAGATGACATTAATTAGGGTTTTGTTTGAATTGAGCTGCAAGTAATTAAACATGTCGATGATTACCAGACAAGGCTACTACATCGGTTGTATTTAGCCCGACAGCTACAAATTTAGATGTGATGTTGTTAAGGCCTTCGAAGGGAGACGGAAGAGAATTGGCTCCAGACAAGTTTGCAGTGAGACCATCTCTTCTTCCTAATAACACAGCCCATGAAGGCCCTCCTGCCTGAAGAAGATGATTAAACATGTACATGTTATCAAGATTAGGAATATTAAAAACATGCTTTTTAGGTAATATTAGTTAGGGATATTTTTTATCCGGCCCGGCCCGGCCTGTGATTAGGCCCGTGGACAGGTCCGCCAAGCCCAGGATCGGCCTTTAGGTGTCGTAATTTTGTGTTTGATATGTTTTATGAAGAAAGTGTTGTTATTACCAAAGACACAGAGGCCTCTGAGGCAAGAGCTAAAACGTCAGAGCAAGAGACAATGCCGGGACAAGCATTCTCGAGGGCAGTCTTGATATTATCGACAACATTGAATCCTCTAGTTGAGTTTGCGTTGGCAGGAGCGTTCTTTTCGCTCTGGGTGCTTCCAGTGTCGTCAAGTAAGAGCGACCCATCGCAACCCTTTTCAAAAGTAAGAAGCAAAGTAGCGGTTTAGTGTAACAAAATTTAGAAGGCTTTATGATAAAAGAAAAATCAAGAAGCTTATTTAAAGAGCTTCTTATACATTAACAAAGCAGTCGTGAAAATGAAGGCGGATTAGGCTTGCTCCGATTCTTGCATCGGATTGAAGAGCTTGCTGAATAGTGCTGCGTACGATGGCAGAGGCGTTAGGGCATGTCCCGGAGTAAAACGTTGAGTTTAATTGCGCAGATGATGTCCCAAACAATGAAGAAACGATAACAATAAGGCTGATGATGAAGAAACCATCCCAAGTAGAAGAAGATCTTGTAACAGCCATTGATCAGTTGTTGCAAATAATTGGAGAGTTTTGGATTAATTAGCTTATCGTTTTACTGATTGATTCTGAACTTATGATTAATCTATTTAGTTGATAATCATTATATAGAGGATAAAAAGCTGAATAAACCTTACCTGATCATGAATGTAACAGATTTTAACTTAAGCTAATAATTACTAGTCAAGGTGCGTGTTGTTTACCAAGTCAAAAAGTGAGAAAAGATGGCGCTTCTAGATTTTATGTAGTGCGTGTTTGTTTAATTTAGTCATTAACGTTAGAAATGTTGAGTCTACAAGATTCGTTTCTTAGTCACGTTCCACGAAAAGTAAATAATAATACTATGTGTAAGAGTTGTTAGTTGTTAGGGCACTTTACAGCTCTATTTTGAGGGGAAATATAGGTTCATATTTAAATGATTCAAATGACTTTTTATTTCGCTAATTATTTTGACAATCTTTAAAATATTGTAGGCATGTTTGAATTAATTTTCTCTAAAATCCGAGATGACAGTCAGTAACAACATATAGTGATCAACAATGCTAATATCATTTTCTAACCTACATATGTTTTATATTTTACAAGTTTACCAGAACATCGAAACATATTAATAAGATTATATATAACTCGAAAAAATCTATAGAAATTTAATATTAGGAAAATTTCAAGTATACTAACAAATTAATCTTTAGGTATAAGAATATTCAATGATACAAATTAAAATTTGGATATTCAGTGGAGGCCATATATAGCAAAAGAAATAGTGAAACTTGCTTCGATCGGGAATCAAAAAGTCCATAATTAAAACCAATCTCAAAAAGATGATGAACAGATTTGATTAAAAAAAACTAATGAACTCTCCATTCTGTGTGACATGCACGCTACTGTGATCTTTTTCGATCGTAAAAAAATTCAGTCAAATGATGTGACTTAGCCACCTTAGCTAGACCACCAACTTATTTTATTCACGGTAGCCACCTTAGCTAGACCACCTTAACTATTATTCATATAACACAATATGCTTAGTGCATTAGTTCTTATCATCAACCCATTCTTCTCTTCATGAAACCGGCTATTCAGGGGTTTGATTCCCAATCAAAGCAAGTTTCACCTTTCCCATGCAATGATCGTTTTCTCACATGATTTGTTTTCTATAGTTTTTTGGGGTGTGAAAAAAGAGTCAAGAACTGAGGTCTTATATAAGAAAAACTAAGGATAAGAGATAAGGATTGAGATTCCGAATATTGTAAATCTAATCATCCAAAGGCTCAAATTAAGTAAATCTAGGATAAGGAAAAAAATCTGAAAAAAATCTGAAAAATTCCACATACTATTTTTTTTATGTTAATACCATTTTAGAGTTAAAAAAAAGTTTGAATGGATTTTTTTTTACAACTTAATGAATGAAATTAGGTTGTTTTCTTGTTTTCCCTATGTTTATCCTCATCTTTTCAATATTGTGACTCGTTTTCACATATATTTTTTTTCACTAAAAGATTTTTCATTATATAATACAAAGGTGGTATACAGTGGTGGAATACGTTTTTGGAATGCGGTTTTGAAATACAAAAGCCGGCAGAATACAAAAAAATTCCTAGAAGCTAAAGTCCGATACACGAGAAACACAAGATAGGATACAAAAGTAAAAATGTAAAGCTCTTGAAATCACCGGGAAAGTCGGAAGAGAACATTAGTCGCGGAACTAAGAGCTCAAAAATCGCATACTAGAGGACCTACAACTGCAAACGTAATAGAACCAAAGATAGAGGAAACTGCGAAGAAATAACCCAACTAAAAACAATATCCCAAACATAATAATAAGCAACTATTCATTTTCACATTCATTTTCTAGACTTTACAAATTTTATTTTTATTTATCGAACCGTCGAACCCTAAAAACCATGTCCGGGATGGTACAAATCCCATTTTTTTCTCTATTTGAATCTCTATTTTCACCTCCGTTTTCATCCACGTCTCACGCTCGTTGGCCACAAGTGTTTGTTTCCGTGTCATTTGCGTTTGCTCCTCCTACTGTCCTACAAGCAAATATATTCTTCCTCGTTTTTTTCCTTTTTGGATGAACATTTATTCTTCCTTAATGCTTGAAATAATAGTTCTTCATCATCTTCCTCTCTGGACATATCTCAATTTCACTTTATATGTAAAGTTTCTAAAACTTGTCCATTATCATTCCTCTTTTCTATCTTTGGTCAAGCGTCTACACTGCTTTAGCGCCGATCGGATCCAAATATTCGAAATCTTTGCAGCTCATTCTATTTGGTTTGCACTTCAGAATGTCATCACCAACTCCCATGTGCGTTTAAATCCAATCATTCGTTTTGCTTTTGGACCATCCAAACTCTTCTTAATATCATCATTGAATTTACCCATACTACTACTATAAAGGTAATAATAGACAATAATTGTTGTTCAAGCATTTCTTTTGTCGAAAACTTGCAAAAATGTCCATTTATAATTTTCGTTTCATCTATAACTTATTTGTTCATTTTTTACTCTTATACAGTTTGTCTTTCTTGTCTGATTGTGTCAAGCATGTTTTAAAATTCATTCAAAAACAAAAAATGTGCAGTACACGTCTATTGTGATGCAGCATATAGTTTTTTCTGAAAACGTGTAGAAGTTACCAAAGCAGGGTCCAAATATCTTATCTTATATAGTTATATTAATTAGTCGTATGTTGAATTTGAGAATTGAAACAAAAATGATAATAAGAATTTTGTTGCCGAGAGCCTCCCCAAGCGAGTACCTGATAGAAGTCACTATAAAAAGAACAAGTTGTAGCTTTATATGAATTTTCACATGTTAGCTTGTGCAAAGAAAAGTAAGACCTCATTACAAAGTTAGTTTTATATATAGTAGTAATAAAGAACAAACTGATAGCTGCTCAAGATTGACTAAAAGTTATCTATAGACATTGTTATTTTCTTTCATTTCGGGTTTGATTGGGTACATTATAACCTCTTAAACATTAATGAGTTACATATAAATATCTTCAAATCTTTTTTTTACATATAAAAAAACTCTTATGATTTCAATATGAGTTTTCAAATACAGAGGTTACTTCTAAGATTTGTTTTTGAATATGCTTCAATTAAGAAAGCCCTTGAGAATTTATCAAATCTTCAGATTATTTTAAAAACAATTACTAGATTTCAACTTATATTTAAATATTACTTTACACGTAATTTCAACGTTTAAATAACACAATCATCATAATACATAGTTTTGACAAATTAGCTAGATAAGACTTATCCGACAACCCGTTAAAATTAGTGACAGGTCAACTCTTCGTTGTTGAATAAAAGAAGATGTAAAACCAAATTTCCAATATAGAAACAGTCGTATTATGACCAGATTCTCCGAGTAAAACTTTAATCTCGACGACGAAGCCATTTTTAATATATTTCCAAACCCATAAAGAAACCATATAAGATTTAATTGATTGTATGTGCAGAACCAAAAAAAAACACAAAAGAAGAAAAAGAATGAGATTTTCTCTTGCGTGGAAGCTCCTGTTCTTGATTCTAACTATAGCTTGTAAGCTCGAGACACAAGTGAAGTGCTTAGAGTTCAATTTCCCTGGGTTTAATGTGAGCAATGATCGGGACTTGATCCGAGATAACTCATACATTGTCCTTGGAGCAATCCAAGTGACTCCTGATGTTAGTGGTGGTCCTGGTGGCTCTATCGCCAACCAAGCGGGCAGAGCGCTCTACAATAAGCCTTTCAGGCTATGGAGCAAAGACAAGAATGCTACTTTCAACACCACTTTCGTTATTAACATCTCGAACAAAACCGATCCTGGAGGGGAAGGCTTAGCTTTCGTTCTCACACCCGAGAAGGCCGCTCCTCAGAACAGCTCAGGTATGTGGTTAGGTCTGGTCAACGAAAGGACAAACATGACTCTTGAGTCGAGGATCGTTTCTGTTGAGTTCGACACAAGGAAGAGCCATCCGGATGATCTTGATGGAAACCATGTGGCTCTAAATGTGAACAACATCAATTCTGTTGTTCAAGAATCCTTGAGTGGTCGAGGGATCAAGATCGATTCCGGAGTTGACTTAACCGCTCATGTGCGGTATGATGGTAAGAATCTATCGGTCTATGTCTCAAGAAACTTGGAGGTGTTTGAACAGAGGAACTTAGTGTTTTCTAGGGCTATAGATCTCTCAGCCTATCTTCCGGAGACAGTTTATGTTGGATTTACCGCTTCAACAAGCAATTTCACGGAGCTGAATTGTGTGAGATCATGGAAGTTTGAAGGTTTAGAGATCGATGGCAATGGAAACATGTTATGGCTCTGGATCACTATCCCTATAGTGTTTATTGTTGTAATAGGAGCTTTCTTAGGGGCATTGTACTTGAGATCTAGGTCAAAGGCAGGGGCAACAAATCCGGATATAGAAGCTGAGCTAGATAATTGCGCTGCAAACCCGCAGAAGTTCAAGCTGAGAGAGCTGAAGAAAGCAACAGGGAACTTCGGTGCGGAGAACAAACTCGGGCAAGGCGGGTTTGGGATGGTGTTTAAGGGGAAATGGCAGGGTAGAGACATAGCTGTGAAACGAGTTTCCGAGAAATCGCATCAAGGGAAGCAAGAGTTTATAGCCGAGATCACAACGATCGGTAATCTGAATCATAGGAACCTGGTGAAATTATTGGGATGGTGCTACGAGAGAAAGGAGTATCTTCTGGTTTATGAGTATATGCCTAACGGAAGCTTGGACAAATATCTTTTCTTGGAAGACAAGTCAAGATCAAACCTAACATGGGAGACAAGGAAGAACATCATAACTGGGCTATCTCAAGCTTTGGAGTATCTTCACAATGGATGTGAGAAGAGGATACTTCACAGAGACATAAAGGCAAGCAACGTAATGCTAGACTCGGATTTCAACGCTAAGCTCGGCGATTTCGGGCTTGCGAGGATGATTCAGCAAAGTGAAATGACACACCATTCAACCAAGGAGATCGCTGGAACACCGGGGTACATGGCTCCTGAGACTTTTCTCAACGGGAGAGCCACAGTTGAAACAGATGTGTATGCGTTCGGAGTTCTAATGCTCGAAGTAGTCTCAGGGAAGAAACCTAGCTATGTCTTGGTCAAGGAGAACCAGAGCAATTACAACAATAGCATTGTGAATTGGCTTTGGGAGCTATACAGAAATGAAACCATCATGGATGCAGCGGATCCGGGAATGGGAAGTTTGTTCGATAAAGAAGAAGTGAAAAGTGTTCTGCTCTTAGGACTCGCTTGCTGCCACCCGAATCCGAACCAAAGACCCTCCATGAAAACGGTTTTGAAGGTCTTGACGGGTGAGACTAGCCCACCCGATGTTCCTACAGAGAGACCGGCTTTCGTGTGGCCAGCAATGCCTCCATCTTTCAGTGACATTGACTACTCTCTTACAGGGAGTCAGATCAATTCCCTTACCGAGCTTACTGGCCGATGACATTAATCTTTATTTGTGTGTTCTTCAAGAATTATTTGATAATTGAGTTTGTTTCGTTATATACTACTTATAACTATCTTTTTTAGGGGCATAGAATTTGATTGTGCTACTGATAAAAAAAAGGTGAATTTGTAACTTTTGAATTTTACTTCCTATATTTCTGTGTTTGTATCTTCCTCTGTTCCTATTGAAATCCAGAGATGGGTAAGATTCTGCTTTTGGATTTTTGGATGTCTGTTAATGTGCATAGGAAAACATTAGGATACATTTTGATTATTGGAATTACAAATGACCAGTTCAAGGATTGTTTACCTACAATTTTGTATCTAAAATCAAACGTGTTGGTACAAAATCGATCCGTGTTCATTTTTATCAAATCTGTGGTAAGTAAAATAACGAAATGCAAAATAAAATTCTAAGAGAAGAAGATACTGAACTTGGAAGGTCCAACGGTATGAGAAAAACCTTTAATGGACAATTCAGGAACAGTAGCTTTCTCCACCATAAGAAGCTCATTGTCTATGAATATCACAACCACCGTTATATCATCATGAAAGAATCTCCTCACTCCTCTCTCCACTTTCTTCAAATCATCGTAATTCATCTCTCTCTTCTTCGCAGCTATGGTCATCGCTCTTCTCACCAGCCTTCGAGCTATTCCCTGTGTTTGTTTCATTCATATATATAACATCAGTGAAAGCAGAAAGAACCTGGGAATTAACAGTTATGAATCTTAGGTGGTGGTACGTACAGGACGAGGGTGTTTATTCACTATTTCTACAGCTTGCTGGTTGGTCATTTGTTCCCAGAGTCCATCTGATGCGAATATCACAAACTTGTCACTTGTTTGTAAGACTCTTGTGTAGACAGAAGGCTCTGGTGATAAAACCGGTCTTTGTAGCTCTTCAGCGAGGTGAAACCGCGGAAATGAAGGGTCAAGAGAGAACTCTGGGCGCTTTAAGTACGCATCCCCTATCGATCTAGATACCTGCACAAATGAAACACAATATTGACTTATAGTTTGATAAGCTAAGATAACACAGAGGGTCTACTTGAAGATGTGTAGAGCTACTCATTAAGCAAGTCTCTCTGGTTTGGTCAATAGGAACAAAAATGGCAGTTTCATATCTTTGTTCTTATCGTAGTGTCACAGCACTTTGATATGTGATTAGAGAGTTTTGCAAACCTGAATGATGCCTTTGATGCGCCACACACCATGTTTAAGAACAACGATATGTGGATCATCCGGATGCAACGACCTAACCTCTTGTCTAACTTCTTCCAAAGCAGCATTGTGATCACTTGTCAATTGCTCAGCTACAATCTTGTTAGACCTATTATTATTACTACCAATGGAACCAAGCACAGCACGAGAATCACCAACATTAGCGATAAGCAAAGTCCCTTTCCAAATAACTCCAACCAAACAACAAGATCCAACAGCTGCAATCAACGGTTTGAACCCGCAAGTCCTTCGCACAAGCGTGAGAAACCCTTCCTCAGTTGCAGAAAAAGCAGCTCTCAGAGTCTCCTCTGAGATAGAACTCCTTTCTCTCGAAACTCCTGAAAGATCAAAACTTTAATCAAGAAGCAGCTAATGAAAACCATTCTAATCCAAAAAGGAACAAGACAAAGCTACAAAATCCAGAAACAGAGAGACACCAAGACAAAGATAGCCTGCCAAAAAGAAAACTTCATATAAAAAGTAGGTAGCTCACCAAATATCGATATTAAAAAAAAGTCAAGATTCACTTCACTGTTCATCAGATGCATAAAGATTTCAACTTTCTACCAAAATTATCCGATCATCATAACCAAATCTTGAAAGAAGAACACAGAGAGTTCAAAGTGGACTTTGTTTGACTTCAAGAACACAAAAAGAGATTAAAAGAAACTAACTCATCAAATTAGAAAAGAGATGATCAGAGATGTATCTAGAAGCTTCAGGACCACCATGACCATCGTAGACTCCGACAAAAACGGCACCGTTTCCAGTCTCAACTTGACTATGATCTTCAATAACCTCGTTAGCTTGCACAACAGCAATAGAGAAATCTCCGAAAGAATGTCTCTCGAGTTCTCTAGACCAAAGAAGGGAGTCACCGGAGGAAGAGTCACCGTCGTGATCATCATCATCATCTCTGTTCATACGGCCGTATCGACGCAAAGGTCGTAAACAAAAAAGAGCCATTCTCGCTAACCAGGAGAACATCCCTCATTTGCTCTCCACCACGAGAATAAACTCTTTTTAGGTCGCCGGAGACAACACCGGAAAGAGGAATCTCGTGATTTGTTGGTGGGGAAAAATCAGAATTTTTGGATCGAAAAGCTTGAAACAGGTGAAGAGAGAAAACGAGTTAACGAATCGGAGATTGAGAAAAAAGCAAAGTTTGTTTCTTTTATTTATTTTGGTTATAAATTGAATATTTTAGATAAAACTGAGAGAAAAAAATGTGAGATTTTTGGAGGAAAAAGGAAAGACTTTCGTTGGTCTTTGAGAGTGGTTGAAGCAAAGTGTGAAAATTATGATTTGTGTAAATTAAAGTTATTAAATTGATGACGTAATTTTTGTACATCATATTTTTCTTTGTTGATTTGTTTAGAGCTAAAAGTCTAAAAACGCGTTCCTTCTTACAAAAAAAAATTAAGCATTACAAGTACGAATTATGACAAAAAATTTCCTGATTCTGATTTGTATGAAAATGAAGAAAGCAAATGTCTAAAAAGCTGAGTCAATTTATTTATCTTTTCTTTTGGTTAGTTTTTGCCAAACAAAATTTGTTTGAATCTCCTTTTTACAAAGATAGAGTTAAGATGTCTCCTGCTCCAACATTGTAATGTGCAAGTGACTTGTCCTCCTTTAAAAGCCCGGCTTTTCCCCTTATCTTCAGTTTGTTTGCTACTTTCTCCTTCAAACTAGCCACGTTTCCTGATAGCGACTGCACTGTGATCTCGATGACTTTCCCATCATTGAAGTTTGGAACAGAAACCATGATCGTAGAGGAACCCTGAAAATGTATGGTTGCTAATTAGATACAACAAGTCTTAAATAAAAAAAAACAAGCAAAGACAGTAAGAGTCTTAGGAAGAACACATTACCGGATGTTGAGCAAGAAACTGCTCTTCTGGAACAAGAGTTGGCTCGTCCAAATTTTGTTTCGTTGGCTCTGGTTCCTCAGTTAGAGGTTCCATTTGTGGTGGTGGATTCTTCAGAATTGAAAGATATCCAGGTATTCGTGATCGCCAGTCGTATACTCAACTTTCACAAAATACTCAAACGCATGCAAATCAACAATAGCCATCACCGCTCCCTCCTCAATCTCCCTCTCAAGTACTCTACCAAGAAGATTGAAATAACCCTCAAGAACGGTCTCTGTACTAGCACCCTTCTCCTTCAGTTTTTCGATACACAATAACACTCTCGCATATCCAAGAGTAAGCTGAGAGTAAAAATCGTGCCTGCTATCAGTTGATAGTATAAACCGAAACAGAGGCTCAAGCTCAGGTTTCATAAACACACTCTCCATCAAATCCTGCCCAAAACACATCCCAAAAACAGCGACAAACTGAGCTGTGAGCTTAATAATATCAAGCTCCTTGCGAGTGATCCCTTGATCAGGAAGTAATGGGAAACTGATAGGTTCTGTATCAGGAGTTTGTGATCTTGACTTCAAAGTCGCGATTCTTGTTGGATCATCAATATCAGGGTGGATATCATGAGATCCCAGTGGAGGTGGGAAGACGTTATACTCCATGTTAACAAAATACTGAGAAGCATGCAAATCAATCATAGCCATCTCAGCTCCCTCATCATCCTCATCCTTTTCAAGAATTTGACGAAAAAGACTGAAAAAACCCTCAACGAACGGCTTTGAGAACTAAAGCTTACTCTGTTGGGGATTTTTATGGATTTCTCATGGATGGTACATGTCATATACAAACTCAGTTTTGCAGAGAAGTAAAGTTTTATTTGATATTAGTAGACTAGATATACTTCATATAATGCGAATGTTTCTCTTCAAAAACTTAGCAATGTTTCTCTTAAAAAGTTACCAATGGTTTCTTTTTGTTATTAAGTTCCATGAGCATATTATTGTTAATGGATAATTTTATTATTGTTACATTGCATGAACATACTACTCAGAAAGTAGGACTGTCATCAAACAATAAAAAACTAGATGAGATCGAAGTCCTACAATTATTCAGAAGAACATTAAAAGGACAGGACCCGAAAACACAACATGAACACAAAACCACGAAACTTCGAATTAACAAAAACAGAGCAAATAAGAGAACAACACCCTTTATCCACTATATCCCCCGCCGGTTCCGTACGGACCACCGTACCCGGTGGTACCACCACCACCAACGAGGGTATTATGAGCGGTTGTCCGACCAGTTCCAGTGTTCCTTCCGATCGGGTCGGTCACAGCTGTACCCTCCACAACCCGGTCTGTCAGTTGTCCTGTTCCGTGACCAGGTAAAGCCGACATCTGGTGTGTCCCAGTGCCGTGTCCGACTTGTCCAGTGGTCGAGTGAGTGGCCGTCCCCAAACCTAAACCGGTTCCAGCTCCAGCCGCTTCTTTCATGGCCGCGTTGTACTCACGCGTTTCTCTCTTCTGCATCTCGGCTTGATTGATCTTATCTTCTTTAACCTGTGTAGCCATCTGTTTCTGAACAGGGTCTCGTGTCTTCATCTTCTCAGCCTTTTGAAAAAAAATCAACAAGACCCATTTTATTAAAACGAATCATAGAAAAATCATATTGTTTGCTTGATAAATTAATAATAACCATAATATAATTATGTATTTATGTTACCTTTTCCTCCAAGGTAGCTTTGGTTTTGTCCATGCCAGATTTTGCAGAAGCTGCAATATTCGAAGCTGTTTCTTTCATCGACTGCATTTTTACCGAATCTCTCTCTCTCTCTTTTCCTTTTCTTTGTGAAATTCAAAGATGTTACAAAGATATCTTCTGATTACTTTTGTTAATGCTTTGCTCACCGAGCATGTCCCATAATCATAGGCTTCGCGTTCGCCACGAATTATTAAATTCGAAAAATTGTGATTAATATTTAATTACGTTCTCGAGGACACGTCAGAGACACGTGTCATGAAAGAAGAGGTGGTAGGCTTTGTGTTTCAGCTATTGGCTTACACGTGTTGGAAGCCTTTAAGTCGTAAAGATATAGAATGTCGCGCGTGTTAGGCTTTGGAGTTCGCCGCTTGTCAGCATCGAATGATGTCGGCGATTAACCGGTTACGACATCGTCCAGGTTTTGTGATCGATGATTGTTGTATACTTGTTTTATTATTTATCGTCTTATCGACTGCATGATTTCTTAAGACAAAACAAGCATGTAATTGTAAATATTAGGGCTTAACATAGTAAGTCTTTTAACTGTGATTGGGAACTTAAAAGAACTCGTCGAATATTCAGAGCCCTACGGAATGGTCTAAAAGGTTTCAAAGCCAGTCGCATAAAACAAATCGATAAAATAAAAAAACAGAGCAAAAAGTCACAATGATAATGAAGCTAACAATGCATAATCTGTTCTCAAGAGTCTAAAGACATAACTAAGCGATTCCTGACCTGCGCAGCTCGGCTTCACCATGCGCAAAATGGCATCTATCTCCATATGTACAGTTCCCTTTAGAGTACCTGTCACAGATCTTGGTCTTGTAGTTGCTCCCAGGATGTGGTTTCCCTTCAGGACCACCAATCCCTTGAGGTTTCTTGGCTGATCCAAGCCTCCCTATGAGCTCTCTCACCATCCCACTCGCTACATTGATCTGTTCAAATGTTCCTTCTAGCTCGATAATCTTCAAGTTTGGGTCTCTTTCGTGATCTTTAATCGATAATTTCGCTCCTGTTTGGCGGCATATCTGTTTGGAATGGATTCCACCTTTTCCAATGATGGCACCGGCTAAAGACGCATCTACACTGATCTTGGAAGTAGCAGAAGCACCAAAGATTGAAACAGGGCCTGGTCCTGGATCTCCTCTCCCTGAGAATCTGCCTCCCACACCACCAAATCCTTGCATATTTCTGGAAGCTTGAGCAACTGATGGTCGGAGATTTGTCATCTGCGCTACAGCATTGTACCCACCAGGTACATAGTGCAAGAAGTGACAATTGTCACCGAACGGACATCCAGAAGTGCTGCGATACAAAGCATTATGTATCAGCAAATTAACCCGAGAAAAAACAAAACGACATATCTATAGGGTATTGCACTACTGCTACCTTCTCGACAAAGCAATAACACTTAATGCAATAATGATGAAACAAATTTATAGAGTAATAAAACAGATAATATTCCATAATGCATCACCGATGAACAACACGTTGAGCAACGAAAGACTCATGGATAGTTCAAGGATAATGCAAGAAGAACCTTACCTGATAATAATGGTTTTACTGCATATACAAAATTACAGATTCCTTACCATCAAACAGAAGAAGAATAAACAAAATGTTTACAATGACAGCCACAAAGACAAGTTTTGGTTGATTTTGTATATTAGATTCACCAGTAGAGTTCAGTTCCAAAATTATACTCCATATAAGCTTATCATCCATTCTTAGGAAGAATCACATTTTGGTTACATTGACTTTTTAACTCGTTTAAGGATGAACAGTGCTACGTACCTGTATAACAACTATCCACTTCATTAGCACACTTAATACAATATTACTTCTTAATTTCATGATCCAAACAAGAAAAAAACAATTAGATTATTAACCTGAAAAATTTAGTGCATGGCTTGGATTTGCTTCCTAAACCAGTTGAAATTGATTCCATCTCTGTTGCAAACATTAAGTGCTTTTACTTGGTTAAACTTTTCTAAAATTTTCAATAAATATCATTTGGAATTAGCACCAGTGTACCATCTGCTTTTGAAAATTTTCAGGGTTATTGAGTTTTGAAAATTGTACTCAACACCTTGATTTGACATAGATCAATATATCAATCAAGCAAATCCAACACCTTGAGTTGACATATCAATCAAGCAAATCCAGTGTGTTGAGTGGTCACAAAGGCTAATGGCTTATACTTGAGTGGATGGATTGATGAATCCAATGAAAGAAGGGTAAGCCAATAGCACAACACAAAGGAGAACAAGAAACAAACTTCCATATCCATTGTCTCCCAACAGTAGAACCAACTCTCAAATAAGGTAATCCAGATTAAAGCAGATAAAGGGTTTTCGACTAATCTCTCTAATGAACAAAAGAAGAAAACACAACACAAAAATATGCCCAAATGAGAAGAAAGGAACAACCTTTACGAGAGACAGAGCACACACAAATTGCAACTAGAAATGAACAAAACTAAGTGATACCAAAATCATTCTCTCTTATTGTAAAGATCTCTAATTCTAAAAACCCAATTGGAGACAATAGAAAAGGAAAGGAGTGAAAGAACAAACCTTGCTTAGACCTCTTGAATCCGCCATTGGAGTTGTGTGAGGCAGCAGCTTCAGGGCGTCCTCTCTTGCGACCATCCATGTCGATATCGAACCCTTGAGATCGATTGAATCGCAATCGGAGATTGATGAAAATGAGATGAGATCTCAAAGTTTCGTGATTTGAGCTCTTCGATTATTCTTATCCTTTAAAATTCTATTGGGTTTATCATCATCATCATTTCCACACAGCTCAACAATATAAATGGGGATAGAGGTTTGCTTAATTTGTTAATAATATAAAGAAATTAAATTCCTAAAACACCAAAAGACCAGGACTAATTCTAATTATTAATTATATGGATTAATATTTATTTAAATTATATTGAATTAACATTAGAATTAATCTATGATTTGATAATAGAGTTTATTTGATGAGACTGGAATGAAATTGCTTTTGCAAGTAATAAAAAATACACAAAAAAATTCTACCCTAATTATTTCTACCCATTTTACTTTAAATTTATTGTTATTTCACATTCAATGGTTTTCAAAAATAGAAAAAATATCGTTAAATTTCATGCGTTTAATTTTTTTTATCATAATCACTTTAGTTTTGATTAAAAAATTTAAATTTGTTCCGTTATTCCTATCTTAATATATTCAAAATATACGGAATAAATAATTTGAGTGACGAGTGACGAGTCATTTATAGATAATTTGAGTATCTAAAACAAAAATATCAAATCATATCACTTCCAAGTTAATAGTTGATGTATGTCTAACGGTTTCAAAAATAGAAAAAATATCGTTAAGTTTGGCGCGTTTATTTTAAGTAAAAAGTACTAAAAAATTTCTGATAACTCTATCAATAATGTATCCAAAAAAAATTATGGAGCATATAATTTGAGTAACGGATCATTTATAGATAAATCGAGTAGTTTAATTAGTTATCAACTAAAAATATGTAAATGTCAAATTGCCATTAAGATGTAATTTTAACAACAACAAAAAAAAAAAAAATTAACTTCAGTGACATTGAAATATTTTGAAAATTGAAGGAGTCAGTGACAGGTGATTTATGTTGATCTCACTTTCTATCCTATACTAGCTAACTGAATCAGATTTTGAATGTTATGCTCAAAGCCTCTTGTTTATATTTACATGCTTGTTTAGATTCTTTTACATAGTTTAAACAAGAATTGGACTTCGAGCACTTAATTATTCACGATCTTGATGGCAATAGTAACACAGGTTCAGACATTTCAAAAAGAATATTGTGTTTTTACAAACAAAATTCCTAACGAATATTTATCATACATTCTGACACCACAACTTAGACGAATACTAATGTTCATCATATATGAACAAAAATCCTTTTCTGGGATCCTTTAAAGCAAAGCAGAAGAAAAAAAAGAAAGAAATATTGCTGGTCATTTATCCTAGGGTTGATGGTGTTTTTGATCCAGTGTCATCCCAACAGCATTGGAAGCTCATGCGAATACGGTTCTTCTCCATCTGGTTCACCAGCAACACACAAAACCAAGTTAAAAAATAAATAGAATTGGTCTTGCAATGATCCAGATAATGAGTCACTATCGACAGGCTTGTCAAATTATGTTTTTGTTAGTGATTAGTACATGACCGTTCTGACAACAATGTGATTTGGATGTGTAAAGATAGAATAAACAAAGATCTCTGTTCATATTTATTACCGCTTTCGTAATCAGAAGCATCCGCAAGCCTTGCAATGGCAGCAATGAGCGCCTGTTCATGTTCCTGTATCATCAACATCAAGTTTCACTTAACTGTTTCTTTCACAATCGATATCTCATCACACAGTTCTTATTATATCTCTCACCTTGAGTAGTTTCTTGGCCTTATCAAGCTCATGTGGATCAGGAAGGTTAGAATCAAAAACTCTCTCCACCTAATGGGAAAGATTTCGACATCAGAAACCCTTTTTGCCTAAAGATAAACAGAATGCCGAGATGGAGATAACTACCTCTTTCACAAGTGAGTCTGTGTTGAACAATTCAATCTCATCGAAAAACTTCCTCCCACCACCGTTTTCAGTTGCTAAATGTTCTCTTCTTGGCTGAGTTCTTGGACCTCTCCCTCTACCACCATGGCTTAAGGTTCTTCGATTTCCACGGGTTGTTCCACCGCCATGTCCTACATTTAAAGTTACACCATTCTCCTCTCCATCCCATCTTATATCTTCCGGTGGAATCTGCAATTATATAACTAACTTACTTCACATTCTGCTAAAAATGGTAACATACTAGGTGGATACACAATAGAAACTGTTTCCTATGTAGTTTACTAATAAAAGCTACCTCCAAAAAGAAATATATCTTTCCCAAAAGACATTCTTGGCAGCATTTTCAACAAAAACTTAACACCTAATAATATTAAAAACTCGTGAAGATTACCTCCTTAAGATCAACCCATTCCCATGTCTCATTTGCTGTGTTTATATCATATACCAACGCATGTCGACCCTGCAAGAAAAAACAATGAGTGCATCAGTTAAAATATATTTAAGCTATGTTCATTGTTAAATACCATTCCAAACATCTAGATAATTCAAAGGCATAGTATACTTTTCAACGCCTCATGTGCACCCTGATAGGATTCAAATCAGTAAACACCTCCTTTTTTTTTAATTCATCAAGAACTACACTAAAGAGAGACTTGATTAACTAGAGAAGTCTTTGGACCAATGCCCAAACCATGATCCTAGACCAACCCAAAGTACCCCGGCTCATTCTGCCTAAACTTTCTTTTAACTTGTGAGCTCTCTAGCTAAGCGATTCGACTATAGTTGCTGAGCAGTCTACAGAGTTACAATCAACCTAAAGTAATTGCAATGCTCCTTCACTAGACTAACTCTGAACTAAACTGGTAAATTTTGATCAGGCTTTGAGGCCTTGGAGTCAGATATAAAAATCATCTATGAGGAACACAACTAGTTACTGATAAGTTTGGAAATTTGAGGATTATGTCGTTTGAAGTACAGGAGACACCTTGAAACACATACATATATACTGTTGAACACATGACTAGATGTTTTCTGATATTCTGATTCAATCTCAATATAAAGGTCTCAGCGATCAGAAGTTACCTCATCTGCTTTGTATTGTGTCACTACTGCTTCATAAAAGCTGTTGTCATCAGGCCATTTTGTCCACACTTTTCTTCCAATAAGAGCTTCAGCGGGTTCATTTGCTGATACTACACGGTTATTGAACGACTTATTTCTAGTAGAACCAATCGACGGATACTGCATGTAAACCACAAATGATATGATCAGTAAATAACACAAACCCAAATGCAAATACAGATATCCTCTGCTTGTTCTATGAAGAAAGATTAAAACAAGAAGTCTTACGGATTGGAACGTCTTCTGTTTCTTCCGAGAAGCTGAAAAAGTCGGACTAGGAAGAACATCGAGGGACTGATTATTTGCATGTCTAACAACCTGGTTTCCACCTCTAGGTCTCGAATCTCTGTTAGTCCAGTTCCATCATACAACAACATTATTACAAGATACAGAGAAATCTAGAACATTAGCTTTACTATCACAAATGATCAGACTTGTTACCTTATTCTTTTGATAAGATCATCATTATGAACATTGTTCAACAGTTCTCGGTTTTCATCATCAGATATCCTCAATTCTTTACGTAGGTTTGTCATCACGTCTTGTTTATCCTATAAAATGAAATCATATAAGCCAAATCCTTTGTTCATGACGAATTAACAATAAATTTTTCAAGGCAAAAGGAAGAGAGAGGACTTACCCAAGAAAATTCATCAGCCTGTGCTTGAAAAGCCCTTAACACAGCAGAATAAGCTTCCTGCTCAAGTATATGAATCTGCGCTTCCATATTAATGTGTAAACCTACCATATACTTTCCATCCAAATGAAACTAGCGCTTCTTGTAAACCTTCTTCTGAAATTTAACCAAACCAGATCATTCACTAACACAATTAGCACTAATCAGATTTATGAATATTTTTGACAGTGGAGGCCTCAGGAGAGAATGTAGGAGCTTATCGATGACACATTGTATCAAGAAATTAGATAACTTGAATTTATAGAATGAGAAAACAGAAGAATATGATAAACCCCTAAGAAAGAGAACAATTCCTTAAAACCCTTTTTAAAAAGCTTCAGTGCTATATCAAACCCTAGAACTGTTAGATCTCTCAATGGACAAAAGAGAAATGTCTTAAATCGCACAAAGTAAGTACGAAAACAGAGATTAACATACCTCCTTACACAGAATCCTGTCGTAAAACCGCAATCTTTATACGGAACCCTTAATTATCGAAGAGAGAAAGATTGACTCCAAACGTAGAGGCTATAAAGAGCTAATTGGATCCGATGTGCGAGTAATTCGTAGGTAATTGAAGAGAGAAATTGAAAGAATTTGACAAAAAAGGAAACAACTTTTTTAAGTATCGATAAAATTGATCTTCAGAAAGCGGAAGTGCAGTGTTTTTAGCTGGCTGGGCACAGCGTGCGATAAAGAGAGAGAGTGAGAGAGAGAGAAGAAGATCGACGACGGGAAGTTCCAAGTTGGAGGAGAGAGAAACCTTAGTTTAGTTTGGTCGGAAGCAAGCTTAAGACAAGACGACGCGTTTTTGTTTAATTTCTTATTGGGCCTATTTTTATGATGATATAGGCCTTTTTGGCCCAAACTGTTAAATGAAAATATGAAATATAGTAATATACTTTTTTTAAGGCAACTCCATTGGAATCTCAAAAATAAAATAAAATTGGAACATAGAAAAGTCAGATAATTAACTTAAAAAATCGAAATCTTTTGGTCCCGCGTTGTACAACAAACAAAAGAAAACAACAATATCAGAAGATAGTAGCAAAAGAACTTAAACCACAAAAGCCAAAGTTACAAAAATCCATTCCATTTGCATCCTCTCTTTTCCTTTTTGGACTGTCTATTCTAGTTTATAAACCACCACCATCAATATCATCATCATCAGATTGTAACACAACAAACACCACACAATCCATCCCCTATGCTTCCAATACTCATTTTCAGAATATTTTGAAGAAATTCAAAAGAAAAAAAAAAAGAAGAAGGAAAAAGTGAGAGTACATAAAAAGAAATGAAAGATACAAATTAGGCCCCATCATCATCATTATCAACTGCTTCTATTCAGCGTTTCTTGGGATCTCCTATATGAATCAACCTTCTCCAACATGAACTTCTCATGACAATTTGCTATAAACATATCAGCCAATTTATCAATCTCGTTCATCATCATCTCTTTCTCTTCTTCTTGACCATCTTTAACTTTATCCTCTAGCTGTCTTAGATAACTAGAGAGCTGAGATGGTTCTTGAATATCACCATCATCATCATCGCGACTATCCATCGATTCCGTTGAATACATTGACTCCCAAGTAGAGTCATATCCGAGATGAGCTAAGTAGAGCTCTTCAGGGAGACGCACTGGTGCAGAGACAGGCACTACGTGAGAGGAGCAAAAGTTGTAGTGAAGTCTGAAGGAGCCGAATAATATATTGTTCTTTTGTTTCTTAGAGACTTTCTTTGGATAGAGTAAAGAAGACACTGACAAGAAATGGTATTGCTTCTTTCTCAAGACTCTAACAAGAATGGATGAAACTCTAGAGATTTCTCGGATTAGTCGACAAACTTGAGAAATGATGAGAGTTTGGATTAGAGATTTGAGTTTTATGGAGCTTGAGCTTGGTGAAGAAGAAGATGAACATTGAGAAGAAGACATAGAAGATGTTGATTTAAGTGGTGGCATTGCCATTCTCTCTCTTACTCTCGTTACAAAATCTTTGGCTAGGAAGGGCTTTAATACTATAGTTGAACATCAAATATTATGAAGAAAGGTTTTACTGAAGTACCCTTATACTTTTGGACAATTTAAAGGGATGCCATTGCCACTCTACTTTGGAGCGTTTAATTGTGGTCGGGATGGTGTGTGTGACCCCACTTAATCTGACATGTTAACCGAATACTAGGAAAACCTCAGATTTGAAAGAAAGAAGAAGTGACTTTAGATTCAAGTAACTGATATTACTCTTCTGACACTGATCTTTGCTTCTGTACTCTACTCTTTTTAATAATCAAATGATGAATTCCTAGAATTTGTATGCGTGAACACATTTTACCACTGATGAGATTGCAGATTTCAACAACATTTTGGTTTAATTGATCCACAGTTTGGTCACTGATCGAATAACAGACCTAACTACTTTACTAGACATTCAAACGGATATAATAAAGGAGGATGACGAATCGTAGACCACATGAAATTAGTACAGCACTTTTATGCCCAAAAACAAATCCCTCGGATCCCAATATCGAGTCTATGACCATACCAATCCACTGCCAGGAAAAAATTTCTACGACCCCGCTTCCTATATTTCAAAATATTTGAATTTTTTCTTTTCTTTATATATACTTTTCCGTCTGTTTTGTTCAAACCAATTTATATTTTAGGCACAGTTATTAATTTGGCCAAGCCAAATTGAACCATCTTAAATTAAACCCAAGAAAATCTCGAACCGAGCTGAATCGTAATTAAGTTGTGTAAACTTTTATATTTTTGAATTTTAACGTTAAACTATGTATTTAGTATTTGATATGCCAAAAAAGACTCTTTTCTATGAATTGCCTTTTTTATTAACCTCAACATAATGAATATAAATTGATGCCTTAATCCTAAGAAGATCTCTACAATCAGATATTGTAATACCCCAAAGGAAACAAAATAAGTAGATGAGCTACAATTATACGATATTTACATAGTAACCTCGTATTAAGATATGTACCAAAGTTGATAATTAGGGTTACATATGCACCTAATTATGTCCCAAATTCGGTATGTATTGGCGACGGCGTTTGCTTGTTTCTTCTCTTGACCTGTTGACCATATGGATAAACAAAGCGGACAGCTTCTGACGAGAGTAGATAAAATAAGTAAAGGATTCAACCTGCATTTTTTGGAAAAGGTCATTACGATATGTAAGTTTTGCGGTGACACGACTTTTGATAGTCAGAGTAGCAAAAAGAATTAAAAAATCCAGCGAGTCATGGAGACTTTTTGTCAAGAGCCAACGGTGAAAGACAAAAACTTTTATAATATGGGCTTAATTGACGCCTTTGAGCCCATCAAAATTAAGGATCAATTCAAAAACTTTTACATCTCTCGCTTCTTTCATAACATATGAGCTTTGATTTTATCTTTGTACTCAAGTATCTAACGAAGTAACAATAACAACCAATTTATAAATTTATGAATCAGTCTTAAACACTAATCGACGAATCCACAAATTCATTAGGATTAAAGAAACCTTTTAATGATTCATAATTAATGGTGATACAGACAAATGGTTTTACAAAAGGTAGGGTATTAGCCTATTAGGCTTACAAAATGTAGGGTGGAATAAATATGTGGTTTAGTGATTTGTGTAATATCGTTTTGATTCAAATTCAAACCTGTCTAATACATGTTATTGATAAACAAAAGCTGTTAAAACATATACGACATGATGTTCACAATTTGTTTTTCGACCCTAAACGGACAAAAATATTTAAGAAAAGATATGATGTGCTTTTAAGATTTATGATACGTTCGTTCATATGTGGAGATTCGGAACGGTAGTTGAAATATTTTTATAAGGTTAAGGGTATTGCTTATTTTATTATAAATTCTGGCTGCAGATCGTTCTTTTATTTTAATGATCTTTTTTAGAGCTTCAAATTAAATTAAGGTCAAGTTTCTTCAAAAATTGCCCTTAACAAAGTCTAGCGAAATTTGTCTCTGCTATCATAAACAAATAATAAATTACAATCTTTGCCAACAAAGAATAATATTTACACAAATAAACAAAATTACCTCGATATTGGACTTTAATTTTAAATTAAAAAGATTAAATTTTAAATTTTCATCAATTTGTAATGTCGACACGCGTCAGGGGGCCATCTCTGTGACTGGTGAAGAAGAATATAGTCTAATTTATAAAACGAAATTAAGAAAAATATACTTAAGTAAATGGATTGTTTATACATAAATAAAAAAGTGGGAAAATGCAACTTGTAAGACTACTATTGGACATTATTTTAACACGTAGGGGGAATCTTACAGTTGTTCCACTGTGGCTTTCCATTTTTAATTGTAACATTAATTTGAGGTCCACCTTGTGTTATTTTCAAATACCAAACTTATTTAAAAGAAATAACCATCAGAAAATTTACAACAAGAGAGAATTTATCAAGTCCTCGTAATTTAGATAGTCACAATTCAATGTATGACACCTTGTTTTGAATAGATTGAGTTGTTATGCGCAGAGTTTTAATTGTATTGTTTTAGGTTTTAAAATACAATATTTTTAATTTGATAGGAATTTTAAAAGTTTAGAAACTACTAAATAAATCATTAACGACTCTAATCTAAAATTTTTGTAACCCCTCTTAATCTTTTGTACCTTTGGAATTATGTAATATTAATGGTAAAATAAACGAAAACTTTTGTATTTTTGATAGTAGTCCTTTTAATTTTGTTTAATACACAGAGTTATAAATTTTCTTATATGTATTTCTTTTCATAGAAAATTATGTGTTCAGTAACAAACAGAAAAATAAACATTGGCCATTTAATTTATGAAGCTTTTGCTTTCAAAAAAGAATAGGGAGATTTCGAACAGAAGTTCGTTCTTATTTCTTAGACCCTTGAACTTATAGAAAACCATGTATTCATTTGCTTACAAATTTTTTTTGAACAAACCATGTATTCTTTTCCTTTAAAGTATTTGCATTGGCCGATTATAATTAAAAATCTTTCAACTTAAATTCGAGATATTATGCACCCACTTGCAGAATTCACGTATAAAAAATTGTTCACGTCAAATTAGTATTCCTTTGAATTTTTCTTGTAAATAAATTCATAGAGATATCTTTGTTAAACTACAACGCCTTTTTTTTTTTTTTTTTTTTGGTTAAGAGTAACAGTAAGGACAACGCCTTTTTCTGATTAAGGTGTTCATGGGATGATTAAAATCAACCACACCAATAGTGATTAGATAAGAAAGCTTTTGCTTGAACAAAAACTGAATGTAAGTTTTTTTTTTTGCTAAGTGGGTTAATATCATAAAAATGAAATGTTAGGATTTACAAGAAGATTACCTAAGGCTTAGTTCCTTGGCAAAAAAGAAATAAAAAACAAGGAAGTAAACAAATGGAATGGAATTGCAATATCATTTTTACTGAATGTATATTTGCAATATGGAATGGAATTCGATACTGCTCTATATTGTGTGTGGTCTCTTACCTATAGTTTTAAATAATATTATTTGTTTTTGGGTGCGGAATGTGGTTTGCCTCTAAGCAACTTTTGGAAGTGGAATTTGAATCTCCTCAATGATTTTTTTTAGAATATAAAATGTTATTGGCGCAAATAATAAACAATATAATGTCAACAGTAATGAATAATTCAACCAAAACTAAGATAACGAAGTTGCATTGGACCAAACAAAACTTTTGGAAGATGGAAAGCTATTTTTATGCATCCTATCCAGAATAATTCGATATGTCTTTTAGACTACCAAATTCATGCGCCTAAAAAAATGAATGAAATTTATGCTGAGAATCGCCATTATAATTACATTTTTAAGAAAAGATGCTCATGTAATAAATATTCTCCCATATCTTGGGTAGAACAATATATAATTTTTACAAACGCAAGTTCATTTTGATTGGGCATTGAGATATTAATAATTTCATATTATTGTTTTATATTCTGTGGTTCAAGTGTATCCGAAACCCAATCAACTTTTCATTTTCATAAACGTGAGTTCATTTTGACTGGGCAATGTCATTGAGTTATTAACAATTTAATATATAATCTTTCTATATTAAAATAAAAAAATATCTTAAATTTTTGCCTTATATTAAAAACATCATTTATTATATATTTAAACACTATTCAATCAATAATATAATAAATGCATAATAAACAAGGTATGAAAAAATAAAATAATTATTTTACGTTAAAAATGTAAAACATCATTTAAAATAAAACAATTTTTTAAAAACTAAAACACCACTTTATATAATAGGCATGAAGTATACTTTATATCAATATTTGGAAATGTCAAATGTGGTTGTATTAAGTTCTTAAAATATTTGGAGACTTTAAATCCAATAATATATAGGAAAATCTCATATAAAACTTTAAATTGTATTTTATGCTAATATGTATGCATGGTTAACAGGATCAGTTAGGGTTTTAAAATGAACTAATGGTACTATAATCGATTTCCGTGCGATCTTACTATTTTTGTGAACAAACTGTTTTCTAATGTTTCTACAAATGAAGAAGAATAACGACAAGGTCTAACCAAGTGGGATTTTACTTCTTATAAAAGTATTTGTTATTGAAATAAGAATTTTGGACTTTTGCAATTATGGCCATTGGATAATTAAAAATTGCGCACTCCTATCCATTTTGAGAATAATCAAAAGAAAAGGCATTGCCTTATATCAATACTCATCCCTATCTTGCACCTGAAGACTTTGGAGGAATGTAGAGAGATTCAAGAAAACCCAAAAAACAAAACACTTTAGATTTCATTTCGATCGCTATTCCTCCGATTTTTTTTTGTTGAATCGAATCTTTGTTTTTTTTCAACTTCAAACCTTTTTTTCCCTCCGTTCAATATATCATTGAACTTACAACAAAATCATATGTTTCTGTGGCAATTTGTGTCTTTCTTGCTTGTTATTTGATGGATAACATCAACTTTGAATTCTCAAACGCTTCACAAGGAAGCCGGCTACAGTCGCAGCCGTTTAATTTACAAGACTTGAATATGATTCAATACAATCAACCATCATCTCCTTGGACTACCGAAACCTTCTCTGGTCTTTCTCCGTACGATTGCACAGCCAATCAATCTTTTCCCGTACAATGTTCATCTTCAAAACCCTACCCTTCCTCGTTTCATCCGTACCATCATCAATCTTCTGATCCTCCATCATTAGACCAATCTGTATCGATGCTTCCTATGCAGCCTCTTCCGGATCAATATTTGAAGCCATTCTATCAAAGATCATGCGCGAATGATTTCGCCGCAACAAATGCATCATCAGCCTCATACTCGCTTTCTTTTGAAGCAAATCATGATCCACAAGTATGCCAAAAAAATTCCCTTTACTTTTTTTTTTCTTTATCATTTTTTTAATAGGAAGATGATTCTAGCTACTTGATGGTTTTTAAATTTTTTCGGTAGGAACTATGCAGGAGGACCTATAGTAGTTCTAATGTAACACATCTGAATTTCTCATCATTACAATCTAAACAAAATCATCCAAGATTTTCTTCTCCTCCTTCATTCTCAACCCATGGAGGGTCGGTGGCTCCTAACTGTGTGAACAAGACACGGATAAGATGGACTCAAGATCTTCATGAGAAGTTTGTGGAGTGCGTAAATCGCATTGGTGGTGCTGATAGTAAGTCAGAACCATTACAAGATGTTCTCAACCATTTTATCATAAAGTCACTTTGGTCTACAATAGTGGGACCAATTTAACTTGCTTTGGTCTTCGGTCTCAAGAAGTCACTAAAACCTAGAACTTCTTGGTTACCCCAAAAAAGTTGTTAGATATGCATATAAATCATGAACGGTCATGAATAATAGGATGGATAGAATATTATTGCATGAGATCAAATCAAAAGTCATCGTATAATGCGCATGTGGATTTAAAAGTTTCTTCTTTTGAAGAAATTATGCTGCATTATTTGGATATATGTATCTGCATTATTTCAATAAAAGTAATTTCGTAATTGTTTTAAGGATAAAAGTGTCCTTGTTTCTTTGGTGGGTCACTAAAAAGTGTAAGTGGTGGAAAACTATACAGAGGCAACGCCCAAGGCGATATTGAAGTTGATGGATTCTGATGGACTCACAATATTTCATGTTAAAAGCCACTTACAGGTTTCGGTTACTTAATTCTACTCTCTTTTCATGTTTTTATATTCAAGAGAAGATTTTATTTAAATAGTTTTTGGCTTTTAAATTGCAGAAGTATAGAATTGCGAAATACATGCCCGAGTCTCAAGAAGGTACACTAATAAATCTCTGCACTAATTTTTTTTTTTTGGATAAAAATATAGTTTGGGAATAACACAAATCGAAAGAGTTTTGTGTTGCAGGCAAGTTTGAGAAAAGAGCTTGTGCGAAAGAGCTGTCTCAGCTTGACACAAGAACGTACGTTTCTCTTTTAATTTTTTCTGCCAAGAATAATATTTTTCTTTAGTACTAAGTACTAACTACCCCTCTATTTCTCCTCCATATAAATCCAAAGTTAGTGACCAAATGGCTTAGCGTAGCAATAGCAACGCGATGCGATTAACGTTATTCAAAAGTAATAAATTATGACTTGTTAATGATTTCTTTTCAATGTTATGGAGGCAGTGGAGTACAAATTAAAGAGGCACTTCAGCTTCAACTAGATGTTCAGAGGCATCTTCATGAACAACTAGAGGTAAGTTACAAAATGTAACTATATATATATATATACCTTACTTTACTATATATAATTAAGATTATACCAAATAAATACTACACCAATGTTACATTAATTATGGCATTTAATGATTCAAAACTTGTTTTTTTTTTTTGGGTTTAACATCAAAACTTATTTTTAAGACAAAATGAAGGTTTTCTAGTTTTGAGATTGTTGTATATGTTTGAACGTTCTGTGGTAAGGAACTATTTTCTGATAATTATCTACATATATATTTTTAATGAACCACGCTCATCTTGATTCATGTGCTTTTGTATCTTTAGATTCAACGAAACCTACAACTAAGAATCGAAGAACAAGGGAAACAACTGAAAATGATGATGGAACAACAACAAAAAACGAAAGAGAGTCTTATAAAGCCACCAGTCACTGAAGCATCATTGTCTCTTCTCGATGACTCTCCTCCTTCGCCTTTCTTGGTACAAGACACTGAAGCCCTGCTGCTAACAAGTTATCATGAAGACACTCAACTCCAGTCAACCAGAAGTTGAAAAGTGAGAGATTATACTGGCTAAATAGAAAACGCCTAAAGCATGTTTCTACTCTATTCAAAGTGGTATAAAGTTATAAGAGTCGCGACAAGAGAATGTCCAAAGTGCTGTTACACATACTAACACTTGAGAACAGAATCAGGTACTAAATGTGAGCAAGTGGTGTGTGATGGGGTCTCAGGCATAGACTAATAATAGATGTGTGAGATTATTCTTACTTAACTATTTTGTGTTTAAAAAACTCACACAAAGAGATAGCTTCTTAAATTAGTAACGCTACTTTTAACATTGTGCATGAGGAACCCCACCTTTTAATCCTTTTGCTTTCTTAATCATTTCTACTTTGAATGAATATTCAATTTCTCAATTAAATTGATTTCCTTATTGTGCTGGTTAAAGAAACTCAAAATAATGGGCCTGATGGGCTTGACTACTTGTAAGAAGCCTTTTCTTTTATGTTTACTAAATTACTACAACCAAACATAAGAACCCACCAAAGTCCAATGCTTCACTTGTCTTCTTCGTCTCCGGCATAGCTTATGATGATCCTTGAAGATGGCAAAAGAAGTGCAGCGACTTGAGCTCCGAGACTCGTAAAAGATTCAAAGGTAAAAGCTTTTGATTTGCTCACAACTAGGCAATGAAACTTCTGCGAAACCCTAGTAGATTCACGTCTCTTCTCAAATGGGTAACACAACTTTCTCTAGAAACCCATTTTAAACCCTCAATTTCTGGAACTGGGTTTCTCCTCCGATGTACCCAAAACCCTAGATCTTTTGCCACCGTCACCGGTAACGAAGTTTCCAGTGAGAAATCGAGTGTGAAGAGAACCCGAAATGGGTTTAGAATCACTCCCACAATTAGGAAATTAGCTGAGGAAGCAATGTTGGATTACTTCTATTCCACTAGGGGTTTGCAGTATATGGTTGCAGAGAGTATGAGCAAGAACAGTCCAATTTTTATTGATAATCTTTTGAAGAAAGTTGATTGTGTTACTGCTTCTGATATCAACCAATCTATTACTCGATATCTACGGTTTCACCCGGTGAATGAATTCGAGCCTTTCCTTGAGAGCTCAGGTTTGAAACCCACTGAGTATAATCATTTGGTTCCCTGTGATAAGGTCTTCTTGGATGAAGAAGGGTTTTTGCTTGAGAACCATCATGTTTTGTGTTATAGTGGTGTTGACCCTAAGAAGATTGGGAAGATCTTCAAGGAAGCTAGGGAAGTTTTCGGGTATGAAACCGGGGTTTTAGCTTCTAAGATTAAGGCGTATGAGGATTTGGGGTTTAGCAGATATTTTCTATCGAAGCTTATCGTTTGTAGCCCGAGAATCTTGATTGGGAATACGAATGTTGAACTGGCTAAGGTCTTAAAGACGTTGAAATCCTTGGGGTTTGAGTTTGATTGGGTAATGGAGAACCTGTCAGATGAGGGACCTTGTGATTGGAGCTCTGTGCATCGTGTTCTAACCTTGCTTAGAGAAATCTGTTTTGATGAGGAAGAGCTATGTGGGTTAATCAGGAAGTGTCCAAGACTGGTTTTTGAGAATTCAGGGAAATGGACTGTGATTCTAGTTGGGTTTGAAACAAAACTCGGGTCATCTAGAAGTGAACTATGTTCGTTGTTTCAGAAATTCCCGCAGATTCAAGTAGAGAAATATGTTTCGAATCTAAGGCAGTGCTTCTTGTTCTTGAAAGAGATCGAGATGGAAGATGATGAGATTCATAAGGTTTTTCGTTCTCACTCCTGGTGGCTTGGTTCATGTAAGTTGAAGAAAACCAGTAGCTTGCTTGTATTTTTGAAGGCTGGGAAAAGCCGGGTGTGTCAAGTCATTCAAGAAAGCCCAGAGGAGATGAAAAAATGGACAATGGGGTCAAAAATCCAGCCGCTACCAGCTACCAACGTAGACATAGAGTCGAAAACAATGAAGACTCAGTTCTTGTTAGACCTCGGATATAAAGAAAACTCTGAGGAAATGGAGAGTGCATTCAAGAATTTCCGTGGCAGAGGATCTGAACTCCGAGAGAGATTTAATGTCCTCGTAAGTTTAGGTTTTACCGAGAAAGATGTCAAAGATATGGTGAAAGCATGTCCTACTATGCTCTCCCAGACCTGTGATATCCTAGAATCAAAGGTGAACTACCTTATAAACGAATTAGGTTATCCGCTTTCGACTTTGGTGGATTTCCCTTCATGTTTAAAGTTCACTCTTCAGCGGATGAAACTCAGATTCGCGATGTTCTCTTGGCTTCAAGCCCGAGGAAAAGTAGACCGCAAGATCAAAGTTAGTACTATGCTCGCTTGCTCGGACAAAATTTTCGTGAGTTTTTTCGTAAACCGTCATCCGGATGGGATTAAGCATTTAGTGGTTCTGAAGAAACTGCATCTTTGTGTTGAAACAAACTAATTGCTTACTCTCTTTTGAAGCACTAGACCTTTAATCATCTTGTACTCTTCTTCTAATGATAAAATTTTCTTAATTCTTCTTTATATTGTTTGGAAAAATATATTTATTTTGATTTATTTTTCTGTCTTAAAAAATATTTTATAATTTTTTTTTTTGTTAACCGTCTTCTTCATACTGAAACATAACTCGGCTAAGACAAATCTTCTGCAAATCTTCCATGTGTCTGTGTAACAGGTAATGTCTTTTATGCGAAACCCTAGATTCAAAAGTCTTCTCAATTGGGTATCAAAAGCTTTTGCGGAAACCCCTTTTAAACCCCAAGTTTCCGGAGAAAACCCTAGATTTTTCGCCACCCAAAGAGCACTCGTCGATGCTGAAGTTTCCGGCGAGAAATGGGGTCTTAGAACTCGAAACGAGATTCGTAAAGTGGCTCAGGTTGCGATGTTTGATTACTTCTATCAAACGAGAGGTTTGCAGTTTCTGGTTGCTGAGAGTATGAGTAGGAATGCTCCTGTTTTTAATGATAATCTCTTGAAGAAGCTAAATGGTTGTGATGTTGATGATGATGATGACATAGTTAAAGCCATTACTAGGTTTCTATGGTTTCATCCTGTGAATGAATTTGAGCCTTTTTTAGAGAGTTTAGGTTTGAAGCCGTCAGAGTTTAGTCATTTGATTCCTTGTGATAAGATGTTTTTGAATGAAGATGCTTTTTTGTTGGAGAATTATCATGTGTTTTGGAACTATGGAATTGGAAGAGAGAAGATGGGGAAGATCTTTAAGGAAGCTAGGGAAGTTTTCGGGTATGAAACCGGGGTTTTAGCTTCCAAGATTAAGGCTTATGAGGATTTGGGGTTTAGCAAATTGTTTCTATCGAAACTTCTCGTTTGTAGCCCAAGTATCTTGATTGGGGATATGAATGTGGGACTGGCTAAGGTCATGGAGATGCTGAAAGCTATTGGTTTTGGTGTCGATTGGGTAACAGAGAACTTGTCAGAGAAGGTGTCTTATGATTGGAGCTCTATGCATAGGTGTCTAAGTTTTCTTAGAGATCTCTGTGTCGATGAGAATGAGCTACGTGAGTTAATCAGGAAGCGGCCAAAACTAATTTTCGAGGATTCAGGTGAATGGACAATGATTCTAGCTGGGTTTGAAGCAAAACTAGGGTCATCCAGAAGTGAACTCTCTTCGTTGTTTCAGAAATTCCCACAGAGTCAGAGTATAGGTAAGTTTGTTTCGAATTTAAGGCATTGCTTCTTGTTCCTGAAAGATATTGATATGGAGGATGATGAAATCGGTAAGATTTTCCGTTTGCATTCTTCGTGGCTTGGTGTAACTCGTTTGAAGCAAACCAGTACCTTACTTATCAATTTGAAAGGTGGGAAAGGGCGGCTTTGTCAAGTCATTCAGGAAAATCCAGAAGAGATGAAGAAATGGATTATGGGGTTAAGAGTCCAGCCGTTACCAGCTACTGGATGCAAGGTAGACACAAAGTCGAAAACAATGAAGACTCAGTTCTTGCTAGACCTCGGATACAAAGAAAACTCTGAGGAAATGGAGAGAGCACTCAAAAATTTCCGTGGCAAAGGATCTGAACTCCGAGAGAGATTTAATGTCCTCGTGAGTTTTGGTTTTACCGAGAAAGATGTCAAAGATATGGTGAAAGCATGTCCTAGTATCCTCTCCCAGGCATGTGATATCTTAGAATCAAAGGTTAACTACCTTATAAACGAATTAGGTCATCCGCTTCCGACATTGGTAACTTTCCCTACATGTCTTAAGTACACTCTACAGCGGATGAAGCTTCGATTTGCAATGTTCTCTTGGCTTCAAGATCGAGGAAAGGCAGACCCGAAGCTTGCAGTTAGTACTATACTTGTGTGCTCAGACAAGTTCTTTGCCACTAGATTTGTAAACCGTCACCCCGATGGGGCTAAGCATTTGGAAGACCTGAAGAAACTGTTTCTGTGTCAGTAGAGATAAAGAATGCATCAAGATATATAGTATTGACCACAACAATGCAAATGAGCCTCAAACATACAGCAACCAATTCGATTTTGTATCTGATGAAGACAATTTTGTGGAGCAGTAGCTTCAGTTTTGTGATATCTCCTTGAGCAGATTGCTATGTATGTTTTTACAAGTTCTATAGCAATTTTTTAAAGTTGGAGAAAAAATAATCAACTTTGTTTAATCTCAACACATTTCAATGAAAGGAATTCATAATATATAACTGTGGCAGAATTAATTAGAGAATGAAATTGAACAAAAAAAATAACTGATAAATTTTTAAAAAATAGTAGAAAAAGAAAGGCCACGTGGCACAGCGGTTTGACTAGTTGACTCCAACGTCTGTAACTGTATTTGCTGACGTGGAATATTCCCGCTTTGGCATTTTTATTCAGTTCCATGTCTCTCACTAGAGCGCTTCTTTGATCTTCTCTCTTCCGAGTTTTCTCTCTGGTTGTTTTCCCGGAAAGCGAGAGAAAGTCCGAGAAAATTCCACCATTCTTTTCTCCTTTCGTTAGTCGACGGAGCTTAAACGTATCACTTCTCTGCATAAAGCACCCAGTATTTCTGGGAGTCGAGAGAGATTCTAGCGATGAAAACCAAACAGCAACTGCGATTCCTCGCTACAATTCTGTTCACGACGATTCTATTTGTGCTGGCGAAGACTGATACTGATCCGCTTGAAGGTAATTTCCAGATTCTCGTCTTATTTTTCTCAGTCTTAGCTAAGATTCTTGTTCTTCGTTCTTCTCTGTTTAAGAAAAAGCTCAATGGAATCGACTTTAGATGTATAAACACAGTCCTTCCTTGACTGGGTTTAATCTTTCGCTGTTACTTGATCAAAACCTGTTCGACAAAATTACTATATGTGATTGTTGTTTATTTGTGTTTCTCCGTATAGTTTTGGCTCTTCAAGATCTCTACAAGTCTCTGAGAAATCCAGAGCAGCTGAGAGGATGGAGATTGGAGGGTGGAGATCCATGTGGAGAAGCCTGGATCGGAGTTTCTTGTTCTGGTTCTTCTATAGTAGACCTGTAATGTCCTTGTTAACCCTTTTCCTCGGTTTTTTCTTTTGTCCGTCTCGAGCAAAATCTAATTCATGCTATCTCAGACAACTGCGAGAGTTAAAGCTTTTGGGAACCCTTGGAAACCAGCTTCAACATCTCCACAATTTGAAGATTCTGTAAGCAAACTTTCCTGGTTCTTTATTGTTAACTTCATTGCGAGACAGAGTCATTGTATTGTTGATATTTATTCAAAGAATTGGTCTTTCCTTTGTGTTAGGGATGTTAGCTTCAATAACCTTGAAGGCGAAATTCCGTTTGGCTTGCCTCCAAACGCTACTCATATGTAAGTGTTTATGCAAGTGCATTCATCTTTTAAGCATATATTCTAGTGCAATTCACGAGTCTTTTCGTTGTTTGCCGACTACAGAAACATGGCTTACAATAATCTGACCCAAAGTATCCCTTTTTCCTTACCTCTTTTGACATCTCTCCAGTCTCTGTAAGTGGCTTATTCCAAATGGATATCTATGAAACATTCATCACATTGCTTTCCTTTTGTACTGATTTGTTAAATAATGGCTTCCTTTGTCTTCTAGAAATTTGAGCCATAATTCATTATCTGGACCTCTTGGAAATGTGTTTTCTGGGTTACAGATTAAAGAAATGTGAGTCTTCTGCTCAGTTCTGTTACGCTTCCATCACCATATGTAGATGCAAGATACCCACTCATATTCAAATAATATTGACTTTGGCAGGGATCTGTCATTCAATAACCTGACGGGAGATCTACCGAGCTCTTTTGGAACTCTAATGAATCTGACTTCACTGTCAGTATCTGGAAATTTTATCTGCTATCTGCTTTGTGCACGTTGGTGTAACCTAATAACAGTTTTGATGCTGTGATAACAAAACTGCAGGTACCTCCAGAACAACAGATTAACAGGATCAGTCATCTATCTCGCGGATCTTCCTTTAGCTGACCTGTAGTTTCACTCTCTTTGTGCTTTGATTTTCCATTTCATTGAACTTCCTTTATTTATGACCTCAACATATGTCTTCAGGAACATCGAAGATAACCAGTTCAGTGGTATTATCCCAAGTCATTTTCAGTCCATTCCTCATCTGTGGTGAGTTTCATATTTCCCCCTTCTCATAAATTGGCTCAGACGCCTATGACTCATGAAAATCATTGGTGTTTTGCTGAGCAGGATTTGGGGAAACAAGTTCCATGTAGAGCCCAACTATAAACCTTGGAAGTTCCCTTTGGACGTCAGACCGTTGATACAAAATGCTACTGGCTATCCAACAACAGAGTCAAGTGCCATTATGAACTTTCCCAGCCCTCAGAAGGTCAAAAGGAAGAAGAAAGGCATAGGAGCAGGAAGTACCTTTTTACTGGTTGGTGGGTTAGCTTTGCTGGGAACTTTCTTTGCACTTTTCGCAGTCCGCATGAATCATCGACGTGCACAAAACCTTGCTGCTAGTCACATAAGCAACAATAGCACAGTATACTCTCTTCCAGTCAGTACAAGCCGAGGTGATATATGCTTGTCTCTCCCCTCATTGTTAAAATGGCCATTCTGATTCCTCGGTCCTGATTTCTTACCTTCACATGTAACAGAATATCCTGTTGCAACTGAAGATAACCCACAGATGCAAAGGGTCCAGCCCCCACCAGTTCCCCAGCTCAGACATTTACCTTCTCCACCTGTCAGAATCGATAAATCTGCAAGAAGAAAGAGCTTCTCTGCCACATGTCAATATCCATCGTTCGCTAAGCTTTTCTCAGCTGCAGAGCTTCAACTGGCAACTAACTGTTTCAGCGAGGAAAATCTACTCGGAGAGGGTCCTCTTGGTTCTGTTTACAGAGCAAAGTTGCCTGATGGTCAAGTATATCTCTCTTCTCTCTCTTCAAACATTCAAAATTGGGAATAGTATTATTTGTGTCTCATCCATTGATGTTTTGTTAAAACAGTTTGCCGTCGTCAGAAACATCCCAATGTCTTCGCTGTCTTTACATGAAGAGGAACAATTTACTGAAGTACTTCAGACAGCCTCCAAACTAAGACACCCAAACATTGTTACACTTCTCGGTTTCTGCATTGAGAATGGAGAGCATCTTCTTGTCTATGAGTATGTTGGGCATTTGTCGTTGTACAATGCTATGCATGATGAGGTATACAAGCCACTTTCTTGGGGCTTGCGTCTCCGCATTGCTATTGGAGTTGCCCGAGCTCTGGAGTAAGTATCCTAGTAGTAGCTATTCCATATCCTTGCAGTTATTTATTTTGACTCTTCCCTATCTGATGAATCAAAAACTTTCAGCTATTTGCACTCGTCGTTTTGCCCTCCTATAGCCCATAGCGATCTGAAAGCAACAAACATCTTACTTGACGAAGAACTTACACCTCGTATTGCTGACTGTGGGCTTGCTAGTTTAAGGCCACTTACAAGCAACAGTGTTAAACTTCGGGTAAGTAAGACAGTATCTGATGTATCACTTAATTCTTTTGACTGAGAGCGACCTAATGAGTTGAGATTTAGAGCAGGCTTCAGAAATAGCGATACAAAACACTGGCTACATAGCACCAGAACATGGACAACCAGGAAGCAGTGGCACAAAGAGTGACACTTATGCACTGGGAGTGCTACTCTTGGAACTATTAACAGGAAGGAAAGCATTTGACAGGTACACAAGCGTTTCACATACTAACAATAATCATTGACACCTAAGGTAAGCTAAGCTGGACCCTTTCTGATGGATGTTGCAGCTCACGTCCCCGAGGAGAACAGCTACTGGTGAAATGGGCATCAACCAGACTGCATGACAGGCGAAGCTTAGAACAGATGATTGATGGAGGCATAGCCGGCACATTCTCCTCAAGAGTCGCCTCACAATACGCAGACATAATCTCCCTATGCACTCAGGTATTGTCAAATAGAGCTTCTCCACTCAGGATCATTACATTAACTAACCATTAATTCATAAGCAGGTAGAGAAGGAGTTCAGACCAGCGGTTTCAGAAATAGTGGAAGCCCTCACTGCACTGATACAGAAACAGAACAAGGAAGCAAGCAGTAGTGTAGCAGACAAGACCGACCCTTTTAGTAAATCTTTCTGCTCATCACGCACTCGCTTCATCTCCTCTCCTACCTTCAGCTACCTCTCCTCTTGACCATTTTCTGTATCTCTTCTTCATACACATATACTTTACTGTCAAAAGAATAGTTCTTAGCATATGATGATAATACTACACATAATAGTCTTGGTAAAAGGAAATTTCTTGGTATATAATAGAAATAAAGAAGAGTTTGAAACAAGGGAAAATCCTAAAGTAAGAAACATGAGTCACTTGGTGTTCTGAAACTAAGTTTTCTAGCCAATCCCAAAGATCAAACTAAGCAGAAACCCCTGCGTTCAGCAATGTATTGATCTCTCCTCTTATATTCACAGGTCTTCCATCAAACATGGAAGAGAGACTTGTCTCACATAGCTCCTTCAGTTCTCTTGTCTTCGAAAGTGCAGCTTCCTGTATTCAACACCAAAATCGATAAACAGAATTAGTTAGATAGCCCCTTCCATTTCAAAATTTTTGATAATTCTGACACTGTTAATTCACATTTTAGCCAAAACAAGCTTTTTAAGAACATGAGTGTACCTGTTTTGGCCATATAGAAGAGAGTGAATTCTGCAGCTCCATGCGTCTTCTACTGACATCTTTCAAGCTCTCTCTTAACTTCACTTCACGGTGCTTCTTCTCCTCCAGCTCTGAAACAAGCCTATCTAGGAATCTGTACAACAAGAAAATACATATTTCAGAAGCTGTGATACTCACAGTGATCCCCTGGCAGAAATTCTTTATCCTAAAGTACCTTTTGGAGTTGAGAATCATGATCAGATCCCGAAATTTCTTGTTTGTTAGCAATGAAATGGCCATGGAGATGTCAACCACCATTGGCTCTATGGTTTCAGGAGAATACTGCTGAAGAACCATGGGGGCGACTGCTTGCACATGGTGTTGCAAGGAGAGAGTATCTTCATTTCTCAGCTCTATCAAACGCTGGTTCAAAAATGCCTTGACCTGACACAAGAGAAACCACATGAAGTGTCTCAAGAAGCATCTCCAGGATTAAACTGAGCATAAGATAGTCAGGGATAAGAAGAGTACCTCATACAAATCATCAAGGATCTTATTCCTATATTCTGTCTCCAACAGCTGGCTCCTCTCTCCTCCACTCCCTAAGACTTGGGTTGTAGTATCTGTCAACTGTGTCTGATTTGATTCTAGCAAAGCTGAATCACCTATTTCTTCTACCTGAGGTGTTTCAACACTTACATCCCAAGAAATCTCAGAAACATCAACCTCATGGCCTTGGCTTTCTTCCACTTTAAATGGAGAATTCTCAGGAATATCGCTGGCATTGACAATCTCATATGAACCTAGATCATTTCCACTATCAACTTCTTCTACCATACTAACATCCCAATCTATCTCAGCAGTATCAAGCGTAATATCCCAATCAATGCTGTCTGCAGCCGCATCTGTACCATTTGCATTCTCAGACGACTGAATATTATCAGCATCAAGAGCGTCAGAGGCCCCCAAAACGCTTAATGATGGAGGGTTTTCACGAATGTCTTTCAAGTTTTGTAAGACAATCCTCAAAGGCTTCTTCTGCAGACGGATCAGAAGCCGGTCAATTCAACCTCCAGGAAAAAAGGACCAAAAGTTTAGAGAGAAAGAGAGTAAAGTTAAGAGTGATCTTACATCTTTCTCAGTATGAACATCTTTAACATAGGCGGAGTAGTACTCCATTGCCCCTGTTACTGAGTCACTGTTGATAACTTCCAGAATCTTACTAAAGGTACTAGGAAGCGAACTCGCAGTCTCCAAAAGCTCACGCCTTACATTGTTTCCCTGATATTATAGATGTTTAAACTTTATGTGATCCTTCTAAGAAAACCTATGGATGAAATCAAGCCAAGTTTACAACTAAACCTGCAATCCAAGCTCTCGGCAAGCATCCTCATATTTTGTTGCTGAGAGTGCAACGCTCCTTTTGATATCAGCTTCTTTACGATCAAGTTCCGCCATTTGTTGCTGAACTTTTTGCACTTGCTTTTTCAGATATGGGCTTCATGTTTTGGAAAAAGAAAATTATTTGGGAAATGCCAAAGTAGAGAGACGCTAAGTAAAATCAAGTAGTAGAGCAATGCAAGAAAGCAACTTACATTTCGTAATTGACATTCTGAATTATAAACTGAGCTGCCTCCCCAAGAAAAATGTGATCTTTTTCAAACGCACGAACAATTGCTTCCCAAACTCCCTAAAAAGAGCAAAAAAAACAGATCACAAAATGTACAGCTTAGACAATGAACAAAAACAAAAGTGCGAAACAGAGAGAGTTTTCCTTACAGAAGCACCCGAAAGTCGACCAAAGATGTTACGGCTTTCCGGAGTTGTCTTCAGGAGAATCTCATATATCTTTTTTACCTCCAAGTAACCGATCACTGGAAGCAAAACAACAAGTAACCATATTAAGCCTTTAAGCCCTCCTAATCAGCATCAGATATAACCAAACAACAAACAAGCTTATGGTGTTCACAAAGATGCAAATCAAATTTCTTTGACATTTTCAAACAAAAGACTAACACTTTAAGTTTTAAGTTAGAGCTTCAAACCAAAAAGCAATTTAAGACGAATTCGTTTTTAAGGCCTGAAAATTCGCCAAACTGATAAAAGAACAAATTTGAAAAATTTAAACCTTCAGGATCTAGGGTTTGAAAGAATGGATCGATCTCTTTAGGCAAAGAAGAAAACTCTTTTAAGATTTTGACTCTGATCGCAGCAACCCTCTTCCTCCAATCCGCCGGAATTCTCTTCCGATCCACCAACCATTCTTCAAATTCAACAAAATTGAAATCAAATTAAGACAAGTAATCACCAAAGCAGATTCGAATTCAAAACAATCCAACAAAAAATTCAAAATTTAAAAATTCGGTGTACTCGTAATTGACAGTTCTGCATTACCTCCGAGACGAGAGAAGGTGATGTCGATTGGAAGATTTTGAACATCGTCTTGTGTCGGCATTTTTATTTTCCGGGAAACCTTAGATGCTTTCTGGGGAAATTATCTCCGATGAGTCTCTCTCAGTTTAACGTTTTGGAGTCTGTGGGCTTGCTCTTCGATAGACAAAAGAAGAACGCATAATTTCATCGGTCTCATCAAATATCTCGAATCCGGTTATCGAACTAACCGAAGCAATTTACTCCGGTCCGCAACAGATTAAAAATGTTTACTGGTTTTGATATGGGTTGGTTGGTCCATTACAGCGGTTAACATAAACTGATCTATCTAGTGACCACGGTTTTACAGATTAATCTACTGATTTAATTTTTTTGGTTACAAGTTAAAACTGTTTTGAGGGAATTATTTTTATGCATATATTTTTGTGTTTTTGATAGAAAAGAGAATCCAAATTAGTTTACCAGCTCAATTTTATCAAACCAAGTAGCTTAACCAAAACCAAACCTAGACCATATATAGTAGTGCCCATTCAAACAAAGTACAATGGAACAGTTAGTAGATAGAGATACAAACAAAAAAATTCAATCAATATATTGATAATCCGAGTTCATCGATCGCATTATATAGATTGAATGTAAAACCGGTTAATGGATCATTAAATATCGAAATAATTTTCTTAAAATATTATATCCGATGGAATTGAAAACTATATCTTAAAATAAAAAAATCTAATACTCGAAGAATATATAATTGTAATTTAGAAAACAAACAAAAAATATTTATACAAGTTTGTTATCAGCAATGTGACTAGAGAGAGAAGAAGAAGAGAGGGGATGGAAAAGGACATGTTCTTGACCGCTTTATCAGAATATTTATCTTGGTTTCATACAAAAAAAAAAAAAACAAAGTCGTCTTCTAATATTTTAAGGTAGAAGAAACTTTTACAAAATTATAATAATTAAGAAGCAAAAAAAAAAAAAAGGAGTTTGTCTTTTGCTTCTTCTCTCCAATCTCCATTTTTCTGCCAATATCCTTCTTAAGTTTTGAACCCTCTCCACTTCAATATAACCGACCTCTCTTCTCTCTAGTCTCTTCTCTCTCTCTCTCTGAAAGAAACACCAAAGTAGCTTTAAATGCTCCGTTACATAATCTTTATCTCTTTCCAAGAATATAGAGAAAGAAAAATAATATACAAGAATTAAAGAAGATATCTCATCTCTCTAGTGATCAAAGCACCGTCATCGATCATCATCATATATCATCAGCTTTGCCTCAGGAGAGAAGACCAACATAAGAGAGATCGAAGATCAAATCTATCTCTCTTCATCATCTTCTGCTGTTACTATCACACACACACACACACGCTCTCTCAAACATCATCCCATACATAGATAGACTTCTCCATCATCATCAAATGCAAGGTCATCACCAGAATCATCATCAACAACACTTATCATCATCCTCTGCCACGTCTTCCCATGGAAACTTCATGTAATTTTTAGTCACATACTATTTTTATGACTTTTTGAATTGATGATGATCCCTATGTTTTAATAAGAGAGCTTTATGTGTGCAGGAACAAAGATGGGTATGATATTGGAGAGATAGACCCATCACTCTTCCTGTATCTTGATGGACAAGGACATCATGATCCTCCATCAACTGCTCCTTCTCCTTTACCTCATCATCATCACACAACTCGTATGCACTCTCTCTCTCTCCTTTCTTTTTTTGGGAATTGGGGTTTGGTTTTGGTTTCAGCAGATAAGGAAGATTCCCTTTAGGTGAGAGAGAAAGAGAGTCACAGCAAAAGCATGCCAAACAGATTTCAATCTTTCTTCTGCCATCAGTACTCTCTATACTTTCAGCTTTGACCAGATCCTCTCTTTTCAGACATCAAATCTTTCAAAACCATATCTCTTACACTTCTAACTCTTTCTTTAAACCCTCTTTTCTCTCTCTCTCTCCTTTTTGTTCTAAATAGAAGAACTAGTCCACTCACATATTTATATACATGACTTGTTATAACTAGACCATTTCCCATACATGGTCACATGACTCATCTATGAATCTTATGGCAGAGAATTTGGCGATGAGACCTCCATCGACTCTCAACATCTTCCCATCTCAGCCGATGCACATAGAGCCACCTCCTTCTTCTACACACAATGTAATAATAATAATGATTACTTTTATATTTCTATATATATGCCAATTTTAGTTGGTTTCTGTTTCTAATTTAATATAATGTCAGCGCAACTACTAGCTATTTCATATAATATCAAGTCAGACCAATTATTATACGTTTCTCAATTTTCTATTGAGTAGTGATTTGATTGTTTTTTTTGGTTCTTTTATATAATGTGTTTGGTAAGACCGATAATACAAGATTAGTTCCGGCTGCTCAACCTAGTGGTTCCACTCGACCATCTTCTGACCCGTCCATGGACTTGACCAATCATTCTCAGTTTCAACCTCCTCAAGCTTCTAAATCCATCAAGGTCTCTATCTATTTATATTTTAAAATTAATTTAATTGCTTTGTCAAACTATATAAATCGAATAGTTTTAGACTTGTTGTGGTCGTTTTATAAGTTAATGGATCGTCATATCTAAATGTTATGGCAGAAGGAAGGGAACCGCAAGAGTCTTGCCTCATCGGACCATGACATACCAAAATCGTCAGACCCTAAAGTGAGTGTATTCATACAACTGCAGAAATAAGATTCCTTTTTTTTGAACTTTTTAGTTTTTGATAGTTTCTTTATTAATTTAATTTCTCAACAGACATTGAGAAGACTAGCACAAAACAGAGAAGCAGCAAGAAAAAGCAGATTACGTAAAAAGGTCAGCATTCAATATTTGTAAGTTGCAAATATTGTTTTATATCCAAAATAATTTATAACGTTATTCACTTTGGTAAATTACGACAGGCTTATGTTCAGCAACTCGAGTCATGTAGGATTAAACTGACCCAACTAGAACAAGAGATTCAACGGGCCAGATCCCAAGTAAACATTTGAACATGTCTTTTCATGTATATTATATTATATTTCACCTAAAGTCTAAAATGAACCAATTTGATTTCCTATGTTTAGGGCGTATTCTTTGGAGGGTCTCTTATAGGAGGAGATCAACAGCAAGGTGGACTACCCATTGGCCCTGGCAACATCAGCTCCGGTACGTTAATAGTTTCATATTTACATGTGATGACACAAAAACCGTAAATTTTAAAAACCAAGAGAGAATGAGATATTGAGTAAATGCAATGTGAAGCAGAAGCAGCGGTGTTCGATATGGAATATGCGAGGTGGCTGGAGGAGCAGCAGAGGCTATTAAACGAACTAAGGGTGGCGACACAAGAGCACTTGGCCGAGAACGAGCTTAGGATGTTTGTGGACACTTGTTTAGCTCATTATGACCATTTGATTAACCTCAAAGCCATGGTCGCTAAGACCGATGTCTTCCACCTCATTTCTGGAGCATGGAAAACTCCAGCCGAACGTTGCTTCTTGTGGATGGGTGGTTTCCGTCCATCGGAGATCATTAAGGTACATCTCATTTTTTCTTATAACCATATAAATATATGTAGGTTTTTTGATAGATTTTTACTTATTCTACTCGAGCCACACCCACACAATAATTAGTCATGATGATATTGTAAACTAATCAAATATGGATCAATATAATAGATAATCCTAAAATTTTGGAATTTTACTTGAAGACTAATCATTTTAAATTTTATCTTACAACCTAAAATATTCCAGGATACAATCATTAATATATCAATTTTGTGGATTATATATTACTTGCAATTTTGTGACATTTTATTATTTATATCGTACATATATGTGTGCACAAAATATAGTACTTCCAACTTTATTCAATATATTAATAAAATCTAGATTTTTTTTTTAAAGTTAGTCTTTAATACTCGTAAAAGGGGTACGGTATAGTAATAATAGATAAGACAGACAAGACATATAGACTATAGTGATATTGTTGGACGAGGTATATATATATATACATAGCATTGCATGGGGTGGACTCTATATGTATAAAACCAACCTATATACGTGTATCTCTTTATATTACGACAATATTAAAGGTACACGTAAAATTAATTTAAAAATAAATAAAGAATGCATGCAATTGTGTGTGATGGTGAAGTATCTCTAGAAATGGTTAGGTTTTGGCATAATGCAAAAGAAAGTGTCTGTCTGTTTTTTCGTTTTATGGTCCATAGGAGAGATATAGACAGAAACCACCATGAAATTCAACAGAGATGACCATAATAAACAAAACAAAATAATTATATAAAACCTTTTTAGCATGCTCGTCATTATTCGTTGGATGATTATCATATTTTTTTCTAAAATAGTTACGTAAAGCCTTTTTAATTAAACCTACCTTTTATTCTAAATAATATGAGTAAACTACGATAGGCCGATTAATAATATAAATTAATATATGGATGGTGTGTATATCTGACAAGACCTTTTGGCAATGTCTCAATCTTATGTCCTTTTTAGTGAAAACAAAAAGGAAAGAAGAGATTTTGGGTGTAGCTAGTAACTCGTGCATAGTACACTACACACTTTAATGCATTCAACGTTCTGTATGCATCCATTAAGACCCTTGTTAATCCTCGATATCTCAACTGGTATGTATTAATTTGAAACGCATGCATGCAGGTGATTGTGAACCAGATAGAACCACTGACGGAGCAACAAATAGTTGGGATATGTGGACTGCAACAATCCACACAAGAGGCCGAGGAGGCTCTCTCGCAAGGCCTCGAGGCATTGAATCAATCACTTTCCGATAGCATTGTCTCTGACTCTCTCCCGCCTGCCTCTGCACCACTTCCTCCTCATCTATCCAATTTCATGTCACACATGTCCTTAGCTCTCAACAAGCTCTCTGCTCTCGAGGGCTTCGTTCTCCAGGTACCCTCTAATTCTTTATTTTTATTTAAAGTATATATGCAACTATATATCAATATACCAATCTATTATTTTTATATAAAAATATCTATAGAGATGATATACAAGTGGACCCCTAGAGGATATATGTGGTCCTAATCAGACTAGGAGTACATATTTTGATTCTTTGAACTACTCCTTATTAAACACAACTATCATATACTTATATATTGATATATTTGGTTGTTATAACACGCTATCTAAATTCATATAGATGTTTGTATGTGTGTGTATGTTTTGTGTACAACTCATATATAGGTATAATGTCGGCCATAATTTGTTAGAGGACATTCGTTTAAAATTATTATAAAAAGTGGTTGATTTTAAAGAGTTTGTCAAAACTAATTTGCAAACTTGATAATTATGCATTAACATATACTGTATGTGTATATGAAATGAAAAGTATTTAGCCTCTTGATTCCGACATTATGCAAGTAGGTATCTAACAAACACTTCTCTTGTCTTATATCAACTTGGTCGGGTTGCTTTTCTTAGAAGACTAAGTTTATTAATTTAATATTTATTTTCTTAATCATTTACTAGTTTAGGACAGGCAAGTTTATGGAAAAAATAATATATATGCTTGTGTATTAATGTATAAGCCTATACTCTATATGCAAATGGGCATTTAGGCTAATTAATTTTATACAAGATTCATGCATATACAAATTGGCATCTTTCATTTTTAATGATTTCTCAATATAATTAGTTCTAAATTGTTCCTGTTTAGCCATTAAAAATCAAGTTTAGCTAGCTTCACGCATAGTCGCTTACAACCTTCCAAATTTAAAAGAGGTGGTAAATGTGGGGTTGGTTACTAAAAAGGGGTAATAGATTCAAACTTCTCTAAACGCACGTGACAATTGGCACCATGAAAGTATGTATTAAGTATATATTTTCAAATATATGTAGTCCAAAAGTATAAAATACATATAATTAGGTATCTATAATATATCACATCAAATAAAAACATGGAATGCTTGGAGCCCATATCGTTGCATGATGTCATGGTCTCATGGACGTAACTGCCCAAGTATCCCATCCTCCGGAAACACTTCCTTGAGAATAATTCCTTTACTTACATTTGATTCCTCATTATTTGTGTCTACTTTTATATCATTAATAATAGGTTGATTATGTATGATTATAAGTAGTGATTCTAATTTCTTTTTAACCCTTTATTGAAAAAAAAAATAGTGATCAAACGTATCATGAAGCATGGCGTGGGACCGAGGGTATGGAATTCACGGTTTCACCTTTTTGACAATTTGGTGTCGTGTTCTTATTAGTGTTAGTAACAAGCTTTGATTATTGCTCGATCAACATGTTGAATAATCGGCTTTAGTCGCCAATCAACCACATAATTTCGGGTCATGCAGCTGAATCATTTGATTCATATTTCAATTTCTACAAAATACAATGTTTATAGCCTATTAGTTGTCAAAATAATGCTTAGTCTTTTATCTTTTCTAGCTAGTTAGTCTATTATACTTCGATTTATGAGACTATTATTGATGGTCCATGTCAGTTAATTGGTCTTAGTCAATAACATGAGCACTACTTTGTTGTATTTTGTTTGTTTTTACTAGATCTCCGTTTTCTCTTTCTTATTTAGTTTTGAACTAATACATTAGAAACTTACAGGCGGATAATTTGAGGCACCAAACGATCCATAGGCTGAACCAATTGTTGACGACCCGTCAAGAAGCACGGTGTCTTCTAGCCGTTGCGGAGTACTTTCACCGTCTTCAAGCTCTAAGTTCTCTCTGGCTAGCCCGTCCTCGGCAAGACGGATGATACTAAAACAAGTGATGAAGGAAACAAAACAAAAAAGAAACAAGAGAATAGGTTGATTAGTTAGCCAGCTTGACCTCTTTATCATATATTGTCTCTCTACTCAAATCCAGTGCAATTAGGGAAAATTGTTTGGCTTCTTTTTGTTATATGATTCTTACTATATGTTTTTAATTAAGATGCAGATTATATAGACAAGTATTACATACCTCTAATCAATTCGTCCTTCTGCAAGTGAAAAGTTAGACTTGATCTTCAATTCCAAAAGTTAGAACATATACATATACAAATTTTTTTTTTGGGTCTAAATACTAGTTGTTTCTAAGAAAATGAAAGAGTATTGAAAGGAAACAAAAAGTTAAGGCTGGCAACAATTGCAATTGCATGCAAGACTTGTTTACTTGTTAGGTCAAATTGTAACATTGACCAGTGAGGAAGGTGACAAATGGTGAGTTTTGTAGGATACCGTCAGGGACTTGGGATCAGTACCGTTTTGCTTTGGGTTCAACGCCCTCTTTCTTCTTTTACTTTTCATGTCTTTGCTGTCACCAGTTAATTTTTTTCAACTCTTCTATCTTTTTATTTTTTGACTGATAAAAGTGAACATTAAAACACATGCATGGTCAAACCAAAAAGAAAATTTATTTTACATCACAACAAACGAGATTGATTTAGTTTCCAATTTAAATATTTGGAAAAAAAATAGTTTATAAAAGTTTTAATTCTTGGACGACAAATTGTTTTTGGCCGTAAAAGTTTTCTATTGATTTTTTTTTTTGAGAAAAGGAAAAAAGATTACAAACAGACCATTATAACTAAGCCCACTAGTTTAGGGTTTCAGACTAAACCCAACAACACAGTACATGATAAGAATAGAACAAACAGAGCAAATAATGATAAAACAGAGCAGACAAACACACACGAACAAAAGAAACACAAGTTACGAGCAGAGAAGACCTGAAGCCACAAAGAAGTTTTACAATTCAAAGCATACAATCTGCTTTTGAAGGTAATTTCCTGAAGAAGTTACTTGGAGCAGAAGGCATCTTGCTTCTGAACTTAGGATGCCTCATCCAGAACATCCCAGCCGCAAGAGCTATGATCTTGAAAGGTGTCACGTACAAGATCATCGCAGCAACAAGACAAAAAATCACAAACAAGCAAGTCGCACGCGGATCTCTCCAACTCAACAGAGCTTGAAACCTCTCTCCTTGCGTTGCAATGTCTCCAACAACCATCTGGATCCGACCCGCTACGCTTCTTAACCTATCATACCTCATCTTCACAACATCTTGTCCCTTTGAAGTTGGGAAAGTATCGAATTCCTCATCTAGCTCATCGGGGCTAGCCGCTTCAGCCCATGAGAGCTTTATGTCCATATGAGCAGGATGGCGCGTCCTGAACCTGAAATTCCAGAGACCTATCAAGAACATGTAGAGGAATGTGGTTGGGAGTATCAGCTCCGGATAACAGATCAGTATAAAGAAGAGAACGTGGAACAATATCGACGTCAATGGATTCTTCCAGTAGCAGACGTCACCAAGCCATTTGCTCATAGCAATCAAGCCTGAAAACACAGAGACTATCCTGAAGAAGTTAGCTTTGCTCCTCCTCATGCTCCACATGTGTGAATCAACATCGAGCATGTACTCTACGATCTCTTTCCTTAAAGGAGGCTCTGCTCGGGCTAACCGCGCTGAAACAATGCTCATCGCTTGGTATCTAAGACTGTCTAATTGGTTCACAGTGAATGGATGGAGATAATGCATCTTTGGAAGCAGAGGATGGCCATAAAGATAGATCATGTGAGCCAGTGATAGACAAGTGAATCTCACAGCTAATTGGACTTCTCCCATTTTCTTTAACCCTTTTGTTTGCAGAACAAGAAGAGGGTAGGAGTGAGTGTAGATTCTATCAGCCTCTAGAGTCGATAATCGGATCCTTACCTTCCCGATTCTCGAATCCACTTTGGCTCCACTGTTCGATTTCTCACTCCCACCAAGGTGACAGTTATCGAAAACTCCCAGTGTGATAACTGTACAAGGATCATGCACTTCCCATGTGTATTGCTCATTCCATTTAGGGTTATAGCTCTCAATGATGGTTCTTGTTCTCACCCATTTTTGTCCATACTTGGCAACACAATATGGATCTGTTGTCGCTTTACCGTCTTTTGTTTTCATCGGCGAAAGCCCTTGGGCACTCAAGATTCCTACTTCAAGGATGCCAATAGGTTGTTTCCATAGTTGCCTTGCCGTAGGTTTCACGTCACTGATGTACAGAGTTGATTCGTCCATTACATGGTAACCGCCTTCAAGGCAAACTCGCAGGTGGATTCGGCTGGAGAACTTGAGCTCGTGCCTCTTGTCTCCTTCCAGTGCCCCAAACCCAAACTTTTCGAGGTTGTACCATTTGGAATGAACAGCCCTGTGATCTAATCTTTTCTCAAAGACGCTCAAAGGTGAGATCAGCCTCCCCATAACTTCATCTTTAGCTGGTGTCACCTTGTTTTCTACCGTCAAAAAGAACTGTTCTTCAAATGGCTCTGCAGCTACAAAAACAAGATCTTCGTTCCACATCGGATTCGTTGTCTTGTTAGGACATAACTTTGTTTTCAGAATCTGATTCCCAACCTGAACCTTAACGAAAGCTTGAGGTGGTTGGCTCCTGTCGCTAGGCTCAACATCTTGCGCCTCGATGACATTAACCCGCAAATACCACAGTTTGGGAGACACATAGACTTTAGACCTCACACTTTGGACACCTTCTCCTTGAACAGAGGAAGCATCCGAATGCCAAGCATCAGGAAATGCTTCATCAGCTTGCGTCCCAAGCCAAACCGCTACCATAACCTCTCCTCTCTTCTTACTCTCACCTCGCCGATCTTCTAATCTGTACCACTGAGGTGCAAGTGGACTATCAGGAGGAACTCTTGTAGGAACCTCACGCATATCAAACACAACCTTCCCGATGTATTCATCTCTTGTAACCATCTCCTTATCGCGCACAAATACTTCGACTGTAGAGGATTGGACCTTGTCTTTTGAAAAGGCGAAAACTTGATTCCACTCCGGGTTGGTTCTTTTCTCGAAATGTTTAGTCTTTCCTTTGTAGTTTCCTATTTTCACTTCCACGTAAGGATCACAATTGCTTGTGACCGGGTTAGGAGGAAGATCCTTGGCTTTGACGACCCGAACATAGAGATAAAACATTTGCTCAACAAGGTCGTATGTGCTTGCAGCTCGTTCACTGCCAATCCATCCGGTTCCTCCACGCTGTCCTCCATGTGGCCATCTCTCTCCAAGCTCTGGTTTCATGTCTTTAAGCTTATAGTCTTCTTGGCTCTTAGCTCCATCTTTGGCTGCCATGGTTTTAGATTACTTGAACCAAAAGATTATCTGTTTCTTTCAAAAAACGCTTTTATTCAGCACCTGACATACAAAAAACAGAATATGAGAATTGCAGGAAAAAATGATTTAGACAAAACCAGTTTCTTGGATGTAAAGAAACTAACATATCTCCTTAGAACTGATTTAAAATCTTAATAAGTAGTATTAAGAAATTTACTTTCAATCTTAAACAAGATAATTGATAAGATTCTTACCTGATTTAAACGATATACTAAAGTGGTTGACGCAAATCTAACCTTATGTCTCTTTGTTCTGTTTCATGAACTCATGCAAGTGTTTGCAGGAAAACACAGAATGGCTTGGATCATCTTTTGCAAAGGTAAGTGAAGGATTAATACCAAAACGAGAAATACAGAGTAAGTGAAGGAGATAAAGAAGATAGCAAACAAAATCAATGAAAGAGATATCTATATTATACGAACTTACAAAAAAACATGCATATATGTAAAGAAGGATGCGTTTAATTAGTAAGTAGTACCTTGAGAAAGATGTTGAATAAGTTGCCATAAAATTCTCTGTTTTGATGTACCAAGAAGCTAAGCGTATTGCCTAGTCAAATTTTGGTTTGATACACAGAGAGAGAACGAAAGAGAAACAATTCTATTACACAGAACAAGAGGAATCAAATGAAAAAAGCAAGAACCAAAAAAAAATTACTCTTATTCGCTCTGTTTTTCTCCTTCTTTTAGAGGGAAGCTGATTCTTTTTTTTTTTGTTATCTTCGTTTTATTAAATAGGGAAGCAGATTCTTCGTTGGTCTTAATTCTTTATGTACATTAAGAAATTTTTGCAGCAGTGACAAAGGTAGAAATAGTAGATTCTCTCACACTTTAAAAAATTACACCAAATATTAGCCAAAGTGCCTGACTAATTTCAAGGATGAATAAACCACGGATAAAACACTCAAACCCAACATCAAGTGACACTTTCTCATGCTTTAATCAAAACTTTCACAAAAATAATCTTGCATAAAAATATAAAATTATACAAGTAAACATAGATTTACAAGAACTTACAGATATCCTAATGGTAATATATTCAGTGCCAAAGTGATAATTAGAAATATGTAATAAAAACATTTACAACACCAACTTTCCCCTGTGAGCATATATCTCTAGTGTTTCTTTCTTTCTGTCTGATTGGAATAAGCATCTAAAAAATAGCTTTTTCGAGTCTGAAACTTTTTCATAAAAAGCAAGAGGGCAGGCTAAGGATTGATTATTATTATTTGATTGAGTAACATCATTACCTTATTATCCCACCATTTTTAATTCTAATTCCCGCACTAGAGCTTATTAAACTATTTGGTAAAAAGAATAAGTGAACTAAGACTAATCCGACCCTAAACCAGAGATGAAACCAACTTCAGTTAGATCGACATTTCCCTTTGTAGTTGTACCAAATCAGAATCGGTTCTTCACTCCATTTGCATTTGTTGAAAACCAGGTTTCAACAATAGCAAATGAGCTACTCGTACGAGGATCTTGTCAATTTTCCTGAAAATCATGTAAATAGACAAATTTTTAGATGAGTTCTACACAACTTCCAAGAAGCCTTTTTAGGGATAAAGTTTTGTTTTTACCAACGAAGATGAATTTAAGTTGCCTAAAATTCAAAACCTCCCAAAAGAAAGAAAGAAAAAAAGTTATGGAATAAGTTCTTATGTTTTTTTTTGTCAAAGGGAATAAGTTCTTATATTGGTGATTTGGTTCTTTATCAAAAAAGTTATAAGTTGGTTCTAACATTTTTACTTACTATGTAAACTATGAATAAACTGGAATGCTTTTTCTTCTTTTTTTTATGAACCAACTTATCAAGTTGGAAAGGATACAACTTTAGTGGTCTGCTTTTGCTGCCTCAATGATGCTTAGTAATGATGACTATATTATTATGGGTAATTTATATGTTCACTTATGCATCAACTTGATAGACTTGTCACATAATATCCATTTTTCTCGGTTTAGTTTGGTTCACAAATACGATTTATTAATGTACAACGAAACCAAAGCCGAATGGTACGATCAAGTTTAGAAGGCAGCTGTCATTTAGACTTGGCCTGAACATTAGACATTTTACATTGTGGTTCAGATACAGAAGACGAGTGTAGATCATCATTTGTAAACTAGTATTAATATTTTTTTTTAATGTGTAATGATATGTTTATTTTAAATAAAACTTTATTTTTTGAGAATGGGATGGTGTAGTTCATAATGCCCATTATGAACGAATTGGGCCTCATTTACGTTCATTGAGAGTAATGAACGAATTGGGCCTCATTTACGTTCATTGAGAGTAATTAAGCCCACACTTAGGCTTAATATCGTGTACTATATAGTGAGTGGTATAGAGGCTTATCACTTCTCCCAATAGAGCCGTTTGTGATAAATCTATTTACTCGCTTCACACTTCCACCAGTTATAGCCTAACTATATACAACGCGTAATTGCATTACCCCAAACAATTTCAACGCCGACATCTTGACCATATGATATGTATTGACTATTATTACGTTCCATGTGTAATCAGAGATCAAATCGAATCCGTCTCTCTAAGTCTATATCACTCACTATATAGTACATATATATGTATCATTACATTTTCCATCAAAATTCAAACACACCAACAATACCATGGATAAGACAACGACAGTACTTTCCTCTCTCTTGTTCTTGTTCACATTCCTCACGATCTCTTTGTCTAAAGATCTTTGTAACCAAAATGACAAAAACACCCTCCTCAAGATCAAGAAATCCCTAAACAACCCTTACCACCTCGCTTCGTGGCACCCCGAGACCGACTGTTGCTCATGGTACTGCCTCGAGTGCGGCGATGCCACCGTTAACCACCGCGTCATCGCCCTAACTATATTCTCCGGCCATATTTCTGGTCAGATCCCTCCTGAAGTCGGTGACTTGCCGTATCTTGAGACCCTTGTCTTCCGCAAACTCTCTAACCTCACCGGTCAAATACAACCCACCATCGCTAAACTCAAGAACCTCAAGTACCTCAGGCTCAGTTGGACAAATCTGACAGGTCCAATTCCTGATTTTATAGGTCAGCTCAAGAATCTCGAGTTCTTAGAACTTTCCTTCAATGATCTCTCTGGTTCCATACCAAGTTCACTCTCTACGTTACCTAATATCATGGCCCTTGAACTTAGCAGGAACAAACTTACAGGTAAAGAACTCTCTTTTCCTAATTTTCAATCATCGAGTTTCTTGTTTAAACAACGATCTCTTTGTTGTAGGTTCAATACCAGAGTCATTTGGGTCGTTTCCAGGAACAGTCCCTGACCTTCGCCTATCACACAACCAGCTCTCCGGTCCAATACCCAAATCACTAGGCAACCTTGACTTTAACCGGATCGATTTCTCCCGGAACAAGCTCGAAGGTGATGCTTCCATGTTGTTTGGTGCCAACAAATCGACATGGTCTATAGATTTATCAAGAAACATGTTCAACTTCGATATCTCAAAGGTTGAGATCCCTAAGGCACTTGGTATCTTGGACTTAAACCACAATGGGATCACAGGGAATATCCCGGTTCAGTGGACTGAACCTCCTCTTCAGTTCTTCAATGTTAGCTACAACAAATTGTGTGGACACATCCCAACTGGCGGGAAACTTCAGACATTTGATTCTTATTCCTATTTCCATAACAAGTGTTTGTGTGGTGCTCCTCTTGAAATTTGCAAGTGAACCAAGCTTGTCTCTAGGATTCCGAAAAAATCTATTTGAGTCAATATATACAAATATGTAATATTATTCGGATTGATTAATAAAACATGAACCAAACCTCTCATTTGATGAATTCATAGCACATTTTCAAAGTGTTTGATTTGATGGATTAGTATAGTCATTAATGGAAAAACAGGGGAAATAAGGATATAAACGGAATCTTTGAGTAACGGGTTTGGTATGATTTCTCAATCCGGTTTGGGTTTATACCCGAATTTGAAAAGTGAAACCAGATTGGTTTAAATAAATAAAACAAAAGAAAGAGGAGAGAGAAAATCCCTAATTTCCATATTCTTCCAAATTCCCAAATTTCTCTAATCGTCACAGAATTGCATTCTCGCAATCGCTTTGTAGTCACAGTCTCATCATCGCACTGTTGCTGTGGATTTCAAGCCGAAGTGCACTCTCGATGGAATCAAAGATGACTACGAGCACGTCTACTTCAAAAGATCCATTCTTTTGCTTGAAATGGCCATGGGATTCAAACAAACAACCTAAATCCTCTTCAAGCGTCTGCGACTTTCAAGGACCGTGGCTCTTCAGATCTATGCAAACTATTGGTTCAATTGCTCTCAGCTCCTTGACTTCATTTGGTCAAAACCCCAATTTTAGACCAAAGAAGAAGCCTTTAAGTAGTTGTGAGCAAGGAGAAGCAGAGCAAAGAGCTTTTGCAGCTGCTTTAGCTAGCCAGAAAGTAGCCACAGTACTTGAATTTTACTCACCTAAATGCAGACTCTGCAATTCTTTGCTCAACTTCGTTTTAGAGGTAGAGAAGAGGAATTCGAACTGGCTTAACATTACAATGGCAGACGCAGAGAATGAGAAATGGTTTCCTGAGGTAAAGCTAAATAAAGCTCTTTCTCTCTTCTCGCTGTATTCACACAAATTATAGAACTTTTTGTTGATTAGTAAATGGTAAAGACTGAAGATTTCATATTTCTGTTTGTCTAAAATGCAGCTTCTCCACTATGACATAAAGTATGTTCCTTGCTTTGTTTTGTTGGACAAAAATGGACAAGCTTTAGCCAAGACAGGAGTTCCAAGTAGTCGTGCTCATGTCATTGCCGGTATCTCTCATCTTCTCAAGATGAAGCGACCACCGTCTGAGTAGTGAAACTATGCTTGATTCCACATCTGATGCAAACAAGTAATCTCTAAAAGGTTGTGGATGGTTTGTCTTTGGTGCATAAAAAATAATAATTGGAATCAAAACCGCTGTTCTAGTATGTGCATAAGTGATTTCAATTGGTACTAAATTACTAATGCTATGGAAGATTACGGTGATACTAGATGTTTTTGTTATTCTGATAGATCTCTTTTTACTCTTTTCTTACTCTGGTATTGCTTCACTCGTAAATTTGAATTGTTTTATAATTCTCAATATTTACAATAAATAAATATATATAACACATACATTCAATAAAATATTAAAACATATCTACTATACTAATATTTTCTTTATTTAAATTCTTTTAAGATGAAGATTTCCATTGTCAAAAACAAAGAAAAAACCCAACCTTCGATATCTTTTCTTCCAAGGTAGGTCTCTACGTTTCCTGTCATCTTAGTGATGTAGATAAACTACAGTTTCTCAATTGATAACAAATCAAACGATAAAATTGAATCCATGTTCATAAAACACCGATCCAAATCTCATGTGCTAAAGCTTAGAATGAAGAAACAGCTTAAGCAACAATGAGTTCAAGAATCCCAGAGAATTCAGAGAACAAACCGAGAATCGGAGAAGAAGAAGATTACAAATTGATATTTTTCTGGTTAATTTCTGCAACTGTTCTCAAGCTCTCTTTATATCGTGCTTTTGCTCTCATCTTCCTTCAGCCAATTAACTTCTGCCAACGCATCATTCACGCCTCCACCAATCATCTTCCTTCATTCCTCCACGTCATCCATTCTTCCATTTTCCTGTAACAAATCTCCCTTTCTCAGAGAACCTTGACCACAAGGTTCATGGAAACTTCATTGCCAGTTCATAGAGTAACTCCCATGCTGATTTGAATCGCCAAGCTTGAAACACAACTGTTGCTACCAAACAACTGCATATATGCGTGCATCGTCATCGTCAAGCTCTGAAATGTTCTTCTATAGAAGGATTTTGCTGCAACCGATCATACATAAACTCCCAAGTAGCTTCATATTCATCCATGTTTGACCACTTAATCAGAACCACAACTTCAGCTTAAAAGAGAAATTCCTGAAAATTGAACCTCCAGGATCCCATACTCGGTTGGTTCGAAGTGAGAGACGAGACTCTTTCTTATCCATACCAACTTCAACCAAGAAATGAGTGGCAATTGCAACATGAGTAACAGGCAGCACCATGTATTGAAGAAGTCGACTTTGTATAACCCACATAGAAAATCTCAAAGTAGGCTGGTTGTTTTCAGTGTCACGATCAGCACTAACAGACCCTCGTTTCCTTGTGTATTGATCAAAAGTTTCAAAGACTTTTGTATCAGTCTTACTAGCTCCCTGTTGTTTCTTGTGATCTTCAGCCATCACATCCTCTATTTGTGGCCTGGCTTTCTGCAAATTCATGTTCACAAATCTGAATTTCCCGTACTTGAATCTGGTAAGTAGCCATACTGGAAGTGTTTCACGATACACTTGATCATCTTCCTTGAAACAGTCACCTTTGAGCATGAACCAAGTTTTGGAGTACTTATTCTTCTTCATCAATGCAACTTTAGCACTTGAACAAGGGTATGTGTACTTTACAACCCCTTTAACATCAAAACCAGATTTGAAATCTCTTGGTGCTACTCTATGTTTGAACTTGAATCTCCTAGACTTGTAAAACGTTTTCTTTCGTCCCGTTGTCAACACTGTTCTTCCCAGTGGAATTCTAGCAGAACGTTGACCTGCAGCACTCTTGTTTTGAAAATCTCCATCAACTACTGGACTTGCAAAGTTCTGAACATGAACAGTATCACTTCCACAACCAACTTGTAAATCGTCAAGAACAAATCCAATTGGTGACAACAATTGATTCCTTGTTGCATCGTCTTTATCAAAGTCCTCAAAGGTTGAATTAACATTTTGAGGCTGTGAGACACATTCTAAGCAGCCTTTTACTTCCCCTTTGTTTCCTGTACCCAACTCGCTTTTCTCTTGATTCACCAATTCTGTCTCCAAATTTGCATAAGGAACACACCAACGATCACTTCCTAAGACAAGATCCCTACCACAATTCAACTCTTCTTGCTGCAAGAAGTTCTCCATTCCAACAAAAATCTCTTGCTGAATTGAGTGTTTTTTCTCAAAGCATTCTCTATCCTTATGTAAGGCATTAGGCACGTGAATGTTACTCGAAGGTCCTGCATCTTCACCTGAAACATTTAAAGGCTGAACTCCTTTTTGATAATCATCACTCTCTGTGCTGATAATCACACTCGTCGGATGAGCAGTCTCATATAATCGGCCAAGCATGAAGCAGTGTTGAATTGTCTGAGGTTGAAACATCCTTACATTTAATTGAGTATCAGGTCTCAGCCCTGCCAAGTAAACACTAACCAAGTACGCTTCAGATAGATTCACCTGAGATTTAATCAGCTCAAATTTTTTATGAAAATCCTCAATTCCATCTGTTTCCTGTAATTGTTTCAACTCAACAATTGGATCAACCTCTAGCTCCTTAAATCTGCCTTGCAACAACATTTTATAAGTCACCCAATCGTGCCTAACATGCTTCCACAGAACTGATTGCAAAATCCATTGATGCCAAGTAGCAGCAAGATCATCAAATAGGCCAGATGCTAAACCAATTTTCAATTCATCCGGTGTTCGATCAACCAAGAAAAATTGTTCAATCTTAAAGAGCCATTCCTTTACTCTATCGCCACCAAATCGAGGACAATCTAACTTCGCCAACCTTGTAACTCCCACATAAGAATTAGAGATACCTGAACGATGTCCATGTGCTGGATCTGATGGAGAATTGGCAGGTGCTGGTGATACACGAGACGAATTGCGAAGATCTTGTACATGAGACGAATATCCCTTGTTCGTCAACAGATTCATAGCCTCGAGCATATCCGAAATATTTCTATCAATCTTCTGATTTCGTTCCTTCACCAAATCTTCTAACGCTTGAATCCTCGATCCAATCGTTTCTTCCGTAACCACCGCTTGCGATCGAGTCTCCGCCATGGTTTCACGAACCACCGTTTCTGTGAATAACATCTGAGATCGTGTCTCTGCCATTGATACGAATCCGAGGATGACACAGCTCTGATACCTTTGATGTAGATAAACTACAGTTTCTCAATTGATAACAAATCAAACGATAAAATTGAATCCATGTTCATAAAACACCGATCCAAATCTCATGTGCTAAAGCTTAGAATGAAGAAACAGCTTAAGCAACAATGAGTTCAAGAATCCCAGAGAATTCAGAGAACAAACCGAGAATCGGAGAAGAAGAAGATTACAAATTGATATTTTTCTGGTTAATTTCTGCAACTGTTCTCAAGCTCTCTTTATATCGTGCTTTTGCTCTCATCTTCCTTCAGCCAATTAACTTCTGCCAACGCATCATTCACGCCTCCACCAATCATCTTCCTTCATTCCTCCACGTCATCCATTCTTCCATTTTCCTGTAACACTTAGTTTCGGTCTTGTTCGTGTTTCCTCAAAGATATTTTTTTCTTTTTTTCTTACTAGATCTAAATCTTATTGGTTTTGTGTCGGATCCAGACTGTTTATGTTAGATTGATTGTCTCTGTGTGTCTGTGGGGTTTCAGAAGGTGATTTAATATCTGTTTCTGTTTCTTCAAAGGTCTCTCCTTTAGCTCTCAACAAAACCAGAAAAGCACTAATCGGCGCCTCAGTGGCTTCATTCAGTAAAAAATCAAGAGATGCTTCAGCCTCTGATTCAGAAAGATCTATCCGATCAATCAAAGATTCAATCCACTGTAGAAAAACAAGAGACATGGATAGAGAAATGTCAGCCTCATCTAATCACATACCAGTAAGAAAAGCAAAAGACTTGGAGAACATAGAGAGCCAGAACATTGTTTGGTCAAGAAAGAAGCAAGTTGGCACCAAAAAAACTCAGCAAGAAGCAAGTAATTCGATCCAGTCACGAGAAACTGAACCCTTAAACCTGGAAAAATGAAGAACTTGGCATGAATCAAAGGACAAATCACCTGATAGAAGAAAGGCTGGCACTTTCAAAAGCAGTTGGTAGAACTTCAGATACTCTGCGAGGTTCGATACCAGAATCAGTGACTCCACCACCTAAAACAGGATGCTGAGGGCAGACAAAAGAGCTGCAGAATATAACAGGAGTAAGAACAAACCTTTAAATGAAAAAACCATCAGCAAGTTGACCAGAGAGCATGATAATTGCAGCATCCCCTTGAGACAAAAAGCTTGATTAATGGTGAACAACTTTTTACAAAAAAAAAAAACTCAGAAGATTGTACATTGGGGAGAGACCAATTTTGTATCCTACTACCATTCGAAATTGCATGGAAGAAGAGGCATCAAAGGATTTCAAAAGAACCCAAAACCTCAGAATAAGAGTCTCAATTGTATCTAAAAACACCAACTTTCATGAGATTGAAGAAATCTTAATTACATTCTCAGGTGGCTAATAATAATAAACAAGCTCAAAATTTTGACTAAAAGTTTTTTCTAATAATCTGAATACCTTTTGTTTGAGAATTCCGACGGAAGTAGTAATTTTCATAATTCATTAGCTTCTTTCTTCAGAACAAAAAGTGAAGTTATATAAATTATCATAGGAAGGGAGGAGGAGCTACATCTCTACTATTTTTAGTTTTTTAGCCAATCAGATGGCTCCATGTCACACCCCTCTCTCACCCATCGCGAGATTTAATGCCCACTCTCACCACTCGCGAGTAGAGCGCGTGTCTCCATTTTCTGTGGGTGTTAACCCACCAAATCGCCTGTTTTGAAGAACACTCGCTCCTTTCTAAAAAAGCCTCGCGTGCGTGACTTTTTGTTTTTTCTTTTATTAAAACCTTATTAATTCCAACGCAAACCGAACGAAATCAATTCTAATTTCAAAACCAATGAAAACCGAACCGAAATCAATTCTAATTTCAAAACCAATGTAAACTGAAATAACAACCCGAACATATGTCTCTCTAGTGGAATCAGCAAATTCTGGACAATTTCCATGATTTCTCAACATCCCAACGAGAAAGATTAGAGAGCAAAAAGAGGAGACATCAAACGTACCTCAAAGAAGAAGAAGAGCGTTTCTGGAGGCAGGATTAGGTTCTACTTACCTTTCAAGTAATCTGATAAAGAAAAACCACCAATACTTCAATTCAAATCGTAACCGGAACCAAATCGGACTAACGTTCATAAAACGCGAGCCGATATCTCAAATGACAAAGATCTAACGGAGAGATCTCGATCTAGATGAGTAAAACTCCATAGTTTCAACACAAACTAAGAAGAAGAAGAAGAAGAAGAAGAAGAAGCTAACAAACTTTTACAATTTCTCTGGTTATCCTTTGCAAATGATCGATGATTCTCTATGTAGCTCCAATTCATCTCCACGTCAGCTGCCAACGCATCATTCACGCCTCCACCAATCATCTTCCTCTATTCTTCCACATCAGCCACTCTTTGTTGCATTAGCTTCTATTTTCCTGTAACAAATCCTTCCCCTTCGAGAAACCTTGACCTCAAGGTTTTAAAGAGTAGGAATCTTGAAATGGCATGACAACTAATTATAATATTGCCATAGGACAGAACAATATATCCACCATGGAATTGCATCTTCAAATATAAAAACCCCACACTCATAAGAGTGTTTAGTCGTGAAGTACCAACTGTTGTGCATAGCTAGTGATGAGGACAAGACTGTCCACATATGACTCGATGGCAAGAGTTTAAAACGCCATTTGTGCTTTGTTTGGAACCTCCCATCACTAGGCAGCCTAATCTTTATCCATATTTGACCACAGAACCAGAACCACAACTTCAGCTTAAAAGAGAAATTCCTGAATATTGAACCTCCAGGATCCCAAACTCGGTTGTTAATGTCCCACCTCTTAATTTCTGACCCATAAGCTCCGATAGTCTGACCCGAATTACATCTCCTAAGCATCTCAACAGATTCTTTATCAACTTCAATCTTCCCCACAATCCCTAATTCACCCTGGATTAGAATGCCCTTTGATTCAACATTTAAGATCCATGGCGTCTCTTGAAAATCTCCAACCACTACTGGACTTGCAAAGGTCTGGACATGGAAAATATCACTTCCACCACCAGATTGTAAATCATCACAGAAAATATCACTTCCACCACCAGATTGTAAATTATCAACAACAAATCCAATTGGTGACAGCAATTGGTTCATTGTTGCATTAGCTTTATTAAAGTCCTCAAAGGTTGAATTAACTTTCTGAGGTTGTGAGACACATTCTAAGCAGCCTTTTACTTCCCCTTTGTTTCCTGTACCCAACTCGCCTTTCTCTTGATTCACCGATTCTGTCTTCAAATTCGCATAAGGAACACACCAACGATCACTTTCTAAGACAAAATCGCTGTCACAAGTCAACTCTTCTTGCTGCAAGAAGTTCTCCATTCCAGCAGAAATCTCTTGCTGAATTGAGTGTTTCCCCTCAAAGCATTCCCTATCCTTATGTAAGGCATTAGGCACGTGAATGTTACTCAAAGGTCCAGCATCTTCACTTGAAACATTTAAAGGCATCACTCCTTTCCGATAATCATCACCATCTTTTCTGATAATCAATTTTTTCTGATGAGCTTTCTCATATAATCGGCCAAGCATTAAGCATTGTTGAATAGACTGAGGCCCAAACATCCTGACATTAATTTGAGTATCAATTTGCAATCCTGTCAAATACGCACTAACCAAGAAAGCTTCAGATAAGTTCACTCTAGTGCTAATCAACTCAAAACGAGCATGATACTCATCAATTCCATCGACTTCCTGCAACTGTTTCAGTTCTGCAATTGAATCCTCCACATGCTTATTATATTTTCCTTCCAACAGCAGTTTGTAAGTCACCCAATCGTGCTTAACATGCTTCCACAAAATCAATTCTTCAATAGATTGGTGCCAAGTAGCAGCAAGAGCATCGAAATGACTAGATGCAACCTTCACTTTCAAATCATCCGATGTCATATCTAAGCTAAAGAACTGCTCAGCTTTGAATAACCAATCCGATAACCTAACTCCATTGAATCTAGGAAAATTAATCCGATAACCACCATAATGATTCTGACAAACTGATCGTACCTCCTTCACTTGTTCGGAGAACTCGTTTTGCAGTTCCGATGTCACTAACACTCTCAGAGATGATCGATCTTGAGCCGCCGTCTCTTCCGCCAACACCTGAGCACGAGTATTTGCCATCGCCTCCGAGAAACGACAGAGCTCTGATACCTTTGATAAAGAAAAACCACCAATACTTCAATTCAAATCGTAACCGGAACCAAATCGGACTAACGTTCATAAAACGCGAGCCGATATCTCAAATGACAAAGATCTAACGGAGAGATCTCGATCTAGATGAGTAAAACTCCATAGTTTCAACACAAACTAAGAAGAAGAAGAAGAAGAAGAAGAAGCTAACAAACTTTTACAATTTCTCTGGTTATCCTTTGCAAATGATCGATGATTCTCTATGTAGCTCCAATTCATCTCCACGTCAGCTGCCAACGCATCATTCACGCCTCCACCAATCATCTTCCTCTATTCTTCCACATCAGCCACTCTTTGTTGCATTAGCTTCTATTTTCCTGTAACATAATCAACCAATCTTGGAGAATAGTTTGATGCTAAGTTGGAGGTTCCATAACCAAGCTGACCTTGTTGCTCTCCAAGTGAAAACTTCACCACACTCAGAAACTACGGCGGTATGTTTGCTTACTGCAGAAACAGCTACAATCTTCGCCTTCAATGAAGTAACTTTGCGGGGTGTTGCATGAGTATTCACAGAGGTATAACCAAGCTGACCCTCTACAAGAGCATCATAAACAACATCAGACTCTATGATAAAAGACCATCACAATCACTGACAATGAACAAAAACATTGTTCGGATTTCAGTCTTTTAGCAATAATCTCGTCTTGGATTTTTGTAGCTATAAAGTAGACATACAGAAGAACCTGTGACTGGCAAAAAACAATAGCTGTGACAAAAATGCTGAAGCCATGTCTTCTCTCTTGTGTCCTTGTGTTCTTCGTCTTCTTCATTCCACAAATATCTTTCTCTTGCCCATAAGACCAAATACAATCCCTTCTTGAGTTCAAGAACTTGCTGACTCAGAACATCAATAACCACTCCACAACAATAATCACCTTGGAAGGTTTAGAGACATGGAGGCCAAACTCAGATTGCTGCATATGGCAATTTCTCTAGTGGAATCAGCAAATTCTGGACAGAAATTTTCTGGACAATTTCCATGATTTCTCAACATCCCAACGGGAAAGATTAGAGAGCAAAAAGAGGAGAAATCAAACGTACCTCGAAGCCAGGATTAGGTTGGAAAGAATTGGGGCTAGCGCTTGAGCCACGGCCAGTGCTGAGTTTAAGAGCCTCCAAAGCTTTTTGAATCTCCATGTTCATTGCACTGTCAACACTCCCCGAAGACAGTTTCCTGTGAGATTTCTGGAGATGTAGCTTCAGAGAACTGCTGCTTAGACCTGCGTTCTTACCACAAACCGGACACACTTTCATTGTCGGTTTCCTCTGTCTCCACTCCATTCACACTTTTCCGTGACATTTCCTGTCGAGGTTAATTAAGATCCGCGCAAATCCATCGTTCGGTTGAGCTCGTCTATGAACTTTCCTTAGTTTGCTCCATGCTTCTAATAGTGTGAGGTTCCTGTTTATTATTCCCACCAGTAAACATTTGAGAAGAAGAATTCAAGAATTTTTGTACTTTGATTCGTGTTTTCAACAAATTTTAATTGTCCCCTACGACTTACTTTTGGAGCATTAGGTAAGCAAGCACTACTGTTGCGCTTCTACTCCGACCTTCAAAGCAATGAACTAAAATCTTGCCACCTGTTTCTTCGCCATGCTTGATGAAATCGAGAGCTTCTTGAAAGATGCTCTCGATCTTTGAGTCTTCTTCGTCGGTTATCTGGTCAAAGGGAAGACACAAGAAGAGAAGGCTCATCTTTATAGATGCATTTTTTTTTTACCAATTCCTTTTAAGAGACATATAAGACAGGTTCACTTACTGAGAAGCTTTGGTACTTGAAGAGATCCGGGTATTGAGTATCCGATTGACCGATTTCATTAGCGCACAAACATAGAATATGAGTTATACCTAAATGCTGAAGAGTGTAAATCGACCTTGCAGCCAATCCTCCCCCGATAAAAAGATTATTGATGGTTTCTCCGTATTAGCAGCTTTGCAAATCAATGATATCCTCTCAAGAATATCTAAATTCCAAAATCTGTGGGTGTACCCAGATTCTCCTTTTTAACATTTTTAACTAATGAAGCAAAGCGAAGGGAATCGCACCTCCTGATTTGCAGATACAAGCAGACGAACAGAATCTATCTCATTTAGGTGAAGCTCATCACTCAGTTTCAAGCTCTACAATCAGTAACAATATATGAAGAACATAGGCCGTTAGAGTTGTTAAAGGCACCTTTTTCTGAAGCAGTAAGATATCAACCACATATATCATTGCACATATTTCAAATTAAACAGAAGCTTAAAGGTTGTAATGTATGTCAAATAGTAGAGTTAACAAATCACCAGGACAAACCACAATCCCTATGAAAAGAAGCTCATGTGTGTGTACATCGGAAATGAGCAGCAACCAAGCACATTCCAAAAGTTCATTCAACATGGTAAAGGAAACAGAGAAATTCTGCCTTGTTAGACATCTACTTAGACAACCATTTAATTCAATCCATCCACAAAATTGATGCAAAACTTGCTTTAACCGGTGTCAATTGTTCTCATATCTAAATTCTAATATCTAAACCTCCACTAGACCAAGAATGTCATCTAGAAGTCGAAAGAAACACTTACAATAGCGACATCTTGGTCATCCAAAGATATTGGCAGCGAATCCGGGAGTCGAATTTATTTGGACTGAACTTGAGCTCTGTCCGACGGCTTCGGAGGCTGCCAGAGATTAAAAACAAAAAGATTTGGTTACTGTACCCAGAAAACAGAAGGACGCATCATCGAGTACAAGGAAATTGAGCAAGTACCGGGAAAGAGAGGAGGTTCTGAATAGAGGAAAATGAGTTGCGAATGGCATGAGTGAGTTCGATACGCTGCGTTGGAGTTGGCCGTGACGTTCCGAGCAGCGAAGAGTGTACTATGGCCACTAACTCTTTCGGCGACACCATTATATGTAGCAGATGAGATACTAGGTCTCCGGCGGCGACCGGAAAAGGAGAATCTGGAAGCGAAGAGGAAGGGGTATATCGATTAGGCTTACCTCATTTAGTAATGCAAGCCTCTCTATGGTAGGTGACAATTTGCCACATAGATTTGTAACATCCTGTTGTAGATGGGATTTTGAACCATATGATCCCCTTTCATTTGAACTAACGGATCTGCAGATGTCAAGTGTTTAGCATAAAAACCTAGAGAAATCCGTATGAACATCGTAGATTTCCAAAATATATTCACTTAACAACATTTAAGATATTAATTGTTGAAGATAAAGTGACTTACCTATCTTGGAGACGGATCAGGATAATATTTAGTACATGCTCGGCAAGTTGTAGTAACAAGGTGATTAACTGGTCCCTATTTCCCACGATTTGGCACATTTCAACCATAGCTATGTATCTCCTGAGGAAAGTAACAAGCCACAAGCAAATATAAACAGTGGTCAAACGTCTTACTAATCACTGATAGGAAAAAGCTGGAAAATTTCTATGTTAATAACCCATTTCTGCTTTGGCATATGCACGCATGAGCAAGCAGAAGACAGAAATTCACTAACCTTTTATGTATGTTGTCGGACGGTGTGACATATTCTTGGCAATCACATATCTTGATGATCGCATCTACATCTTGTCTTAAGAGCTCGTTTATGTCTCTAATCTGCCAATCATACATGCAACTTCGAATATAAAAAAAAGAGCTTGAAACATGTAAAGAGTAGGAACTAGGATAATATACCTTATGAAGAAGTAATGACTTTTTCTCAGCTGCTCTCTCGAGGGAATCAGTCACATGCGAAAGAAGAGATGCAAGCAACATCAACGTTGGTTGGCGTAGTTTAGACGAACTATCAAGAGAATCATCTGAAACCTGGGAGGAGGGGTGGGTGTGGGGACAAGGGGCATGAGTATTTACTTGTAGTTCATTCAAACAACTGAATAATGAAAACGTGGACAGAAGAAATAGAGGGAAATGACTACAAGAGTGTACCTGCAACCTCAGAGAATTTTTGGTCACCAGAAAATATAAGTAAGAAGTCAAGCTGAATCGCAACTGAGACAATTTGAGCTCTGATCCCTTCTGTCCACAAGATGAGAAACAAAAAAGAGAAACCCATCGAATATAAGAATTCAAGGATTGGATGACAAGGTGCCAATAACATATGACAAAATATATACTGATACTCAAAAATGTACCTGAACTACTTGTCCTACCTGCGATGATATTGATTTAATGGGGGAGACGATGAAGATGAAAAGGTTGCTCATCATATCAAAAAGCCCTTGAACAAATCCATATCCGTCATTCTCTTCAAAAGGCCAGACCTACAAAACAGGCAAACTCACTTTCTAGAAAACGCATCTAACTAGCTTGTGGAAGTTTTTTGAGCCCTCTTGAAGATGCAATCACGAAAAGAGAAGCAAATGCTCTTTTAGAAGAAAGAAATTAAGAACTTATAGCTCGCCAAAGAATTACCTTGCTCAATATTCCCACTGCAAGAATAATTTGCTCCATCAATAAATCATCTGCTTGAGTAAAGTCTTCACGAAGAAGTTGGTCAAAAAGATTTTGATGTCCTTTGATAAACTCAATGACTTCACGAACAATTTTATTCCTTCCCTATCAAACGCTCAGGTACAAAAAGAAGAAAGAAAATCATTATAGTTCGGATATCAAGGAACAGTTACCCAGAAAAAAATCGACAACATTGACTTGCATAACTAGTTGAATAGGAAAATAATAGGTGAAAAAGAAATCAAGATCATACATAAAAAAACTAATAAGAACAATACTAATTGTCCTAAAATTTACAAATGTTTCTGCATCTGAGTATTATATTCTTATGTCTTGCAAACATACTGCAAATGTCATCAACTCATCAAGTGATTGTACTTGTATAAGGTGGAACATTTGACGACACTCACATGTTTCCTACTTCTACTTGTTAGAGGCATCAAAGATGTAAACAACAGCAATAGAAAATCAGTGACATCATTCAAGTTTCTACAAGACGCAAACAACACATTATTTTTAGTGAAAGAGAAAAACACCATAATACTAATATCATATTTCAAACAAACTGAACTCGGTGTCTGTTATTCAATTTTATTAGGCCTGTACTGTATTACTCTCACACAACTCCTCAAACATATCACAAGTCAGACTATAAAAAATGCAAAGTCTTAAGAAGGCCCTAAACGATCTGGAAGATAGTGTTTAATTGGCAACTCATGCTCACTAAACCAGGCCAATAAATGTGGAAGATAGTATTAAATTAGCAATGCAAAAGATCATAAAGAAAAGGTCATCTAAAGAAACGCGGCTGACCTCAAAAAATTCAGAGGTCTCAACCAATGAGGTTAGAGCAAACACCAGTCTTAGGACAGCAGTGATTATCGTTCGTTGCTTTTGCACACTATATCCTACATCACTCTGAAGTTTCATATCCACCCGTCTCATATTTCCCTGTAAGGCACTTTTGGGTTAAAAGCAGACAAAATATTGATGTCACATATAGACAACCTGATAACTACAGAGAACATATTACCTTAAAGCTGATAGCTCTACATGAAGCGATATGTTCCAGTGCACCCATGGAGAACAGAACCTGGCCTCCAGACTTTCCGTACTTGTGACTAATTCTTAGTAGCAATGCAAGTTCTGCTTCTAAGGTTCATGCTCGCTGTTGTGACTCCAGCAAATGTGTTCCATCCTGGGCCCAATAATATGATAAATACACATGCATGAATGACAAGTCCTCGAAATAAGAATACCCACATATAAATCAGGTCTCCAAGGTATGTAAACTAGCAGCATATGAAGATTATGATCCCCAATACCTACTATGCAAATGAGGCATAAAACACACACGAGTTACATAGGGTTTCTAGTCTTTTTCATGCCAAAAAGTCAAAACAACAGCTAATTGACCATGTTCTGCCACTCTTAAAGAAGATTTAACAGGTTTGTGATTCTATTTTGGCGATATATATATATATACTGTGAGCTTGAATTTGCATGTGTGAACTCCTACGCACTGAAAGGGCATTATTGACTTAACTACAATTTAATCTACTTCTGCTGGTTTATCAGTCAAGCTCAAATTAATTATTTACAACGAGTTAAACAAGTTACCGCAAGGAAATTCATAACAATGACCACACTCAGAAGTTCACAGGAAAATTACCTGGTAGGAGATATTACTAATGCTTCCAAGGCAAGACCGTATGAAACCTCTGCTCTGGAGCTGACTAAGAATATATCTCTCGTGATCAATAAAAACAAGAGCTTCCAGCACATAAAGTGATATTGTTTTTCCAAACTCACTGCCTTGACTTGCATCTTTGATTACCTGGAATCAATATTCACAATGTGAAACAGTGCAAATGAATATGGCTCATATCAATACAGAAGTAACAATTACCAGATCCAAGATGCCCTGAGCTTCTTTCTTTATTACAAAAAAGTTGGCACGAGCAAGGTCAGCCTGCTCCTTGTCAATCTGAAAGACAGAAAAAACAAAAGATAATTAAAATATCGCCCGAACAAAATAAGTATCAGGTTAATCATCAAACACCTGCCTTCTGGATATCCAAATCTTCACCATCTTGCTCATTAAGTAACAAGAACTGCACAACTGATGTTGGCACATCCAGAGCAATCATATGCTGGCAGTACTGGAAATAGCTCAAGAGCAATGCATATTGGCTGATGAAGAAAGACAAATGTGTTAGAAACGGGGAAAAGCTGAAATTAGATAAGCTTCGCAAAATATGACTTTATGTTGTATTATAAGAAAGTAAAAATATAACTAAGGGAACTTAGAACCATACCGCCTTCTAAAGGATTCTGATGACTCATGCCTTAGAATCGCCATAACAAGTTTAAATAGAACCGAGTAGCAAGCACCAGTGGATAAATGTTTGACCATCATAACATCTAGACATGTCACGGTGTCAGAACTCAAGACCCCTTGAAATGAAAATCTATCATCACGAAGCTTGGCAATGCAGGTAAGGGCAACCTATTCAAACCTAAAGTTAGTACATAGACAACACATTTTATAATAAAAGTTACTCAACAGCTAAAATGCACCTGAGTAAGTACAAACGCCATTTTTAATGAACAATCTGGAGACGCGGAGGCACTAAGAGAGGCATCAAGTAACCTGCCAACAACCAGAGAAGAACAAGTCATGCAATGTTCAAGAAAGCTTCACAAGCAACTAACCTCGGGTACAAAAGGTACTCACCGGTACAAAATTTCAGACCGATTATCAAGAGAAGATATTCTTCTGCAAGCAGACACCTAAAACAAAAACATAGGAAGCACAAAACAGAAGATAAATACTTGATATCTTAAAAGAGTGGCACACACTCATGATACTAAAGGTGATCTGATTATTAAAGAAAGCAATCAACCTCAACAATCTGAGACCAGCCAGCTAATATGAAGTTGGGCAGCTTGCTCCTCAAGGTTTCGGTTATACTTCCAGCCCCATTTCAACAGCTGTTGGATTGTCTCTCTAGCTTCACTAAGCTCAGCAACATTTGTAAAACTATCCATTTGGGGAAATCCAGAATGAAGTTTCTAAAAAACAATAGAATCAGCATAAATGTTTTCTTTTTTACAGGAGAAACATTAATGTTTGTTAGAGAGAAGATCTGATGTCCATTATCACAAGCACAAACCTGCCAGAGTTTGTTGCTGAAGGAAGATAGATCAATTAGCCGATCACCACGCTCAGAATAATAGTAGATACTGCCGCTAACAGAGGTATCACGGTTCCCAAGTATGTCCTCCACCTGAAATTTTCAACTCCATATTTAGAGCAATATCCTTGACGCAAACAGACCTCCATAATCCCCAAGCCTTACCAGTGAGTCATACTTTCGGCTTGACGCAATTTGAGGAAGTTGCATCGAAGCATCAGGAGATCTAAACTGAAGAATTTCAAGCAAAGCCAATGCCTGAACTCAATCCGAAGGAGAAACAAAAGTAAGACAGCAGCACTCATGAATTGACTTAAAACTAGGTAAGATGATGACAGGTGCAACCGTTCAACAATGTTAGATTTACAGTGAAAGAAAATGCTGTTGCATGGAAAAGGAGGCATTCTTAATTTTTTAGATACTGCTGTTCAAGGAATGTTAAACTGTTAAGAGATGGTGCACATCACCTTGCAAGGCAACATGCTGGTGACTTCAGAAAGAGTGGGGTCAGTACAGTTATTTGTGTCATGCATGGATTGTCTCAAAAATAAAATGGTAGATTCTTAAACCAATGCTACACATGCAGAACCGGCATGGGTAGGGATAAAGCTAGGATGTTGCCATAAAGGATAATAGAGCATAAAACACTGGTGTTTCCAAACTCACCTTACTTTTACTGATTGAACTAGTACCAGCATAATCAAGACCATCCTGAGGATATGTACTGGAAGAAAAAAGTTCATTCGCTGCTTCAGTTACCTCCCGCCCAAAAAGATGAGAAAGTATGCTCTGACATGCCTCTAGGTGAGCTGAACTGCTTCCAGAACCAGTATGCAATGCAATAGCTAAGAGCTTTAATAGCCACGCCCTCTGGGAAAGGTAGAGATTGAGAAAATGAGAAATGGTATCAATAGCAGAAAGGACTATGTAGCATTGCAATAGATTATTAATCGTGTCATTTGATCTGATTAAGGAACACGTTTAAATAATAAAAACTATTACTAAAGAAACAAGAGAGAAAAAAGTGTCACTATGTTATTCTCTCCACCATGACAGGAGCAGAAACCGAATAGACTTGACAGCTTAGCAAAATAGAATTTTCTTATGGAAGACATAGCGAGAGAGTAACTACCTACATTTATAAGGTGTCACAATAAATAGAAGTAGTGCATAAATGCAGATTTATCACTTCTTAATTGGCAGAGAACCAGTCAAAAGAAATATTGCATATAGGCCGTTATCATTTTGGACATGAGCCGAGGGTAGCAGGAAAACAGGAACAGAAGAAAAAATTACTGTATCTGCTGAGTGAACAAATTTATGCATGAAACAGAGAGTATTAAATACAAAAACAGTCTAGGGACATTCTATCACAAAAAAAAAAGTATATATATATATATATATATATCTATATATTACATATAGGCGGTTAATATTTGAGGAAAGGGTATTATAAACAAAAATAGTTAATAGCAGAGAGTAAAACCGCTTAGATTTGTCATGAAACTTATCAGAGTCAGATACACTTGACACATAACATGTAGAATATATATACCTGATGAAGGGAACTAACACGAAGCGCCTGGCTGCCACTTCTTTTTGGAAGAGTAGCAACACCGATGGTATCGAAATGCTGCAACATCAAAGTATAATAAGAAAGTAAGGACGAGTAAAAAGTAAGTGTTATTTGTGACTTGAATGAGGCGGCCCACAAGGAAAAGATGGCATTATTTTGGTATAAGGAGAAGCAAAATCTGGTGTACCTGGAGAAAAAACTGATATTTTTTGCTGCTCAAGAGATCCATGGTTGGACCACTAGTTAATGGATCAAATTCAACTCACACAAAAGCTGCAAAAAAAGTAAAAGTTAGTGTACAACAGACAATAGACCAAACAGAATTTCATTTCTTTGAAAAGACCAGAGAGTTATCATCCGGCATTAGTATGTCCCACCTGAAAACCAAACTCAAAGAGTAAGAAGTTTATATGGGGGTTTGGAACCTTCTCCAGCATTTCAAGAATGACCTTCAGACAACTGCAGATTGCAAAACAAAATGAGAATCATGGTTGAAATACATATTATTCTGCATACAAATTACAATCAAACCTTTAGTGGAACTTAGGCTGCAAAACAGTCCCTTCCACGGGGGCATCAAGGTCAAACTTCAGAAGCAAATGTGTGATGCTTGGTGCAGGCCGGTTGATATTATCAACCAGAAGCTACAAATGTGAAAGTCATACCATTTAGATGATATAATATGTACGGACGAATCAATCATGATGAAAGACAGCAGATAAGACCCAAGCCATAGTGCACATGGGGTGGTATTCTATTAAGTGAAACAGTCAACTAATGAAACTAACCTGCATAATAAGGACCCCTAGATCATCACAACTGTTCTCTACAACTTCACCCTCTTCAAGTCGTACCTCAAGGCAGGCCGCATAATCCTCGATCAAGGAATTGGCAGCATCAATTTTGATCAGCACTGGAACAAGTCCAACCAAGCGAGAACTGTCATCAAGCATATGACTAATTAAAACCCATGTAAGTCATATCAAAAATATAAGGTCAAACTAACTATACAAAGCTAAGGAAAGCAATCAAACATCCAAAAGCCTGAGGATCTGAAAGCAGTTAATACTGGTTTTGTGAATGCTATCTGAGAAAACAAGTTACATGTGGTTAAACAAACTACATAAGTGTCTCAAAGAAATTTGTTACCACCTTAAAATGCTCATGATTTTGATTGAAGATCGTTGAATCTGGGGAAGAGAATCATATCTGACATACTCCAACAAGGCAATAATTTGATTATGATCTTGTGGGAGAATTATATCCAAAGGCTGCAGCAATAACAAAAGTTAACATTATTGACCATCTTGTGCCTTAACATCAAATCAGGGAAGGCATGCTGATTGTGCTTTACGAAGAAAATTGTTGTTTGAGCTATAGCTGGTTGGGAGCTAATACCAAACGTTTCCAAGCAATTGCCAAATTAACAATAAAGTTCCGTTTCACATTTTACACCTCGCAACCCCATATTGGTCATAATAAACTAACTTAGTAAAGGTTGGAGAGAGGAATACTATTTATTCCTATTAGCCAAGTAGCTTATGATTGACAACAGTAAAAGAAAATCCCCTAAGCTTTCTACTCTTCATCTTTGACTTGAAGTTAGTACCCTAAATCACATGGTCCAGACCTCCAAAAAAAGATGCCTAGCACAAAAGAAAACACCAGTCAGAATTAAATCAACAAAAGACCACAAAATACATATAACTCAAAGGGAAATACCAAATTTGGAGTTATGCCACGGGCAATGGTTGATCCACCAATTGTATAATCCAACACCAGTGCCCAATCAACCAACCAAGCAATCCTATGAAATAAGAACATCGAGAGTATCAGCTCTAAGAAGAACAACAAGGTCAAATTTCAGGCAATGTTTCAGTAAAGAGTTCAATATACCACAGTAAACCTAGCTTATTCATTATTTGCCTTGAAAGTAATTTAAGAAAAAGATTTTGAGGTTGAATAAATAACTGTTATGCTACGTTGGTTATGAACAATACAATGTTCTTTCATAAAATGTTTTATAATTTTAGTTCATATATGCAAAACTTGAAGGGCTTTGTTTGGTATGAATACAGAAGAAAATGCATGGTGTGCATCTCTATATATATATGTTTTAATGTTCATGCCAAAGAAGGAAAATTGTAACATCAACGTGTTATCATATTCTTTTATATGTATGTATATATACATGAAAATGCTCATTTGCTAGCAATCCCTTTTTAAACCACAGTGGTCAATGAAGTGATGTTATCCAAAGTATTGTCCAAATCACTTTCCAAAAAGTTGTGTGTATTACTCTATGAAAACAGAATCGTTTATAATGATGAAACATTGCCAGCATATAAATTCACAAAATTTTGATCATTTTGTTTTTACTCTATGAAAACAGAATCGTTTATTGAAAAATTGCCAGCATACAAATTCACAAAAATTTGTGTTTGAACTTTCAGATTGAAGAAATATTAATTTCATTCTCAGCTGGCTAATAATATAATCTAGACAAAATTTTGTCCAAAAGTTTTTTGTAATCATCTGATACCTTGTTTTTTCACAAAGAAGACGAAAAGAGAAGAAAGTAATAAAAGTGTTATTATGAGAGGAGGAAGATAGGAGCTACATCTCTACTATTTTCATTATTTTAGCCAATCAGATGGCTCCATGTCATACCCCTCTCTCACCCATCACACGATTTCACGCCCACTCTCACCACTCGCGAGTTGAGCGCGTGTCTCCATTTTCTGTGGGTATAATTATAAACCCACCAAATGGCCTGTTTTGAAACACAATCGCTCCTTTCTAAAAAACCCTCGCGTGCGTGACTTTTTGTTTTTTTTCTTTTATCAAAACCTTATTAATTCCAACGCAAACCGAACGAAATCAATTCTAATCTCAAAACCAATGAAAACCGAACCGAAATCAATTCTAATTTCAAAACCACTGTAAACTGAAATACCAACCCGAACATATTTCTCTAGTGGAATCAGCAAATTCTGGACAATTTCCATGATTTCTCAACATCCCAACGGGAAAGATTAGAGAGCAAAAAGAGGAGACATCAAACGTACCTCGAAGAAGAAGAACGTTTCTGGAGGCAGGATTAGGTTCTAAGTTCTACTATGCACTGCTTAAAGCAAAGTACTTGCCATTTGCTTCTCCATACAAGACAAGACTTGAATCAAGACTGTACACTCAAATGTTGTAGTTTTGCAGCTCATAATCACCAACGCCATTTGCATCAGACTCCATCATAAATCCACAACCCATTCAAGTATCGATTTCAAATCCTCTTAACCAGAATCCATGTCCCCAACTCGCTCGTTGAACCCACAATCGAAGAAAGAACACTAGAGGAATACGAACTTGGGAAATCCCTCCATTGATCAATCTCACTCTTAATTCCACAGAGATCAGACGGTAACCATTTATCCAACACACTCTTTTTCACCTTCTCAACAGAACCTACCAAATCGCTACATTCCACAGCAAGTGTTAAAGTTGATCGAGCTCAGACAAGTTAACCAGCTCCTGCAATTTCTCCCAAAATCGGCCAAGTCTTCTAAGGAGACACCATCGCCGTTATTATTCAACTCTAGTTCACATGGTAGTAACTCGAGCGTGCTCCGGTAACTACTAAAGGAACCAAGAAGATGAGTCAGGTCAAGATAAGCTAATGGAGAAAGAGAGCTTCAGGTGGCATTAAGTGATTTTAATCAAAACAGCCATTTTCATCCTTCAGGAGAAGAGAAGAGTGTTAATTGAGCTAGATTTAGCGAATTAAATTCCTCAACATGGATTGTAAAGAAGAGAGTGTACCGGAGAGCTCGCGAATCGGCGGCGATGGAGTAATTGTTAGGATTTTGAAGATGAGCTGGAGATGATTAGGATTAGGTCGGAAGAAGAAATTAGGATTAGGGTTTGGAGTTGGAACGTGATGGAAGAAGTTCGGATTAGGGATTTAATAGTGTGGAAACGACGGTGGTCGATCCATTAGTTCCGGCGACGGCGAACTTCACTGGAAACGTTGTCAATTGTGTGTGTGACTTCGAAACGAAACGTTTCTGTTTGCATATTGTAATTGGATATAGTGTCCATTTAATCAGGCCCATTAATCTCTGGCCCATATTCTATTGAGGTTGACTGTTTGCTACGTTAGTTCATATAGGCAAAACTTGAAAGGATTTTGTTTGGTATAACATGGGGAAATGTTGGCTACATACTCTTTTTTTATTATTACGAATTCTGCTATGCCGATTCGTTAAATTGAGAAAATTATATAATATATATCATAACTAGTTGTATACTAATTTAGTGCTTTCACGAGAAAGAAGAACCAAAAAGAATTTCATAAAAAAACAAAAAATTCATATAGATTCAAAAATTTCTGCACCGAAACTTGTTTAAAACGTGGTCTAGTCAGCAAAAATCATTACTACATCTGTATCGCACCATGCTCCCTCCAATTCATAGCCTATATATTATCAAACCATAGTTTCCATAATAACACAAACACAAAAACACACTATGGATAAGACAATGACACTGTTCTTGCTCTTATCCACTTTCCTCCTCACGACTTCTTTAGCTAAAGATCTCTGTCACAAAGATGACAAAACTACCCTCCTCAAGATCAAGAAATCCCTAAACAACCCTTACCACCTCGCCTCATGGGACCCCAAAACCGACTGTTGCTCTTGGTACTGTCTCGAGTGCGGCGACGCCACCGTTAACCACCGCGTCACTTCCCTAGTCATACAAGACGGTGAGATCTCCGGTCAGATCCCACCTGAAGTCGGTGACTTACCGTATCTTACATCCCTTATCTTCCGCAAACTCACTAACCTCACTGGTCACATCCAACCCACTATTGCCAAGCTCAAGAATCTCACTTTTCTCAGACTAAGCTGGACGAATCTCACCGGTCCGGTTCCTGAGTTTCTGAGTCAGCTCAAGAATCTTGATTACATTGACCTTTCCTTCAATGATCTCTCTGGTTCCATACCAAGTTCTCTCTCTTCATTACCTAAACTCGAGTATCTTGAACTTAGTAGGAACAAGCTTACAGGTATATAACTTTGTTTTTTGTTTGTCTCTATTCAAAATGTATTTTTTTTTGTATCTAACCACAAGTTATAAACTTCCATTTAATTAGGTCCGATACCAGAGTCATTTGGGAGGTTTTCAGGAAAAGTCCCTAGTCTTTTCCTATCACACAACCAGCTCTCTGGTACTATACCAAAATCACTAGGCAATCCCGACTTTTACCGGATCGATTTATCCCGAAACAAGCTTCAAGGCGATGCTTCGATCTTGTTTGGAGCTAAAAAAACGACATGGATCGTTGATATATCAAGAAACAAGTTCCAGTTCGATCTCTCCAAAGTTAAGCTCGCTAAGACACTTAATAGATTGGACATGAATCACAATGGAATCACAGGGAATATTCCGGCTGAGTGGGGCAAAACTTATTTTCAGTTACTAAATGTTAGCTATAACAGATTGTGTGGACGCATCCCCAAAGGAGAGTTTATTCAGAGATTTGATTCTTATTCCTTTTTCCACAACAAGTGTTTGTGTGGTGCACCTCTTCCCAGTTGCAAGTGAAGATTCAAGCGAAGCCAAGCTTTATCTCTATTGTACCAAATAATCAATCGTCTCTAATGAGTAATGACAACTGTATCTTTATTTTGAGTGATTAATAAAATATGAACCAAACTTGCATTTGATGGATTCATAGCACATTTTCAAAATGTATTTGATCGATTACGTAGCTTCATTCTCGCGCGTCAATGGTTGATCTGATGATAGAGAGCTCCATTCTCATCCTTGATTGATCTCTGCTCTACCATTGGATTCCCAACTTGCCTTTAAGTTTCTCTTTTGGCAATAATTTCACTTCTATCAAGTAGTATCAAGTGAATAGTCAAAGTAAGTGGATAAATCCATAATATTGGTCCAGTTTGTTGTTTTTCACATGCTTTGTATATTACAACATATTTTATTTGCGACAAGTTTTAAAAAGAGCGGTAAAATGTTTTTACACTGATAACTTTTCATGAGCTAGAAGTTGACGTTTGGTTCTAGTGGAGAAAATGATTGTATATCCTCTTTAGCAACAGGAACACCTTCACTTTCAGCTCAAAACATTGGATTATCGCAGCTAATACAACTGGAACAAATCTATATACCATTTTCTCTGAGGACAATTTCTACTCCAAGCTCCAAAAGATATCATCTTCTCAATTTTAGCTTGATTTGATAGCTTAATGGAAATTAAAAAAAAAAAAACTCCTTTATATCAAATTAAGTGGGTCTAACAAAAAATTATGGATCGAAATTATAAGAAAGCCCAACTTTTAAAGGCCCATTGGAAAATCGTTTCTTTGATTTCCAAGGTTAGATCTAGCAGCCGTTCGTTCTACGTGTCTTAATATCAGTTCCACTACTGGCCCAAAAATCAAGAAGTCAATTTATCATCTTTCGTGTGTGAGTGACCATATCAATTATCAAAGATCCTTTCTCCTAAAGAACCACTCAGACCAAACAGATATCGTGAAGCTTAATTCAAAACATCAACCACAGAAACCAGATAAGAACAGAACACTCTGAGACTTGGAAGCGATGTAAGCGAAGAGAGATCATCGAGTTTCTTCTGAGTAAAAGTGAAGGTGAGATTGGTTCCGATGAAAACCTGGAAGCAGAAGTGAAGACGAATTCGAATTTCCCATTTTCGCCGGGTTCTCTCCTCTGTTCTCCGGCAGGTTTCGTCGTCTCTGTTCACATGGTTTTTTTAGTTTTCGTCGGAGGGAGAAGAAATATTTTGGTTTACAATGGTTTTAAAATTACAATTGATTTTCGGTTCGGTTTATATTGGTTTAGGGAAGAAGAAAACAAAAAAACAAAAAAAGGTCACGCGATGGAAATTTTGGAAAGAAGTGCGTCGATTGAAATAGGCATGATTTCTAAAGGTAAACCCCTTTAGAAATTGCTCTCACTCGCGCAACGCGCACTTTGTGCGAGTGGGTCTGAAATAGAGCCTTCTGATTGGCTGAAAAACTCTAAAAAAAGTGAAATAGTATACATGTTGCTAGCTCCTCTTTTATGTTATTATATATTTTTCTTCTTCTTCTTTCATTTTGAGGCAAAAACACGAAGAACTCACAACTTGATTAGATTCATGCTTTCAGATTTCGACTGGTGAGTCTAATCAGTCTTAATTATTGCTAATCGTCTTTGTTCTTATCGAATCTATAGTTCTGGTATGAATTTTTTGGTGATTTTTATGTGTCCATGTCTGTTTTGACTTTGTTGCTCAGAAATTTTACTAAAAATAGTAAAGCTAAGCTCGTTTGTCATGTTTAATTTGGAGCACTAAATTGTTCTTCTTCCTCCATTAGATGTGGATTTGTTTATAATTTGGAACCATGGAAGTAGAAATCTTCAGGAATCTTCTTTGGCTTGATTCTGAGTTTTTGGAATGTGAAAGTTTAATCCTTTCCTACAATTCTTGTAAATAGAATGTTCAGAGATTAATTTGAATTGGATCCTTTTCTACACTTGTTAGTTTGTGATGTTTAATCCTTTTCTACAATTAAAAAAGTTTTGTTATTTTGATTCATTTTTGATGTCCTCTTTGGTGGTGGAATTCAAACAATGTAGAATTGTTGTGTATATGGACCTAAGGAAGGAGTTGGCTTCTTAAACTGATACTTTACTTGTCCAATGCCTTTTTCTGTGACACATTCCGTTTTAGTGACTTGCTTAGTTTCTTTACATGTTGAACCACAGTCCATCTCTTATCACTCTAATTCCAATTGCTTTTTCATCTTTCTAGTCACAACTTTGTTTATTGTTGAGTGTAGTCTTGGGAAAGCAATAAAGGCTAGTTTCCAACTTCATCCCATCCCTTTGAGCATATCCCAATTTTGAGTCCTCCAAGTGATGCATTCGCAGAAAGAGAAAGCATATCAAGCATAGTTATCTGAAATTCCACACTCTTAGTTACTTTACTAAATCATTTGATTGCCATGATCTAATGATAATATGAATGACTATTTGTGGCAGAAAATTCTATCTCAAGAAAAGAAGATCCAGAAGCTTAATGAGCTGGACCGAGATCAAAGGAGGCAGTTGCTTTAATGCGGAAATGAAAATCAGGTTGAATTGACGGAGCTGGAAACTGAGCTTGATCAGCTTCTATTAAGAGATGTTTAGCTCCAATATTTTACAGGTACATTCTTTTCTCGTAACACATCTTTCTGCGTAATGATGCATGAATTGTAACACATCTTTCTGTGTACTTGATCCTGAGTACTGTATTCTGAATCACCTCTTGGTGTGTGTGCAGGTTGATGCTTTTACTCTCAAATCCTCCATAGGCTTCAAGTGTAAATCCAGATATTTGATCAATCTAATACCATTGCCTCTCTTTCTAAGAACTAAACTTGAAGATTCTGTACTTTGAAGGAGAAATCAAAGAAGAGTGGTCCTTTTTGAAGTGCATCAAGTATGTATAGCTAAGGCATGACATTTAGCTCATCTAGAGTCTCGTCTAATTGGTTTGGTTAGCTCGATCCAACTTGATAGTGCAGATCGAGACGACTGTACATTTTTAGGATTCATTAAGGAAGAATTTTGTAGCCTTTTTAATCGATGCATGTAGCTTTATCTCGTTCGTAGATTCGATTATCTGATCGGACCAATTGAACTTTGATCATATAGTTTACCAATGCACTATGTTTTATGCAGTAAACAATGTTTTTGAATGTTTTAATCTGACTTTTGTTGAAATGTCTTTGGTCTAAGGTCTTAGCCAGTGAACATGGCATCAGTGACTGAAAACCAATGGCTCGAAGGAAGAGTGAAGGCTGTTGTTACCTCCAGAGACTGCTTGATCCTAAAGAGATCATTTTTTATAAATTTGTAACCTTTCTTCTGATTCCCAATAGATCATTTCTGTTAAAATCTGTATCTCCAAACACTTGACTGTTCCCGAGAAAGCCAAAACGAAAAACCTTTTTTCTACCCAATAATCATTTGATTCGTGCTTAAAAAACCTTACTTTAGTGTTCTCAGAAATATGATGATGCTGATGATTCAATTTGTGCCCTAGCTCACTTTACAGTGAAGTTTGTACTAGTGGGGTTTTAGTTTTTGGCATGTGACTTCATATTTAACAATTTGACTATCATCAGTGTCAAATCATTAAATAATCTTTTTGGATTTGTTTATTGACTTAAAAAAGCTTTTGATTTGCACAGGAAAAGCGTTGATGGCGATAAAAGCCTCATTCAGCAACGTGGCGAATATGCTTCTTGATTGGGACGATGTTCACAACAATGACTTTTGTTCTTGGAGAGGTGTTTTCTGTGATAACGTTAGCCTCACCGTTGTCTCTCTGTAAGGATCTTCTTATCTCATTCCTCTTTGTTTTTGTTTTCTCTTTGATTAAGATTTTTCTGATTTGATGTTTTTTTTCTTTTTGTTGGAAGTAATCTGTCAAATCTGATTTGTTTGAGAAGAAACTTGGTGTTAAATCCTTATGAAGCTCTTGTCTTTCTAAATTACAGAGACTTGCAAGGAAACAAATTGGGTGGTCAAATTCCAGATGAGATTGGAAACTGTGCTTCTCTTGCTTATGTGTAAGTTTTGTTGAATGTTTGTGTTTTTTCAAGTTGATGATATTTATATGATCTTCATTATTATATAATCAAAAACCTTTCTCTTGTTTCAGGGATTTCTCCACTAATTCTTTGTTTGGAGACATACCGTTTTCAATCTCTAAACTCAAACAGCTGGAGTTTCTGTATGTCTTTTTGTCTTTCGCATTCGTGTGTTATCTATACCTGATTTGGCGATTTGTTTGTTAACTGTTTCATCCTCTTGCTAATGCAGGAACCTAAAGAATAATCAGCTCACAGGTCCAATACCAGCAACCTTAACTCAGATTCCTAACCTTAAGACCCTGTGAGTTTCATACTGATGCCATTCTATTTATGAACCAAGTTATTTAATACAAAGTGATCATTTCAATGATAATAGTTTCTTCTCATGATTTTGCAGTGACCTTGCAAGAAACCAGCTAACTGGTGATATACCAAGGTTACTCTACTGGAATGAAGTTTTACAGTATCTGTAAGTAGTTCATCTACTTACCTTAAGTTTCTGAGGCTTCCAGAGATTTATTTCTGATTGTGATGTATTCAATTTGCAGCGGTTTACGTGGGAATATGTTAACTGGGACATTGTCTCCTGATATGTGTCAGCTTACGGGTCTGTGGTACTTGTAAGTGAATCCGGTTCAGCTTCCTCTTGGTTTTACATTGCTCTTTTAACCTTGGATTTCGAGCAAGTTCTAAGTGTATGTTTATTGTTGTTAGTGATGTGAGAGGCAACAACCTAACTGGAACTATCCCTGATAACATTGGCAACTGCACAAGCTTTGAAATCCTGTATGTGCCTTATTCTTAAGAAATGAATATTCTGCACCGAAATCGGTTGGTCTTATTCGTCTTTTGCATATTCAGGGATGTATCTTTAATCAGATTACTGGAGTAATACCCTACAATATCGGTTTCCTCCAAGTAGCTACTCTGTAAGTATTGTTAAGACTCTAAATTCTTGTGTGGTTTGTTTAAGCGTGTCATATGGTTAAGTGGTGACGGGTTCTCTTGCAGGTCACTTCAAGGAAACAGGTTAACTGGTAGAATTCCGGAAGTGGTTGGTCTGATGCAGGCTCTTGCTGTTTTGTATGTCATTTTCATATTCAAATGCTTGTTTTTTTTTCCTAGTCTCGTTTCTTGCTCCTCTGACTAAAAGTAAGAAACTTATCCTATGCCCAGGGATTTGAGTGACAATGAATTAACTGGGCCTATCCCACCAATACTTGGGAATCTCTCATTCACTGGAAAACTGTGAGTCACTTGTTTTCTTCTCACTATCTGTCATGCACATGTTCAGATCTTCACATATACGGATAATGTCTTTTCTTGAAAATAGGTATCTCCATGGTAACAAGCTCACCGGACAAATCCCACCTGAGCTTGGCAATATGTCACGACTCAGCTATTTGTAAGATTGAAACTTTAAACTCCAATATCTGTTCTTCTCAATACTTATACTTATCTTATGAGGGTTTTCCATTTTGCAGGCAACTAAATGATAATGAACTAGTGGGAAACATCCCACCTGAGCTTGGGAAGCTGGAACAATTGTTCGAACTGTAAGTTTCTATCCTCCAGTATGCTTAAATTTCTATCCTATTTGAATAGCTGGTTGATGTAACTTTACCATGTAGAAATCTCGCAAACAACCATCTTGTAGGGCCGATTCCATCTAACATTAGTTCATGTGCTGCCTTGAATCAATTGTAAGATATGATATGAACCCTTTCCCAATATATGCTTCCCTCTATTTTCTTCTTCTTCTCTTTATGAAAACTTATTGTGCTTTTCTTGTGTTCAGCAATGTGCATGGGAACTTCCTGAGTGGATCTATACCACTTGAATTCCGGAATCTTGGAAGCTTGACTTATCTGTAAGCTTCAAAGACTGCATAAACAGTATGATTTTCTGGACTTTTATTAGTCTGTGTTGATCTTGATTTGATGCTTGTGAATTTCAGGAATCTTTCTTCAAACAGTTTTAAGGGCAAAATACCTGCTGAGCTTGGCCATATTATCAATCTTGATACATTGTATGTTATTTTTTTCACTGATTCCATCCTCGTTCTGCCTAGTTACCTATTTATATGTGTACGGTGTACCAACTACCAATTCATACAAACTTTGGTTTCAGGGATCTATCTGGCAACAATTTCTCAGGGTCAATACCAATGACACTTGGTGATCTTGAGCATCTTCTTATCTTGTATGTCTTCATCAACCCCTAAAGTTACATTGCTTTTGCATTAACTCTCTCAGATTTGTTGACTTGAGATTTGCTTTAATTGTCAGAAACTTGAGCAGAAATCATCTCAATGGGACATTGCCTGCAGAGTTTGGGAACCTCCGAAGCATTCAGATCATGTAAATATTTGCTTATGCTCAAAGTTATTTCTTTATGATATAATCTTCCTACTTACAATCTCTTCTCCTTCCTTCTCAGCGATGTATCATTCAATTTTCTTGCCGGTGTTATTCCAACAGAACTTGGCCAGTTGCAGAACATAAACTCTCTGTAAGTAAACCATCACTTCTCCTCTGCAATTTACCATATAATACATAGAAATCATTCTTTGCTTCTTTAATGTACAGGAATACAGGATACTGAACAACAACAAGATTCATGGGAAAATCCCTGATCAGCTAACTAATTGCTTCAGTCTTGCCAATCTGTACGTGTTCAGTGTGCTCTCAGATAGTGTTATGATAGTTTCTAAATTCAAATCTTTTTCCTGGTTTTTCTTTATACATTGTAGGAACATCTCCTTCAATAATCTATCTGGAATTATTCCACCTATGAAGAACTTTTCACGTTTTGCCCCGGCCAGGTATCACCTTTACAATGTTTTCACTTCTCTTAGTTTGTCATATAATCAGTATACCAAATCTACCTTTTCGTTTATAGCTTCTTTGGAAATCCATTTCTCTGCGGGAACTGGGTTGGATCAATCTGCGGCCCATCTTTGCCCAAGTCTCGAGGTATCTGAATCTGCATTTATCATATTGCATTGTCTTTAGCTGACAGATCTCTTAATAAATTCCATTGGATTTTTCTTGGTCTTGACCAGTATTCACCAGAGTTGCCGTGATTTGTATGGTTCTCGGTTTCATCACTCTCATATGCATGATATTCATTGCGGTTTACAAGTCAAAGCAGCAGAAACCAGTCTTGAAAGGCTCTTCAAAACAACCTGAAGGTCTTGGTCTCATAGTTTTTCTCTTCTCTTTTGTTCATTAAGATTAATAACAGCATTATGATAAGTCTTTTGTTCATCTCTTCAGGGTCTACGAAGCTGGTGATTCTTCACATGGACATGGCTATTCACACGTTTGATGATATCATGAGAGTTACAGAAAACCTCAGTGAGAAATACATCATTGGATGTGGTGCTTCTAGCACAGTTTACAAGTGCACCTCCAAAAGTTCCCGACCTATTGCCATTAAGCGAATCTACAATCAGTATCCCAACAACTTCCGTGAGTTTGAGACAGAGCTCGAGACCATTGGGAGCATCAGACACAGAAACATAGTAAGCTTGCACGGATACGCCTTGTCTCCCTTTGGCAACCTCCTCTTCTACGACTACATGGAAAATGGCTCTCTTTGGGATCTTCTCCATGGTTTGCTATTCTTCTTCTCTTGGATCAATTACGTTCTTTTCAAACCAGTTTTATATTTTAGAAGACTTAAACATAGTGATTGTATGATGCAGGGCCTGGGAAGAAAGTGAAGCTTGACTGGGAAACAAGGCTGAAGATAGCAGTTGGAGCTGCGCAAGGACTTGCATATCTTCATCATGACTATACTCCTAGGATAATCCATCGGGACATCAAGTCATCAAACATACTCCTTGATGGGAACTTTGAATCGCGTTTGTCAGATTTTGGGATTGCCAAGAGCATACCAGCTACCAAAACTTATGCGTCAACCTATGTTCTTGGAACCATTGGCTATATTGACCCAGAGTATGCTAGAACTTAGCGTCTGAACGAGAAGTCTGATATCTACAGCTTCGGTATTGTCCTTCTTGAACTTCTGACTGGGAAGAAGGCTGTGGATAACGAGGCCAACTTGCATCAAATGGTATGAATCTGAGGATAGTGTTACACAAGCTTGTTCTTGGAAACAATGAGATAGATATCATTTTGTTTCTGTTGCAGATACTGTCGAAAGCAGATGATAACACAGTGATGGAAGCTGTTGATGCAGAGGTTTCAGTGACGTGCATGGACTCAGGGCACATCAAGAAGACATTTCAGCTAGCCCTCTTGTGCACCAAGCGAAACCCTTTGGAGAGGCCCACAATGCAGGAGGTCTCTAGGGTTCTGCTCTCTCTTCTCCCATCTCCTCCTCCAAAAAAGTTACGTTCTCCTGCGAAACTGCAGGAAGGGGAAGAACGACGTGAGAGCCACTCTTCAGATACAACCCCACAGTGGTTTGTTCAGTTCCGTGAAGATATCTCCAAAAGTAGCTTATAAGATACTAACTTTTAGGGTTCCCTCTATGGCTCTATCTACTCCTTTTCTGTTTTGTTTTCTTGTATTGCAAGAAAGATCGGAGGGGCAGGTTTTTATGTGATTTAGGGCTAGTCTGAGAGGTATTTTGGGAAGGGGATAAAATTGAAGGCATTAAAGATAAGAACATGGGATAGGTGAAAGAGTAGGTGAAGTTAAATGTTTTTCCAATGGACATCTTCACGAGTTCGAGTTCGTTAAAAGTCTTTCAATCTCCTCTTTATTGCACACATCCATTAATGCCTACTTTCACACTATACATATATTTTGTACATTTTCACATGACCAACGTTGCGTATGTGAAACTTTTACAACTAATTAAGAACATATATGCCTATGGTTTATGACAAAATGTGAATCTTGAGCTGGTGGATCCTGCCACACAAATCCAAGCTCCTTGTTAGAATGTAAGTGATGGAGATGTGTTGTTCACTTGTTTGGTCCAAATACTAGAAAGAAATGCTTTGCCTGATCAAGAGTGAAATGATTAAAGCTGTAAGTCTTTATACTTAACGTGGAGGATTTTTGATGGAGATGTGTTGTTCACTTGTTTGGTCCAAATACTAGAAGGAAATGCATTGTCTGAACAGTGAAATGATTCAAGCTATAGTTTTCTATACCTGTTTACGTGGAGGATCTTTTTCCCATTGAAGCTCTCAGATTTCTTCATTGCAATGTCTAATTTGTACACGCACGATATATGTCTTGAAAAATCTCTATGTAGATGAGGTACAAGAGAGTAAGAAAAGCAACTATAAATACCGCGACTGAATCATTATCTGAAGTGAGACATAAAGGGTTCATCTCGAAAATTTGTGTCCTTTGGAGCTTCAAATTCCTTCAATGAACTAAAAACCCGGTATTAGTAAAGGGAATATAAATGGTTCTCCATCAAGAGATATAATTAAGATGATTTATAAAGACTACATTGTAACAGTTTCAAGAACCAGCCTACAGTATATGAATGACTTACCCTCAGAAGATTGTTCTCATGTTTGATGTTGATTGCTTCACCGCATTTGCTTGATGTCTATCAAGCAGTAGGAGATTTTTGAGTTTTTTTTTTTTTGTCTATAAACATGTTAATTAAACAACACATGTTTCTGAAATCCTCAAAAGGCATTCCTTTTGGAGAACCATCATCAGATTTTGAGAAAGTAGCGGCATTGAGTAGCGCATCTCTTTTAAAATGCATTTTTAAAAATTCACATATAAACCGAAAATGACATGTTAAGAAATGCCAAAGAGAATTACATTTTCCACCAGAGGGACTTATAGCAATTGGTTCTGAACAATGACTTGATGAATCTCCTCCTCATAAAAGCAAGCAGTCTCTGCATATCTTTAAAGACATAGATAATCAATCACTTGTCATACATAACACCAAAAAGAGGAGACTCTAGCAACTAGCCGTAGACTGAAAAACTAAAGTCATTGTCACTTTCACCAGAACTTACTTTCACTTCACTTCACTATTATTGATCCAATTCCAACGAACCAGATGGATAATTTTGATCCGAGTACACAAACATAGAGATCATAATTCAAACCAATGCAATTTCATAGAAGATTTTGTTTGAGTTTTCATATACCTTCTTATTCTTCACATAGAGACGAAAAGACACAAGTTATAAATATATGATCAGAGGAAGGTAGGAGCTATATGTCTACTATTTTCATTTTATTAGCCAATTAGAGCGCTCCATGTCATAGCCCTCTCTCACCAATCGCGCGCTTTCATGCCCACTCTCACCAATCGCGAGTTGAGCGCGTGTTTCCAATTTCCGTGAGTGTTAACCCACCAAATCGCTTGTTTTGAAACTAACTCGCTTGTTTCAGAAAAAGCCTCGCGTGCGGTGAATAAATGTTTTTTTCCTTTTTCTCAAAACTTTATTAATATACAAAATCGCCAAAAGCTGAGAACGTCGTCGTTTCAACGCTTAAACTCTCTTTCTCTCTTCCTCTCTCTACCGGCGCCGGTGAAATTTCCGATCAACACAATCTCGACTACTGCGACGAGCTCACAATTATCGACTCAAATAGAGTTCTAGATGGAGAGACGTGTCCCAAACGCATTCCCTGGTGCTCCACCACCAGTTCCATACTATCAAATCAGCTACAGGTTATCTTCAGTTTCTGCTACATATCGACAAAAAGTATAAACTTTGGTGATTCACCATTAAAAAGACTTACTCTTTAACTCGCTTCTGATAATCTGAATTCAGATACTGCTGATGGTATTACGAAAACCTGGAAGCAGAAGTGAAGCGATGATCAACAGAAGACAAATTCGAATTTCCCATTTTCGCCGGGTTCTCTCCTCTGTTCTCCGGCAGGTTTCGTCGTCTCTGTTCACATGGTTTTTTTAGTTTTCGTCGGAGGGAGAAGAAATATTTTGGTTTACAATGGTTTTAAAATTACAATTGATTTTCGGTTCGGTTTATATTGGTTTAGGGAAGAAGAAAACAAAAAAACAAAAAAAGGTCACGCGATGGAAATTTTGGAAAGAAGTGCGTCGATTGAAATAGGCATGATTTCTAAAGGTAAACCCCTTTAGAAATTGCTCTCACTCGCGCAACGCGCACTTGGTGCGAGTGGTTGCGAAATAGAGCCTTCTGATTGGCTTAAAAACTCTAAAAAAAGTGAAATAGTATACATGTTGCTAGCTCTTCTTTTATGTCATTATATATTTTTTCTTCTTCTTCCCTCAGTTTGAGGCAAAAACACGAAAAGCTCACAACTTAATTAGATTCATGCTTTCAGATTTCGACTGTTGAGTGTTCAAATCTGTATACACGTTAAATTATTGCAAATAAGCATCATAAATGTTGTTATGTGGAATGATGAAGTTTCCTGCATCATGAACGAAGACCTAAATTAAACTAGATATCAAGGTCCAATCTGCCATATTGTTTCTTGCAATTTCTTTTGTGTTTTCGGGCCTACGACGACTACACGCAATGTCTATGATGTTGCTGCTCAGCATGTCGTTAATGGTGCTATGGTGCGGGGATCAATGGTATGGACTAAACACCTTTTATTCGCCCATCTAGTTTAGACTTTATTCTTAGATAGATAAAAAGATATTTGTATTATCCAAGCTTAGCTTACCTCGAGCTACGGTACAAGTAACAGTTTGGATGAGCAATCATTTAGAAAATGAGATCTTTGCGTTGCCAAACTGTATCTAGTGCTTCTTCTAGTCTCTAGAACACTTTGAGTTAGTTTTTTTTGCCAATTTGATTTTAATGTAGTGAGTGTTAATCCAACCACATGGACCATTTTGCATACGGAGTGACAAGCAGTGGAAAAACTCACACTATGCATGTAAGATTCACTAATCATGATATTTCTTGCTTTTCATCTTATTATAATAAAGCGTATTAGGTTACTACCTTGTACAATGTACTTCAATGTGTCATCCAGGACATGCTTATCTGTTAGATAGTCATTTACCTCTTCCTTTGTTACTGGATAAATCACTGAGTAGTTCAGGAGCAAAGTTTATCTCCTATAGCAGCCATAACGATTAAGCAATGGAACTCGATGTTTGGATCTTATATTGTGGATCCTAAATGTCTCGTATCAGCAAAACCTTGTGATATCCCTGAGACACGTCCTTATAACAGCTTACACATCAACTCTAGAACCCTTGATGTCTCTTTCAAGCTGTAAAGAACAACCTGCATCACTTTTTCTTGTATGCACCCTCCACCAAAACGAATTTGGCTATTGCATTATTCAATTTGCAGTCTTTAGGGAAGGCCCTCTTCTTCTTTTAGATCATTCACTTGACTGACTGCAAATTACTTCCCATGAGTAGACACTTATTTATTCTCCTCATTATGCAAACAAACAACTTTGAACTCATTAGTTGGTTTCTTCGAAATGCAGCTAGATTTCTCTGTATTTTCATCCTTTCTAGGACTTCTCTTTTCCAGCTTCTGACACTAACTTTAAAATGAGTTCTTTATCTAGTTAGATACACGACGCCTATTCTTGAAGTAAGCACCCTTGAGACAAATCATGTATCACTTGCTTTTGTCTCCTTCAGTTTCTTCTTTAGAAAAAAAAAAAACCACTGAAATTAATTCAATAGCTTCATCTCAGACGAGAACTTTGTGTTTTCACTGGAAAAACTCTAGAAACCTGCAACTCTTCTCTAGAAAACCTGCAATGTGTTTCTGATTATCCTCACCAACACCCAGCTTCAAACCAAATCTGTAAGCAAACCTTTTACCATCAGATTGTAACCCTGCTTGAGCTGAATACCCATTGGTAACTTCTGTTCTTAACTTGCTTTCTTCTTAGCACTCTGAACTTCAGTGAGTTATGCAACCTTTTAACTCTTTACTTTTAGCTGAACACCTGAGACAACATCCAACAAACTTAGTTCCACCAGGAGAAAAAAATATCCTTAGGATATGCATTGCTTTTCTTGTAGCAACAATACTCTACCTGAAACCATAACCCTTGGATGTACTATGTCTCTATAAGCTTAGCTTCACCAATCTGAGTTAAAACCATTCTTTAATGTTGCTTTGAACAATTTACATGTTCTTCTGAATAAGAATGTTAAACATGACTTAGAGAGCTGGAGAAAGTATGTCCGAACTTGTGACACATCCTCTTTGTTTTGTAGCTACTTGACCTGATCCACTTTAACCCGAAGAACCTGTTTCAACAACCTTTTCTCTTCTTTCTGGAACATTCTTTATAATCTGATAATGCCACAACTTAGGCTGAAACACCATCAAACCATACCTTAACTCCATCAATCAAATCTTGTACTTTCTTACAGCCAAAATGCAACACATACATGTCTGGTACCGTTGTTAAAATAAGAGGACACGCTGCCTAACTCTCCTAGCTAGGAAGACTATGGATACAAGATAATAGTATATCTTGTTGCACAACAACATTGAAAGACATTTTTCATGAACCATGAAGTCTCCAATGCTTTTAGCTTTTAGACTATCAGATTATTCTTTGTTGCTTGAAGATCTGATACAAGACGAGATCATCTCTGAGAAACCATTGCTCCACCCGAGAAAAGAACTCCTTGTTATCACAGATTCATTCCAGCATAAGTACCGTGTGTTAACTCAACACAACTCTGAATAAAACATGAATATGTGCTGCTCTGCTATATTGTTTAAGAGCTTACACTCTCAAAACAAGAAGAGTTCAAACATTGTCCAGCCTGTACCAACCAGACTTGTAAACTTCACTAATGATCCACCAACTGTAGACACTCATATTCACAAAACTGTGGCCAAAACTCAGCCAAATCATGGAAACTGCTAGAAAATTTCTTCACAGTGCTACTATTTGGTGATTTTGTTAGAGAAATATGTTGATAAATTCGGATCTGTTGCAGTTAAAACAAGTAAAACCCTAGAAGCTTTAGTCTTCGTCGGAGGGAGAAGAAATATTCCGATGAGAACGAGCTGTTCTGTTTACATGGTTTTGAAATTACAATTAATTGATTTCGGTTCGATGTACATGGTTTTAAAATTACAATTAATTTTCGGTTCGGTTTACATTGGTTTAGAGAAGAAGAAAACAAAAAACAAAAAAAGTCACGCGATGGAAATTTTGGAGAGAAGTGCGTAGATTAAAATAGGCATGATTTCTAAAGGTAAACCCCTTTAGGAATTGCTCTCACTCGCGCAACGCGCGTTTGGTGCGAGTGGTTGCGAAATAGAGCCTTCTGATTGGCTGAAAAACTCTAAAAAAAGTGAAATAGTATACATGTTGCTAGCTCCTCTTTTTTGTCATTATATATTTTTTCGTCTTCTTCCCTCAGTTTGGGGCAAAAACACGACGAGATCCACAACTAGATTCATGCTTTCAGATTTCAGATTTCAGAGTGGTGAGTGTTAAAATCTGTATACACCTTAATACATCTTCCGTATTTGTTCTTATCTAATCTATAGTTCTGGATGTGGATTTTTTTTTATAATTTGGAACCATGGAAGTAGAAATCTTCAGGAATTTTCTTGGCTTGATTCTGAGTTTTTGGAATGTGAAAGTTTAATCCTTTCTTAGAATTCTTGTAAATAGAATGTTCAAAGATTACTGTGATTTGGGTCACAGTTGTTAGTTTGTGATTTTTAATCCTTTTCTACAATTAAAAAAGGTTTGTTTTTTTAATTCATTTTGATGTCTCTGAACTCTTTGGTGGGTGGAATTCAAACAATGTAGAATTGTTATGTGTGTTGGGTTCTTAAACTGATACTTCACTTGTCCAATGCCTTTTCCTGTGTGACACATTCTGTTTTAGTGACTTTCTTAGTTTCTTTACATGTTGAACCACACCCAGTCCATCTACGATCAGGATTTCTGTTCCAAACTTGAATGATGGGCAAGTCATTGAGATCACAGTGCAGTCGTTGTCCGAGAACGTGGCAGATTTGAAGGAGAAAATAGCAAACAAAATGGAGTTAAGTGGAAAATCCGGGGTTTTAAAAGACAATAAGTCACTTGCACATTACAATGTTGGAGCAGGACACATCCTAACACTTTCTTTGTGAGAATGGATGCAGGTAAATGCTATTCAATCTCTCAACTCTTGTTAAATAGAGAGATGTTTTAAAACTATATGTAACTGACTTAAGCTTGTTGCCTCACACATGCTTTGTATATGTTACTACCAATTTTATTAGGACCAAGTTTTGAAAAGTGATGTAAAATGTTTTTTACACAAGTGGTAAGTTTTCCTGCTCTTATACATTTTCATCTTAAAAACCATTAGTAGAAGTTGACCTTTGGTTCTAGTAGAGAAAATGATTGTATAGCTTCTTTGGCAACAGGAACACACACCAAAGGTGTGGCTCTAGGCAGAGATGATCCAGTCCCTTCATTCATCTCTACACTTCCTTTTACTTTCAGCTCAAAACACTGTATTATCGCAGCTACAACGACTGGAACGAATCTAAACACCATTTTCTCTCCTGGACAACTTCTTCTCCCAGCTCCAAAAGACATCATCTTCTCACTCATGACCTTCCATTCAATCCCTTCAAATCTCTCAGGCCTAAACTCTAATGGATCTTCCCATTGATTTGAGTCTCTCCCAATCGCCCAAACGTTGACTATCACTCTTGTTTTAGCTGGGATTCTAAATCCAGCCACCGCGCATTCTTCATCCGATTCTCTCACGAATATTGGTCCTCCAGGGTGTAACCTCATTGTCTCCTTCACCACTGCTTGGATGTAACTAAGATTACACAAATCTGATTCTTCAACTACTCTCTTGTTTCCCACCACTTTCTCTATCTCTTGTTGTGCTTTCTTCATGATTTCTGGATGGTTTATCAGCTCTGCTAGAGCCCATTCTACTGTTATGGCAGATGTATCTGTTCCACCCCCATAAATATTCTGTTTAACAATGAATTAGACTCTTTTGAGGCATTATGAATTTTTTTATATCAAAGCATGAATGTTGCGTGTGAGACTTTAGAAGACAATTACCATGATAAAGGCCTTGATGTTTTCTCTTGTCAGCTTCACCTCTGCGTTTTTGTCTTCATATATGTCAAGCAAAATGTCTAACATGTTCCTTGCTCCTGTATCCTTCTTATTCCTAGACTCATGCTCTTTCATTATTCTTTCTATGATCACATCATATTTGTCTCGAGCATTCTTGAGCCTCTTCTTGAGTCCTTGCAAGTCAAGCCTTTTCAAGAACCAAAACGTTTCAGAAACGTTGAAAAAACCGGCTAATTCATTCAACTCCACTACCATTTTGATAACTTCCTCTGTTTTGCCGTCACCTTCACTATCCGATTGCATTTTTCTGAACATCATTCTCGTTATGATGTTGCTTGTTAATTCCTTTAGCTGTTCACCGAGATTAACACTTTCTTCTGCTTCTGCTTTCTTCAGGACGCGTATCAGAAGCTTGCTCAATTCCTCGCTTCTCACAGAAACAAAGCTATCTAATGCTCTGCTGCTGAAGAGCTCCACCATACAAATTCTCTTCATGAACTTCCAGCGAAGCCCGTAAGGCGCTGAGAAGAAATCCGCAGAGCCATAAGTAAGGTAGTCAACGTTTTGCATTGTGGGACGGTTCAGGAAATTGAGCTCATTGGATTTGAGAATCTCATTCGCCATCTCGGCCGATGAGACAATAAGATTAGGAATAGAGCCAATGAAGAGATACATCAAGGGTCCGTAGCAGGTTGAGAGCTTGTGAAGTGCTTGGTGAGCTATGGGACCAAGGAGGTGAATGTGACCGATGATCGGTAAAGCTGTTGGGCTTGGTGGGAGCGGTAGTTTGTTGCGTAATCTGTTAGTAATGGCTTGGATCAAGACTGTGATTCCAAGGCATAAAGGAATGATTATGAAGAAGTATTGTAAATCCACCATTCTCGTTTGTGTTATGTGTATGAGAGTGATATTAAACTGATTTTATAGGATAGATACCGCCAAGTTATGGCTCCTTATGGTATGAAATGTTAATCCCAACTTCAAGATTCTTTCTTTTCTCTTGTTTGTCTTTGTTCTGTTTTTGTCTCTTTTGTGAGGGTATAATCTCTGTTTTTGATCCTGTTTTAATGTTTAATTATGTCCTGTTTAAATAAACAAATAAGAATTTACTTGACCGTTTGTGAAGCTTTCATTATCAGTTGACAAAAGAAAAATGTTTTCATTCTCTAGGCTTACCCGCCAAGTATCAGTATAAGGTGTAGTTAGATTGGTAATCAAGGTGGGTACTTACTGTCTGATTGTAAGATTTAGAGCTCATGAAAGTAATATAAAATCATATTCCTGTGATTTATACATCAATAGTAGTAAGATTATGAAAACAGAACATAAAACAGAGTACAGTATATATGATTCCAAATTCCTAATGATGTTTATCTATAGAAATTTACTAAGTTTGGTGTCCAAATGGATCAAAATGTAACACATAAATGAGATTCCTCCAATTAATAAAGGCCCATTTGAAAACCGCAACACAACAGTTTCGTTAATAAACGGTTACTTTCTTTGGTTATCAGGAGATGGAGAATCTTCGTATCCTTTGTCGTCGATTCCATAGCTATTAGATCTCAAAGCTGTTCGTTCTTCGTACGGTGGTTCTTATCTCTTCCCGAAACCCTAATAAGTCTTTGGTTGTTACCGATTCATATATATGATTTTAATCAACCTATTTCATTAGATTTGATGATAGTTTGTTGCGGCGATTGTGTAAACCAATAATTCATAGGTAGAAAAGAAAACTGAAATCTTAAGAATCTAATTTGAATGTTTTTTTCGTTTTGTTAGGGAAAAAAATAATGACGCATTTGAATCGGGGCAGAACAATTCAGAAGCAACATATGACTTCCTTCCTCTAACACCTCTCAAGTTCGCACACCTTCCTTCAGAGACACTGATCACGCGCAAGGAGGTTGATATGATTAAGCTCACAACGCAGTTTGCACATTACAATGTTCGAACAGGAGACATCCTAACACTATCTTTGTAAAAACGGATGTAGGTAAATGCTTTTCAGTCCCTCAACTCTTGTTGTTCTCTGTCTCTCAACTCTTGTTTATTTTTCAGTCTCTGAACTCTTTTTATGTTTAGAGGATTTTTTTAAACGATATGTAACTGACTTGAGTCTGTTGTATCTGCTTAGTTTATTCATTTATAAAGTACAATGGCGGTAATTGAATTATATATGAAAATGCACCAATGTATTCGCTTTCACACAGCAGAAAAATAGAAGAAGAGAAGAGAGGCTAGAGTAAAAAGGAGATTCAAACAAATGTTCTTTGAAAAAACTAACAAACTTTGCTTCAACTAAGAAAAGATAAATAAAATAGCTCTGCTTGCTAATTACCACCCAACATGAATGTTTCTCTATTTAGCCTCTAAATAGCTGAAAAGTATTCTTTGGTGAGATTGGGGTCAGCTTTCATTGATTTCTTATGGTATCAAATGTTAATCCCAACTTCAAGATCCTTTATTTTCTCATGTTGTCTTTGTTCTGTTTTTTTGTCTCTTTTGTGAGGGTATAATCTCTGTTTTTGATTCTATTTTTATTTTTATTTATGTCCTGTCTGTTTATAAACAAATAAAAATTTAAGAATTTACTTGACCGTTGTTAAGCTTTCATTATCAGTTGACAAAAGGAAAAAAAATTCATTGTCTAGGCTTACACGCCATTTGCAGCTGTAGTTAGATTAGTAATCAAGGTGGGTAATTACTAACTACTGACTGTAAGATTTAGAGCTCATGGAAGTAACTGAAACATTTTTTCTTTTCATCTATAGTAGTAAGCTTATGAAAGCAGAACATAAAACAGAGCATAAGACAGAGCACAGTATATATGATTCCAAATTCCTAATGATGTTTCTGTGCATAATTTCACTTAGTTTTGTATCCAAACGGATCAAAACAGAATTCAGGAGAACACATAAGTGAGCTTCCTCCAGCAGTCCCTGAAGCCGAAAAGCCGGTAGGTAACTTGATCTTGATTTTGTCTTCATCTCCCTTAACCGTCCAGTTAAAACACTGCACGAGTGATCCGATTGTGAGACTCAACACAAGAGAAGCGTGAGAAGCTCCAAGACATCCTCGCCTTCCGCTCCCGAACGCAAGATAATTCACATCTTGACCTTTTAATTCCAACATATATTGCTGGTAATAACCCATCTTTCTCTCTGTATCTTGTTCCACCACAAGAAACCTCTCAGGTATAAACTTGTCAGGGTCTTTGTATGTGGTCGGATCGCGCATTATCCCGTAAGCATTGATGAAGATCTTTGTACCGGATTTTACATCGTACCCGTTGATCTTCATGTCTGTGTTGCTTTCTCTGCGTAGTAATGGTCCTACTGGATGAAGTCTCAATGTTTCCTTGATAGCTGCTTGTAGGTAAGGAAGCTTCTGCAAGTCTGATTCTTTGATTAAACGATTCGATGTTCCTACAACCGATTTGATCTCGTCTCTGATCTTAATGAAGATATCCTGATGGTTGATTAGCTCTGTCATTGTCCATTGTAAAGCTGCAGAAGTTGTATCTAAGCTCGCCATGAACAACTCCTGCAAACGAGGTACCAAATATTCTTAGTAAGGCTAATTTAACGAAGCTAAAGAAAAGTAATGTAAATAGCTTACAAGAATGAAGAACTTGATCTGATTCATAGTCAACTTGAGTTCGGCTTTTGGGTCATTATACGTGTCCAACAAGATATCGACGATATCTTTATCTTTCTCTTCTTCTTCATTGGTCTTATCGTTTTCATATTCCTTCAGTATCTTCTCAACCAAATCATCGTACCGCCAAATGGAGGATCTAAGCTTCTTGCCATTACCAAACAAATCTAGATCCCGCAATGGTCCAAATAGCTCCATGAATCCAAACCTTGTGGCGCAAGCCATAATATCGCTCACTATCTTCCTAATCTCTACGGGAATATTTGAGTTTTGGCGGCACCTTTTCCCCATAACCATCTTTGATAAGATCTTTGTGGTCAAAGCGGTGAACTCCAAACCGAGATCGCACGCCTCTCCATTTCTCGATCTCTCAACGAGGGAGCTCAGTAATGCTAACGTTTCCTCTTCTCTTATATCGACAAATCGATCAAGCTGATAACCTGCGAATAGCTTAGTCATGCATAGCTTCTTCATGAACCTCCAGTAAGGTCCATAAGGTGCATTAAAGAACTCTGCTCCTTTATAGACGTTGAACTGTCTCGGACCAAACACAAACTTGGAAGCGAAATCAGGGTCGTGAGTCTTGAGGATTTGCTTAGCTGTGTCGGAATCTGAGACAACAAGTACTCGTAGTGATCCAATGCGTATGCTCATGAGAGGACCGTAAGTGTGAGCTAAGGCTTGTAGAGAACGAGGGAGGCTTGACCGGAGGAGATGCATATGACCGAGAATAGGAAATCCTTGGGGACCTGGAGGAAGACTGCTGCGGCTAGAGGAGCTGAAGAGTCTATGAAGAAGGGAGATGGTAATAAATGTGAAGAAGAGATAGGAACAAGATGTGTAATTCATATCCAAATTCATTGTAAACGTATTTGTTGGTGTTGATTACTGTGATTGGGATCAAACAAGTATAAAAGTGTTATATAACAAAAGCTTAATGATATTGTTTGAAAATTCTAGAAAAACTTGTCTTGTTGCCATGAAGGATCTAAGAATACATGATTCTTTGATGATAATGACCTTTTGCCTCAAAATTACTGATCGGATATATTTATGTTATTTATAAAATGTTGAATTATGTCAAAATGTGTTAGAATTATTGTTAGATTTTATTGAAAAATCAGATAATAAAACATTACGCTTAATTCCGCGATAATTGTTCTCCTCCGACTTTCCCGCTGATTTCGAGAGCTTCTTTTCTTGACCTTAGTATTTCTTCTTATGTTTCTCGTGTATCGGACTTTAGCTTCCGGGGATTTCTTTGTTTTCCGCCGGCTTTGTATTTCGAAAACGCATTCTAAAAATATATTCCACCCTTTTATTATATAACGAAAATCTTTGAGTGAAAAAAAAAAAAAAACATTACATTTTTCAACAAGCCAATGAAAGTAAAATGTTATTTTTATGAATATAATATTATTTTAGTTTCTTATAAATCTGAAAGCAAAAGTTTCTGAAAGGAATCCTTAAACCTACAATGGCGGTGAACGAAAATATTGGCGCCCAAATAATCAATCCTCTGTGAAGCCTTCTAAGTCGCCGACTCCAATCATCAGTGCCCAGTTCGAATTAATTAGGGTTCAGAGATGGGTAGGAAAAAGAAATCTAGGGCTTCGACAACCGAAGAAGATGAGATTGAGATGGATAACGATGGCCGATCTTCTGAGAAAAGTCTTTACGAGGTATTTTCGGAATTCCTCTTCCCGATCTCTGCTCTTTTTCTCGCGTGATTAGGGTTTTATTAGGGGGACTTCAATTTTTGCTACTTAACCGGCGTTAATCTTATTTTCTGGGTTATACCATTTCGAATTCGGTTTGTGTTTATCATGATTTTAGAAACTAGTTTTAAATTTGTCTACTTTCATAATTACATTTGTTAATCCTGGTTAATGGTGTTTTGATATCTAAATTTTTTTAAGTAGATTGGAACACTAATCATAGGTTTTCTTCAGTGATCTTATATTTGATTAGGATTTTGGTATCATAATTATTTGATTAGTCAAAAGAGTGCTTCAAGCAAGTCCTTCAAAATGACAGAAATCAATGGAAACTAACTACTCTCTCTCTCTCTCTCTCTCTCTTGAACTGAAGGTTCTTGGAGTTGAAAGAAGAGCTACTTCACAGGAAATAAGAAAAGCCTACCATAAATTGGCATTGCGGCTTCACCCAGATAAAAATCAGGATGATAAGGTTTAATACTCTTTTCTTGGTCTACCTTTTTAGGACTTTTTTTTTTGCATTCATTTATTTACATGGAAATTCTAACTCTTGTTTTGTTACAGGAAGCCAAAGAGAAATTCCAGCAGCTGCAAAAAGTCATATCAATTCTTGGGGATGAAGAGAAAAGGGCAGTTTATGATCAAACTGGCTCTGTTGATGATACTGTGAGTCTGTGTTTCTTCTTGTTCAGTTTGATCGACAAAAGAAAGCATTTAACTTCTGTATTAGTATTTTGAGATTTTCTTAAACCTGGGTATTTTCCATGCTCGTTAGGATCTTTGTGGGGATGCGTTTGAGAATTTGCGGGAGTTCTTCCAGGCCATGTACAAGAAGGTAGCAGCAAGTGACACCTTTTACACATCTGCTTCTGCTGCTTTCACTAACTTCTTTTTATGTCGCTGCTTATATAGGTCACTGAAGCAGATATTGAAGAGTTTGAGGCAAACTACAGGGGATCTGAGTCAGAGAAGAAAGACTTACTTGAGCTGTTCACCAAGTTTAACGGTAAAATGAACAGGTAATTCATCATCCTTTGTTTTCGATATTATTGAGGTTGTGAGTTGATTGTATATGTTTCCTTCCCAGGCTATTCTGCTCAATGCTTTGCTCGGACCCCAAGCTTGATTCACACCGTTTCAAAGACATTCTTGATGAGGCCATCGCAGCAGGTAGTTAATCTTTCTGTAACTGGTATATATACGTCTTGCAAGATTATCTTCTCATATAAGGAATCCTTGACGTTACAAGATGGGCTTGCCTTTTATTTGTACTTCCATGAATGTTGATAACGCAATAGAATTGATGTTGTGCCGTCTCCAGTTAGAGGATGAGTGTAAAATGTACCATATCCCTTGAGCTGTGTGTTTGATATTTCATTATCCTTCTCCAGTTTGGTTCTAGTCTAGTTAAGATTCTGATCTGAAATCTATGTAAACTTGGGAGAGTTGCTGATTAAGTTTGTTGTGTAATACAACTGATTTCCTTTTCAGGACAAGTGAAGTCAAGCAAGGCATATGAGAAATGGGCAAAGAAAATTTCAGAAACGAAACCGCCCACCAGTCCATTGAGGAAGAGGAAGAGGAAGAGGAAGAAGTAAAAATCTCTGCCTTCGTTTCAAATTAGTTCCACCAATCAAACTTAACCTTGTTGTGACCACCTTGCTTCAATTTGTATATACTGTACTTGTAGGTCAGCAAAGGATTCAGAGACAGATCTTTGCTTGATGATTGCGAAACGACAAGAGGAGAGGAAAGGGAAGGTGGATTCAATGTTTTCATCACTCATCTCCAGATATGGTGGTAATGCGGAAGCAGAGCCTACTGAAGAAGAATTTGAAGCTGCCCAGAGAAGGATTGAAAGCCGGAGACCATCCAAGAAGTCTAGAGGAAAGTAGAGTTAAGTACTTAAGTCTTCTTGTAGCATGTTTGTGATGGAACAAGAATGTTTATTTTGATTCAAATTAGCATCAATTTCAAAAATTCGTAAATATTTCGATTGTTGCTTTATAAATTGTGTTAATTTTGATGGTCTCCATAAAAAATGAAGTAGACCTATTTATTTACAGGATTTATCTAAAGTTTCTTAATGTGAAAAAACAAAAGCTGAGAATGAATTAATAAGATAGATGGACAAGACTGAACCCAAACGGTAAAATAGAAAAACTCTTTTTGCTAATCCAAAAGTTCTCAAAGAAAACATTTCTTTGACGAACTATCTTCTTCTCCACGAAACGCTTAGGGTTTATCTTTTGTTTGAAGCGATGTGTTTTTGTTCATCAGATTGCTTCGTCTACTTCGTCCTCTCCGTTGCTTTAGCTTTCATGGCCATCTCCAGCACTCTACGCTCACCTCCAGATTCCGAACCCACCATACCCATTGCTTCTTCATCTTCTCTCTCTTTAAACGCCTCAAACGCTCTACGCCAATCCAATTTCAAAGCAATCGCCACTCTTCTCCACATCTCCCCTGAGATCTTCCTCTCTTCTTCTCGTAACACAACCCTCTTTGCCATCGAAGATGCTTCCTTCTTCAACACGTCATCTCTTCATCCTTTGTTTCTCAAGCAGCTTCTTCAGTATCACACACTCCCTCATATGCTTCCAATGAATGACCTTCTTAAGAAGCCTCAAGGAACCTGTCTCTCAACGCTTCTCCACCACAAGAGTGTCCAAATCTCCACCGTAGATCAAGAATCAAGAACAGCAGAAGTGAATCATGTCCGTATCTCACATCCCGACATGTTTCTTGGAGATTCATTGGTTATTCACGGAGTTCTTGGACCATTCTCTCCTCTGCGACCTCACAGTGATCATCTTCTCCAGACACCTTTATGTCAATCTGATACAAGAAACAAAACCAGTGACAACGACGAAGTTCCGGTTAACATAGACTGGATTCGGATTGTTCAGCTGCTAAGTTCAAATGGGTTTGTGCCATTTGCAATTGGATTACACTCTGTTCTCAATAGGATTGTGAACGATCATCATCACAAAAACTTGACCGGTGTAACGATTCTAGCCACACCGAATCTGGTCTCGTTGTCATCTGCTTCTCCGTTTCTGTATGAAGTTGTGAGACATCACATTCTTGCTCAACGGCTAACAAACAAAGATTTTGCATCAATGCCTAATAATGCCTCAGTGAAGACATTGGATCCTTACCAAGATCTCATAATCACGAGAAGAAATGACAATTCTTCATCTGGAGATTTCATGATTTCTGGAGTTGAGATTGTAGATCCAGATATGTTCTCTTCTTCAGAATTTGTAATTCATGGAATATCACACACTCTAGAGATCCCACATGTTTAACCATTTTCTTCTTTCCTTTGTAGCTAGCTACACGCATTCATGTGATTTTTTTAATGCATGTAACACATTCATTCATTTTTTGTTTGTTAATAAGGAAATATTGTTTTTAGTAATGTATAAATTTTTTTTTTGACAATAGTAATATATAAATGTTATATCTTTATAATTTACACTTTTTTTTGAATTTGTAATCATAAATTAACGTATATAATTATAAAATAAGGAAGCGCGGCCAAAAAATGTGGTAAAATGTTCTTGGGAAGATGACGACCTGTAGGTGTAACCGATTCATCCTATATTGATTAAACTAATCACCGACCGATCCAGAGAGATAGAAAAAGACGTAATCCTCTTTTAAACCCGATCGAGTCACACTCACAAAAACAATAACTGTTATTATTCCCTAAAAATCCTCCCATATTTTCTCTTAATTCTCTGCCCTTTTCTTGAATCCGACTCAAATCACCAAACTTGGATCTCGCACCAGTTTCTTTGTTTCAGGTAACATGCATTGCATCATCACTCACAGATTTCTCCAATTTTCATTTATACATCATCATTGTTAGCTTCATCAATCATTTCATTAGAATCCGATCAACAGAGAGAGAGAGAGAGACAGAGTCGTTTTTGTGTGTGTGTGTTGAATTAAGTAATAGTAAGAGACAAAGACGTGCTCATATGTTGTTAATGCCCCCATGTGTCGTGGTTAGCGGCCAAAAAAAACTTGTATGCAACTTGATTTAATTATTTATACTAGCTAGTATTTTAATAGTATATGAATAGTGGGATCTCATGAATGAATGAAATGTTTGTTTGTCTGTAAGGAAACATCTGTTGCTGTCACGAGTTAAAACCAAGCTAATAATGTCCGTAAAGTGTGAGCAACCTTGTGCTCTCATGTTCTCTTGCTTGCTTCTCAAGATTATAAACATCATGATGAATATCTCAGCCTTCTTATCTTATCTGACTTTTCTTTTTTTTTTTTGATTGACTAAGACAATAAAGTTTCTTGCTTTCTTCTGCAGAATGTGATATTGAGAATTTAGTTCAACTTTATTGTTAGTCTCTGCAGAGATTTTTCCAGGTGGTTATTGTGGATTAGAAGGCGATGAAGAGATTCGAGAGGCCAAGAACTTCGACTCACTCGCAGCCAAGAACCAGTACCAATTCAGCGAAGAAAGATCAGAAACCGCGTAGTAGTAGTAAAGGGAATGGTCTGAAACCGTTGAATGCGGCTCAGCTGGTTTCCAGAGTTTTAGATGCGACAGCTTCTGAGCCATCTTCAACTGCTGTAACTGATTCAACTACTGGTTCAGAGTCTTCTGAAGTCTATGACAATGTGAATGTGCATTACATGGATGATGCTAATGATAAATCAAGAAATGATGGGAATCTGGTGGATTGTCAAGAAGAAGGTAATGGTGATGAATCAGACTATGAAGCAAACAATGAGTCTGTGTTTTCGTCTCAAGGTGATTTGATTTCCCATGAAGATAAGAAATCAGAAAGGCCATCAATGGTTTCCAAGAGCAAAAGCTCCCAGGATAGACCTTTTACATCTAAAGGACGTACCAACATTAGTGATTCGGTTAGATCTCGATCCAATACCTTCCACGGCTCTGCTAGAAAGACCGTAAGATCAAGTAAAAGTCAGGCAAAAGCTTTGTCTGAATTCTCTTCTTATAGAAGCTCTGAAAACCACAGGGTTCTCTCTCCTGCTTCACCAGTTGATTCCACGCCTTTTGAGGAGGCGAAAGAAGATGATGAGTTTGAAGATGCTTTGAATAGCGTTAATAACACTGAAAGTGACAATGAAACGACACTTGTGTACAAGGAGAACAAAAGGAGTGAAGTGGAGAAAGTCTTAACTCAAAAGATTGAGACCATGGAAACTCGAATCGAGAAACTTGAAGAAGAGCTGAGAGAAGTTGCTTCTCTTGAGATGTCACTATACTCTGTATTTCCAGAACATGGGAGCTCATCACACAAGCTGCACAAACCTGCAAGAGATCTTTCTAGACTCTATGCACTTGCTAGAAAAAATCGAAGTGAGAACAAGTTAATCTCAGTAACCAAAAACATTGTGTCTGGTCTGTCCTTGTTGCTGAAATCCTGTGGAAGTGATGTATCGAGGTAATAAAAAAAGATGTTTCTTCTTCTTGTACATATGTTCCCATAGGTTCTGGTTAACCTTATTGTTTTGCTTGTCTTTTCTTTGGCTCAGGTTAACTTACTGGTTGTCCAACACTGTTATGTTGCGAGAGATCATTTCAGAGGAATTTGGTGGCACAAATCTAAATGGATCTAATTCTCTTAAAGAAGATTGGACCGATGTTAGAACTCTGATAGCGGCACTAAGAAGAGTTGAAAGATGTTTATTCACCCAAGCAGTTGAATCTATATGGTCACAGGTAAAAACAAAAAAAAGCCATTGATCATCCTTTCTTAAAAGTAGGCTGCAGATGTTAATTGACTTTAGAATCCAACTCCTTCTGTTAGGTAATGATGGTTTATATGAGACCTGAAGGAGTAGACTCGACGATGGGTGAAATGATCGGTAATTTTGCAGAACCAGCAACATGTGACCGGTTACAAGAGAGCTTTTCTGTTAACCTATGGAAAAAAGCTTTTGAGGAGGCTCTTCAACGGCTCTGTCCTGTTCAAGCAACAAGGCGTCAATGTGGTTGTTTGCATGTATTGACCAGAATGGTACACTCTTTTTTCCTTCCTTTCTTCCAGTGGAATGTTGGTTTCTCTTCTGGACTGAAATGACATGTTCTGTCTAACTAGGTAATGGAGCAATGCATTGTAAGACTTGATGTGGCTATGTTCAATGCTATTCTCCGTGAGTGGGCTCATCAGATACCGACTGACTCTGCCTCTGATCCCATTGCTGACTCAAGAGTTCTGCCAATTCCAGCAGGGGTTTTGAGCTTTGAATCTGGCGTGAAACTAAAAAACACGGTATTCACGTAGATCATTTGAAGTCGTACATGTCCCTTTTTCCCAGCTTACTACTTTGGTTGCAAACTTTTCATCTGAAGAAAATTTGTAGAACTCTCCAGCTTGAAACTCACGAGACATGTATGCTAATACAAACGTTTCTACAGGTTGGCTACTGGTCGAGATTGCTGACAGACATCTTTGAGCTCAATGTTGATCATTCTCCGGAAAAGGAGCAACAAATGCAAAGAGGAGATGAGTCATTTAAACCTTTCCATTTGCTCAATGAACTGAGTGATCTCCTTATGCTTCCAAAAGAAATGCTTGTGGATAGTTCCACCAGAGATGAGGTATGTATGCTTCATGATTTAGTACTTCTTATTAACGCTGCGAGCCACAATCTTTATTAGTCGCTTCGTTTCTTCATCTAGCTTCCAGCTTATATTTTAATTGCGTTTCGCAGGTCTGCCCATCAATTGGCCTGAGTTTGATAAAAAGGATATTATGCAATTTCACCCCGGATGAATTCTGCCCGTACCCTGTTCCAGGAACTGTTCTTGAGGAACTCAATGCTCAGGTTGATCTACTTTTTTTCAGCCCTTCAGTGACTAGATACAAATAGAAGTTCTCTTGCTCAAAGCCTAAAACTATGTTGTTTCTGTGTTTCCAGAGCATACTTGAGAGTAGAAGCTCATCTGGAGATGCAACTAGATGCTTTCCTCGGCAAGTCAATCCGGTTTCATATTATCCCCCTTCTTGTAGCCACTTGACAGACATTGTTGCAGAGTTCACTGTCAAACTTAAGCTTTCTATGACACAAAAAAAAGGATACAGCCGCAACGAGGAGGTAGACACATCAAGATCTCCTCCATACTACAACATCCTTAAAGGGGCTGAAGAAAAGGATGCCATCAATTTTTCTCAGACTAACGAAAGATACAGACTCCTTGGAGAAGCCTAAACCTGGCTAAATGACCAGAAAGCGCCTGCAGAAATTCAAAGCTCATTGGGAAGTACACTCAAAATCCAATTCTTATTATCCTTGAACATCAAATGACCAATGTACATTAATACATACTCTAATGTTACACAAACAAAACATACCATCTTGCTCTTGGACCATTTCAATAAAAGCTTGATTTTTGAGTTCAAACCAGAGCTAAGAAATGGTCTCTCTTGGTTAATTATTTATGCGGAAACTGGAAGCTTCTCAGCAGAAGCTGGGACAGAAGAACTAATACCCTCAAGCACTTTAATCACTTGAACCAATGAAGGTCGTTTCTCTGCAGCAACGGCGGTACAATCTAGAGCAATATCTAAGGTCTTTAGCATCTCTGATTGGCAAGAATCGGACAAGATCTTTTGGTCAAGAACTTGCGCAGCTCCATCTGTCAGGTTTATCTTCCTCCTGACCTGCTTCACTATGTCAAGGGACTCCCCAGATGCGCCTTCTTCCACTTTCTCTGCTCTTTGCCCCGTTACAAGTTCTAGTAGTACAACACCAAAACTGTAAACATCCATATCTTCTGTTGCTTTCTTGCTGTAATTGTTTTCTGAATCACATAAAGAAAAAAATCTCTATAAGTTTCAGAACGTCATAACAGAAAAATTCAGTCGTCCTAGACATTTACCTGGTGCAGTATAGCAGGAGTTGGAGTTTGCATGTACCAGAGACTGAAAAGCATTTTCTCCAACGATATGGTCAAGAGCAAAATCGGAGAGCTTGGGTTCGAAATCTTTGTCCAATAGAATATTTGCTGACTTTAAGTTCCTATGGAGTAAGTGTGGCACATAATCTTTGCTAATGTATGCCAATGCTTGAGCAACGCCGAGAGCTATCTTCAATCTAATGCTCCACTGCAGTTGGTTTCCAGGTCTCGGTAGTATATCATGTAAGCTACCATTTTGTGTGAACTCATAGATCAAGAAGATCAATTCATCAGTGAAACAAAACCCAAGAATTCGAGTAATGTTCTTATGCCGTATCTTTGCTATGGTTCTCACTTGAGCTTTCAGAGATTTCGAGGATATATTCTTAGGATTCACGAGCTTCTTTACAGCTATTAACTCCCCACTTGATAAACTGAGAACGTATACTTCACTCCCGGAAGGACAGCTTTCATTCACCACTTTCATCAACTCATGCTCGGTTAACTTGAGGGGATAATAAAACTCCGAGCGCCAAGTACTCTTGAATTGCACTTTCTTTCGAGAATACCGATATAACACTGCGAGGAAAGTGGCAATTGCAAGTGCTAAACATATCAAAGCTAGCACCAACGCTTTACCACCTTTTTTATGGAAGGTAGACCGATCAGAGGAGCAAGAATTGGGTAAACCGGGTCCACAAAGCTCGGAATTTCCTTGAAGAAAGGAAGCTGGTAACCCATAGACCAGAGAGTGAGGTACCTCACCTGATAATTTATTGAATGACACGTTGAAGAGAGCAAGCTTCAGGTTCTGTAAGTCTTGAGGAATCAAACCAGTAAGACTATTATCAGACAGATCAAGATAAGTCAGAACATGTAAATCAGCAAGTGATGTCGGTATTTCTCCGGTAAATGCATTGCCTGCCAGAGACAAAGAGACAAGCTTCTTGCAGTTCTTCAGTTCTGGGATCTTCCCTAAGAGCCTATTGTGAGAGATGTTTACAATACTAAGAACAGGTGAGTCACAAAAATTCGGCGGTAACTCTCCACCAAACCCGTTTTCTGAAGCAGAAAACTTATACAAGCTCTTAACTAGTCCAAGACCATGTGGGATTTCACCAGAAAAAGAATTGTTGTCTATCTCAACTTGCTCCAATGCAGAAGCCAAAGACACAGAATCAGGCACTTGACCTGTGAACCGATTATTATCCGCTCTAATAATCTTAATCTTGGGTAATTTCCATAACACAACTGGAAACTCACCAGAGAATCCATTGTTCTGCACTTGAAACATCTCCAGACTTAGGCATTCACCAATGGAGTTAGGCAATGACCCTTCAAAGAAATTCGAATGCAGAGAAAGGTTAATAAGCCTTTTACCACTGCAAATGCCACTAGGGAAAGAGCCAGATAACTTATTCTGTGAGACATCAAGAGACACTAAGTTCTTGAGAGAAGGCCCTAACGATCGAGGGATTTCACCGCTCAGGTTGTTCAGACAAAGATCCAAGGTTTTCAAACTTGTCAAACCAACAAACGAACTAGGAATCTTTCCATGGAACCCTGACTTATGCAACAGAAGCTGTTCAAGCTTGTCTAATTTCCCAATAAAAGAAGGAATCTCACTAACCAAATAGCTGTTTTCAGACAAATCAAGAACAACAAGCTCACTTAGCTTCCCAATTGCAGAAGGAACGATACCAGTAAGCAAATTACTTCCCAAGTTGAGAACTTCCAGATTGAACAATAACCCTAAATCTTCAGGAATCTTACCCTCGACATGGTTACTGCTAAAGTCAAGAACTTTCAAAGAACTAAACTCAGAAATCTGATCAGGGATTGTGCCCCAGATGAGATTAGAGCTGAGATTCAGAGTCTCTAAAGTAACACACCGAGACAAATGAAGTGGGATTGGTTGATTGAAGAAGTTTAAGGAGAGGTCAAGGTGAGTGAGGTAAGGGAGGTCACAAATGGAGTCAGAGATTTCACCAGAAAGATTCAAACTTTGAAGGTTAATGGAAGAGACGTAAAGAGAAGGAGCTCTGGTACATGTGATACCAGTCCAGTTACAATGGTGAGAAGAAGAAGTGTTTAACCAACCTGAAAGAGAGCCCTTTGGATCATCAATGGAGGCTTTGAATCTGAGAAGATTACCAAGTTCCTCGTTTTCTGTGAAAGAGAAGGTCTTGGTGAAGAAGAAGAAGAAGAAGAATGTGAAAGGTAGTGAGATTGAAAACTGGTGCTTGAATCTGGTAGCCATTAATGAGAGATAGAGGATCTACTGAATGAGTGAACAAGTGTGAGTGAGAGTGAGAGTGAGACTGAGAGTGAAAAAAGCAGAGAATCTAGAACATTATTGAAACGAAGGGGTGGTTTTTGCAAATATAAGATAATAGGGTTGGATTATGGTAAAAGAAAGAGTAGAGGGTTTAGTTTGAAATTTCCCGTTAAGTTTTCGTCGAGGGTCTTTGGGAACTGGTAGATTTGTAGACAAAACGACGTCTCGGAGATTGGAATTTCGGATCGTGTCTCTCTCTGCTTCTTCTTTGTTTCAATCCGATTTCGAATCAAACCCTTTACTTCTTCTCCTCAAAGATTTCGTTTTTCCAGGTCAGTTTCTTCATCAAGCCAACTTTTTTTTCTAGGGTTTTCTCCTTTTTTATTGTTTGTTGCTTCACAGTCCTAAGAAGCTACTTGTTAACTCTGTGTTTTGCCTTTTGAAGTTAAACCTAGTTGACTTTCTGAAGTTTAAAGAGTTCAGCTTAACTTTGTTCTTAATTTTGGAGCAACCAAAATCATCTAATTCTGATATTTTGGATTTAAATTTTATCTCTTAAATTCTGTTTCTTGGTTTGAATTCATAGCTGCAGCTTCATGCCAAGTTTTTGCTGGTGCTAGATTTAGAGTTAAGCTTTTTATTTTACTCGGATATGAATTCTTAGTAGTGAGTAGGAATTGAGTCAACTCGGATGTCAATACTGAATAGATTTTTGTTCTGACTAGAATTGCAAACCAAGCTACTTCAGTGTCATTAAAACTGAATTGAAATGGTTTGTGACTGTGCCTAACTTCCAAACTCAGGCATTTTCAACTGTGCCACCTTCTTAACTCTCACTGGTTTTGACTTTGATCCGCGGTCTAAGCTTAAGGTCTCAAGTCGTCGAGGGTTTCTAGATTGTTCAAGCTTCTTGTCTGATTGGGTTTGATGAATTGCTTTAAAGGTTGTTTTTTTTCTATGACTATGTTGGTATATCAGTATTTTCAGTTTGCTACACAAAGGGTCTTCATTGATTTTTTTGTTGCAACTAGATGTTCTATTGTTCTTTCAAGTGACATCCACATTTAATTAGCTTGCTTTTGTTCATAATTTTTGCATATTTGGTACACATTTGATGGGATATTCTTATATATTTGAGTTTGTGCCTTTTGGATTTTGGTAGTTAGCAGAATTCCCCTTAGGACACTTCTGTGTTGAATAAGTAAAGGACTCTTTAGCGTTCTTTTTATCGGACATAATTGAAAACTATGTTAGCAAAAGAGATGGTATGTAATATTGTTTTTTGTGCTCATTCAGCACAGCCAATGGTCCGGATGACCAACATTTGTTCTTGATTCATTTCCTATTGATTCTTCTTGTAAGGTGTCTTAATCTTTCTTTTATTCTCTATAGCGTCTATCACCTAATTTATTTCTTTCTGTCTTTTCTTTTTCTTAATTTCTTTCCGAATCCTGGCAGTCTGTGCACATAAAAGAATTCTCAAGAAGTTGGTACTAAAAGAGAGGCCACAAGTGGATATTGTCTTTGTTATCTAGTGTTAGTACAGAAAAGTGGTGAGAAAGTAATATGGCTGATACCAGTCCGAGAACTGATGTCTCAACAGATGAAGACACAGACCATCCTGATCTTGGGGTTAGCTCATAATCTCGCTAGATTTTATAACTTATATTCTTCAAACGAGTGTGATTTTGATGGACCAGTACATTTTTCTGGTGTTAATTTCATGCAGTCGGAAGGAGCACTAGTGAATAATGCTGCTTCTGATTCTAGTGACCGATCGAAAGGCAAGATGGATCAAAAGGTGATATGTCCATCTCTGTAGATAAGATAATTATTTTTATTGAGCAAATGTATAATCTCTTTTTGTTTCCTTATATTTTGATCCATAGACCCTTCGTAGGCTTGCTCAAAACCGCGAGGCAGCGAGGAAAAGCAGATTGAGGAAGAAGGTAAAATACCTTCCATTGGTTTTTTTTCTTATCATCTTCTTTTCTAAATTGGTGCATCGCTTGAAGGATACATATTTGCTACTATCTTAACTCCTTTTAATTGCTCCCTCCATAGGCGTATGTTCAGCAGCTGGAGAACAGCCGCTTGAAACTTACCCAGCTTGAGCAGGAGCTGCAAAGAGCAAGACAGCAGGTTCAAATTTGTAATCCTATTTATATTGATTATTCTTTTGTGATTCTGTGTACATAAAGGAAATTTTCTCGCTTTTAGGGCGTCTTCATTTCAAGCACAGGAGACCAAGCCCATTCTACTGGTGGAAATGGTTGGTTGCTTATTCTCCATCAGTTTCATTATGTTTTTTTTTTTTCTGGCTTGTAATTTGTGGATAAATAAGTTCTTATATCCACTTGGTTAGAGTGATCAATTGGGTATATCAAATGTCATCCCAAGACACTCTCGTTGTCAGAATCTTCTGATAGCAAAAACTGTTTATCTAATTAGCACTGGTGTAGATTTAGATTTACAAGATGATGAATCTCATAGGTTTGTTCTTGATCATGTATAACTTTTTAATTTTATTTCAGGTGCTTTGGCGTTTGATGCTGAACACTCACGGTGGTTGGAAGAAAAGAACAAGCAAATGAACGAGCTGAGGTCTGCTCTGAATGCGCATGCAGGTGATTCTGAGCTTCGAATAATAGTCGATGGTGTGATGGCTCACTATGAAGAGCTTTTCAGGATAAAGAGCAATGCAGCTAAGAATGATGTCTTTCACTTGCTATCTGGCATGTGGAAAACACCAGCTGAAAGATGTTTCTTGTGGCTCGGTGGCTTTCGTTCATCCGAACTTCTCAAGGTCAGGTCAAATTTCATTTTGTCTTCACCGGTTACATCTGTTTTTGCATAGAACATAAAAAGAATGGTCATAGTGAAAAATGTGTTGAAACAGCTTCTGGCGAATCAGTTGGAGCCAATGACAGAGAGACAGTTGATGGGCATAAATAACTTGCAACAGACATCGCAGCAGGCTGAAGATGCTTTGTCTCAAGGGATGGAGAGCTTACAACAGTCTCTAGCTGATACTTTATCGAGCGGGACTCTTGGCTCAAGTTCATCAGGGAATGTGGCGAGCTATATGGGTCAGATGGCCATGGCAATGGGAAAGTTAGGTACCCTCGAAGGATTTATCCGCCAGGTACAACACTTGTGATGTTATTGAGATGATATCTTAAGAATATATATTATATCAACAGGATAATAATAGTCTCTTGGTTGGTGGTGGCAGGCTGATAATTTGAGACTACAAACATTGCAACAGATGATAAGAGTATTAACAACACGACAGTCTGCGCGTGCTCTACTTGCAATTCATGATTACTTCTCACGGCTACGAGCTCTTAGCTCCTTATGGCTCGCCCGACCCAGAGAGTGAAACTGTATTTTGGTCACTATCAGCTGTACAAAATCCATATGGGACACAAACCAGGAGAGACTATTAATCAACACTTGTCAGAGATTCTTCTTACCAAATCCATCAACAAATAAGCAAATTTCTGGGAAACAAAGACTCTTTTGTCTGTAGGTTTCTACATGGTTGTGGTAATTCATGTTGTTTTAGCTGTAGCCTTCAGTTTTTAATTTAGCATTTTAAAAGTTCAATGTTTATATATCATCTTCGATTATCTTAGAAAGGTTATTGAATTTTTGTTTTTTTTTTTTTAATGTTACTTTGTGTGTGGTAAAGGTGTTTTAACCTTGCAACTTCTGTACTTGTAATCATTTAACAATATAAAGATTTTATTTTGAGTTTTGTGGTTTCATCGCTTGTGTCTTAAATCTTTACGGTAATTCTAATGTAAATTTCAAACAGATGAAAACTAATCTCTATTTTTTTGCTTTCCATAATGTTATACAATCTTTAGTTAAAAAGAGTGACTAAACAAGCGCATTAAGAACATAAAATTACCTTAAAAATCGTTAACAATATTAAGTATTTTTGTTAATAACAAAAAGGGACATGTCATTGTCAAAACCAAGAATAATTTTGTTTTTTTTGTCAAAACAGTGTTTGCATTTTCAGACAGAGGACTTTTAAAGCCCTCAGCATCTAGAGGTCCACCATCACTTGAGTTCGTCTTCCATTCCTGTTTTTTTTCAGAGACCGGGAAAATAAAATAAAAAGAAGATCTTACAAACTAAAATACCTCAAAGAAGGTAGAGACAAAAGTAGTAACCTTTGTTGTTGATTGATATTCATATCTTGTGGGTTTTAGACAAGACCCACGTCTTTGGTGATTGGAATTTTCTCGGATCTTTGTTTCAATCCCCTTTTTTCCCGAGCAACCCTTGTTTGTGGTTAAGCTCAAGAAACCATTCACCAGGTAAGTTTCTCCTTCAATAGTCTTAAGGGTTTTACTTCTTCAGTTTTCTTATTCTCTGCCTCTGCTTTCATGATTGCTTTTTTTCATTGAAGATTTTGACCTTTGAGGGCTTTTTCCTTTTTGCTTTATGTACGTGTTCAGGAACCAAATCATTGGTTGTGACACTATTTAAGTGAAATTGGTTGAGATTAGATGTTAACAAGCTCGAATTTTGTGTCTTTTACTCTGTTTCCGAGGCTAGTGTGCTAAATTCTGAATCTTTTAGCTCTACTTCAGTCTAATGTTCACAATAGTTACTGTTTCACCTCACGAAGATCTTTGTGCTATGATATTCCGTTGGTTCTCACTTCAAATCATATAGGTGGCTTATAATTTACTTTGACTACTCAAAGTTCTTCAGGTCATTGGTTGCTTCACACTATGTTAAGTTTAGTTTGGATCTTTATGAAAGAGATACCTTTTTTAGTCTCTCTTTATGTCATCAGGTTAAAATATGTTTTGTTTCTCTATAACTCTAATTTTTGGTTTCTGTTTACCATCTTAATATGACAGTCTTTACCACGATTGGATCGGTTTTTGTCTAATTAGTAACTGAGATTTCGAAGAAAATAAAAATGGGAGATACTAGTCCAAGAACATCAGTCTCAACAGATGGAGACACTGATCATAATAACCTAATGGTTAGCTTGTAAAATTGTTAGGTGTTGCTTCTTTATGTTCATTATATGGCCAAAGTTTTGAAGTAAAACAGTATTTATGCAGTTCGATGAAGGGCATTTGGGTATCGGTGCTTCTGATTCTAGCGATCGTTCAAAGAGTAAAATGGATCAAAAGGTGAATATAGACATCTCTATATTGCAAGAGTTTGTTTTTGTAATGAACCTTTCATTTATGTTTTTTCTTGTTTATTGTAATCAACAGACGCTTCGTAGGCTTGCTCAAAACCGTGAGGCTGCAAGGAAAAGCAGATTGAGGAAGAAAGTACGCTTAGATTTATGTTTCATTGTTTCAAATTCTTTTATGTTTTTTTTAACAAGCTATTTGCAAACTCTAAGATGTCCATTGGTTACTTCACTTTTAGGCATATGTTCAGCAGCTAGAGAACAGCAGATTGAAGTTAACACAACTTGAGCAGGAGCTGCAAAGAGCAAGGCAACAGGTTTTAACTGTGTTCTGCTATATATATTTTTTGTAGATATTTGCTCTTCTGCATACATAAGCATTTTCCCTTAATCTTAGGGTGTCTTTATCTCAAGCTCTGGAGACCAAGCCCATTCTACCACTGGAGATGGTGAGTTGGCTGAATCTCTATCCAAACAGTTATTTTTGGTGCATGTTTTCTATGGATTTGATGAAATAGTTGTATTTAACCATTTATTGATGATGTGGTTAAAAATTTTAGTTTTGTAGGTTATCAAGTAAAGCTAGGACTAGTTTGGTTGATGGTGTTGTGAGATAGTTTAATAATGGTTCTGTTTTACAGGGGCAATGGCATTTGATGCAGAATACAGACGATGGCAGGAAGATAAAAACAGACAGATGAAGGAGCTGAGTTCTGCTTTAGATTCTCACGCGACTGATTCTGAGCTTCGGAGAATTGTAGATGGAGTAATAGCTCACTATGAGGAGCTTTACAGGATAAAAGGCAACGCAGCTAAGAATGATGTCTTCCATTTATTATCAGGAATGTGGAAAACACCAGCTGAGAGATGTTTCTTGTGGCTCGGTGGTTTCCGTTCGTCAGAACTTCTCAAGGTAAGAAACACACCAACCGGTTTCAGTTTATCGGGTCTCTTCACTAGCAAGTTTTCAAACTTTTTACTTCTTTACTACAGCTTATAGCGAATCAGTTGGAGCCGTTGACAGAACAACAATCACTAGACATAAATAACTTGCAACAGTCTTCTCAACAAGCAGAAGATGCTTTGTCTCAAGGGATGGACAACTTACAGCAATCACTTGCTGATACTTTATCGAGCGGGACTCTCGGTTCAAGTTCATCAGGGAATGTAGCTAGCTACATGGGTCAGATGGCCATGGCTATGGGGAAGTTAGGTACCCTTGAAGGATTTATCCGCCAGGTACGTTAAAATTGTGTTGTTTACATCAAATGAAAAATGTATCTTGCAGTCATTTGATAGCACCATCTTATTGTTTGTGGCAGGCTGATAACTTAAGGCTACAAACATATCAACAAATGGTAAGAATGTTAACAACCCGACAATCGGCTCGTGCTCTCCTAGCAGTACACAATTATTCATTGCGGTTACGCGCTCTTAGCTCTCTATGGCTTGCCAGACCAAGAGAGTGAACCAACTATATACCATGATTCTCCTTCAAAGAAGGTCCAGAAAAATTTGAGATTCTTAGCCTAAGATTTGACGACTTTAGACATGTAGCTCGTATACAAGAATATGATTATACTGTTTTGTGTTGTAATGTTTGTTTGTAATGTATCTTGAAACCATCATAGTCCCCTAACATTTGAAAAGCGTTATTAGGATACTAAAGAGAAGAAGTCACTTTGGTTTTGTACAATATCATTACAAATTTGTAAAATATGTGAAGTTGCAAATTCAAACAGAACAAAGAAACAAATAGTGGATGAGTTAAAAGAAGGAATTGGTTTCGTTCAAGATGACGAGAAGAGTGACGACGAAAGCATAGTCAACGCCTGCATTAATTGTAACCACAAAGTCTTGTTTACCTTTGAAATATCCACCAAATGTCGACTTCTCCTTCACCTGATAACATCATTAATGTTCATGACAAAGTCGCATGTGATGATGAATAATAAAAAGAGATAAGGATCATGAAACATACCTCGGCGATGAGAGTGTCGGCATGGTAAACTCTGGCAGAGTCGTCCAAGTAAGTGCCAACGACGCTGAAGTTGCGGACTTGGTTAGATTGAAAGAAGACATCGAGACGAGCCCTCCATTGAAGAGGATGAGAACGTTGCACTGTGAACATCAGCTCCGTTGCCGTTGGATCAGAGCCTTCTCCTCGGTGAACCGTCCATCGGTGATTTAACGACGTCAACTACAGTTTTGGTTACAAAAGTATGAATAATCGGTTAAGGAAGGTTAACCGGCTACTGCACTATGACGGTTAGAATTGTACATTCGATTCTTTATGGTTTCGTGGTTTACAAGTAGCACCAAAAACCAATTATGTTCGGTTTGACAAATTTTCGGTTCGATATAGATTCAACCAAAAATAGAATGTATAACCAATATTGGTTTTTTTTTTTAACAACTACTGAAACTTTTATTAGATGGTGTAAGGTTTATACAAATGTGCTTTATTTGGTATAAAAATATTGGTACTGTTTGGATTTGGTTTCGGTTTAACTTTGATTATGTTCGGTTTTTATATCTAACGTCGGTTATTATTATTGCATAAACATGCATGAAAATCAATCACCTTCTCGCGCATGGTGAGGAGAGGGTAACCGGCGGGGTCACGGAGAACACGTTTCTTGTTGAAGCTGTGGTGAGGACCGTCGACACGAAGAACGACACTAGACTCGAGGTCGACAACCTCCAGCTTGGCACCGCTGAGTCCTTTACAATTCTTCTTGACGGTCAGCTCGAGCGGGTAAGGACAGCAGAAAACGTCACTCACCACCACCACGTTTGTGTTCTGCGCAGCCACGGGCACTCCGTACGCATACGCATTGCTCATTTTCTGATACGGACCCATCATTGCTTCCTGCTCTTTTTTCTAGAGTCTCTATATTTAATATAATCTGATTTGTTTGATTAATTGCAACTTTTTAATTGTGTCTCTCTATACATATATATATAGACGAGACATAATTTGCGTGTGTTGGTGGTCAAGAAACCTTTTTTAAAACGGGTTTTTGTGTATTTTATCATTGTGAGAATGGTCTTGGTCATTGGTTTATAGTACTTTATATTAGAGATCGGGTTTGAATAGTATATAAAGATTTACAGTTCTATATCCGATAGTTGAAAAAGCAATTTTTATTATTTGTATATTCAAATCCTTGGATTTCTTTGCCCAGTAGTTTGAACTTGGTTCACGTCACGGTAGGAGTTTCTCGGAGACAGTAATAAATATCAATCCTAAAAATAAATAAAATAAACATAGTCAAAGGTACAGCTATAACGGAACGGTCAAAAATCCAACAGAACTGGGATTTCCCGTCGATAAATCATTAATTTTATTTGAATGCTTAAGAAATTATTAAGGTTTATAAAATATAAACCGACTAGAATATGATCAGAGAGGTTGATTTATTTAATTACTAATTAAAGCATGCGGTCAGCAGGAGGCAGGAGCCGCACACCACCAACCTTAAAGAATCTATTTTTCATCATTCAATAGTTTTACTGAACTTACGAACACGCCGATCTGGTCCGGTCACAACATACTACTTTTATAGCAGAACCCAGACCAGAGCCTCATCTGGTCCCAGTTTGATGAAATTGATCGCAAACTACAGACATTTCACATTTGTATCAAAAGCAAAGATAAGTCAAAAGAATGACACCTAAAAAACTCAGGTAATATTTCTCTACAACCTGTACTTGTGAGAATCAATTATACAAATGATTTTGTTACTAAAGAAAAGACCGAAAGAAAGAAATCAAAAGACGCAAATATGATCTGATCAGACCAGCGCATTGATATTACCCGTGGGATTTTGGGATTTTGTACTGTTTTTTCAGAAACTGAGACGCCTCTGAATCGTTTCTGTGGCAAAGCACTCGTACCAATGTTTGGGTGTCCGCTCCAAGTTTGCCTTTTCCTCCTTGCTGCATCTCTAGACTGCTTCTAGACCTCAAGTCATCAATAAGCTCCCGTGTCTGTTGCGTAGTTAATATGCGAGTCAAAATACCGAACAATTTTTTCAAACTAGGACCAGTTGGTGGTAAAAAAAAGGTTAATGATGATAAGAAAGAGGCTGGAGCAGTTTTATACTAACCTCGTATCCGTGCAACTTTACAACAAGACGAACTCTGGCTACTTGATTTTCAACCACTCCTCTCGGAAGTCCATCCCCACCAGAAATAAAGAATTCCTAGTAACACCCATAATCATTATGAGCTTTAACGACAAACGCATTTCGGGCGGCTATAAAGATAAGATGACAGTTAAGAAAGAGTTACCTTTAAGACCTCTACATCTTCTTCTAACAGCTTTGACTCGCTTGGATGAAATACACGTGACGGGCCTCCATCTAATAGTACACGAAGTAATCCATCCTGGTAAATTTGGAATATTATCAATCAAAAGGCAAACACTTGAGAACTTGTCTATAATGTAAATAAACCCGACTGAGATTAAACTACAGACAAGTGATGCTTGAAGCAGGCTGGTGACTATCCGATCCCTCAATGGCTCCATTATGACACTACATAGCTGTCCAAGTTCCTGGTCAAAGTAATTGGAAATTTAATTTAGCAATGTCGAGAAAAAATTCCTTTGCTAATATTCATTGGTGCCAAAACGCCAATATAAATCTAACAATAGTCAAGGAATTTCTTGCTTGAGTGACTTCTAGGCACCATAGTTTTTAGAAACCCCGAATCATGTTACCAGCACCTTGTGTGTGTGGCAATGCAGACTTCATGTAAACTGTGAATGGCTGGCTCAGCTAAAAATTGTCTTGCTAAGGGGAGATTTCTTACCGTGTCTAGGGCTTCGATTAATCCTTCCAATCTTGATTGAGAAACATTTGGCTTATACAAATTTTCAATAAATGGCTCCCTTAAATCACAGAAGATAATCTTGGTTCCTGCAGTGTGAAAGAATCATGATTAATTTAACCCTTTAATAATGAATTTTTCAAGGATATCACATACGGCATCTCACCAGTAAACTCGCAGATACGATCCAGAGCTGCATTGATATCTTTTCTACTCCCCTCAAAAGATTCCTTCTGGTTAAAACTCTTGGATTTCTCAACCAAAGATTTTCCTATCAAGGTAGCCATAATGGGAATGTATTATGCATATGGCTAAGATAATAAACTTTTAAATTGAGAACTTTTGTAAGGGGAAATGAACTTCAGCATTGAATAAGCGCATAGGTGTTCCATACTGATGACAATCTTTTCACGAGGTTTTTTCGCTATCCAGCGGTCCCACATGCTGTCTTCTAACTTGCTCAGTTGACTAACAGCATACTGTGAAAAGCGTATGAAAACATTATCAATAGCAGCAACGCTTACAAATGATGCTTGAACTGAGGAAGCGAGTCTTGACTTACATGTAAAGTATTGAGCTGAACGCAAAGTATAGCGGTTGCAGGAACATTAATGTTAATCGACCTTCTCTCATCAGGGTGTTTTGACTCAAATAGTTCCTTCTTAACAAAAACCTTGATTGCTGTTTCCTTCTTGTAACGAGTAAGAACAGGAACAGGAGGAACCAAATCATCCTTGCTAGCTGGAATGAAAAAAAATCCGATACCAGAATATTTCAGTAGACCAAAAACAATGTCCAGGTTAAGGAAGATAAAAGCTCATAAGAATATAAGTTAAAGTTTAGAACTTCAAAGCTCGGAAATAGCTTTAACCAGTCACATTGGCATACCTAGCTTCTCCATGACATGGTTAGTATATACTTGAAATGCATTGTCAATGCCACGAAATAAAGCACTTAGTTCAATGGATCTCATTGGAACTTTTAGCGCAAAAAATTGATCAACAGTCTGCATCAAAGAGTATCCAAAACATTAATTAGACACGCTCTTATAAGTGAAGGCATATTGCTAACGGACTCTGCTTCTACAAGAAACAAAGATATCACAGCTTCTTCAATACAATTTTGACACAGACACAGCATCATTCAAGTCTAATAATCTTTCTTATACAGTATAACTGGGAACTAAGTCAAATTTAAATTCAACAAGCATAGGGTCACAACAAATTGAACAACCTATCTAAGGAAGCTCAACAAGATAAACTTATGCCTTAAGCAACGGATGAGACTCAGAAAATCTAGTAAAACATGTGCTCCACAACAATAAAATATACATATGCTACTACGAAAAAGATACAGAAAAAGATGAATATAGGACCCCCTACCTCTTCTACAATCCTGAAAACTTCGACAATTGAGCTCCCATGCCGCTGTTGAGGTGATATTGGGTCCCAATGCTATACAGAAAAGCGAAGAAGCGTTAAGATTTAAAGAAAAAAACTAGTATCGAAAGACAGATAAAGCAATTCTTCGAAAGATCAGTAAAGGAAACACCAAATCTCACCTCTTGTTTAAAAGCTCGCTCCACCCAGCTTAAAATTCTCCCCAGCTGTGAATTGATCCATCTCAAAACCAATGTGCCAGAGAGGGATTCGACCTAAATTATTGAGAAATATTATAGCCAACGTGATTGCCGCTGAATTTGAACCTGTTTATAAGCTGTCTTAACCCATGCGTCTTAGATTTCAAAGTAAAACATCTGACCTCATATGGAATTAATTTTCTGAAGTAAGGTCCACTTGTATCCTCTCCGCAGACAGAAGTCATTAACTCCAGTAAATATTGCTCAAGGCTATCAGCCGCAGGAAAAACAGAGACAGCGTCCTCAGTCAAGTGTTCAGCACCATCAAGAAAAGGTTTCTGAAGTAAAATACAAATTCAAGATGTCATTAATGACTGAGATATAGTAACCAAAAAGTAATAAGATGGGACGCTAGCATCAAGCTTACCAATTTGTTCCCATAAAGCTTGTGAACAAGGGATGCAGAAAACGCAATTGCTTGTGGGTGCCTCTGAGATAAAATTGGCATAAAGATGGTAGAGTCCTTTTTCATAAGTTTCTTAGTCTCCTCAGCAAGCAATGCCAAATGGTGCTCATTATTTCTGTCTGATCTATCAATGGCAAGTGACATCTGTAAATTTGCAAAAATCAGCCTCATTATACCATCCATAATATTATGCGTCAAGTTGTGCACAATGGAAACAGAATTTGCTCAATTATTAGAATGGGCATAAATGAGAACTGATATGTTATCGTTAGTCAAACATCTAGAAAATTAATATAACACTTACCCTTGTGAACGTGTTCTTGATGGAAGATAAAATGTAGGACTCAATTTGCTCTCGATCTGACGAGTTAGAATGCATCGCCTGTAGAGAAAAATAACCATCATTCTCAGTTACAAGTACAGAAGTCATGTTGGGAAAACTATTGCACCACTGCTCCATTAAAAAGCAGATTACATACTCGATCAGATTCCTCCAACAAAAGCCTCCAAGTTATCATTGCAACTGTGACTGTATCCTCCATGACAAGTGAACCCTGAAAATGTAGATAAAAATAACAAAATGTCTAACTTCAATGGTATATAAATAGAGAAAAAGAAACTGCTTGCAATAGAAATGTGTTTAGAAGTAAGATAGATATAGGGAGCCTAAGGTGGATATACTCTTATTTGAAATTATGTATGATATATAAATTTAATGCAAATATATACATGAGTGTTTGACATGCATATGGAATAATTAGACATATGAAACAATGCGTCAATTTTCTAGACACTATTGAGACTAATGTGTCCATTTGATGTGAAAACACACAATATCACATAAGCAAGTGTACAGCTCACTAGACAAAGTAGAAGAAGATGGCTGATCCTATATATGAATTACTGTAATTGAAATGAAAGCAACTATTGTGTTTGAACACATTTGTTTTTAGATAAAACCTCGGCAAAATGCAGATGGTAGTCGCCCAGCTGCTTATCGGCCCAACTCCGTATAGGTGACAAGAAGGACTCCAGGAAGGATATCTCTTCATTTTCAACCCTACACTGCAAGGTTTTCAAGTGTATGCGCTCCTGAGGCCCACGTTGTTCTTTTAGAGGGATTTTCTTCAGCTGCTGAATAGCATGTCGCAGAAGTCCTCGTTCACTAGTAATTACATACTGCAACCACACAACACACTCATAAGCTACCCTAAAAATTCCAAGATGAAGCATCAATATCATTATAATAAAGAGAATTTCTTGTCCATCATTACCTGTCGAAACAAAACCCAGGCATAGCATGTGTAATGGATGGTCTCTGTAATTCCAAGAACACGCCACGTTGACTTCAAAAGCTCAAGAATTTCTTCAACTTCCTAAAATAAAATGAAAAAAAAGGTTATTTATGAACATTTCATAGTAAAAGAAACAATAAACAGAAAGGCAACTTGTCAATAATTTCTTTCTGGTAATGTATATAGGAATTATAATATAAGAAAGAATAAAAAAGAAGAGGGGAATCTAAGCAGCTCAAAAAGTGACATCTGAGAAAAAGAACAGAAACCTTTCAAATCAATATGATGTTTTAAAGGACCAAGAATATTGTTGCTGGAACATGTATTCATTAATATTTTGACAGAATTCACGGACCTCTGTGAGCTTCCCATCATTCAATATGTCAAAGACACATAGAAGCAATTTTTCATATAGTCTGACATTCAAATGATAGCCATCAGCCCAATGGCAGACTTCACCCGTCAAATCACCACGAGCCGGTCTCTCGGCAAGTGAGATAGCAACTTCTCTAAGAGATTTTAAACATTCTGCTCTTTGCACTTCTCCAGCTGAGGATGGAAGAGACTATAAATAGAAAAGAAAGCAAAAAGAAAGTCAAAGAAACATATTATGAAACCATTAATGTAAGCAAATTCAGTTTTTAGTAAGCAAAGCCAATAGAGAAACTGCCAGAAAAAAAAAAAAAGAAAAAAAAGAAAGAAAAAAAAAGCCATTTTTCCCACAAATAATAATAACCCATCTTAACCTTTGGATATTATAATGCCACACCCTTAAAGGAAAAATTTATAAAATACCCACTTCCGATATCTTATGTCTACACCATATAATAAATCACATTAACATAATAAAGTAGAAAAACTACCTCTGATTCTTCAATCCTTAGCAGAAGACTCTTCAGGTCAGTTGCCTTACGACCTGATTCTCCAAATCCAACAACTGGATTGTTAATGAGCCCCTCTGCTAACATGTTTAACTGAGATACCAAAACGTTAATAGATGATAGGACCAATATACTAAATGAAGAAAAGCAATTAATATTACACCCAGATGTGAAAGGTGGTCTTTACCTGCCTTTTCTGCCAACGTAAGTACGCTTTCTTGTCAGAGAACTCGGTACGAGACACGCAACATAGCAATTCTAAAGGCACCAGGAGGCTGTCCATTCTTTTGCCAACTTTCCCCGCTAGAGCATTAAGCAACCCCTGTCTTGTTCTGATGTCCATAGCCTCAGAAATCTATATGATTCCAAAATATTGATTGTCATATACACAACAAACACATAAAGAGGGTTATCTGTGATTCATATGGTAGTGCAGGCAACAGCACCAAAAACATAATACAATACAGTGACATATAGAAAGAGTAAACTGAGGAACCAAGCGAAACGTGTCCAAGCGCATACTAAAAAATCAATGAATCAGAGACATTTGGCATACAAAAATGAGGGCATCTTGACATGTTACTTACATAAGAACAACTTCACAGGAAAATATAGAGTAATAAATATGTAAAATCCATGCTCTGACAAACCATATACGCATCTACAATAGAGATAAGAAAGCAACAGTGCGAGAGAGAGAGGTAGTGACCTCCATTTGGCCCCGCATCATTTCTAAAAGAGCAACCAATCCTGATGAACTCTGTGACTGAGAAACGCTTTCACTTTTGCGACCAAGTTTCTTAATCAGCCTAGACCTGCTTTTCTCCTTCTTTTTCTCTTTTGATGGTACTATGAGACCTCTATACGATGACAAAATACATGTTGAAAACATATGAAAGATAAAAATGATATCAGTAGAACTCTGACTGAAATTGCAAGCACACCTCAACTGAACAGAAAAAGTAAAAGTAAGCAAGTCAATATTCTGTATACCCTGAAGCTCCAGCGCAAGCCAAAAGGATTTCAAATGCGGTTTCACGGAGATCATCATCTGTAATACCTGAAACAGAAATACATTACAACTTTCTTAATAAATCAGAAGGTTCTTGATTTTTCATGGGTGTACTACTTATGGTCCAGTCGTAGTTAGCTCTGGCTACTGGATGGTATAAGTAATGATAATTTTACAAGCACTCCTCTGTTTCTCGAACTAAAATGCCCTGTCCATAAATGACAAATTACCAAGTCTACAAATGCACGTATGATCTGAATAATTCTATAAGGTTATCCAATGGAATAACAGTAACACTAGTATTTCTTTATCAAATTAACTTCTTCAATATATGCATTTTCCAATCTTTTACCAGTCGCAAAGGAGGGCAGTTTTGGCACAAAATCAGCCGCATCATTCGCAGTTCGCCTTGAGATTCTGAAATTACCAACTTCATCAAGATCATCATCGTCTTCAAAATCTTCAATGTCATCAACAGTCAGCTCTTGAGCTTTTGGTGAATCAATAGATTCTGATCGCATCAATGATGGCACAGTTGGTGACTCACACCACTCCGGATTAGTAACCATGGGAGAGGATGAGGAAATTAATACAGGAATAGGTGGTGGGGCCCTTTTTGGAGGTGGGCCAGAAGATTCAGGAATTGTAGCCAAAAAGAACTCATCAGCAGTACCGACGCTATTCTGAAATATGCATAAGACCAAAGCATTTAGAAAATAACTGATACAAGTGGAATGAGAAGGAGAAGGTGACTTTAGCATCTCAGTGACAGGCATAAAAATGTGATTAGATGTCAAATGGATTATCCAAAAATGTAGTTGTTTAACTTGCGTAATCATTCAAAATGTTGCAAGGTTCTCCTAGTAATGAGAAAAATCTAGTCTTTGAAACATGTAGGAAGACCAACCAACATAAGTGAAAGCATCCTTGACTAACACTAACGAATTGAATTAAAGAAATCTGTTAATGTATAGTAAAGATAGACAAGTGAGAATCATACCATATAAGGCAATCCAATGTGATCATGATAGTCCCGAATAGCTTCAGCAAGTTCGAGCATTCCACCTAAATTAAAACAATATACACTATCACTCTAAGAAAACAGAACGATCACGAAAACAACAGAAGAAAAGAGGATCAGCACGCTAGTATCACCTTTCTTAGCACAGTTAATGACATAATCAACACTAACTTGATCCAAATCAACATCGTCAAGAGTCACAGCCCCAGGAGGCATTATAACTTTCTTGATTAAGCTACCAGCCAACATAAAATCCAAGAGTTTCCGCCTATCCCGGCGATATCTCTGAAGAATCTCAACAGCATTTTCTCTATACACAAAAAAAAACAGCACATGGATCAAAATGCATAAGCAATAAAAACGAAGATTGTACAGTATCCAAAAATCAAAAGAAGAAGAAAGTAACACACTCTTCCATGTCGATCCAGCTGCAATAATTAGTCACACGGATTCTCAGATTTCAATTAACCTGTGAAATCAAAAGCCGTGAATCAATAAATCAAGTCTACTTCTAGGACGAGAACTAGAGACTACATTGAATGCAAAATTTAGAAGTAGAGTTTAACTGAACTAACCAACCATTTCTTCAGATTCCTCGCGAACACCGGGAAAAAACAATTAATCCAACGGAAGGATTGATTTAGTGAGAATTTCAGAGATGATTGATTATGAATATGATCTGGAAATGTAGAGGAATGAACTGTTTTGGAGAACTTGGAGCAGAAATTTCGAGGTGGTGGTGAGCAAATCTTGAGAAAGCGCCGGGGCCGAAAGATCTATCTCTGTATATTATTTGGGAAAAAAAAAATGAAGCTGATTTGTCTCAACTTTTATTTTTTTAGTTATCTCCCTAATTTTCTTTCTTTGACTTCTTTGAACACCGAATTTGTCAAATTTGAAGTCTCAACTTCATTGATAGTAAAAAAAAATATATATATATATATAGGTATAATTTGCATTACTGATTTAAGTAATTAGATACTACTCCTATTTGTTTAGCTTTTTAGTATTCCCAAATCTTATTTCCTAATGAAGATTTGAATATTTTAATTAATTTGGAAATCTGAAAAAGATTAATGTTATTCAATTATGACTGATTTTAATATTACAAGTTGAAATTCCTATGCTTTTTCATTAGTGATAATGTGATATGAACAAGGAGGATTTTAGCCAACACATCTTTCCACATTGTTTATGTTTTCCAGTTTTGGACCGAACTGGATTTTTTGTCAAGCCCTTGTCAGGCCCAATGGATCATATATTAACCCAACGAAGTAGCAAGCAAAAATGTATTAGCAACTTTGCCTGTAAGCTCGTCGGCAGCTGGGTTTTCAAATACCTCCTATAAAGGTCCTAAACCAATTTCAAGTTTTAAAACTATAGTTTTGGAGAAAACATTTAACATTGATGAGAAAGGTTACTTAAGAGAGTGAGAGGAACATGTATTATCCACTGCATCACCATGAGACCATGGGTCCCACTCCACCGCAAAACAGACTGTCACGTGTCATCACCTCCCTATACCTACAGGCCACGTGTCTAGACCAATTCAAGGGAACATGTGACGTGTCGTCACCAAACCTGTGCCGCTAACCACTGCCTGAATCTGGAGGGTATATCCGTAAACTCTTTTGTTTTTGTCGTCTATCCGTAAGCAGACAACTTTTAGGAACTACAAAAATGTACAAGTTGGCCAGTTGTGTTTAGGCTCGGACACGAAGCGGATATCCGAAAAATTTGAAATATTCGTTATTCTATTTGTCTTAACCGAATACTTGATTTTGTGATTTGCTTAGATCCGAAAATTTCCGGATATTCGGAAAATCGAATATCCGGATTTTTTTGTGATATTTGCGGATATCCGCTTCGATACTTCTGTACCTATTAAAATCCTAAAAAGCTAAGCGCTCTCGTGTAAAACTACGAAGAATAAGATAAAATTTGGGAAAAAAGAAATCGTCGCAGGCTTCCAACTTATTATTTTTAAGGGATATTGATTTTTTTTAATAATAAAGTCTCCTTCACTAATAAAGACTATTAAATTGTGTTATAAACACAAGTACAAAAGAAAAAAAACTGAGTTTACAAATACAAACCAAAATATATTATGATATGCATATATATCATAAATCTTTTACCAAAAATATATATATATACTAGTATATATCAAAAATACGGATCGAAGCGGATATCCGACTTTAAAAAAATTAATATTTGTTATTTGATTCTGTTTTCACGAATACTATATTTTTCTATTTGCTTTGCTCCAAAATTTTACGGATATTCAGATTTTTCGAATCGAATCAAAACGAATACTGAGTCAAAGCGGATCTAACGAATATTTTGTGAAAGCCTAGTTGTGTTTTGAGAGAACCCATTTATTAATTTTAATTCAAGTGCCGACCTCACACAGAAAAAGATATGTTTAACACTTGGACCAATGAAAGAGTTGGTTTAGATGGAGGAGTAATCTAAGCCACAAGTCTCGTTTGTGAATTCTGAGCCACTAACTAAAGTTCAAACTCACGCGCTCTCCACTTCCTCTCTTCAACTTGCTTCTTTGTCTTCTCTCTCTCTCCTCCTTCGCACTCACAAATCTACAGAAGAAGAAGATAGACTCATAATCTTTTGGATTTGGATTTAGATCTGATCTTAAAGGTGACTTCTTTTTTATTATTATATTCTTAAAAATTCAAATATTTTCCTCCTGTTGGTTTCTGAATATAGTGAGTGAGCTTTTTGTAGCAGGTTAAAGTATCATTCATGGATCGTTATTCGAGGAGGAATTTAGAGGATCTTGTTGTGCCTAACTATCAAGAGACATCAGATTCATACCCTTCTCCTGATATGTGGGGTACTGGATGGAGCATGAACTCCTCAGAAGCTGCTGAGAAATGTTTTGATTATGATGTCATTCACAATGGTTTCAGTGGAGGATTATACAGTCAGATGCAGATGGAGATGGGAACTAGTGAACAAGTAGAAGAAGAAACTAAGAGGTTAAAGGCTAGTGGTTGTTTTGACCGTTCGCTTCATGATTTTGATGAAATCCAACAGATGGATGACATGTTCTTGTATGCCCTACACACTCTCTCTCTCTCTCTATATAGCACATAAAAGATTCTATAGTTTTCCGATGTTTATATTTTTGTGTTCTTCTCTTTTTGTTTCCGGTTTTGACTGAAGAAGTTCCATTTTAGAGGATGTTCCAGGGAATGAGAATTTTCTTTCTTTCAAGGAGTCGGATAATAACAACAACAGCACCGGTTCTTCCTCTGCAACTGATGGCAGGGAAGTCCCTATGTTCCATTACGACTGGGAAACTTGTCAAGACATGCCACTTATGGTAAGAATCGACTCTTTTGATATACTAGCAATGTCAAAATAGTAGAGAAGAGAAACTAAGTGATTGACGTATCTTGTGGAATTCAGTATGACTCTTGGGATTAGTCTGGTTTGGATTTGGTCTGGTTATGTGTTTGACTATTGCTGTTCCAAGTGAGATAATAGTAAAGATGTTAATGATCTTGGAACATTCTTTTGTTTAATAAGGAGGATGACGCACCTATGAATCTGTGTGAGGAGAACATGGAGGAGGCATCTGCTGAAGAAGTGGTGTTGCAGGATCTACAAAGGGCTACAGAAATGGTGAGTGTGGTGATTTTGATCTTTTACCTACAATCTCGTTTGAGATTTGATCCTTCTTGTAACAGACTTACAATCTTCTAATTATAGTTGACTGATGATGCCCGCAAATGCTTCCGCGATACCTTTTACCGGCTTGCAAAGAGCTCACAACAAAAGTCAGACTCCAACTCAGACGAGTTCCTTGAGGATAGAACCAGGTATAGAGCTCTTTTCATTAATCATTAATCATACCTTCAAGAGTTAAAATGACTCATCACCATCTATGATTATTCAGTAGGGAAACTGAATTGGAAACCAACTCAATCGACAGAGCCGTCGCCAATCTCACATTCAACAAGATGGAATCCAACATGAGAAATATGCCTCCACCAAAGAGACTTTCTTCTGTTCAAGGATAAGAGAGTTTCGAAAACAATCCTCAGCATCTTTGGTAATACCTTATGTGTATATATTATACATATGTGCCTGTGTGTATCTGTGCTTGGCTTGACTTTTCCAGCTTTAGTTTTGATCTGTTTCGTTAGAGTCTGACTCTGCTTCTGGATTTCAATTTCTTATGCCATGTGTTACTATTTGCTTAGTGAAACCTGTGAAAGTACATTACCCCATGTAGAATCTGTTGTTACAATGTATCAAAAGAGATTCTGTATAGCTTTTGTTAATTTATGATATAAGAGGAGACACAGAAACATATCTAAGTGGGAAACAACCTTGGGAAACAGCAAAGCAGAGGAATTAGTCTTATACCAGCAAACATAAACATCAAATACCAAAACAAAACACAAGTCAATTTTAATATCACCCGACCATAAACTAGAACCGGCGAACTCAAATATAATTATCTTAACAAAGAAAGTCTCTGACTCACGTTTGCATATTAAACAAAGATATAAGACTACCTCAAACGTGCGTTCCATTAGTTTCTAAAGATTGTATAAAATTTTGGTCTTTACTCTGAACAAACAAAACATTACAATTTGAGAAAACTTAACGTTTTTTGTAATGGCAACACCACCGTTAACGCCAAGAATGATGACTCCGACGACAATGTCGCCTCTCGGGAGTCCAAAGTCGAAGAAATCAACGGCGACGGTGCGACCGGAGATCACGTTGGAGCAACCGTCTGGAAGAAACAAAACAACCGGCTCCAAATCGACGAAACTCTTCCGCCGAGTCCGGTCTGTATTCCGATCACTACCGATCATGTCTCCCATGTGTAAATTCCCTGTTGGAGGAGGACGACTCCACGAGAATCACGTTCACGGAGGGACACGTGTCACGGGAACGCTGTTTGGTTACCGCAAAACGCGAGTGAATTTAGCGGTTCAAGAAAATCCGCGTTCTTTACCGATTCTGTTACTGGAATTAGCGATTCCCACGGGAAAGCTTCTTCAAGATCTTGGAGTCGGTTTAGTGAGAATCGCGTTGGAATGCGAGAAGAAACCGAGCGAGAAAACCAAAATCATTGACGAACCGATTTGGGCGTTGTATTGTAACGGAAAGAAATCTGGTTATGGTGTGAAGAGACAACCAACGGAAGAGGATCTTGTGGTGATGCAGATGCTTCATGCTGTGTCGATGGGAGCTGGTGTGTTACCGGTGAGCAGTGGTGCGACGGAGCAAAGCGGCGGAGGAGGAGGAGGACAACAAGAAGGAGATTTGACGTACATGAGAGCACATTTCGAGAGAGTGATTGGGTCAAGAGACTCGGAGACGTATTACATGATGAATCCTGATGGGAACAGTGGACCTGAGCTTAGTATCTTTTTCGTGAGGGTTTAATAAAACGACGTCACTTTAGGGGAAACATTACATTACGTCATTTTTTTCTATTTGTTTTCTTTTTCCTGTTGATTTTGTTTTTTGGTATTCTTTTTTCCTAATTTGGTAAATTATTCGAAATGATTTGTTGGTGATGTGTATACATGAAATATATATATACTACATCTTCTGTGGCTGTTAGGGAAATCTCTACTGTTTTAATTGTTACGTTTAAGTTAGTATTAGTTTTAGAGTACTCTTAACGGATTAGTTTTAGTTTTAAGTTGAAACCTCACCAAAGTAATTAAACAACTTGTGATTAACCCTATGCCAATGCTTTTAAGTTTAAGTAATGTTTTGTTTAAGATTTGTGTAATTTACTTGATTGTCTTTTATTTGCCTTGTTTAAATCTCGTGTTTATTGATTGCTCAACAACCCACTCCGTTTCGCCATAGCTAAATTCTTCTCTCAATGACATAATATTGATTATTGACATTGATCACTGTGGTTTAGTCTCATATTTACTACTATACTATTGCACAATTATCGTGTACTTGCTCATTAATAGATTTCATATTGGTTAAAAAAAAATAATAAGATTGGAAAACAAAGAATATATATGGGTTTTTATGTCGACATGCTATATTGTTCTCAAACTTAAAAGAAAACAAAAGAACTATAAAAAGTAAGAACATGTGGTTAGATCTAATGATCTATGATCCGTCATCTTACAAATTAATATAGAAATATCTATGAAATATTGTATACATTTATAATTTGTCAATACATTTAGCTACACACATGAACGATAATACTCTAGTACAGATAGAACATAATGGCAAACACAAACGATATTTAATAAAATAGAAACTCGACAAACTTCGATGTTGCCAAAAATATATAGAAACGACAAATTAACTTAATTGTGGACGTTACGTTGCTTCATTGTCTATCTGTAACAACAATACAACTGCCTTCAACTTAACTTATAGGCTCTCAAAACAAGAGTACAAATGTGGGCACGTGGCCTTATATTTTAGCTCAACCTGAAAGTGAGACCAGATCCACCTAACTTGTCATCCACTAAGGCCGACAAGCGTTCCACTTGTGAAGGCGACAAATAGTTAACCCAATCTCTCACTTCTCCTTTCCTAAACAAGAATCGATTCTCAAAGTTCTTGATCGACTTGTTTGACTTGTTCACCTCCAACTTCTTCAGATTCTCGAAGCTACACAGATCAGCGATAGCTTTCACAACTCCCTTTCGTTCCTCTTCTTCGGTGAAAGGAAGTCCTAAGAAACATGCAAGCTTCTTCAAGTTGGTGTCGATGTCTTCTTTGAGATCCTCGTACTTTAAAAATATGACTTTCTCTGGCCTCTTCAAGCTCTCTCTCCAGTATCCCAACATGTGTTCCCAAAACGGGCCAAACCCGATCACTCCACGGCAATACAGATCAAAAGCTTCGTCGAGCAAGACTGGGCTCACTGACTCAGATTTGATGTTGTTGATGTAATGCCACGAAGAAATGAACGTGTCAAACGGATTCCGGCATAAGTACACGACCTTCACACCGGGTTTCTCGATCGAATCCATAAGGGAACCGAACGGTACGTGGGTTGCGAATGTTCTTGGACTGGCTAGACTCGAGAGATTGGGAACATCTCCGTTGGCGTAAAGCTTGTACTCGAAGAAAGGTACGAGGTCATGAGGGTTGGATGTGAGAAGAGGGTGGTTGGTACCCGAGGAAACCGGATCAAACCGGTGACGGTTAAGGATGGTGAAAGTCAAAGCTTTTAACCAGGTTGTACCGGATTTAGGTATGGTGGCGAGAACGACGTCGTTTGGAAGGGACTGGAAATGCTTTTGGAAAGACATGATAGCTTGAATCTCCTTAGCTTGGCACCAAAACCCTTGGAATAGATAAAGGTAACGAGTTCTCCAACCTCTCTCTTTAGGAAGAGAGTCCAACATCTCTTGGAACTCGTAGCTTAGCCCTTCATCTTCTTGGCCTTTGCTTTTGCCTTCCTTGAGGAGCTCGGGCTTGTGACACATGGAGAAACTTGGGATCGCCATTGGAATGCTCTTTATACTTGAGGTAGCCAATATATAGAAAAATGTTTCTTTTTATGAAATATGTGTGTGTGTTTAGAGTGTAAGATTTCGTGAGGAATCTGGGTGTTTATATAATAGCATGAGATGATGCGTTGTGAAGAGAAGAGAGCAGCCTCACTTAATCGAAATCTTCTTTTCCTTTTAATAATGAGATTTTAGTTCTATTTTTAGGCGAAAACTTAAATCATGCGTTTTGTGTTTTTAATGCGATTATGCAGATCTTTTTCTTAATTGATAAATTTTTTATCTAATCGCATTAGAAAACGCTATTCCGCCATTATACAATTAGCAATCAGAGCCAATATGTAAGTTTAGTTAGCATTGTATTCATTTGTCGGTGTGTCCAATCTAATTTTAGTTTATGATATATAAATATTGAATTAAAAACGGAATAACATTCTCATTTTGATGTGGTTTTGGTTGGTTACATTTTCAAAAATATTTCTAAGAAATTTAGATTTGAACTAGTCTATCCTATTTTTGTGTGGGTTTGGTATTGGTTTCACTTTGTTGGTGTAAAAATAATTATCGTGAAACCGTGTAATGTTTTGAAAGAAAGTTAGATTATAATATGTGTGTTTGGATTCTACAATGTACTTAAATTATTGTTTTTGATATATATATGAAAGGTTTTTTTTTTGCTAAGTGAATAGAAATCATATAAAATGAAAGTTTGGTAGGATTTACATATTGATTACCTAAGCTTTTAGTTCATTGGCAAAAAAAAGAAATGAGTCAATGACCCATTAATTTTCTAAATTTTCTACGGTGTCTCCTTGCGTTTATAGAATTAATGATTTCCCGATCGATATTCTTGAAGATGTTAATCGGTGGGATCGATTGCAAGCTGTGTAGCACATTGTTTCTCTCCTTCCAGATTGCGTAAATTGCTGCATGTGCCACAAGTTTCCTGAGAACAGGAGGAGAAGAATCATTCTTGACAAGAGTCCATGCTAAAAGATCATCCCACACTTGGAAGAGAATGAGGATTAGATTGAGTCTTATATGCAGGAGATTCCAGAGAACCCGACTGTACCCGCATGAAAGAAGGAGATGGTGTTATATATGAATTGTTTTTTTATTCATTTGTGAATCTATGTGTTAGTATCTTACATTGAAAGTTTGAAAAAATCTTAAGAAGTATATATAATAGTCACAAACTAGTCAATTGGTTTTCGAATTAAAATCCTACAAAATTAACCATGATATCAAAGTCTAGAGTCTTTGACTCTAAATTTTACTAGTTTTAGAGTGGAATGCGGTTCGAGATATATCGGCTAAAACCATCATTTCAATAAACGATAGCATATGCCATATTTCATTGAAAATATGAAGAAACCTAAAATTAATTCACCCATTACCGGTTAGTTTTAAGTTGCAACCTCACCAAAGTAAACAACTTGTGATTTACCCTCATGCCAATCCTCTTAAGTTTAATTAAAATTTTATTACTATTTGTAATTTACTTGTTTGTCTTTTATTTGCATAGTTTAAATCTCGTGTTTATTGATTGCTCAACAACCCACTCCGTTTCGTCATAGCTAAATTCTTCTCTCGATGACATGATATTGACATTGATCACTGTGGTTCAGTCTCGTATTTACTACTATTGCACAATTATCGTGTACTTGCTCATTAATAGATTTCATACCATAAATATTGGTTAAAAAGGAAAAATAAGATTGGAAAACAAAGAATATGTATGTGGGTTTTTATGTCGACATGCTATATTGTTCTCAAACTTAAAACAAATCAAAAGAACTATAAAAATTAAGAACATGTGATTAGATCTAATGATCTATGATCCATCCTCTTACAAATTAATATAAAAATATCTTTGAAATATTGTATACATTTATACGTATTTGTCAATACATTTAGCTATACACACATGAACGATAATACTCTAGTACAAATAGAACATAATGGCAAACACACACAATATTTTAATAAAATAGAAACTCGACAAACTTCGATGTTGAACAAAATAAAAACGACAAATTAACTTAATTGTGGACGTTACGTTGCTTCATTGTCTATCTGTAACAACAATACAACTGCCTTCAACTTAACTTAATTATAGGCTCTCAAAACAAGAGTACAAATGTGGGCACGTGGCCTTATATTTTAGCTCAAGCTGAAAGTGAGACCAGATCCACCTAACTTGTCATCCACTAAGGCTGACAATCTTTCCACTTGTGAAGGCGACAAATAGTTAACCCAATCACTCACTTCTCCTTTCCTAAACAAGAATCGATTCTCAAAGTTTTTGATGGATTTGTTTGACTTGTTCACCTCCAACTTCTTCAGATTCTCGAAGCTACACAGATCAGCAATAGCCTTCACAACTCCCTTTCGCTCCTCTTCTTCGGTGAAAGGAAGTCCTAAGAAACTTGAAAGCTTCTTCAAGTTGGTCTCAATGTCTTCTTTGAGATCCTCGTACTTTAAAAATAAGACTTTCTCTGGCCTCTTCAAGCTCTCTCTCCAGTATCCCAACATGTGTTCCCAAAACGGGCCAAACCCGATCACTCCCCGGCAATACAGATCAAAAGCTTCGTCGAGCAAGACTGGGCTCACTGACTCAGATTTGATGTTGTTGATGTAATGCCACGAGGAGATGAATGTGTCAAACGGGTTCCGGCATAAGTACACGACCTTCACACCGGGTTTCTCGATCGAGTCCATAAGGGAACCGAATGGTATGTGGGTTGCGAATGTTCTTGGACTGGCTAGACTCGAGAGATTGGGAACATCTCCGTTGGCGTAAAGCTTGTACTCGAAGAAAGGTACGAGGTCATGAGGGTTGGATGTGAGAAGAGGGTGGTCGGAACTTAAGGAAACCGGATCAAACCGGTGGCGGTTAAGGATAGTGAAAGCTAAAGCTTTTAACCAGGTTGTACCAGATTTAGGTATGGTGGCGAGGACGACGTCGTTTGGAAGGGACTGGAAATGTTTTTGGAAAGACATGATAGCTTGAATCTCCTTAGCTTGGCACCAAAACCCTTGGAATAGATAAAGGTAACGAGTTCTCCAACCTCTCTCCTTAGGAAGAGAGTCCAACATCTCTTGGAACTCGTAGCTTAGCCCTTCATGATCTTCTTGGCCTTTGCTTTTGCCTTCCTTGAGGAGCTCGAGCTTGTGACACATGGAGAAACTTGGGATCGCCATTGGAATGCTCTTCATGCTTGAGGTCGCCATTGTTTTTTTGTTATAGTCTTACAGATATATATGGAAAATGTTTATTGTAATGGAATCTATGTGTGTTTGTGTAAGATTTCGTGATGAAGTTGGGTGTTTATATAATAGCGCAAAATGCATGAGATGCTTTTGTGAAGAGAAGAGAGCAGCCTCAGTTGTTATCGCCCACGTGGGAAATAAACGGCGTGTGCGAATATTAGTTGGGCCACTCCATATTTTTGCTGATACTCGAAATCTTTTTTTTTCTTCCTTTTAAATTTTTAATAATAGTGACGTGTCTTTGTCTCTACGTACTATTCTCCTTGGAGTTAGTGCAAGGTTTGGTTTGCTGTTTTTTTCATTTGTTTTTGGTCCATAAATTGTCGGCAGAACTCAACCTTGGAAATTCTTTAAATTAGGAAAGTCACATGTTTTTGGTCCATAATACGCATCCTTTTATTCCAAAAAAATTTCATCTTCTAACTTTATCAAATGTATAAACCTAACTAAAAAAAACTAGTATAAAACACGTGATTAGATCTATTGTCTTACTCATATAAAAATAATACATATCCTATGAAAGTATTTATTAATTTGTGTCAACAATATACTAGTATATAATATGTGGGTTTGAACCCGAATAATGACACCAATAAAACTAACACAAAATACTATATATATATATATAAAGTTACAGCCATCAACTAAAATACTTTACTATAAACACAAACATAATGGCAAACACGATGATATTTATTGGAAAAAAATAGCGATCGACAAACTGAAATGTGAACGTTGCTTCATTGTCTATATGTAACAACTAAATAACTTGGATTTTCAGCTTTACTAAAATATCAATCGACAAAAAAAAAAAAAAAAAAAAAAAAAAAAAAAAAAAAAAAAAAAAAAAAAAAAAAATCAATCGACAAAGACCCCAGTAAAATAAATAGAAATTTAGTGATTTTCTTTAAAAAAAACAATTAAATGCTATCTCAACTAGCAGTGGTCGATTCAATTTGAGGTTTCGATTCGGATCGACGCAATTTCAGTTTGGTTCGGTGTGGCTTTTTTTTTGTGGTTTGGTTTACTGTAAAAATAACTTTGAAATGATTTATTTAGCATCATAATTACTTATTATATTATATCTATGCTAATACATATGATTAATGATAGAAATTTTTAATAAATTTCAGTTTATTCTTTCCGGCGTGGTTAGGTTACAAAAACACAAAGTAACGGTTTTGGTTTAGGTTTTAGATTCTTAGATTTTAAAATAACCAAACCAAACAGTTTATTAATAAATTTCGAGTTTGTTTCGATTTAATTATTTCAGGTTGGTTTTTGTCTACTCCTAATATCAACATCCAAATACAAGTTCTACTATTTGTTGCACTTTTTACATTTTCTCAGTTTTTCTTTTTCCTTTTTTTCTTTCGGGTTGTCTCATCTTATATTTTGTACCGTGCACATTCTTCATTTTATTTTCGATCGGTAGGGCTCCGACAAGCTGGTGATTAAACTTCAACCCAAGCGATAGCATTATATTGCTCGTATGTGTCCATTTCTTGCTTTTAGCGAAGAAACCATGTAGGTACGTAGACCTAAACGATGAATTCAGAACCAAGATACGTGTTATAACGAGGACCTACGATTAAGTTCATTTGTATTATTCTAGTTATCAACCTATGTCCATCACGCCTAAGTTGTCGACTGAATTATCCATATTTGGACAAAGATATAGCAAACCCCCTGAAACGGACGGACCAATTATAGCTACAATACAAATAAAATAAATATCTAAATTTTTTGTTTTAGTTGACAAAGGGAAGCATTAGTTAACATTGTAGCTATTAAATTATATGCTTTTCAAGATTTGTCTATAACGATGAATATAAGATATGATTTATATATAACGGTTTGATTCAATTTTGTATTTATCCTTTCAGTTTGATATTTATATGTTTGTGGGTAATCGACAATGGAAAGTTATTTTCGATAAAAGAAAAGAAGAAGAAATAAGTTATTCTTTTTATGAAGCTTTTCATTTTCCGTTGGTTTGGTTTTAAATTTAGCGATTGGGGAGTACGTAAAGGCACCATGGACAAATACCAAAAGATATTAGTATTATTTACATATATGAGTGTTTAATTTGTTTGCACAAAAAAAAAAGAGTGTTTACTTTAATCGCAAAATAGTTTTATGGATTTATTTTTGTAGATGGTATAATTTAACCAGATCAAAAATGAAAAGCTTAGAAGAGACTATAATCACCCGTGGGATATTATTTGAGTCTTGTTTTTTAATCAGTGCATGTTAAAGACAGTTTTCAGAATTTTGACTAAATAGACTCTAATATTTTTCACAATTTATGGAAAATTTGTGTTTAGATATCCTTTTTAGTTTTCAATCCCTTTCTATGTGTCAATGATGATTTACTGAGATAATTTATATTACTTATGTAATAAATCTCTGGTGAAGTTTACGGCAGTTTTGGATCTATTATTGAGTTCATGAATTTAAGGGAACTTTGGCTGAGATGTCTTGTGAAGATTTGAACACTTATTATTAGCTAATTGCATGCACGATAATACAATATTGAAAGAATATTTAGTTATCAAGAGCTTATTTGATTCATTTTGCGTAATTAAATTAGTAGTATATTTTTTAGAAATAGGGTGATTTAATTTCATGGTCTATAGATTCATAAGGGCAGTTTTAGCGGTATTTATATGGTTGTCATATAATATCTACTGACATTAAGAAAGTAAAAAAGTTTCGAACATTCATCCAAAAAAAAAAAAGTTACGAACATGCACTAGAACTAGAAGAAGACAAAAAGTTGATGTCTTTGATGGTTGATTTTACTTGTGATTTGTGAAGAAGTTTGTTTGGATACGATTACTGACCTGTCTTTGTTACTCCTTTTTTCTTAAATCTTTATCTTTGGAGTTGAAGATTCTTCAAGACGAATCATCTCTTGTAGGCTTCAAAGCAAACTCCCATATTGTCCCATACTAATGAAAGAACCATGCTCCATACCCACGTGGTACCACGTTCACTTCCACACATCGCTCATGGACTTCCAGATATTATTTACTAGTTAGCTAACTTAGGTGAGTACCCACAATTAACTTAGGACACTATTTATAAATATATTGAACGAAAATAGTTTAGATAGGTACCCAAAACAAATTGATTAAAACCTTTTCAAATTAATTAGTATTGTACATGATTTTTCATATTATATAAAAGGTTTAAGACCAGAACATAAACTAATCGTATATTTGACATGATAATTCTTCATGCTTATATACTCAAATAATTTAATTTAATTCCTTACTATAAATTAATTTAATTCATATTATTTTTTTTTTTGAACAATTAAATTAATCTCCGTGGCAAATCATTTTGGTAAAATAATTTTCTCACATATAGTTACTTTGGATTACAAAACAATTATGAGGCTTTTGTCCATATTAATATATTCAATTTGGGGACCATAGCATAGTGAATTAGTCTTCTCCTGCGCTCCCACAACTCATACAAACTAATTTTTCATTTTTTGATATACATTTGATTTAAATATCTCATATTGCATCCTCGAAACGAATCTTGCAATTTCAAAAAATAATTTAATATTGTACTCTCTTACTTAACAATAATTTTCCAACCTGATACTGTATTAATAGTATCCAAAATATTAATCTTATTCGATATGATTGTCCTAATTCATATATATCTTTGTAAATTGTACGTACAGTCTATACTCTAAAATTTAACGATTAGTTATAACTAAGATCTATGTTTAAAAATATAACTATAAAGTCTGAAAATATATAAATGTTTCAGTGTGGGAATAAATGATAGAAATTTTGTAAATAGAATCTGTCGAGGGTAAATTAATATATGTTGTAAAATATAGTCTTAGGGTAAATTCTGATTTTGATTTTGTTATAACCTGTTAGTTTATACCGCTGCATGATGTAATGGTTTTAGACTTTGCTTACGTAATATTTCTGTTCTTTTCAATATATATATATATATATATATATGAAATCTGATGTTTGACATGTATATCGACATGCCGTTAAATAATGTTTGCTCATATAACAAAAACAATAACAAAAAATAAAAACAGTAGGTAATCAACAATTTTTATTTTTTTGGTCAACAACAGATAATCAACAATATGGAGCAGATAACTATCGACATGTCGACATGTCGACATGCCGTTAAAGGCGCAATCTTTGTATCGGATGCTTTGATGCATTAGGCAAGTAGAGCCTACGTAGCTTTATTGATCCTTGTTTTCTCCTTATTATAATAAGTCGACAAAGCAGCCAAAAAAATAAAAATAAAAGTGTCGACAAATATACAAGAACAATTGAGTGACTTGAGGCCTACTTTAGTGACGAAGGCTACATGTCTTTGATTACGACTCTAAAACCAAATCTCTTCTATTCACAGATGCGTGCCGTAATTTTTTTCCTCGTGTTTATCGAGTAAGGATATAGATGATGGATATTCGTAAGACCATCTTTATCAATGGGTTCTTAAGAAAATCTTAAGATGATCTTAGTAATTTTTTAGTATTATTACTAAGAACCAAAGTTAAGATGAGTTGAGGGAGTTGCTTACCTAAGAGCCAAAAAGAGGTAAATCTTAACTTAACTTTGGTTCTTAGTAATAATACTAAAAAATTACTAAGATCATCTTAAGATTTTCTTAAGAACCCATTGATAAAGATGGTCTAAGCTGAATAGTGAACACTGAACCCGAATCTTTTATCCTCTACCAAAAAAGTTTTGGACCTTTATCCATAAATTTAAACAAATAAAATTGGATAATTTAGTTTTATTTTTAGTGTATAACCAGATATAAAAGCCGGCCTTACGAACACATGGGTTATGCATAGACTTGCGGTTCTAGATAAGTTTAGAAATTTTAGCGTCGTTTTCTGATTAAAAAATTCTTATACTGATGATAGAAACCCGTCATTTCGAGGTTATCCGATAAAATTAGAACGATGCAGAGAAAATGAAAAAAACGGACGGTAGAAACTCATTCTTTCGACTCTATATATAGTGACCAACTCATTCTTTAAACTAAGAAAATAGTTAAGTTTTAAAAATTTGTCACCGGAAATAACCATTTAGACTTTTATTTTGTTTCGTACAAAGTGATTGAAACGCCTTGCAATTTTTTTTTGCTTGTCGATGGTTCATAAATTACTAAATTTAACCAATCAAAAGGTTAAAACAGCACATATAAAGCTCAGATAAACCCATATTGGATAAAGACGCCTTTGTATTAGGCAGTAAGATATATGTACATATCCTTAGGTTGAAAACTTAACTGGTTATTTAACCTGAAAGCAGACCTAAGACTAAGTCTCTAATAGAAGATAAGAGGCTTTGATTTTGAACACACAAAAAAGAGAGAAGACTCTGAAACACTTGGAAGGTTCAAAACCTTAAAGATTCGAGCTTAATCCACCGCGAATGAAGTCTATACTTTCTCTACTACTCCTCAAGCTGAGGTCTGTAAGATGAAGCTTGCTTTTGACTGGAAAGACACGTGAACCCGCCAAAGCTACATGAGAGCTAATGATGATATTGTTGGAATAAGAGAGAGATAGATATATGTCTTAAAATGTTCTTATTTAAGCTTAATAGGAAACAGAGTGTGTTCTGTTTTCGAGTGAGGTTGTGAGAGAAAGAAGTGACTCCGTAATTTCCTCAGGTCAAGAACGAGCAAGACAATTTACAGTGATAAAACATAGGAATCTGGTTTATATGTAAATGAATATAAATGCAGATATAATTTTTTTTTTTTTTTTAAAAGAGAACTTAAAAATGAAACGACATCTTTTTGACAGACTCACAGACCAATTCTCCAGACGCGGTAAAAGCAAAAAGAATAGGATTTGAAATTTGATTAACTCATAGAGAAGAGTGTATACATATAGGTATATCCGAATATTAACAGAATGCATAATATTGGTCTATGCTTCATCTCATCTTTACACAAGATATAATCCTAGGCTAACCTCCTAAGAGGTACTACTTGTTGTTGGAACAGAAGACGCCTCTGGCTGAGCCTCACTGGCCATAGTTTCCGGCAGTGAGGTTTCTTGCTGAGCCACCGGTGGAGTTTCTGGCATTGAGGTTTCTTGCTCGGCCACCGGCGGAGCTTCTGTGACGGAGGGGGTAGAAGCTTGAACAATTTCTGATGGCTTGAACTTGTTGATGTAGTAGCTAAGAGACGGTCCACTGTAATCCACTGCTTTTGGTCGAGTCGGTGCATCTTTCCCAACTTGGAGGAGTATAGAGGAAGCTGCAGCGACTGCGATAAGGGCAATGCCTGCTACGATTGCTGCTGTGTTCTCAGCCCCATCAGAAGATGATCCTGCAGTACCTGAGCTAATCGCGCTCTCTGCAACATATACTGCAGGCTGCAAAAGTAACAAGAAAAGCTATTCTTCAGAAAAAAAAAGCCAATAGAATTGAGTCAATATGAAAAAGCCAATAGAATTAGATCAAGAATCCCCTCTCAAAAAGATGCAAGCTAATGCATGACATATTGTTGCAAGCTAATGCATATTCCCTGGAGATGAAGGTCGAGGTCAATGACAGAATAATGGAACGAACACAAAAAATAACCCAAAAAAAATTTATATCAAACGAGACCAAATATAACACCAAAGACCAAACTGATAAGACCAAGAAGCGTAACTTTCTTTATATCCTTGATTCAACGATTGCATTGAAGAACCTAAGATCAAACTCAAAGAAAGAGCCAAATGTAATCTTGAAAATTTGTTGAAGAGATCTCCCAACTCTCCCAAAGCCAAAAGGCTCACAAACAAGCATCTACTCAAAGACCCCTAATCTCTTGTTGTTGTTATGCATCCACTACATTCTAATCCCTATCACAGAAACAAAACAGCCATTCCTCGGTGAAGTTTTTCTCTCAATTGAAAACCAATATTCCTCCAAACTCTCTGAGCCTTACGAACAGGAGTGCTTCCCTACAGATACTAAAACTTACTTACCAAACTGATACGATCAAGAAGCGTAGTTTTCTTTATTATCCTTGAATCAACGATTGCAATGAAAAACCTAAGATCAAACTCAAAGAAAGAGCCAAATGTATATTGAGAAATTGTTAAAGAGATCTCATAACTCTCCCAAAGCCAAAAGGCTCACATACAAGCAACTGGTTAAAGACCCCTAATCTCTTATTGTTGTTATGCATCCACTACATGCTAATGCCTATTACAGAATCATAAGAACCGTTCCCTCGTTAAAGTTTGAAGCTTTTTCTCTCGATTGAAAACCAATATCCCTCCAAACTCTCTGAGACTTACAAACAGGACTGCTTCCCTAAACTACTAATAAAAATTGCGATGAGCGGATAGATAGATGGAGAATGTAAGAGGTACCAACCTCAATGGAGTAAACATTAGTCTGACCGGCAGTATCTTTCTCAACATAGCCAGTCCAACCACGCGGCTTCCGAGGAGGAAATGTTCCCACCACTTTCGTCTTCTCTCCAGCCAACCATTCCATACTCACTGTTCCTACCTGTTGTGTTTCACCCCATCAATACTAACATCATTTCAATTGTAAAAAACCACACTTTATAATCACTTCAATTCATAAACATCATCAATTCTGGTGTTATCAAGGTTTCACTAATAAGCCAATTTTGGAAATTTCAATACTAATTTAGCCAACAGCAACAACATTATCATCATGTTTTTTTATTAAAAAAAGACGAATTTGAGCTGAGAATGAAACAACTACAGATGGGATCGAGTACCTCCTTCTCAGGAGCGCATTCTTCGGCATTACAATCAGCATCATCAGAAGAAGCTCTGACGACGGAGACGAGAAGTTTCCGTCCGCCGGACTTTGAATTCAGGAATCTGCCAAGAGGTTTGGGCGATGCAAACACATAGCCGTTTGGGGATAGCAAGACGTTCGACATGGTTGATCAGATTAGACGAGATTCTTGGGTTTGTTCTATCTTCTTACTGCTTAGAGAAACAGAGAAGGAGAAGAAGATAAAGAGAGGAGGAAGAAGAAGATGTGTGTTATGTGTGGTGGGCTTTTTCACTAGCCTACGCGTGTAACTGCCAAACCCACAAATTCCTAACTTCAATTATACCAAACCAAATTGAAAAAAACTTCAAATCAAACCGGAAAATTCGGTTTTCATCCAGATCTGTTTTCTCAAACACGAATCAAAAATTCGGTTCTCAATACAATTATTGGAAACTTTTGTATGCATTAGTGCACTTTGATTTTTTCTGTTTCTAGAGAATTTCCGCATCTCGCTTTTGTTTTCACATTCCTCCACTTTCTATTCCTTTATTCAATTCATTTTCCCACAAAAGACTTTAACGAATTATTTCAGTTTGCCATAGTTTAATCATAACAACACCAAAGACCTTGTGTGCTAGTGCTTAGCCACTATCCTTTGTATTGTACCTTAAGCATGTGTGGGGTTCTAATCACACTTTCCCGGTATGGAATAAAAGAATTGTGTACAAGTACCATCATAATGGAGTGAACCAGAGTGGCACTTTGTTTAGCTGGTTACATGATCGATATGACACTCAAGTTTTAACTAAGTTTATGAGGTGTTTTTAACAAAAACTAGTTTTTTTATAAAAAATCTTCTTTCACGTTATAACCTTCTCGGTGATTTAGAGAGCTTCAAATTTTTAGAAAGCTATTATGGATTGTTGGAAGTTTTCTTAGCAAAAGATTAATTATAACATTTTAAGGTTTTAAATCGAAGAATTTTATTTTATTTATGAAATTTGATCTCTTAAGCAATTGGTGTAACCTTCTCTTTTGGTTTTCACTTTCTACATTACTCGTTTGAAACTCAAAATATATTTTTCTTGCAATCATACTTTTTATCAATTTTCTTTTTCTATTAGTTGATAAAAATTTATTGTCTTATACATATTACCATGCCAGACAACCCTATACAAGCTTTAAAGTGGATTCTTTTTGAAAACTATGAGCTAAAACAGCCACTAGGCGCGGTATTTCTGAGGGGCCAATTGATGAACATCGATTGTCAATAAATAATTAAACACAACAAATATATGTATATTTAAAAATGATATAGAAGATATCATTTTCCTACAAGTTTAATTGTACTTAAGAAAATATAGCTCTAGTAAACCAGATGAACTCTAAAGTACTTACATAAATTTGCATATGAATATATGTAAGTTTCGGCAAATGACATTTTTTGAGTGACAATGAAGAGAATATCCTTGAAATTTAATTAGGTCATTGCGCTAATATCATACTCAATTTTATGTATTTCAAATGATCTAACATTTTCATTTATAATATAGTTGTATACAGTAAGGAGCAAATATTATATAGTTTCATTATTTGATTAGTTTTAGATCCAAATCTCTAGAGAATTCAAGAACAATTAAAAACATAAAAATGACTTGATAGCAAATGCTATAGACAGCACAAATGCTACACACCACCGCCCTCTAAGACTGGTGAAACAAACGACACGAGCAAAGACAAAAATGAAACACACAAAGAACACAAACAAACAAGTCTCTGCATAAATATGAGTAGGCTCTTATTGTCTCATTCATCTTTCTAAGAGCATCGTTCACGTGCCAAACCGAGCCGTCCATTGGGAACGTCGATGAGGACACGGTGGTTCTGCTGCTGCATGCTTGCGATCACATTGACGACAGAGTTTACATTTTCCGGCGCTGCAGCCATGGCGAGGCACGACGTGCTTCCGGCGGTGCTGTGTAACATCAGGTTATCAGCCGGCATCGTCATGTTCACTCCCTTGAACATGAATGTTATCGTCGGCACCTTGACTTGCCCTGAGTAGCACGTGTCGAAACCCCCGAGTGACGTTACCACGGCGGTGGTTGGCTTCACGCGCTTCCTGAACTCGTTCCTCACTGCCTCGTATACCGGTTTAGCCAGCCGCGTGTACACAGTCCCTGCACATCAGATGGTTATTAATTGTAAACTACATAACCAAACCGAAATAAACCAAAACGCAAATAAATGTGTTTATAACTAAGATTAAACACATTAACTGAACTTAACCTAAGTTAATCAATTAAGATTTAATTATAGATTTTGTTACCTATTTATAATATTAATTCTCTACTTATTTAGTCTAAACCAATGCGAAATTATACCAATTGAAACAGAAAACTAAAACCTAACCGATACCAAACCGGAGAAGAGTAAGTACCGGAGTCAAAGATGGTTCCAGCGCCGGTGGAAGGATTAAAGGCAATAGCTGCAGGCGGTAAATCGACGACTTTCCGACCAACGCGGATCGCAACGAGGTTGACGTAATACAAAGAAGACCTTCTAGGGTTTCTGAGAAGTTGAGTGTACTTCACGCGCTGAGGCTGGGAGGTAGGGCCGAGTCTCAGCGAACCAGAGAAGGTTAGAGACCTGAAACTTGGCAAACAGTAAGAGAAAGTGGACTTGTAAACGGACTGAGCCTGTGACATGAGGGAAAGTGGGCCTCGTCCCAAGCCCAACAAGCCTTGTGGTGGTGGGATGGTTCCTCCACCGGCGACTTTGTTGACGCATCCGAAGGTAAAGGCTTTGATCGGGTCGGCGGCGAGGCGGATGGTGTCTTGAGAGAGGTTAGCCGCAATGGAGGAGCTTCCATAAGTGAGGTTGAAAGAGCAGGCGCGTGCTCCACACGTGGGGTTTGGTACCTGAAGCAAGTGTTCACGTGAATTGTTAATGCAGTACAGTGTCTATGTGTCGGTCGAGTGTTTAGTGAGTGGTTCTGTAATCCCGTGAACGTTTTATTTTTTGAATGTGGTGGAATTATCAATTATAACCACGTGGAACCCACTCTCTGTAAAAAAAAACTTTTTCACGTAATAAAATAGAGACTGTCCTTATAACATTGATACCAAAAAAATAAATAAATAGAGACTGTCCTTTTTGTATATTAACTAAATAAATTCTAGATCTGATACTGTGTCAATAGATTTTCATTTTGAGGCAGCAATAACATTCTCATGCTTAGACCATGTACATAGCTGATATAATGAGAATATCAGGAGTCTATTAATTATTTTTTAATAGATTAGAGTATCAAGTTGGGCCTGATCAGTATCACTGGAGTGATACTTCTGATACCCAGTATCAGGTGACGTGGCGGCAGCTGATTCGTCTGGGAAACGCGTTTTTCCTTGAAAGTAGAGAAAAAAAAATTCATATTTGGCAAAAATGGGGTCAAGGTAATTGACTTCGAGCGACTAAATTATTTTTATCCTCATGTTTTTTTAAGTTTTTTTGAATTTTATGTTTTATTTTGCTTAAGTATATTCTACGGTTCTTTAAAAACTAACTAGATTTTAACCCGCTGTACACCGCGGGATGATTTATTTTTTAAAGTTAGTATATATAAATTTTTATAAATTGTATCTCCTTATAAAATATTTATGTATTATATGATGATTCAAAACAGTTAAAAACAAATCAAACAAAGATGATAGAAGAATCATAATTCTAAATCTTAATCAAATCTTCTAAATATCTAAATTATTAAATATGGAATATCCGGTGTATGAGTTGGGTTAAATATAACCCGACCCAAGAAATTTTTTATGACCAAAATTTGGAAACGGGTCGGGTATCCAAATAACCTGAAAGCATTTTTACCCACCCGTCACCAAAATGATTGCAAAAATACTAGTATAGATATTACCTTTTGTAATCTTATGTTTTTATATATTTATTTTTGATTTTGCAAATAATTTTTTTTTATGATACTTAAGCCGGTCTCACCAATGCAAACATATATAATAGGAGTATCATAAAAAATCTCAAACAATAAATAAACATTATAAATAATACTAAAAAATTCCTAATGATACTATATGGGTATCACCCATATACATGCTCTTACATTTTAAGATGAAAACAAATCGCAGGTTACTAATATTAAAATTTGACTACAATATAGTGTGGTGACATCCATAAGCCAAATACTTTTTTAAAATACGACTGGTTCATTAATGAAGCTATGAAAGTGTAAGTGTGAGAATAAAATAAATTAATCAAAAAACATTCCAAAAACATATTTATTATATATGTTGTGTAGGTGTGTTAGTATAAAATTCTATACCTGCTTACACTGAGGAGCGCTGCAGCTAACGTTCTTGAAGGAGGTGGACTTAGCAGGGGAAAAGGCGGTGTTAGAAGGACAGCCAACGCAGCCGGAGCACGGAATCCAAGCCACGTCACTGCTCGTGTCCATGGCTAGGAGCAGCGGCTGAGCCGGAGTACCGATCAAAGCCTTGACAATGTATGTAGTGCTTTGCAACATTTGACGCCCTGAGGCAATGGGGACTACAGATCTCCCGGCGACAAGGCTGCTCAAGTACTGGAGACGGGCCTGGTCTTGAGCCAGCGTCTGGAGCACACGCGCTTCCCATGAGAGTGGGGATGATGATTTGAAGGGGGAGCAAGGGCTGTCTATGTGGAAGATTCTTAGGGTAGAGCCTTGGTCTTGACTCTTGGTGAGGTCACAGTTTGGGTGGTTTAACCCAAGTGCTAATGGGACGATGGAAAAAAGTTGGAGGAATAAAACAAGAGTAGACATATTGTATTGTATGCTTTTGGGTTGGATGGGGTATTAAATGGTGTTGGCATGAGAAGGGTATATATAGTGTGGTCTGAGCTACAAACTGACCAAGCTCATAAAATCCAAAGTATATTTAACTATATGATACAAATCAATGATTATTTCGCTTATTAGGTTTTGAGTTTGAATCCGCGGTAAAATAAATATTAGATTAATTAAACTGCTCTTGTTTTTAGTTGGAAGAGATTATTTATTTTAACTTTTTCTTTTCTTTTAGGTTAAAGTAAATTTTTGTTTGTAATATTAATTTTTTCAGAACAAAGGCGTTTTGATGTATCTTCACAATACGCCTTTAAGAAAACAAAGAAAAAAAGAAAAGCTTAGGTTTGAACGAAAATGTTTTATTTTTTTTAAACATGCTTTAGGTTTTTAGTTTTTGGTAATAGAGTGTATACAGTGGCATGTTTGTAAACATGACTGTACATACATTGATACACTCTATTAGTGTTTAATGTGGTTTTGGGTTTCTAGTTGTTGCAAAAACTTGAATATAGTTTTTCGTTTTTAGTTTCTTATTATACATTTTAGAAAAATTGACGTATTGGATATTTTTCTGCTTTTTAAATTTTGATCTCGCTGGACGAACCATTGGGCAATATAGGTTAAAACTCGTGGTTTCGGTTCTCACTGGACCTACAAAATTTAAGTAGTTATATAGATTTAACTGGAATTTATTTTTACTTGGACATTGTAAGAACAATACTAAATTGTTGAAACATGTATCTAGCTAAAACACTATCCTAAACAATTAATTGTATGATCCGTTCGAAAACACTTTTCAGTATACAACAATCACATGTTTTAATCGTATCACACAGCTCTCCGAGAGTTCTACCTTCAACAAAGCTACACTGTATATGAGATAAAACAAGTTGCAAAGTTCTAAAGTTTTTTATTTATTTATTGAGAAGCTATCTTTCTATTTTCTAATAAACTTTGACTTCTTTTTTTGAAATTCTTTTTTTTTTCCTAAAACTTTGACTGATGTGATTTTGTAAAGTGTGTATATATACCCAATGTCTCTTTAGAGGTGAAAATCTAAGATATTGATTCGAAATCTTTTCCACAAATATTTTAATTCTTTCATATATACCTCTTAAACATATTTTCAAAGATAAGGTATTATTATCTCCATTTAAATAAATGAAAAGTGGGTTATGCTTTCAAATATCCAACAATTCTTACACAAAGAGTGATTGTCTTAAATGTTTCCCATAAGATCTTAATCACTACCACTTCTTAACCATCTAAAATGGAAAGATGTGTTGTTGCTCTTGTTTCTTGCGGCAGCTCCAATAATGCGGACCGGTGAAAACTTGGGTGCTGGACCTGCTGGTTTAGTTATTATGAATTTTGTAAGCATGCCATTATTACTCTTTTCTTTTTTTCCTTGTGAAAGATATGTCGGCAAGTAATGTAAATTATTCATCTGTTCTTTACTCTTCCGATAGTGCAAAAGTTACTTTCTTGAGATTTCCACTACTTTTGTGGGGTATTAGTTATTGATGGGCAGCGTATAATAGAAGGAAAATATACTTGTCTCCCACATGATATAAATAACAAAAATCTAAACTTTTTTTTTTTCTAATTACAATAACAAAATAGAACATGGCTAATGTATTTTTGTGATTATTTTTTCTATTAAAGGTGTATATTTTATTCCACCAAATGTGTTTATACAAATATTGGGCTGATCATATGTGGCCCAAAGGGAATTTGATATGACCAACTTCCCGATCGACAAAGTGAGATACTTCTTTAAAAAAACAAAAAACAAAGTGAATACTTAATTATAAATACTATATAGGCCTGAATGATAATGTGACTTAAGTAGTCAAGTGCAATACCGATTCAAATGTGCGAGATATGTGATTCAGAAGCGGTACTACTGGATATAATGTTATGAATGCTAACAAGAACTGTGGGATATGCGATTACTTGAATGAAAAAAAGAGTTTGGAAGCGATTTGAAAATATATATATAGCTATGTGATTTTGAAATTTTTTCAAAAGATTTATTTTTCTTTTTTCATAATTTCCCTCTAAAAATGCAATTTTTCACAAAAACGTGATACAACTTTTCCCGCAAAAAAAATGATAACGTGAAATCCTGTACAGAAAAAATGATTTTCTTTACTATATGTAACTTTTGCAAAAAGTGATTATGTAACTTTTTGCAAAAAGCATTGTTCCCTTCTCTAAAGGAGTAATTGGTGAATCAATTGAGCTGAAACTGAAAGACCGGAAGACAAATATAGAGGTAAGGAAATGATTTCGCTGGTTTAATATTGGTAATGGGTTTTCTTTTGGCTCTTGAGAAATGTTTTATTTAGTGCATAAATAAGTGAAGGCGAAGAAGAAACGTTTAAGTTGACACAACGTCTAAACATCAACGATTGTAAAATTGTAAGTGAATCGAATGAAACTTTTGCGGTAACTATTGTAACATTGTAAATTTGGAGATGCTTTTTTTTTTGTCAAGCCGAATTTAAACTTAATTCAAGAGAAAAGTTTTGGCTAATGTGGGTGGTATAGGAAAAGAGGAAACTCTATATATCTATATAAAAAAAGAGAGATTTTTGTCTAAACAAGACTAATTCGTAATAAACCATTTAAGAACTTCAAGATCTAATTCATAAGATAATTTACAGTTGAATTAATAATGTCCTTGAAAATCGTACACATCAAAAGATATATGGCTGAAATGGTTGTACAATTGATGTTAGAGTTAAACACCAACTTCAAGGACTATATTTTGTCGGTTCTCGTTCTAAAATATAAAACCTCCATAGAATCACTAAAAATCCAGAGTCAACGGTACATTATAATATAAGAAGATGAAAGATTTTAGGAGGACAATTACATATCTTGATAACCAATCTAATATATACATATGTGAGATAATTAATGTTCTGCAACACCATTTAATTGTGTTTCCCGCGGACTACGTCAAACTTGTCCCCTCTCCTACAAAGCCTCTTCTTCTACCACATTTTTTAGTCTCTCTCTAGCTCTCTCTCGATATATATGTCTCCGATAAGTCCTCCGGCCAGTGGTGTTGGGCTCGGCTACGGTATCGCCATCGCCGTAAGCATCTTGGTTCTCATCTCCTTTATAATGCTGGCCTCATACATCTGCATAAGGTCAAAATCTACAGGAAGAGACGAAGCCACGAGTGACGGAGTTCTTGACTCGCCGTCGCCCGCGGCTGAAGTGAAGCTCGGTTTGGACCGACCGGTGATAGAGTCATATCCAAGGATAGTGTTGGGAGATAGCCGGAGATTACCGAGGCCCAACAACGGCCCATGTTCGATATGTCTATGTGATTACGAGGCAAGGGAACCGGTTCGGTGTATACCGGAATGTAATCACTGCTTCCACACAGATTGTGTTGATGAGTGGCTCCGGACAAGTGCTACATGTCCTCTATGTAGGAACTCACCGGCTCCGTCTAGGCTAGCCACACCATTGTCCGATTTAATCCCACTCGCCTTTCAAATCAGGTGAAAGTTAAGGTCCTTTTCCTATTCCCTTGTGCTTTGAGATGGAAATGAGTTAAAATTTGTTATATTTTAGGATTGAAGTTGGAAGCTCAATAAAGGTCGTAAATTTTTTTAACGATTTGATTAAAAATAAAAACTTAGGATTTTTTTTTTTTTTTAATTTGCATGAGTTTGCGACCTTACTATGTGACTCTTGAATTGGATCACCCTAGTATTGATCAGCCTTTGATTCTTACCTAATTTAGCCAGATTCACTAATAATACCGCGATCTCGTGATTTCGGTTTCATCTTTACTGAGAGAGATTCGGTATTCCAGATTTGGTAACTTGTACCTGTACTTCGTACGTAGGGTTATCAAATCACATCTTTGTACATATATACGTATGTGCTTTGATTCTGTGATCAATACTTTAATTTGGGGAATATGGTTTTCAATTTTTTTTCTGTTTTTTTTTGGAGTTTACATTCTAGATAAATTAAATGTTCAGTTCAATGAGCATTAAAATTTTCCAAAAATAAAATAAAATTCACAGATATATGTGAATATTAATCTAGAGAACTTCTTACTCTTAAAATCATTATTTTCTTCTAATAAGAAATTGAGGTTTTATAATGTTATATTTACTTTGCACATACTTGAAATAGTTTGAAAAGTGGATTACTTGATTTCCTACATTGGATGTTATCATAATATTGTTTGTAATCTCGAATAATATATGTTCGGTGAAATCCTCAGCATGTGTGAAAAGCCTTCGTATTATTAAAAAAAAAGAGGCGTAAGTTGGAGCTCTTGCTCTTACGGTTACTTTCTTACATATAGAGGTCAAAATTAAAAGACAAAAATACTGATTCGACCAAAACAACGTAACCTTTAGTTTTATTCTTCTCCCCAAACGTTCTTCATGGCTCTTGGATAGTCTTTTTCAAAGGTGTTTCCGATAATGGAACGCTGATTACAATCGTCGACAGCATAGAGTTATCACCTTCCGAGATTTTCATTTCGGTTCCATTAGCTTCCACATCTTTGGTCACTACGTTACTATTTGAGTCAATCTTGGGTTGTTCACATATTGTCACTTGATTCTCCTTTTGCTTTCCCCATAAGACCGCATACAGTCCAATTACAATCAGTACCGCACCAATAACCCTGCATGTCGCAATCAATTGATAAGCCTTAAGTGAGATATTCAACATAACCATGCATGGATTGAATGAGAAAAAGGGCAAAAGTGGGATATTTACCCTCCAAGGAAGATTTTTTCTGCCAAGACAAAAGAACCCATGACAGCAACAATAACCATCATCAAAGGACTAAAGGCAGTAGCAAACACAGGTCCTCTTTTCTTCATCACTATCCCTTGCACATAGTATGAGATACTTGATGCCACAATCCCCTATTAATTATTTATCAATTTATTAGATTTTTTTTTTTGGTGCAAAATTAATAAAGAATAAGTGAGGTTATTACAGAGTAAGCGGCGGCAAGGAGATTCATGTCCCAACCAATTCTCCAAGCAGAGGGATTGTGTTCCATCACAAACGTCACAGCAACTGCTTGTAGTGTTCCGATGAAGCAAATTAGAGTTGTTAGAGAAAGCTGATGCTTCGCATACGTCTTTAGTATTTTTGCCTAATCGATATCACATAAACCAAACCAAAAGAAAAAACAATAAACGAATAATTGTAAAACTGCTCTTTTGACGTAGACACAAAAAAGAAATGTATTATATATATAAAGAAAAAGAGAATCTCGAGTGTTCACTTAATTTTGTCTCTTTATGTGTGTACATACCTGTAGAACAAAGAGGGAGGCCCAAGCGAGTGTTGCAAAGATGAGGAGGATGGAGCCTTTGAGAAATTCCTTATCACTTGATGAGTTCTTAGATGACGTCGTATGATTGGCATGTGACGAGTCTTGAAGATGCATATATTTGGTCCAAAACAGCTCAACGATGGGTCCCTTGTAAATTGTCATCACCATCGCTCCGCCTACTGTCACCACCGTGCCGCCTATTTTCGCCTGACACCACAGTTTCTTCAAGTCCAACATCTCCATCCTATAATCAAAATTAGTAAGTTGTTTTTTAGAATGAAATTATAGAAAACGACAAACGGTTTTGAGTTGAAAGCCATAAAATTTCACAGTGACCTAATATATATTTGTGCATTTATTTACGTACCGGAATAGTACAGCCAAGATAAAGGTCATGGCCGGAAGCATGTTACTCATGGCGCATGAGAACGTGGGGGACGTATATTTCAGCCCCATGTAGTAGAAGTTTTGATCGATCACTGGCCTGTAAATTTGTTTATATATCGTATGAAAATGTTAATTCTCTTTCGTTGGTTTTGCAAAGACAACGAAGTTAAATAGAGACAGTGAATAAGTAACAACCCGAGAAGGCCGAGGATGAATAGTTGCATGAAAATGGAGAACGTTATTTTCGGCTGAGCCTTCCTGTAAAACAAAAATCCAGAGTTAGAAACCATTAACAATTTATCGATTTTTGGTGAATAAAAATTCAAACAATGTAATGAAAAGAAAATGGATATATATACCTTTCGAAGAAGAAAGCGAAGGGTGCAATAACGGCGGTGGCGATTGCATGGCGGTAGACGACAAGGACATAGTGGCTCATACCGGTGTTGAGGGATATTTTGGTAATTATGTTCATGCCGGCGTAGCCAAACTGGAGAGATATCATGGCGAAGTAGGGTTTAGAGCTGGTGAGAAAGCTCTCACAGCTACTAAGCTCCTCCATCGACATAATGTTTTAAATTGTGTTGAGTAAAAACTCTTGAAGTGGTCTAATGTATTTATAGTAAGATGCAACGTAGTTACGACATAGTTTTCTATTTGTATAATGTTTCTAGGTATCTTGGTAGACATCACTATCTCACCTCCCCTAGTCTGGAACTCAAATCAGGCCGAAACCTACAAATCATATACATAACCAATTGGATGACACTTCCACTAGGCAAATTATGAAATTGTGGAACAAATTTGTCTATCTCTATCCGTCTTGGTGATCCATGGCACGGGTTAACATGCTAACCAAAAGATGAGTTAGGGATGGTTTAATCGCTGTATGCTCGTACTATTAAATTTGTTCATATGAAGTAATAAATTTGTTTATATTCCCTTCTGATTTTCCAAATATATGATTTTATGTGACACAAACTTACATCAATTCGGAAATAATTAGATTTCGACCCACAACTCAACAACGTTCTAGGTTCTAGCCAATAATCAGAAACTCACTTTTGATTTTAGTTACTAAAAAGATGCCTTAAATAATTTTTTAAAAAAACTGTGATAATGCACTTTTGCATGATTCGAGAAGAAACAAAAATTGTTTATTGGAAAATGGGGGAAAAGGGTAGGGGACACGTGGCAGGCAATGGGAGGGTTTAGGGGGATCATAGAAGGCATCATTGTAGTGACTCTTGAGGTAAGCAAATAAATGACATAGAAGGCATTAAGGTGACATGAAAGTTAAATCTTCGAACTTAGACCATTTGATATTATAAAATCATTCAAAAGCTAAGTTACCCCTTCACAAAAGTAAATAACTCTTTCTAATCAAACGGCTAGAATTCAATCTCTAATACAATTGAGACACCATGTGTATATTTTGAGTGAGTCAGGATGAGAGTAGAAACGGTTTCGTGTCCTCACAAATTTGGAGTGGAATAATGAGTTATTCAAGAATTTAATAGCATCTGAAAACTAAAGTAATTAAGAACGTCAAGACTAATTTTCATGTCATATATCCATATGGCGGTGGCGGGTATGGCTGGTGTGGAGGCATCGGGTAAGAAGAAGAAGCTCCGTTGTTCTCACTGGTGCTTGAACCACCACCCTCTTGGGTTGAAATGACTGCACCCATTCTCTGCGGCTCCATTGATAGGTAATAAGGTCTGTATTGGTTAGGTGGTAGTGGGTGCATATAGTACTGCTGCTGAGATATAGCGGCTCGCGGTATTAAACCACTATGAGCCACACTGCCCTGTTGCTGTTGGTTTGAACCACTTTGATAAGGTTTGGGGACCTTAGGTCTTCCCCATGTGAGTTTTAGCCTCTGACCGTTGACAACTAGCCTGTTGGAGAGGTCTTGAATGGCCTTCTCTGCTCCTTCTCGGGTTGTGTATGTGACAAACGCATAGCCTTTCTCGGCCAAGACTCTGATAGATTCAATTTCTCCATAAGCGTAGAATTTGTCATGTATGTCCTGCTCGAGGATACTCGAGTTAAGTTCACCGACGTAAAGCGTTTTGATGCTTTCATCCTCTGGTGGTTCCAAAGTGCCCATCTCACCAGCTTTTCTAAGTAACTTCATCGCGACTGGATCATTTACACTGTGAATGTGTAAAAAGTATATGAGAAACAATTCAAACAAGCATTTGAGAAGGCAACTAAACGTCAAGCAATAGAGAAGATCCATTAGCTTTACCCATAATAACGATCTTTTATGTTTTGCTGTGATAGCTCTCCTGTTTCGGGCATCTCGTGCCGGTATGAACATTCGGCACCTCTTTTACACTGACCAATGGTGTAGAAACTACAAACTCGTGGCCGGTTCCTTCTATAGTATGGAGTTGTTCTTTGAAGATTTGAAATAGTATCATTAGGTAGCATCTTCCCAAATGAAGATTCATAATCCAGTCCAGCTCCAGTCTACAAAAAATATCAAAAGCCACCAAGAGGAAACTAGAATTAGTCATCAATCATTCATAATGGTAGGTTATATAACCTAAGCAGACTTGAAAATATGACAGTTTAGTCAAAAAGAAAAAGAAGAATGCATGGTCATATATACCTTTCTGTCATGGTCCTCAGCAAAGTACTCTCTGTTGACATGGCTCTCTGGGATAGAGTAATGAGTACTATTAATATTGAGTGCTGTGTCTTTGACCTGAACAGGAAGACCAAACTCGAGATCCAGAAGACAGACTTGGCATACATTTTTCAGGTTGCAGCAAGTCTGACAAATTTCGGTGTTCTTGAATCTAGCATTCCGGCCTGGTCGCCACCTAAAAGCTGTGAAAGGGCGTCTACATATCTTGCATTCCTTATCATAATCCGCTCGGGTCTACATAATCAACAACTTCAATCAGGGTTTGAAGAAAAAAAAACGTGCAGTGCAAGCTACGATACTAGAAAACATCAACAAGCCACGCTACAACTAGAAGAATTTGATAACAACCTAAACCTAAAATACTAGAAAACATCAACAAGCCACGCTACAAAAATTAAGAGATGGGAGCGAGAAATTACCATTCGCACGTACGGATTGTCACCGAAGCAAGATTCGCAGGTGATTGGGAAATCGGACCTTTCCCATCCATCGGCTCCATGATCCCTGTGAGCCATTCTCTTCGATTACTCACTAGATATCAATCTCGTGACGCTACTCTTATAGGTCAAAAGTCCAGCTCGATTTGGAATTTGTGTCTCTTTAAATATGGGTTAACAAAAAATGTCAAATTAACCTTTCGTACAAAACTATTGGGCTTTAAACTGGGCCCATTAGGATTAGACTTGAAGAGCGCATACAGTATTTGGAGATGATAATTACTAATTAGACCTTTACTAATTAGACTTTGAAAAGAAGAGCAATAGCCAAAATGATACATTTTCTACATAAACAGACTGTTAATGCTCTATTTTAATCCTCTACATCATGTTTCCTACTAAACCCAACTTTAATATCACTAACGAGCCTGTGGTCTCAGTATCAACTTTCCTCCTCGTCATAATCTTCTTCGTCTTCGTCTAACCTCTTACTCATATTGGCAAGCTGCATTGGATCCATATTCGCCATATTCGGGATAGACCAACACTGATATTCCTCGGCAGGTTTCAATTCTATTGAGGCTGTGATTACTGGCGGCTTTAACTCGATGTCGAGTGATTGTGTGTTCAGATCAAAACCCCGACCCAACCCTGAGTTTGTGTCGTTACCTTCTTTTTTGGGACTTTGCGGCTCTTGCTTTGTTTGGTTAGACCGCTCATCAACATCCTTCTTCTCACTGTCTTGCAGAGTCAGTTGTTGTGATGGTGCAGGCATCTTGATTTCGTCTAGGGTAAGTGGTGGTGCTACCAATATGGTTGGTTCTATTTCCATATCGCGATTAAGAAGCTCTCTTTCCGCGGTTTTTGCACTTCGTCCGCGCCCCCTTCCACGCCCTCTGCCTCTACCCCTTCCACTGGGTCCCGCATGCCCCATCTCGTGCTGCAACGATCACAAAACACCAAGCATCAAATCAAGACACATTCATAAACCTGTTAGTGTCTTTAAGAAAGGAGACAATAGCGAGCAGAAAGAAACGCTCACCACTTTAGTTTTCTTCAATTCCTCATCGCTGTCATTAACTTCATCACCGGTAGGCTTCCTGGCCAATCAGAAAAGTAAATCACATTAACACGGAATCCAGAAAAATAAACCAAGAATATGGAGCTAAGAAATAATAACATAGATCCAACCTTCTCTTAGAGATACTGCGGTCCTCCATGGTTACATCAGCATGGCCTTGACCGTGACCATGCTCATGGCCATAGTCAGGCACCTTGCTGACAACTTCCCTCAGAAAATCAAACACATTGTATCTTTCGACACAGTTTTTTCTGTAGAAAATACACAAATCAATTAATTTGGATGTACTATAATGAAAAGTTAGTGTTAAACTTAAACATAAGGAAGGCTGGATAAATATGTTATGTAAAAAAAGTTCATAAGCAACGATAACAAGAGAGAGCCAACAGGCTGAAAGTTTTTCTACTTAGTGATAACAGGTTAGTTCATAACACAGAATATTGATAGCTACAGCATCTGAATATTCGATTAACTAAAACGCGCTAAAAAATAATTTTCATGTCATTGTGTAGTGGCAATGAGTAGCGTGCAGTGAGAAGCAATATATAAAAAGAAAAGATGTATAAGCAATCAACTTACAGATGTAATGAGCTAACGGTCTTGGCTCCTCTTTGAAGGGTAATTTCATAAGTATGATCACAAAGGTCTTGTAAGAATAATTCCAAAGCTTTTGCTGTAATAGGTTTATACATGAAAAAGTTAGTGAAAGGATTTAAACAAGTCCAAAGTGCAGTAGGTAAATAATATGTGACTCACAAACTAAGACAGGAACCGCCAAAGCAATCTTGCCAACATCCTCGTCAGCTTGCATTATTTTCTTTATACGAGCCTGAAATTTGCAGATATCAGGGAACAGAGGGTAAGTATAAGACTCAAGCATCATTAAAAAGTTGATAACTTTCAAAATCTTATAGCATCAGAGACCATTAAATCTATCAAAAGAAAACCAACAAAAACAGGGCATCGAAACAGAGACACATAAGATACAGTTCATCAACAAAAATACGAATTTTGATTTCAGAATCCTGATAATTTATCATCCGGGAACCTCGATTCGTCGAAAAGTGTCAAACTTTGGAATAACCAATCAATCAATTAATCAATCGAGCCGAAAGAAATGAAATTTGAAACGTCATAAACAAAAAAAAAAACTTACGGCAGGAAAACGAGTATCGAGCTTCTTCCTCATAATTTTGAATCGTAGTCGTTAGACAAACCCCAGAAACCGTTCGAACGAGGAAAACGAATAGCGATAGGATAAATTTCACGAGAACACGAAACGCAACTTGTTCAGATTCGAAATTTAAGGCAAATCAACGGTACATAATTCCTTATTTAACAAGCAAAATTAGTTCGTGGATGGCCACAAAACCAGATCCAACGGCGATTTCTTCCTCCCGAATTGTTCGTCTGTACGATATCCCCACGATTAATCATAAAAAATATATAAAGACGAAATTACCCCTACTTCAGATTCAAAGTTTCAACAGACAACGCTTGAGAACGGGGGCATCTTCGGATTTAAAGTTTCAACAACTCCTTGATTTTTCTTCTTTGATCTACTTTGTGAGTTTCTTAGTCGATTAACTGACAAAGTTGTTATGTCCTAACAATAATCATCGTCCAGTTACACATATGATTAATTGAAACAGAGTTTGTGAAGCAAAAGATTAGATGGAAACTGGAAAAATGTTATTTACTAAACCAACATTTTTAAATCTTGTCATAGAGTTCTACAAAACCAACTTGTCAAATCTTGCTGCTATGTATCAACCAAACTCTTAATAAATTCAATTACTGTACTCATGAAACAATACAAGTTCAAAACTTCACAAGATGCAAGGTAAAAAAAAAAAAGCTCGTAATTGTTACAAACAATCAACTATCTACAATTTTTGTACTCTATGTAAAGAATCAATCAATTTGTGCAATTGTTCCTGTTTTCCTTCCTATGCTTTTCTTTGTCACAGGCTATTGTTCGTTAAGAGGTTCTTGATGCTTCTGAAGCCGCGAGAGAGTTTCTCTTCTTCATGTTTCCTGCTACAATTCTTGTGCTTGCTTCTGTTTTCTATGAAGTCTAGCTACAATGGTTCTTGCTCTCCTTGTTCATCCTGCAGTAACTGCTCGTCTTTGTCCTTCTCTCCTTGCCAAACCCAAACAATATCTGCCAGAGCAGGCCTAAGATCCTCCTCCACTAGCTTCTGATACTCCATTGTATCTCCATTACATTTCTTCACTTCCACCAGGTGAAACGTTGGTGTCACTTGGAATATCTCTGCATCCATCGTCAAAATCCCTTTTTTACCTTCCTTTAATCGTTCCAGTTTGAACACGCCTGCGCCTTGCTTTCTTATCTTCAGCTTCAGGTACTTGGCAACCTCCTCTAGCTTAGAAATGATCTCTGAAGCAGGTTTTTGCGATGCGAATCTAGATTCTCGCTTGTCATATAAGTCCCCGAAAAGTCCTGCCAAACCAAAACCCGTAGACAATGCGATAATATCGAAAGCATTCAAGGTAGCAAGCCGAGGCGGCTCGTGGTTTTCTCTGTTTTCATTTAGACCTGAACCTCCAGCTTCCATGTGATTAGTAGCCTCTCTGACTTGTTGTTTCTCCATCTTTTCCATCTTTTTTTGCTTCAAATGTAAACCTTTTCTGAACCAAGAACTCTCCTTGATTTTTGCAATAGTGATTCTAGTCTCATGGTTAGGGTCAAACATCTTACACAATAGTCTCTTTACTTCAGGGGCAAACCAGCTCGGGCACTTGAACTCTGCTTTACCTATCTTCCTATACATCTCCATTAGATTAGAGTCATGGAAAGGGAGATAACCAGCCAAAAGAACAAACAAGACAACACCACAAGACCAAATATCCGCTTTCGTACCATCATATCCTTTTCGGTTAATAACCTCGGGCGCAACATAAGCAGGTGTACCACAAGTTGTATGCAAAAGACCATCTTGACGCTTGCAATCAGCAAGCGCGCTTAAACCAAAATCAGATATCTTAAGATTATCATTATCATCCAACAACAGATTCTCTGGCTTAATGTCGCGGTGATACACTCCGCGACTATGACAAAAATCAACCCCGCTAATAAGCTGATAAAAGTACTTCCAAGCAACATCCTCTCTAAGTTTCCCTTTTGCAACCTTGTTGAAAAGCTCACCACCTTTACAATACTCAATAACAAAGTAAATCCTCGACTTTGTTGCCATAACCTCGTATAACTCCACGACATTCGGGTGTTTAGCAATCCTCATCACAGAGATCTCTCTCTTGATTTGCTCGCTAAGCCCGACTCTCATAACTTTGTCCTTGTCAATCATCTTGATAGCTACACTCTCGTTGGTATGAATACTCCTTCCATAATAAACTTTAGCAAAAGTACCTTGACCCAATAACCTCCCAACTTCATATCTTTTAGTTAATACACTTGGTTTGTTCTCCATCCTTAAAATCTACAAACTTCAAACTCCCTAACTCAAAACATTTGAGTTTTATTCCCAGTTGGTTGATCCTTACTAGCAATCCAAATCAAGTCAGGTTAACTACTACTGAATCAAACGGGGTTTTAAAAACCAAAAAGCACAATTGGATCAGGACTTAAAAGTCTAACCTTTAAGACCAACAACACAAAACCGATTTCGATATCTCCTGTAACAAAAAGACTGAGAAGCAAGACCAAGAGAAACCAATTCGAAAGAGAAAGGAAGAAGAATCAATAACCTCTCTCTTTTGATGAAACCGATTTGAAAGATGAATCCGAAAGACAAAAGAGGACGAACGGATCTCTGTTTTGACTAGTGGAATCAGTTCTGCTCCTCTGTCTAAATTCTTTAATTTATATTTTTGGGATTCTATTTTCAATGAAAAGAAAAATCTAACATTTTAGGTTTTTTTTTTTAAATAGTTGCGTGGAAGTGAATAGACAAGAGGGTATTTGTTGCTCGTGGGCTCGTCCACCTAACGCGCTACTATGCGCCGTTGATCTTTGATTTGTTTTTTTTTTGGTCGGCGGTGTTTTTTTTTTTTTTTCCTTTTGGTTCACAATTAACTTTTTGTTGTGATTTAAAACGATAAAGCCTCCTATATTTTTTTTTTATGTCGACGATAAAGCCTCCTTTTTTTTTATTTGTGCCAACGATAAAACCTAATATTTTAAAAAGAAATTTTCACAAAAGGGACAGAAATAATTTTTTGTCTCACCAATTGACAAAGTGGGGAAAGGCTTTCACCGTTTGACAATTTGCCATATTTCTGACGAAACTGCCCTCAACTAGAAGTGTAACTTGGTTCGATTTCTTTTTTTTTTTTTTCAGAAGTGTATCGTTTTTTTTCAATTGGTTTGGTTTCTGAAAATTAGTTTTATTTAGTTTAAAATTTTTTTGAATTAAAAACAACATTGGAAAACGAAGAACCTAGTCGACGAAAGTGAAGAGCTCGAGGAGGAAAACTCAAAGTAGAAACCGTTTCCATTCTTCAATCTAATCTCTCATTATTATTCATCTACTTGGAAACGACCAAAACCCCAAAAAATTCCGGCGAATTCCGTTTCGATTCCTCTTTAACTCTCTCATTATCTTTCGTTTTTGCCGAGACGAGCAAAAGCAAACAAATTTCATATTTCCGGCGACGAACAAAATACAACAAAGTTCTGGAAACTCAAACACTTTAGCTTTTCAAATTTAAAATATGCTAAATTTACAAGATTTATATGTAAAGAGAATTCAAAAGGTAAAAAAAAACAAGATTCTGAGATAACTGCTAATGACGGCCGCAAAATTAGGGTTGCAGAGGAGGATACTCAGGTTGAAGATGACTGGAAAATTACATTTATACCCTTCATCGAATTTCTTCTGTGTACGTATATGCAATTTACGGTGTACGTACACTAAAATATTTAGTGGAACTTATGTATATGGTTCGATATTAAAGTGGTTGTAATAAATATCAAACCACCCTCTACGAAAAACTAACAATTAATGATTTGACTCCAAATTTGAGCTATTTTGTTACTTATTCATATATATCTCAATAAAATTCATGCATATATAATAATTAAATAAAAATATATGGTGAAAAAATATTGTTCCTCATACTTCTGAAAAAAGTTATGTATGTATACGTGTAATAATGTACGTACATCTTTGTTGGTGTGTTAAATTTGTTAAGATAAATTTATTGGTACAATAATAAACCAATATTGGCGATGGTGGGGGTGTATTCTACGACGCTCCTACTGGAGATGAAGCCATTGTTATTTGATTTTTTTTTCTTCTAAATACACTCCCAACAAACAATGTCTCTCTTGCCATACTAATTTATATTTTTGTCTCATCAACTCGGGTATTGACTAAATCATCAAAGACTAGAACAAAATTCACACAATTACCATTCACTTTACAGTTACCATGCCAATTTGTATATGTGTACGTCAAACATTTACCGTTAGATGATTTCTCGTGTACATATTTAGTAATGTACGTACATTTTTCTAAAAATCATGTTTTATCTCATGGTTATGACTCACAAATGGTTGAATATCACCATTCTCTCCAAAATAATCGATGTTTTTTCAGTTACGTACACGATAATTAGTATACGTACACGTTTCTAATAATCAACTGAATTTTTATGTTAGCCCCACAGTAAGTTGAGTGTCACCATCATTCTTGACATGTCATATCCCATATTTCTCAACAACAAAATCAGTCAACTTGTTGTAATGTAATCTTCGCCACTACCTTTATTACCGTTTATAGTTGTCATCTTCATCGTCCCCTTCCTCATCCTTTCTCTTTTTCGTCGTCCTCATCCTCTTTTTTTTCATCCTCTTTATCACTATGTACTTCTTCTGCTTCATCTACTTCCTCATTGTTTTCACCACCGACCCATGGTCAGTTTCATCAGAAAGGTCCTCCATCTTTCTGTGTAATTATTATTTTAAATTTTTTAATGAACGTTATGTTACATAATATTATTGGTGGATAATATATAAGATTCTAAACTAATATATAAGATTCGTAAACGTAGTGGGCTGAGTTGGGTCTTACATAAATCGTCGAAATTGAAACATCATCATTATTGAGCAACTCCACCTCACCACTTAGCAATATAGAAAAGCCATTATACACTTCGGAAGAATCATTCATTGTTAATAAATCGTACTTTGATTCAGGTAAAACCGATCTTCCAATACTAAATTGCACACCATTACCATTCATTTCAAATCTACCATGCCCATTTGTATTCGTGTACGTAAAATATTCACCTTTACATACTTCATCGGGTACCTTGTTAGTATTGTACGTACATTCTTCCAAAAATCATATCTTACCTCCCAGTTAGGACTCACAAATGGTTAAATGTCGTAATTCTTTCCAAAATGATCGATGCTTTTTCCATCATGTACACGTTCATTAGTATAAGTACATGTTTCTATTAATAAACTAAATTTTCATGCTGGTCTCACAATCGGTTTAGTGTCACGAACATCCCGACATGTCCCATGTTGTAATGTAATCTTCGACAATACCTTTACTTCCGTTTATAGTCGGTTCTAGGATATTCCCCTACTTGACTAATCGTTTTCCATCGTCCTCTTCATCATCCTCTTTCTCTTTATCTTCTTTATTGTCATCTACTTCTTCTTCCTCATCTACTTTCTCATTGTTTTCATCCACATTTAGAGCCTCCAATGTGGTTTTTGTTGCATTTTCACCCCCAAACCATGTTAGTTTCATCAGCCAAATCCTCCATCATGCACACACTATTCACACCATCCCTAACGGATTGGACAAATGACACAAACATGTTCACTTGTCTATGATAGTTGTACTTATCTTCCTGCAAGTCCCCACACATGGGGCAATGACACCATTTCTCTGTCACGATTACTATCTCGTCTTTCACGTACACAGTACGACATGTTTACGTACATAATCACCAATATATGTACTTGTGTATGTTAACTTCTCTAATAAGCATGTGTGTGCACCTATGTATGCTGGTATATTGTGTCAATACTGATATTTGTGTCGTCCCACAAAGTCAGCATAATAGTTCGTACTAGGCTAAACATTAAGATATTTGGTTTGGTTTCTAGTAAGATTCTTTTGGTACATGGTACTTTGGGTAGAATGATTTATATCCATTTCTGGTATCTTAAAATTTTGGTCCGGTTCAGTTTGGTTTCAGATATTTTTGGTTCAGTTCCGGGTACCCAAAATATTGGTAAAAGTTAAAATTTATTAAATTTAAATAAAATTTGCATATATAATTTTTTTTTTGACAAATATAAGTAAAAAATTTGGATATTTTTCTGTCTTAAATAATTGACACCTAAGTGTTTATAATTGTAATCTGGGTAATTGTGATATAAATGTCTAAATATAATTCATATGTTTGGTATATAACTATATTTCAGATACCCATTCGGTTCTCAGTTTGGTTCGGATTAGGTTTTGGTTCTTCAACTATGGTTATGGTTATTCAGGTATAAAAGTTTAATTTCATTCAGATATTTTGTCAGTTTCGGGTTCAGTTCATATTTTTCGAATAGGTTCGGTTTGATTCTTTAATTTTAGGTATCTTTTTTAGGTGTAGTTCGTACATGGTTTGAATGTTTTGTTTTTATGTTCAAAAAATATTTTAAACATAAATATACAAATTATTTAGATGTTTATATACATATACGCACATAAATTACTACCGTGTACGTACACATGAGTACATGATATTGTTAGTTTTAACTTATCTTCAACAACACGATTACAATTAAGAAAAAAATTATTATTCAGAGTGTAAAAATATATATGAAAATGGATCTTAAAAGATAGAAAAAATTAAATTTTAATTGAAAGTACAAAAATAATAAATATTTATAAAAATGAAAAGAGACAAAAATGTGAAAAACAAAAAAAGGTGAAAAATAATAATAATCTTATTTATTTATATTTTTCTATTTTTTAATTTTGTTTTTACACTGTAGCTAACGAGAGTGTACTGTACATAGCGCGTGTACTGTAGCTAACGATATACAGTGTACGTAACCAACTCGCCTGACGATTTCGTTCGCTGTCACTGTACACCGGTTCGGCTAGAAGGGCATTTTCGTCTGAAATTGACATAATTGTCAAATGGTGAAAGCCTTTCCCCACTTTGTCAAAACCTGAAAGAAAAACATAAAACATGGGCCTGACCCGTAATTAACCCTATTTTAAATCAGTTGTTTGTTAATATTAATTGAGTTACAACATGAACTTCGTCAACATTTTCAATTCGTGATTATTTAAGAATGTACAACCCTAAAATTACATATTTTAAATCTAGGTTTGTTTCGGATGAGCCTTAAATCATAGTTATGAATTATCTTATATTATAACTAGGAAATATTCAAAATGTGATTGTAGTAATTTCGTGATCGTGAAAACCACAACCCTACAAGACGACGACGACGATGATATATGCCTTGCAGATGGTTTGGAGTTATACCCTCATAGAAAGCGATAACAAGGAGCTTGTGGAGGTCATGAGGATGCTTTTGCGCTGGTTATAGTGTTAAGTTGAAATTCAGAAAAGAAAGATAACCCAAAATCCAAATTAATGATTACTTTCAAACACTATTGCTGTATGGAGAAGAAGAGCTGTTCAACATTAGATGGTACAACGCAGCATAGAATTTCCGTGTCCCAACCACTGACTGATGATCATTCTCTAAAGTCTATCTTTATGTGACCATGTGATCGTACGTGGCTCTTCATGACTGCCCCCAACAAGCCAATTACTAAACTTGTCTTTATTTTGTGGTTTCAAAAGATCTGATGTTGATGTTCTCCAAAACAGAAACACATTTTATAAGATAATGTAAATTAAATAAAGCCACTAGGAAATATTTATATAGAACGATGATGAGTATTGATGAATACGTGAGGACTAGTCTACCACCACCACAACACAAAAACGCGTTTTGCCCATTCTCTCTCTCTCACACACACACATCAACGTATCCATCGATGCATTTGACTTCCCGTTTCTCCAGTTATTAAAGAGCCAATACTTCTTTTTTCAATACAAAAGTGTTGAAAGGGATTAGGATAAACCAAACATTTTTATGTATAGAAAAATAATACTTGACTTTGCAGTTTCCATTTCCAATCTTCAAAGTCATATCTTACCAACTCACATCGCTAGCTAATATATCCCCTATATTTTCTTACAAATATATATATCTTACACAAAGATAGTGCATGTGATATAGAAATCAAGATGGGAAGCCAAGGCATGAGTTCACCGAGTCCCTTGGTGGTGAAGAAATCGCAAGTGGTTATAGTGAAACCATCAAAGGCAACCCCTGATGTCTCTCTTTCTCTCTCGACATTCGACAATGATCCTTACCTCGAAACCCTCGCCAAAACCATCTATGTCTACGCCCCACCCCCGAACGACCACGTCCACGATCCAGCTTCCCTTTTTCAGCAAGCTCTCTCTGATGCTCTTGTCTATTACTACCCTCTGGCTGGAAAACTTCACCGGGGATCCCACGATCATAGATTAGAGTTGAGGTGCAGTCCCGCGGAAGGAGTCCCCTATGTGAGGGCTACCGCAGACTGCACTCTCTCTTCCCTCAATTATTTGAAGGACATGGACGCTGACTTATACCAACTCGTACCGTGTGATGTAGCTGTGCCCTCTGGTGGTTACAACCCTTTGGCTTTGCAAATCACTCAGTTTGCATGCGGAGGGATCACCCTTGCAACGGCTCTCTCTCATTCCTTGTGTGATGGTTTTGGAGCGTCTCAGTTTTTCAAAGCCTTAACTCAGCTCGCCGCGGGAAAGACACAACCTAGCATCATCCCCGTTTGGGAAAGACATTGTCTTACCTCTAACAACTTTACCTTAAACGGTATATATTAACTAATATTATCTAAATATATTTTCTTTTAAATTTAGACGCATTACAAATCCTCTTGATAGTTTCTGATCAACATGTTGACAAAAAATAGATTGGTCTGTAACTTTTATATATTTTTAAAATTTATTTTATTTTATATATGATGTGAGATTAATTACGACCTAACATTTGTATATATATAAGTAGGGCAAGTGGAGGAGGGACAAGCTCCCAAGCTGGTTGACTTCGTAGAGGCTTGCTCTTCTGTGGCAACTTCCCCCTACACACCCACTAACGACATGGTATGTGAGATCCTCAACGTGACATCCCAAGAGATCACTCAGCTCAAGGAGAAGGTTGCGGGGGAGGTCACGACTCTAGAGATTCTTGCAGCCCACGTCTGGAGAGCAAGGTGCCGAGCCTTGAAGCTAAGTCCAGATGGGACATCTCTTTTCGGAATGGCCGTGGGTATACGCCGCATTGTGGAGCCACCGTTACCGGAAGGCTACTACGGGAACGCATTTGTCAAAGCCAACGTAGCAATGAAGGCTGGAGAGTTGAGCAACTCACCGTTGTCTCACGTTGTTGAGCTCATTAAAGAAGCTAAGAAAGCGGCACTAGAGAAGAGGTACGTGTTGGAGCAGCTAAGAGAGACAGAGAAAACGTTGAAGATGAAGGTAGCGTGTGAAGGAGGGAACGGAGCGTTCATGTTGCTTACTGATTGGAGGCAACTTGGATTGCTAGACGAAATTGATTTTGGGTATGGAGGATCGGTGAATATTATACCATTGGTTCCCAAGTATTTGCCGGATATTTGCATTTTCTTGCCGAGGAAGCACGGTGGTGTTAGAGTGCTAGTCACTCTACCCAAACTTGTAATGGACAACTTCAAGGAACACATGAATCCCCTAAGCATTTAATTTATGAAATGATAAAGAGGCGGTGAATGTAATCCACAATATTACTTTAAATATGAAAAGGGTCATGCTTGATTGTATTAAAAAGAGAACCATGAATTGTTTTGAAATCGTTGTATTTGTCTCTAAATCTTTTGTTTGCTGCTTGTCAAGCTAGCCTTACACATTTGTGAAAATAATATTTTTACTGACCAATTATTTAATGACACCTCAGCAACAAACCGTACCAATAAAATTGTACTGACCAATTCCGAAAAATCAAGTTCCCAATAGTCCAGTACAAAGATGAGATCATTTAGGGAATTTTGACACAGGCCTTTGGTTAAATTCATAATCTATTTGGGCCTAACTTTTTTTGTCAAACTGGGCCTAACTAAATAAGCCCAATAGGAGAACAACTAGGGTTTTAGTTTTTTTCGTTTTGATATATATTGTAAAGGGCGCCGTTAATCGCAGTCGCAGTGGAATCAGAGCAGCTGCAAACATGGTTCGTCTTCTCAATTTCTTGATTTTCTCTCAATTTTTGTTTAGTCTGTGCCTATTGTATCTTTACATTGATATTCAATTATGGCCGTTTTGTTAGTTTCTTAGGACAATTGCGACTCTAGTTTTCTCGTTTCATGCCGTAGACCGTATGTTTAGATTGCAGTAATTTGGTGACTGTAATGTTTTAGACGGCGATGTTGTGTTATTTTTGACAATTGAGCTTCTGGGGAGTGCCCTTTTGATGAGTCTCTATCAAATGTGATAACTTTGTATTGATTGTTTTGACCTTTTATGTATCAAATGTGATTTTGTAGGCAAGAGGATTGAAGAAGCATCTAAAGAGGCTCAATGCTCCTAAGCATTGGATGCTTGACAAACTTGGTGGTGCCTTCGTAAGTTGTTTGCCTCATCAATCATGTGTGTTTTAAGACCATTGTTCTGTAATTTTGATTGATCATTTTGTGCTGTTTCTTGTGTAGGCTCCCAAACCATCTTCTGGACCTCACAAGTCAAGGGAGTGTCTTCCTCTTGTTCTGATCATCAGGAACAGGTTGAAGTATGCTTTGACTTACCGTGAAGTTATCTCTATCTTGATGCAAAGGCATATCCAAGTTGATGGCAAAGTTAGGACTGACAAGACTTACCCTGCTGGATTCATGGGTATGTCCTTCTTATTTTCTGATTATGTTTGCCCTTTTTGTGTATGTATTTGATCACTGACCTAAAAGTTGAAATTTTGGTTTGAATAGATGTTGTATCCATCCCCAAGACCAATGAGAACTTCCGTCTTCTGTATGACACCAAGGGACGTTTCCGTCTCCACTCCATCAAGGATGAGGAAGCAAAGGTTTGTTGCACTTCTTAGATCTTGACTGGAATTAGAAGTAGTGATTGGAATTAGAAGATTAATGATTCTTTTTTTGGTTGAATATGCAGTTCAAGCTTTGCAAGGTTAGATCTATCCAGTTTGGTCAGAAGGGAATTCCTAACTTGAACACTTATGATGGTCGAACCATCCGTTACCCTGACCCGCTCATCAAGCCAAACGACACCATCAAGCTAGACCTTGAGGAGAACAAGATTGTTGAGTTCATCAAGTTTGACGTGGGTAATGTTGTGATGGTGACTGGAGGTAGAAACAGAGGCCGTGTGGGTGTGATTAAGAACCGGGAAAAGCATAAGGGAAGCTTTGAGACGATACACATTCAAGACTCAACAGGACATGAGTTTGCCACAAGGTTGGGCAATGTGTTCACCATCGGCAAAGGAACAAAGCCATGGGTATCTCTTCCAAAGGGCAAAGGTATTAAGCTGACCATCATTGAGGAAGCCAGGAAGAGACTTGCTTCCCAACAAGCTGCTTAAAACTTCCAACTGTTTTGAATCATCACAGACAGTTTCGTTTTTACTCTGTCAGACTCGCTGCTTGTCTCAGTTTGTGAGCCTATTTCTTTTCTTATGTTGCTGGCTTCCAAAACCCATCAAAAAATAGCTGAGTAGAGCGTTTTGTAATGTTTGTATGGTGGATTTTTTTGGTGATTTACCGTTTAAATCAGATGACAGTTGCTTAGTCCACTTCTTTGCTTAGTCTTCTATTCTCCTTTGCTTTCCGCTATTAGTTGTTGAGAGATGAGAAATAGATATTATTTGTTATGGGATTCAGTAATTTGGAAGAAGACCTCAAGGGCTCTTGAAAGTGATGTGAATTCAGCCGCCTTTAACAAAAAAGTCAAACATTTTGGTGTTTTGAATACACACGCTTCACACTTAGTCACAAGCTTATCTTTTATAATTGCTTTGCTTTTTCTTGGAAACTTCCTTCTATGCAACTCATAATTTAATCAAGGAAGAAGAGGAAGAAGAGGAAGAAGAAGAAAGCGTATCCCATACGTAAACCATTGATGGGCTCTTTCGATCGCCAAAGAGCTGTCCCGAAATTCAAAACAGCAACTCCGTCGCCGCTCCCTCTCTCTCCTTCGCCTTACTTCACTATGCCTCCTGGCCTTACTCCCGCCGACTTTCTCGACTCACCTCTTCTCTTCACTTCCTCTAATGTATCTATCTATTTTCGTCTCTCTTAATCATATCTATCAGTTCAAAACTATGATTGTTTTTGTCCTTTTCTTGGGAATTATGAAAGAATTCAAGGTTCTTGATTGGTTCATTTCCCTTCGTCTCTCTCTCCTACTCTTAATCCTAAAAGATTGTATTTATCTCGGGTTCCTTTACACATATGTTTTCTTTTTTGATCCTAAAATCACAGATTTTGCCGTCTCCAACAACAGGCACATTTCCGGCGGAATCTCTGAAGTGGAAGAACAACGGTTTGCTCATTGAGCAGAATGAAATCAAATATGATGTGAAGGAACAATTAGATTTTTCCTTCATTAACAACCACACATCTCCTCCATTGTCCCTACCATCTGTAAGACTTATTCTTGCATTGTTAGCTTCTGGTTTATTATCTGTTAAGACATTCTAGTTTCAACCATCTCATTTTCAGATGGTAACTCAGCCTTTACCTCAACTGGATGTATCCAAATCTGAAATTATGTCAAATAACAAAACCTCTGATGACGGCTACAATTGGCGCAAATACGGGCAGAAGCAAGTCAAAGGAAGTGAAAACCCTAGGAGTTACTTCAAATGCACGTATCCAAATTGTCTCACAAAGAAGAAAGTGGAGACGTCACTTGTGAAGGGTCAGATAACTGAGATTGTCTATAGAGGAAGTCACAATCATCCCAAGCCCCAATCCACTAAGAGATCATCTTCCACCGCTGCAGCAGCACATCAAAACAGCAGTCATGGAGACGGTAAAGACATTGGTGAAGATGAAGCAGACGCCAAGAGATGGTAAGCAGAGTCATTATTAAGTAACTGGAATCAAAAGGAAACAATGAGATGTCTGATTGGATTTGTTGTGAATGGGTTAAAATGCAGGAAAAGAGAAGAGAATGTGAAGGAGCCAAGAGTAGTGGTTCAGACAACAAGTGATATAGACATTCTTGACGATGGCTACAGATGGAGAAAGTATGGTCAGAAAGTTGTCAAGGGTAATCCCAATCCAAGGTGTGTTATATTTCTTTTTGTTTTCTCAATTCTGAATGAAAGGGGAGGCTTGTTGCTTGAGCTATAAGTTAGTTAAATGTGTGATGTGCAGGAGCTATTACAAGTGCACATTTACAGGATGTTGTGTAAGGAAACACGTTGAGAGAGCATTTCAAGATCCCAAGTCAGTGATCACAACTTATGAAGGAAAACACAAACACCAAATCCCGACCCCAAGAAGAGGTCACACCTCAGGTTTTTGAGTTTTTGTTGGCAAAAATAACACAAAGGTTTTAAGGCTATTAGGAAAAACAGAGACATATAATTGGACATGCGATTTTATCCAACTGATTAGGCCCAAATTTTCTTAGGTTCTTTATTTTAATTGTACCAATAGAGTGAAGAAACCTATATGTGGGGCAAACAAATGATGTAATAAACAAACAAAGGTGCATACAAAGAGAGGAATAATTATATGTTTCTTTTAAAAGAAAGAAAGACCCAAAAGCACATGTGATAAGTAGCCGACAGTTTGAAGCAAAGCCAGCAAATCGTGAAAGCCATTCACTTTTAGACCTCTCTCTCTTTGACTTTGTCTGCAAAGTAGATCTGCTGCAATGGCCTCTCCTCTTCTCCCGACTTCAACTACTCCTGATCATCTTCCCGGCGGCGATCCACAGTTGCTGAGCTCTCTACGCGTCCTTTTGTCCCGCGTTCTAGCTTCCGTCCGTCACGCTTCTGCCGATGCCCGGCCTTGGGCAGAGCTCGTTGACCGGTCAGCATTTTCTCGGCCTCCATCGCTCTCAGAGGCAACGTCACGAGTAAGGAAGAACTTTTCCTACTTCCGGGCCAATTACATAACCTTAGTGGCCATCTTACTCGCCGCGTCTCTGCTCACGCACCCTTTCGCTCTCTTCCTCCTAGCATCGCTGGCCGCTTCTTGGATTTTCCTCTACTTTTTCCGTCCGTCTGATCAGCCATTGGTCATAGGAGGACGCACGTTCTCCGATCTTGAGACGCTAGGGATGCTCTGCCTCTCCACTGTGGTGGTGATGTTCATGACCAGCGTTGGATCGCTCTTGATGTCCACTCTGGCCATCGGAGTTATGGCCGTGGCCATCCACGGAGCGTTTCGTGCTCCCGAAGATCTGTTTCTTGAAGAACAAGAAGCCATTGGATCAGGCCTTTTCGCATTCTTCAACAACAATGCCTCTAACGCAGCTGCTGCTGCCATAGCCACCTCCGCAATGTCACGAGTTCGAGCCTGAGATTGTTGAAGAGACAGACATTCCTACACCGCAATTCCAAAGAGTGATATTTATTCATATTCATTTGCTTCGTATTGTATACAATTGAATTGTTGTAACATGTAACCATTCTTTTGTCATTTCTTTTTGCTTTGTTTGTTACTGGACTATTGAAACACAATTCAGATTAATATACACCACCAAGACTAAAGAAGAACTTTACTAACACTTTTTTTTTACACCAAAGTAAAAAAGGAAACGTAAAACTGGTTTAAGCCCAAAACCACGAATTGAAGAATAAGAATAAATTACAGGGTGCTCTTAACATGTGTTAAGAGCTCTCTCTACCGTATTGACTTATCTCCTCAGCAACCTTTGTCCACACATTGGCGATCTTCTCCGCATATCCAACCTGCACATTCAAATACCAACAACTCTGTTTTCACACCTTTTTACAGATTTTCATCTCTTTATTTCAAAAACCTCATGCAGATTTCTCTGCATTCACTAGCATTGCAACAGAGCAGATTTCACCAATTTTCAAGCATTCATTCAAATATATCATATCATATTCCTTTTGGCGCATCTATCTCATGAAAGAAATTCCTCAAATCATAGCATCCCCTATAACATTCACCGATTTTTCTCTTCCATTCATGTGATGTAATACATAGTGAGGTTGATTTCAGAGCTAAACGATCTTGCTTAACAACACTCGCTAATTCTATGAAGAGACAGAGGTTTAACAAATAGTCAAAGTCCTTAAATGTACCTGATTAACAACAAACCCTTTCATCATATTCAAGAAGTCTGCACGCCTTTCCCTGTCCAGCCTTTCAACCTCACACCAGTTATTTTCCTGTCACAATATACAAAGTTACATAAGACCTCAAATCAGTATAAGATTTGTTTTGTGTATGGAAATGACTGAATGTATACCTTGATCTGCTCGTACTCCCTGATGGCAACATTTTTGGAGTCCTCAGTGACCTTGATGGTTTCTTTTAACTCTTCTATCTTCTTAATCCTTGATTTGTCACCGCCAAAGACCTTTGATGATGCAGCTTCTAGCTTCTCTGCTCTTGCTCCAAGTGAAGAAAGTTCAGATAGAAGCGTCTGCACTGTCAGTAACGCACTAGATCTATCTGCAAAGGCGCCCTGGACTGCCATCATTAGGCCAAGGTAGTCGTGGAGTGTGTCCTGACATGAATAATTCAGAGCTCTTAGTCAAACTATAGCCCAGCTCAAATGAAAGCGGAATAAATTCTACAAATCTATGAGTATCTAATTTACCAAATGCTTGACGGTCTGGGAATTCAGCTCTCGGTAAAATCTGCTTGCTTTTACAGCTGAAGTGGCGAAATTCTTCATATCATTGGCACGAGCTCTTTGAGAATTGAAGACAGCTTCCTCGTTCTCGAATTTCGTCAGCTTAATGAATGCTAATCCCATTTCCCCCATAGTCTCCCCCATGTCTTGCTGTGCCTTCACGAGGGATTCAGCCTACAAAAAAACAAAAACCATAAAAATTCTAATCTTTCGTGAAGTAACAAGTATGAAATTTCTACCTGCTGTGAAGCATTAATGATCTGTTGCTCAAGATCATACATCTTCTCCTTCTTCTCCAAAAACTCTTTATCTTCTTCCACAACAGGTGGTTTTGATCCACCCCAGTCATTAGTGACCGACTGTCTAAGTTCTTTAAACAATCTCAGAAAATCTCTACCTCCTCTAGCCGGCTGAACCACCTCAACCGAAGAAGCTCCTCCGCCTTCACCAAACAGCTGCTTCGGCAACTTCACAGCACCATCCAACATCCTAGAAGCCACATCAGTGCTCGTAGCCAGCGGTAACTTCCCTTGCGCCTGAAGAAAAACCTTCAATTCATCACTGTTCCTAATCACAGGATGTGCAACAAGCCTGCGCAAATACTTCTCCAATGCAACTCTTCTCTGCTCCACAAACTCTTGTTTTTGCATCACTTGACTCTCAACCACACTCTTATCTGGCCTCGGTGGGATGCAAAACCCTCTATACGACTCAGCTAATCTATCAGCCAATGTAACAATGTCTCTGAATCTTCTTCGAACGCTAAAATCCGAACCGCCGTATTCGGAGAGATTCGTTCTAGTTGTAATCTGGTAAGTGATGTAAGTGCTTCCTCCAGGAATCATTGAATTTGTGGCCTCTTGCTCTTTCTGAGGATTAGAAACAGTGATCTTGATGTAATCAGAGCTCAAAGAAGAGGGAGATCTAGATAATGAATCTGAGGACTGACTATGACGGCTTCCGCCATCTTCTGAGCCGTTGATCTCGGAAATATCATCGAAAGGGCTGAAGATAACATCCGCGTAAGACGGAGGCTCGAGGTAAGAGCTACCTCTGTCGCCGCCGTTTGGTTTAGAACGAGGGCTCCGAGATTCTCTGTAGTAAGACGGCGGCGCAAAAAGTGGATCGGAATCAGCTGGAGTCACGACAATCGACGGATGACGAGAGTCGGAGAGAGTTGACATAGCGCTGCGATAATTCGAGTTAGATTTATCGCCGTTGACATGGTTTATGGTCAAGGGATCGCCATCTTCGCGGAGAAAGAGATTCTCCATCTCTTCTTTAGACGAGTGGAGATGGGTCTCGTCGTCATTCTCTGAGCCCATCATCTCCGATAAATCTATGAAGTGAGCTAGTTTTAGTAATAAATTGGGTTTTTCGATTCGATTTGAGAAATCGGAGATTACGAGGATACGGTTGTCGTGAACTGCAATAAAGAACCGGTGTGGCTAAAGTCACGGCGGTTGGGCTCAGATATTGATTAGTAGCGTCAAGTCTCGTCAATGGCTAATTGGGGAAGATGAGATGAGAAAGACTGAAAGAGTAATATCTTTCGGGTCACGTTAAAGTGTTTAGCTGGGTTTTGACCCGACCCGGCCCGGCCCAGCCCAATATGCATCTTAAACGTGATAGAGATAGAGATATCTCTGCATCCAAACGACCTGACTTGGTTTCACTTGGTTCTTCTTCCACAACCGTACCGAGTCAACTACTGTAATAATATTTCCGATGAACTCAGTGACCTGAAATTGGGGTTGCCGGGTCGGACCCATTTGGGATACCATCGATTCTATCTTCACCTTATGCGCTTCATTGTTCATCGGGAATGAGAATGTAGTAGTCTAATGGAGTTTCCAATGGCGAGACGCTTAAAGCTCTGTTTTTTTTTTTCTGGAGAAGGGCGAAACGGATGATGAATTGATGATGATGATGCAGAGACGTTTCTTTCGTCTCTTGAGAGAAAATTAATCAGTTGTCGAGGTTTTAGAGAATTTTTATCACTTTCAGTAATGTCTTTGAAGCACTCAAGTCACTGAAATTCCTGGAGAAGCTGAGGCAGCAGATGTCTCATGTCTAAAAAAGGTAGCTGTTTTCATTCTTCTTCTACGTTATTTAAAATACATTGACGACTGAGAAAATCAAATTTAACTTGGGGACAAGTTGATGATGATTGATGACGCAGCAATTGATTTGGTTTATAAATTTTGGCATAGTTTTTATCAACTGCTACTTAATTGGGAAATACCGAAATAGTAAAGATTCTGGTTTAAGGAGAGGATCCAAAAGCTTTTAGAGATTTGGTGTCCGAGGTTGAGAAAAAATCAAAGAAAAGGTACTAAAGTAGGCTGCTAGGGGTTCACCTACATCTTCTGGAACAATAATCATTTTTAAAAGCAGAAACTGTTTGTTTTGTTGTTTAGTGGTTACACCAAATTGTGTGCTGGTTAGACTAAAAGCTCTCTGTCTCCTGCCTATAAAAAGTTTCAACTTTCTCTGTCTCTCCGAGTAAGTGAGCGCAATGGAGCAACTACGGTCCTTCTTTGTGTTCTTGGCTGTTTTGTTAGCTTCACTGGTCAATGCAGAAGTTCACTTTCATGAGTTTGTTGTGTGTTTACTACTTCTAATCTTTTTTGTTTTCTCCTTTGTTACTCACATTGATGCTCAACTTAGTTTATTCTTTTTTTTGTGTTTGGTTAGATTCAAGAGACGCCGGTGAAGAGGCTGTGCAGAGTTCATAACTCGATCACGGTGAATGGACAGTTTCCAGGGCCGACCTTGGAGGTGCGAAACGGTGATTCCCTTGTCATCACAGCCATAAACAAAGCTCGGTACAACATCACCCTCCACTGGTAAACTCACTCTTCCCTTGCATCAAATCAATGTTTGATAACCAGAATAGTCTGCTAAGCATAGCCATATGCAGGCATGGGATACGGCAGATGAGGAATCCATGGGCAGATGGACCAGAATACATAACCCAATGCCCAATCCAACCAGGAGGTAGTTACACCTACAAGTTCACCATCGAAGATCAAGAAGGTACCTTGTGGTGGCATGCCCACAGCAGATGGCTGCGAGCCACCGTGTATGGCGCTCTCATTATCCGCCCTCCGCTCTCTTCTCCTCATTACCCTTTTCCAGTTATTCCCAAGAGAGAGATTACCCTCCTCTTAGGGGAGTGGTGGGACAGAAATCCCATGGATGTCCTCAACTTAGCCCAATTCACGGGAGCAGCACCAAACATCTCAGACGCCTTCACCATCAATGGTCAGCCTGGTGATCTCTACAGATGTTCCAGCCAAGGTACCATTTAGTTTATACTTCCCAGCCCTCAAAAGCAGCTACATCTTAGTTAGTTAATAACTTAATGTTATGTGTTTGTCACGTTGCAGAAACTTTAAGATTTCTGGTGGGGTCAGGAGAGATTGTCCTCCTCAGGGTCATCAACTCTGCTTTGAACCAAGAACTCTTCTTTGGTGTCGCGAATCACAAACTGACAGTGGTTGCTGCGGATGCCTCCTACACCAAACCTTTCTCGACCAATGTCATAATGTTAGGTCCAGGTCAGACAACTGATGTGCTTCTAACCGCAGACCAACCGCCAGCACATTACTACATGGCAGCACATGCATACAACAGTGCCAACGCTGCCTTTGACAACACCACAACCACTGCAATCCTCAAGTACAAAGATGCCTCCTGTGTTACTCTTCAAGGTAAATCACAGGCACAGGCAATACCTGCACAGCTGCCAGGATTCAACGACACAGCAACAGCAGCAGCATTCACAGCGCAGATGAAGAGTCCTTCGAAAGTAAAAGTGCCCCTGGAGATTGATGAGAACTTGTTTTTCACAGTGGGATTGGGACTATTCAACTGCACAACCCCCAACACACAAAGGTGTCAAGGCCCTAACGGAACACGCTTCACAGCGAGCATCAACAACGTCTCTTTCGTCTTCCCCAAACAAAACTCCATAATGCAAGCCTATTACCAAGGCACTCCCGCAGGTGTTTTCACCACAGACTTCCCTCCTACGCCTCCTGTCACATTTGACTATACAGGAAACGTGAGCAGAGGGCTATGGCAACCTACCCGCGGAACAAAGGCCTACAAACTAAAGTTCAATTCAAACGTGCAGATTATATTGCAAGACACGAGCATCGTGACCACTGAGAATCACCCGATGCATCTCCACGGCTACGAGTTCTACGTAGTTGGGACAGGTGTTGGTAACTTCAACCCAAATACAGACACAGCTTCCTTTAACCTCATCGACCCACCACGAAGAAACACAATCGGAACACCACCAGGTGGATGGGTAGCCATCAGATTCGTGGCGAATAATCCAGGAGCGTGGCTGATGCACTGCCACATCGACTCACATATATTCTGGGGTTTGGCGATGGTCTTCTTAGTGGAGAACGGAGAAGGGCATTTGCAGTCTGTACAGTCTCCACCATTGGACTTACCCCAATGTTAAAAGACTCTTTATCTACACACAATATTCTCTTTAAATTGTTTCACAAGATATATATCATTCATTTCTCAGTTACAAACGTATCACAAATAGCTTCTTCTCGGATGCAGCAAGTCCAAAAGTATTTCTCAATTTTGCACAAAAAAGAAAGAAAACAATGCACCAGCCGGGAATCGAACCCGGGTCTGTACCGTGGCAGGGTACTATTCTACCACTAGACCACTGGTGCTTGTATGTTCCAAATTGAAGAAACATTTATATCACCAAAGATATAATAACACTTACAGTTTCGTTAAGTTATAAATCTCACTGAGAGCATTTTTCAAGTAGAAGAGACCCAAACTTCGTTACCTTCGCCGCCATGGCCTCCGCACTCGAATGCTGGACCACCCGTAATGCCGCTGGTGGTTGCGCTGACGACGATTTCGTTGACCAAGTCCTCATGTGCTCTGACGACAGGTCTGAGTCCCTCACTGCTGCTCCACCTTCCGATCAAACGTCTTCCGCTATGCAAAAGCGGTTTCAGCGTCTCGGCCGCAACGTCTCCGACGCGATCGCGTCTCTCAAGAACTCTCTCAACCTCGATTCGGGTCGGGAAAACCAAAATGCAGCCACCGGAGGAGGTAGGAAGCTCGTATGGGCCACTGTTGTGAGAAACCTTGCTAAAATGTATCCCGGAAGTCAGTTGCCTGATAAGCTCGTCTCTAACCTCCGGAAGCATTACGATTCTTTGCCTCTCAGGTAACACCAGATTCTCAAAGACGCTTAAGATATTGCGTCGTTTTTACTCTTCACCTAATGTTTATTCTTCTCGGTTTCTGAAATTATTAATTTAGTGTTTTGTGGAAGATACAAAGCTTAGATCTTAGATATGTTGTTGTATTGGGAATAGATCATGGAAGTAATGTGGATAAATTATGCTTTTGTTTTTTGACAGTTATAGTCAGACTGGTTTCGATATGAAAGATGTATTTGTACACATAAAGCTGATAGAGCAAACTTCTGGAGATGATAATCCTGTGTTTGTGATTCAAGAGGTGTGTGATGAGGAAGCTGATGATCAGGGTTCTTTGTTCAAGCTCACATTTGCTTGTACTACTTCGCTTCCATGGTCAACCATTTCAGGGTCTCTTGATTGTGCTTCGATTTGTTGTAAGAAAGTACAAATCTTTGAGAAGAAGGGGTTGACTCTCGGAGTTGTTCTTCTTTTGGTTGAGTCTGGACAAGAGAAGTTGTTCAAAATTAAGGTAGAGAATGCTCTTAAATCTGCGGTGAGGAAGCCTAAGTCAACCTCTGTGAAGCTCCCTTTTGGTCTTTGCGGTTGTCAAGAACAGAATGCGGGTGTAGGAGAATTCGGGGATGTTGATGTGGAGTCCATTGATCAATGCTATAGACACGAGTTGGATAATCAGAATACTAGGATCCAGCTTCAAATGCCACCTCCAAGCTCTTCGTTTTCTGTATCTGTGGATGAATGGCAGACCATCCAATCAGGTGAAGATGATATAGGAAAATGGCTACTGAATTCAGATGATATCGAGTTTGGTGGTCAGTTAGGACCAAATTCCTTTAAAGGAGTTTACAGAGGAATAAAGGTGGCCATTGAGAAACTAAAAGGCTGTGAAAAGGGGAATTCCTATGAGTTTGAGATCCGAAAAGATTTCTTGGAGCTGATGACCTGTGGACACAAGAGCATTCTGCAGTTTTATGGTGTCTGCATCGACGAAAATCATGGATTATGCGTGGTAACAAAATTGATGCAAGGTGGCTCACTCCGTGAACTGGTGTTGAAGAAAAAGAAGCTTCAGACCAAGGTGATATTTCAAATTGCTGTTGACATAGCAGAAGGGATGAAGTTCATTAACGATCATGGTGTTGCATATAGAGACCTTAACACACAGAGGATACTATTAGATAAGCAGGGCAACGCCTGTTTGGGAGATTTGGGAATAGTCAATGCATGCAAGAGTGTCAACGAGGCCATGGAGTATGAAACAGATGGCTATCGATGGCTTGCACCGGAGGTCTGTATTTCTTTGACGCTTTCCCTGCATAATCCTAGTTCATTGATTTGCCTCAAGATTCATACTTGCCATTACCTCATCATATTTGATCCGTAAGCCAATAATAAAAAAAATATTGCTTGGTGATTGGATGATTAAATTATACTTTGTAGGCTTCTAGCTTTTCGGTTATAGATGCAATACAAGACATCTGAAAGCTACCTACATGCTTCATCATTCTATTACTAACTCTCCTTGTCCAATTATGCATAAGTAGATTCTATTTGGAAAGCAGTTGTTGACTGCAGTTTATGAAACGGTTGAAATCAGATAATCGCGGGAGACCCGGAGAAGACAAGAGAGAGTTGGATGAGCAATGCGTATAGCTTTGGGATGGTGCTTTGGGAAATGGTGACAGGAGAGGAGGCGTATGGGTCTTGCTCGCCAGTGCAGGCAGCTGTTGGGATTGCAGCGTGCGGGCTAAGACCAGATATCCCAAAGGAGTGCCCTCAAGTCCTCAGATATCTTATGACCAAATGCTGGAACACTTGCCCTTCCACACGCCTTAACTTCTCTCAAATCCACTGCATCTTGCTCCGTGCCATCTCACGGTAACACACTCTCTTCTACATAGGAAATGGAAGAGTGCCTCTTTTTTTGAAGAAATCTTTAGCAAACCAAAAGTTTTTTGTGGGTAAGAGAATAGCTTCACATCAATATAGCACTGGTGATGATTAAGTTCAGAAGAAGAAAGTGGTTGGTGTATTAGTGTATATTTGGTTAGATCAGATGGTAGCAACCTTGTGGACCGGAAAGTAGAGTAACAGATTCTTTATAAATTCTAAGCCTCTTTGCCAAAGCCCACATTCATTTTTACACTTTGTTTACATTGTAAATGGACCAATATGAGTGATCTTTTTTTCCTATAATTAAAGAAAAAAACAGGTACGAATGTTAGATTTCAAATTAGAATTGTTCAAGATGGCATAAAGTAACGATTGTGTATGGATTGGCTCCTTCAAAAATATGGAGATGTTGCAAAGAAAAAAACTAAAAAACCAAAGTCAAAGTTTACTGGGTCAATTTCTAGAGGGAAAGACTTTTTATCGTGCATTGCAAATGGTGTGTATATTTAAATTAAAATTGTATTTACTCCAACTTGTAAATGTTTCTATGCTTAAGCATTTTGTATATATCAAAAACAATGACAAATAAATCAAAAATGAAGAAGGTGGGATATAAAAAGGAGCAGCCATTGATTTGTCTTCTTTTCTGGACGACGACTTGAACTACTCCAACAAAACAGAAAAGGATGAGTTCCGATCAACGGTGGAGATTGCTCCGACCAGCATTCTCCATCTTCTTCTTCCTCTTCTTTCTTCCACACAATCTCACCTTTGGTCTCTGTTTCAGCACCGATGGTACTTACTTTTGTTTCATCTTTAGTTTTGAGGTCTATTCAACTATTGATTGATGGATCAACTCTTGAGTGTTTTGCAGCCTTGGCCTTGATGAAATTTAAAGAGAGAATAGAGAGAGACCCATTTGGAGCTCTAATGAATTGGGGAGAGCTTTCTCATTGTTCTTGGTCTGGTGTTGTCTGTTCAAATGATGGAAGAGTTGTCATCTTGTAAGTCATATCCAAATCCTTAAAATAAGAATAAGAAGTTCCTCTAAAATCTCAGTTATGTTACAAATTTGATGTCTTATAACCTAGAAACCTAAGAGATCTCTCCCTACAAGGAACACTTGCACCTGAACTAGGAAACCTAACTCACTTGAAATCTCTGTAAGTAAAAACATTTTTTCAACACTCCTCAAACTATACGTGGATAGATACATATACATTTACAACTCCCTTGTTCTTGTTTGCAGTATTCTTAGAAACAATTCATTTTCCGGGAAAGTACCTGAAGAGGTAACAGAATTGCAGGAGCTTGAGATCTTGGATTTGTGTGACAACAACTTTGGCCAACCATTTCCCTTCAGCTCAAACGGCCGTAGGCTGCTTCAGGTAACTTCCCCTGGGAAGGCACCTCCTCCTACACAGGATCTCATTGTAAAACCTTTCCTCTCTCCTTTTCCTCCGTCGATTGGAGGTCAAAGTCCTCCCCCTAGTTCCCCAGTCATTCCCCCAAACCCGCCTCAGCCTCCACCAGTTCCCCCTCCACCAGCTCAGCCTCCACCAGCTCAGTCTCCACCACCTCAGCTTTCAGATGTCCCTAATGCTGCCAACAAGAAGAGATCTCAAAAGACTAAGACTTACATAATAGTTGGAGTGCTAGTAGGTGTATTTGCCGTCATTGCCGTATTGGTGGCCTTCTTTTTTCTCTGGAACCAAAAGGTAAAAATGATAAAGCCATGGGGGGCAACTGGGAGCAGTGGAGAGCTTCAAAATGTTGTTACTACAGGTATCATCACTGTTAATCTGTTTACTCTCTGTTCAATAACATAGCAGAGATTGGTGAAAGTGAGTTTAGTGTACTTATTATGACTTATGAAGGTGTTCCTAAGCTGAAGCTAGCAGAACTAGAAACTGCCTGTGAAGACTTCAGTAACATCATAGGCTCCACATCCTCAGACGCCACCATTTATAAAGGAACCCTCTCCACCGGCTCTGAAATCGCTGTTCTAGCAGTCGCATCTGGATCCCTCCAGGACTGGTCAGTGGATCACGAAACACAGTTCCAAGAAAAGGTAACATCAGAACCTCTCTCTGCCCTCTAGTTTCTTTCTCCTACTTCTTTAAAACACATACAATCCTGCAATGCAGATACAGAGGTTATCTCAAGTGAACCACAAGAACTTCCTCAATGTAATCGGATATTGCCATGAAGACGAGCCATTCAACCGAATGCTAGTTTTCGAATACGCTCCTAACGGATCTCTCTTCGAGCATCTGCATGGTGAGTAGTAATGCCACTTCTTCCAGAGACTCAGCTCCATCTATTTTTCAACTAACTGTAATAATTTGTTGCAGACCAAGACGCAGAGCATTTGGACTGGCCAATGAGACTAAGAATCACAATGGGAATAGCTTACTGTATGGAACATATGCACAATCTAAACCCTAAACCCATCTCTCACACCAACCTCAACTCTTCTTCAGTCTACTTGGCAACAGATTACGCAGCCAAAGTCTCAGACTTTACTTTCCTCAGCTCCACACCACTTGACCCCATGACCAATGTCTCAAGTTTTGGCACCCTTCTGCAAGAGATCATCACCGGAAAGATCCCGGATCCAGATTCTCTGTTCCACGACGAAACCAAGCCCGTTGCAGACCCGTCTCTGAAAAGCTTTCAAGAGGATGTCATGGAGAGACTGTGGGAAGTGGTGAAAGAGTGTTTGAATCAGAAGCTGGAAATGAAGGAAGTGGTGGTTAAGCTGAGAGAGATCACCGGAATAACGCCGGAAGCAGCTTTGCCAAGTCGATCTCCGGCGTGGTGGGCGGAGCTGGAGATTATATCCACCGAAATGTAGATATATCATTCACACCAATTGCATAGTAACGTAATGTATCATCATCTCTGTACTCTCTGCAAATTTGAAGTCTAAAGATGATTTCTTTCTTTTTTTTTTGGGTTTTGTTTGGGTCAATTAAGACAAAATGTGTGGGTTTGAAACCTTAAAGAGAATCATGTACTGTCTGCATAATCTTTGTTCTTATTGTCAAACGACATGAAGTTGAGCTATGATTGATAAAAACGACAACTAAATACACCCCTGGCTCACACTGGCCTGGGCCGTTCATAATAGGCCCATATAATAATTTCAATTCTTAACTCGGGAGTGGGGAGTTGTCTTCACAAACGCAAATAAAAAAAAAAGCAAAGATATTTAATTAAAAAAATATAGATGTGCATGCCAATTACTATATAACATTTTGTTTGATTTTCTCCTGTATATATTTTTAAATATTTTGAATTATTGATTATTGAATTCACAACTGGCATTTTCACTAATAGAAAGAAAACGACAAATCCCTAATGCATTATTATTTCCGTTAAAGGTTCTATTATATCTTTCATTAATATACCTAAATTTCTAATTAGAAGATATACGTGCCTCTAATTGCAGGCGTATACGTGGAATAACATAAAGCAAAAAAATAGGAAAAACAAAGCGAAACTAACAAATTAGAAAACGTAGGTTATGTATGCATGTCAATCATTATATGACCGTTTGTTTAACCTTATATGTATATCAGTTTTAAAATATTGAATTCAAATTTGGCATTTTTCTACACTAATAAAAAGAAAACGACAAATCCTAATGCGTTATTTTCGTTTTAAGTTCCTATTCTATCTTTCATTAATACACCTAAATCTTCAGAAGACGTGTCTCTATTTGCATGGAAAGATATAAAGCAAATATTACAAAAGCAAAGATAATTAATTAAAAAACGTAGGTTTGTATGCATGTTAATCATTATATAGCCGTTTGTTTAACCTTCTCTGTGTATACATTTTAAATATATTAAATTCCGAATTGGTATTTTCTTACATTATCAAAAAAATCCCTACAAATCCGTAATACGCTATTATTTTCGTTTTTAAGTTTTTGTGATACTATGTAGACCTCCAAAAGACGTAGGCAAACATTATATAGTCTTTTTTTTAACCCTCTTTCATTATATCTGTATAAAGTATATTGAATTCAGAATTAGTATTTTCTTACAATAACAAAAGAAAACGAAGCAAGAAATTGAAGGAAACATTAGTTCCGCCAAATTAGCTTTTACTCCGAAATTAGCACTGATTTTTATGTTCTTTTAACACGCTTAAGAAATTGACAGAAGATTTATAATTAAAACTGAAATTATATAAGACCAAACGATACAAATGCACATTCATTTGTTATGCATTTAATAACAATATTCTGTAAACCGAAACACATGAATTAAAAAGAAACAAAAACAACTCAAGAATAAGCTGAATCGAACAAATGAATGGTAGGGGTTTTTCAAATCAACTAAGCAAGATTGGAGAGTGTAGCCAGATTATTCTTCAGCCTCTCTATCTCCGCTTTACCCTCCTTAATGACACCTATTAATCAGCATTATAATTATTGTTATATCAATAATTCGAAATATATATAGTTAATTAACTATATACCATCGTTTTCGATACAACGTTGAAGCCGAGCAGAGATATACTCCTTTAGCTGCCTTTGTTCATTTTCTAGACGTCGCTTATGCTCACTCGCTATCGCTAGTTCGGAACGCAACATGCTCACTTGTCCCTGCACATGAAATTAATGTATACACAAGAATAATGAATCGAAGTGGTACATTTATGAAATTAAGTAGAGATGTATATATTTATATACTTGGAGCTCCATGGATCTCTTCACTAGAGCATCAAGATATTGAACCTTCTTCCACCTTGACTTCTGAGCCGCCACACGGTTTGAAATTATCCTACATATATAAATTGCATATGGAGACTGAATTCAGTTAGGGTTTCATTTATAAGATATGTATCGAAAAAAAATGAAAATTATGTAACCGTTTGAGTTTCTTAGGGTCTGTGGTAGGATCAATATCGTGACGCATACGAATGGTGAAGCCTGGCTCAACTTCATAGTGGACGTAGCCACCTTTCTTCTCTCCCGCTTGGCTGCCGCTTTGGGACACTCCAAACGATGTCGCAACCACAGGGAAGCTCATTGAGTTAATGTTGTAACTAAGTTTAATGAAGACAAGTAAATGTGTTAAGCCTTGTTCTAGTTGTGAGACTACTACTACTGTCTAGTGTTGCTTTTATAGTGAGGTAAGTACAAGTTAAATATCCTATTTGCCCTTGTAGTTTTTTTGTCATTTTTAGGATATCTGATTTTACTTAAAATGAACATATTTGACCAATGCATTATTGCCAAATGTTAATACCTTATCCTTAACAAATTTGTCAGGAAAAAATTAGTATTTCAAGATGTACCAGTTTTAAATACTACAAAGTTTAGTGATTATATATATGTTTTGAGAAAGATTTAATATTGTTTAAACTAAATAACTATACAAATATATAGCAAAATAACTAAGTAAGAGAGTAGAGACTACTTTCTAAGCTAACAATTTTTATCTCGTTTTTTGAAAGTACTGTACCCCAAGTTTTTAAATTTCTAAAGATATCACAATAGAAGTCTAAAAAGATGATTAAACGCTTACAAAGAAGGTTTAAATTATTTTTAAACGTTTTACAAACTCTTTTTAAACTTTCTTGTGGTGTTTCTGAATATTCTTAAAATCGAGGATTTTCTTGCAAAAAAAAAATTCATGTGTATGTTTTAAAATGCTCCATAAAGTAAATATTAATTTTTCTTAATTAGAAACTTAATTAAGACATAAAATGAACGGCAAAATGCATGTTCTTCAAAGAAAATTTATTGTCCAAGTTTTAGGCCCAAAATGGCCCATAACACATTCTAGTATAAATGAGATGGATTATGTTCATAGGCTATAAAAACCCATAAGCTTATGAAATATTTTAAAGGCTAAAGAAAGTTACTATAAGAATTAGGTAATTTAGTTAGTTTCAATTTTGTAACTGTTATCCATTGTAATTTTCAAGGCCCAGCCCTTTTGGGAAGGTCCCTATTAATATATTTCGTTTTCTAAAAAAAAAAAAAAAAAAAAAAAAAAAAAAGGTAATGTGGTTAAGTATATAGAAAGATTTGGAAAAACGGTCTATTTCCCCACGAGAAGTATCGCATCATAACAGATAGAGCCCAAACTTTAACCGAGGTTTATATATCCCTAAAAAGAATGTTCTATACCTATTTCTCCCCGAAACGTAATTTCAATAGCTAAATCTCCCCGAATTAATACTTCGACATCTATTAATCCACATGTCTGGGTTTCATCGGTTTAATGTACACCAATTCAGTCTTAACCATTTTAAAACAAACTTTAACCAAAACTAAACCAAAATTATCAAAAATTAAACCAAACTCGATAGACCCATTAACAAACCGATCCAACTTCTCCTTCTTCTTCACCTGAAAATCTCTGGGTCTCGAATTTCGATACCATTAATGTGACATCGCTCGGATTCTATTCGTTTAAAACAAATACCAATTAGACTAACTTTTGGTTGATGAAATCAATGGGGTCTTCGTTTTCGATATTGATAAGCTTTGATTAGTCTCTCTTCTTCGACATGAAGATTTCTGAAATTGATGAGATAAACTAAATCGATCTAGGATGCAAGTATTCGGAGTCTTTACTCCTCCTTAGTTCAGTTTCTTAATCGCTTCTTTGTAACTTCAAATTCGATTGATATTCTGTAAATTCACTCATTATTGTCAATTGCTTCAAATTCTAGTTTATTAATCGTGAATTCGTGATTTCGTAAGTTCTCTTCAAACTCTGTTTTTTATAGATTCGGTGTTGTGAAGGTGAATACATTGAACATGGATGGGAAGAAGAAGAAGAAGAAGAGTAAAGTGAAAAGAGATCTAGCTTTTTTGAGGAAGAAGATGATAAGAAGTATCATCATTGTCTTGATTGCAACAAGAAGAGATTTTCCTGGTGGAGGAACACATTTCCACAACGGAGCTGACAAATACATTGTTTCCCTTGCTCAGGTACGTACAATTATCATTATTTAGTACTTCCTTGGTTTATTGATTATCAAGGGCAGAGCCGACTCTTTAGAACAACTGCCCCTCTTTCGCTTGATTTTTGTTACCAATGTTGCTTTAGCTAGTGAACGTCAATGGTAAAAGGGTATAGAAATCGGCGGTTATGGTAAAGGTTGTAGTGGTTGTGAAAGAGCTAATTCTTCGAGGAGGACTGGTGTTGCGGCGATGGCGGCGGGAACCACGAACTTTCCATGGAACAACGTGAGATTTGTTGGTTTATGAGCAGATTATTATGAGATTATGGGTTTGTGTTTCTTTAGCTATCAAATTATGATTGTGTTTCTTATAAAAGAGATGATCTTCGTCATGAATTTGAATTGTTTAAGCTATCTCATCAGAGAGGCTAATACAAATCTTAATCATCAATGGTTTAATCACAAGAAGAAAAGTTGAATTCCAGTTTTGACAAAAACAAAACCCAGATCGTGAAATCGGGTGAAGAGAAGAAGAGAAGAAGAGAAGAAGAGAGGAAAGAAGAAGGGGGTGGGTTTGTGTCTTAATCGGGTCGAAATCAGGTTTTATTTGGTTATAAACGGTTAAGTAAACAATAACCGACGAAACCCAGACATGTGGGTTAATAGATCTCGAAGTATTAATTCAGGGAGATTTAGCTATTGAAATTACGTTTCGGGGAGAAATAGGTATAGAACATTCATTTTAGGGATATATAGACCGTGGTTAAAGTTTGGGCTCTATCTGTTATGATGCGATACTTCTCGTGGGGAAATAGACCGTTTTTCCGAAAGATTTTCAAGTAGTTTAACCGAATTTTCATCGAAAGTATCCGGAAGTAAAAAGAGCACACTTCTTCTCTAGATCAGATGGCTGAATCATCCTATCCAGTTTCAGAGAACCTTCTCGGCTGACTAATAAAGCCTATTAATCTATTATGATGATGATGAAACGATGATGATTGCAATGGATGACGTAGACATGAATTTAATGTCCATGTGACACTAAAATGCGAAAGAAGGCCTTTTTGTTTATTTTATTTGTTCAAGACATTAATAAGTTGCTCACATGATTTGATGAATAGTTGCCAAGTAACTTCGCTAGAAACATTATTTAAACAATTTTGGGACCATTACATTGAAGGTTCACATCTATAGAATATATGTATCCCAAAGACCCAAGATTCATTTGTACATTATGTCTTTCAATTAATCTATTTCATATTATATCTAAATAAGAAGCTTTCTATCTACACCTCATTGCCACAAAACTTCTCATTTCATAATAAAAAAGCTTCTCTCACACACTTTCCCCTCTTTATAAAGCGCGAAACCTCTGTTCTATCACAAAACAGAATTAACTACCAAATTCTTCTTCGCCTTCTGTCTTTCTCAATATATTCCTTTTTTTTTCTCTTAGGTTCGCTGCAAAGATGTTGGACATAGCGTTTGAATTGATTGGAGAAGCCACGTCGAATTCGCTTCTCATGTTCTGTTTCTGCAACCTCATTATAGTCATGATCTTCACTGGATCTTCCAAACCGGGTTTGAAGGATTCACATGATTCCACATTTGTTATCTCAGCGAGCTATGATATGGGCAACATTGCTTCTGATCATCATGATTTTGGTGCTGATGATGATGAAGAGATGACAAACACTGCTGCTATTACATCTGTACAAGATGAGCCTTTGATCGATGATGACTCGAGTTCTGACGAAGAAGAGGACAGTGAAAGCAGCCATTGCTATGCTGATGATGATGACGATACTGATGATGATGACGATATTGATGAAGATGATGATGTTGATGATGAGGAGGAGGAGGATGATGATGAGAGCAAAGAGTCCGAGGTTGAAGAGGAGGAGGAAGGAGACGATGATTTGAGAATGAGGGTAGAAGAGTTTATAGCAAAAATTAACAATGAATGGAGGCATGAGAAGCTTAGGGCTTTGAATTTAGTTTATTAATATGTTCAAACAAAAAAATGGATTCATTCTAATTGCAATGATAATGCTTTTGTATGATAATGTACATACTTTTTAACCAATGTATAACATAATTTCGCAGTGAGTGTATTTTCTAGAGATGTTGTATAATACTCTCTGAATAGAAAAGAGTGGCTCGTGCCTCTTTGATCTTATAATATATTGGTTCTTTACTTTCTGCAAAAAGCTTTTGATTCTTCTTTTACATGAAAAAGGAATTAATGCTACTTGAAAAACTAATCATCACCATTAAACATTACAAAACTACTAGTAGTTACTTCACCTGTATTTAGCAAACAATAATATCCTGTTATTTTTCTGCATTTAAACACCGTCGTTTCGTAACCGCGCCATCTAAATTTGCTCCTAGAAGTTTTCCAGAGATGGGAGAGAGAACAAAAAATCGAGGTTTTAATTTATTCTTATTTGATGCTCGATTTCAAGATGTTCTTCCCCGAGGCAATGGATCCGGAAACAACGAATATATTTGCAAAAGATTTCTCTGTTGAGGAATTCGACATCGATTTCGAATTCGACGCTCCTCGATTCTACGATTTCTCCAAACCTGAACTTGATTCAGAAACAGAGGAAACAGAGCTTTGGTTTGAATCAGCTGGAAACTATCCTCCTTCACGTAAGATCAAAATGCATATTTTGGTAATGAGGCCAAAAAAGTCTCTGTTTCTTAATAATGTTTATACCTTTTTGTCTCAGCATTTAGCCTACATTTGAGATATGACGACAAACATCTCGAGATCCCTAAACCCATCTCAGATCAATACAATGGTATTATGTTGCAATTTCCTGTCTTTGATTTGTTTTCTTGCGACTCAAGGTTTGTTATGGTCATTTAGGGTTTATATATCATAACCAAGCTCCTAAAGATGTTCCCAAGGCGACGCACAAGTCTAAAGCAAAACCTTTTTTACGAAAGAACTCAACTTTAACGAGACCCACTGCTTCTTTGTTGGCAAGACAGAATAAACCTCTCGATATTTACTCTGTTCGGCTTCTCACAAGGTAACATATGTCCTCTTCATCAGCGTTTTTGTTTTCTTAGCTTCAAACTAATTTGATGTTTCATAGATGTCAGAGATCATTAGGAAAGTGTGATGACAAGTTCTCCTCTCTCTTATACTCTATGCCTCAAACACAAGATAACAAAAGGCAAAAACTCGAAACCGGCTTCTTGCGCAAGGTGCTCTCAACATCATCTAAGCTCACTGCAACACAATTTGTTTTGGAACTAATCTTAATTAGCTTTTTAAAGTAGGTATCACGGCTGGACCAAACTCCTTTTGTACATAAGGTTCCAATGAAGGTAATGCACTTTAAGATCAAACAATCATTGTATCATCATCTTTGTGTATCTTATATTTGTATTTGTTGTGTTTACAGGGATCCAAAGTCACTGTTCCAAAGGAACCTAACCTCAAGACTGCCCAAAGGGCTGCAAGAAACCGGTAAGGACTCTTTCAAGATATTTTTGGTTCCTTTAATGGCTTGTTTACTACTTCTCTGCTATGAATCTCTTTCAGGTTTAAGACTCAGTCAGCACCCGAGCAGATCGCGAAATTCATCTCTACTATGAATAAACAGTATGCGTGTGTGCTTACTTCATCTTTGTTTCTTTTCTGCCACCAACTCAAAAGTAGTAACAGACACAAATCTTTGTTTGCAGGTTCCAGAAACTTCTTCACCATCTTTGCCTAAAAGAATACGAATACGCCTCGCCACCAAGATTTACAGGTCTAGATAGTCTTCTAAAGGACATTTTAAAACTCTTTTATCATACCATAATTTTACCAGCATTTACATTTTTCCTTTTGTTTCAGGCATTTCATCTAAGGACATCTCTTAGAGCAAGAGAACGCTCTTCCAGTGTAAGTCTCAAACCCTTTGTGCTGTTTGTTCTTCTCTCATCTCTCCAGCTACAGTGATGCAATTCTCATTGCAGGCTAAAATTGCACCCACCAATGATCCTATAAACTCCTTAACGTTAGTCCATAAGCCTTTTATAAATCCCATTTATGATTTCCTTCTTCTCTTGCATTTGACTCAAACTTGAATCAGTCTTAAATGTTCTTTCACGTCGTGTGCAGGTCAATGTCCGTTGGTACCAGAAAGGGTAGGAAAGTGAAGGCGTCTCGCAGCTCAAAGTCCAATTGTCAAGTTTATGAATCTAAGATTTGCCCTCTAGACTCAAAGGTGATGCAGGTTAACTCCTACAAGAACTAGAATCCATGAAAGGTATCTTAATTAACCTAATATAGAAAAAAAACTCACAAATCTTCTACTTATTGATAGACACCAAGCAAATGCGGTGAAGCAATCGATATCAAACATGAAAACAATTTTCTGAGGGTAAGTCACTCATATAGCAGGTTGGTTCTTGAAACTGTTACAATGTAGTCTTCATGGATCATGTGATCATATCTCTAGATGGAGAACCATTTATATTCCCCTACTAATTCCGGGTTCTTAGTTCATTGAAGGAATTTGAAGCTCCAATGGACACAAATTTTCGAGATGAACCCTTTATTGAATCTCTCAGAAAAGTAAGCATTCATCATCTTCAAAAACTTGCTTAGAATATTTTTTTACTTATAATTATTAACAATGTTAATTACCATTTCTTACAGCTATGTCTCACTTCAGATACTGATTCAGTCGGGGTACTTATAGATTAGTTGCTTCTCTTACTCTCTTGTATCTCATCTACATAGAGATTTTTCAAGATTATATCGTGCTTGTACAAATTAGATGTGCTAAAGCTTATATTAACAGGAAGTCCAAGATTCATCAATAGTAACTGTTAAGTCAATGAATGCTTTCAGTCATGCATCATTACACAGAAAGATGTGCTAGGGGAAAGCAATGTACCTTTAAAAGTGGACTAAACACTTGTTACCAGCAGCTGATTAAGCTCAGTTTCTAGCTCTTTCGGCAACTCAACCTGATTTTCATTTCTGCATTGCAGCAACTGCCTCCTTAGATCTCGGACCAGCTTTTGAATTTTCTTTTCTTGAGATAGAATTTTCTGCCATCCATAGATATGCAGATTATCATTAGATGATACTTTTAAGCATATATACTTTGGCAATCAAATGGTTTAGTAAAGTTAACTAAGAGTGTGGAATTTCAGATAACTATGCTTGATATGCTTTCTCTTTCTACGAATGCATCACTTGGAGGACTCGAGATTGGGATATGCTCAAAGTGATGGGATGAAGATAGAAACTAGCCTCTTTTGCTTTCCTAAGACTATACTCAACAATAAACAAAACTGAACACGTTTTCAGAAAAAATCATATCACAAAGTTGTGACTAGAAAGATGAAAAAGCAATTGGATTTAGAGTGATAAGAGATGGACTGTGTGTGGTTCAACATGTAAAGAAACAAAGCAAGTCACTATAACGGAATGTGTCACAGAAAAAGGCATTGGACAAGTAAAGTATCAGTTTAAGAAGCCAACTCCTTCCTTAGGTCCATATACACAACAATTCTACATTGTTTGAATTCCACCACCAAAGAGGACATCAAAAATGAATTAAAAAAACTTTTTAATTGTAGAAAAGGATTCAACATCACAAACTAACAACTGCAGAAAAGGATCCAATTCAAATTAATCTCTGAACATTCTATTTACAAGAATTGTAGGAAAGGATTAAACTTTAACATTCCAAAAACTCAGAATCAAAGCCAAAGAAGATTCCTGAAGATTTCTACTTCCATGGTTCCAAATTATAAAAAATCCACATCTAATGGAGGAAGAAGAACAATTTACTGCTCCAAATTAAACATGACAAACGAGCTTAGCTTTACTATTTTTAGTAAAATTTCTGAGCAACAAAGTCAAAACAGACATGGACACATAAAAATCACCAAAAAATTCATACCATAAACTATAGAATCGATAAGAACAAAGACGATTAGCAATAATTAAAACTGATTAGACTCACCACCAGTCGAAATCTGAAAGCATGAATGTAGTTGTGCGCTCTTGGTGTTTTTTTGCCTCAGACTGAGAGAAGAAGAAGAAAAAAATATAATAACATAAAAGAGGAGCTAGCAACATGTATACTATTTCACTTTTTTTAGAGTTTTTCAGCCAATCAGAAGGCTCTATTTCGCAACCACTCGCACCAAGTGCGCGTTGCGCGAGTGAGAGCGTTTTCTAAAGGGGTTTACCTTTAGGAATCATGCCTATTTTAATCTACGCACTTCTCTCCAAAATTTTCATCGCGTGACCTTTTTTTAGTTTTTTTGTTTTCTTCTTCTCTAAACCAATATAAACCGAACCGAAAATCAATTGGAATTTTAAAACCATTGTAAACCAAAATATTTCTGCTCCCTCCGACGAAGACTAAAAAAACCATGTGAACAGAGACGACGAAACCTGCCGGAGAACAGAGGAGAGAACCCGGCGAACATGGGAAATTCGAATTCGTCTTCTGTTGATCATCGCTTCACTTCTGCTTCCAGGTTTTCGTAATACCATCAGCAGTATCTAATCAGATTATCAGAAGCGAGTTAAAGAGTAAGTCTTTTTAATGGTGAATCACCAAAGTTTATACTTTTTGTCGATAGGTAGCAGAAACTGAAGATAACCTGTAGCTGATTTGATAGTATGGAACTGGTGGTGGAGCACCAGGGAATGCGTTTGGGACACGTCTCTCCATCTAGAACTCTATTTGAGTCGATAATTGTGAGCTCGTCGCAGTAGTCGAGATTGTGTTGATCGGAAATTTCACCGGCGCCGGTAGAGAGAGGAAGAGAGAAAGAGAGTTTAAGCGTTGAAACGACGACGTTCTCAGCTTTTGGCGATTTTGTATATTAATAAAGTTTTGAGAAAAAGGAAAAAAACATTTATTCACCGCACGCGAGGCTTTTTCTGAAACAAGCGAGTTAGTTTCAAAACAAGCGATTTGGTGGGTTAACACTCACGGAAATTGGAAACACGCGCTCAACTCGCGATTGGTGAGAGTGGGCATGAAAGCGCGCGATTGGTGAGAGAGGGCTATGACATGGAGCGCTCTAATTGGCTAATAAAATGAAAATAGTAGACATATAGCTCCTACCTTCCTCTGATCATATATTTATAACTTGTGTCTTTTCGTCTCTATGTGAAGAATAAGAAGGTATATGAAAACTCAAACAAAATCTTTGAACAAATTCTTCTATGAAATTGCATTGGTTTGAATTATGATCTCTATGTTTGTGTACTCGGATCAAAATTATCCATCTGGTTCGTTGGAATTGGATCAATAATAGTGAAAGTCAGTTCTGGTGAAAGTGACAATGACTTTAGTTTTTCAGTCTCCTGCTAGTTGCTAGAGTCTCCTCTTTTTGGTGTTATGTATGACAAGTGATTGATTATCTATGTCTTTAAAGATATGCAGAGACTGCTTGCTTTTATGAGGAGGAGATTCATCAAGTCATTGTTCAGAATCCGGTGAACCAATTGCTATCAGAATCCGGTGAACCAATTGTAAAAAAATCCTCCACGTTAACAATTATAAAGACTTATAGCTTTAATCATTTCACTCTTCAGACAAAGCATTTCCTTCTAGTATTTGGACCAAACAAGTGAACAACACATCTCCATCAGTTACATTCTAACAAGGAGCTTGGATTTGTATGGCAGGATTCACCAGCTCAAGATTCACATTTTGTCATAAACCATAGGCATATATATGTTCTTAATTAGTTGTAAAAGTTTCACATATTAGTTGTAAAAGTTTCACATACGCAACGTTGGTCATATGAAAATGTACAAAATATACTATGTATTCTGTAAAAGTAGGCATTTAATGGATGTGAGCATTAAAGAGGAGATTGAAAGACTTTTAAACGAACTCGTGAAGATACCCCTCACTTGGAAAAACATTTAACTTCACTTACACTTTCACCTATCCCATGTTCTTATCTTTAATGCCTTCAATTTTACCTCCCTTCCCAAAATACCCCTCATACTAGCCCTAAATCACATTAAAAACCTGCCCCTCCGATCTTTCTTGTCATACAAGAAAACAAAACAGAAAAGGAGTAAATAGAGCCATAGAGGGAACCCTAAAAGTTAGTATCTTATAAGCTACTTTTGGAGATATCTTCACGGAACTGAACAAACCACTGTGGGGTTGTTGTATCTGAAGAGTGGCTCTCACGTCGTTCTTCCCCTTCCTGCAGTTTCTCAGGAGAAGGTAACTTTTTTGGAGGTGGAGATGGGAGAAGAGAGAGCAGAACCCTAGAGACCTCCTGCATTGTGGGCCTCTCCAAAGGGTTTCGCTTGGTGCACAAGAGGGCTAGCTGAAATGTCTTCTTGATGTGTCCTGAGTCCATGCACGTCACTGAAACCTCTGCATCAACAGCTTCCATCACTGTATTATCATCTGCTTTCGACAGTATCTGCAACAGAAACAAAATGATATCTATCTCATTGTTTCCAAGAACAAGCTTGTGTAACACTATCCTCAGATTCATACCATTTGATGCAAGTTGGCCTCGTTATCCACAGCCTTCTTCCCAGTCAGAAGTTCAAGAAGGACAATACCGAAGCTGTAGATATCAGACTTCTCGTTCAGACGCGAAGTTCTAGCATACTCTGGGTCAATATAGCCAATGGTTCCAAGAACATAGGTTGATGCATAAGTTTTGGTAGCTGGTATGCTCTTGGCAATCCCAAAATCTGACAAACGCGCTTCAAAGTTCCCATCAAGGAGTATGTTTGATGACTTGATGTCCCGATGGATTATCCTAGGAGTGCAGTCATGGTGAAGATATGCAAGTCCTTGCGCCGCTCCAACTGCTATATTGAGTCTTGTTTCCCAGTCAAGCTTCACTTTCTTCCCAGGCCCTGCATCATATAATCACTACGTTTAAGTCTTCTAGCAGTAGAAAAGTGGTTTCAAAAGAATGTTTTCGATCCAAGAGAAGAAGAATAGCAAACCATGGAGAAGATCCCAAAGAGAGCCATTTTCCATGTAGTCGTAGAAGAGGAGGTTGCCAAAGGGAGACAAGGCGTATCCGTGCAAGCTTACTATGTTTCTGTGTCTGATGCTCCCAATGGTCTCGAGCTCTGTCTCAAACTCGCGGAAGTTGTTGGGATATTGATTGTAGATTCGCTTAATGGCAATAGGTCGGGAACTTTTGGAGGTGCACTTGTAAACCGTGCTAGAAGCACCGTATCCAATGATGTATTTCTCGCTGAGGTTTTCTGTAACTCTCATGATATCATCAAACGTGTGAATAGCCATGTCCATGTGAAGAATCACCAGCTTCGTTGACCCTGAAGAGATAAACAAAAGACTTATCATAATGCTGTTGTGAATCTTAATGAACAAAAGAGAAGAGAAAAACTATGAGACCAAGACCTTCTGGTTGTTTTGAAGAGCCTTTCAAGACTGGTTTCTGCTGCTTTGACTTGTAAACCGCAATGAATATCATGCATATGAGAGTGATGAAACCGAGAACCATACAAATCACGGCAACTCTGGTGAATACTGGTCAAGAGCAAGAAAAAGTCCAAGGGCATTTATTAAGAGATATGTCAGCTAAAGACAATGCAATAGGATAAATGTAGCTTCCGATACCTCGAGACTTGGGCAAAGATGGGCCACAGATTGATCCAATCCAGTTCCCGCAGAGAAATGGATTTCCAAAGAAGCTATAAACGAAAAGGTAGATTTGGTATACTGATTATATGACAAGCTAAGAGAAGTGAAAACATTGTAAAGGTGATACCTGGCCGGGGCAAAACGTGAAAAGTTCTTCATAGGTGGGATGATTCCAGATAGATTATTGAAGGAGATGTTCCTAAGATGTATAAAGAAAAGAAGGAAAAGGATTGAATTCAAAAACTATCATAACACTATCTGAGAGTACACTGAACACGTACAGATTGGCAAGACTGAAGCAGTTAGTTAGCTGATCAGGGATTTTCCCATGAATCTTGTTGTTGTTCAGTATCCTGAAGATTAAAGAAGCAAAGAATGATTCCTATGTATTATATGGTAAATTGCAGCAGAGAAGTGATTTACTTACAGAGAGTTTATGTTCTGCAACTGGCCAAGTTCTGTTGGAATAACACCGGCAAGAAAATTGAATGAGACATCGCTGAGAAGGAAGGAGAAGAGATTGTAAGTAGGAAGATTATATCATAAAGGAATAACTTTGAGCATAAGCAAATATTTACATGATCTGAATGCTTCGGAGGTTCCCAAACTCTGCAGGCAATGTCCCATTGAGATGATTTCTGCTCAAGTTTCTGACAATTAAAGCAAATCTCAAGTCAACAAATCTGAGAGAGTTAATGCAAAAGCAATGCAACTTTAGGGGTTGATGAAGACATACAAGATGAGAAGATGCTCAAGATCACCAAGTGTTAATGGTATTGACCCTGAGAAATTGTTGCCAGATAGATCCCTGAAACCAAAGTTTGTATGAGTTGGTAGTTGGTACACCGTACACATATAAATAGGTAACTAGGCGGAACGAGGATGTAATCAGTGGAAAATAACATACAACGTGTCAAGATTGATAATATGGCCAAGCTCAGCAGGTATTTTGCCCTTGAAACTGTTTGAAGAAAGATTCCTGAAATTCACAAGCATCAAATCAAGATTGACACAGACTAATAATAGTCAAAAGAATCATACTGTTTATGAAGTCTTTGAAGCTTACAGAGAAGTCAAGCTTCCAAGATTCCGGAATTCAAGTGGTATAGATCCAGTCAGGAAGTTCCCATGCACATTGCTAAACACAGGAAAAGCACTATAAGTTTTCATAATAAGAAGAAGAAATAGAGGGAAGCATAAATTGGGAAATATCATATCTTACAATTGATTCAAGGCAGCACAGGAACTAATGTTAGATGGAATCGGCCCAACAAGATGGTTGTTTGCGAGATTCCTACGTGGTAAAGTTACATCAACCAGCTATTCAAACAGGATAGAGATTTAAGCATACTGGAGGATAAAAACTTACAGTTCGAACAATTGTTCCAGCTTCCCAAGCTCAGGTGGGATGTTTCCCACTAGTTCATTATCATTTAGTTGCCTGTGAAATGGTAAACCCTCATAAGATAAGTATAAGTATTGAGAAGAACAATTATTAGAGGTTAAAGTTTCAATCTTACAAATAGCTGAGTCGTGACATATTGCCAAGCTCAGGTGGAATTTGTCCGGTGAGCTTGTTGCCATGGAGATACCTATTTTCAAGAAAAGACATTATCCTCATATGTGAAGATCTGAACATATGCATGACACATAGTGAGAAGAAAAAAAGGGACTCACAGTTTTCCAGTGAAAGAGAGATTCCCAAGTATTGGTGGGATAGGGCCAGTTAATTGATTGTCACTCAAATCCCTGGGCATTGGATAAGTTTCTTACTTTTAGTCAGAGGAGCAAGAAACGAGACTAGCAAAAAAAACAAGCATTCGAATATGAAAATGACATACAAAACAGCAAGAGCCTGCATCAGTCCAATCACTTCCGGAATTCTACCAGTTAACCTATTTCCTTGAAGTGACCTGCAAGAGAATCCGTCACCACTTAACCATATGACATGATTTAACAAAACCACACTAGAGTTTAGAGAGTCTTAACAATACTTACAGAGTAGCTACTTGGAGGAAACCGATATTGTAGGGTATTACTCCAGTAATCTGATTATAAGATACATCCCTGAATATGCAAGAGACGAATAAGTCCAACCGAATTCAGAGCAGAATATTCATTTCTTAAGAAGAAGGCACATACAGGATTTCAAAACTTGTGCAGTTTCCAATGCCATCAGGGATAGTTCCAGTTAGGTTGTTGCCTCTCATATCACTAACAACAATAAACATCCACTTACAACTTGCTCGAAACCCAAGGTTAAAAGAGCAATGTAAAACCAAGAGGAAGCTGAACCAGATTCACTTACAAGTACCACAGACCCGTAAGCTGACACATATCAGGAGACAATGTCCCAGTTAACATATTCCCACGTAAACCGCTGCAAATTGAATACATCACAATCAGAAATAAATCTCTGGAAGCCTCAGAAACTTAAGGTAAGTAGATGAACTACTTACAGATACTGTAAAACTTCATTCCAGTAGAGTAACCTTGGAATCTCACCAGTTAGCTGGTTTCTTGCAAGGTCACTGCAAAATCATAAGAAGAAACTATTATCATTGAAATGATCACTTTGTATTAAATAACTTGGTTCATAAATAGAATGGCATCAGTATGAAACTCACAGGGTCTTAAGGTTTGGAATCTGAGTTAAGGTTGCTGGTATTGGACCAGTGAGCTGATTATTCTTCAGGTTCCTGCATTAGAAAGAGAATGAAACAGTTAACAAACAAAACGCCAAATCAGGCAAAGATAACACAAGAATGCGAAAGACAAGAAGACATACAGAAACTCCAGCTGTTTGAGTTTAGAGATTGAAAACGGTATGTCTCCAAACAATGAATTAGTGGAGAAATCCCTGAAACAAGAGAAAGGTTTTTGATTATATAATAATGAACATCAAATAAATTTCATCAACTTCAAAAAACACAATCATTCAACAAAACTTACACATAAGCAAGAGAAGCACAGTTTCCAATCTCATCTGGAATTTGACCACCCAATTTATTTCCTTGCAAGTCTCTGTAATGTGCAAAGACAAGAGCTTCATAAGGATTTAACACCATATTTCTTCTCAAACATCTAAATAAATAGAAAGAAGAGAAGACAAACATTGACTGCAGATTCCTTAAATCTCCAAGGGCTGATGATATCTCCCCACCAAGATTCAGATTTGACAGATTACTTCCAACAAAAGAAAAAAAATGTCAAATCAGAAAAATCTTAATCAAAGAGAAAACAAAAACAAAGAGGAATGAGATAAAAAGATCCTTACAGAGAGACAACGGTGAGGCTAACGTTATCACAGAAAACACCTCTCCAAGAACAAAAGTCATTGTTGTGAACATCGTCCCAATCAAGAAGCAAATTCGCCACGTTGCTGAATGAGGCTTTTATCGCCATCAACGCTTTTCCTGTGCAAAATCAAAAGCTTTTTTAAGTCAATAAACAAATCCAAAAAGATTATTTAATCATTTGACACTGATGATAGTCAAATTGTTAAATATGAAGTCACATGCCAAAAACTAAAACCCCACTAGTACAAGCTTCACTGTAAAGTGAGCTAGGGCACAAATGGATTCATCAGCATCATCATATTTCTGAGAACACTAAAGTAAGGTTTTTTAAGCACGAATCAAATGACTATTGGGTAGAAAAAAGGTTTTCCATTTCGGCTATCTCGGGAACAGTCAAGTGTTTGGAGATACAGATTTTGACAGAAATGATCTATTCGGAATCAGAAGAAAGGTTACAAATTTATAAAAATGATATCTTTAGGATCAAACAGACTCATTTTCAAGTTCTCAGAAAGCACCGTTAAACCCTAATTTCTGGAGAAAAAAAAAACAGAGTAAAAAAAAACACAGACATTTTGAAAGAGCTAAAACCTTCGTTGTTGTTCATTGGAGAAACAAAACCGAGTAGCATGAAAACAACCATCACCAAACCAAAAACCAAGCCTTTCATTTTCTCTACCCTCATCGTCTTATTCTTCTTCCTCAAGAGTAACCCCACGAAACCCAGATTCTATTTTTTTTGTCAAAGACCCCTTTTTCTTTTTATGGAAAGCCAGATCCTTTGAAACTTTCTAGCAAGAGTCGAAATTCAAACAAAGCAAAAAAAGGTACAAAGTCGTTCTGCCATTGTTGGGAGAGAACTAAGAAAAGATAGAGGGGACCGACACAGGAGATTAGCGTGAACTGGAAGGAAAAACAGAGCAGAGATGTTTAAAGAAGAGAGAGGAGAGGAGAGGACAGTCTACATTACTAGAGGCTGAGCTCCGACGCCATGAGAGAGAAACTTTAGTACTCTCTTATTAGACAACGACAAAATAATGTCAGAACCTATACATACACTGTTATGTATGTATTATCACTTGTTAATCTCTGCTAAAACATCTCCGATCATCTTAATGAGACAGTGATCGAAATGATTTAAATTTGTTTTTAGTACATTAGAGTGTATCAGTAAACGGTAAAGTAACGGCGTTACTGATATTAAACGGAGATTTACTTGTCCGTATGATTTGACGGCGACGGTTGTTTAAGAAAACGCCGTTTTCCAATGCAAAGGAAAAAAAAGAAGAACGTCTTTTAAGAGTCCGGTGAAAAGACATTCCTTTGTTGGGTAAAATCACGTTGACGCGCGCGTGCATCATAAGAAAGTTTGATCCAACGGTGGATAGAGAAATGTTATCATGGACTGCGATGTAGAGAATCAATCCATGCTCTTCCTTGTGATAATTAGTTAATGCTTTGAATTTGATAGTGATTGGGTGAAATGATGCCAGAAACCGGTTTGGTTTAGTTCTCTATCCTATTATCGATTCGAAGATTTTTCTTTCTTTTTGAGCTTTTAATATATTTTTTCCAGTTTTTCATGGTTTTATAAATATCGATCAGATTTGTCTCCTTCGATAAATCTTTATTTTTCTATCTTGTAATTAGATTGATTAATTTTGGGGTTCGATATAGTAATCAGTAGGTGGAATACGTTGGTAGAACTGTGGTTTGTAATAAATAAAAAAGTAAAAAAAAACAAATGTAATAAATGTAAAAATGAGCAGTAATTTCACTGTGGATTCAGTGTTTAAAAATAAAAACAAGAGCAGAGATCGTGTCTAAAGCTATGCCTCCGTATAAAGCTATTACTCTTTTTCTATCGAAGCTATCTTCATTTTCTCTAGCATTTTGATTTTATTTAAAAACGAACATAAGCTTTTTGATTTTTCTAATTTCTTTTGCTTCTTGTTATAAGTCTTATCGAATGTGAGATAATTGTGTAAGTAAATTTTATTTTTAGACGATAAACAATATGATAACTCGTTCAGCTGATTACATGAAAACTATGCCAATCAACAGTAAATGAATACTAATTAGTATTAGTTTTGAAGCTAGCATGTAAATTCTAATGATCACATTGAAAAACAAAGTTGTTGAATTGACTGATCAGGTTCAAGTCAGACCGTAGGGTCCATAAGATATCCGAGAAAAATTGGTCAAACCCCAACCGTCCGATTGAACCGATGTTTGATCTCGTTACCACTCGGTTGCCCTAATGCTTTGGCAGCTTCCTTTGTGCCAAAATCTCATCTCTCTCCTCTTTCCATATTCCGACATCAAACACAAAGCCAAAAAGATGAATTTTCAATATTAAAATCTATATGGTAACGTATACAACAGAAAAATATATCGAGTTACGTTTGGTCCTCTTAGCTTAATATGGACCGACCGTATCTTCTTCCTTGCTGGTTCCGATCTTGATTCTTCTATGTTGTACCTACTATGGTCAAACTTCTTGATATATGTGTAAAGTATGTATTAGTAGATTATACCATAACATAGTTCTCCAGTCGAACAATGCCGTTCAAAACTTGTATTAAAACATTATACTGGCTAAACTAATCCAACTAAACTTTGTAATTGAGCTGAATAAACAGAAATTTTTCTTCCAAACTGTGAAAATATAGAAAATTAAGTAATAGAAATTAACTGCGACAGTAAAATCAGTAGACTCGGAGACCATAAATGATGCAGCGCATCTCCAAGACAAACGTGTCGTTCGTCACGTTTGGGCTAGTTCGTTGTTTGGGTTTTGTTTCTCATGGGCTTAATATTTATTTGGGCTTATTTGTTTGTTTCTCCTTTAGGCTAGGGTTTTCATTCTCTTTCTCTTATTTAAAGAGACGTAACTCATTATTGTAGTTAGCTTTTGATTATTGAATAAACTAGTTTTAAGAGAGCTTTGTGTAAAGCCTAGAGAGGAGGACTCTCAACCCTAAGAGCTTGTGTTCAAGCCCTGCAAGGAGGACTTGCAAAACCCCGTCGATATCGTTCCGTGGAACCGATCTCGACCCTATCTCTATTGCTTCTTCGTCAAGTTTTGACGTTCTAAGCAAGATCCGTTCGTGAATCCGACTTCTCTTAGAGATCTTGTGTTCTCGTCCGTTATTTAGCTTCCGCCCTCTATCAGTTGGTATCAGATTCATCTCGTTCCTGGTGGTTTGATTTCCTTACAACGATGGCTTCGAAAGACAGATTATGGGAGGCCAATTTTAAGGTGGATATTCCCAAGTTCCACGGTGGAATTTCTAGTGATTCATTCCTAGATTGGCTCGTGGATGTTGAAGAAATTTTAGAGTTTCAAAGTGTTTCTGATGATCAATTGGTTTCGCGTGTGGTTAAGAAATTTCGAGGATACGCAGCATCATGGTGGCATCAAGTGAAAATAACACGCAAGCAAGCTGGCAAGAGTCCTATTAAATCATGGGCTAAACTGAAGCAGAAGTTATGTGCACACTTTTTACCTTGTAATTACGATCATACGATGTATTATCGTTTGAAGAATTTGAAGCAAAGAGTGGGATTTGTGGATGATTTCACTGAGAATTGTCCGTTTCAAGACAACGACTTCGTCGTTGAGCCTGTTCATGATCGTTATGAGCATCTTAACCAGAGTCAAAAAGACGGTGATAATGATCTGATCTATGACATCTATGAGAAACACGACGACGACACTTGTGAAGATCTGATTGGAGATCCTATGGGGTATGTTGCAGATCCAAAATTAGATGTTACAGTGGCTGAAATTGATGATATTAGGAACTTTCTAGACGATGTCATGATTGTTACAGAAACTAACAATGATCTAATCAACACCAACGACACGGACGTTGACGGTGATGATACAGATCGTGACGCCTATGATGATCAGATTCAAGATGAAAACAAGACCACTTTTGTAGTGCCAAAATTTGATGGCTCGGTAGAAGACGTCAAATATATAGCTTTTGTCTCTAATATCTGTGATCCGGTTTGTGATGTTTGCGATGAAAATTTTGTGGAAGTCATTATGAAGAATAGTGTTCGTGAAGATTTCACTGAAAGTCATGGGGTGGACTTCAAAAAAAATTCATCAAGAGGACAAGCTCATGTCTTCAACAACCTTGATGAGAAGGACAAAGATAAACATATAGATAGGAGGAATCACGGTGATTCAATTTATCTAGAAAATCGTCACCGGCATATTAAGAGGGAGCCACCAGATCGTGGTCAAAATAAAGTGCCGCTTCTTAGTGGTGTGAAAGATGTCAATAGTGAGATTTATGGTGATCCGAGTTCTTACATCTATTGTGAGGATGATGCAAGTTTTGTGGTTTATAATGGAGACGAGAAGAGGGTAATTGATGCTAACGTGACTAAAATCACAAAATCTCTGGTAATTCTTGCATTAACAACAGAAGATTTACATGTGAGCTACATGACAACACAAAAGGATGAGGAAATATACATGTGCAGTTTAAAGTCAGAGTTTATGAATTGGTATTTTGGAAATGAAAATCCAATGAGAATCTCATCTTACCATCAACGTGACGTCTACGCCAATGACGTAAGTGCCATAATTCACATTGAATTTTTCTTTACCATTGGAGCTTTGGATACAGTCAAGAGGAATATGGTGAATTTATGTGTTGGACATAACATATTTATGATGCTCTTGTCACGAGAGTATATGTTGGGGAAGTCATTTTCTGGTTATAATAATGTGGGGGAAGAAGAACAACTAAGCTCTGTTCTTCGTTGTTTTGTGGAGTGTGTCACTAGCTTTGACAAAATGGTGAACGCCATGGCAGCTAGTCAAGAGAAATTTTTGCCTTCTTGTCTCCAATCGCATGCTAGAGATAATTCTTTACGAAGTGAAGAGTTAATGGTTCTGAGGAGGATTTGGAACTGGTTTTGTGACAATTCATGCCAAGAAAGGATTAATAGTCAGACAAGGCAATTGCATTCGGTTCTTCTTAATCGGCATAATGTTAAGAGTTTCTTCGATGATGTGCTAATTTTTGGTGCAACACAGGTGGTTTCGCATTCGAAATACTACCAATTAATTGATATTTTCCATCGTGAAAACCTTTTTGTGGACAGAAGGAAGAACATGATAGAAATCAAGTGGGATGCCATCATGAGTAGTGTCGTCTCGTACGCTGGGTTCTCATTGGAATTTCTCAATGCGCAACAATCTACTTGGTTTTTCCCTGTTTTTGGGCGTTTGGTGTCTCCCTCTCCAAATTTCATGACATTTGCTCAATGGAGAAGTGGAGATATGCGTATCACACCATTGGGGTTATCCTACAAAATCACTACATGTTTTAGGTGGGAGGATTACGTGTTGGATCACACTAAGATCGACATTGACGAACTGTTTGAGGATTATACTAAAAGTAAAAATGGTCACATTCTCCTTTTAGTGGGTTCTTTCAGCGTTTGGCTTCTTATTGATGGTGTATCGGAGACACTAATTTCACTCCGCCAGAACTTCGTAGATGTGACGTCCACTTCAGCTTGGGTGATTATTGTGTTTCTCTTTCCAGAGTGTTCTAGAGTATTGATCGCTACGACCATATCGTCCTTAGTTGAGTTACATGGTGAAGTTTTTAAACAAGCCGGAGCTGTTCGTATTCCAGTATTGGCTCCTAATGACATTTCCACGATTTTTCTTTGTTGGAATAATGTTGCTGGCGCATCAAGAAAGCTGCTGACTAGTGGAAAGTTACGCATAGTTTTAGATTGTTTCTCTACATGGGATCATTCTATGGGTTGCAATGAGATTAAGGATGCCGTCAATAGTGTGTTGTTATTCTTCCACGAGATATGTAGTTTAAATGGGTTATCGTCTTCGATTCTCTCTGATCGTAGCCCCCGTTTACTCATCCCTTTTTGGTACATGCTGTTGAAGCTACCTAAGATCAGCTTGGATATAAAGTCAGAATGTAATGCTCAAACGAAGATCACACACAAAGCGCTCATGAATATTTTGTCATGTTTGGCTCAGTTGCGTTTGACTTCGACCTTAGCGTACAAAGCATCACACGTTAGGAGACTTGACTTGGTGTTTGAACCAGGTGGCTTTTTATGGATTGTGTTCTCAAAAGATTGTCATCTTCCTCGTGAATATCGACAAGCATCGACGTCTTCAACAAAATTAATTCCACACAGAGCTTCTGGGATAAGTCCTTTGCATTTGATGTCTGCAACAATTGGATTGAAAGAAAAGACCTATGAGGCGATGAGTATATCCATGGAAAAAGAAGATCTCTTGGTCACACGTGTTCAGGGAAGCTTGGAAGTGACGATTGTTTTAACGAAGGATCTGTATGAAGAAATTTCTAACAAGTTGCACGTGAGGTGTAAAAAGAGACTACATGAAGTTCTTAAGCGAAAATATTATGAATTGGTGGACAAAGGATGCCTTCAAAGATTCGGGTCGAATCTTTCTAACCCGGAGGGACTGATGCAGCGCATCTCCAAGACAAACGTGTCGTTCGTCACGTTTGGGCTAGTTCGTTGTTTGGGTTTTGTTTCTCATGGGCTTAATATTTATTTGGGCTTATTTGTTTGTTTCTCCTTTAGGCTAGGGTTTTCATTCTCTTTCTCTTATTTAAAGAGACGTAACTCATTATTGTAGTTAGCTTTTGATTATTGAATAAACTAGTTTTAAGAGAGCTTTGTGTAAAGCCTAGAGAGGAGGACTCTCAACCCTAAGAGCTTGTGTTCAAGCCCTGCAAGGAGGACTTGCAAAACCCCGTCGATATCGTTCCGTGGAACCGATCTCGACCCTATCTCTATTGCTTCTTCGTCAAGTTTTGACGTTCTAAGCAAGATCCGTTCGTGAATCCGACTTCTCTTAGAGATCTTGTGTTCTCGTCCGTTATTTAGCTTCCGCCCTCTATCAATAAAGATTTATGTAAATCCATTAAAACGTAAAAGGAGATGGGGCTCGTATATCCACAGGATATAGAAATCTTGTGGATGTTCAGCTATATAAGCAACTCTAGGCTTTTAGACTCGAACGGTGCATGGTTCTAATATGTAAGTAGACCAATCTGCACGCATTCTACAGTAGTCTAAACTAGACCAATTCAATTATTTTTTACTATGTTCCCTCTTAAATGTTTTTATTGTTATTGCGTCGAAACAATAAATGAGGTGCTGCGTTAGTTGTAGTGGTCTAGTATATATGATCAGTGGTGTGGTTACTGTTGTTAATATCGGACAGTTAGTATATATGATCAAAATCTTGATTGAAAAAATGGAATAGTTAAGGAAATTAGTCATTACTAATGACACATATTCATTGTTCACCACGTTCCAAGCTTTGCAGATTTTATTTATCGATATGAAAATAAATGAGATTTGATCATATACCCACATAAGAAACATTTGTTTATTTTGAAACTAATTCACTTATTCAGGCAAGCATTTCTTTACATTGCAGACTAGCTTATGCCTACAGTGAAGAGCCAATCAGAGAAGACAAGCGTGGATTTTACCAGATCCACGTGGCGTGATCAAACAGGCCCAAAATATGTAGTAAAAGCTGGGACAAAAGCTGTGAAGATTGTTTGGTCTGAATGCATGGGAAGTAATTTTAATTTACCTATGTTTTAAATTTACAGTATTTTCTACCATTATATATAAGATTATTCGATTTATTTTTTCCTTCAATGTAACAATACTCTGGCAAAAAGTATTAGTCGTATAATATCTTCTATTATAAATTTATTATGTTTTAAAAATTAGATTTATCTCTCTGTGAGATAAAACTGATTACGAATCGTAATCATTGAGTATATATATAATATATCCAACAAGTTTGAGCATGAAAATTATTTTTAACTTAATAACCAGTTTCTTGAAAGAAAAAAAAAACTTTATAACCAGTTTCAAATTAATGCAGTTCCGAGTAGTAAATTGAGATGCAATAATGGTTGTGTCATATCTTGATTGTTAACTTACTACCGGTAACGTGAAGGGGCCGCCACTCTGTATCCAAGCCTAGCTACTTCTGACCCAAATGTTGGCCCAATATTCACTAACACACTAAAAACTTTTAAAAAAGTAGTGTTAAAACAAAATTACTATGGGGGAGCAATATACTTATCAGAAAACGTTGTTTTTTTTTTTGTAATTGTTAAGTTGGTTCAAAAGAAATGAACATGCATGGATGTTCTGAAAGTGATGTATTTGTCTGCAAACAGCAATTTCACTTGTTTCTCTCGCTGATGAAAGACAATTTTGTAATTTGTATAGATTTTTATTATAGTGGGTATATTTGGTGACATAAATTAAAGCGTTGTGATTTTTTAAGGGGTCAAAATAAACACGATAAATGATTACGAAATAATTTAAGAAAGTGTAAGAGAGTAGTAAAATAAATAAAAACAATTTGGAATTTTAATTTTGCATTTCATTGGATTGATTACATGTGCCAAGTGTGGCGTCCATGAGAAAATTAGTCGCAGCTGATGACAACAAACATCAGGGCATTTATAATTTATATATAACAATCACGAGAGCTTCGTTCTTTATCTATCTCTTCTCTTAATCACAACACACACAAATCTCTGAACTAAAAATGACATTCCCTTCACTCTCTGCCTCATTTCTCTTCTTGGCCTTCGTCTTCGTTACGCATGCATTCGACCTCAGCATCATCCAGGTTCTTCTTGTACATTTTCTATTTTCTGGTTCAAAATAACCATAACCGGTTTTCTCTCACTTTCCTGTATATTTGTGTTTTTTTGTGAAAATCTTGTAGATGAAACAGGGAACATGTCCGTACACAGTGGTTGTCATGACAAGCTGCCTTTCTCCGGAGTCGACAAGAGATCAGATCAGCATCGTTTTTGGCGATGCCGATGGTAACAAGGTTAAGTAACTAGATTTCTCCGATAGACTAACTCCGGTTTTACCAGTTCGGTTTAGTGTGTCCTTTTTATATATAGTTCTAAAAGTCACCATTTGTATTTTGCTGTAAAGTGGTTTAGAGCTTGAAAGATTATGGTTTAATTTGAAAATGTGGACTTTTTTCCCCCAAAAAGAAAAATTATTATTATTAATTAGCTTGATGCAAGCAATTGCATGTGCGCTCTCTATACATGTAACTTAGCATTGTTTTCACTAAAATATTAAATATTTTCGTTGTTTTAGGTTGTATAAGAAAGAGTCTTTATTTGCATGTGTGCTCAAAACAAGTAACTTTGCAGTGATTTCAATAAAATGTTAAATATCTTCTTTGTTTTAGGTGTATGCACCGAAACTAGGCGGTTCCGTAAGAGGAGCAGGGGGTTTGGGGAAGTGTTCAACGAACACATTCCAAGTGAGAGGTCAATGTCTGAATGACCCTATCTGCTCTCTCTATATCAACCGGAATGGACCCGACGGTTGGGTCCCGGAGTCCATCGAAATCTACTCAGAAGGTTCAAAGTCCGTTAAATTCGACTTCAGCAAGAGCGTCCCTCAAATAAACACTTGGTACGGCCACAACAACTGCAACACCACAGGCAGACCATCGTCTCCCGATTTGCCTCCGCCGCACTTTCCGCCAGAATTTCCACCGGAGACACCTGCCATCCCGCCGCCGCCTCCACCAAGGCCGTCTGCTGCTGCAAGGCTTGGAGATGGTGAGAGTGTTTTCCTTGCGTTTGTCATTGCGACTGCGATCGCTACAATGGTTCGTTGGACTTACTAGTTGAAGAGCGTGTTGGGTTCCGTGAGGCTTTTCTTTCTTTCCGTCGAATGTTTTTCTTTGTTTTCGTTTTGCTTTCTGCCTCTTCGGTGTTGTAGAAAACATAATTACTTATAAAGTATGTGTGCATGAGTTCCTATTTGGCTTCGATTATTAGTTGGTACCAACTTCATGTATTCTCAAGAGATAATAATCCATCACTTTCTTGTGCACAAAACAAAAATCCATCACTTTCCATAAGCGGTGTTTCGACTTGAGTTTTAGCGAGATAGTATGATAATTTTTAAAGACGTATATGCTAATTTCTGATCAATTTTAACAGTTGGTTTGAAGATTTATTCAAAATCTGGTGTACAAGAATAGGTAAATTACAAACAAGAAAGATAATTTAAATCATGTGGACAACAAACCTCTACTCAAGGCATATTAGATGATATATCACGGAAAACATAAATGAACCAAACTTTTGACTCGATTTGTATAAGATATTGAAGTGTTGTCGAAAACTGGAATGCATGTAATTTGTCTGGTAGTAGTAGGTGGAGTTCAAGGGAGAAGTGGCACCACGTAACTATTCCCTTTAGACAAATTTCTTTTTTTTTCGGACATCTGGTTTCACGTGTCCTTGCAACTAAAATCGGGATTAAATATGAACTGTATTCTATTGATGTTAAACGATCCATTTTAATTTTTGTGTAAAGTAAAAAATAAGGTAATCAGGTTAGATATTCCGCCGCTAATTATCCTGCCGAACAATTGAATTGAATCGGTAACTAGACTTTATTCGATGGATCCTGGCCTAAAAACAAAAATAAAGGACCTAGCTAAGCCCAACTACTAAGGCCCATCAAGAGACGTCAAGGCGTTTCTATTTAGTTACAGAAAACTCTAACTTCCGAGGCCCATGGAAAAATAGAGTGGTAAATCAAACCTCAAATGCAATTTGTTTGTACTATGAAGAAAAACCGAATAAAAACTAGTCAACTAGTTTTTACAACGGTCCAAACAAAATACCATTTAAATTTACTTCCACAAAATTATAATAATATAAATCATAACAATCCAAATTGCACGTATCTATAAAATCCAATGGATCGAAATTCAAGAAATTATTTACAAAAAATATATTTTTTTTTTTTGGGCAAACAAAAAATATATAAGAACCCTTTCCTCGACGTAATCTCTGGCCATTTTAATTTAGTTTTTCGTTGAAGACAAATACGATGGAAAAGACAAAACGACGCGAGGTATAAACAATACGACATGTCATCTCTTACGTAAGCATAAGTTAAATTAAGAAAAATACAATCTTAACTTTGTCATTTAGGAAAAAAACAAATTATTTAAAGATTGGGCATTGCGAGAAAACATATGTAAATATTACTAATTTATTAAGAAGTACGTACCAAGGTGACAAATGAAAAAAAAAACAAAAACAAATAAAAGAGAAGTATATACAAGTAAGAATGAATAAGCAACATGTATTATAAGGCTGTGAATTTTGTCATTTACAGTTATATTTTGAAGATTAATATAGGATATACTCTTGTTAGTCTCTTACTTGTACTTTTCATGTGTAGGTAGGTTAAAATATTTTATATCTTAGATTTGAATCAAGCGGCATATTGGATATCTATGTCAAATTGTCAAGAGATACTAGTTAGGCCATGATGCTCAAACATTTCAACATGATGATAATTCTGTTGGGTGATTTTTTTTTTTTTTTTGATTGACAGCGTTGGGTGATTGATCAATACCTAGAATTTGAGATTTTTGACCGTCATGTGTGTGTGTGTGTCTCACCTATCTCCGAACTCAATAAATTAAAACCATTTGACTGTGAGTAGACTACGTGATCAAAGATTCACAATATCGAAAATTCTTGTATAATTGGAACGATTTGTTGTCGATCTTATAGGATGCCTATGCCAGTTTAAGACTAAAATTTGTATAAAGTAATTTGTTCTACGGTTTTACCCGAAGAAATTTGTATTATAATTTAACAATTTATATGATTATCATAGGTATAATTTATCGACGTGGAGTACTCTCAATATGGAGATTTTATATAGTAAAAAAAAAACAATTGGCCAAGGAATAAAGCACATGAACTGATGACTTATCTCGATTGAATAAATTGCCCACTGTGAGAATCTAAATTTAGAGATGGGCGAAACATACTATGAAAATGATCCAATCATATATTTGTTACTGTTCTACTTGTTTAATGGCAGTCGTAATTCGTAAAACAATATTAAAACTTTCTTCAAATCTATTTAAATTTTTTATTTATGTAAAGATAAACAACTAATTTGATAAAATATTATGATTTATGCTGAATTTTATTTTAACGTTCTCTAATTAACTGTTAAAAAAAATTGTTTGTTTGTTTCATAACTCTAAATTTTCTTCAATAAAAAAAATCGGAAAGCATGAGTTGTTCATTGAGGAGATAAAAAAACTGATTTTGACTGATAATATTTTCCTCAAACCAATTTTTCTGTGTGTTATAGTAGTAACTAATTGTCTCTGCGTCAATGTTCACAATGCATGCTTGGTACATATACAAAATCTGGGAAAATGTCTTTTGGAATGTAGCTTTATTTCGTACCATCTTAGTTGAAAGCGTACAAAAACAATTTTTTTATATGATAATATCTCAAATGATATGATCTAAATGTATTCTGACATGTATCATTAAAATGTAATATCAGAAAACGATATTTATCTTTTCTCCAAAAATTAAATAAAATTACAAAAAAAAAAAAACAAAATTTCTTATCGCTATACATCATCATATATATTTCTTTTCTCTCATTTTTTTTATATCAGTTAAAACTAGTTGAATTTTTTTTTTCCTCAGTTAAAACTAGTTGAATTGGAATGGTGTAAAACGCATATATATGGTTTAAGAAAACAGTCAAAAAACAATACTACTGATTTCTTGATTGTAGTATAAAAAGTATGATTAGCATATGATTGAAACTATATTTTTGAGAAATTACAAGAATTCAATAGCCTAAACTATATCCATTTTTATTTATGCAGAAACTAGTAAAAAATACTCATCCAAAAATTTACATGAAATACTAAAATCAACCATTTGAAAAGAAAATTTTTTTTGTAAAAAATGTATTGAGGCCCAAATATTTTCTTAGTTCTTACCCTAGTGTTCTATCTTAGTGGGACCGAGGGAGCTGATTGAAACGATACCTAAGTATGAGATATTGAAGATCCAAACATTGTGATAGTGAGAGAGCAACAAGCTATCCATTGGTGCATGTTACTTCACTTGCAGGACCATTTCTTTTATTTGCAAGCTTACGAAATGTATTTGTTTTTTGTATTACATATTACAATCCAATACTTTTCCAAGCAAAATAAAATTATATAATCCAATCCAAAAGAAGAAAACAGAGAGAAGGGGAAAAACACTAAATAAGAAAGACCTAAGACGGTGTCGTAGAGCTTGGACAGGATAAAGATTACTGTCGTGAAGTGTGTTAAAATGAGACGGCAGAAAAGAGACAAAAAAAATGCACGTGAATCACGTGAAGAGGGCCTGTTTTACTTTATATGAGAGGTTGGGGATGGCCCATTGGGCCTTTTCTATATATAGCTATATTTTTCGTTTTTCTATTTATTATTACGTGCAATCAAACAAATTTCACGTTTATGTGCTTTTGTCCTTTCCTCAATTAGTACTATCTTTTCTACATATTTAATGGTTTTTAGGAGATTTGTTAGTTAGTAGATTTTATATACAGAAAAACATTATGTGTTATTTGATAATTGATTTTGAGGTATTTGTTAAAATTATGTGTTATTCATCTAATAATTTTTATAAAATCAGTTGGAATTTGTTATATATATATCATAACGCATTTTATACTTTAAAAATTAGAACTATTGTAAATCTGATTTGCAAGAAAATACTATATGTTTACAAATAATAACAACACACGAGTTATAGTAGCTGTACACATTTAAGGTGGAGTTACGTCCACTTTCGTCAGTACGAATTTTACTATAATCGAAAACTTAGTTAACAAGAATGACCTATATATTGGGATTAATAACTAGAATGGTGGAAATAGAAAAATAAGAAGGAAGAAAACTCTATAACAAAATGAAATTCTATTTTGTAGTTTTACCACGCCATATAACATTATAAAATAAGATAATCTATAATCATGTCCTCTTTTTTCTTATCATCGTAAATTCTATTTCGAAGAAAATGAAAGAAGACGCCAAAAGAAAGTACATTGTCTTCTTACATGGCACAAGTGCAAGCCATCCAAATCTCCACATAAATTTAGTGATACATTAATGGGATTGATTTTACATTTTCTTCTATGCGGTCAAATCGAGGTTGGTTTTTCATAGTAATGGAATCTAAAAAACTATTTATATGAAAATATGAATCTATAAGGCGGGGCCAGCTTTTGGTTGTATTGTTTTTCGTCTTTAGCCTTAATACAAACATCGATCGCAGCTTCTCAGAGTAATGACGCACAATCTTCTGTCTCTTTTTTTTCTTCTACGTTTCCTAAATTTGTTTTTCTGTAATTTATTTATTTATTTTGGCCGACAAAAAAAATTGATACGACGAAGGAGGAGTATATTTTCAAAAGTTAAAAGCTAGAGGTAATGTTCTAAATATTGAATTACTTTCTTAAGAGTCTGAACGTTCACAAAATGTAAGAGGACACCTAATAAATCAAGTTTGAGAACGAGAGTATTGCCAGGTGAAATAATTTAAAAGATGTCTTAATATTACAATTTAATACTTGAGTACAATTTTTATACGTTTAGTGGTCCATTTGTCCAACCTGATATCCACTTGGTCTTGTTGACAACTTTGATTTCGACAATTTGGATTTATTTTTTCAATCCTGTATATGCTATATTTTTCGGGCAGTGTTTTATCATTTGATGTTTGTACTTAATAAACTTCGTTTAAAAAATGTAATAGCTAGTGACATAAACTTTAACATTAGAGACTATAAAAAACCATTTCGAACCAAATCATAAGTCGACCCAATGGAGTACATATATTTTATTTATTTGCTACGTTTATTTTACACCAGACAACCTAAAGCAAGATAATAAAAGAAACAAAAAAAAGAAAA